TAGGTCTTCAAAATTCCAGCCTGTTGTCTAGTAATCCAACGCGATCCTCGGATGTGGCGAATGTACAGGGCACATATGGGGCTGGAACATGTCTTGTATGAACGACACTCTCATGAATCGTCGTCTGCATTCTCCATTGAATCGGTCGGTCATTTACGACGAGCCACAAGGACTCGAGGCCACTCTTCCTCCGTAGCGAATCTTGAAAAGCGAAAGATCAGTACAGTCATACAAAGTTCGAATGCCGCCGATAGCAAGCGGTGGTAGGTACGTATAGAAGCTCGTGATATAGCCACTTAACGTTTGCATAGAGACTCAGAAGCGACACGAAATGGTCGCAATTGAAGACTCCGGTTGAACAAAGTTCCTATCTCCCCATTTGTCCAGCTTCCAATTTCTCATACGCAGGCGTGGTGAAGTGGATGCAACGACGGCGACGAAAGACAGACTAGAGACCGCCCGTCCGACGTACGTCAACGGAGACAGTGATGCTAACGCATACATCGAGTAGGAAGGACAAAAGAGCAAAACTGGGAGAGGATGAGGACGACGCTCCGTAAGCTTTCTACCTGAAGTACAAGAATATCAATTCAATGTTGCAAGTTCTCCCGCCTCACTGGCTGTTAATTCAGTGGACATTCGAAAATACCGGTCACTTCCGTACGTCCAAAGTCCACCAGAATTTCAATCGCTGACAGGTTGAATGTAGGAGAACCATAAAAGCAACAACATAACTGCAAGCAGCCATACGAACGTCGAGGTTTCCCTCAGTCAGCACTTCTCATTCGTTGAACGACTACTAATCTGTACACATCATGGTCCGTCTTCTACTATCTCGTCATTTTCATAAACGTTGAAACATGTCTCCCTCATTCTGCAGAGCGAACCGTTCTCCAAGCATATCACTTATACGCCCAGTGGCGGCGACGCATTAGTGAAATCTTATAAGTCCACCATCTATGAAGACAAAGGCGACCAGGCATTCTACGCTGCCATCGACACTTATCTCGTCGACGCCACTTGGATCCCAAAGATGTCCTGGGAGAACAACACGTCCGCGGCGCAATCGTACGCCCTCACGTATACGACCGAGCTCAAAGTTACCAAGGGGTCTGAGGTTACCACGTCTATTAAAATCGCAGGGGCTTTCAGGGGCCTTTCGATTAGTATGGGCACCTCGGTGAAGGAATTCAATACTTACGAGACGACTAACACCACGACAAAAACCATCACGTTGAACGTCCCTGCCAAGTCGACGTTGACGTTTTATCAGAGGAGATATCGGTTCAGAGACACGATGTTCTTCATCTTGGATGCATGGAATGAGATGTGGAAGGCCGGCTCCTGGGGGTCATTTAAACTCACGAAGAAGGCTTGCGTGGTGGAAATTATGAGTGAGGACTATCTGACTGCGGACGCCAAGTTGGACGATTCCACGACGGGCACAATGGTGGTGAAGAAAGTTCCGAGGGCTACTTTGGAGTCCTCCTACTCGGCGCGAAAGCGCGAGAATCTTACTGACAGAGCAAAGGAGGTGCTTGATGATATTGACGCTTGATGTACAAAGCAGGTAAACTTGGATATTTTATCACCAACCGTAACTCACACATTTCTTCAGAACTATCCGAGTCGGCGAATGCGCATATCTTTCACGTTCCCAATCTCCCGCTTGTGTTTGTCTTTTCTACCTCTTTGTTACACTTTGACGTCTTCCGTTTCTGTGTATCAGAGCTCGTTATCTCATACACAAAATCCAAAAAAAATGGTCCCTAAGTAGTGTTCTCTTCCGTCATTCTCTTTGTACTATCAATGTGAATGCTTTTCACAAAATCGGCGGTTTATGGCCCAAGATCAGTCCCCCGAGAATGAACCATTCTTTTCGAATCCTTGTTCACCGTTCACTTCGTTTTTAATTAACTTGAATGTGCATGAGTCGATGTAGCTCTATGGTAGGTATTGTCTGTCATCACCGTTTGGTGTTTAGAACACCACAGAATGATGCAGAAACAACATCCGAGACAAGGAAAGGTGCATACGCCGAGCTCCGTACGTTTCCCAGGGCTATTAGAAGCTTTTCTGGGCAACTGACTTTGCTGACGACGATAACGAAGGGTCTGACCAACACGTTGTTCATTGGATGTTCATGATCCAGCACTTGAATCACCTATTTTCGATATCGATGACAGATCACAGGACTGCGATTCTGCGCTGAGAGAATCCCGAGCATCTATGTCGGTTTATCTGGCGGTTGGGGAATGTGCATCGTAGAGTGCGACCCGTCCAAATGCATGCTGAGGGGACACTCTTGGATGCCACTAAAGGGCAAGTCATTCTACAGCTGAGCTTGATCGAAGAGAAAGAAGTTGAAACGTAATATTGGCGAGCATTAAGGACCTGGATAGGTCTGAGGGATCGGAGACTCGAGAATTCTTGTGTTTCGACCGTCATCTCATCGTGCTCGCTGGCATCGCGCTCTACTCGTGGGTACTGATGTGCAGATTAAAAAAGCGGTCTTCCTAAAAGACTGTTGGCGTCCTGCCATCTTCAAGCAAGTACTTTGTTAGGCTTATTCAATGGATAACATTTGGATGAATAAGTTGGCACGGAGTATATGAGAGCAATCCTTCATGGTCTTGGAAGAGTCACAACCGCCGTTGGGCTGTCTTCGTTTTTGTCTCGAATGGGGTTACCAATCCTTCTAGCCTTGTCCTTGCAAGCAGACCCTTTCCACAAGCGGTATGGTTCTATAGATTATTGGATGCTGAGAGGCAGAATATTCCAGTCAGGAGCATCAAGTCTAGCAAAATGAATGTTTGACCAGCTGGCCGCGTTCGCAGCTTCTCAAGGTCTCGCCCAAACAAGTGCAACGCGGGACCGTCATCCGGTTCTCGTTCAGTCCTCCTTCTCCCGCTGACCGTCTCGTCCATAGCCTCGTGCCCGTAAGGTTCACCGCGGACAGAAGTCCTCCAAATTACTCGGCCAAAGTGAATGCAACACCAGCTGTTACCACCTTAGCCAATGAACGCAGTAACCACCTCGGTGGCGGACAACTTTCACTAAGAAGGTTATTAAGGCTACGCTTACTTCGCTCTCCCAGTAAGATTCTAGATACCTCTCGCCGGTCTGCATCCAAAGTATAGCACCAGAACACCCCCGGAACAGACAAAAGTTCCAGACGAATAGGAGAAGGACCACAGATATTTACTCCTAGTTTTAGGAATCTTACCGGCTGCAACGGATGATTGGTGAGGCTAGACCTCACCCTCTCTCGAAGTGTTCACCGTCAAACCGGGTGGGATCGAAACAGCAAGAGCACGTTCTGATTTTACTGTCGGAGGAAGAGAACCGACAGAGAGAGTCCCAAGAAGACGCAAGAGCGCAAAGGTAAGAACCCATCAAGGTATTGTTAAACTATCATCGGGGACCCGGACCTGTGAACCAAGGTATGTCATGTGTGAGACGGCGGGTAGATGTGAGGAAAGACAACCAGTGGTTCTGGGAATAGAAAGGGAAATAGATGTATTTTCGTCTTTGCCTGGTCTTTCTGATCGGTGATTAATCTCCCAAAGAACGAGGACAAGGCAATGGGGATTGGGGGTCGTGCGTTTCAGGCGGTGGACATGATCGATTTCCTATTGATATTTCCCCTCCGAATGGCCATGTCGCATCGTACTGAGGAATCACATGGTGTCGATACGCGGATTTCTACCGAATTTTTGATTGGCAAGCTTCATGTTCATGTCATGGTAAGTAATCACACACACTTGGACGCAAGCGTAATTGATTGTCTTTCTACCGGTTTGATGAGCGGACTCGGTGTTTAAACGTTAACGTTTCATCATACCATGACGCCTTCCCTTCGCGCTGGATATACTTGAGTGGTGTTGGAGCGGAAGGACTTACGTTTTAAGCCAGGACACTTGACCATGGTATAGACGCAAAGGTTTAGCCACAGGTCTATATTTTTATGTATCTATCCTTGCTAGTACTCAGGGTGATGCGCCAGGATTTGTTCCGGGATGTTGGGTCCTGCATCTTGAGGATAACAGAGGGTCTCCAGACGAAGAAAGTCGGTAAATAAGTATTGGCTTTGCGGTAGAGATGATCAATAACTTTCTGATCGCGGTTTCGGTGTTCATGTCATGGCAAGGCTAAGGCATCGCGGGTAGATGTAATTGATTCCTTCTATTCTTCAAGGTATGATTGACGGTTTTGGTGTTTACCCTTCAACCTTCACGTCAACGGTCAAACGAATTCATTGTCTCTGGGCTATTCTTTTCCTCGTTTGATGAGCGGATATTCAATATTCTGAACCGGTGTTGTACTGGGTTTAAAAGTGCTTTGCCTTTTCCGTTGGCCTTGGAGAGAAGACGCAAAGCTCAGCACTAATATACGTGAGTATTCATATTTCTTGCGGCGTAAATATTTACGAAACACTTCTAGTCACACATCCAACTCCGACCTGTGGTATCGCCACTCGCTCTCTCGCTTGTACCGGTCCGACTCAGCCTACTGTAGAGTCTACGCGGTAATAGTTACTCGCCTCTTCTCCTTTTATTTTCTGTGGTACTATTTCAAGGTAAGGAGCCATAAGAACGCTTCGTAGTGGATATAATTAATAATTTCCTGTATATTTTTCTTCTGATGGCTGACAATAGGATGTCTGGACTTTGCGTTGGGCCCCTTGCTCTAAATACAAGATTTGATAATTGTATGTCGTCTTTCTGTGTCGGTGTTATTGAAGGCCGTGGTGATAGTACTCGAAATCTAGGAATCCGTCTCGCATTCTCTTTGGGATGGATAGCTTTCCCTAAGTCTCGCGGTTCCTTTCTTCGGGAACCGGACCGAATGGCCGCAGGTAGAAAGAGCTCTACTGCGGATTATATTATGCATATTAAGGGAAAAAGGCTTTCATGGTGGGTGTTCTCAATTATATCGCGCTTCTGATGGGTCGATAAGTGTTCGGAGTTGAAGAACACACTCAGGTGGGTTGGATTTCAACAAGTTGTTGAGGAAGCGCTCGGCAAATTTCTGGTGGGTACATTCCTGTTAAATCCCGGGTGAATTTGTGAACCGTGTGCTCAAAAAGCTCTTGTTACTCTTACTCTTTTTCTCCTTTTGATCGTCAATTTTCTTGTGACAGAACCGTGCAGTAAGGAAGAAAGTTATGAGAACGCCTTTTATCTTTCACCTTGCCGGAAGAAAATATTCTTTGTTTTATGGGGCGGATTCTGAATTCGTGATGATCTTGTGCAAGTACGTCAGTTTGGCGTCTGCAAGGTTTTAACCGTACGTCGTCTATAATTATTTAAGCACATGCAGAAGTAGGTATGTATTCTTGGGGGTATACTTGTTTATAGAATATCTGATTCTAGCTTACGTCGTTTCTTCTCCTTCTCTCGCTTGCGCTCTTCCTTGCTCAGCTTTACCTCACACTTGTTCTCGAGAGCCGGGCCGCCGTGTTCCAGCTGTTCATTCTTGACCACTTTCCGCATTTTCTTCTCCAATTTCTTATCAGCCGACACATCAGCGTCGGGAGCCGGACCGACATCCTCCTCCTGCTTTCTCTTCTTCGCCTCCTTCCGCCTTTTCTTCTCCACCTTCTTGTCATCACCACCTTCTGACTCCATCTCCATTCTGTGAATTCCCCCTTTATCCCCATCTTGTTTATCCTGCCTGTCCTTCCGCTTCTTTTCCTTGACGGTGCGCATGGACTCTGGTTCGGCCCCTCCATCACCATCGAGAGGCGTTGATGAGAGCACTGATGTTGATGTGGCGGCGAGGAATGAAGACGATATCAATGAGGAGAATTTCGACATGCCAATACCGATGCGTGGGGCATCATCACCGTCGGAGGTTGGTCGAGCTTTGAATGATCCGATACCCCCACGATGGAGGTCATCTTCATCGGTCCGATTCGGCGGTTCGAGTTCTGCAGGGGTAGGTTTGCCAGACGCTGAAGTGAATTGCGATGATCCTCCACGAGATGCCTTCTCTTCGTCAGTCCATTCAGCAGGCGTTGATTTGCCGGATTTCGACAGTAGTCGCTCCTTGAAGTAATCCGCCACGCTCTTAGTTGAAACCGTCAGCGTTTCTAGAGTTGGTGGTTCCTCTCCTTCCACCGGCGTCGATAGCTGGGGAGTAGCAGACTGAGATATCCCAAGAATTTCAGACATGGCCGTTTCGGAGATGGCGGCACGGTTTTTGGCTGCGATAGCACGGGCGCGGTGACTAGGATAATGTGAATATTATGTCGATAATAAAACATAAACCAAAGAAAGACGTACGTTAGATGACGGGGAAGGGCCCGTTGAGCCAGAGGCTTCGCAGCAGGGACGACGGATTCCTCTACTGCATCAGCAGGCTCTGCTTTCGCCTTCTTCGCCTTCTTCTTGCTTTCCTCATCGCCCTTTTCCTCTCGCTGCCTCTTTTTCTCATTCTTTTCCTTCTTCTTCGTCTTCTTCTCGTTGGAACCACCGTCGTCTGTGACCTTGCTCTCTGAAATAAACTGCCCAGCCAGTGCAAACTGCTCCTCTACATCCTCACCACCCCCCTGTGCAGCATTAAGTCTCATCAAGACATTCTCAAAGTCCCTATTCTGCTTCCACGCGATGCCATTGGGATCTTTCTGGTGGGCGGCGCCAATTCCCATCATGTCGAGCTTCTGCGACACCTTGATATGAGATGTCCGACCCTCCCCTGACACACCGAGGCCCTGTGAGGAGGACCAACCGAATTTGGAGAGATAAGTCGCGCCGAATTTTGAGGCATCTCAAGGGGAAAGAGAAAAGGAAACGAGTAAGATTGAGGCGCGAGCAACGTGGCTGGACAACATACCGTCCGCCCAAGAAAGATTTCGTGGGTCGGCAGAAATTCGTTGTTTAACTTTGCGCCCTGAGAGACCCATGGTTCGTGTGTGTGCTGAAGGAGAAAATATATTGACCTAAATTGAAACGGTGATGGAGGAAGGATCGACGCTCGAAATTTTTTCGATGCTGATGTAAGCAGGGAACGTCAAAATTGCGGCAAATTATATTCCTCCTCACGCTCATAGATCCATCCCGCCATCAGCGCGTGGATCCGACATGTCTTCTCAAGTTCCGATGCATTCGAATTCGCGTCCTGAAAGACGTACGTCTTGTGCATGTTCAACAGCAACTTATCCCCAGCATCTATCAAAAGGCGAGGCGAGGTGTTTCCCCCCTTTGAATGCAGGACCTTTCTAGAATATGTGGCACTCGTAAACGGGGCTGAGACCTACAATGTCAATATTCCTCAACAGAAAAGCCGATTAAAGTCGAGGCTGCCAGACAATGTTCGCTTGCTCGCTGTATGTGGCTCAGGGCTACGGGAACATCTATCCCATTCAATGTTTTTGCGACATATTTCATCCTACCGTCCAGCCGTGCGGCGTCGATTACTTACGTCGCGGGATTGCCTCGTTACAGTACCTACGTTGATGGTCACCAAGTATGAGGTGATATACGCCCAGCTTTGGAAATTGTAGGCGCGCTTTGTGTCCGCAGGGTTGCTGGATCGTATATTGCACTCGCAAGCTGTAACGGTTCACGTCTGCAGGCATCCAGTCCCCGTGTTTCAGCAGCCAGGCAAGTGCATGTTGATTGACCTTATTGTTCACCCGGAATGAACTCTTTCTCCCGGCCCGCGATTAAACTAGACATTCTCTTCTTAGAATGGAGAAAATTGTTCTTGTGTCAGTAGATGTCACTGTCTGTTTCGAGCGTCACATATTGCATGGATCCACATGATGGTAATTGGCTGAAATCATCCGCGGAAGACCCCCGCTGCCCAAGCTGCCGTTCCGTGAATCCTGGGCTGCGCTCGGTCGGTGCTGCGGTTTCCAAAACCGCACATCTCAATTCCATCTGTCCCGTGGAAATGTAAGAAGGGTCCCTTGACAATGAACAGAACACGGCTTCAATCGCGATCGAGACATGTTGCCGAAATTTCAACCAAATATATGCCGTGAGATCAGGGTCGCAGTGAGTCACTATTGGCTCCGTTTATTTTGGCGTTTGGCTTCTTATTGTTTTTCGCCTTCAAGTAATCCCCGTCGTGTATAAGAACATTCGCAGAATGAGCGTCATTAACGGACCTCCCATTTCCTCCATCTCTTTCCCCACGTTCTCTTTCACTTTATAACGTGAGCTTTCTTCCTCTTTCCTTTCAATTCAACTTAATATTCTTACAGGACGACCATGACTCAAGTTCCCGTTGAGCTGTACCGTTGTATCGTTGAATGTGTTACCGACCGCAAGACTCTCCTCTCTCTTCTTCTCACCAATCATGTCCTTCATGACGAAGCCGAGCGTATACTCTACCATGATGTTAGCAACATCTTCGACATCGAGTCCTACACCTTGCTCCTCCAGCGTTTCATCTCGTGCCCTCGCGTTGCCCGTCTCGTACGGTGCTTTCATTTTCTTATGCGTTCCCACATAGCGGAGGACCACACGTGCTGGAAGCTTCTGCCGATTGCTCTCCGTGCTCTCACGAACCTCAAAATGCTCGTCTTCAGGTCCGTCGGAGGTTCCCTGGAGGCTTACATTCCGAGCGATTGTGCATGCCAGTTGGAGTACCTAGACTGGCAATGTACTTCTGAGAGCAAGGGGTCGGAGCTTTCGCACTTCCTTCCAACGCAGCATCGCCTCCGGACAATTCAGAACCTCCAGTGGCGTCCTGATTATCAAGTCCCGCCCCCGTTTTCACTCCCAGCGCTGTCGACGCTCAGTGGAAACTATGATGCAATCAAAGCCCTCCTTCCCGGGAGGACTGTTACAAGTTTGCATTGGATATCTGATGTGAAGGATGTTCGGTCTCCCGACGTTTCAGAATTGGTAGAGCCACTAGGCAATCTGGAGACATTCCGGTTGGGTGGGCATCACGAGCGTCCATCTCTGGTCCTTCTGGCGGAACACCTCTCCAAGGTAAAGGTGCTGGAATTGTTCGGTGTTAAGGTTCGTCATCGATGCTGTAGGGGTCTCTGTTTATCATAACTGATCAGTGCTCTTATCTTAGCCTGGGGATCTCGAAAGCATTGACAAACTCCCACACCTCGAGGAACTTAAGGTGTCGGTGCAGTGGGGCTCTTCCTCCGATGGTCCCATATCTCCCAGAGATGCTGCGAGCGTCGTGTCCAAGCTCTTTGTTGCCGTGCCGACACTACAGTATGTGGACATTGCCCAACCCGTATACTGGCCCATCCCTGCGTTCTGCCAGGCATATGATCGCTGGTGGCGGGGCTCGACAAAGCCTGAGACCATCCAGCACCTTCCTTTCTGATTATGCTCATGTTTATATCATGTTCTTTCGTTTTTCTTTGCATATCTCATATTTAGATTATAATCCTTATTGCAAGCACGTCCTTGCCACAAAAGTCAGCATACTAGGATTTCTATAACTCATGCACTCTACTCTTTATAGTTATAATTATTGGAACGTACCCATAAACATAACGCTGTACCGCAACATAGTCGTCATACCTAAATAATTCCATATGGACGTACGTCAATGTCCATTGTGCCTTGTATTGTTTTACGGAAAGAGTTTGATGCATGACGCGACGGGGGAGAAAGACAACGTGATGGCGCAGTGGTATCCTCCAAAAGGCAAGTGGTCCCCCGGATACAGTGATACCGCTTTTCACATGGCGGCCGGTATCCACCTACGCTTGAATATTACTTTCACAGGGAATACACATGCGAGCTTCTGTATCCCTCTTGAGGTTTCCCTGTGGCGTCGCAGGAGCACTGTAGAATGTGAACGGTTACGTTGTAGAATGGGGTCGCAGTACTGTATAGCCGTGGTGTTGCGCTGATTCCCGTTGTGAGGTGAGGTGAATGTTTACTTCAATTGTACATCATCATTGGCGATGATGGGACTAGTGCGTACATGGCACCGGAAGGCCGTTGCTTGCAGAGTTCGGATCTCTTCCATGCCGCCTCCAAGGAAAATCCCAAGTACCAAGCCCCCTATGACAGCCGCTGTAACCCTAATCCCGTCGTTTCGCTTGTTTACTTACATTCAGGGTCCTCACATTGGGCGCGGTCAGCGTTCAAAATCCGTCAAATGCCATACCCACAAAACCCAATCTGAATCTCTGCGTTGATGCGTTCATAGGGTTCTACCAAGGTTTCGCTGGTATTCTTTCTTGTTTCGGTTTACATGTCTCAGGCGGTATTTACCCATTAATCCTCGTCGCGAGACCTTTACTCACACTCTGCCTCATGCCGCATCCCAGTACGTGACATGCTGAGAGGTACCCAAGTACCAATGCTATTGGTCCGCTATTTCTCCGTCACCGTCTCGTTCCTTGCCGCCCGAGGAGGTCTTCGAAACTGGGAAAAACATACTCGCGACGCGACGCTTTGCATGCGGCAACCTCGTGTTGATCGTGTTAATGTAAGCCTTGGGCTCTTTTGACTTGTAGTTCGACGCTGCTCATTGTTCCTGAAGCTGCAGCTCTACCACGTACACATTTACGGTACATCCAAGTCATCGTCCTGATGATTATCAATCACCAACTTTGTCCCCCCTCACTGAAACAAACGGGCATCGCGCAAGTCCATCGCTGATGTGATCATTGTCAAAGGACAGATCGCCCTTAAACTTTCCAAAGACACGGAGGGCTTCGCCCTGTTTGCACCTTGCGTGCGGCGGCCTCGTGGTTCTATGCACCACCCTTTGGTCCTTGGAAACCTCATGATACACCGCGCTCAACCCCTGCCAGCAATGATTCTCGCCTATCGTCATTTCATCCCATGAGCCACCGTTGTCGTCGTCAAATGACAAACAGGCAGGCTCTCGAACTTGACTTGTTCTATGCAAACATTTTACTCCTACCCAGAATCTTACGTTGGACCCCACCGCTGTAAAACATCAGTGGCTGAGCACATCGTCTCTTTACCCGCGAAGGTTTCCATCTGCGCCAGGTTTCACCCCGCATACCATATTGAAGTAAAGTTCCTACGGGCATCGCAACTCACCGTGGTATTCGACAGATCGCCCATTTCAAGTCGTCTTCTCATTGGGTACCTGTGTGCGCGGCGGCCTCGTGGCTAGACTTTTCAAGACTGGCTACTCACTTATACTTGATTACGATCAGCTTACGGGTAGGGAGGTTGCTGTATGAGTCTAGAAGGGCTCTCGGAATCTCCGTCCCCGCAAACCTCGCCCTTTTCGAAAGCTTTGGGGAAGGAGCCATCGTCTCTGGGCCCAGAAGGGCTGACCGCACATGCTTCGAGCGCCTCAATCACGTACGGATCCAGACGACAGTGAATGTAGGGGTTTGTACGCTCGAGAGGGAGAGGGAGTAAGTACGGTGACAACTTGTCGTCCGACACCCCGCGGTTAACAAAGCACCCTTTTTTCTGTCGTCGAGCCTGGCGCTGTTGTTTATTCGTGCTTAAGTATATTCCGTCAGTCCTTCACCCTAAACTTTACAGCTGGAGTGTCTCGGGTGTAAACTGTTACTTTCTTTTTCAAGGTCGCGTAGTCTTATTTATACGAGTGTCAATATATTCATCATTTCACGAAGAAGGCGATAAAAGGGCAGAAGATGCAAGCAAAGATGAGATTGAAACCTTCATAATATACTCCAGCAGGTAGAAAACTAAAGTAAGACAAAGATGGTCTCGGAAAGCAGGTGTAGATACTCTTGTTACAAATTCTGTATATGAACCAAACTATAGATGACAACACCCAAAAGAGGCGCTGATAATAAGCAAGTTGTAGATGTGCGTGAAACTATAAAGATGCGAGAATGTAAAGTACCTAGCTGTACACCCCCTGATCCAGCATAAATATTGATGACACAATCTTCCAATCCCTCGTTATTTATACCCATCAAGGATCGGTGCACCAAATCTCCAACTTTCCTTCCGGCTTCCCCTTTGAGCTCTCCCTCGCCGTCTCGATAGCAAGGTCGTAATCACTCTCATCTCGCATCGTCACCTTGCCCCCGTCTTCGTCCTTGAACTTCATGTTCAGAGCTTTCCCAAACTTCAGAGCGATCTTGTCCATGAACTCGTCAAAGGATGTCTCGGGCGATAAAGCCATACCGCGGACTTCGTCATCATAGTGGAGCTGGCTCAACAGTATTAGCAGTAGAAAAGAGAAGTCGACTCCTATCTCACCTTGACCCTGATCTTGACTAGCTCAAACGGTCCATCCTCGTACTCCCCGCTCCCGTAGCCTTCCTCCTCTTCCTCGTACGAACTCGGTGCCCGGCTCATCATCTGCCGGGATGTACCACGTCTAGTGAGTTTCCTGCGCATGGTAGGCCCGCCGAACGAGCTGGGTGCGTAATTGCTCGCCGGGGCACTTCGCGAGGCAGACCGGGAAATGACAGGTGGATAATTGGGATTGGCGTTCTTGCTGGCCCAAGCGGCGATACGATCAGGTTGCATAGATGGTACTGGGGCAGGGGATTCGGAGGTATAGGCGTCAAGGTACCCGTCGTAGAGTTCCGTTAGTCGGAGTCCCTGAGACTGAAGGGGGGAAGTAACTACAACTGTAGTTAGCTACAAGGGAGATGACTATTTATGGAACACACACCTTTGGCTGGTGGCTCAGGGGGAGGAGGCGACGGCGATGCAGGATTGGACGACACGCCTGGTTTACGCACACTGAGGCCACGCACAGGGACGCCAATCGCACCTATACCTGCACCGGGCGACGGTCGACTGCCGGCAATGGCGGTGTTACTTCTGACTATGGGCGGAGCTGAGCTTGGACCAGAGAACGACAGTTCGCGCGCAGTTGACTGGACATTAAGGGCGGTCTTTGATCTTGTTAGGTTAGCTCGTGGTTCGTCGTCAGATTCTGGAAAAATAATTAGCGGAGGTTATAGATGCTAAAGTTGGCGTACTGGGCAAGAGAGACACGGTAGGTGGCGCTGTGAAACTGCGATTTAGAGATGATTCAGGCTCTGGACTCCGTGTGTTTATACGGGAGATGTAGACACCAGACGGCGATATGCCCTGCTTGAGTAATGTCACGCCGGTAAACGTAGTATAGGCGTCACCAGGATCACTAGCCGCGATTAGTTTCTGGAGAACGTATAAGCCAACGAAGGGCGTAGATATAGCTGGACGACATACCGCTTTGCCCATGTAGTCCTTGGTGATTGCGTTCTTCAGTTTCTTCTCAGACGGACGATACAAGACCCCAACCGGCTGCCAAGGATGAGGTTCACTCTATGACAACAAAAGAAGACCCACGATGCTAAAGACGGTGTATCCATCGCCACGGTCCCGAATTGCATCGTCGATGACCTTATGTTCATCAGTGACCTTGTCACGGCTAGCGTCTTTCATATCCGTCAACCCTGGATCCAAACGGCCCAGGTAAATCTGTGACAGGCCCTTGTTAAACAGGACTTCAGCGGCATAGAGACGGAAATTGAGCCCCAGCTGTTCATAGTTGCTGCAGAGACGGTCAGTGAGTGGCACAGCGAGCAGATATCCAAAACACGACGCACATTGCCTGGTTTCCCCTCAGATATAAGAGAGCCTCTTCAAAGTCCTTGTATGCGAGGTCATACCGAGTGAGGAGGAAGTTGGACACGCCGCATTGGAAGTACCTGGACCGGAGCCGTAAAAAAAAATTAGTGAAGAGTTATCAGATTAGACGCACGCCACAGCAAGATAACCATCCATCGAGGTGGCCTCATTGAACCGCTCAACGGCCGCTTCATGCTCCCCAAGGGTCGCATATATCAAGCCCATATTCGTCTGGATCTTGGATGAATCACCGATCCGCTGTCAAACACAACGTTACTGGTAAGGATCAGAGAGCACAAGAGGCAATTATTAGACGCACAGAGAACAGATCAAGGGACTTTTCAAAATCCTCTTCATCGTAAGCCTTCAGCGCGGCGGCCCAGGTTTCGAGCTCGGCCTTGAGAGACATGTGCGTTCCCGACGCAATAAAAGAGTGGAAATCTAGAGAAAAAACGAAAGAAAGGAAAGAAGAAGGAAGAAAGGAAAAAGAAAGGAAAAGAGTGAGAAGGTTGGCCCCGATCGACAGGAGGAGGGAAAGACGAACTGGGTACGGAGAACAAGGGTCTATATATCAAGCGTGGATATATCTGGACGTCTGATCGCGATCTTGTTGTCATGGAATGTCCCTTTCCAGCATCACCCACGTTGCCAAACAATCACTTCCAGTCCCGCCCAGGCAAGACCAGAGGGCATGCCTCTATTGAATGCGAGTATACTAACCTAACCTTTCCCATTTTCCCCCTCTCAAAATCGTCTTCTAGTCTATTTGTTAGAGGGAGAATCGGGCCACTGCGCTATTTAAATATATTCTCCCAGGCAACTACGAGGAGCCTGTCATCTTTCTGCGCCATCCCACGCTTCTCTGGAGTTTATACTTTCCGGGCACCGCCACTTGTTCTTTCTTGCATTGATGCCGAACTGGATGGCATATGCTAACCTCTAGAGTCGGCTATCACACCTATCAGGACATCATACCCAAGCTAAAGAGGCGGGTCAGGCATGCCAGTTTCATCCCAGATACCCCATTAAAATATCCCAACTGCGTGGAGCATCCATGTGCACTATATACATCATTCATCACTCAATCATCATCCCCTTTTCACACCCAAGGGAGTACCAGTCTCCCATTGCAACGGTTACGCCGGTAATTAGTACAACGCTTCGGCGGCACTATCCGTCACGTAGAATATTCTCACACCCAAATGCCAAGCCAAAAAATGCGTGTGAGAGCAGGAGATATAATATAGAAATGCGCGGTGCAATATAAGAATACAATGTCCCGATCCATACGTAACAATTAGTAGCCAGATGGCCTCGCATCCGACTTTGACGTATCGTACGCCCGTATCAGCTTCGCCTGGTCTTGCTTTCCCGCAGTCTCCGTTTGGCTGAATGCAAATCCACGATTGCGCCGCATTCGCTGGACGGCTCGGACTTTCTTGATGGCCTTTTGGAATCTTTGAACGGTTTGTTTCAGTATACAAGACGGATATTAAATGGGGCTTTGGTACTGACTGCTCCTGTCGTGGTCGATAATCGGGTATATTGTACTTTTGTAGTTCTTGAGCAATGTGATAAGACAAAGGCGCATACGTTCGACGATAACTAAAATAGATAATCAGCACAATGTCCATCCGATTCCGGATATATGACCACTCACTATTTCCATGCCAGATCACGGCTGAGGCAAAATATAGGTACCAAGATGAGCATGAAGTAAAAGACCCCGTTTGTCCACAAATAGGGAACTATTCCTGCATACTCCGTGGAGAATCCTATGATTGGTGCAACATAGGCGTAGAGGGGAAGGAAGACCATAGTGAACGCAAAAGATCCGGGAATAGCGGCCACTGTGTACTTTGTCCATATGCTGCAGAGTGCGGGGGGTAAATGGACATCATCGACACGGAACAAGCTGGGCTTACTCTGAAATTAGAGCAGCCTTTCCAAGGACCGTCAGAAGCACGGCGAGATACAGCGTTGTTCCCCAGAACCAATGTCCGGTATCGAGACCGCTGACCTGCTTGAGGTCTCCCCAGAAAAGAATAACAGAGAAGCCGAATAAGATCTACACTATGGTGAGAAGGGTCAAAGCTGATGAAAGATTATAACGCACGACGCTATGGTATAAAGCATTGACAAACCACATCCAGAACGCTTTCTTCGTAAAGAACTCGTTTTGCTGTCCAAGCACATACAGTTGCGGATATCGATCTAGGATTCGTGCCGACACAAACTGGTCGAACACACCAATAACGAGCGGGGGAAGAACAGTGAAAACAACGTTAAACAACGACAATGTCCAAGACTCGTATGCAATCTGTCCAGAGAAATTATTAAAGAACGAATACTGGGTCATGCAGAGAGTCAGATTAGGGAAGTATGAGAAAATGGACAACGGACCCAAAACTGTGTCATGTAAAGCACAATATTCTTATAAAAAGAATCTGTTCACGTCACGTCAGCCCAAGGGGTTGGATATCGGACGAAAGCTTTACATAGGATGAGCTTCGATAGGCGCCGGTAGCTCCATGCACCGTGAACAAGCAGTAGCTTTTTCAGGAATCGGAACTGCGAAATGGCGACATCTGCGGAACGAGCAGCTTGCAAACCCTAAAGCAGACACTGGTCAAGGCAACTCGGCGAGGACATAAAAATATACTCACCTCCACGCCGGAGATACCTACGCCGACGTGGGCAGCCTGAATCATACTCACATCATTTGCACCGTCGCCAATCGCGAGCAAGATCGACTTCTGGTTCTTCTTGACAAGCTTGACAACCAGCGCTTTCTGCAAAGGCGACACTCGACCTACCGAGAAGTCAGCGATAAGCTATCAACCATCTGCAGTATCACAGTTATTCACAACAGATGACAGCTTTGCACATGATAGCCAGCTCCAAGAATATCTTTGACATGGATTTCTCTAAAGCGAAGCCTAGGCTTTTACCATCTATTCAAACGGCCCTTGTTGAGCACCTAGGAAACAGCAACGAGCTCCTGACTCACCAATGATCAACGCCAAGTCTTCTAGTTCTCCAGTACTCCGTTGATTTTTGATGGCGCTCAAACGTTTACTCAAGAACTCTAGGGTATCATGCGCATTCTCCTCGTTCACGATGACCTAGAAACGTTTCATGGTTGGCTTGTATCATACCGTGCAAAATTGCGTACCAAATTCATCGACTCTGCGATCAGTCTGCATGACATCCCGATATTGATGGCGGTCTCTTGACGATCACCTGTCAGTACCCAAACCTGCATTATAGTATTAAGTAAGGTATCCATGGCCCAAGAAAGACATACCTTGATACCAGCCATCTGTAGTGTATGGATAGTATCTGGGACACCATCCTGGAGCTTGTCTTCGATAGCAGTAGCGCCTAATAGGAACAGGTCCTTCTCAATCAATTCCGCGGCCTGATCGAGGGCGTCTCCCCGGCCGTTGATAGTCGCAGCTGCCTGATCGTAAATTGCCGACCATTGACGGTATTCTTGCTCTGGTATATCACGGAAGGCGATGCAGAGCGTCCGGAGTCCGTCAGTTGCATAATCCTAAATTATCCATATAGAAGAGTTTAGGTCGGTTGAGAAGCAGGCATACCTCCAGATGCGATAATGTCTTCTCCGTGTACGGCTGGTTCTTGCTCAGACGCTCAATAATGACGGTATCGGCGCCTTTGCAGTATATTTTGATTTTGCCGTTGGGCATTCGGACAACTGTTGACATTCGTTTGCGGGTGGAGTTGAACTCGCAGACATTAAGAATTTCGAACTCGAGTGATCGTCCCTGGGCATTTACAAATACGGATTTCGGCTTCCGAGTCTAAATGAAGAACCACTTAAGCTATTGACGAAATCAAGTTAAATGATTTTCACGTACGTGGAATTGATATCCCAGAAGTTCAGCTCCAGCGACCAATGCTGCCTCGTCGGGACTACTTGCCTGATAAATCGTCTTGCCGTCTTTGATCTCAGGGATTACGGTGTGACAGACAGCCAAGAGCGTTAAAAACTCTCTGATTACCTCCTTTTCTTGGTCCGCAGAGACATCAGTTGAGCTTCCGTCCGCAAAAGGATTTGTAGACTCCTCTAAAAGGGCTCGCATCTCCGCGAACGTCTTCCAGCCATCCTTGCCGTCCTCCTCTTCCCGTTTATTTTCGTCAACCACGTCTGCATAAGCCACACCGGCTATACTGCAGCATCGGAACTCCATCTCGTTACATGTCAATGTACCCGTTTTATCGCTGAACACATACTCGATCTGGCCTAATTCTTCAACCAATGAAGAAGTTCGGCAGAGAGCCGGGGTATCCGTTTTCGCATAATACATATCCAGATCAAAGTTGATGAGTTGGGCTTGTTGGAACTTCACAACCTCCATGGTGACAATTAGAGATATGGGGATTAGGTTGTTATAGAGGATAATGAATGTGAGGATGTCTGGAGAATTTTATTGAGCACCTGGGTACCGACAATGGGTATAGTCAAACCTTCAACGAAGCTCTTAGCTGCACACAAATTCAATACACCTTGAGAACATGACGACAAAATATTTCTCACCTCTTCCACTTATTGATGACTCCTCGACTAAATACCATTGTTGGTTGGAAAAGAACCATGCCCGTATGCTACTTCCTATGGTCGATCCTAGTGACAGAAGGAGGAGGATGATGAACAAGAAGACAATCTGTACATTGACCTGCCGTTCCACAGCTGTTCTCTTAATAGGGGCCGCACTTCCATCACAATTAACTCTCGCGCCACTCTAGATTAAATGTTTTTACTCACGTAGCATTCCGCATCAGCTTTGTCTCATGACCGGTGAACACGCATAAACCATACACCCATGGTGTGTTCCGCAACTGAGCACCTCGGAGAAGCATCTGGTCGGGACCGAGAGGTATCTGTTTCGGTGTACCGGCGCCAGTAATCAGGTCCAAAGTTCCTTCATAGGTATACAGAGAGTTGTTTGGATGCTCGGACCGAAGGGATCCATGTAGAGAGAGAACGAGGGGAGGCGCCGTTAATGAGGAAGTATGTGAAGACGCCTGCTTGATTTTCAGATTGGTTTCACTGACGGGTTCTGTTAAACAACAACTCTAACTGTGAACTGACGGAAGCGTACCCATCAAGATTGGAGGTCTCAATATAGCACAATCCTTCCGGTTCACTGGAACTGAGAAGAATCATATCGGCCGGAATAAAATCGTTGCTTTCCATCCGCACCACATCACCGACACGAATATCCTTCCATTTCTGCTCCACAAAGGTTCCCTGGGGATCCAGGACCTTTGCCTTGCGTGAATTGAGTTCAGAATCTGATTGATGTCGTTTCTAGACCCACAGTTAACTCGCGGACGGGCATGTTAAAACTGAAAGAGGTGCACCAAATCTTCTTGAACTTCCTTGAACGCGGAAGCTAGCAACACCACCGCAAGCGGAGCAATGGTCGTATAACGGTTGGTCGGAGAAACATCTGGTACTTGTTGTATGCAAGCGGTGAACAAAAAGAACATGTTGGCATATTTCGAGAATTGCTCTGTACAGGCCAAATAAATGATGATAACACGCAGACCGGAGAATCTGAAACTCACCGAATAGAAATTTGGGAAGGAACGTCACAAGGTTGTACTTGCTGGTAGAAACGAGATTCGAAGAGAAATCAGTATTCATAGCACTGTTGTTAAGTGCAATAATTCTCTCCCCCGTCAATTGTTTCTCCTTCGTCCAGGGCCACTTCCATTGCCGTGTTGTCTTTGTCCTAGGCTCTTTCTCTTTCAACTTGATGGATGAGTCATTAAACGAATTCGAGCCGCCGAATGGAAACTGATTCGAAGGGTGAAAGTCATCATCGTCAAAGTTCCAGCCTTGTGGAATACCATCTCCTCCTTTGGAGTTGCCTGTACCAGCCAGTGGCGCAGCAGAACGTGCTAACGGCAGACCACTCTCTTGTGACTGCATGGGTATCGGGCGGCTGTACGTGGACTCGAGGTCGTCGTCATCGTCGAAAAAAGGATCCATGAGTTGCGGATTTGAAGGAGAATTGTCATAGGGAGTCGAGGTAGAAGACGGTGGATAGCCATTATTCGTTGGCTGGTATTGCCGAGTGGCTGGATTTGCTTGAGAAACAAGGCGTAGAAAGTCGTCGCTCATTGTCGAGCTCGTAGTACGGAAGCTGGTACATTTCGCTGATGGTTCAGAGACGAAAAATAAATAAATAAATAAATAATATGGCAAATATGAAAAAGCTCCTACCTTCGATATGTCAATGTCCTCAATGCAATAATGCCACATACGAAGGTATCACCACTACTAAGCACTGAGTACTCAGGCAAGTAAATAAATATAGAATAATTCTTCCGCCGTTTTTTGTCTCTGTGCCCCGATATCGACATTCTACTGGCAGGGGGCAAATGGCGATGGACATAAATAGTTGGGCGGCCATAAATAACTGCATGGTATATAAATAGCTGCATATATGCTGTGAGTACGTAAGGGCTCGTGTCCTTGTACGACCTTCACTCGTCGCTGCAGCAGCGTATGACATCGCTCTTACCGTCCCACCATCACCGGTCCGCATCTTGGACGACTGCGCTTCATGTACCGCTACCATGTGGCCGTAATCGACTGCGCATTCCTCTTCCGAACTTGCGCGTCTTGCATGCAGCTAGCGTCTCCCGCTACGGCAAGGGAAAGGGCAACGCTCTCATATTTTCTGTCTATGCAGCTATATTTCTAATCATTTATGCCTTGCTGCCTTCATTCAGCATCACTCCCACGCTCGTGTTCAGGCGAGAGGATCTGAGACGGATATGGAAGTGGGAAATAGAGAGTGGACATTATCCAACGAGGCACCGTAGTGAGTAGCAAATAAAATCAAACATCAATCTCGTTCTTATCAGTGACCCAATTAGTTCCCGAGGAATTAGGTTTGGTCCCTGTCGACAATCCCGCCTTGCCTCTGCAACGCTTCGGTCACGACCCAGGGCACGGCGTCGGTCGCAAGAGATTTTATTTGAATGTCGAAGCAACGCCTCCGCACGTCGCATATGCACCCAGACCAATACCAGGCAGTATCGCCGACTTGGACGTGATCATGGAGCACTGTGATGTCTCAGGTAACAGGGTACGTGCAACGGCAACTTTTGCCCACTTATTTAAATAAGTGACAATTTAGTATGTTCGTGACTGCCTTGAAGTGCTTCGCGTAGGCGCTGGACTGGACAACGACGAGCGTGTGCGCCAGCCGGTCCCCGACGGGTGGAAATATGTCTTCGTCGAAGACACCGTCACTCAACCAATTCCCACACGAACTCTTCACTCCTTTTTTGCATCCAAGAATAAAAGAAAGGCACTCTTGGATGCGAAATTTATCAAAAAACCCAACGTCGAATGGGAACCATCACCTATATCCCTGCCTCCGACGCAGGAATATCACGTTTACTCCTCCGCCCATGGCCCATGCGACCCCAATGATCCCCGTATCTTTCATATGTATTGGACAGGAAAATTTACAGACAAACCATATTTCGCCATCATTTCATTTCTTTTCACTCAAAACATTGGCCTCCATGCTCCAGACTACGAAGACGAACGTGTCTTCTGTAGGCCCCAACTCTGGCTTTGGATCAATCCCGTCCCCGCCGCTGCAGAGCCTCCCCCCGATGCTCACTCCGACTTGATCAAGGAGCTGCGAGAGAACCCTTGGTCGGCACCATTTTTCCATCCTCGATTCTCTCGTGTGATACAGTTCAGATTCTGGAACACAACAGAACAGCTTGACAGTCTTCCCGAACTCAAAGATGACTGGAGACATGTCGGGAGCGTATTCAAATCTCATGGCAAGTCCTATTCGCGCGGCAGCAAAGCAGCCCTCCGAAGTGGTTCCAAGTCTTCCTCCTCCTACGACCGGCTTTCTGTCATAATGTCCGATATGGTCCGGTTTGTATTATGCCAGCGCTTTGGAGGCATCTACTTGGACGCGGACACACTCTTTCTACGTGACTGGGAGGAGCTGTGGGGATGGAAAGGTTCATTCTCATACCGCTGGGCCTTCCATCAAAGATACAACACCGCCGTTCTTCGACTGAACAAGGGTTCGGCCTTGGGGACGTTTCTTCTCCGGACTGCCTTGAAAAATGAATTGGACTTCCATCCGGTTCCTGCTTCAAATTACCTCAAGCATGGACGGTTGGATCCCCTGCTTTACCGTGCACCCGGGGCCTTGTTCGATCCTGCCTGGATGAACACGGATGGATATCAGCGAGATAGGCCTCCGCAACCATACTTCAAAAGGTGATCTGTCTTCTTAATATGTATTCACTTACCAAATTCATTCCCTTTCAACAGGTTTTCTGACTTTTTTGAAACGCCTTCGTCCGTCGGCGGCTCCCCGCAAGCCTTAGGCTTTGATGGATTCTTCAAAGGTGCCTTTTCGTATCATTTCCATAACTCCTGGTTTGTTTCGCACCTATTTGCTCCTCAACATTGTTCACCTTAATTGATAGGTGGAAACCCGTGGACCCGGGACAGAATTGGCCCAATCTCGGACAAGAGTTTGGAAACAATGCTACGAACGATGCTGTTTTCCCCGATGACGAACGAGATTGGAGCTGGTCGACTGTTCTGAAGAGGACTTTTGAAGCTTATATAAGGGGGGAAAGGCCGAATATGTATGGCGAATGGATACTCTGGTAATCGGGTTTCTTCATGCCATGGACCGATAAATACTGTATTGACATTTTGCATGTTGACGACGACCCATTTACGACCATATAGATCGCAGACTTCGAATTCAGTTCTCACCTTACAGCATGTTCTAATAATATTGTCGCAATGCGCACCCAGTCCATCCTACCCCCCATATCAATATCTCGACGTTGAGACATGTGCAGGAGTCACGCAAAGTTACCGCTGAACCGTCATCTCTAGGATGGAATCTGGTTTAGACCGCTACGGCTTGCAGTTGAACCCGAACGACATCAAAAATCTTACAGGACAAGCCTTCAAACTTGGCAACCAACCTGTCGCTAGAGATATCTGGAAAGGGGGGATGGTGACTGTGGGTGGCCATAAAGGCAGGGAGGATCCATGTAACGGGTGTCGCTTAAGTCAGGAAGGTAATTCATGCTTCTTGTTGGACTTCACTCTTGTTATTCCGATTTGACGCAGACTTGACAGTTGGTACTCAGAGATATCAAGGCATGGGCGAAGCTCAAACACCGCAATGTGTTACACATGTTTAGTACCTGCGACAAATTTCAGAGTGTTCCGTCTCTGGATGGACCAAAGCATGGCCAATGAACATATGACGACACCCAAACATAAGTCTGATTCCAGTGGTGAGTTCATGGCATGAAATGGAAAAGCAGATATATTAACACAACGGATGCCCGGTAGTTCTTTGGGATCGCTTTGGGTCTACAGTATTTACATCATAACAAAGTGATTCACGATGGTTTGAAAGGCATACCTTTGTGTTAGAATGTGCAGGTTCAGGCATTCAGATGTTGTACTAACAATGTACAGGATAATGTCTTAATGCCGGATACGGGGATATCACGCTGCTTGGCTGATTTTGGGCCTATTGCGTCGTAAAGGGGAATTGGCGGGGACTACATGATTACAGGATCGAAAAACCCTCGGATACGAGCGATGTGTGGATGTTCGGCATGACTGCATTAGTGAGTCTTTTACTTTTCACTTCGCATCATATGGCTGATATCTTCTCCTGATCTTCGTACTACAGGAACTAGGAACAGGGCAGTACCCGTATTATGATATCAGAGGAGGATCATTGCTGATAGCTATCATGAATGGCACGCTGCTCCACATTCCGCCATTTGGATGACGTAGTGCTAGATGTCTGCCACCAATGTTGGAAACATCCTCCTGTCACTCGAGCTGATGTCGATATCATCATAGATCGTTTTCATGATACAGCTTCCTTGACCGCGAGACTGACGCGATCATGCTCGACATATATAGAGGAACTCCACTACTACACACGGCAGCTGGCACGAGCGGAGCTGCTGCTAAAGCACGAACCACAATTTGTAGACGCGGTCAAATTAATCGAACTCCTTGCATATTTTTTTGCAAATGAGGCCATCACGACGTAGCCTTGCTGCTTTTAAATAATGCGCCGATGACCATGGCTGCACGGCCCTACATTGAGCGGTGATGCTTAGCTAGGAAAAATCTATCGTTGCTCTTTGGAAACGGGAGCTTATACAAGGGACAGAAGTGCTGATGGTTGTCCACCACTCTGCCGAGCAGCAGGCAAAGGGTAGAGTGCTATGGTGACAGTTTTGCTGACCTGCAATGCAAATGCAGCCATCCTTGATAATGAGCGCCGGAGTCCGCAGCAGCAGTAGGCCGTTTGCAGGGCTCATCCTGAGATCCTAAAGGAGCCGCTACAATGTCCTGGAGTGGATCTCAATGAATTAGACGGGCAGGGCAGAACTGCGCTGCGTGTCTCGGTGGTTAAAGGGGACGTCGATAGGACAGATCTCCTGCTTGAGTATGGTACAGATTCGGATGTTTCTCCCACAAAATCATAGGCGAAGTCCATACGAGAAAGCCATTGTCAAATGATATTACAGATCAACAACTGGCAACACGTACTGTGATTTCGACCCAAGCGCGTCGATGAATTTATGATTTCACCCAGAGGGTCGGTAAAGACAACATCGGTAAAAAAAAAAAAATTAGAGAACGGTAAACAAGGATACAGAACAGAAGGGTTCGTTTTGGAAGGACTGATCTTGGGCCATAAACCGCCGATTTGTAGAAAACATTCATAGTGATAGTACAAAAGAGAAGGACAGAAGAGAACACTACTTAGGGACCATTTTTTTGGATTTTGTGTATGAGATAACAGGCTCTGATACACAGAAACGGAAGACGTCAGAGTGTAACAAAGAGGTAGAAAAGGACAAACACAAGCGGGAAATTGGGAACGTGAAAGATATGCGCATTCGCCGACTCGGATAGTTCTGAAGAAATGTGTGAGTTACGGTTGGTAATAAAATATCCAAGTTTACCTGCTTTGTACATCAAGCGCCAATATCATCAAGCACCTCCTTTGCTCTGTCAGTAAGATTCTCGCGCTTTCGCGCCGAGTAGGAGGACTCCAAAGTAGCCCTCGGAACTTTCTTCACCACCATTGTGCCCGTCGTGGAATCGTCCAACTTGGCGTCCGCAGTCAGATAGTCCTCACTCATAATTTCCACCACACAAGCCTTCTTCGTGAGTTTATATGACCCCCAGGAGCCGGCCTTCCACATCTCATTCCATGCATCCAAGATGAAGAACATCGTGTCTCTGAACCGATATCTCCTCTGATAAAACGTCAACGTCGACTTGGCAGGGACGTTCAACGTGATGGTTTTTGTCGTGGTGTCAGTCGTCTCGTAAGCATTGAATTCCTTCACCGAGGTGCCCATACTAATCGAAAGGCCCCTAAAAGCCCCTGCGATTTTAATAGACGTGGTAACCTCAGACCCTTTGGTAACTTTGAGCTCGGTCGTATACGTGAGGGCGTACGATTGCGCCGCGGACGTGTTGTTCTCCCAGGACATCTTCGGGACCCAAGTGGCGTCGACGAGATAAGTATCGATGGCAGCGTAGAATGCCTGGTCGCCTTTGTCTTCATAGATGGTGGACTTATAAGATTTCACTAATGCGTCGCCGCCACTGGGCGTATAAGTGATATGCTTGGAGAACGGTTCGCTCTGCAGAATGAGGGAGACACGTTTCAACGTTTATGAAAATGACGAGATAGTAGAAGACGGACCATGATGGGTACAGATTAGTAGTCGTTCAACGAATGAGAAGTGCTGACTGAGGGAAACCTCGACGTTCGTATGGCTGCTTGCAGTTAGGTTGTTGCTTTTATGGTTCTCCTACATTCAACCTGTCAGCGATTGAAATTCTGGTGGACTTTGGACGTACGGAAGTGACCGGTATTTTCGAATGTCCACTGAATTAACAGCCAGTGAGGCGGGAGAACTTGCAACATTGAATTGATATTCTTGTACTTCAGGTAGAAAGCTTACGGAGCGTCGTCCTCATCCTCTCCCAGTTTTGCTCTTTTGTCCTTCCTACTCGATGTATGCGTTAGCATCACTGTCTCCGTTGACGTACGTCGGACGGGCGGTCTCTAGTCTGTCTTTCGTCGCCGTCGTTGCATCCACTTCACCACGCCTGCGTATGAGAAATTGGAAGCTGAACAAATGGGGAGATAGGAACTTTGTTCAACCGGAGTCTTCAATTGCGACCATTTCGTGTCGCTTCTGAGTCTCTATGCAAACGTTAAGTGGCTATATCACGAGCTTCTATACGTACCTACCACCGCTTGCTATCGGCGGCATTCGAACTTTGTATGACTGTACTGATCTTTCGCTTTTCAAGATTCGCCACGGAGGAAGAGTGGCCTCGAGTCCTTGTGGCTCGTCATAAATGACCGACCGATTCAATGGAGAATGCAGACGACGATTCATGAGAGTGTCGTTCATACAAGACATGTTCCAGCCCCATATGTGCCCTGTACATTCGCCACATCCGAGGATCGCGTTGGATTACTAGACAACAGGCTGGAATTTTGAAGACCTACTTGACTTGCCTGCTCCTCGTCTGATTCTTACATAAAACAGTAGGCCTTTGCACATAGAGGATGCGCAGAAACACTTCACGTATGACCTGTGGTATTTCAGCCCGTATCTGGGTCCAGAAAATATGTATACATACCTGCAGAAACACAAGCCGGTCTCTTACCCACCCGTTAACTTGGCTTCTCCCGCCGTCGGTATCCGGGCCGGGGACCTGTCCTCTGGGACTTCCTGTGGCGGCACCGGTTGGCACCATCAGTTGCTGCCGGACATTAACATGAAAGCAAGCGTACGGACAACTGTGAGCAAGTGCTTCGAGGCCATACAAGTGGGAAAGATCCATGCATCGCAACTCTACTCAGGCTTCTGGTTGACCATACGAGCAAACTAGCGGCACCGTTCTTCATTTTCTTCTTTCGATATTTCATCCGGTTCTCTGGAAAGGCCATATTTGGGTGTGGCGAATACATGTGGCGGCTGGGACTCTTCCTACACCATCAAATGTTTTCATGCACTCTGGGCGAAGTTTATCTTGCATTTATCCAACATTTTGTCTTTGAATAGGCCTTACGAACGACATGAACTCGAGGGCCACTCGCCCTTCGTATATTTCTGGTTCATTCTCCCTGTCAAAGAACAAGCAACACAGGTTTATATCCTAACTCTCGGAGGCAAATCTGTTCGTACACCGTTCCAGATTTTGCCGTTACCTAGATCTGTTGCGACTTTACAGTCCGATCCAAAATAGTGAAAGCAGTCATCTAAAGTGAGTATTATCCCAATTGTAAGCCTTTCGCAATCGTCACCATGTTGCTGTTGTAATATTGAATATTCAGCGCCAGTCCGACAATTGTTACGATTTCTCATCCCAGAGACCAAGAAAATCAATGTGCACGAACAAATACGGACGTGGTCAGAAGATGGCGGAGTAGAATCGGCCTCATGCACGGCAAGTCAGGAGTCAGGCAGGTCTTCAAAATTCCAGCCTGTTGTCTAGTAATCAAACGCGATCCTCGGATGTGGCGAATGTACAGGGCACATATGGGGCTGGAACATGTCTTGTATGAACGACACTCTCATGAATCGTCGTCTGCATTCTCCATTGAATCGGTCGGTCATTTACGACGAGCCACAAAGACTCGAGGCCACTCTTCCTCCGTGGCGAATCTTGAAAAGCGAAAGATCAGTACAGTCATACAAAGTTCGAATGCCGCCGATAGCAAGCGGTAGTAGGTACGTACAGAAGCTCGTGATATAGCCACTTAACGTTTGCATAGAGACTCAGAAGCGACACGAAATGGTCGCAATTGAAGACTCCGGTTGAACAAAGTTCCTATCTCCCCATTTGTCCAGCTTCCAATTTCTCATACGCAGGCGTGGTGAAGTGGATGCAACGACGGCGACGAAAGACAGACTAGAGACCGCCCGTCCGACGTACGTCAACGGAGACAGTGATGCTAACGCATACATCGAGTAGGAAGGACAAAAGAGCAAAACTGGGAGAGGATGAGGACGACGCTCCGTAAGCTTTCTACCTGAAGTACAAGAATATCAATTCAATGTTGCAAGTTCTCCCGCCTCACTGGCTGTTAATTCAGTGGACATTCGAAAATACCGGTCACTTCCGTACGTCCAAAGTCCACCAGAATTTCAATCGCTGACAGGTTGAATGTAGGAGAACCATAAAAGCAACAACATAACTGCAAGCAGCCATACGATTCGATGACTCTCCCCTCAGTTAGCAGCATCATTGGTCAAACAGTAAGCGACGTCAAATCCGTTCTCCTCTCGTCCATTGTGGTCGGTCCTTCATTATCTCGTTATATTCATAAATCTTGAAAGACGCCTCCCTTGTTCTACAGGGCGGAAACTTCGCCGGAAATGTCACTTATAAGCCTAGCGGCGGCGACGCTTTAGTGAAATCCGGAAGATCTACCATCTATATATCTCCAGGAGATGAGGCCTTCTACGCTGCCGTCGATACTTATCTCATCGATGCCACTTGGGTCCCACAGACAACCTGGAAGAACACCACGGCTGCGGCACAAACGAATACCGCCCAGTATACGACGGGGCTCACTGTCACCGCAGGCTCTGATATTACCGCCGCTGTTGGAATCGCAGCAGCTTATGATGGCCTTTCGATCACCATGGATGCCTCTGTGAAGACATTCGCTGATTATGAGACGACCGACAGCATGGAAAAAGTTGTCATGTTGGACGTCCCTCCGCTCTCGACGGTGACATTCTATCAAAGGAAGTATCGGTTCAGAGACACGATGTTCTTCATCTTGGATGCGTGGAATGCCGAGTGGAATGCTGGCTCCTGGGGGGGATATGACATCACGAGGAAGGATTGCGCAGTCGAGATTATGAGCGAGGACTATCTGACTACGGTCATCCCGTTGAATGGTACCACTACAGGTACGATGGTGGTGAATACAGTTTCGAGGGCGGAGCAGGAGAGCGCCAGGGTGACGCGAACGCGCGAGAGTCTTACTGAGAGAGCGAAGGAAGCGCTTGACAGTATTGTTGTTTAAGAAATCAGGTAAATTTGAATATTTTATTTCAAACCACGACTAATACATTTGTGCAGAATTATTCAAGTCGACGTTCTCGACTACCTGCCCCCTGTTTCTTTTGTCCTATTCCATTGTTACATTTTCACGCCCTCAATTTTTGAGCACAAAACCAAAAAAAAGGTTCCTGTATGCTGTATTGTAACTTGTTCTTTCCCGATACGAATGTTCCTGTCGGTACGAATGTTGTCTCAATGCCGTCATTTTTGTCTCCTTGAACATGCCGGTGGCAAGACTAACCTTTCCGTCGAATCACCCATCTCTCTAGCTCGATGCTTCAATGTTCCTGCACAGTTCCTAAGTCTTCTTCGAGCAACGATTTACGATGGAAAACCCATTCTTGGAGGATTAACACTTTCCGCGAATGTAACCGAGTTGAAAATAAAAAACCAACCTGCTCTATTCCTCTCGAGTCCCTTTGGCGTTTTCTAAGAATGCCCCACCCTTTCCCAGACCTTCCTCGCCATCCCCCGTCTTGGCGCCCACATTAAGCAAGAAATCCCTTGATCGACGTCAATACACACGGTTCTCGGATTAAGCCCACCAAGGTGTTGTCATGGCAGAAGTTGCAATTTCAGAGGCCGACACAGTTCGGAATTCTCAGCAGCCTCTTTCCCATCTACCCAGCTCGAAAACTCCCAATCGACGACCTTTTGCCACTCACTCCGGTCCCATCGTGCCCCAGATTACCCAAGAGCATGAGTTTGTGGTACCCGCCAAACATGATACCTGCCTCGCCCACTCTGCAGGCTCCATTCCGTGTGGCCGCACCAGAGCCAGTTGGCACGGGCTCACAGCATGCAATATCTCAGCTAGGGGCTGGATTTGAAAGACTCCGACTACGAGAGGGTACAAGATGATTCAGGAGTAGAATCGAGGGAAAGGGTATATGAACGAGTTCATGTACAGAGTGCAGCGTAACTCGAGGGAGAGGATAGACGAACGGGATTGCGTAAAGAATGAAGCACAACAAGCCCGTGAATCAACATGACTCGTCGTTTGACACTGACAGGGACAAGGAACAAGAAATATAAAGGGTTGACAGAATACGGTGCGAATCTTGAGTTGTTTGCTTCGGAATAAGGACGACCGAATGGCGGGCCTATTCAACGGAGGACGTGAGAAATATTAAAGTCTTCCTTGAGCTTTGTTTATGGAAGTCTATAGAGTCCTTGGAAGAGTCCCCGATCGCTTCCGTGCCCTTTCTGCTTGCCATACGGCATAAATTCACGCCCAGCATCACAAAGCGATGGCATCTCCTCTTAGCGACACACTCCCTAGCGGTGGACGAACATAGAAGAAATTCGGCATGGTTCTGTCCTCGCACACCGTGACATATACAGCAAGAACCTGGAGATCATGAAGTAGGTGGGCATCACGTCGTCTACAAACACCTTGAATTAATATCGATGTCAGACGTGTTTTCCCCACGTTGGTTCCGCGTTCGTCGGACTACGAGGTAACTGTCGAAAAAGGTGGCAGCACCACAATAAGTTTCTCGGTTTTGGGTAACGTTGAAGTGCTGCATAGAAGCTGGTGTTAGGGAAGACAGGTAGTGGAAAACGACTCATTGACGGCTCTGGAATGGCAATTTTGATATCGATTAACTGCAAAGGTGGCGCAGAGTGAAGAACCCCGGGGCCATCAAAGGATTTGAATGCAAGAGATGCGCAGAGAGCGTTGAATGTTGATACAACAGGCCGTGAGAAAACTGCGGTCGCTCCGCCACCCGAGACTATGACGTACTAGGCAAGTTCCTCTTTCCTTCCATCAAACAAATAATGGAATCCCTATCCAACATCAAGAAACAACATTTGTATGTTCCACTAGTCGCGCTTGACGCTCAGAACAGACGAAACGAACAACTCGGTCGCGAAATGGTCTCGCATACTGTTGGACTCATGCCCATCGATGAATTTATCGACTTTATACCGGAATGCCCTCAATGTTCCGATACAATGATGCCGAGCTGCGGTAATGCATTCACTGATGTAGAAGATGAGAGCTCTGTCGTGTGTATCCTCTACCTTCGTCCATATCTAGAACTCTATAGAACGACATTTTCAATGGCACAAAAACAACATCCAGGTGTCCCGGTATCATCTTTTGCAACACTGGACCATTTTCCACCAACGCAGGATACGTCACCGAACATCTCCAGCACGTTCACCCAGGCTATTGGCAGATTTTCTGGGAAGTTGACGACGACAACGAAGACTCTGGCCATAATGCCATTCGAATGTTCGGAAATCAGCACCGGAACCACGTCTTTTCTATCTCGATGACCGATAACAGCGCGCGGCTCCTCCAGTAGGACCGCTCTGGGGTCATCTTTTCCGGGGTGATTCTGTACTGGGAGGATCCCGGGCCTCTGTGTCGGGTTTTCTGGCGATTTGGGAACGCCAGTGCGTCACAGCGTGGTACAGACGTGTCTGTACGCCCGTATGCTGAGGTGATGCTCTTCCGGGATGCCATCAAAGCGCATATGATACTACAGCTTGGCTTGACGGACGAGAAAGAAGTAGAAATCGTATTGGCGAGACATTATGAACCTGGGCAGGTCTACGTTATTAAGGTACCAGGCTCAGAGGCTCGAGAATTCTTGGTGTCTCGACCGGTGATTTCGCCGTGCTCGCTGGCCTCGCGCTCTACTCGGGGATACGGGGCTGTTGATGTGCAGACCGAAAAGGTCGTATTTCTGAAAGACTCCTGGCGTCCTGATATCAGTGAGGTGCATATAGAAGGTTTGACGCTCCAGTATCTTCGAGCAAGCGGTGTAGAGGCAGAGGTGCCAATCGTTGTTTGTCAAGGTGATGTCGCGGTTGGTAAGCGATTACATTCATGTCTTGGTAACTTTTTCTCACCCTCGTTTCAGCGCTGACGTCAAAGTACTCAAAGTCTTTTGGAATAGGGCATCAGAGACATAGCACATTATAGGCCGTATTCATTACATGTTGGTTACTGCCGAGGTGGGTTATGTGCTGCAGGAGACCTTTGCTGGGACACGGGAGCTCATTGAAGGCTGCCAGGGAGTATTCCACGGTCTGTCGCTGTCGCTCTTCGTTTCCTTGTATAACGACTTTGGTTTTATTTAGTGTTGTTCAATGCTCTGATGAAGACGAGCTTTCTTCATTGAGATATCTCATCCACCAACACCATTCTCGTCGCTGACAAGACTAATGGCTTTGGGAACCGAGCGGCTTATGTGATTGATTGAGAACTTGCAGTGGAGGCTGATAGACAGGGAGTAGGTCGTAGGGAGTGGTGGAGGACGGTGCCGAATCATAAATTTGCGCGATTGAATTTACTTAACAAATTCAGGGCACGATTACTTTCATGTGTATCTTTTTGGGCGTGATGTAGAGGCACTAATCTACGTGGCTCTGTATTGCGAGTTGCACCGTCTACCCTGGAAAAGCTATTCGGAGGGTCGCCATCGGGTTTTGCAAAGCACCTTCGATTACCTTGGAGGCAGGGCCTTCAAATAGCAACTCGTGATAAATAAGGATGATGAGGGATGGGAATCTATTTTCAAAGGAACAAAGTTCTGCAAGTGCAACCCCCAAAGTGCCTCCTGCTCAGGCTATCCTTACTAATTTTCGTGATACCGTTGAAGTGAGCTTTGCAAGACCGTGACGCTGTCTTTCCCAAATTGCCTATCCGTGCCTCCCAATAGACGAGGACTCTGAGAGGGTTAACTGGGACGATAATGACGATTAGTTCCCAGGAAATAGGACATAAACGTGTATTGCTCATCAGTATTGTATATTATCTATTTGTACAGCGCAGCAAAGGCCACAGACGCCCTCACTCTGGCATTTCTATCACTGTCGCCGACTTGACTGAGCCACCATTGCAGTAATTTTCTAGCATCTGCCTCCTGCACGAAGCCCAGGCCACGCTCGATGACGGCCTCCCTGACCTCGTCGTCAGTAAGAGCCTGCACGCCCTCCTTTTTCAGCCACACGTCGTCACTCTCGAGGAAATCCATATGCCAGCCGACGCGAAGCCAGGGCCAAAGCTGTAGGCCGATGCGAACGAGCCCATACAGACTGTACACGGCTCGCCGCCGGTCGCTGGATGTCCAGAACCGGGCGCGTCTCTTAGCCTGCTCCACTAACGAGTCCATATCTCCATCCACATCAAGATCGTCCTTCCTGAACGGGAACGGGCCCTCCTTGTGAACTTCTAGGTACTCATGCGCCTTCCGGAGTGTCGGGAGCGCCTCCCGGGCCCTTTCCACCTTCTTGTCTCGGATTCGTCTCACCTGCCCAGGGAGGATACACGTCGAAGGCAGCATCGCAGGCGCGTACAGCACCATCACCGGTATCAGCTCCTCGAGGAGTACCGCCGTGATCAGGAAAGGCACCACCTTCAACACGTCCCTCTTCTGCGTCCTCAGCATCCGCCACTCCCTTCGCGTCGTCGGGGTCTCTAGACTCTTCTGCCGTCGAAAAATCTCCCGTCCACCGCGAAAGTAGAACTTGAGAAGCTCCATTGAGGTGTGCACGAGAGATTTCAGCGGGCCTGAGCCGGCGGGTGGGGGTTGCAGGATTCCGCGAGTTTGAGCATCGGCGATGTCGGCTTTGATGAGCTCAGTGATGCGCGGTTTGGGTTTGTTTTGAGTTGTTAGCGAGCGACTGAGAATGAGTGGACGCGCGAGGACCCGACACCGGAGAGGATGGATGACTGGCATAAGTTTTTTTTGGTCACGGTCACGGTGATGTGACGATCGAGAGGTACCCGCCGGCAGTGGCTGTGCGTATACTTCTGATGATAGTTTGAGCTCATAGAATGACATTGAAGCCTCTGCTGCTCGCTCGAGGAGTGGGATGTAACCGGCTATAACGAGGGCCTCAGAGACTGCCCTCAAATTGATTGCAACATGTGAATGGCTATTATATGCTTTTGGTTGGTGAGAGGTGGGGGTGGTAGTAGTTCAAGAAGGTTGAACAGGTTGCAGATTAGGAAGGAGGATGATGAATGTGTAAATATGCCAATTGTAGTTGTGCTCATAGGGTAGGGTGTTTCTGAATGTAAGTGGTCCATATTTTAGAAGACCACTGACCCAGAGCTTGTATGATAGACTCTGAAAGTCCAAGTGATGCATAAAACATAGCTCCTCCAGCCCTAGTGAAATAACCACCAAAGTCTCTGCCTAGAATTGCAAAAAACTTCTTGTCGAACCAATTTTATGATGGAATATCACTATTTTTGCAGAGAAAGAGTGGAGCACATGAGCCATGAAGAAGATCTCGACGTTTTATATATTGTGATAAGAGCATGACTGGGTCAGCAAGCTCCTGTCATATGAGTAGGATGTCAGTGCCATAGTAGAAGGAGTCAGACTTGTTGTAAGGAAGATGATATTGCACATTGTTCTTTTAGAGGATGAAGGAAGAACATTTGATTATTTTGTGAAAGTCCTGAAGTTGTTTGTCATTTTTCCAAATGAGCTTATCTGACTGGTGGCAGCCATAGAAGCAGTAAGCAAGAATGGTGGCAAATAAGAGGTCATCATAAGAATCTAAGATGTTAGCAAGAAGATAAAAGGTGATCAAATAGGATGATTAAAGGGGTAGTTTTTGGGATATGGGATCACCTCTCATCTTTCTTGAGCCACAGATAGTAGCTTGCACCATGGAATGTTTGTGACTAGTATCGAAGTCAGAATAGAGGTCTTTTAGAAAGTGATGGACTCCAGTCAAGTATTTTGGGCCAGATGAGATGAACTGGGATGTATAGGTGATATACTTGCTGAGAGTAAGTGGTGTCAGTTCAAGTGGCAGTGCATAAGTAATGCAAAACCATATGTAGTCCCATGCTTCTGTTGCATAACTCTTTGCTGCTCTGAGCTCAATTGCATGAGCTTGGAGAAATAGAACACGTTCATCAAGAAGAGAAAGAGAGAAAGCTGAGCGAGTAATGTGAGAAGTATGCTTGCCTAGTGCAGTTAGAAAGATTGTCTCCATCATGCCAGCAGTAGATCTCTTAGTGAAGTGAAAGTGTGAATGCAGTCAGCAGAGAATTTATGATGATATTTATCCAAAAGGAGTCGGAAAAGCATATCAGCCTGAATATTATCTTTTTCATTGATATGTCAAATACAAATATCAATTCCTGAATAGAGTATCAGGCCTGCAGCTCTGAGTAAGAGTCTATTGTGAAGAGGTTCTGATACCGATAGAGAATCAAATGCAGTGACAGAATCGAGACTATCTGTGAAAAGTAAAAGATGATAAGAGGGTTTGGGTAGAGATACTGCATAATGGATGGCTAAAAGAATAGCAATAAGTTTGAGAAAAAAGATGTCGATCATATCTTTAGATGATAGTAGATAGAGCTGATATACAAAACTGTTTCCTGCAAAAACAAATGATAATGCATTTTTTAAGCTAGCATTCATCCAAAAAATCATGTCAGCTTCTGAGTCGGCCCAGAGAGCTGAGTCAACAAAATGAACACCTATAGAATTTGGCAGAATAGATGAAAACCAAGAGAGATCCTCTCTAACTGCAGCATTGATGAAAATCTTTGTGAAAGAGTGAGTCTTTCTAGCTATCTTTCTATACAAAGAAGAAAGAGCAAGACAGCCTCATGGTAGAACATTCAGAATCCAGTTCAGGTATCTGCCTAAATGCTATCATTTCTGTAGAATAGGCACTCTTTCAGGTGTTGAAAGAAATGAGTCAATCTCAGATTTAGCATTGATAATCGACTGCTATGTAAAGGAGATACTTTCCTAGTTGGCATCAACTCAGAAGCTGATGATTTTGAGAGTCTGACCATGCAACTGTTTTGGATCATCAAAGAGACAGGAGATATATTCTCAAAATATCAAAAGTTGTACTTGCTATGCTGGTCACTGCTGACCTCAATAGAAAACTTAGTGATTGGTGAAATCCCAGCTAAAGAAGTCATCCATATAAACATGGAGGTCAGTGATATCGAGATGATGAATCTCAATCCAGCACAACAAGGCTGAGACCAAGCACTAAATCCTATATGAAGCTCAGCTCCCAAAGATAAGCCACCTAATGATGTGATATCAGTTGTCAACAAGGACCACTTGATGAATTTGCTATAGAGGATGCACTGGTAAATTCAAAAAGGCCTTGGCAATATCACTTTTATACAGAGTGAAATCAGCATTGGAATGTTATAATTTGACATTGCAAAGAGCCTCACTGAATAGATGCATATCATCATATTTGACCTTTGCCTCGCTAGCAGAGATTCCTGCATTTAAACCAGAGAAAGTATGATCTGTTATAATATGGGGTTTTCTGTTTTGCTAGACTACAAACATTGGTGATACTTTCATATCTGGCAAGAGTGTAAACCCATCTGGTAGTGATAATGACCAACATTTGGCTGTGACCTCATGATCACAAAATGCTCGTATTTCATTGATATCTTGAAGATCATTAGTATAATTCTCAGTCTTGTCATAGAGGGAGTCTTCCCATTTACCAAAGTTGAGAGGCCAGAATCCATTGTGAAGACCATGAATAACTGAGGAGACAAAGAATTCATTTGGATGAAAATAAAGAATATTCTCTAAGTGATTGACATTGAATGATATGTTGACTACAATAAAGTCTTTTAAGGCATGTAGTGTAGCCTGTAAGGATGGATCATTGAGTAGATGTAAAGAAGGGGAAGGTAGAAGATTGGCCAACTCAGTAGATTGAGCAGCAGGAGATGTAGGTATGGATGATGTGAAAGTATTCAACTAGACATAGCTCTGCCTAAAATGTGGGCCAATATTTTGATCCTCATATTTGCACTTTTGAGGCTTTAAAGATCTAGGCTCTGCTGCTGCTACTATTATCTTTGCTGTTACCTCTTTCAAATCTAAGTCTTCTTTTTGATTGGAGGAGATTGGTATATTCGATGATGTCCCTAGCTCAGTGTCCAGATCCACATTTGCTATAGATACTATGCCTATGGCGATTAGCACATGGATCTTGGCAGAAATCCAGATTCCAGTTTTCGCATGGAACTGTTGACCTTTTTGCAGTAGAGAGTGAAGCAGATGAAAATCATTTTGTGCCTGAAGAAGTCAAAGGAGAGTGAAAAATCTGGGTAAGAATGAGAATTTGTAGTTCACTTCAGACATCCATAGGAAAAGAGAACTTAGCATATCACAGCCGAACTTCTTCATTAATATGAATGGCAACCATAGAGTTATGAGATGCAGCCTGAAAAACTTCGACCATATATTCTCAGTAAACTTTGAGTTCAGTCTCATGGTGTAGATAGAGAACCTAAACACCTCTAGCCCAGATATCATACACTCTGCACCAGTCAGATTCTGATCTGAGAGGCTTCTTGACAGATAAAATGTTCTTTCTGATAATAGTATATTCTGCCATAAGCTCTTTTGCCTCCTCATTGTGATCATATCCTTGGTCTATTGAAGCAAAAAGTTTTGAAAAGTCAACATACTGGTCTTGAATGATGAGTTGCCAGAATAGCTGAGCAATAGGTTTAGACAGAGACTGGGCTTGAAGAACTGTGATAAGATTGTCAAGTGACTTTTCAGTTGCATAAACTTATCTGAGTCAGAATGACTCAGCAAGATAAGGATCTGAGATGCCAGTGGTGACAATGGATATGAGGTGAGGTGCTTGAGCAAGAACTGTTGGAGAAATAGAAGCTGTCTTTGGTGAGATAGTGTTGTCGAGCCCCAGAATGCCAGTGAGAACTGTAGTGATGGAGCTCTGGGGATCATTCATACTAGACATCTGATGAATGAATTAAAGCTTTGAATAGAGCATTGCCCAAGCAGCTTCTTCAACTGCCTGAAATCTGGTTTCTTGATGCTGTTCAGCAGCAGCCTTGGATTTCTCAACTCACTTTTGTTGAAACTCCTCGACCTCAGTCTGAGACAAGTCTGGTGGAGTGGCCTCTCTGTGGTCTGATGCACCAATATCCTCATTGTCACCATCTTGAATGTTAGAGGAGATAATGGTCGAACTTTGTGGCCCAGCTTGCTTAATCCACTTCTGCAGAAGTCTGATATAATCTCTGGCAGCTTTGGATGAAATGCCAAGCTGGTGAAGTCTATTTACAAAGTCAAAGACATTGACAGTACCTCTGACACATTCCTCAACAAGATCTTCACAATATTTCGCTAAGACAGTGACACATTTAATATTGGTCAATAGATTAGAGGTCATGGATGAGATCAATAGATTTGAGAGACAAATGTCAGAGACAAAAAACTTGATGACTTGTACAATAATAGTCCAGTAATACTGAATGAGGATTGGTAAAGTCTGATGAAGCCAAGATAGGCAACAGGAGTTACTAACAGATGAAGGAGGAGGTGAAGCCTCGAAGCCTGGGATTGGTGGTCAGGAAAGATTGACAGTGAGAAAGCAGAGCTCATCTCACTTAGAGATGCAGGATAAAAGTAGAAATGAAGAAGAGACACCTGGCACCAATGTCTCTCATAAATCAGCATCAGCCAAGACTCAGCACTGAGACAGAGACAGCATCAGCAATCCCTCTTCATGGATGAGCAGAGCTCTGTATCTCTGTATTGACAGAGATTGTGACAATCTCGAGAGTCATGCAGAGGCCTGTGAAAATACTCTCTACCCTTGGAATCTGCCTTTACGATGGTGCCTGAAGTGCAGAGTAATGAAGGCTGTGTAGCACTGTTTGTAATGTCTATAGGAAGACACCATATAGGCATCTTGTGAGGGACAGCATTATGTTCTTTCAAAGATGCCAGGTCAACTTCAACAGTTACAGAATTTGGTAAGAATAGCTTAAGCAGAAGGAAATGACTTGGGAGTAGAGTGCCACATAGAGATAAGGTTCAGAGCTGCTGTGAGCCACTTGCAGAACTCCAGTCTGTCAAAATTGGACTCCCATTGCCCATCATCCTTCTCTGCCACAAGTTCCAATTTGTGGTAGTGGCCAAGTTCAAAATCAAAGACTTTGTGTAGAAAAGACTAGTGATCAGCCTCTGAGTACTTCTTTGAAGGCAGATAGTACATTCCACAATACAGGGTCACATGAGTGAGGGATTCCATATCATAGCTGAAAAAATGATTGTACTGGATCAGATGAGTGGAAGATACACATAGAAAAATGGGTATGCACATGAAAGCAACTATATCCTGTATTATAAGCAATAGCCTATAAACTGATTAGAAATGATGTAAACAGAACTTCTGAAGAGCAACACACCAGAAACTTGCCATAGCCAGATGGAACATTGCTGGAGACACAGGAGCCTTCCTCACAGAAACTGCAATCTGGACATCCTTTACTTCTAAAGACATATAGAAAGCAGTCCAAATATTCCTATGGAGAACAAGCCTTGGAGCATACAAAATTAGGCAATACTGGGACCACATCCAAAACTATGAACACCAGGGGATGCGCCCAATCAAGCCAAAGCAAATGATAGTGTCTAGGTGAGAACGAGGTAATACGTCATGACGGCCGCCCTTTTTAGGACTTAAAATTTGCAATTGATGGATACATAGCCGGGTTTTGCATTCAAGTTCGGTTGGAATTCAAGTCAAATCTTTAAGTGAGGTTTCTTTTATATTTATTCGTTGACTCACTTCTGCATCATGCCCCCCCTCCCGACCTTCCTGTACGTTTTGCAGACATGCTTGTTCTTAAGTGAGAAAGCCCAAGCCTGGGCGAAGAAGCGCAGAACACCGACATCGATGTTCGGCACACCAGCATATGCATGCTGTGTGAGGTACCAACTCCTCCTCGGGGTATTTGAAATGGTAAGCCTGCCATTACGCATTTATATACTTGGGCGACCACGCTGAGATACTTCATGAATTGATATTCCTGCTCCCCACTGGCAGGGCAGTCTCATATCGATGAAAGCTTTGGGACGATACCGTTGTGTTACTAATTTATGGCTAACTCACGCGTAGCCATATCTTTCTGAAGAAGGAAATCCTGTCTTTCGGAGCGCAGTGACGGCGGCGCAGCGCGTCTACTGCGATCTTGGACAAACTCTCCGGTAGCTCGCATATCGATAATTGTGAAAATGCGACGCAATTGCGTGCACGACGCCCATTTTCTGCCATGTCTATTTCTGAATCACTGGAGCTAAAGACACCATTGGTACTGCCCTTCGCTTCCTACCTGAATATTATCATTTCTGACGGGTCTATAGATAAGCGCCGATCTCTTCGAGAAGAGTGCTAGCTCTCTACGGGAGTGGTGGCTGAGCACACGCGTGCGTCAATGGTTCGAAGATAAAGGATACTTCCTCTACTATCCTTTGGTGGTGAAGGGAGCGTCCTCAGATTTTCTCGTACCGTCCATGGACTTTGATCAAGTAGGTCTGTCTTGTGACGAGCCGTTTCCCTACGCATACACCAGTGGCCCTAGAGCAAAAGGAGATTACTTGTTCGGCGCTCCAAATACGCATCATGTAACGAAGTTTGTATACCTCGTTAGCACCTACTCATGATTTATCGACCAGGGCAGAGTTTTCTACGCACAGGATTCCGAAGCCCGACATGTTTTCATACGGGCTTTCAAGATAGGCAGCCCCCAACTGAATATTTACAAGTTTCTGAATGGGAAGCAAAACCAAAGCGGCTTCTTTGATGGTATCATACCGATCCTCGAGTTCTTGGAACTGGACGAATATTGTTTTGTGGTCATGCCTAGGTATGCGTGGGCGTTTCACGAGTATAGCTTCTTCTCATACTTCAACTATAAAGATGGGGACGTGCCTCTTCTTGGGAATGCACGTTGCGTAGCAATCTCACCTTCATACATTTCCTACTGAAAGTATGTTCACGCCATCTCTCAACAGACACTCATGGAACTAAAGCATTCGCAGGGACTTGCCTTTCTCCACGAGAACAATATTGTCCATCGAGTAAGCCTTTTGCCACCGTACCATATCGCTCCATCATAAATTCTTTAAAGAACCTAGACATAGACAAAATCGCCGCCAATCACATCATAAACCCAAAGTTGCCAGCTATGAACGAGGCTCGTCGGGATCTCCAGCATGCTGGGAAGCTTGTGCCGGCTCTCATAGACTTTGATCTCGCCATCCAGTTCAGTCCGGATTCCTCTCCGAGCAGTCGTTTACTTCCCCGCCGCATGGCTCAACGAATTTCCGTCCAGCGGGATTTATCCCAAGGCGAGTACCGGTATGACCCCTTCGCATACGACGTAGAAGCCATGGGATATATGCTCTGTGCTCAATTCCAGGTGAGGCATCTCGCAACACCGAGCACCACTAAACCTGTCCTCCTCCCAGCACCTAACTCCAGACCTCCCGATGCTTGCGCCCCTCTTGGATCGCATGATCACTCGGGACAAGCAGAAACGCTTCACTGCCTCTGAAGCCTTTCGGTTCTTCCAAGACATGGCTGCCAGGCCGGATGTTGCACGGGGACACGACATGGACGTGCGTTTGGACGATTTGGTGGGGTTTACGCCTGCGAATCGAGAACATTATGAGGATTATGACCGGTGGGAGGGGCTTCCTGAGAGTTTTGTGGACGCGTATGGCCCGGAGTATAGGGAGCTGCCGCCATTGCAGAAGACCAGGTTCCTCCGCTCGGTTTGTCGGTCTCTGATTGGGTTTTGGTGTGTGCTGGTGATTCGGCTGGTGGTAGATGCTATACGGTTTGTGTTTGGGTTCTTGACCCGTTCCCGTAAGTCGGCTCTGCCTCGCGGTGTAAAGTCATTGGAGGTATAGGAAACAAGAACGAAATTTAGTTATTACGGAGTTGTATGACATTGTCTCATTTCCTTGTAAACTATCATAGCTTGGACTATTTCCCTGTATGATTACCTACATCCTTATTGACATGATCCATGTTGCTAGATAGATGCGTTAACAATCCTCCAATAATGTTACAATATGGTATATACTACAACACGGCAAGATGCACTTTAATATCACGACATTGTCCGTCTCCCCTTCTCATACTCCTCCATGACTTTCTGCTTCACCTTCGTCCTCGGCGCTCGCCTCCCAGTCCATATCTTGACCTGCTCATACGCCTGCTCCAACAGCAACTCAATACCCTCAACAACCGCCCACGCAATCCCCTTATCCCTCTTCTCCTGCGCCAACGCCAGTAGCTTCGTAATCCTCCTCTCATATGCCAACTCAATCGCCACCCCACCATGATCACTCAGATGCTCCTCTCTGAGCCCCACATCAATAAGCTCCGCATTCCTCATCGACGTCGCCGGAATCGTGGATACGATCATCGTCGGCAGCGGGTGAATCGGGAGGGGGACATCCAGCCTATCCAGCACCTTGATCTTCATCAGCGGATCTAGCTTGCAGAATTCCTCTGCGAGCAGCTCGGCTTTGGGCCGAGTACGGTTGTAGATGAAGATGTTGATGACGCCTATCTGGTGAAGCGCGTAAAGGGTCGCCCGGGAGGTACCGCCAGCGCCGAGGACGAGGGCGGTCGTGCTTGAGGTGACGACGTTTGCGGGTGAGAGTGAACGGACGAGACATATTTTGATCGCTCGCCAGTCAGTATTATCACCACTTAAATCACCATCTGCGAGGCGTATGATGGTGTTGACAGCTCCAATGATCCTTGCATGCCGTGATATATGTTGTAAATAAGGCATAATCTCGACTTTGAAAGGTATGGTCACACTTGCGCCGCCAAAGCTGGAAGATTTCATAACCTCTTTGAGCTCTTCTGTTGACGTAGTTTCCTTCAATTCGTACGTGTGAGGGAGCCCTAGGGTAGAAAAGGCGGTATTGTGTATGGTGGGTGACATAGAATGGGCAATAGGACAGCCAAAAACATAGTACTTCTTGGGAGGTAGTAGCCCGACTAGATGTAGAATGGATTGTACATCTACGAATGAGATTTGACCAGGTGCCGCAGCTCGAGGAAGCAGAGGATGTGACATCGGGGAAAAAACTGTGTTAAGTACTCGAGATATCTTGCCCTAGCAAAGGAATTCGTTGTCATACTTTGGACAACCCGATGGAAGACTTACTTCAGGCCCCATGTTGATGGCGAGTAAGGGGATAGGATTCCTCTCAATGGTGCCCGCAAACGTCCTCAGACTCATATTGTCTTCAAATGTCTTCGCTGTGCTTGCAATTTTAACGATATCTGCGCCTCTCCGGACCATTTTATCGTACAGCTGCCGTGTCTGCGGACTAGTCCAAATAAGGCTGCCTTTCCAGTCTTGATACGAAACGAGAATGCTAGCATTTCCCTTGTGCTCCACAATGTGAGAGAATATAGAATCTGGGAGGACCATTTCCAAGTCTATATACTCGACGCCGAGAGTGAGCGCATGGAAAAGAATGTTCAAATGGCTTTGAGGAGTATCCTTCGTACCAACATCAGGATATTTACCACCCTGCTTGAGGGTACGGAGTGTGAACAGAATAGGAAGCGGAGAGTGTCGGCGCAGAGTTGCAATTTGATATGCAATAAAGGTAGGATCCTGCGAGAGAAGAAGGTCTGCACGGACTTCCCATAGGTCTATACCTAAAGAAATTTCCTCCAAATGGTCAACCGCTTCCCTGATGTCTTCGTAAGTGAGAGCGAGGAAGTATGAGCGGCGACTACGGGGAGTCAAAGGAACTTTGTTACAATCCACACCGTGGATAAACCGCAAGAGTCGGAAAAACTCTTCTTCCACAGGTTTGAGAGCAAAGGTCTGGTCCGGCGTGACAGTTTCTTTCGAGCCCTCTGGAGCCGGCGGAATGGGGACGGTAAGGGAGACAAACTCAAACGAGCAACACTGGCGAAAGTACTTTTCTCTCCGGTCCCAGGCCTCTCTCGAGGTTTCATGGATGTAAGGAGGAAAATGTGTGGATTGGCGAAGGTAGCTGAGCACGGCTTCCTTCTCACGCAAAACGTGTATGACGGGTCCTGTTTGCCTGAATTTTTGAAGCATGGCGCGGTTGGCCTCTAGCTCGACAACACCACCACCGCAAGCGATGACCTTGCCAACAGGATGCTGGCGGAGGATTTCAGCAAGGATATTCGACTCGGCTTTGCGAAAGGCGTCCCATCCATATGCTTGTATGTACTGGGCAATTGGCATGTTTTGCTTCTCAAAGATAGTGTCCGTGTCTAGAAGTTCCCAAGCAAGAGCCTTGGCGGCGATGGTCCCTAAGGTTGTCTTGCCCACTGACCGACTTTTAGAATGAGTCTGGCCTCAAAACAGCAGTATACGCACCTCCTCTCATGCCAATGAGCGCTATACTCGCCTTTCTCGAGTAATTCTGCACTGGAGGTGTGGTCGGCGACGAGGCGCGCGAAGGAGCCAGAGACAACATTGCATCTAATGGCGACGTAACCTAGAAGAGGTAAGCAAGTGGAAGCAGGAAGAAGAAAAAGGCAGACTGGTCGTGTATCTGATTCGTCGGTGGCCGATCTACTACGTGGATAAGGCTGGTAAGGACCTGAGTCGTGGATCAAATCGCGGACATTCATGGCGGCGGAGAGAGGTTTCTCCGATCCGAGCTGGTAACAGTATAAACGGAGTCGTCGTTCTCGAAAGATCAGTGGTTCGTTCGAGCTCGACGGTATCGCATCGTTCGACGTCCAGTTCGATTTCTCGTCGCGGAGTAAATGCAACGACCACAAGGTTGATGACGGCCACCACGACGGTCCGAACTGCTGACTAAAGCTCATTTAGGTAATTTCAACCTTCCTTCGGCCTCCCGGTTTGCCATTCCTTCACCAAGTACACTCTCGTCTACACACGAACTGGTTCAATTGAATGTGTGCTATGTAAAATGGGGGTGCATAATTCAACTCCGCGAATACTCAATTATATGAACCATTTAGATAAAGTCTTGGATCCACCACACCGTAACCGTCTTGCATTCGAAAAGGACAAAGCTCGCCTCTGAATGCGAACGACAATAAAGTGACCACATTACGTTCGCAGCGTTCGCCTCCATGTGGACGCGTAATAAATTAAATTAACGCGACTAATCGGACGGGTTTCGCGATGGATACCTCGAATCCATTTATCGCAAGGCATTTTGACCATCCACACCCCCGGTGTTCATCACACGAGCGTCTGTTCTCGATGAATAAGCTGTTCAATCATAATCGCCGATAGGTTCGCTCCTGCAGTGAATCACAACGGGTACCTGACTTCACGGTAGAGCGGACCTAGACACTCCTTCGTGGCTTGGTAATGCGGCCAGTCGGACGAGGCGCAGGGACAGCTTCTCATACATTGAAGAGAGAGCAGCTGTGTACTTCCACCGAAACGAAACATCGATAGGAACCGTCAACCCTAGTCGTCTAGGACATATACAATTGTTCCGGCCCTCGCTTGTGGACACCTGGAAAGTCAATATGTATAACAACATGGGGATCCGAAATTCACCATCATAAATTTGTATCGACGCCGCAGGTCTTAGTTCTAAGGGAGAAGTTTGAAGTATGCAGTGGCGTATGTTTTTTGAAGAGTGCCTAGATAGAGGACACAACGGGGACTAAGTTAGAGACCTTTAAAACAAACAACGCCGAACGAGAGTTCTAGCCTACTTACGTCTCTGGATCCGCTATTGGACGACCTGAAGGGATATATACAACACCAAAACAACACACATACAACATGCACACCACCTTATCTCCTTGATTTTTCGAGCTGGGCAAGTGCAGCGTCTTTCAATCGGCGGACTGAGAAACTGACGAGCAACAAGATCTGGAAAACGGCTTCCTTGTTATGGAATACAGTAGTGATACATCGGGCAAGTGTGATCCTCCGGTATCTGTGATCATGGGGTTGGTTAACGAAGATACAAAAAGAAAAAACATGATTCAGAACAAGGATATCACCTTGATCTTTATGAAGCTCGACTTGGAAGCTCACAGCCGAACTCATAGCGCCAAGCAAAATTTGAGGATGGAGAACAGGGGTGTAGAGAGTTTAAATAAACCGGGCATTAGTAACTCCTATTAACGCGAGGCAAAGTTCGCGCAATGGAATGCGTACCACCATAACCACTATCAAGCCTATGATGATCCTATGCCGACACCCTTTCGTGGTTATTCTACCCGTTCTTGAGAACGAGGATGAGAAAGCATATAGAAATTTTTTGCTCATCCATGGGCGCATGCTATTCGCAGATGTGAATATTTGTTTACATCCGTTGAGATATTGGTCCGCTCAGCTAATTTTGGTGGGACAGATCACTGCTTAGTGACTGAAGCCAATGCCTTTTCATTGAACGAGGTCTACTGTCTGGTAGAAACTTGGAACGTTTAAAAGCTTTTACTTTTGACATTATATGAAGACAAATATGGTACCATCTACAAGACAGTCGTGGGACAGCGACTTGAAGGGAATAAGCAAAGGATACTTTACTATATGTTTTAGACCTTGCTAGAGTCGACGTTCACGACGGTTCCGTCGTCGGCTATAACTTTAAATCGGACTTCAGTCATGCAAGTCAGTCAGATTGACGAAAAGAAAAACAAAATGAGAACGCACGAATATCATACGGGAGACCCTTCTCTCTCCTAACGCTGGTAAAGTAGACGGTACCAGAACCTGAGCAGCAATGAAGCGAGACAGAAAAAATGCAAAGGAAATGGACACTACACACCTTTTGACCCTCGAATCCTGAAACTTAGATCTACATGCCCCTGTAATATATTGATCTGCAAGTTTCAATGAGCACCCCCCGTAAACGAACTAGTATTCCAGACTCACTGCCCCGAGAACCCTCGGCTCCCCATTAAGCCACCACTCTGGCTGAGGTCTCAATGCCTCCCCCAGGACGTTCCGTAATCCCTTGTCATCCCTCGCTGTCCGCAAGACCTGCTTGAACACCGAACTTGAGATCTTTTGCTGGTTCGTCGCATAACTATAAAAGACACCCCAAGCTGCGACCCCGAATACACTTAATGCCAAGATAGCGGGCCAGCGTCTCTGCATAGATCAGCAAGAGAGGGATAGTGGGACGGGTGATTGACATACCTTTATGCGTGGGAGCTCACGGAAAGGACGTGGGCGGGATGTGTCGGAGAACATTGTGACATGGGGAGGTTCTGTGGGTGGCGGAGGTGGCCGTGGGAAGTTTGTGGCAAAGGTACGATGAAGGCGCGTTCGGAAGCAGGCTCTGCTCAAGCTGAGGCTCATGATGGTACGAAAAGAGAACACGGCTACCGGGCCGAGTAGTGCCGGATATCGCCCGGGCTTCTCAGCGTGGTATCATCTGCTGCCAATGCACGTTCGTACGACACTCGACGCTATAGCGTGTCTAATACTAGAGAGACTCTCCCTGACTGACAACTTTTTTTCCAGTGACATCGAGTCAAGGGGCTGTTATCTCGGGCTATGAACAAATAGTTTTGAATTGTACTGTAAAAATTGAGGTCCGCCATTTCTCCTCGATGTAAACACAACAATTACTTAGCGTTCATAAATATATGAATGCGGTAAAAAAAAAAACACGCTGATAAGATACATCTACTCGCATGAAGTGCCATTAAGCCCATTATCCATCTTCTGCGGAGCCTTGTAAGCTTCCAATGTCTCCAGCACATGGGGAATCACGTCTTTATGAACATCCTTTCCCCACAAAATGTCCAAGTGCTCATAACCTGCCAACCTCTTAACGACGACATGCTTCGGTAGCTGCTCCACCATGACTTCAATATCGACCAAACTGTCCTCGTCTCCATACAGTAGCACAATGGGGGTAACAATGTGCTTTGTAGGGAACCTTGCGGGCCTGTACGTGCGCATCGTTGTCCTCATCACAGGTGACATACTTGACAGATCGTCGTCGTACATTAGGAATGCACCGGTACGCATGATCTGGAACCAGTGCACGACAGCCTTGACAGAGGCGAAAGAGTACAGATGTGCGTAGGCGCATATCTTCTGGTAATGCGAGATATTGCGACTACGCCAGTTGAACAAGACGACGAGTGACGTGTCGATCACGGAGGCAAATATTGGAGGGTAAAGAATAGCTTGCCACAGCGTTGCTGAAGAGAGAATAGATTTACGGCCGAAGAAAAGATAGACGAGAGTTGGCCTGCCAAAGCGTGTAAACAAGATAGAAAGAGGTCGTACGTAGATTCTGACATACGAAGCTTTCATGAGACCGTCTACGATAGGCTGTGCAAGGCCGGCGGGGCTGACAGCAGGTGCAAGAGCTATGAAAACGTTGATTTTTTCGTTCAGCTGGGGGTGTATACTGAGCGCAGCGAATGCCTGTGCGGTACCCTGACTGAAGCCGATGTAACTGAGTTTTGAAGACTTGGTAATGTCCAGAATATAATGTATGGAATCAGGGATGTCGTGCCAGGCGAAGTCATCGATACTACAAGCCAATAAGGATGGTTAACGGTACTTGTAAGGGATGCATACCTAAAGTCCCAAAATTTTGACGAGTTCGGATTATGGTGTATTGACTTTTTGGAATATTTATTACCTCTGAACCTGATTGAGAAAGACACCTATTAGAGTGACAGAAATACTCACCGATTGTTCCCCAGCCAAACGTCATAACCATTCTCAACGAGGGTGAATGGAAGACAACGTTCAGCGTCAGTGAGACAGACCCAGACCTCGCTGTTCATCAAGAGACCATGATGAAGATACACAACAGGCTTTCCTGTGCTTGTTCCCGGACTCGTCTTTTGTCTCCCCGCTTTCGAAGGCAAACGATGAAGGCCGAGTAGATATCCGTCCTTTGTCATCACGACATGTTCCTCCGGTGTATATCCGTAAATATCGCAGAGCTCCCCGAAATCTCTGGCATGTAAAACGAGATCTGAAGCCTTCTTTTCTGGAGACTTGCTTTGCGGGGGTCCGACAGTGTACTTGAAGATAGTTCGAGAACGTCTGTAGAACCAATTGATGATGGGTTTTGGAAGAAAAAGGACGATCAGACGAAGGATAGTTTCGAGGGTAAGGAATAAAAAACCAAGAACAAGAGCGGTATACTCCAAAAGAGATAGGCGGCTGATGAAAGGAACTCGAACCATACCCAAGTCGGTCTATAGTAATGTAAGAGAGAAAGGGGTATGGGACCACACAATTATCACATGAAAAGGGTTTCGGAGAATCGGACCGATATCGAGGAAATCAGGATGCTTATGACATGGCATCGCACATTCTTACTTTTGTACATCGACGTTCCTCTCGTTCATGTGGAGGTAATAGCAACCGTATTGATTAGAGTTTGAGTCGTATACCATTCAGCACAACGTGGAATAAATGAGAGTATTCAAAACGTATATTCTATTAGTGCTGGGTATCTAACTTGGCCCTTTTAGCTTTCTTTACCCAAGCATCGACCTCCTCCTTCTCAAGAGGCAATTCATGCACCGACGCAAGATGTCTCCGGAAGTCATACGCTCGGCTGAACACGTAATCGCAGTTTCCTTCGCTCAGAGTGCCGTTGCACGGCAAACCAGCCTCATGCATCCGAGGGTAGGGACAAGGGAGTGCATTTGGAGAGGACTCCAATTTCTTCTTCGCTCTCTGCTTGTACAAATTGCCTGTAAGCGCGTCGATATCAAATTTGGCTGTCTCTTCGTCCGAAGATGAAGACGACTCTTCACGGTCCGAGAGCGACTCTTCGTCGGAAGGGGTATGCACTTTAGCCAAGTGGCGCCGGAGGAGGTGCTTGTATCCAAACGCCCGTTTGCAATCATCATAAGGACAGACATGGTCTCTTCTACAAAGGTGGGTGACGTTGTGATGCGTCGTCAAAGCCTTTTTCTGGAAGGAGTCAGGTATGGGCTTGTGAATTTGGATAGCAAATACATACAGATTTGAAGTCTTTCCCACAATACTCGACATCACATAGCCAGTCCCGACCAAGTTCTCCACCGCGTCGCCTCTTGCGAGGAGGTTCGTTTGCTTCTAGTTGGGCCTCGGCGTCCCACTCTAAGTGGAGCTTCTCGTGTGCTCTCAAGCCCTTCTGGGTAGAAAATGTTTTGCCATTACAGGAGGGATGTGCACAGGTTGGAGGATGTGCGGTGCGGATATGACGTTGCAGAGATGACCACGTAGAATAATATGTAGGTGACTGGCCTGGCGCGGCGAGACAATTCTGATGTACGCATGTGTACCGTTTGTCTACAGAGGCATTCATAGGGGAAGCACTATAAGCTTTACAGGAAACTCACCATAGTGAATCTTGCCATGGGTATATAAATGTTGCTTGGTATCAAAAGACTTTGTACAGCCTTGGTGGGTACATTGAAAAGGTTTCGTTCCAGGAGGTGCATGCGTAGTACAGATATGCGTCCGCAGATGATGGTGCTTCATAAAGGCATCACCGCAGCCAGGTTCAGAACACTGATAACAGCGGTCAAAATTGCTCGGGAGGATATACAGTGCACTCACAGTAAACTTCTTGGCACCACTGTGCCAAGTCGTATGGGCACGGAGATGCTGTCTAGTCCAAAATCGCTTCCCGCAATTTGGCAGTTGGCATACCAAAGGTCTTGAAGATTCAGGTAAATGGCTTCGAGCATGTGCTTGCAGATGGGTTTCCCTAAGGTACGATTTGCTGCATGTATCACAAACGAACGGGCGCTGAAATCGAATTTCAGTGTGATGATGATGCGCTCAGAACTGAAAGACGGACCTGGCCTGTGTGTGAACGTTCGTGTTCCTCTAAACGTGAGGGCTTTGAGTAAGCCTTGTCGCAACCCTCAAAGGTGCATCTATATCTTTTCTTCGTGTAGCTAACGAGCTTCCCGTTGACGAGAATAGGCTTGGAAGGAACGTCAGATTTGCTCGTCGACGGCACCTCATATTCCGAGTCTGTAGGGCCTGGTTCTGGACTGGAAGCAAGATGAAGAACAAAATCTGTTGCCGGATGAACCTTTCGTTTCCCTAGAACAGTGGATTGGACAAGTGTCTCCGTCATTGTCGCGGTCGAGCAAGGACGCGACAAGAGGTCAACTTTTTTTTCGCCAAGTTTGACATGGAAGCCGCTGACAAGCAAAAAGCGTGATCGTTGGCCCGCAATGCCATCCAAGTTCCCAGGGGTGTTAAGATGTAGATATCCTACACACGTAACGGCCTTCTCCAGCGCGCTGATGAGGTGAAAGAATGGGATCTTGTGCGTATTTCCTCAATTTGGCTATTCGAGGCTGATTTGGAGCCTCAGTTTTTCAGGATTGCACGTCAAATGGGTAGGAATTTACTTCAATATCGAAACATTAGTTTGAACATAGCTCTAGCTCGACTTTCACATCTTCCTATGGTGAACAGTGTGTTACCAACTTTGCCAAACTCATTGGTTTGATCGTTGGTGCATGTACGTACGAGTACTTCACTGAAGGGTATCGCCGGACCCTTACCATTCTCCTCAGTTGTGGGACTTGTAGTCATTTCTGCCTTCATGACATTTCTGAGGCGACGGCGCTTAAGAAATTCCCTGGCCAAGTATCGCCTTGCCCAAGTGCAACGTGCAACTTGGCCATCGACACAGTTTGCCCCAGCTCCAGCTCCTCCCCCTCCCGTTTACGCTCCTTCGCTGCCTTATCAGCAGCCAGTAGTCCAACCAAATATCTTTTCGTCATCAGCACCCGTTCGATCGACCAACCCATTCCACAGATACTCAGGCACTGATCCTCCGGTGTCCTATCAGCAGCCAGTGCCGGATAATACCTTTCAGTCACCAGCACCTGTTCGATCGACCAACCCATTCCACAGATATTCATTTAATGATACTGTATTCCCCCCTGTATCTTCGGAAACACAGCGTACGACCTCTCCGAGTCAGACAGATGATCCTTATAATTCTCATGCTATGGCCCATCGCCAGCAGGGTGCAGTCCTGGCCAAATACTCTCGTGCTTCTACCGGCAATCAGCTATCGGAATTCGCTGCTTCCTCAAGCTCGGTAACTGAACCGCACCCACCTCCATATATCGAACAACCTCTGGCGAGAGATCACTGAAACATTTCTGTTTACCTAAGATGCTATCTTTTATATGTTTGTGTCAAAAGTAAGCGATCCACAACTTAGTTTGAGATCAAATACTTCGTCTAACTTTTGCCCTGTTCCCTAAGTTCAGAATATCCCTCCTCTTGACCCGTCGTTTACGAAGAAATACTGTTGTACATTTATGTCTATCTTGTTCTGTAGCTATCTATCCGGAAAATGGATGACTTTGACCGTCATATGTCAGCATTGAGAAGCATTTTTTTTGCTTCTGCGTCATAGCACTGTACGGATTGGAGAGAAGGAAACCCTTACATGAAACACATCCAGAAAACAAAAAACCGATTTATTCATCTATTGAATACATATTCGATAGATCTAATAAACAAAAAGCTCTAGATGATACATTCTCGGTATAGCCTTACTTGCTTAACGGGCGTAAACAACCTGGACCGTGCATATTGAATTCTAATACAATGTTCTACTCCATGCTTCCGACCTGCTCGACAATACCCTTCACCTTAAGCCTCGCCTGATGCTCTTCGACTTCGTCTTGTACACGTTCGATAGACTTGAAATACTTGACGGTTTTGACATGCAGCTCTGTTCAAAAGCAATCAGAACTCTTCTTCTCTCTAACAGGCGGAGGCGACAGACCAGCCGTGGCGTCCTCGTCGACCACAATAAGTGCCCAAGGATGGAGCTGAAGAGCAGAGAGAGTCCACAAATGGTTGACGCCCTCCTCTACCAAACAAAATCAGTACCAGGCTAGAGCACCTTGACTAACGGAGGCCACCGATCGCTTTGCTCAACGCCAGAGCCTTTCTCTGCCCTGTGACTACAACCACAACCTCTCTCGAGTCCAGAACGGTCGCGACACCAACGGTCAGTGCCATACGAGGAACAGAGTCAATATCATTGTTGAAGAAACGCGCATTAGCGAGAATGGTGTCGTATGCAAGAGTCTTGATACGAGTTCTTGAAGCAAGAGAAGAGCCAGGTTCCTACCGAAAAGAAGTGAGACAATGTCAAGAAGCCTAGATTGCACTTGCATTGAAGGCTATGTGCCCGTCCTCGCCGATACCTCCCAAGAAGAGTTCTATCCCTCCATATGATTTGATTTTTTCTTCATACGCTTTGCATTCAGCGATAAGGTCAATGGCGTTACCGTCCAAGAGGTGCACCTGGACTGGGGGGATGTCCACTGCCGATGACACCGTTAGCATTTCATCATGGTCGGCAAGACTCGAAGTAACACACCATGCGAAAAGAACTCTCGGAACATGAAAGTGTGGTAAGACTCGGAGTGATCGCGCGGGAGACCAACATATTCGTCCATATTGAACGTTACGACATTTTTGAAGCTATGAAGTTGATGAGACACTGGGGGAAGACGTATGAACACGACGAACGATAGTTTTCCATCTTTGACGAGTTGGATGAGAGCTTTGTAGGTGGGAATTGGGGAAGACCCAGTGGGCAACCCAAGAACGAAGGGTCTTGCTGGGGTAGGTGCGAAATCGTTGATACTGGGATATTCGTAAGAATATTCTCCTGCTTGCCGAGATTGTAGACGTACCGTTTGCAAATGTAATTGGCAATGTAGTCGCCGACAGCAAGGGGGTCTTGACGAATGATCAGGCCTGTACCACAAATTCAGTCAAAGCCAAGGTTAAAGCTGTAAATGAACAGACGCATGATGACGGTGAGTGAGTAAGATGAAGAGGGGGAATTTGTGATTCATTATATACTCTCTCGGCCGAATTAGACCTCGTGAACGCGATTGCTTCTAGCCCGGTACAAGCTGTATAGAGGCAAAGCATGAACCTGTGATTTCTCCGGATCACAATTGGCAGCAATTGGTCCTCAATGTACAACGTGTCTGAGATGCAGACGTAGCGCAGAGCAAAACCACACGGATCTTCCGGTCCGGTACCGGCTGCGACTCTCAATCGTCTTCCATCACGGCTCCATTTGATGATAAAATACCTTATCGCGTCCTTACGCCCTATCCGGTCAAGGATGCTCCCAAATCAAGCACGATTCTCCAGTGGAGATAATGGAGGTGAGCAAAAATACCAACCTCAACGTAACAGCGAAGCGTAATCTGGCAGCTGACCAGACACGTCAAGATGGCCTCGCCCTATTTACGCGTCGGAGAGAATCACTATCCACAAGTCCACCTTCCTTGCACATGCTACCGAGATTCGAGATGGGGACATGGTGCCTGAATTTATAGACCATCTCACGAGTCTGCCCCAGTTGAAACGGGCGACCCACTGCATGTACGCTTACCGTGTGTCATCTGAATCTACGAAACTCTCGCTCGGACAACAAGACGGCGGCGAGAGCGGCGCTGGTGATCATCTGGCACGTTTGCTGGAGCTGTCACGATGCGAAAATGTTGTCGTCGTGGTCTCAAGGTGGTATGGCGGAGTGCAGCTGGGATCAGAGCGGTGGCGGAGAATATCAGAGGTTGCGAAGGACGCATTGAATAAAGGAGGATTCATGAGGAAACGGGAGGAAAACACAATACAGTCGGGTACTTCAAAGAAGGGGAGGAAACCAAAGAAAAAGAAGTGATCATACTCGATGGAAATCCGTCCTCACCGCCTCCCGTCGTCTCACACGAAAATATAGCCCAAACGGCTGAAAATTTTACGTTTGATTGTCTCTCCAAAAGGAGTGTTCGGGCTGGGTCTCCAGCATTCGACGGAATCCACGCTCGGCAAAGGAAGGAAGAGAATTCCATAGTGGGGAAGGATCTTGGAGAGAATGAAGTTGTGCATGTATACTGTGTGCGTTGTGAATAAACATATATGAAATGGGGATATTCCTGACCTTGAGCGTCGTAGTATGAAGACCAAGGATCGCTTGTCGAAAAGTCTCTATTGCATTGCATGCTCCCGTACCAGATCCAGAGATCACGCTTTTGTCGGATATCGTGGTCTGCGTGAATAGTCCTGAGCGTCCAATGTAGTTCCGACAGAAATTTCGTGAGAGCGGCGTGGAGGACGGCATTCAAAATTCGGGCATGTACGTCTAGACGAGGTGAAATCAACAGCAGCAGATCCATTCAGGTGGAGACAATCAATGTATGACCAGTTTCCGCGAAGAGTCCCATCGTATGTCCAAGCTGGGGCAGGGATAGGTCCACGGTTCATTAGGATAACATCAGCTTTCCGAGCTTGACACAACCAGAATGTGTCGTGGATTCGAACTCCAGTAAGAGGGCCTATGTAGGGTAGCGGGGTCATTTTTGTCCTTAGACAGATAGAGCGAGGTCGACCTGATGTATCGCACAATGAAGGAGCCTGACTCTGCCAACTCGCGGTTACTGGGTGACTTCTGAAAACGCTGGTCCCCACTGTCGATGACTTCCTCGATTCTGGTTCCGTTGAAGGGAGCCTGGTATATATCATAAAGTACAAAAGTCCTAACCTCGGCAAAGGTAAGATCTGTGTCCGTGAGACGATAAAGCTTCGAGCCATAATAGATGGAGATGGTAAGTGAGTTCTGGGCCGACAAAGGCAATTAGGTTTGCAACGTGCAATTCGCAGAGATCTTCAATAGCATGCAGGGTGAAGGGGCAACTTGATGGCAGCGAAGAGGCTGAGCCTCTGAACTGGCGTACGATTCGGCTGCCTCGACTCTTACTCGCTGGCCAGCTTCAAGTCCGCAAAGAAGAGACTGTTGTATCTCGTTGATCAAGTCATCTTCCTTGTCCTTTGGGGGTAGATGATCGGAAATCACGCTGGAGGGCATATTCGATAGTCAGGAGCGATGAATCGAAAGTAGTGGACTGGCTGCCCATTCTCTGGAATTAAAACAGGCAGAATAGTAGGGTGCTGAATAATAGCGTGACAGTCTGAATGGCCTTGGACAGGTGGTATACTATTGCACAGCGACGGCAAAGGCTATAGGCGCGTCGCAGCTCGTCGGGGTTTGGTCGGCGATTAATTGTCTGACAATCCGACATTTCGGCTCAATTCCATCTTGACCCTTGCCTTCAAGAGACTTGACATTTGACGTTGCCTCGAGGATGCCTTGAGCCTGCAAAATTCTGCTAGTACGGGATCAAAGACTTGAAGGCCTGATTCCTGATGGCCCTCGTCGTCATCCAAACGAATCTGGACGCGTTTAAAAGTCAAATTTCTAGGGGCCTGGCTTGTCCCGTCTCTTGCTTGGGAACCACGATGTCTACACGTGCTAGAAACTTCTTCCTCTTCACCCTTCTGGTCAACTCCTTAACTTCAGCAAAAATTCTGTCTTCTCCTGCAGAGCTCGTGCAGACAGAGTATGATTTTATTGTGATCGGAGGTGTGGGGAACACCGCCATTCTGCTGCGTTTCTCTCTGACGGATCTGGCATGGATAGCCGGTACTGCAGGGAGCGTTTTGTCCGCTCGACTTAGTGAAAATCCCGATGTCAAAGTTCTGGCTGTTGAAGCTGGTGCGAGGTGCGAGGGACCTAAATGGTAACATACGTTTTCCTACACACTCCCTGCAGTAACGAAGGGATCGTGGAGACCATGGCGCCGTTCCTTGGGGTATCACTTTCAAATACACTCCTTGACTGGAATTACACGACGGTGCCACAGGAAGGTTATAATAACCGGACACTCAGTTTGACCAGGGGATATGTGTTGGGGGGAAGTAGCACTGTCAGTCAGTGTTTACTTCGAATACAACCCAAGACTTCTTTTCTCATGATTTATTTGTAAGATCTTCTAACTTGGAACCGTGGAGCAGATGATCTATGGGACAGCTGGGCACGGATCACGGATGAACCTGGCTGGTCTCGAGAAGCCATGGAAAAGTACTGGCTCAAGGTATGCGCACTTTGCCTCAAAATGCATTTCTAAAATACTAACTTTCCAGTCGTCGCGTCTCGTGAGCCCCGCTGATCGTCACGACACTACAAACCAAGAAGAGCCTTCTATCCACGGGAATGGGCCTGTTCAAGTCAGCGTGGGAGGTTTCCCAACAGAGCTTGATGGACGTGTCCTTGATACCAGCAAGATGCTCGGTGGTCGGTTCCCATATACCGTGGATCTAAATGCTGGTCATTTCGTGGGAGTCAGTGAGTCTAGAATTCCTTGTCCCACCTTGTCCGTCTTGCTCATTGATGGCTTCCAGGTTACATGCAATCTTCTGTTGGTGGCGGCCAGCGTAGTAGTGCTGCAACAGCTTACCTGAATCCAAGCCAAGAAAGGGGTAATCTAGATATCCTCATCAACACCCACGTCACAAAATTAGTTCAAACCGGCTCCTGGCGGGGTTGGGGGAAGCCAGAATTTCGGGTAATACAGGTGGCTCAGAGCAGTGAAGGTAGGAAGAACAATATGATTTCCTCACTTCCAGTAACAGTTACTTGTAGATGCGCCCATTCAGGTCACCGCCCGAAAAGAAATACTGCTTTGCGCCGGCGTTATCGGTACACCCCAACTTCTGTTGCTCTCTGGAATAGGTCCTTGGCAGGATCTGAAGTCTCTTGGCATTTCACCTATCCTTGCTCTGTCAGATGTCGGGCAACATCTCACAGACCACCCTGCCATCCCTATTTATTACGCCGTCAACTCGAACAGCACGTTCGACAGGTATCTACGGAACGACACCCTGTTTGCGGAAGAATTAGGGCATTGGGAACAAACGCATCAAGGCCTTTTCGTTGATTCACCGGGTAATACGCAGGCTTTCATTCGGCTCCCAAATAATGCTTCGATCTATGAATCATTTGAGGACCCATCTTCAGGTCCAGGCGCAGGGCACTTAGAAATGATATTCATCGTAAGTCTTGTACCAAGGCATTCATTCATTCCTGTTTATATTTTCACCCAGGACGGGTTTGCTCAATTTGGATCTTTGCCTCAACCCGAAACCGGAAATTTTCTTACCGTTCTGGCTGGCGTTGTCACACCGCTCTCTGGTGAGTCTCCCTTGAAACTCATCTTGGTTATCCTTTCTGAAATAGTCCTTTCAGAGGGATATGTGACTATCAACTCTACCAATCCTTTCGACCATCCGCTTATCGACCCGGCCTTCCTGACGAGCCCTTTCGACCAGTACGCGATAGTGCAAGCCATCAAAGATATTCAAGAGTTTTTAGCTTCGTCTCCATGGAACGGTTTCGTGCTAGATGCTTATGGCGATTTACTCAACGCCACTACTGATGATGCTAAATTGGAGTACGTGAGGGCCTATGGGTCCAATATCAATCATCTAGCCGGAACTGCGCGAATGTCGCCGAGAACAGCGAAATGGGGAGTGGTCGATCAGGAGTTGCTGTTGAAGGGTGCTGAAGGTATCAGGATCATTGACGCGTCTGTTTTTGTACGTGCAACCACCTGCTTCGTTCTGATTCTAGAACTAACGATATTCATTCTAGCCGAGTATTCCTGAATGCCACATTCAGGCACCTGTATATATGATTGCCGAGAGAGCAGCGGACCTCATCAAGGATCGATACCATCTGTGATGCGACGGGACCTTGGAGGCTTGGACAGCTGTTATTTATCAGTTGTATTTACTCGCTTTCTGTGTGTTTTCTTTGGGACTAACGAAGACAAGTCGGATCTCTGCCTACTTCTATAAACTCTCGCCCGCATGGCTACACCTGCTGTGCTACAATCAAACGTTTGTTTCTAGGCTCAAGCCTGACGCAATATACAGGGCTGCTGGCTTCATTTATTCAGACATGCGGATATGCTAAGTTTTAGCTATAGGAAGTACGTCTTTCAAGCAGATGTGCCTACTAGGTATTACTCAAAATCGTTTTCGTACTGTATGATCTCAGCCTGAGGAAGGCATTCGCTCGTGATTGGCCATAGAACATCGAAACCATTTAAATAAAAGGCGTGTATGTAACCAATGCTAATGTAAAGTGCCAACTATTCCCTATAGCCTTAGGTGGCCGTAGGATGTAAGCGATGCGCGTGGAACAGGATCAAATCATGAAGGAAGGTGGCACTGCTGGGGTGGATCGGTATTTCTTATTTCTGACGGGTCAAATCCTGTCACGTGGAATGTCCTTGTTGAGGTCTCTTGTCTAGCTACCAGATGAGGTGGAAAGAAGGACTTCAATAGCAGTCAATACACCTCTAAGTAGATATTATGAACTGAAATTTGTCTGAGGCCGACATCTCAGATGTGATGCGAGGAACGACCACGTGATCGAGATGTCACACCATCGGTGACAATTAGTGACTGTTGACACTGTTGACCTTCGACCGGGTGGCCGACGTCGTCGAAGACATCTGCTTTCGTCCTCCAGCAGCCACTGCATACCTTTACCTTCCACTTCGTCGAAACTCATGGAGAAACGACTCTTGCGGGTCCTATACACAGTCAACAATTCTCCTCAGTATATTCTCGCACGCTCACTTTGTCCCGTTACCGTTTCTTTTTTGTGGCCAACCGATGGGCAGAATGCAGGTGGCATCGAATATGCAAGTGTGTCACTAAAAGCCTGTATTGAAACCCTCTGCACCACCAGTCCGGAGCTCTTACAGAGTGATAACCGCGACTTCTCGGTATACGTTCTGGACCCTCTGGAGTCGGAAAGCGCTCCCGGGCGAGTCAATATCTCTAATGAGTCTGAGGGAACCCAAACGGCTGAAGAGCAGGTTCTGGGTGTTGCAGTGGGACTGGGCTTGATGTCATGGGCGCTTTCAGCAGATGATGAGGGAGCACTCGTCAATGGCACATTAACTCGAACTGGATCTGGGCAGGAGGCGCTTGAGGTTGTACTTGCCCTTCGTGAAGTAAGTTATACTACCTTATGAGGTCCTTCATCCTATTGAATGGTGGTCAGACGACGCGCATAGAGAAGGCATCGTTTCCTGCTGCCATACAGTCTTGGAATAAGAAGAGCGCTAAAGCACAGGGTGTGTTTCTTTTGTCGTCATGCCCTGTTCTGGAAAACTGAGTAGCTGCAGGTAAGCAGCCGGAGGTCGACACGGCGGCTACCATTGCCGCTATTTTGAACCGACCCAAGAAATCTAGAACGACGAAGAATGCTGATGCATTGCAAGCGCTACCCGAATCAGAGAGGATCTATAGATCTTCTTCAGTATATATCGGACCACCGAAGAAAAAGCCTCCAAATTCTGCTATGTTCGGCAGGGCACTTTCGACCCCGGCCCCAGCCTCCATAGATGCTCCTACTCTGGCTGCTGTCCATACGGATACCACAGCATTAAGTAGTGCTGCTAAGTCTGTCCTTCTTCCGACCGTCTCAACGCAACCTACGATTATGACGTCTACACTACCTACATCTGTTCCTTCAACGACTTCTTCGTCAACTGTCAAGAAGAAAAAGACGAAAAGACGGAATCGATCGCCAGATCAACCGCTATTTACTCGTGCCACCCCTTTCAAGCGCACAGCTTCCGAACCGCTTCCCAGCCCTAATAGTACGATGCCTCAGACACAATCTCTCACCGATATTTTTTTCCAGCTAGCGTCCACTCCTGCCAATAGCACTCAGAATGCTGCCCTACTTGCTACCATAAATGCTATTGACTCGGGCAAGGGCATTGATGATAACCCAGCGTTAGTCCGGGCCTTACAGGACCTTGTTACAGCGTGGCAAATGACACCTTCTGAGTCTGGCAGGACGGCCCCATTTCAACCTTCCAATCAGCGAATTCCTTCTGACGACGGCGTCGCTATAGACAAAGAAAATGTCAATCCATCTTCTTTCAGGAGACGCGTTGACCAAGACGTAAAGGACTCCAAACCATCACAGACCTCGACAGTCCCACAACGGACAAATCTTAGCGGCCATCTACATACAGACGAGAATTCGTGGCCTGTCTCCAGTGTGAACCAAGGTAACGGCGGTTATATTTCGAGGAAACGCACTCTGGATGAGTTCATGGAGGATCGCGAGTCTCAGTTGGAAAGACGTCGACGACCCACATCATCTAACATGATCCCTTTCTCGTCCCCTCCACGATCTCGGCTTTCTCAGACAGAACCTGGGGGTTCCAGAGGGCGCCCAATATGTATTCCCGATTCACCTCGGGCACCGAAGATCGCTGCGTCTTCCCCGGTTAGAGATGGCACTCAATCAACCGCGCGCCGAAAGTATGTAGTCCCAGATTGGGCTCGTACAGATACTGCCATGCGACCGAGGCTTTCTGAGGAAGTCCAACGTGCGTTGAAGGAGGCGGAAGACAGAAAACAGGCGGAGTGTGAAGAGAAGAGACGATTAGAACGAGAACGACGTAGAGCTAGCAGAGCACAAGGTCGACAGCACCGTGAAAATACAGAAAGCGACGCGCCAACCACTGCTACCAATGTAAAATCATCATCTCCTCTTCGGCCCATCGCCGCTGTCAACACTGGTTTTGCTCTGGTTTCGACCACGTGCGAAATTCATTCTGTGTCCAGTTTTTTAACAGGGTCAAGGTCACAGACACCGCCACCCAGCCAGAACATGGCGCCTCCATGCACACCTCCCAGGAGGAGGCCTCTCGACTCTCCATCGACGCCTGTCGGTTCATCTCTCTTTACTCCGCTCGCCGATTCTTGGAAGAGCCCTTTGGCAGGCCCCTCTGCATCACCTTCATACGGTGCAACAGGAAAACACGCTTCGGAGGATAAGGACCTTAGCGAAGAGCCCGAAAGCGCCTTCGAAGAGCTTAACTCTCTCCCGCCAAGCTCTTTACCTGACGACGATGACAACGAAGCCGCACCCGATATGGAACACGAGCCTGTTCCCAGCAATACGAAGCAGTTTTGGCAAGGTCTTCCACCCTCTTCACCAATACAGTCGAGCAGTCCTCTTGAGGATGAAGACGACGATAGCGATCGTGAAATTCCCATAGCCACTTCAGATGCTGAGGATGGTGGGGATGGAGAAGATACGTACACAGACATGGAGAGCCAGCCCCTCTGTTCTACATCCAAAGAAGCAGTCCCTTTACCTGCAAATCCTCCAGCGCCTGATGAAAACGGGGTCGCTATTCCTCCCTGGCAGGATCAGCCCGGCGTGGATATGGACATGTACAACATGTTCACCAACGTAGACTATGGACGTAGCACGACTTTCGCCCCGGAGGGACTTGATCTAACCGAGTTTATGGAATCTATGAAGCCGTTGATCCAGAATCAGCTGGATCATAGCTCGAATGGGCAGGGGGTCTTTGATTTTAATTGGATACATTCGGGTGAGAGCGAGCTGGATCCTACTCAGTTGGCAGCGTCCGTGCAGGAGCTGTTTAGTGGGTGCTTGATGTAACGAGTAGTACAATTTGCTGCATAGAACGCATTATACCACATTTACTTATCATCTCATCACAACACAACATTTCGAAAGGTTTTTTTGTGCTGTGTACCCAGACTTCAGCGACGGATCGGCAATAATACTTGCCAAAGTTCTAGGTGCTTCATATGTACGATATGGTACAATCATGTTTAGGTTCCTGATTCAAGTCCGTGTTTGGTTCATACTCAAACTCAAGCTATAGTACATCACACATTCTGGCGAGAAACCTGGAACGAATATATATTTGTGTAACAACGATAGATACTAGGTTAACTCAAGGGTGCCTTGTCCTCTGATGTGGTTGCGAGATTAAAGGCATTGCCAAGACAGTCTACAGTTCGACATTCAAATTTCAACTTTAAATTTCAACACTTGCCATGACTTAGCAGCAGTATACATTAAAAGAGACACGGAATACAAAGCCTTATCCCTAACTATCTTAGATACAGTTACCGTGTGTACTTGTTTCTACTTGATTACCAAAAAAACGAGTTACGGCCTCTAGCCCTGTTTTGCTTAGTAAGCTCTATACTTTCTCCGTCGTTGCCTGTCTTCGCAGTGACTCCGCCACAGACTTTCGTCGCATAAACCACTGAAACGGTGGGAGCATAAACATGGAAACTGCGACCCATGCTATTAGAACGCCGAAATTCATGCCAACTAAAAGTATCCCATTAAGATCTCGATGACTATACATGAAGGAATAGGTGGTACTCACGTTCATTCTTGGTCCCGAAGATGATAGTCCTCACAGCGCAGGAGAGGTTGTAGAAGGGAAACGCATATCCGTAGCGATATATATGCGGGAGAACATCGATGGGCAGGAAGCACACCGAGACATTGACTGGGGTCGGCATTAATAAGGTCGAGCTGTAGGATAAGGGACATGGGCCACTCACCAATAATCCAAAATATCATGAAGAACGGCACGAATCTCAGCGTCATGAGCGTCACCATCGCCTCGAGCGCCAGTCCCACAGCCAACATTCCAACGTAATTAGCCATCCAGAATACGAGGAATCCAGAATGTCCCAACCTACATGGCTAGAACTCGAGAAACGAAACGGGAGGGAGAATGGTAGAGGCGACTCACACTGTGGAGAAGTCTACTTGAAAGGCCAGACTAAGCAGGGAGTAGAATAGTGATAATGCAAAGTAGGCAATGAAACTGGATGTTAATCTGACTCTGACAAGGGAGGCTGTCGTTAATGATGTCTCTAGTCCGGACTGTTGACAGGCGACGGAGCAGAAATTCTAAGCGTGATGGAGGCGGTCAGGAAAGAAATTGAAGTAATGAGAGGGAAACATACCACAATGAAGCACGAGCACGTAAATAAGACCGACAAAGGTGACAGCACTGGCTCTGCATGGCCGGTGAGATACATATCTCTATACACAAGAAATGGACGTACACTGGGACGTCAAAAGGACGCAGGTTGTTGAGGGTGTAGCTGATAGGCTCCGTCAAGACCTGTGGCGCAGTAGTGGATATTGAAACCAGAGTGTCGGACGATGACGACGCGACTTTTTGAAGAAAAGATTGGGAAAAGTTCTGAGTAATGGCAGCAAGCGAAGTCTGTACAGATGGGTGGATGAAAGCGCGACTGTAGAAGGGAATATAAGAACATAGACTTTGAGGGCAGATTAATTACTCACTAGGCATTCTCGTTCCGTGCCTCGATAGCGTAGACTGTAATGGCTTCTGAGCCGTCATACGAGGAATTTGCCGTTGACACCGCTGATTGTAAAGCTGTCGTGGCGTTTGAGTTGACTGCGTTTTAGATGAGCCACTATTGACAAGAGAGAAATGGAAATGAGCACATACCAACAACGGCGATCCATGTCTTCTGATTGACGACTAGATTGGCGACCTCTGCTGCGCCGCCGGAAAAATCACTCGACGGCCGTTCCATCCAAGAAACTTTAGATGATGAAGACAAGAGACCTTGAACGACCGCATTTCCCACTGTTGACCTATCAAAGTCCTGTCGCGACAGTAAGCTCAAGACAGAAATATAATAAGGTAGAAAAACTACTCGCCAGAACCCATCCTTGTAAATTATGTGCTGAAATCTTCCACAAAGCGCCCCAATATATTGAAAAAAAGCGAAACATCGCGACGGTCACAGCCAGTGTTCCAGCAGCTACGACTTTCATATATATGAGACGCGACGCCTTCATTGGAGCAGATGCTTCCGTGAATTTGGACGAATACATAGTTGGGAGGTCTTCACTTTGGATGGAAGGAGTTCCTGTAGAGGCTGAATGCATAGTGTTAGTCCGTTCCGTAGTATTTTGGGGAAACGATATACCGCGACAGAATCGCTATAAGCATTTTCGGGGGGTAGGAATGTCTGAGATTAGAGAGACACCGGCAGGCGGGTGGGGGATCCGAGGCTAGCTGACCAAACCTCCTGATCGTGCGTCAGTACAAGATTACCCACGGTTCCAAAATTCAGCTCCGAGGTCTCAGAACAGTCATGTCCTTGGATGCTGGGTACGAAATGGAGCGATAATGAACAAGGCTGCTTTTTTCACCATTTGTTTCAGTCTAATGGATGAAATGAATATGAATAAGTACAAAACTGAGTATCTCTGGCTGTGGTGGTGTTGGTGTTGGTGTTGGTGGTGTTAGCGGGCAAGGTCCCAGTCAGGAACATAAATAGATTTTGTTTTTTTAAAAATTTTAATGCTATAGACCTCTTTCAAGAGAAGTTAAATGGTATAATTGGCCTTGCTGCTCTCCACTTCAGCCTTGAACTTGGCAAATTCTTCAGCATATTCAGCAAACACAGTTCCATCAGCGCCGCCGGCTCTGATTTCAATGCTCCGGGACGAGATCGACGTCTGGATATCGCAGTCGCCAGTGTCGGGACAGACATCGGTTCGGTCGAGGTCCTTGTCTATTGGGCCTGATGGAAAGATGGGTCAGATCCAATCTTAAGTAATGTCATGTCAAGGCACACCTGTGGGTCCACTAACATAGTGACACTCTCCGAATATACAATACTGTCTATCGTCACTGTCGGGGTACTGCTCATCGCCCCAAAAGCCTAACCAGTCGAGCCAGCTGACGCCTTCGCTGACCTGCTCGCTACCGCCCACGTCGACTCCCCCCGCACTGCTGAAATCGCCAGAGGAAACGTCATACCAGAACCCTCGGAAGTTCTTCGTGACGTCCCAGAAGAAACCAGCATCGGTGGTATCGTGCAGAAGACCGAAGGGGAGAGTGTAATCTTGCTGTCCAGCTGTGGCATAGTTAGCGTGCGTCCCGGTAGCTACGTATGTGACGGCGCGGCCGTTCTGGGAGGCGAGCGCATCGTAGGTATAGGATGTACCGCCGGAGTGGGCGGATAGGTAGACGTATTCGGGCGACCCGTTGACAAAGCGGACCATTGAATGCTCCCAGTCCCCGACATGATTGCCTGTCATTATCATCAGTACTTGGACTAGGAGATGAAGCACGTCTTACCAAAAACAAGTCCTAACACTGTGTTTCCTAGGCAAAATTTATTAGCATACTGCGGTGTTTTAGTAAACCGAGATCATTGGGCAGGTACCATGATTATAGGAGTAAAAGTAGAAATAGAAAGCGTCGACGATGCCTCCATCTTTTTCCACGCAAATTATGGTGGCAGGGGCGGGACTGTAGCCGGAGGAATCAGGCTTGTTAGAGGTGGACAGCAACCATGCGGGGTTATCTTCGACATTATCATCGGACGTAAGATACGCGTCTGACGGTACACTGTCGAGGGTTTCGACTGTCGCTTGATATCCGAGGGACGTATAATCAACCTGTCCGAAAAAAAACATTTCAGTGAATTCGGTCGAACACTGATAGACAAGAAAAAACCTCGGGAGTGGTATGCTGAAGATGAACGGATATATCGGACTGCCACCAACTTTCACCAGAGTACAGGTATGTGTAAGGCGCGTAGGTCAAGGCATAACTGGGTATCGAGTCGCGCTTGGACAGAGGCTTAGACGAGGTAGGTGCACCATGAACTCGCAGAAAGAGGGCAGCGAAGAGCAGAGAAACCTGGAAGTCAACGAGCATCATAGTCGAGATCCTGGAGGCCCACAGTAAAGAGACGCTGATTCGTTCTCTTAAATATGCACATGCATGCTTTGCCTTGCAATCACAGGGATCATTGTATCTGATGAGAACGTCACTTGAGAATGTTAGCAATAAAATTAACAACTATAAGAACGAAGGTCCATATGGTCCACGAACGTTCATGTGAGTAAGGTACTGGGATGACTTGATTGAGTCACATGGTGCACGTGGTAACACGGCGCGGAGGTTAAATAACGGTTTATGTAAGATGGAAGCTTGGGATCGACCGCATTTCCTTCCTAATTTGGGCCACTCGCGGCACAGCATTACTCTTCTGTCTTCGAAAACCATGCTCAGCGAAAAGGCAAAGGGAAAGCGACGAGCCGTCGAACCTGTAGAGCCAGATCCTCATCCAGACCGGGCGCTCGTTATTCGTTTCACTGAAGGCATAGCCGACCTTACTTTATCCATCAGCAAGCATGATGCGGTCCGAGACGTTAAACGAATGGTGCGCAGCTCATTATCTCTTCCATCATTCCAACTATTCATCCAATTCAGATTCGTGCCGAGAGGACTGAACTGAAGGAGAGAAAACTCAGGCTTATCCATTCCGGCCGCCTCCTCACCAACGGAACCTTTTTGCTTTCGTGGCTTGAATCTCTGGAAGATCGGCAGAAACGAGCTACAAGCAACGAGAGGAATTCTGATGAGGTTGTCAGGCCTTCGACGACCTGGCTGCATTGTTCCGTTGGGGGCAAAATTGATTCCGAAGGGGACAGCGACGATGGTACTGTCCAGGTCAGTCCGAGTCGCTACACCGTATCTCTCGACTTAACCTTTCTAGGCGGGTCAATTACAACCAGCAAGAGGTTTCGACAGACTTGCGTCCGTAGGATTCTCTGAGGCAGACATTGCTAACTTCCGTCATCAATTTCACACGTCATCGAGCTTCATGGACGACGAACACTTTGATACGGAGGAGGAATGTGAGCTGGGCCTCTTCTCTACGCGTCTTATATTTTGTTCATCCGTCTCTCACAAGATGACGAGCATGCTCGTGCGCTCGAAGAGCAGTGGATTGACTCCATGGACAACGCTGGAACAGCAACTCTATCTCAGTCGGGGGGACATAATCCGTCTATGATGCAAGGTCTTGTCGCGGGCTTCTTTTTCCCTATAATACCTCTATTTTTTATTCGCAAGACACACCCACCCGTGTTCTGGGAAGACGGTACTGAATATGAACCTCCAGACAGCGTCATCTTTTCGTAAGACATATTCTTTTCCTTCGTTTTCGCCCACCTGATTGTTATTTAGGCGCCCGATGCAAGTTGGCCTCGTGATAGGTTTCATAGCCAATATCATGTTCGGAATGTGGAGACTATTTCTTGACACATCGTAGAGAGAACACCAAATGATACATCTACCAGTGTTACTATACTTATCACTGACCTTTGATTATATCTGCTGCCTGAATTTTGCTTTTGTGTGATTATCATTGTATAAAATGTACACATAGACCGGACGGACCTTTTCTCCAATGGCATAGGCCAACGTTTGGATGTTGGATGATAGTTGCTGAAACGGACATCAGTCTCGTGAGAGATACGTGCTCATCACGTACCAAAGGTATCACAGAGCAATCGACCTAGTAAAGCCAGTTTCAAGAAAAGTACATTTACAAGACTTGAGGTACCTACAACCCTTAAATTCGACGTTCCATAGACCAAGAGATTGCTGTCTACCACGCCACCATTGCTGCGAGGAACCATAGAAGCCGTACCGGCAGGGTGATGCACCGTCGTCAGAGTATTCCGGATATACTCCCCCATAGTCTCATCACCAGCCTCAGCAGAGAACGGCGGTACCACAGTGGACTTGATGGTATCCTTGATCGGAGAGGTTTGGCACAACTTGTTTGTAACAAATGCGAGAATTTTCACTAGAACGTCAAGATCATTTGGATTCGACAGGTAGTTTTGTTCGATTGCGGGTGGCATGAGCGGGTCGACCGACATAATATGAACGCTTCCTCGGTGGAATGGGTGGGTATAAGCACAAAGGAGGGTAAGGTAGCGTTTTTGACGGTCGATATTCATTCCGGGTATCGGCATGTGGCCATTTAAAGACAAAATCCTGAGAAACGATGAATATTTTTTGCTAGTTATGGCAGGGGAAAGGGCCTACTGAGCCATGGGCTGGGTTGCGTCTCTAATCCAATTAGCCAACAATCCGAATTGTTTCTTCATTCCTTCCCTGACGCTGGAATCCAGGTAGTCCAATGTGTTTCTCGCACTCTCTAGGTTCGCCCTAGATATCCATGTTTCGACCTCATTGGTCGTAGCTATACTTTCTGCGGGGAAAAAGGCAAAAGTGGCAGATGGAACACCAGCGAAGATCCCTTTTTGGATTTTACTAGTATAAGATGCCATCAAGAAGAAAAAAAGTTGAGAAGAATTGGAAAATGACATACTAGAGTTCCTCGTGCTCCTTCAATTTCGCGGGATCAGAAAGAACTTCCAAGGTTTCCACGTCCTCATCTACTTCCACGATGACGTGTGTTAATGCATGATCCTCTGTTTGCACGAGCTTAGACCCACGTTCGTAAAATTGACTATAAAAAGAGCGTCTCACGAAGGTTCTCGCCAACTCCTGGTAGATCAATCAAACACTCAATACCAAATGACTGAAGAAGTCGCTCCTGTCCGATTCCCGATAATTCTAAGAGCTGAGGGGTCTGAAAAGAGCCTGAGGAAATGTGATTGGCGAGGGCGAAGAAAGATGATAAGGGGTACCGTACCAGCTGATAAAATTATTTCCTTCGAAGCATGCACACTTTTGGTCAGCCCGTCCTTCACCAAAGTTACGCTGGTGGCCTGATAGCGACCACTCTCTGTCTTCGTAAGATTGACCTTGGTTGCGTGAGCATTCGTCAAAATCAGCAAGTTAGACCGATCGGCATTTGGAGCGTAGTAAGCAGAAGCCGAATAGGAACGAGTCGCAGTCTTTGCTTCAACCGACGTTGGGAAAAGTAGAGATCCAACTGGATGACCGTTACTCTGTAAGTTCGATTAGAGTGGGGCACGAGATATGATGGAATCCTGTGACTAACATTGTCTAGATTACGCGGAATGCCTAAAGACTCGAGAGTATCAAGGAGTTGCGTGTGGACCTTTGTAACATGAGGCGGAAAAGATTTTGCGATGGGCCCTATCGGAATTTGAGGGCTGAATCAAGATGAAACGAGTAACCTACCTTCGGTCCCATGTAAGGCAGTATCTGGGACGACGGAATACGCTGTGGCTTCCTCATCTGTCAACGTAGGAGTCTCCAGATGTTCACTCTAAAAACGACAGCGAAGAGGCGTTAGCAGCAAGTGCATATATCTCAACGATGATCCTACCTTCTTCATGTAGTGAAGCATATTTTCCCAGTTCCATCCAGGGTTGCCTAGACTCTCTATAGCATCTATCTCTTCCTTGGACGGGCGAACGGAAGCAAAAAAATTCAACTTGAGGGCATGTTAGATGAATTGCAGCTACTTTAACTTCAGCGGTGAATGACTTACAAGAGAAGATCCACCAAGCCCTTTCCCTCGAGACTGGGACAACTGCCTATTGTTGACGAACTTCTGAGGAACAGTATGGAAGTTCCAGTCATATTTGGGATCGTGCAGAGCCCTTGCCATCATTCCTGAGAATCACTCTCACTGTGGATTCACGTCCCTGACTGGTGACGCGCGTACCGGGAATATTTACCAGATCGTCATGTTCATGGTACTCCCCGGCTTCAACAACCCCTACGATACAGTCCGGATTCTCAGAGAGCCTGTATCCGAAAAGGAAGTTACTTCAACACGCCCAACAAAGAGATCCTAGAATTACGCACCGAGCAGCAACGACAAGTCCTGCAGTTCCTCCACCTACTACTAGGTAATCAAATTTGGTCGTAAAAAAATCGACGACAGTAACGATGGGCATTTAGAGTTGAAAGATCAGGTATGTGAACGAGATTTGTTGCCGTTGGATACGGCAGTTAGCACTGCCGCGTTGATTGATTTCAGTGAGACAAGACAGCTTGAGAGTGAAGCAAGCTGAATTTCACATCCGAGTCGAACCGGTAACCATGATGGAACGCGAACAAGACCATCAGACAGAAAACTTGAAAATCTTGGGTTTATCATAATTTTGATGGAACGGGTCGGGGGAACGGGGTTTGTGAGAGTGAATCTCTCAGCAAGCCTCGGATAGTCGGAAACTCATCCTTCTTTACGGGAAAATATTCCTCATTCGCTTTCTCATCTACGGAATCCTAGAACTTACAGAAATCGACGAGGCCGCGTTAATGCTAAAGAAAGCCTGCTATAATAATCTCCGTTGGTTCCTTGAATCTGAAAGCAGGCCGTTGTCCTCCATATTTAGAGAGTTTTCCTTCAACTACTATCTTCATTGGGGATTTCAACGCTACGCTGTCTCTGTTTCATCACTTCTATACCCTTACGTGTCCTGTTGTTCCCGGAATCAGATACTGTAGACACACCTCGGGTCTACTACACCTGAGCACTGTATTAAATGTTTTTTTCTTGTGGACGCATATTTCCTTTCGGTGGATCATTACTCCCAGCTGCAGAGAAACACCTGATCAATTTGACCACAGCTGTTCTCAAAGTGGGACAGGCAGACCTTTGAATGGTGCGATTTATCAAACATGGTCCAAATGTCACGTCGCTTCGCTTCATTCTCGCTTTCGTCCGAAGAAAGTGAATGGAAATAACTAATCGTAAGATCCTTATTGAAAAAGTGCTTCTCAGGCTGTCGCAAGGTGTGCATATGGCAGAACTTAAAAGTTCAGATCCGATGCACGTACCCGTTCATATGGGATGCATATATGGAATCTATGTAACATCGCTTCTTTCCTTTCTCTCACAACTTACTAATCCGCAGAATATGGCGTTCTGGCTCAACAGTTTTGTCTACGCCCTTTCTTTACTCTGTCTCGTCAAAGTGTGGAATGCATACCAGACTTACGTGAAGGTAGGATCAAGCCTCGGAAACTGGAAGCACGTATTTATCTCTCCTTGGCAGCTGAAAGCGATCCCTACCGTTGGCCCATCCGGATTTATATCGTCATGGATCGGTGCATTCAGGTTTCTGTTTCACGGAAGGGAAATTATTCAAGAGGGATATAGCAAGGTTGATATGAATGCACCCAGCTTTCGTTTCTCGTATTGTGGGCTAATGTCTCACGTACGTAGTATCGCGGGTCCGCCTTCAAGGTGCCTCTTGTCGATCGTTGGATGGTAATCGTGAGCGGTGACCAGCACATCGATGATATGAGGAAAGCCCTTCCCGATCACCTTTCGTTCCTGGACGAAATAGAGAATGTGAGTGATGAGTTGTCATTCAAGCATCCAGCACGAATATTGTACTCACAACTATCGCCTTGGCAGACATTGCAAACGACGTACACCTTGGGAAGCAGCCTCCACTCGGACCCCTATCACATCGACGTTGTACGGAGTGCGTTGACAAGGAATATTGCAGCTTGCTTCCCGGTCGTTCGTGATGAGATTGAAGCCTCCTTCAAGGATGAGATACCAGAGGCGGAAGGCATGCCTTCGCCATCCTATATATCTGTTTTAGTTGTCTCACTCTCTTCAGATTGGAAAAAGGTTCCCGCCTACTCGTCCATCTTGCAGATTGTTTGTAGAACCACGAACCGATTGTTCGTTGGTCTTCCGCTCTGTCAGCTGTCCACATTCTTCTATTGGCACTTACTGATGATCTGACCGGGCCTAAGGTCGAAATCCTGAATACAGAGCACTTAACATTGAACATACCATACAAGTCGTAACTTCTGCTCAAGCAATCAACGCCTTTCCTGAGTTTCTAAAACCGTGAGTTTTGCAATGGATGTCTGTACTCAGGCTTACGGTGCTGAATTTAGACTCGTCGCCAATTTCTTTACGCCTATATCTCGCAGTATGCGCAAGGCCGAGAAGCACTTGGGTCCGATCATAAGAGACCGCTTAGAGAAGGAGAATGAATATGGTAGAGACTGGCCCGGAAAGCCTGTGCGCATTTTGACCCACAAAAGAAAGAACCTTCCATTGACTTAATGGTACAGAATGATCTTCTATCATGGCTTATCGAAGTGGCTTACGGAGGGGAAAGACGCACCGTCCGTGACTTAACCAACCGTGTTCTTGCTTTGAATTTCGCTGCTATCCACACAACATCAATGGTATAGACAATATTAACCTGAGAGCCGTCTACTAATCTTTGCGTCAGGGATTTATTAATGCATTATATTGTCTGGCTGCACATCCTGAATGTGCTCGACCACTTCGAGAGGAGATTGAGGCTGTTATCAAAACAGATGGCTGGACGAAACAAGCAATGGGGAAAATGCGAAAACTGGATAGCTTTCTTCAAGAGGCACAGAGGATATATGGAGTAGGCGCATGTGAGTAATACTGCCTCGGGGTTACATAAACTGACCATGAAAGATAGTGGGAATGGGTCGCACAGTCCGGAAAGACTTCTCCTTTTCAGACGGGACTGTAGTTCCTGCTGGGGCCCACGTGTCCGTTGCTGCCTTCGCCACTCATATTGATGCGGTACGTTCAATATTGTACTCATCGTAGCTCTCTCTTACGTAGATCGATAGGATAACTATGAAGATCCTTATGAGTTCAAGCCCTGGAGGTTCTCTGAGATGAGGGAACAAGAGGGTGAAAGCATACGCCACCAAATGGTTACCCCCAGGCTTGACTATATTCTCTTCGGCGTCGGACGCACAGCCTGGTAAGCGCTATGTACAAATGCACAATAACTGAAGCTCAGCTGTACCTAGTCCTGGCCGCTTCTTTGCAGTCAATGAACTGAAAACCTTGTTGTCACACGTTCTTCTGAATTACGACGTGAAGATGGAGAAGCCTGGCCAAGTCCCACCACCAGGCTGGTTTGGCTCTGCGCAACTACCAAACACAAAGGCCAAAGTGATGTTCAGGAAACGTAAATTCTCATAAATTCCTTACTATCAAATCAAGATTGGTCACCTTTACGACCTGCCTTTTTATGCCGCTGGAATGTACTTGATTGGATGTGGATCGATTTTAATACCTGTGATACTTACATTACGGAGAATCGAAATCCGCTTGACGAGAAAAACATTGGCTATCTAGGTGATAGTGGAGATTCCGGTAGTCATCGCTAGAAGGACAATGGTAGACGATTTTTGTTTCATCGAGATTTGAAATTCTTTCTCAGCGAAAAGAATTGTCTGCTAGACTCGAATCAGTCTCACCAGCAGTTGTCTATACTCTAGTCGATCGACTGCCTTCAACCGAGCCACTCCCCAGTCTCACTGTGTGCTAATTTATCCACCAATCTACTAACCGAGATGATGAAGGGAGTACTTAAGACGACACTCAACCGAATTGACAAGTTGGTTTCATAAGTAGACTCATGCCTATGGTCATACAAGTATCTGTTAGTACGGACTTCGATACAGTTCTGTTAACAGAACATCATCAACTAATGGGACCTTCGTAACTGACACATCAAATGTCATAGACCATTCTTCCGGCCACCCAAGCGTAAGGGTAGTTATGCTGGTAAAAATTCCGCACTGTACGACGACATAAACGAGGAATTGTAGCATACGACGCCCCAAGCTGCATAAAGATATTAAGGGTTGATGTATCGGATATGAATGAGGCACCACATACCACAACCTGATGCTTCGTGTCGAAGAAGTCGTTGGTATATCTAGGGCACGTAGTCAATTACAATATTATCTTCATGTTACAAGTAGGACGAACCCAGGGAACAGCTTGGTAGGAACAAGCCCTTCATGGTCATCGAGAATAGTCGATGTCCATTCCCATACACCTCCGTTCGAGCCCTTTCCATTCTCTCCGAGTCCCATCGTCGCCCTGGATGAACCAAGATAAGCATGTGTCGTATTTCTGAGAGAACAGAAGTTCGCTTACGGAACTGGGTGCCAATTTCTAAATCCAACATTAGCTCCACCCTCGTAGCCAACGTCGTAGTTATCGAGCAACAGCCTTAACTCAGGTTCCGTAGGCAACCGTCCACCTTTAAAACAAGCAAAGGTAGCGAGATCATCATAGGAAGCGAGTACAGGCCAATGTTGGGCATACTCCATTGCGATTGGACCATACATAGTCTTGACCTATCATTAAAGTTTGAACACTACCGTACGACGGACCACAGAAGGAGAGCTCACCATTACTTCATCACCAACCATCTCCCAACTCTTCGGAAGAGAGACAACATTCTTGCCTTTACCCTGCCAGAAATCCTTGAAGTCTCCATTCGTAATCGGCCGCCAGTCCGCCTTAAATGCATTGACATGCACATCTCGAAGGGGACTTTCATTGTCCCAGCCAAATTCGTGGCCCGAGACGTCATGCTCGAATTCGGCGACGGCGTCGTCAGCCTCGGAATCATTGTGGCCCATATTTAGCGTGGCTGGACCTATGGTTACTGTAGGCGTAGCAGGCAAAGGTGTATTATTCCACTGTTCGGCAAGGGCCTTCCATGGAGGGGTGGTGAAGCCAGGAGGTGGAAGGGTACCTGTTCTGGCTCGTTGGATGAGCATGTAGAGTAAAGTCTGAATTGCATGCGAGCGTTACATGAACATAATGCTTCAACATATATATCAATGAAAACCCACTTCGACATGAAAACCTTCGTGCTCGAGGGTCATGACAAGGGTCCGAGCGATGTTGCGTGTCAAAACTTGTTTTCCGCTTTCGACGTCTTCATAGAGTCGTGCGAGCCGCGCCCGTACGCCGTCACGGAATTCTATAATAGCACCCAAGCTCGGCCAGTCTTCGTCAACTTCCGGAACTTCAGAGTGATTCTACAACACTTCCATGATCAGAGGAAGACTCAAAGCAGGAAAGAGGTACTCACATGGCAATATTCTGGGTCATCAACATGCGGATCAATACCCCTCTGGAATATGCATAAAGTTCCAATGGCTCCACCGCAGATAGAAGCATACCTCGAAGATGTTCCAAAAGAAAGCAGGTTCGGTAGCTGAACCGCCAATTGCCTTGGAGAGAAGCATGTCCAAGAACCTTGGCAAGGAGCCAGTCAAGCAGGGAACGACTAGCGAGTGACAAGGCTTACGTAGGAATATGTCCGATATAAAACAGACACTTGTGCCTCAAATCGATGGGCTTCTGAAGCAACATCGCTTGAGGAATCATTTTGAGAGTGACGAGATCCCAAGCCGACCAAAGAGTTTTCCACTCGTCAAACGTAGGTATATTCTCTCTCAAATCAAATCGCCGTCCAGAGCCTTCTGAGGAGGATATCAAGGGCAACGTAAACGAGACCGGAGGAAAAACCACGGCAGGTCGTTCCACGACATAGAAAGTATGTGAGCTGTTGGGTGATGCCATCGATATGATAGGGCGAAATGAGGCGACCGCAAGTGCGTTGAGATGGTCTGCACGGACTGGAGAGAACACCTAGTGGGTGCAACGATATCAGCAAAAGATAGCAGACCAGGATGGAAACGAAGAATCGACCTTGAAATGCGCGACACCAACGCTGTCATTGCCAGCAGTAGCAAAGTACTGGACGTTGCCGCATGTCTGTTCATTCCAACCTTCAACTACGGATCGCTCGATAATATCACCTATGCAAACTCCAAAGGGGCCCCCTCCCTCGCACTGAGCAAAGACCTGCTTCAAGAGATCCCCAGTGGCATCTGACGTGCGAAGATACACCCACGACTTGGGCCATGGCATGCAGCCGTCTTCCAGATATGCTTGCGAATTGGCAGAAATCGAAGACGACGTGGATGGCCTGGAGTCATCGGACAAAGCCTCCGACTGTTCAGAGCTTCGGGAGTGGTGAAGATGATCAAGAGGGAGAGCTTTCGCAAGATAGGCGAACATTGCAAGCGATAGATGGATTTCAAGCAAATATGATGCTGATATGGAACAAAGAAAAAAGGAGGTTTATATAGGACAACACAGGTGGTAACACGTACAAAAACCTCTATTAGTTGTAATTAGGTGCCTAGATAGCCCCCTTCCCAAACGAGTTCCGTTATGAGCCGGATCTACCGAAAAAAAGTAACCGTACACAGCCCGGAGTTCAAAAGAGAAGGTGAGACCTGGCCGTACTCCATGGATCAAGCATCAAAGAATTGAATAACCATGTCAACTAAACACCTCGTCTTGTCTTGTGAGTCAAAGAGGAAGCCAGCAGTTTGAGCGGACAAGGAGCCTTATCGCAGGGGCACCTGATAGGCCAGAAGGCCGGGCGTTACACGAGGCAGACAGGAGTTATGCATGCTGCAAGCGCTGCCCCATTTCTCGTTCCGTGGATATTGTAGCCGTGCATCGTAAACATCACATCGCGAAGACAGGTGTATTGGACAGATAACCCAAGTTACAGAAGTAGAGCAGCGCCTTGACAGTACGTGTGGACCCATGCGTCGGACAGCGCTGAATTCAACTGATACTTGATTGTCGATGTATATGGTGCTCCCTAAGGGTCGGCACCAATGAAGACATCAGCATAAGGAGGAAGACGCGCCGAAATAACCATCAGCCCTTCAGCGATTCTTCGGAAAACGGTGGGACAAGTTCTCATCAAGCAGCAGCGAATGGGGGAGAAAGTGAAAGTGCATTCAAGTCCCGCTGAAGCTCTTATCTACTTGTCCGAGCACGCCATCTCGCCTCAACAGCACGCAATATGTCGTGCACGTGATTTATCCGTGACCGACGTGAGCCGACGCGCCGTCGCTGTAATTATTTAGCAGTCTTTGACTTCATGGTGCGCAGCTCAACTTTGGCTCTGGCCAGTAAGTCTTTCAGATGGAAGCGACAAGGTGAAATTATCACCCCTGGTTTATTTACTTAGGGCCGAGAACCTTGTCTTAAGACTCGTTAGAAGCCGTAATTTCAACACAATCACAATATATCGACTCAATGAAGTCGAAACGAATCACACTCACCCCAGGAAGACGATATATAGGTATGGTCTATACAGGATGCTTGTCTATTTATTTACGTACATCCTCTGCAGGATTATGTGTGACCGGAGATTTAACCGCGAGTGGACTAGAGATGCAACAATCAGTCTTGGTAGTACTTCCACTCTGTTCAAGTGTCGATCGACGATGCGTAGCTTGATTATCATCGGACCTCAGTTATGGATGCCATAAGTATAGCGCGATCTTCGATTCAGATCATCCTCACCCCATAACAGAGGCCCTGAAACTCCAGGCCCAATGAAGGCCCAGGTCACGGTGATGTTAAAATGATATTTTTCCTTCCCGATACTTATCAGGATATAAGTATGCACTTGTGATCGGCCCCACGTCAGAATCAGGGTTCAAAAAGTAATGACAGCAATTGGGGTCCTCGACATTCTTTGCTACGAATTCCAAACATATTCGTACAACGATTGGTAGACAAAGCAGCACACTAATGCATCATCAGATTTCGAATTCAAAAGCCCACGTCGTCTGCGTATCGGTCTGGAAAATGGGGAAAGAGACAGAGTTCTCAGAATATGTATGATCGACCCATCCCAAATCCGTCGGATCGCCGACCTGACCAAAATGCCCTCCCGTAAACGAGAACTGGAAAGTATTCACCGGAAGGGTCCCGGACTGAGGGAGGCTAACGGACGCAAGGTTGTTAATCGTCAACTGCCAAGTCCCTGCGCGCGCATGTCCGTGTGAAGGTCCAGCAAAACTACATATGAGAAAACTTACCGGTCGTCTGGCGGTTCCCCACCAAGATTCTTACCCGATCAGACCCTACCACACCGTACGAGTCAGCTAGTCGATCAATTGACCCCGAGCTTGATACTCGGTGGCCTGTCATGTTCGTATTGTAGTATTTGTACACCTGCCACTCTAGAGAACGTTATGGGAGGAAGAAAAGTCGAGTACAAGAAGACCGACCTCCATTGGGCCAGTACCCAGTGCCTGTCGCGTCGCTGACGTTAGTCTTCCCGAGGAGACTGGCCAAGAAGTCGTGTAGCTGGGTTGTGGAAAGCCAGTTACCCCGTAAACCAGGGACGTTGTAGCGTTCCAAACGTGCGATCCACCACGCTGCTCCGGCTGGGTTCTGCTCCGCGAAAATACCGTATTCATCGATAATTACTTGCTTCTGAGGGAGGTCAAATTGGCTTAGCAGCTGACCTAAAATGGGAATGTTCGTTTGGAGATCGTCATTCACATCTGAGGTCTAAGAGATGTACTCATGAGTGAAAAAGTGCAACATTGGATAACACGATTAGCATACGCTTCCTTCTAGATGCCAAACATACGCATCTGGAATGGTGTTGTTGCTCGCAACTTGCTGGAAGAAGTTGGTCCACCTGATTAGGCGAAGCTTAAGAACGATGTAAAAGTGCGAAGGAAAGAAAATATCACCATGTATTTGATGTACTTGGCGCACTGGCTAACGTTGGGCCAAAGAGTGAAACAAATGGTAACTCGGATCTTCTCTTCGAGCTAACATACGCAGCAGTATTTTCGGGATGACAGCCTTACCTGAAACGATTGTAGGTTCGATCCCACATAGCAAGCCATTGGCTCTGGGCTTGAGGCATTTGGTGAGTAGGCACGTGGGATTTTCAAAGAAGTACTCAGCGCACTTCTATTCCAGAAAACCGTCAGGTCCGGCTCGTTCCATATATCCATCCTGAGGCCCGGAGTCATGTCGTTGGCTTGGATATCCGAGATGAGTTGGGTCAGATAATTATCAAAGTCCGTCCAGTTGCCGTTATCTCCCGGGTATGGTGCAGAAGAGCCTTGAGTCCCGTCTGCGCCCCATAGATCATGGAGTAAGAAGATGAATTTTGCACCATATTTTCGTGCAGTCTTGTAGTTGGACAAAACAGATGCGAATCGGCCCTAGGAACACATTAGACCAATGCGTCTCGCGATCGACTGGTGCCGTATGAAGCCTACAGGGTACTCTCCAAAAATCCATCCTCTTCCTGGAGCAAGCACTTGAGCTCCCCCTGCCCTCGCATAGTTAAATCCCATTTCTAGATTCTACGTGAAACTACAGAAATAGAGTGACACTGAAAAAAGCGAACCTGTGTAGAAATGGTCCGGAATTTGATTCGGAGTATCGGGAATCCCATAGATAAAACCTACAGAGTGAAATGGGATTAGGACACTGGATATTCTTGGCAAAATCTCGTCGCGTACCAGATGCCAAGTGCAGAGGAGTTCCCAGGTTCGTCGAAAGATCGACAGTGGTAACCTGACTAGAAGTCTGCCTTTTCCCAGCACTTTCGGGCTTAAAGGCAGCAGCTCGGTTGTCCGAAAGGGAGGAAAACAGTAGTAGTAAAATCGAAACAAGAGGAAACATCTTGAGGCAGCAGTGATCACACCACGGCATAAACCTCGGATCTGTACATAGCGTGCCGGTAGCGAACAGAGAATGTAGCTCGAGCGCATGCGGCCTCACATCTCCACCTCAAGCTCGTGGTGATTCCCATGAGCAGAGCGGGCCGTTCAGAAGCTCATGTGGACTGGCAATCCTTCCCATGGAGAAGAGCGTGGCCCGGGCAAGAATTGTCGTTGGATTTTTCTGAGGAGACGGAAGATGGAAAATCAGGAGTCGCTGCATATGATCCATGCCTATATACTGCTCTTAAAAGCCAGGTTTGAGAAAGCTTCAACAAAGACCAGAAGAACGTCAACTGATGATTTGGTAGCAAATCTGAAAGAATTTTTATGTCAAGGTTGCACATCAATAAACCGATACACGCGCGATTAATCAAACGGCACCGATCTTATACCAGGACCAGCCAGCCTGAGTCCAGGCTGATGCTCCTTTTCAGCTCTAGCAGCCGCGAACGCAGAAGGAACAGGGATACCACAACAGTCGCCCCAGCCAACTTCTCGCTGACCAGCAGCGCCTGTATCACCATGAACATGCCCGTGAAGCTCATCCATTCTCGCACCCGTAGGGGGTGGAGGCCCGTCATACGGGAGGATGGAACCAAAGAGAAAATGTTGCATTACAGGGAGTTTGTTGAGGACTTCTGCGCGATACATCTTCAACATTCCGGAATTAACTTTGTCCCATGTCTTGACCTAAGGTATACGTATGAGAGAAGCGTTCTCATCAGATGACGATGCGCACGTACAGCTGAAATATCATCCAGCATGGGAGAGTGCCACCTGAGCGATGCAGTCTTAATCTGTTAAAGTACCATGAAACGTCGAAATGGGCACCATGGAATAACATCGTATGACGAACCGAGTTGATGAATTGAATGCAAGCGAAATAAATATAATCTTTAGCATATTCATCGACAATTTCTACGTCGTGGATAGCCTTTGGTCGAATATATTTGTGACCTGGTAGTCGTAAGCAGAAGATGTATTGGTTTACCAGAACCGTACCTCGAAGTTGAGCAGATCCGAATAAGAATGGCAGGAAATGGTAATCATCTAGTCCCCACACGCCATGAGAACCAGCTGGTTCCAGCCAATACGTCGATTGTAGAACCCGCATTACTTCAATGTATCTAAGCAGAGGTGAACTGAGCATCCAGCATTTTGATATCCAACTCACTTCCAAAAGACCTTGATCACCAAAGCTCTATGATCGACTTCTTGTATGACACCGAGACGTTCAAGGCATATCCTAAACAATTGGCATCCAGTTGATGAATATAAAAGAGGTAAACGACGTACAGCCAACACAAAAAGTTGAGCTCCATGCCACTCCCGTAATCTATCCGAGCCCGGTTACCCCAAGCTTCGTTGAAGTATAAGGACACTTCTGGGACGGCTTCCTGAGGAAGACCCTTGATCTTTGTATGCAATGACGTCGAGGCCTATAGAAGCTCAAAGATGATACATGGAACACAAAATGTGGTTATGTACCTCCGTGACCTTGTCATAAAACGTTCTGAACGCCGGGTTACCAAACCGGGATGCAGAATTCTCAACTAGAGGAGTATCTTTCGCAATGGCTTTAACGTTTTCGAGGACCTCCAATATAGATTCAACACCCTATACATGTATTAGAGCTTGTCAGACTCCATGAATGCGCCCACGCACTGGAGATGCCTCACAATCATCAGTCAGCTTTACACCAACGACTGTCTCGTTCAGCATCTCGATGTAAGAGATAATTGAATTGTATGTCTTGGAGGTTTGGAAAGCTTGAAGCTGCTCCTGAGATAAAATGGCCTTGGTAGGTGTCTGAAAAGTCATATTGCACGCTGGTGGTGGTTCTTGGTTAAGGAATAATGCGCTTATGTAATTGTAGATCCAAAATTTTGTCTCTGTCACGACCATGCCCACGCCGACTGAAGATCTCCAGGCGTCCTTGGAACGGCACAACGCAACATTTGAATTGTTGCTGAAGCATATTCCTGCAAAGTATTACCTTGTACAAGAAAATGACGAACAGGTCGGATTTTTAACAAATTACAGGCGACCCGGTAAATAACACACATCCAGGTCGCATCCAAGTACCAGAAGCATAGTAAGAAACAAAAGGCGCCCAAACAACTTATCAAGGAGGCTTCCAAAAAGGCCAGGCGCGAAAAGGTGCGTGTTTGTTATTTGCGATACCCTGAAAAACCTCATTTTCTGTTTGGCAGCTCGATCCTGACAACAACAAGAGTATCATAGACATACAAAATGAGCTAGCCAAGCAATCCTCGATGTCCAAAGGTAAACGAAAGGCTGTGGAACCTCCGTCAGAAGAAGATACCGACTCTAGCGAGGACATGATGGACGTTGACATCGATTTGGGAGGTGACTCGAATAAGGAAGGTGAAGAAACAAAAATTCCGCCTGCACATATCGTTCCAATGCCCCAGTCCGGTGGAATCATGGCTTTGCGGCAGAAGCTGCACCACAGGATGGCGGAGGTTAGGAGAGGTGGACGTGGGGGAGAGGCTGGTGACAGGGACGAGCTTCTGGAGGAGCGTAGACGACAGCGCGCCATGCGGGAACAGCGTCGGAAGGAGACGAAGGAGAGGATCAAGCGCGAGCAAGAAATGAAGGGCAAGAAAGGCAAAGACAAGGAGAAAAAGGATACGCGAACACAGGGAAATATCACAAAGGTCAGTTTCGATTATTCTTTGGATACGAATGGGATTTTGACATCGTACAGACCCAATTGCTTGTCCCAGACGAGCCCTCATCCTCTAGAAAACCTTCATCTCGAGATCCCCAGGCCAACTTTACTAATGTCACGTTCTCCACCATCGCAGGCACCTCTTCAAAGAAAGCCTCGCATTTAAAAACATCTGCCGACCCTACCCAGGCTTTGGAGCAGCTTGAAGCTCGCAAAGAACGTCTAGGTGCTTTTCCGGAAGACAAAAGGAAAGCGATTGAGGAAAAAGAAAAATTCGAGAAAGCCGAAGCTCGTTTGGAGGGCGTCAAATTGAAAGACGACGAGGGGCGTCTGAAGAAAGCGGCCAAGCGGAAAGAGAAGGAAAAAGTGAAGAACAAGAAGGCTTGGTATGTGATCTGTTGCCGTTCTCAGGGATATATACCTGATGTTTTCTTAGGGATGAGCGGAAGGAGCAGGTTGCAGCCTCGATGGCTGCGAAGCAGAAAAAGAGGACTGATAATATTGCAATGCGGAACGAGCGGAAGAAGGGTAATGTTAAGGGTAAGACAAGGGCCCGACCTGGCTTCGAAGGCAAGTCATTTGGGAAAGGTAAGTCCGGCGGCGGGAAGAAGAGATGATATACTCTATGTAATAAGCATTCGCTGCTCTTTGCTATGATCACATCTATTTCCATTGAACCCTTCGTCTGATCTAAGCAACTGGATCTCTGAGAGCGCCTGTATCCGATAGCGTCACCAATAAGAGAACTATATATATTCCATGGGGTTACCGGAAGAAATAACGTGTACATATGGGAGGCTAAAGTAAAATTCCTGGGCCTCTAACTTGCCCGAGTCGACAGTGCCGCCCGGTTCAGCGCCCGCGGTTTTTGCTTCCTACCACGAGGACAAGGTGCCTTGATCAATATCGGCAACTGACTCTTGAGGGGAGGCACAATAGTCGTTGTATTACTGTCGAATTTTCACATTATCATTCGCTATGACTCAGAAAGTTGGAAATCAATGGTATGTAAAAGACCATGTCCGATATCACATACTTGGGTAGATGGAAAGGATCAGGAACACGAATGGCTCGTGCCGACCCACGCCAACTTGGACCTCATCCGGATTGCGGAGTATGTGTGGTTGGATGTCGGAGAGGAAGTACCGACAGGGAGAGTTGGTTGCCGAAGAAAACACTGGGGCAAGGCATTCTACCATTTCAAGTTCGAAAAGCAATACTGGGTAGTCGGGCAAAGACTTGCACAGGAAGTGTAAGATGAGATGTATGACTTGGAGGAAATGAAGAGGCTGTATGATCTAGGTGTCGCTACAAATTCCAAGACCATTCCAATTGCTTGATACCGATATTATCTTCAAAGTTTTGTGCCTTGTCACTTCTGTGCTAGGTGCCGGTAAGGCTTCATGCACCGTCTCGGATAACCGCAATTTACCAACGCCTAAACCGCATTGTTCGAAACAGCGACGACGCGAAACCCGATGGTAAAATGCCGCACCATTTTTCAAGTCAACAAACCCAGGTTCGACAAGTTTACTGGACTCGAAGGCTCCACCTAAATTTTCAGAGTTACTAATGCTGTCCTCCGTAGAGGATAAGATCTAGATGTCTTACTAGTACATACGGCGCAGCTTACGCGCAGACGGCGGGAATTTCTCGGTAAGCTGTAATCCGCAAATTCAAATTAGTCGACTCACCTTTGCCGCAGTCATATAAAGGAACGGGATGGATCTTTTGAGCTGCGGTCTGCTACGGCACTCTCCATTGTCCATCCTTATTTAAAGGAAACTCGAAACTTTTCCTCTTGCTGTCAACATCTTCAACCATGATCGATACTACTTTCGCCGTTTCGTCGCCTTCATACAACACAAGTGGACGCCAGCTTAGATATGAAGAATCACCTTCACAGCGCAATGCTAGGCACCATTTCATCAGGCAAGGAGAGGGACAAAGGCGCGTGGAAGACTGGGTGCGAGGGCAGCAGGAGCAGAAGCGGTCGTTGTGGGGAGTCATGACAGTTCCTGAGGTTCACAGGGAGCCATACGTCCACCATCCCAATCTCTTCACCATTCCAGAAGATCCCATCCGTTCCAGTTCGCCTGGATACTTGGTGCCACCATATATTCATTCCGATGAGGAAGAGCCCTTCGTTCTCTACTCCTCAGCACCGTCTTTCTATAATTCCCAGATCATATATTCGACCCCCCTACCGTCGCCTGCAAAAAAATCGTCGCGTCGGCCCAAACATATGCGACACCGACAACGTCTGTGCGGTTTGGACTCTATTCCAGAGGAAATCATTGTGGGGTAGACCACGGCCAGTTGTCGCATCTTTAATGGATATCTATATCGGCCATGCCCGCCATCACCAGAGCAGATGCTCCGCCTCATACTGGAGGCGTAAACATATCTCCTCCCGGAAGCCTATATTCTTCGCGTAGTTGGACATGTTGAGAGGAGGGAGGTTGCGAGGAACACGTAGTTGCAGCATAATGCTATATCTCAATAATAAATTTTCTTCTCGCAAGCCGAGTGATCATGCAATACTGAATTGGGAGAAGTATTCGTCTCGTTTCACGACAGACACCCATGCTCAGCATTGGGAATGGTGATGGTAAATGATCAAGTGGCGGTTATTCGGAGTTGCCGGTACTGAAGACCCCGAGTTCACTGTTGTCGATGATGACCAGACACCTTGGTTTCCATGTCCCACGGCTCTTCCACTCCCGCGACGTGTAAGGGATGCCTCGACATGCTCGCATCCATTTCGTATCGCTGCGTTCGTCCTTGGTGAATTTGCCTATTTCCATCTATGGCCCTCTGGTGGAGCGCAGCGTCGTACGTACAATGTCCAGGACTATCACTTGCACGCTAACTCTCGTCACAGCGCCCACAAGGCCTTGCAATACACCTTTCTCTTGTGCCTTCAGAGAATCGCCCGGAAAGAGGGAAGAAAGAAGCCTATGTGGGATGGACAGGCATGGCATCAGCATCATCTCTAGCAAGCATCAACTCGGTTAATGGAGATAGCCTTGGGACCATCGAAATAGACCCTCAGTATGCACAGGCATTGGGATTCTTGCAGGGGGACCTTGTGCGTGCATTATAGGCTCTCCTCGCTCCTTCCTTAGCTAACCTTTGCTGACAGGTAGAGATTGGATTATTGCATGACCTGCCCTATGCAAAGTCCGTGGGGACTGAACCGGTCACTGCTGACGACTGGGAGATCATCGTAGGCCTCTCAGTGTATCATCTTCAAAGAGGTTTTCACCGTCCAGACAGGACATTCATGCTTCACACGTAGAATCGACACTATTATCCCAAGTGCGTGTCGCCAACATCGGACAAGAAATAGATGTTTGGGTGTTGGGAAGAACGAGGGTGCGCCTTACCGTGGGTACGTCATGCTGCACAAAATGCCCCGTCCGGTCTCACGGAGTGCTATGTAGTGTCCTTGGATCCCACGAATAAAAGCAAGGTGCTTCTTTTAACAACCGACACCGAAGTCAGCATTGCGCCCAAACTGCACAACCGTCAACAACTCAAATCCGAGAAAGTTAGCACGAAGTCAGCTAATACGGATGACTCCAAAGGAAAGATCAAGTCTCCTCCTCCTCCGTCGGTGCAGCCCCATTGTCTCCGGGTGATTCCATCCCGTGTTCTTGCTCGACCTTTCGCCGTGCATTCGGGCTCAGAGCTCTTAGGATTTGTTTCCCCCATAACATTTACGAAGCTTACAAAACTCTCCGAACCCCTCGAGAATGACACACATGTCAAAGCTCACGCAAAGCGTCTTCCCCCACCCACCGATCCATCCTCTGGCGCTACTGCAAGTGCAACTCCAGATCCTGTTCCGCTGGTCCTCAAGCCTGGGGAGAAGGAACCGACTACGGTAGAGTCCGGTTCAATATATTTAGGCCGATTTGAAGGTATACCGAATGGCCACATTGTCTTGCCGACTACTGTAGACGATATAGAGGAATGGGACTTGGCCAGGTGAATTCGAGTGATAAATCAGGTTATTATGCATGTTCTGATCATTGTCAGCGTCTCTGTCGATACGGACTCCTCGCCCTTGCTCATACCGTCTGACAAGGGTTCGACTTCTACGGTTAAGGGTCCACCGTATGTTTTAACAGAACCAGACATCTAGAGACATGTTGTTGATCTTCCCATTTTAGGCCCATCACCAATTTCCTGGCTGGCGTCGATGATATATTGACTCGATGTACAGAATTCTGTATACGAACGATGATTTTGCATTCAACAAAGACTTCTGTTCGAGGAGGTGCGGTATCTGTGGGATTCCTTGACCTTCTAACCATCCTTCTCATCCAGTATCTTCCCTCCTTGTAACGGGCAGACCTGGGGCCGGCAAAACATCCATCGTGAAGGCTGTCTCGAAGCGGTTGCAAGAGAATCCGAAGACCTATGCTTGTACGTCATTCTTGCTCTCTGTCTGCCTTCTTTCTAGAGTTTCGCTCAGATGTCCACTATGTCGATGTCACACCCTATGCGGACAAGCCCGTCAGTACGGTAAAGGCTCTTTTCAAATATTGGTTTGACAAAGCAGCTTGGCACAAACCATCCATCTTGATTTTGGACAACGTCGAGCATTTATTAAAGGCCGAAGAAGAGGTAGGTTTTCTGAAGCGAGCAGGGACTATCGCTGAAATTTTTTAATAGCACACCGACTCCTTCCGGATTCGACAACTTGTAGAGCTATTCGTATATCTCTACTCGTCCTCTGCTCGATCTAATGCTCCGAATTCCCGAGGCATAATCCTCGTTGCCACGGCACCTTCGGCCAGTGCGCTTCACCCCCTCCTTAACAGCAAGCATATATTCAGCGAGATTGTCCACGTCAAGACTCCAAATAAAGATGCTCGAAGAGATGTTAGACTTTTCTTCCACCCAGTTGCCTAGTAAATATTAACGTCTTCATTAGATCCTTAGCCAAATTGTCAAGGATCGTCTCCAACTCGCAGATGATATGCAAGAGGATCCTACGGCCCCCCTGAACTATACCTACATCGCGACGCAAACAGAAGGTTATTCCGCTACAGACTTGCAAGATTTAGTAGCCCGTGCTGTACACCAATCTGCCATCAAGATTGCCATGGACGAGAAACCAGTAAGTGTCTGTTTTGATGTGGGCTTGTGTCAAGTAACCAACGACTGCAGGCTCTTCTTACACAGGTGGATTTCGATGTTGCTCAAGTGGACTTTGTTCCTCTATCTCTTCGCGATGTAAAAACACAAAAGTCGGATATTACATGGTCTGATGTCGGAGGTGAGGAAAGTGTTGATGCCTCCCTTTTTCATGACTGGACATCTTGTTAGGACTGAAAGAAACAAAACGGGTCCTTAGGGAGACGCTCGAGTGGCCTACGAAGTACGGTCTCATATTTGCGCAATCTCCCCTGCGTTTGCGATCTGGGTACGTGCTTTCAGACATTGGCATCGTTTCAGGGTTAATCTTGTCCCATTAGTCTACTCTTGTACGGCTATCCTGGATGCGGCAAGACTTTATTGGCATCAGCCGTAGCCAAGGAATGCGGTCTCAATTTTATCAGCGTCAAAGGTCCTGAAGTCCTTAACAAATATATAGGCGCCAGCGAGAAAACCGTGCGTCGTTTCCTTCAAATTGGAGCGATCTCTTCGATAACTTACTATAGGTCCGGGATCTGTTTGAACGAGCCAGTGCTGCTAAGCCTTGTGTTCTCTTCTTCGATGAATTTGATTCCATTGCCCCTAAAAGGTGTGATGGCTTCAGTATACCTCTCATTGTATTGCTAACTGTGGCGTGTTATCGTGTAGAGGCCATGACAGTACCGGTGTAACAGATCGCGTCGTAAACCAGATGCTTACACAAATGGATGGTGCGGAAGGGCTAGATGGCGTATACGTCTTAGCTGCTACAAGGTACGTCCATCCTTGTCGCCGCAGTGGATACGGACTTATCATTCCTGTGTTTCTAGTCGACCTGATCTCATCGACTCCGCTCTGCTGCGCCCCGGTCGTCTAGACAAATCGCTTCTATGCAACATGCCCAACTTTGATGAACGAAAGGATGTAAGAGCGTGCTGGTACATCCAAGTTACCATTGCTAACGCTGCCAATGTGCCCAGATATTGAAGGCTGTCACCCGGAAAGTGGCCTTGGCTCCGACTGTCGACCTTGACGAGATTGCAGATTCTACGGAAGGATTCTCGGGCGCGGACCTTCAAGCGTTGGTTTACAATGCCAACCTAGAGGTCGTTCATTCGACTATATCTCTGAACATTGATGGGGGGAGTTCGTCTCGCGAAGAGGAAACACCCCTTGAGTATACCACGTTTGGCAGATCTAAAGACAAGGCGGTAAGTAGTAAGGCTGAAAAGACTGCACTCCAGAAACGCGTGAGTGGTCACCGACTATCTCCTGTGTTCGGATGCTAAGTTCAGATGTATAGCTGCGACAAATACAAACGTCGTGTCAAACTAACAAAGGGACAGGAAAGAGTGAAAAGAATGCTGGTATTTTGCCCAAAAAGGTCCGTCATGTTTATCTGCAGTTTCAAATAGGCTCGAACATCTTGCTATAGCAACATGTTATACACCCGGAGCACTTTGCAGCTGTACTCAAGACTACACGACCTTCTGTACCAATAGAAGAGCGGGTAAAACTGGATCGAATGTGCGTTATTGTTGTCGCGGAAGCGGAGGCAGAATACTGATGCTTAGGTTAACGCAGATATCGTGAATTTGCGTCTGATAGGACCGGCGAACTTCCTGTTCCGCCGGAGGGCTCTGGTGTCGGAATCCGTGCATCTCTGGGATAACGTATCGTACCTAATATATTAGATCAGACTCCATGTTGGAAATTGTATATGCGATAAGAGAGCAATAAAGTCAAGTCCTGAGTCCCAGTGAAACCTGCACAGGGGCTGGAGTCTGAAGAACAAGATATCTTTGATGCAGATTTACGTAACCGTGTTAAGGACGTGACCGCGTTCCTGGCCGTGCTCTCTGCCACCACCGTCTCCTCATGCAATACTCATGAAACCTGAATGTTTACTGTTGTATTGCATGGATTGACGACGAACAAACATGGTAGCGCTGCACCCCTCATCCTGAAACGCTCAACAGCTCCGTCTCTGGAAATTACCTACCTAGATAACCCAGAATATCTTGAACTGGAAGATGTGCCACTTTGCCTTCCCTCTGGGCTCCCTCTGCCTGACGTGCACACCCTGACTTTGAACATTGACGGGTACATTGCGGAAGGTAGGGTCGGGACGATCTATCGTGTAACTGTCGATGCATTGGCCTCTTCGGCGGCAGAATCATTCCATATACTTCCCTTGGTGGTAAAGATATGCATATGCGTTCCAGAACGGACCAGCGGCGTCCTCAACGAGGCTGCTTTTTGTGACGAAATGGAGGCAAGAACGTTCTTAGCATTACACACGCGATGTCCCACTGAGTTTCTAATGCAGGTGCTGCAAGGGTTCTGTGTGCCACGCCACTATGGACTGTTCCAAACTAATTATGATCTGTACGAACTTGAGATCCCGATTCTACTAGACCGAAAAAAGAGAGACTCGGAAGAGTTCAGACGTGAACGAGGAGACTTGACAGAGACGACGACAAAACCCCTGAGCAATCATTTACGACGACCTAGTCACTGTCATCCTTATGGAAAGCATAGGTGATGGGCTGAAGTTAGGCGGCCCACTTCCGCAAGGCGTGAGGTGTGCACGTTTGATATTCCCGCACTTGCCTCCCATTTATTCTGTCACAGTGAAGACATGTTTGATATGTATAGTGATATTGGCAAGCTTTACCTATATCACAATGACATACGGTACTCGAACTTTCTATCAGCATTGCCGGAGGATCAAGGGGGTCTGCCCAGCTTGCCTTCCCCATTTACCGGTCGGACTTATAGTTGGCGTGCACTTTGATCTAATGAAGAAAACTTCTCTACCGAAAGTAGCATTTCGGGCCTATCATTCGTCTTATATCCACCGTTTTTAGACAACGTTTCGTACGGTTGTATCGTAGAACCGTTGGAGCGGTAAGCTTATATGGTACTCTATCAAATCGATTCGTGTACGGCGGTAGATACAGCAATAACCGCTTCCACAGATTCATCCAGTACGAGGTAACGAGCTTGAACGCGTATTTGAAACAATAACACTTTGCAGCCCTTCAAGTTACAACCAGGGAAGAACCGCAATCATAACCCTCCGTGACTACAGCGCCCTTGGCTTGTTAGCTGGAACAGTGAAAATAGTTGTAACTCAAATCACCCGTAAGGTGAAGGGAAAAAAGGAAGGGAGGCAGAGCGGAAAAGGAAGAATCAGTACTAGATTGTCTTATAAGAATAGAGGTTGTGTGAAAGCCTCACAATCTTATATCCTCGCTTTCACTGTCAAGTCCTAACATATCCCAGCTGGCAAGCTAAATTTGAGCAAGAGGTTTGGCTCTAAATATTCAGTTCCAGGTTCAGGTGATTTGATGCGATCCACATCTATTTGGGTAAATCTTGTGTAATAACAGAAGATATTACGATGCAGACTTTTCGGATTGCTCTTTCCACGTATCAATCGCCCAGGCAGCCTCCTTCAAAATAGTGTCGAAAGCCCCCCGTATGTCACTCTCGCTCGTTAGCAAAGCACCGACAGCGAAACGTATGCAAACCACTCCATTCAGATGTGTCTGCGTGAGATAGATATCGTCCCGAGTGGATATACGGCTGAATAATGTCGTATTAAGGATATTTAAGGACTCCAGCGTCTGTTGCTGTTGAGAAGGAGGGTCCAGCCGGAAGACAGTCAGACCGAAAGAAGGCGGGGTGACAATCCTGATGATATCGACTTGTTTTACTAAGCTGACGAAGAGATCATTAAGGCCGATTGACTACAAGAAAGTAAGTATGCAAGCCTGCATGACAAAAAGAAGGGAAAAAAATACAACCTTTCGGATGTGCTGTTGAAAACCTTGGACACCGAAACTGCGCAAGACGAACCAAAACTTCAGGGACCGGAATCTCCGACCAAGCCCCAAGTGCCAGTTTCGGTAATCGATGGTCGTGTCTGTATGTGATAATTGAACTTTCACTGCAAGTGAAGAGGACTGGAAACCCCTAACCGGCATCGCCCTGCTTCGTTCTCAGAAATGGCGGAGTTATGTCTAACGCTTCTGTGAGGAATTTCCGATTCTTAACCCACAGCGTGGAAGAATCAAAATTCACGAGCCCCCACTGATATATAGGACAGATTAAGACAATACATATGAATGGACGGGTTTTGACAGACCTTGTGGAAATTGGTACAGAAAGAGTCTGCGAACTCGTTGATTTCGTCTAGATAGCCAATCTCTCTATACTCAGGGCAGCTAAATGCGACACCGGCCCAAGCAGCGTCAACATGCACACGAAGATAAGGATGATCCCTCGCTGTTCATACAGTTATTTATGTCCGTCCGTGTTTATGCATTTTATAGGCTTACCAACTTGTCTAATCTCACGAAGATTATCGATTGCGCCTGAAGATGTAGTCCCTACGGTAGCAACTGACGCAGAGACGTTAGTGGCCACTGAACTATTGAGACATAAAAGGCGAGCTACTCAGAACAAAGGGCTTTTTACCAGCCTTTGCGTCCTCTTCCAAGGCAGACCTGAGAGTGTCACCTCTCAAGGAATAGTTGTCCTCGGACTTGACATCTAATATGTGTACAGACAATCCTAGAACCATTCCGGCTTTGACACCAAGCGAGTGGGTCTGCGACGTTGTATAGATAACGAGTTCCTCAAGCTTTGTATCAGGGTACTCTCGTTGGTAAGACGCGCGCGCGGCCACAATAGCAATCATAGCTGAGTCCGACGCAGACGATTGGATCGCTCCACCGCCGATTCCGGATTCATTCATGAAACTAGGAGCAAGGCCAAGAAGCTTTGCTGCCCAATCCATGACGATGACCTCTAATTCACTGCATGCGGGGCTGGAAGCCCACTAATATGCATAGCTAATTTGGAGTATACGATCACAAGTATGAAGCAATACTCACATTGAAGCCAGGATTACTGACGCTGGATGAATAAAGGTCGCCGAGAATACTTTCAAATGTGCATGCCGTTGGAAAATATGCAAAAAAAGAAGGATGCTGCCAATGCGTGAGACCTACGATTTCCTGATCAGGTCGATCGAAGCAGAGCACCGAGCAAACATACCAGGTACGATAAGCCTTTGATAATCGTCAGCAATGGTCTGGAAATCTTCCCCAGTTTCGGGGGGAGCCGCTGAATGGTGCACTTGTTAATAGCTTAAGTCGCACGAGTATCGTTACCCACAGGGCACTAGAGGTTTGAGATAACCAGGCTGGACATTAGCTACTACCGGTTTGTTCCGCAATGAATAGTGATAGTCGCAAATCCGATCGATTGCCTGATAGCCAGCTTTGCGGAATCTGCAAGTAGAGGTTAGCAATTGCTCAGACGGCTCAAAACAAGATAGATACTCGCTGCTCGATATCCATCTCAGTCGGTAATGATGGTAATTCGAATGGAGGAAGATACCGGTCTTTCGGGTTTTATTTAATCCAATATGATATTATGCTGAGAGCGAGGTGGGAAGTCGATGCAATATATAATTATGTTTGACAGTTATGGATCAACTTGAATATACATGTTGGGACTGAGCCCTGATATCATAAATGCCTACAAAAAATCCCAGTGGAAATGAATAAACCAATTTAACGACAATCGAAGAGAATCAAACTGGGTATTTGAACCATACGGAGAAAGGTATCTGTGACATAATCACAACTTTGAAAGAGTCCTCATCGCATTAGCAACCGCGAAGCTTGATCTCGCCATGATCTGCCTCGACTCTTTCGTGACCTCCGCACTCTGCACCTCGCTCAACTTGTTCGCATGCTCCGTTAACTCAGCAAGCAGCTGACTCCCCTGCTTCTGATGCGCCGGAGGCAGGTTATCGTTACACACTGCCACGATGCTTGACACAATCGTTATGATCTGCGTCAAGTTCTCGTTCAAATTATTCGAGGGCGTTGGACTACGAACGCTCGACAAAACACTTTGGATCGTGTCGATGACCGCCGTTGTCTGCGCTTCAAGATACGGCTGTAAAAGTGATCAGTCACGAGTCTCGAAGTCACGGAAGAAGAAACTCAGATACCTTGAGCTCAGCCCAATTATCTTCTACTACATCACCCGTTGTTGAATCGTCGCTTCCTATGCCATTGCCTGGTTGTCGATCGAATATCGGAGGCGGTGAGTTGGTGTTTTCAGAGCTGGAGTTGTCTGAGGGCGTCCTCTGCCGGTAAGTATCTAGACTGGGCCGCGACTGGGGGGTAGGAGACTCAGTAAAACGAGGCCCCCGTTCCGTGTTGGATGAAGAACTTGCTTTACGGTAATGCCCCTCCTTCTCTGCTACCGACCGCAGTGAGGGAGAAAAGCCGTTGGTCGCACTCCCACTGGGGATGTAAGGCGCAGCAGAAAATTGCTCCTGTTCAGCTTTCGTAGCTTTGCGTACACAGATGATCTTGCTGATTTCAGTGATGGTAGCAGAGACGTGGCTGGCAGCGGCGTCCAATAAGCTGACTGGCGACATGCCAGAACTCGTTGCGTGTGTCTTCGATGCTGCAACAAGGTTTCCCAGAGTGGCGTCTGCTCGTTCACGTAATGATCGAAGAGTATCGAGGTCAATATCGGAACGGTCTCTTTGAGGCCGCCGTTCAAATGCTCGGACGTCGTCAACAATGGAAGTTACGGCATTTACAACGGATTTCATTGGTGTGAGGACTCGCGTGGGCGCATTGGAACGAGCGGCAGTAAGCAGACCATCAATACCTGAAAGGAAGGCCGTAATATGGATATCCAAAATTCCTCCGTCGCTTGAAACAGGTAGTTGATCCTCTACATTAGTGAATTTGGGTGCCTGCGTGTACAGCTGAGAAGTAGCTGGATCAATGCTTAGAGTTAGATGCTGCTTGCATTCATATCCGTGACGAACTAACCTTTAACACTCCGCAGTTCTGTTTTGGCTTGTTCGTACTTGCGTTTATATTCCTTTAGTTGGCTATCCAGGTCGCGCATAACTATGATATCAGAGTCTTTAGCCGTCATGAGATCATCATTGCGGCGGGACAAGTCTTCAAGCTCGCGTAGTAATCCCTGCATGTCCGAGTTTAGTTGCTCAATTGTTTCTGGATCTGCCTAGAATTTGCGGATCAGAGCAAGTGGCATTGGGAACAGCATATAAACATACCCCTCCTTCGCGCTGTTGCTCAAGAATCTCGCATCGATCACGCAGAATTTGGAGCTCATCTTCATCCGTTTGTGCCCTTCGGGCTTCCCGCTCTTTCTCTCTTTGTCGAATATCGCGCAAGTCATCAAGCTCCTTCTGGAGGGCACGCATGGCAGTGGATTGCTCCTCAGCTCGCTAGACGTAACCCGTAAATGAACGTTGCAACTAGAAAAAAGAAGACTGGTGGCTCACCCGACGTAATACCTGCAACTCTTCTTCCATCTGACGTACACGCGCCTCCCCTTCCTGCCACTTGCGTTCTCGCTGCTCGGAGTCACCAAGTTCTCGCTGCATATTTGTAATTTGAGTCTGCATCGTGGCGATTTTGTATTCATAATCCCGTCGCATCTTCTCGTTATCTTCTGATACGCTTGCCCTACCTCCCGCAAGGCGAGAGGTTATTCCACCCGCCGAACGATCAGAATTTGCAGATGTCCTCCCATAAGACACCCTGTCAAAGTAGTCCTCTCCACTTCTCCCGGTGGTGGCTTCGTCGTCCTCATCCTCGACTCCTTTCAATCTTGCGCTGAGCGCGCTAAGTCCCACAGGGCTACGCGGACTTAACGGACTCGGATAATCGCTGGCACTGTCGGGTTCATCTACCACTCCACCCATAAAGCTGACATCTTGACTCGCATTCCGGCTCGGATCTCTGTCATCCACCGTCGTGCTGCCACTCTCCCGGGCATCCCTACCGTATGGTACCTCGATGTATTCTTCCTCCATAGTGCTTTTGTTCGGGATGATCATACCGCTGGTAGCCGTGGCGCTTTGCACAGGGTTAGCTGTACCAGCACTATCACTGGTCCCACTAACACTGGGAGCACTGGGTCGACGGATAGGGAATTCTCGCTCCCGCTCTCGTTCCTCAGATCGTCGAAGGGGGAATTCACGATCTCGATCCCGCTCTTCAGAGCGTCGAGGGAGGAATTCTCGGTCTCGTTCTCTTTCATCAGATCGTTTGGTCGTATCCTGCGAAGGCTTCCGTCGAGATGAAAGCGATGCGATGCTGGGAGTGTAATTGTTATCATCACTTGTCCTGCCCGAAAAGAGGTCTTCACTCGGCCGACGTCTATCTTGAGACGGCCGACGCGCAGAGACACCGCCGTCGACTGGACGATCAGCAGAAATGCGGCCAGATGTTCTTGAGTTGCTTGCACGAGGGGGAGAATTAGCTGGGAAATCAGGAGCAGGGTAGTCATCGTAATTAGATCCCGGTGATCCTCGTCCAGAAGGCTGTTCAATGGTGGTGAGTTCAACATCCCGTGATAAAGTATATTTCGTGGGTGTCCCGGGGGAGCCTGTCAGAAGAGCCCCTCCTGTCTGGCACTGTACCGCTGGGGAGGCAAAAAGTAGTACCAAAAAGTCGCGAGCTTGTGCCATCTCTTTGAGTTGTAGAACAATAGAACACATCTCTGATACCACTTTGGGGTTCTCCGAATGGGGAAAAAAGGTATTGGTCTTGTTATCCAAGATACCTGGAAGGACAGGCCCGGTATACAAGGTAGAGATGACGACAAGCCCTGGCTTCTTCGAACATACTTTTTGGAACCCAATCGAATACACAGTGCCAAGGCGTGGAGGACTACTTGCACGGGAAACATCACCGACACGCGCCAACGGTGTCGCGATGGCTGGCTACTCCACTATCTCCAAGGATCTTCAAAATGACCGCTAAAAGCTATCAAGAATCGAATGTTCTCTTGTCCCAAGCATCCCCCAAGACGTAGAGTAGAATGAAGAAGATAAGAAATTGAGCGCACGCACATCTTCTTTGAACTCTGGATACCGCCGGGCCAACTCAAAATAAACGTCGCTGGATAGATCTTCGAACCTGGCGGTAGGTAAAGTGGCTAGTTTCTGTCTAGCCTGATTCCGTTTAGGATGGAATTCCTCTCGGACAGGCAAGAAGGGCACTGGGAATTATGAGCATTGATGAGAATCACCGGAGGCACGTCCGCGGAGGCTCTACCTTCTGTATCACCTTTCCTACGGATCAGTTCATCATATACATCGGTCGATAATTCGTGGAACTGCTGGATAGTAAGACGAGTGAGCTTTTGCCTCGCTGTCGACCGGGAGTTGGGTGGGGCTGCAGAATGTCAGCGTCCGTCTGATAGAAATTCGGCTGGCATGACCAGCACCTTTAGATAGATAAACGGCCAAGTATTTGCTCAGCTCATCAAAATGGGTCTTTGATATGAGTCGATAGTCGATTGTCGGCACTGCGGGAACGGTTTTGTCTCTAATCGGTCGATAGGATTCGGTGCGATAGTTGGAGATGCCCGAGAATGATGTGGGCGTCGGCGATGGCGCTCGAGACTGAGAGCGTTTCATTGGCGTCAATGGTGGTGGTAAGTGGTTAACAGATGTCGAGACTGCTCATTATCACCTGGGACAATGGCAACATGCTGGATCCTCGTGTTTGCATCACCAAATTGCACCGGCACGTGCGGAGCGTAATTTCGTAAATCAAAACAATTATTTAAACATTTCCTGAAATTATCAAAATGAACAATCTAAGTACTCTCGTCTTTATCGATATCTTCCGCAAGGTATACCTTCAGATTGTCTCAAAGAACCGTCGTCATAGCGGACGGCGGGGAAGCTGGAGCAAACACCGAAGGCTTACGGATCTTGGAACAGTTTGCCAACCGGTTCTTATCACAGCATGTTGAAGCTGGCAACAGACCAAGTTATACCGGCACTTCGCACAAGAACCGCCGCAAAAAGTGTTGACGATCCCTATCTATGAAAATTTGTTGTTGTGAGAAAGGATTTTGTTCCTAGCAAGCACTGGTGGACTCAGAGGACTCAACGACGCCCTGTCTAGGGAAATACTAATAGTATGCCGCGTGGTAACCGCGTGGAACAAGCATACTGTCTTGCAACGGAATTGTGATTTTCCCGACACGAAAATAGTATCTGTGAAGTTATGGGGTACAAGGTTGGTTGAACACTGTAAACTGGACTTTTACCGACCGCACAAACTCTGAATTTCTGGACATACGTACCATAAGCATAGCTAAAACTACTTCCCACGGAGCCTATGCAAAGTCTATACCCATCCAGATTCGTAATACTATTTTGTGAGATTCATAGTCTTTAAGAGTACCGGCAGCGAGTGAGGCCTGTTTCATCAATTTTGGATTTTATATTCAACTCTTCTAGCGGTCCAAACTCGGAATCGAAACGCACGAAGGGTATTGACGGTAGTTCATCAATGCTGCCCTCGGTAACTTGTTCAATTTATGGTGGCCTGGAAGAGAGTTAACAAAGTGAAAGACTGATCCAACGACGAGACTTCTTCCCGCGAAAGGTTCAAAACCGTTTCGGATGTCTCTTTCAGTTTGCTATACACAATCTTTTGTTATGTACGGCATCTGGATAAGATTCAGATTCGGTTACAATCACATGGAAAGAGACTAGCCATTATTCAACAGAACTGTCTTTCTCCCACTCCCATGTCTGCTCTAAGCCATGACCGGACACCTTTTTGAATACGCGCACATCTTGCGCATGGCTACAATGATCTCCGGGGATCGGGCACCACCTGAACTTCTGTAACGACTCCCGACGCAAATGAATCATCTTTGCCAATGCACCGTCAGAGCACCGCACCACGCGATGCAGAACAAGGTCCTCCAATCGTGGACACAGTGATCCTTCCATCCGAGCAACAAGCCTATCTGACACGCACGCGTTATCACCCAAATCGTACAAGGCCAGGCGCCTAAGGGAAGGCGACATTACTTCTAAACATTGACAGAGGTTACTCTCCGAGATGCCGGTGCTTTCCAAATGGAGCCGTTCGATGTTACACGATGATCGCAGAAGAAAAGACATGAAGGCACTCCGAGGCCATGCAACCGTACTTGTAAATCCGCAAGTGATCACCACCTTTCGTAGGTTCGGACAAAGCAAATGGGAGAAGAAATGACCGAGGGGTTCATGGACGGTGACAAGATTAATGGTGTAGAGAGAAAGCGAGGTGAGGCTTAGAAGAGTGATTACCGGGAGATTTGCGGCGCTTCTGTGAGCGTTCACAGGTCTTGAAAATCTCCTGAGGTCAATTTCGACTAGGTTGGGACATCTGCTGAGGGTGGTGTATGCCTCGTCCGCCGTAACACAAGTGTTCAGTGTAAGATACATCAAACGCGACCAAGGGGCATTGAGGATGATGAGCTCCCTCAATCTTCCCGGAGTGTCCCACATTCCCCAGGATGAGTGGAACCCCCAAGTGAAATTTTCAAGAGGAATGTCATTAGAGAAAAGGAACGTATTGAGTTCGTTGACGTCGGCTTCCGAACCACGAACCACATCGAGGGTCAGCTCTCGGAGGTGTGGCATGTCTGAACTGCCAAATGTATCCCGAAATAGAGAGTTTGACCCCGGAAGAAAGAGATGCACGCGTTTCCAACGAGTAGACGTGCAACTCAGTGTGCGTAGGAGACGAGCAGCATCAGCGTAAGAGGGCGAATGCATGCTGAACTCGACTTTAAAGGAGAGCAGGCGATCGCCTGAGTGGCCGAGCCATGCTTGTATCAGGTAAGGATTACATCTTGGAGGCTTGACTTGGAAGGAACACCAGAGATTGGATGAAGACAAAGCGATCGACCTCCACAAATGACATACTCTTGAAAGAACGAGAGGTGAGGCATCATTTGATACCGCAACATAGCTGTCAGTGGGTAGTGTGTCGGTGAAAATATGGGCTAGCAACTCTGAGGGGAGGTCATTTAGGGTAGTCGGCATTCCGAATGGGTTGCCAGTTGAAGGTTAGTAATCCGTATCTGAGGAACGGCTGTGGTCGACGTCGTCAAATGGTTGGACAAGTTACCTACCTGGTCCGAAGGGAGATACGCAAAAAAAAAAACAGAAGAAAAGTTTGTTGGTGGATAAAGTTTAGTCAGTATTGAAAGACAAAGACACACCAACAACGTCACTGTGGACCATTTCGGGCCGAAATGTTTACTACTGCCATGTCGAAACCTTCAATTCTTGAAAAAATCTACGCCCAGCGCGCAAAAGATGTCGAATTGGTTTCATCGACGCCTGGTACATTGCCAGAAGATATTGACACCTACCTTTCGATGAACCTTGCCCCACCGCTCACCTCCTTTGGCGAGCGTCTGAAGCAGAACCCAGCCAGCTCATCCTCCACTTCTATCTCTCTCATGGCAGAAATCAAGCGTGCTAGCCCATCAAAAGGGCCCATTGCGATGAAAATTAACCCCGCCCAGCAAGCGCAAACTTACGCTAGTGCTGGAGCATCCGTCATTTCTGTCCTTACTGAGCCGAGCTGGTTCAGGGGCTCACTTCTCGACATGCGACTAGTGCGCCAGGCGATTGACTCTCTGTCAGACCGACCCGCGGTACTTCGCAAGGATTTCATCTTTGACACATATCAAATCGCGGAGGCTCGGCTCTTCGGTGCAGATACCATTCTTCTTATTGTCGCTATGCTTCAAGCCGATCAGCTGAAGATACTGTATGACTACGCGTTGAAGCTGGGCATGGAGCCTCTTGTGGAGGTGAACAATGCAAAGGAGATGGAAATCGCCTTGGCGTTGGGAGCAAAGGTCATCGGCGTGAACAACCGGAACCTTCATGATTTCCAGGTGGATATGGGGACGACGAGTCGATTGGCGCAGATGGTTCGAGAAAGAGATGTCGTCCTGTGTGCCCTGAGCGGGATTTCCAATCCGAAAGACGTACAGACATACAAAAACGAAGGAGTTCGTGCCGTGCTCATTGGCGAGGCGTTGATGAGAGCAGAGAATACCAGCCAATTCATTGCCGAACTTTTGGGATGGTCATGGTGAGCTTTGCTTTAGTAAAATATGTTTGTTCTGAAAGTAGATTAAAGATTGACACGCACCTTATATGTAATTGTCGATGCGGATCACGGAGCGGTGGTTTGAAAGAGTTGAAAGTTCGCGCTTTTTTGAATTCAATAATATGCTCAGGATTGGAAAAAATCTCGGCGGACATGTGAGAATCACGCATAAATCTGCATTTCCCATTCAAATCTGTCGCATTGTTCAAATTTGATTTCACGTTGGCTTGGAATAGCCATCGTTATAGTTCTTTCAGTTCTTTCAAATCTGGCACATATGCTAACAAAATCGTGTGAAAAGTAGAATCAAAGAGACGCCACTCTTAGGTGTAGGATGTAGTAGCAACTACGCGTTAACGGACGTAATGCTATTTCCATTGTCGATACCAGGGAATCCGCTGCTGGGACCGAACACCATCCATCCTCAGTCAAGGCGGCCGCCGGCAAGCTCGTGTAGCTTGTACTCATACCGATGCGATGGTGCCCCAGCTTTCATGGCAAGACCGTCAAACCAGGAGTTCAGATAGGATACTGATAGAAACTCGCAGGAGAAGGCCATCTGAAACGTCGTTACGGAGGTAGACATACACGAGAACAGAGTCGAGGTCAGTAGATCCATCAGCAAATTCGACGCCAAGCGCAAATATACGACCTACAGCGTTGGTAATGGCCGCAACGATGTTGCTGCTGTAAGGCGAGATGAGTTCAGCAGTATCAATTGACCTGGCCTTTTTCCATTTGTCAGCACGTCGGAAACGCCGGCAGGCGAGGTGGGATAAACACGCCCGGGAATACAGTTTCAAACGACACGTATCCTTCATCGTTGGTTGCCTGAATACTACGAAAGAACGCCAGACGACCAATTTGATGAAGGTGATATTAATACTGACGAGGTTTGAAATTTGAGACTTGGCTAGAATCACAATTCCCAGATGCAATAACTCCTGCGTAGACAGCAGTGACATTGCACCCCATTGAGAGGCTCACAGGTTGATACATCGATCGTTCAGGCTCGACTGGTCCTCCGAGATGCTACATAGTGTTAATTTCTACCTTGGACGGACAGCAGTGAAGCTGACAGCACTAAATAGCACGTACGTGGCAAGGTCCATCGGCAAGAAGCCCGTCGACCTGAAGACTTGAAGCTGGTGGTAAATCACGGTGAAAATCGATTTCAATTTGAAAGTCGCCGGCCCCGGGCACGTAACAAACACGTGAGGTGACATCGTCGTGTACGTGACTGTCATCCGATTCCCAGGGTCCAACTTACCTTCTACCGCCATGGTCGTCCCTTCTAGCGACATCGACTCGTCTTCTCCAGATGCAATGCGTCTTTTTTATCGTCGCTTATACCCTTTCCCCTCCATATTTACTTGGCTAAATCAGCAACATGCTCCGACTCGCTTGTTCACCCACCGCGAATTCGCTTTTACGCTACCAGGGGATGTCTATCTTCGATACAACTCATTTCAAAACGTAGAAGAGCTGAAAAAGCAAGTCTGCAATCTTAATCCTTCTCGATTCGAAATCGGGCCCATGTACAGTGTTCGCGTAAGTGGCAGTCGACGCGTCTATCGACAAATATAACTGTCTTGCAGCCGAAGGATCGGAGAACCGCGCGTCCAGGGGCGTTCTTCCCCGTTCAACGTGAACTGGTATTTGATATCGATATGACGGATTATGATCCTATTCGCACTTGCTGTTCTGAAGCTGCTATCTGTAAGCGTTGCTGGGGCTTCATATCTGCTGCAGTCCACGTCTTGGATGCGGCAATTCGGGACCAATTTGGATACCAACATCTAATGTGGGTCTACTCCGGTCGACGTGGAATCCACTTGTGGATATCAGATAAAGAAGCAATGGAGTTAACCGACGACGAACGGAAGGCAATGGTTAATTGGTTAACAGTCGTGCAGGGTGGGAAGGAACCGGGAAAGAAAGTCAACGTTCGCATTGGTTCTCGGGCCTTACCACCGTCACTTCAGTAAGTGGTGACATTGTTACTCCTTCTTTTCGGCTTACGGTGATGATGATAGAGAATGCTTACAAGAACTTGCTGAGGTTTTTACGGATCTCATACTCCAAGATCAAGATTGTTTTGCCACGGAAGAAGGATATGAAGCTCTTTTGATGCTTCTACCTGTTCCTGATGTTGTCGATGCTCTCCGGGCTAAATGGTCGGCTGACCCGATGCGGTCCTCGTCAGAGAAATGGACGGACCTCAAAGCTCAGATAAAAAAGTCATCCGAAAAAGTACGGGATCTTCTTTTGATCATCGACCCTGATGCTCATTTGCCACTAGGCTACATTGACGGCGGCACTAGAAGATATCATTCTCCAATACACGTATCCTCGCCTCGATGCGGAAGTCTCGAAACATAGAAACCATCTTCTCAAAGCACCCTTCGTTGTACACCCAGGGACAGGTCGAGTATGCGTGCCCGTCGATCTTGCGAGAATAGACGACTTTGATCCGGACAAAGTTCCAACGGTAGGCCAGCTTCTCGAAGAACTAAATCACATCGAGGGTGAAAAAGAACCTGGCGATCATGATTCTGGTGCAGCTTCTGCTTCAAGGCTTGGTATACCGGCTGACCCGTCTGTCCAGATTGGCAAAAAACATCTTTGAAGCCTTACGTCGAAATGCTAGATAATCATGTTGCACGTATCATGAATGATATCCGAAAGGTGAAACTCGAAAATGGTCAGAACTCTCTGATGTTTATGCTATCAGCTTTTAACGCCCACGTCCCAGATATGTCATGGTGATATCCGCTGATCACTATTTTTGCCGTTGCTGGACACTATTCGCTACTTGGATTTGTAACTGAAGTAAATCTTATTCCGAATTTCACATTTAACTACCCGAGACGACGTGCATAGATCATTTGAAACAAGACAACCAACTTTCAAGAAGGAGGCCTGCAACGAGACGAACTTGAGTATCTCGGAAATTTTACAAAAAAGTGCAGGCTACGTACACAGGCGAAATGGAAGTGGATGGTCCCGGTAACGCAGTAAGATGAGGGAAAGGCGTAGCGGCGCACTGTAGAATTATTTTCAGTTAAACGTCTACACGATCGCTGCATACATACGGCAGCCTGTATATCCTTGAGAGTTGTGTTGGGTGGCAAGTGGGGTCCCGCATTGCTCGGCAAGGGAGGTGGAATAGGAATAACGTCAGAGCAATCGACAAGGTCATTCTCGTTATGTCCCAGGATAGATAGCTTGAGCATTGCAGCCTTGAATACCTGCTGTAACTTTGTGTGATCGGCTTCAAAAGTTCCCAGTTATCCTCCAGGTCGTGAGAGAGCTAGACGCGACATACTCATCAATGATTGCCACTCGCACGCAGTCCTGGGGTCTGGAAGGCGCTGTCAAGATTATACGAATAGGGCAAAACATACAGATTGATACCTCTGGCCAGCTATGAGGGTGGTGGTGAGAATATGCGCCAGCCAATTAAAGTCGAGAAGCACACCTCAGAATCCGACTGCAGACGCATTTCACCCTCAACGTCCGATTCTACCTCTCCTTGGTTTCCAGCCGTTCTTATGGTGGCGGGTATCAGTTTCATAGTAGGTAACGGTGCGCAAAAAAACCTACCCGGGGAAGAGTGTACCACGCAATTGAACTTCAATGAAAAATTGACTGTCCATTATCTCCGGTGTCGAGTCAAATGGCGTCCTGAACAGGACATGGTCAAACTGTATGCTCCCGAGGAACGCCGGCAGCAACCTACCCAGGAATCTGCAAATTGGTGCGATGGTCAGTGACATCATATCCTTCCAACATAACAGTGAAGGCTCCTCACAGTAGGGTCCACATGATCTGCAGCGGCGATCGAATGCGAAACAAGTAGTGCAACGATCTCATCAGAATCAAAACCAGCGTCCGCAAATCTGGACAAGATCATGTCGGTGGTATTGAAAGGTTCTGGGACCAAAAAGTCCGGAGAAGCCTCTTTCGCTTCCGGACGGCCCAAGAGGAAGTTAAGACGAGGAGCACCCGGGCAGTTCGAGACCCCAACGGCACCGGCGAATTGAATGCTGTCATCCAACGCAATGAGAAAGGATTATAGCGACGTATAGTGGTGAGTAGACATACAAATCTCCGGTACTCAAAGTTGCATTGTGAGCTGCAATGAATGGGAGCTGGGTATCTACGATTTCATCTGTGAAGTGATTGTCAATGTTTATGAGACTTGAAGTGTGAGCAAGATACCTATTCCAATGTTGGCGTGGAATCCGAGTTCGACATCAGCGAAGGTAACGATAGATCCGTCAGCGCCCCCGGTGAAACTATTTGAAATCTGAATGTGGAGAACAGTAATTATGTGGATGGAAACAAATACTGCAAAGCGTTAGAAAATCCAATAGCATCGTGGAAAGTGAGGCGTAAAGACTCGTGAACCTTCGAGAACCGTCAGCACTAAAAACTTATACAATGACCACCACCAACCTCTTCACCGCATTCGCCTCCATCAAAGAGGTTCTCTTGGAGATCGTCAATGATGGGGAACAGCGCACAGCAAACACTGTTCGACACAGTCTGCCCATTGGCACAAGTGAAGGCCTTGGTCTGTGCCGTAGTAGCCGCTGCGTGCAAAATGAGCTGGTCTCCACGGCGAGCACAAGCAGAGTCCTACCGTGCACGACTTGGAAGCCGAGTGAGAGGAAGAGGGCTAAGAAACGTGTAGTGAGAATCATCGCAGAGGAGGAACTGGCTCTCAATTCCATCCCGTCCTACACCTTTATACCTCTATGCCTCCAGAATCTGGTCCAATCGCGTTTGGAGGATAACAGAGAGATGCCAACGCATGGTACGGTAACAAATTGCTGGAACTCGTGAGTAAGATGGCGAGGCATCCAATAGGATAGTTGCGCAGAGAGAATGGGAACCATCCATGCGTCGAGTACGGGCTACTAGCGGCCTTGTCGGCTAAGAGAGCAGACAGAGTTTCCTGCTCTCCGCGTGCAATAAGACTATAAACCTGGGTAAATAATTCAGTAAGGATGCATCTTCCTCACCTTTGAATTGTTCCACAAATTCGGTAGCTGCGTTTTTCTCAGCAACCCAGTTTTGCGAAAAGAAATCCAGCGACATGGATAGGTAGAAAAGCTGCTTAGCCTTGAAATCACTTAACTAACAAATACCTTTAGGGTTGACGAACACCGGTACCATCGTCGCCCGCCCGCCTTCTCACAAAGGATAATTGCGTTGCCGACGCCACACCGGCAAAGCCACGGATAAAATTCAGTCTTCGATGGCCGGTCGAATATAGAATTAGAGAGACACCTTAGCATACACAACATGTAGCACAATCTAATGCTGCTATTGAAAGATGAGATCTAAAAGAGGACTTGCTAGAAGAGGTGTACGAACAATAAAAATAACTGTCACTGCCCAAAAATAATTAACAGATAAGCGCTGATTGGTCACAGACATGGGAAAGGGTCTTCGGCTATCTCCATCTCCAACCACTTGCACAGAATGGTATTAGGACCGAGAGTTGGGGTGAGGACACCAAGCAGGCGCTGCCCTACGGCAGTCGCACACTCCTCGGCTCTCCCGAACCCGGTCAGACAGCCGTTCCGGTAGTCTGAATCAGATATTCCCAGCATTGCCGGAATGGATTGCATCTCAGGCAAGCCGTAGACATGTTGCACCGCCGGCAATGCAATAAGTGTAGGTAGATCCTCCGCTGCCGTGACTAACTGTTGAGCCATGTCATCCACAGAAGGTGCGGGAGAAGTGGATGAGACCGCGTCAAAGAATGCAGGGAGCGCTTTCAGTGCATCAAGGGCTTCGTTAACTGCTTCTCTAGCCAATCTTGTAGCTGCGGTATGATCATCGGGTTTAGGAAGTTGGTTGAGGATATCATAAAGTGCTCGCGCATCAGCGGTCACCGAGGATGATACCGCCAAATCCGGTGGTGAAGGAGGCCTAGACGACGGAAGCTTGATCACGAATCGTCCCGGAGGTGGAGTTAGGGGCGGCGTAGATGATCCACGACGCTTTCTAATGACAGCAGGAAGGCTCGTCGGGGAAGACGGTGGCGTCGGTGCAACGTATGGACGCGACGTCAAAGCCAATAGGCCTCTCCATATGATGGATATGAGGTAGGTAGCCAGGATCGTCTGAGATATCGGTGTCGCCGTGTATCTCGCGATGGCTTTGCTGTACACCGGGATGATGGTTTGTAGTGATACGATGGATAGGTGTAAATGACTTGATGTTTTGCCACTTGGAGAGGTCTTTCCGGTGGATAAAGTAGCCAGCGTCTCCAGAGCTTCCACAAGGGGATGGAGCTCGCCTTTCATCAACCCCAAAAACGGGTGGACTACCCGATTAACAAGGGAAACCAGTCCCTCCCGGATGTGCTTCAGGCCGTCTCCGCGTATACCCCCATCAAGTCCTAACGCGAAATCATCAAATGTTTCCAACAACTCGCCAGCGAATGTCGCAATGGCAACGGCATGGAGCTGCGTGGGATTGAGAACTTGGGCCTGAGGCGCAGTCGAAGGAAGAGCTAGAAGCGTTGGTGAGGAAAGGTGGAGAAGCAAGCTTGCAGAGAGGTTGCCAAGGAGCACAGACAAAGGCCTGTGAAGTGATCGCAAGATGGCCCGGTACAAATGCGGGGTTTCACTAGCCGCATGTAGCTCGCTGTCAATGTCAAGATTAATGAGATCATTCAGATATTACGAGGTAAAACGACAACGCACGAGGCAATGAGGGAGCCCAACGCCCGACCTCGACCTGCAGGGATCGGCCGTCGCCCTGACACTTGCTCGTGGGCAGCTGGTGGACCGCCTGGTTGGGCGACGGCCTTTGAAACAGCCTCGCTTAGCTTGAGGCTCAGCATTTCCAGGTACGATCCATCCTGTACCAACGTGGTCAATGCAGTAGTGCTTGCTGGCGCTGGTGACGGGCGCCGGAATGTCGTCAATGACAACCTGTTCAGAGGGCGAGATCGCTCAAAAGATACGCCTGAATCGGGGCGAGAAGGTGGTGCTGATGTTGGTGGTGGCGAAGAGGGCCCGCTGGCTGGACGGAAAAAAGGAGTTTTGAGTGCGTACATAGTAGCTGGCGGTATGTGGTAGAATCAAAGATGATTTCTTGGGTATGTTTCAGTTGGTTCGTTGAAATCCAATAGAGGTCGTTTAGCTTTCTAATGTCTATGCGCAAAGGTCTCGGAGAAAGACAACCACGGTGAGAGCAGAGCAATTGTCACTATCACATGTGTCGTGAAGAAGACAATCGAAAAGACGATACGGTAGACCCTGTGGTCCTAAGGAGGACGGTCGGTGTCGACAAGGGAGGATGCAAGTGGTCCGAAGTGTATGTTGTTAATCTGTCTTGTATAACTGAGGAAGCAATTAATTGCAGTTTCTTGAAAGAAAAGAAGAGATAGGACATACTGCAATGAGGGTGGAATCATATAGATTGAGGAAATAACAATAAGCAATGGTGGTGGTAGATTGAGAAGATGCGCTTGAAGGGGGTTCCTTGAAAATTTCTGCCGGTCTCGATGGTGTCTTATAACCATTGTCATTTTCCCACGGTCTCCAAGCTCCGATGAGGGACCATCATCCTCCATTCTTAGCCATACTGTATGATTACTCGGCAATTTGCCATTCGTTAGTCTGACTCTTTGAGTTATTACTGTCTCTCGGCTGCAGTATCTATCGCCACTATCAGATATTCTTTGCTTTGAATTCAAGGCATGCAATTCAAAGTCGCCTTCGTTGGAGTTCGTGTGTATCAGATATCAGACACATATACTAATCAGATATCCTTTGTCAGATATCCTTTGCTTTGAATAGAATGTGTTTTGTTAGTCTACACTATTTCTGTATACTGAGTGAATTTTGACGAACTGGACGAAACATGAGACAGTATTTTTGTAGCTTCCGCTTGCATCGGTGGGACTTGCAAGTGCAAAGTCGCCCTAGAACGTGTGCAAAGTCGGGCTAGGGCGATTTTGAATCAACTGTGCACACGTACTAAGGCGACTTTGAATTGTTTCCCTTTAATTCGAAACAAGGGATATCTGATAGTAACGATAGATAGAGTTGCAGCTGATGCACACGAACTAGGGCGACTTTGAATTGCTTGCCTTTAATCGCTAGGTCAATATAGTATATATATGCGAGCTATTTCAGATCATACCGATGTAGTATTAATAGCGATGCTGCAGCCTGCTACGTGCGAAAGATCCTTTAGTTCGTCCAAATTCACTTAGGACACTAACAAAATATTTCCTATATTCTATTGCTAGGTCATATGTAGTATAGACGAGCTATTTCAGATCATACTAACATAGATTCAGCAGACGTCCAATAGATAGCAAGTTAATTCGTCCAAACACACTCAGCACAGAAATGCTGCAGGTTAACAAAATATTTCTCATGTCTTATGGCTAGGTCATATATAGTTTAAGCGAGCTATTTCAGACCATATCGACACGGACGCAGATGATTAACTTACCCCTTAACGGCTTAGCTCATTTGAAACCTACCTCGTACCGCTACGTTAACACGGTTTTCCGTTCACCAAATGTTTGCCAATGTGACATCTTGATTATCATCTGTATCCTGCTCTTCCATCAATTTATCGTGGAGTAAAGCGCGGTCAATAATTGCTTCCGTCTCGATGGTGCGTTCTGACAACTTCGTTACGACAGTAATGCGGCATTTAGGTCGACGTCCTTTCTTATCACAGCGTCTAGAAGAAAGGATTATGTGTATACCATCTACTTTCAAAGTCAGCCTCAGGTTGGGCCCGGCAAAAAGATTGTTATGAGGTGAGATCCCCTTCAGGTGGTGCTCATTCGTTATGAGCCGCAAAAATTTGAAACTGTTTTACCATACTATCGTTCGGTTCACTTCGCAACTTAGATAAGCATGTGGGTAAAGATCTTCAAATCGTTCTGTTCTGAGAAAGAATATCACCCGGACAACGACTGCAGAGTATCATCGACTGACGTCCCAGACCTATACTCGCCTGTTTGCCAAAAGAGCGGCCTTAGGTCCTCTCAAGGTCCAGCAGCAAGAAAAAGGCACGTCTCCAAACGACGTCTGGGGGGAAACTTCCTATCATAGTAAATCTTTTGACAAGTGCCTTGCCAACCTGGAAACCGCTTCTGGATGATACTGCGCGATTTCATGGAACCAACTGCACATGCGATTTTACTCTGCAAGAGCACGCTTAATGCGTATACGTAGCTGCGCATCCCCACATCGTAACCGCCATAAACAACCGTCGTCTTCATTCGCGCGAAGTCGAAGAACCGCTTCGGAAGGCTTCAGCGAGACCTTCACCTCGTCTACACGCATGTCAGCAATTTAGAGATTCAGATTAAGAGGGACACAGACCCTCAAACGGTGTTTCACCTGCCGGAATGACTTTCATCTCAGAACCCTCTAGGGTTTTTAAGCGATCCAGGAGGACGTCCACTGAGCCCTCAAACCACCCTTGTGCCGAAGTGGATGGGCCAAGGGTGTTCCAGGTGATTTCAAAGTCAGCGGAACTGGGATCACTGATAAACGGTGTGTCGAATGCAATAAGATCGGGCCGTGCGCCCTACAGAAAAGCCCGGTGATCAGCCTCCGTCACGGAATTGATATTTAAAAACAATCCTTACGTGGTCTGTTGGTTGTAGTGAAGACTTGACACCAAGACATGAGGGGGTCCAACACTGAAGTTATAAAACAGTCTTACCAAAGACATCATCTCAAACTCCTGCGCGGCTAAGGCGAGATCCCCAGCGGTGACTGTTTTCAAGAGTGCGGGAAGGGGATTGGATGTTGATTCGCTACGGGTGCTGGATGGTTGGCGGTCGCGTAGTCGAGGGATGGATGTGGGCCTCTCATATGCATCATACCGTAGCTTGCTAGCTCCCAAAGATGGAGATGCAATCGGGGAGAGACTCGCAGACGACTTCCGAGGTGACAATGGCGGAGAGGCCAGACTCGACTTTGAACTTTGTTGCATCAATGCCTGCAGAACATGAGGAAGCTATATGCAATAAGCTTTCATTCACCGCGCAACATAAGCGGAGGTCCTACGGTGGGTGATCTAGCAGAGTGCAATATCGACATTAATACGTCTCTCTGTGCCGAGAGCTTCAGAAATTGTTCGCAGCGCTGTTTTATAGATTAGTAAACATAAATTAGGACCATTCAAGAAAACGGACATGTCGGATATATCGTCTAGCAGTCTCAGCCAACCCAGACACAGCCAGTTTGACCCCTTCGGGTACTGCTTCACATTCTGCACTAATCCTGAGCATAGAGAGCAGACAGGCGTCTTGGACGGAGGCTGCAGAAGGATCTGTCTGTATCCTCATGTGATTTTCCTAGTAGTGCTTACCAGCGGAGGAAGCTAGCCTCGATGACAAAGCACTCAGAAGGTCCTTTGGAGGCAGAGACAATTGCCCGCAGTATTCACATCCAAGGGCAGCAACGATGACCATCATCGTCGGGCCCATGTCTTCACCTTCCGCAAGACGGGCTAAAAATACGGTGGAGGATGCGATCTGGAACATAGAGATACCTGAAATACAATGAGTAGGCGTATACATGAAAAACGGTGAGATAACCGACCGTCCCTGATAAATGACAGAACTTTCTCAACTGCAGCATCTAGAACACGTTGGGAGTCCGATGGACCTACCGACTCGACACGCCTGAAGAGTTCCAGGACTTGGCAAGCATAACGCTCTCCGTCACCCCCGAACTGTACCTGCAACACTTCTAATAGTCGCCATGTGAATTCCATCTTGTTGTTGTATGGCATCTCTGCCGGTAGTGCCTGCAGAGACTGAGCATAATACGCCAAGATGACATCAGGGTCGACGTTGTTAAGAACTTTCACGGCCTAGTGATACATGAGTAACAAATGAGACCATTGCCAGAAAGGGATTTCACCTTTTGCCGAATTAACGGATCAGCAGAGTCAAGCAACTGCATGAATCGCTCTACTTCCCATTCCTCTAAGACGGCGGGACATTCAGGTGAGGTTCCTGCCCACCACATGGGGTCGACACAGTCGAGACATGATAGGAAGAGGTATTGTTCGTTCGGTTCTCGGGACACGAGCATCTCCCTGATGCTCTCGACCAGAGCTCTTCTGGATGACATCGCGATGTTGAGAAATGCCTCTTTTCTTATCTCCCGGAGAAGTAGTGCAGCTTCGCGGAGCAGACCTGATTTGTGTAAAGTCTTCAAACGCGATCACGGATAAAGAATATTGTGCTAACCATAGTCCTTGCTGGTTGAAGCCGATCGAATTAATCTAATGACATTTGGCAGGCTGGTATCATTCATCCTATGAATTCCATGAGTTTTGCCGCGAGTCACATGAAATGGAACCAACCCTAAATTTCGAAGTGTTCGAATAATTGTGAGCAGCCAGTATCTCGACTCAGGGTGCCCGATTGTTGATGCTGAGGAGAAAAGCTCATTGATTAGCTTCTGGATGTCACGGTTCTGGCAGACCGTCGTATCAGCGACGCAATGGCGTATTTGAATGGAAGGCGCGCACATCAGGAATTGACGTCGATATCGCAATGGCGGAACCCGACACAGATGGGTCACGATCTTTCATTCTCTTCATCACAGTGGGAATGATGCGCTTGATGAGGTCGGTATCATGTCTGGACAAGGCCCTGTATGCCAGTAGGGCTCTACGTCGAATATGAGGTCTATAATGAAGACGAAAGATGTCAAAAGGTGTGTATGACAAACGCCAGCGCACATACTGACGAGTAATGAACTAGTAGATCCTGAAGTCGGGCTTGCACAGCGGGGATCACGTCTTCTGTTGACGAGGCTATGAGGTTGTCCAAGGCAAGACATATTCGCGTGGGCGAAGAGCCTTCTAAATCCTATCAAGAGTTGAAGAATGGCAGTCTCGGACAGTTTGGCTATGCAGACCTTGCGCAAGGTGTTTACGAGCATGAGTTGTAACTCGTGGTTGGGAGGCATAATTTCGGAACAAAATAGATAGCCTGACACAATACAATGGGCATGGTCCCTTCTCCCTTTTCTGTAACGACGCACCGATCCACTTGTCCTTGGCATTGGAAGCTGCCTCAGCTAAGTTAATCGCATGGGGAATCGCAAAATATAAGGCCTCCTGTTTTAGCGTACTAGTCGTCACCGCGTTATAGCAATAGAGCAGTACAATCAGAAGTTCTTTACAACTCCGCTAAAATCAAGTTCATGATTCTACTGTCACTGGGCAAAGGCGGACGCTACCCACCAAAGACAGCCCCGGGTCGTTGAATTGACTTCGAATGGATCGGACCTCAGCGAATATGTACTCGTCGGCATGCTGTCCTGATTGGGCGTTCTCCACGTTACGAACGAGAGAAAAGTGCCGCCGACTGGACGCTCCAGAAGAAATGAAAGGGACGTCCATAGGCGTTTGAGTGTAAGCCTGGGCAGCGCGCGTAGACGTGTTGAAGGAGCCAGGACAACACGTGTCAACAAACACCTTTGCCTGCACCCACCAACGCCCACATGCACAAGGCCAATTAATTGCTTCCGAACCCCCATGATGTCCTCGAGTACCGCAACCGTTCATTCATTTGCCAGGTTCCTCAACCAGCCAAAGATCTCATCCAAGTCGCGTGCATCAGGCGAAGTTGACGATGGAACCAAGAAACTTCGGCGGATGATCCTCGTAGATGGGATTCCTTCAGCTGCTGTGCGTACAGTACTACAGTGTAAAATTGACTTGAATTATAATTACGGCTTATGCTCTATAGGATCCGACGCTACGGCCCCGGATATGGAAGATACTTCTGCACATCAATGACTTGTCCGCGGATACGTACTTGAAGTATGTCGCACGGGGCCCCTGCGAAGTCAGAGAGAAAATCAGAAACGATACTTTTCGGTGCGTGTTTCACACATTCACATGGAGAGCTTGTTGTTCATGCTGCTTGATTAGGACTTTAGCAACTGATCGCGGCTTCAAAGAGCGCGTGCGAGAAGACATGCTAGTTCGTCTGCTGGATGCGTTCGTGTGGAAGAACCACGGTAAGTATGGACTCCATTCTTTAGCCTTGTGTACGGCTAATTTTTTCAACCGTTGACAGACCGACAAGAGTCGCATCAATTAGGATTTACTTATGTCCAAGGCATGAATGTTCTCGCGGCTCCATTTCTTTTTACAATGCCATCGGAACTTGAGGCTTTCTACTGCTTCTCAAAGTTCATTGAGGAGTCTTGCCCTCTTTATGTCCAACCCACGCTTGATGGAGTACATCGGGGCCTGAAGGTGCCGCATCTCTGTTCTATCCCTTAGCACCCAGAAATTCACTGGTTTTTGATTAGCTTCTTGACAAGTGCCTCAAAATAGTAGACCCAGACTTATTTGATCTTTTGCGCAAGAAGAACCTGTCGGCAGAAATATACGCTTTCCCTTGTGGGTGTTAACATCTTCGGGCCATTCTCATCTTTCTGATATCGATCATAGCTGTCCTGACGCTTTGCGCATGTACCCCCCCTCTAGACCAAGTGCTCCGTCTATGGGACTTTCTTCTCGCTTTTGGAGTGCATCTCAATGTGCTTTGTGTCATTGCACAGCTTCTTCTCATCAGAGATGAGGTGATGAGCTCTCCCAGGTAGGTAATTCTCTACTCTGTTTGCCGTTTGAAGTTGACAAGGTGTCGCAGCCCTATGCGTTTGCTCCGTACGTTCCCTCCTCTTGAGGCAGTACCTGTCATCGGCATTGCTGTCACACTGGTCCGTGATCTTCCTCCCGAGCTCTACGATGAACTAGTTAAGCATCCGTATGAGATCTGAACGACGATCGTAGATGTTTATGATTGCATGGGCTGGTTCTGTGTTTGAGATGTATTAGTATGCCTTGTGGATTTATAATACATAATACTTATGTATGGACGGCGCGTCTCTCACATCTATGGGTTGCATACCTTCATGTCATTCACAACAATTGAGACAATTAACAAAACAACAAGTACTCTGAAACATTAATGCTAGGCATCCAGTCAATCTACTTTACAATCGGTTATAATACAGTAAGTGAATAAATCGTCCCATCCAGATGTGCCGAAAGTATTATGCTGTTGAACGATAAGGTAACGGGTGAGGAGAATTCGTATATGAATACGACCGAGACGAGCTGTCCCTGTGTGTCGTATGCTCTTCGTCTGAATGAGAACCATCAGACTCATTGTCATACAAACGGCCACCAGAGTCTGCACTAACATTAATAAGGAACCGTGTCAGAAAAAATGAGCGATTGCAGTCACCATAGATCACATACCTGGTGTTATCGCGGTCTCGATCGCACAGGATATCGCGAGGAAACCTCGGTATGTTTTGGTACGACCGAGAAAATGCATCGTTCTTGTCGACGGTGGCGTGTGGAGTGCTTGGAGAGGCAGCAAGAGAAACGGGTGAGGGCATGCTCCCGCTTTCCGGACGTGATATCGGCATGGGTGGCGGGAAAGTGTTAACCTCGGAGAAAACTACATGTTGAAACCGTGCCAGCGTCTGCGATGCGGTGGACAAGTCCTGCATCAACTGAGCGGAGGCTTGCACCTACAGTGCAACGACCACTGTGAGCACCACCATCGTCCTAGATCTGGAGCGCACATCACTGACCATCTGAGGATTATGCACGGTCGCAGAAGGTAGTTTGACGCGCAGGGACCGCACCTCTTGCCGAAGGTCAGAGTTCTCTATCTCGAGCGCTCGACACTTTTCTTCGAGGTCATTGACATACTGAGCACGACGAGCGCGGTAGTCTCGCTGCTGAGTCAACGCGCGAGTGGGAGGGATAGTAAGATCTTTCTTGCGACCACGGGTCATAGCAATAGGTGAGGGGAAATAAGCGGCAGGGATTTGACAACTAGGCGGCCAGAGAGCTAGATATAAAGACCCTGCAGTTCCCACAGTTGCGAATTCACAATTGATGATCAGATTCATTTGTTTTTCAAAACCGTAGTAGCTTCCATAGGCAGGGTCTCGGAGCTATCTCCCGTAGTAGGCGTCCCAAGGGAGTCACCGGAGGTTATCCGAACTAACCGAACTGTAAACTCATATTTACTAAAGGGACATCAACAGTTGGAAGCGGCGCGCCGGAGGTTTTGTGTGAGGAAACCCCTGCGGTGTTATCGGCAGACCCGGATGCACTATATTATTATGCCTCGACCCCAGCTCTGCGAATCCTCATGGAGAGCGAAAGCGACGTGAATCTAAAATATCTAATAGATGCCCGACGGCGCGGCGAAGGGGGCCACAGAAGTTGCGCATAAGTCCGGAAAACTCGATATTCGGGTAAGACCAAAGTGTCGTCGCACTCGAGAATCAAGAGAACAAGAAGTCCATGAGAAGGTGACAAGACCTGCAGCAACCACGCCACAGTACGTCATATTCAAATTGGCATTCAATTCAGGCATGAACGACTGTGATTTTCAAATGGATCTCGCCCGACAGGACATCACTGTGCATCATCACAGGATAGAACAGGGCGGCATCACGCACATTTGCAGCTGTCCGGCCACGACATTGATCACCATCAACTCTCAAGACAACATCAACAGGTTCACATGAACGGATTTGACCGGCCATCCACGTTTTGCGTTTCTTCGTTCGCTCGCTAATATTGTCATTGTCTGTAAGTCCGAGCGCCCAGAGGCGGAAACCCGTAAAACGTGCTAAGTATAGCTTCCAAACAACAGAAACAGTCTACTTGCCGATCGGATTTGTGACACAATCCTTCCTAGGCTTCCCCATTGGGGAGAAGATCTTGAATACTATCATACGGACTACCTGTCTCCGCAAAATCCAACACACAATTGCCTGGGGCTAATAAATCAAAGATTTTCTTGACCGTATATTTTTAAACTTACTCTTGGCGGTGTGGAAACACCGATGGATGCCGCCACAGGAATGGCAACCATGTTATGTTTCATTTCATCCGTCTGACTTGCAAAGAAAATTCCTCTAGTCTCGTTCCTCGGACCTAATGCGTTGTTGTACAAGTGGATTCTGTCTATGTCCCCCACACTCGCTCAAGAAGGAGCTGCAACAGAGCGTTGTGCCCGGGTGTTTTTATGATGCACGAAATACGTGAGCCGTCATGACATGAAGAACTCCAGGACTCCACTTCCACTGCAGCGGGAACAGCGGTAGATTCCCAAGGACCATGCACCAGTTGGTGTTTATCCAACTCCTCTTGTACAAGCGCTCTGTTTGCCCCCGGAGCGTAAGCTGCCTCGTCCTCTCTCCGGTCTATAATTAACATACCCCGAGTCAGCTCGCCGATCCTGGTCCAGAGTTCAGTTATATTAATATCATACGAGACGGGAGAATTATAGAGCACCCACCTCTCGATCTCAAAGGTGCGCTTATGCATGCTCCAACCGGGACTTAGAGTAGCTGACGACGGAGGGTTCGCGATCGCACACCATACCGCTACGATATCGTGCAATTCCATTGCATCCTTACCGAACTGGAGCATAACCGTACGAGTATGTTCCAAAAAAGACGATGTGAAATGAGTTAGAGCCTTCTTCTCGTCAGCAAAGGAAGGTGTATTCATATTCGAGAACAAAGGATCGACTCGGGTTTGATAGACCAGGAATGGCAGTTCGTGCGGAGTGGTTATATCAAGAGGCAGGAGGAAAAACCGGTCAAGGGGCAGACCGAACTCTGGTTTCGAGGGCATTAGAAGCTCCTTGACGGCATACGGGTCCGCAAAGAAATTGACTAAGGTAGATTGATGGTCACCGATTGATCCAGAGGCGAAGAAAGGAGTGCGTACATTCCGCGACGGGACTTGTATTTCCCGGGACATCCAAGGCGCCTCCCATACAGATGACACGACCTATGCGACCTCTCACTAGATCCTTATTGCGTCGCATCAGCTGTGCGAGATTTGTTAGCGGACCGAGAGCTATATAAGTGATGCTTCTTTCCGGGTAGCATTGTAACAGTTCAAGCGAGCTTTCAACCGCAGGTTTCTTTGACAACAGAAGCTGGGGATGTCCATCGTTTGCGTCGAACTCTGCGTTGAATTCGCTATGGCGTTCCGAGATCCCACCTAAACCGTCCCTAGCCAAAGTCTTGGTATGAACTAACACAATGGATAATGGGCATACGAACCTTCCATGGAAATATTGGGCGCTATGGATGTCACCTTCCAGGGGGCCGTCGCTTCCGAGCACGAGCGAGGTTTTGGGGGACGCTTCATAGTTGGGGAAACGGGATTTCTCCGCCGGATAAGCGTCGAAATGGCGAGCCAGAGCCTGATAAGTCTTGAGAATGTTTGCACTTGTGACAAAGTGAGATTAAGTCTGGGGCACAGTCGTATATTAACGAACTATGATGACTGGATATCGGTATTGCCTGGAATCTCTGCCTCAGACGATGCCCGGGAATAATTGATAAGAGGACAAACCAAAGGAAACAACAATGGAGAGAACCTCAAGCTCCGGTGAAGCGAGAGCGAACAGACTACAATATGATATGATCAGAATCAAGCAAGACTCGGAGGGACAAGTGCTCAGACAGACATTGCAATGATATCATCTACACCTGGATCTGTATCAACTGAGAAAAACAAAATCAGCCGAGCTAATGATGGCCACAAAGCGTCCTACTTATTACAGGAATTCTGCCTTTACTGGCAGCCATGAGTACAGTTGGCGGACAAGTACTTGAAGAGACTTCGGAGTCCTTGAAAGATTACGCATTTATGATCGAGCTTATGTAGATTATTGATACGTAGATTGCTCTTATCTCGCTTTTGGGTGACACACTATGTGTCTGCAGAGTGAACCGGGTTCAGGCGATGGCAGCATGTATAGACATATATTACAGAGGTTTGCATACAACTTGAGAGCAATTTGTAGTTTTATGTTTGAATGTCAGTTCATAGGATAAACAACTTGAAAGAACGGTGGCGAATCGAGACGAGTTTAACGCAAAGCTAAACACGTTCGACCCGTTGCATGACGAATATCGGCACCCGCCGGGAACTATACAGGTCGTCACGGTGGCTGAAGTCGTGACGTGACACCCAGTCCGGGCATCGTTTTCAGGCATATCCCATCTCTCACTACACAAAATGGCTGAACAATTGCGGTTCCTTGGTTCCTTGGAAGGCCACAAAGGATGGGTCACCGCCATCGCAACCTCGCAGGAGAATCCCGACATGATTTTGACTGCTTCCCGGGGTGCGTCCACGTCCAAAATTCAAGTCGATTCACCCTGACGTTTCGTGCAGACAAAACTATCATCGTGTGGCAGCTCACCCGCGACGAGGACTCGTACGGATACCCACAACGAATTTTGCACGGCCATAACCACTTTGTTTCCGATGTCGTCATCTCTTCCGACGGCCAGTTCGCTTTGTCTTCCTCCTGGGACCACACCCTCCGACTTTGGGATCTCCATACCGGTGTTACAACGCGTCGTTTTGTTGGTCACACATCCGATGTTTTATCTGTCAGCTTCAGTGCCGACAACAGACAAATCGTGTCTGGCTCCCGTGACAAGACCATCAAGGTCTGGAATACTTTGGGAGAGTGCAAGTTTGACATCAAGGAGGAGGGTCACACAGAGTGGTACGTGGAACGAGTCTGCTGGTGCAATTTCCCTCCTAATAGTCCATTAGGGTGTCCTGTGTGAGGTTTAGCCCGAACGTGTCGAACCCTGTTATTGTATCGTGTGGTTGGGACCGAGTCGTCAAGGTTAGGATTCTTTCTTTTTGTATACTCTTCCTTTCCATGATGTTATATCTTTATATTTGCTACTTCAGAGGGACTTGTCCCTATGAGACAATTTTTCCACCAAGATCTCTGATTCTATCTTACTCCTTCATGCTCTAGTGACTGACTCCTTTTAACAGGTCTGGGAACTTTCAAAATTCAAGCTCAAGACCAACCACTACGGCCACACCGGCTACATCAACACCGTGTCTGTTTCCCCTGATGGCTCCCTTGCCGCCTCTGGTGGAAAGGACGGTATCACTATGCTGTGGGACCTCAATGAGGGCAAGCACCTCTACTCCCTGGAAGCCGGCGATGTTGTCAACGCGTTGGTTTTCTCTCCCAACCGCTACTGGCTGTGCGCTGCTACCGCCAGCTGTGTCAAAATCTTCGATCTGGAGAGCAAGTGAGCTTTCTTGATTTGACTCGTAGTTTTCTTCGCTAACAAATATCTAGGTCTATTGTTGACGAGCTCAAGCCAGCATACACTGATGGTGGTGACGAGGCAAGGCAGCCTGAGTGTGTGTCCATCGCATGGTCGGCTGATGGCCAGACACTGTTTGCTGGATTTACCGACAATGCTCTTCGTGTCTGGACTGTCACTTCATAAGCTATACTTGTGCTGTAGGTGGTGTCGAGAGGCTGGTGTTTCGGGATCATATATAAAATTCAAAATATTTGCCTCGCAACCCATACATGATTTGATCACTGAACATCTATGGTATATATGACTCCGCTTCAGTCATGTTCCTTGTTCGCTCATCAAGATCCCAGCGATCCAAACCTCCGAAATTTATTTTCATGTCCAAGAAGGTCATGTTGAATTGCAATTCATAGATGTGTGAGGCCTGCGCTCTCCAGCTGTCGCCGCTTTCATGTTGTGTCAAAACATGAAACGATGAGCGTCAAGTGGAATGAGTACTGACGTTGCGGTGCCATACACATCTCCTTTCTGACTGACAAGCCTCAACGACTGGTCTGTGTTTGAGCGGGAGTCGTATACCCAGATGCTAAGGCCTGAATATATCTCCTGCCATCCACTCCGATCCACTAGCCTATTCGGCGATGAGATGCGTTTTTTTCCTGTAGGCGGTGTAGGCGCAGGACGTATATCTACGTCATTCAGCAGCCGTAGCGCGCGCAAGTTGGATATATCTTGGAACAAGGAACGGTCCCCGGGTGTCAATGGGTCGATGACCTTGATGAGCTGTCCGGACGCTTCAGATTCCGAGTCGCTCTCGTCGTCGTCATCCATTTTCGTGTCTTCATCATGCTCAGCAGGCTTGTTCGCTTGGGCGTACTCTTTCTCTGCTACTTTCAATCTAGAAAGAAAAGCTAACCAGGCCTCATCGTTGGAAAAGTCTGTTCGGAGGACAAGGCCTCCGTCGACGTCGTCGAGCAATTGATCCAGGGGATCTGCGTCCTCCGAGGACACCACCTGCTCTAACATTAAAGTGCGACATTGAGAGAATAACATTTTCCTACCTGTTCCTCAGATGCTGTAGCAGCGTTCGGCTGGGATATGGGAGGATTCGCAGACCAAAATGCATCCATGGCACGTAGAAGCCATTTTCGTCGACTTTCTTGAGGAAACGCGGTGCGTATACTATTATACCTAGCCTATAGTAGTATCAGAAACGGAAATGAAACACGCAGGAAATACGAACAGCAAGAAACTGGGCAAATTCGAGATTCATTTTCGTGAGGGGAGGATATCCGATTTCGGTCCAAGACTACGTTATGAATTGCTCCAATTGGGAAGTTATATGCTCTCTTAAATAATGTTCTTTTGGAATGGAATGGACTTTTTGAGTTTCTCCGTCGTAAGGAGAATGTAGACGAAGTGACAACATTTCCCACGCTGACGGCCAAGGGTGATTTATATCTTGTCACGTGTGCACATCCTCCTTTCCTTTTCTTCTCATTCCTTTACGACGCGCCGGTATTCAATATGTGGCTTTCAGATGCTCAGAGTTCGTTATCATATTTTATTATCCTACACGTACTTTTCTGACCCTTCATTTTGCAGAAATCGGTGTGGCTCTCACGACGTTCGGCGCGCTGTTTATGTTGCTGGGTGTTATGCTCTTCTTCGACGGCGCTCTTCTTGCTCTCGGCAATGTATAGATCTATCTCTGCCATTGCACTTCTCCTTGACGACTGGTGCATTGCAGATACTCTTCGTTTCAGGCCTCACCCTCATAATTGGACCCCAGAAAACGTTTTATTTCTTCGCAAGGAAGCAGAAACTACGTGGCACCATATGTTTCATCGGTGGGATTATTCTCGTTTTTGTAAAGTGGCCGTTCGTTGGTATGGTTGTGGAGACGTTTGGGTTCTTGAACCTGTTCGGGTGTGTTCCTTGCCTGCCTGTCCTAGATAATGAAGACGCTTACGGTGCTCTAGTGACTTTTTCCCTGTCATCATTACTTTCATGAGGCAGCTACCTTTTATTGGGACAGTGCTGTCGCTCCCTTACGTGAGAGATGTGTGTACATTACCATCTGCTTTACCGTCACTCACCGTCTCTCAGGTAGTAGACCGTATCACAGGGTCGCGAACGTCCGCTGTGTAATCATAAACATAACTCATTTGCCCCCTCCAAAGACATGACACCCATGGACTGTACGCCTATCTTTAATGTGTCTAACAAGCCTATACTACCTCAATGTGGGCGGTACCCGACTTCTCCTTGCCATCTTGTGACCTCTGATTTGATTCGTCTTCTTTCGTGTATGGGTCTGTGTTTGATGCACCCATCCGTCTTTGAGCTAACTGGTCAACATTGCGGAAGTGGAAACCGTCTTTCACCGTCTGGGAAATGACAAGTCCTCTGCAAATGAACGTCAGTGACAGGACACAGGATAAAACCAACGGGGATAGCCATACCCTGCGTAAAGAAATACCACCAGATAACCTGATAGCGGGACAAGGTACGACCTGCGAGTATAAGCCCTGTCCGCCAAACCACCTTGAGCAGGAGGGTACCATGCGCCGCCTCCAACTCCCTATAGAACACGTCAGCATACACGTTTGATTTGCACCGTTGATTAACATGCCATGACGATTAGACCTGATCCTTTCTTGGTATGTTTCCCCAGGTTTTTCGTTCCTAATGTGAAGATGCACTAATAATGCTGTTAGAAAATAAAGATATACACATATGGGCAGGAAGTACGTACCGGATAACAAATGGATTCGAAGAAAAACAATGCAAACAAAAATCCAACAGCCGCTTGTCCAGGTGAACCCACAATGGAGCCGCAGAATACGCAACAGCATACGGCGTAGAAAGTCAATAACAATGCCGGGTCCACAAAATTGAGAATAGCAACTCCCACAAACCTGGAAGTTTAGTGAACGAAACTAATTGCAGAGTTTTTACCAAGTACTGACCGTCCAACAGTGAATGTTATCTGACAGAACGAGAATAATTGACTGGCTTTGGATTGGCTGATCCCAATATTCTGACCGACTAAGAGGTTCACTACAAAGGACGCTACGCCGATTTGGGCCCCGCTATTTTCATTAAAAGTGTATCGGATAGCACCCGCCGCGAAAATGCTCACCAATAACAGGTCTGCGCTACAAATCCAAAGATACACCGCCATTGTTTCCAAAATGGCTGGTCGTCCACAGTAATGCCGGCTTCATGGATTTCTTGGGACAAGGCGTCTTCGGTGATCTCAGGTAGATCGCAGAAGCTTTGAACCATCTGGTCAGTTGGTCCGTGCATTATTTGCCTTAAGAGTAAAAACTTACTAGAAGAGGATGTTTAGAACGACACCAAGGCCTGCGACGGCAAGATATACCCTGATGATAGAAATCAACAGTCAACGTTACATGCCAAATACCAAAAGAGTGGACCAACCATTGGACAGTGTCTAATGTTGTGGCGTTCGCTCCAGTGAAGAACCACCTCGAAGCAATAAGCGGTCCAGCAAAAGACGCTACGCCTTGGAAACCCTGGCTCAGGTTAAGCCTGGCAGCAGCATATCGCGGTGTTCCCAACACAGCGATGTACGAGTTGGCCGCGACTTCGAGGGTGGCGAGCCCGCAGCCTATCAGAGTGGGATGAAGAGAAACCGAAAACACCGAGCGAAGAATGCCCCACCAATAACGAAGGTACATGCGACGAATCCACCGTATTTTTCATAAACGGCAGATGGCCAGAAGAAGACGGCGCCTGGAAAAAGGTTAAGATATCTGCAGTCGACGGGGTTCGGAGACCACATACCGAGACTGTAAAGGCCTAGGCCCATGTGTATGCCGGCCTGTGGCGGGGCATTTAGTATTTGGAATGCAATGGAGAAGATGGCATGAAGCGGCACCTTGTAGCCTTTTCGCCTCATCTACATGCCAGATAACGAATCGATTAGCGACGGGGACAGATGGAAGAAGTAACGTACGAAAATACTAGCAATTGGTGCGTAGACCAAATATGCACCAAAGTATGCTAATTGGAGCATGGTGCTCTGAAGCTTTGATATCCCGAAGACTGTCTGAAAGTGGGCGTTGAGGACATCCAGAAGCTGCAAGACAAGCTCAGACATCGGTGAGAATTCTAATGAATTGCAGAGTCACTAACGCCGTACGCGAACCCCCCTGCGAATATAGTTTAGGACCGGAAGAATCAACGGTTAGAGAAACGTACAAGTGAAGAACAATGAAGTAACAAGGGCAAAGGCGAATAACCACCGTCGCTTGGACAATTGTGAACCTGGAACACGTCGTCAACCGAACATAGTCCGCTCGATTTGGGGACATACCAGTCGTTCCAGTGAGAGGAGCCATGGTATCGGTGGGGGATTCGGTAGGATTCGGTTGATCCAAACAGTGTTACGGTCGCGTCCTCCTTTTATACGAGCCACTTCTTCAATACCGGACCACATGAGAAGCTTCACGCTCGAACTGATGGAATACCCCCCGTGACTGTTAAGAACGCCTGGTGACCCGGCCCGCTTGCGTGCGACGACAATCTGGGGCAAGAATGTGGGGTAATGTATCGCAAGTTTTGATGGTTTTGCGAAGAAGTTGATCAGGGAATTAAATGGACAGCCGTAATCCAGCACTACCTCCATCAACTTCATGGGTGATGTAGTTGAGCTGGCTGAGTATAGTGCCTAGGAAAGGATCCGACATTTATCGTATGCAAGGGAGGATAGGGACTTGAGCAATCTGGGTCCTAAGCTCAGCTCATCTGGAAATGATGCACTTTCCTTGCAGCTCTTGTAACAAAAGTGCACGTACGGCCATCAGCGCATGGTACTTAAGGTGGGTAGTCGCTGGAAAAATCGGGCCGGGATCTCGATAAGTATACGACTTGGTGAACCTTCCGCACTTCGCACAAGGGCCAACATGCAACGAATTCGAAAGGACTAGTCCTTTCGTTGCCGGGATATTTTATTCCCTACGAGTAGGAGCGAGTTCAAGTTCGGCTATGACAAAGTTACTTTCCCCCGGCGACTACCATTCCTCCTCAGGAAAGAAATTTGGCTAAATTATAGTGCAGGCTGCTTATGCAGATACTGGGCTCTTTACAACTCGCAGAACTTGAGCCTTAATTGATTTTTCATCGGGGCCGGCTGTTTCTTCTTAGCATGCAATATGATTACGCGCTATGTACGATTATTTAGCCTTATTATATACTTCCGCGGAAACCGATTGCGATCGGTTTCCTACTTTACCTATTTTTATGTTCTTACCGCAACAAGAGTTGTTCCCTATTCTATTGCGCGTGTTCACATTGGGCTACAGTGTACAGATGAGCCATCTTTACAGAGTTGTCTAATTGCTCGTAGTCTATATATTCGCCAATAATGTCTCTTGATATCCATTCTACTGTCATCGAAAAAAAACGCTAGCAGGCGCAATGGAGGTCCGTGGGTTTTATACAAGTCCGACTTGTTGCGCACTAATCTACATCCATTGAACGACTTATCTTCATACGGGTCTTGGAGTCTGGATTACGAGACTAGCATTAATCAAGCTTACAGCCGTTTGAATACAGCTTGACAGTAACGCGCTTCCATAAACAAGGCTTTTCCGACTTGGGATTAGGGCGCTCCTCGAGTTTATGGCGGCTAAGGCTGTTTCGGGGATCTTGGATCCTCTTTGTGCGCTCTTTCTCAGACTGTCCACCTGTATGTAGGAGAAATCTCAATATTAGTTTTCCAAGTGACTTTGCTGGTAGAGAATCATAATATCCAGCTTCCCACAGAATGACTTCTTCCAGGTGCTTCGCAAGTTTTTTGCAGAAAAGAAAAGAGAAAAGTGTGTCAGTCAGGGTTCTTCAAGGGTCACTGCCGCTCGGACCCTGCCGCCCTCGTGGCGTCCCGGCGTTAAAAGGACCCTTCCCTTTCCTTATTCATAGTACCCAATATATGAATGCTGTCGCATGATGTTTCGGTTGGTCCTCCCTAACTCTGCTGGATAAAACATTCTAAGACGTTTGGCTCCGGTGAGTTCAGTAGCATTCGTTTCTCGATGATGTCGTTGACTGTCATGGCTTTACAGGTGAGGGCACATTGGCCGGCATGAGGCAAGGGCGATGGTACCACAAATTGTGGTTGAGGATAAAGCAATTTGGCCACTACAAACACCTACCAGACGACGATACATCGCTCATCGATAGGCTCTCTGATGCCACATTACTTCGGATTTTCGTGTTTACCCAGTCCGCGTTCGCGTCACCGCCACCAGAAAGAGCCATATCTCACGTCAACCGTCGCTGGAGGGCGATCGTACTGGGACACGCCGCATTGTGGCGTCAGGTAGATGCCAAAGTCCTAGGCAGCTCCCTACAGCAAGATATCATAGAGACGTACTTATCCCGCGCGCGGACGTTAACAACCGATTTGAGGGTCATTCTCTCGGAGGATGAGTGGACACGTACCCTGGAAATTATCACTACGCATTCGACTCGATGGCGTTTGATATCCATTCGAGCCGACTTCAACTCTTCTCCTCACCTCCTCAGTCAACACATATCCCAATTCCACCTCCCACATCTAGAGCACCTCTCTGTCATTTGCTTGGACGGATTTTGTGAAACGCCGGACCTCGACACCATTGATGGAGATACGAGTATTTTACGCGGGAGCGCACCTAGACTCACTAGTTTCCGCGTGCAACACAGTGCCATCACTTATTTTCCTCCTCCCTTACACGGCCTCACGACTCTTCATCTAGAGGAATTCGGAGACCACCGCATCAATTACAAAACCTTTTGTCGCTTGATCCATTCCATTTATTCCTTGACCAATCTTTCCATATACGGTGATTTCATCGACCATTGGACCATGGCCGGAGACCTCCATATCCCTGCCCTTCGTTCTCTGCGATCTGGTAGCAACGCGTCTCTAGGCGCGATGCTGCTGTCGCTGTCTGTGCCAGGGTTAGCCAGTCTGACCTTATACAACGAATGGGACTCTCATATCCGGGAATTCTTCCGCCAACGTGAGCCTGGTTACGAAACCAAACTTCCTTGTGTGCATTTAATGCTTAAGGGCTGCCATTTTTCTTTGTCATCTCTTCGAACACTATTGGAAGAGGCACCGGCGATATATCGGCTCGATATCATTGATGGCTTCGCGGACGATGCCCTTGACCTGCTACAAAATGATAATGCTCTGCTTCCGTCGCTTTGCGCATTGTCCATCAATAGACTTCATGATCCCACCAAGCTATCCAACTTCTACGCCTCCCGCCGTGTGGGACTCCGACTGCATTTTAATTTAGATGCTGTTCTACCTCCTTCTGCATCCATTGTTCGCTGGGACGGGCCTGAGAGCTGGCCTGCAGGTTCAAAATGTATTGACAGGGACGACTTCATGACAAGATTATCTGAAGCTGGAGTTGCTTGTAGATCACCGAGGTATGCGAAAGTCCTCGGGGTTTCGTAGTACATTGAATCTCTGTTGAGGCACCGGAGCAATCGAGTACGCTTCGTGTTTCTGCATGCATCAAAATCAAGTTTGGTGTGAGGCTGACTGGAACGGAACGGTCCGACCTGTGCGAATATGATGGGCGCTTAATTATAAAGGACTCTGATTCTGAGGGACATCACAGCATTATCAACCACGACGACCAGATAGGCCTGGGAATCATTCGGTGAACTGTATCGCGAACGTCCTTCATACTCAAAGCTAACACGTCTACTCAAGTGACTTCCGATGAAGGATGATGCACCCCAGTCGTCCTCACGGATTAGTTCTATTTGGTCTGCGTTCCGGCGACTTAGCTGCCGTAACCAACGCCGTGCATTTGATGCTATTTCAATTATCGGCAGCGATACTTCTACCCTCGTAGATCCAGGGCCGTGTGTCGTGAACGATCTATCCGACGCATTGCTCTTCAGCATCTTTGAAGTCGCTAGCGACTCTTATGGCCAAAGCTATCCCTCCGTGGTGAGAAGAATATGCCACGTCAATCGCCGTTGGCGAAAGATCGCTATATCGTCTCCAAAGTTATGGCGGCACATCGACGCTATAGTCCCAAATGTTTACAACCAGCTTGCGTTGATTAACATACATCTAATTAGGGCGTACCCACTCACAGTCGACTTACGGCTGGCCCTTCCTAACGTCGAAGCTAAATGGGCCCTGCTCCTTGTGCCCATAACCTACTCTTCCTCCCGCTGGCGGGTGCTCTCCGTCCATGTCGATTGTGATTCCGACGGGGGACAGCACACTCTCGTTCGACATTTCCGCACATCCCATTTCCCCAATCTCGAACATTTCTCTATCATCCGTTACTCCGACGTTTCATCTTGCAACTGCTTTGTGCAGCAGGACCTTGGCGGGAACATCCTCATAGAGGGTTCAACGAAACTCTCGAGTGTACGTTTACAGCATTCCTCGATTCCTCATCTTCTTCCACCGCCACAGGCTATCAGCGCACTGCATCTAGAGCAGTTCGGAGAATATTCTATCGAATACGGGGCCTTCCGACGGCTTATAATGGGATTGCCGTCGTTGGCGAACCTATCGATCTATGGGAACTTTGTTGATGGTTGGACCAAATCGGGAGATTTAGACATTCCTAACCTCCGAGCGTTGAGGTTGTGTAACAACGAAGCATTGAGTGCCCTGTTACAGTCTATTCACGCCCCGAACTTGGAGAGCCTAGAACTTCATGGGGTATGGGACTCTCATCTTCGGGAGTTCCTTCATATGCGCGAGACAGCATATGAGACCAGTGTTCATTATTTGATGCTGAAGGGTTGTCGACTGTCGACAGATTCTCTTTGTGCACTCTTCAAGGATTTCGCAGGGACGGAGAGGGTTGATATTCTCGATGATTACGCCGACATGGTCATGGATTTGCTCTTACGCGACGATGACTTGCTGCCATCTCTGCATACCATCTCGGTTCACAAACTGATGGATGCTAGGAAGCTTGTTATGGCACGCAGTGTGATCTTTCGACTGCATTTCGATGTTGATGCTGTGCCGTTGCATGGTGAGGTCGTGAGATGGGATCAGCTGGATCCATGGACCACGACTACGGAATTTTGCGACCGGGACGACTTTATGACGAGGATCTCTCAACATCGTCTTCGCGAAGATGACCGGAAGCTGATGAGGGTCGGGTCGAAAGGTTGAGGGAAATGTTTAGTCAGGATCTGATCATTCTGGGTCCCAGTCAATGCAAAGCCAGTAGGATGGATTCCATGGCTAAGAACTGAGCTCAATGATGATGCTGAAGATACTGATTAGACTGAATTCTTGGCTCTGACGCCAGGGGGGTCCTTAGCCAGTCTCGAGTCGTAACAAGAAGATAATTATTGCGGATTCAGATGATGTAGATTGAGGTGTCTGCTCAGCGGTTACAATGCAGAGGTTAAATAATATCCTCAAGAGTACTCCATTATCCAGTCAGGTCCGGGATAAATTAGGGACATTCATATTTCCCACGGTTATCCTTTTGGAAAGCCGAAGCAACGTACTGGCGGGGGGCTTCATTGATTGCCAGTACTGGAAACATCACTGGCCCCGCAGCTCCTGCGTCAAGCCAGATCCAACCGGATGTCAAGCGTCCTGGTTATCATCTTTCTAGGTCTGTTCCACTTCCCTCGAGTCATCCTTAGCTCTGACGTAACATTTTCAGATATTCTCTGGAGAGCAGGTTTCCGACTGTGAAGCACCACCATGACAAGGACAAAGACGCACAGCGGTGCAGTATCGAGATGATTCCCATAAGGCCAAAATCAGACAGTTTCGAGCATGTCCCCTCTTTTGCACCTTCTTTCCCCAACAGTCCTTCGAACGAAACGCTCACTACACTTACGGAACTGCAACATCATGACAAGACTCATGAAAAGAAGCCTTCCACCTCATCTCTCAGAAATAGGTGGTCCGTGATCCTTAGGGATTTCCCGTACACGAGTCCAGTGAGGAGCTTGGGACGTACACCCGCTCAGACCCCTCTGACGGCCACAGCTACCGAGGGGGAGGACGATTATTTTTCAACTGGAGACCGCGACAAGGAGAAGCGCAAAGCCCGATTTCGTATTCATTTCCTCCTTCAGCTCAATTCTCTTTACAAAATTGTCGTCCATTAAAACTCGAGGCTTTCTTTGAAGCTATCCATGAACGTGAGGATGATTTGTGAGTGCAAGTTGTGAGCAGGACGATCAGAAATGAGCTGTACTCGAACGTTTTTGAGTTAGTCTTACAACCCTTATCTCCCTTATCACATTATTAATGACTGGGACAGAATCGCGGTATCTATGCTTTTCAGTTTCATCGCTGCGGGTATGGCAGCCTCAGGAAAGCTCTGCTATTCGGTGATCGCGTCCGGCTCCGTAGTGCTCATCCTACCTGTGAGTATTAATTTCTGACATCCTTATCTCCCCCTTACAAAGATGGTTTCTAGGGTTTCATTGTTTCATGCGGCTCGCTAGAGCTCATGCCGCGCAACCTCGTTTCTGGAGCGGTGCGGATGTTTTACGCGGTGATCTACTCCTTGTTCCTCGGGTTCGGGCAGTCGGTAGGAGCAGAGGCATATGAGAAGATTACGAGCCATTCCGTCGTCGGTGTCACGGACTACACGTGCGCGTTGACCCATGATCCCGAAGGCGGGTGGTGGCAGCGTACGCCGAGCGGATATTGGGACTTCCTCATCGTGCCGATGTTTGCTTAGGGGCTGTGCTTGAGAAATTATATGCCCTGGAATCAGAGGGAAATGGTATGCATGTCTTTCCTGATGACTCTGCGCCGCTAATCTTGGCACTGGTGCAGTTTCTCGGTGTTGCGATTGCATCCGTGGGTTGGGTGACCAACCATTTCACATCAACCAAGTTCGTCAATCAAAACGATATAAGTGCAGCGGTTGGGTGAGTATATCTTTTCTGAAAACATGAGGCGAACATGTACTGACGGGCTCTCTTACCAGTGCATTTGCGGTCGGATTCATGGCCAACTTGTACGGGTGCTTCTTCTCAGGGAACGCCTTCGTGATCATGGTTCATGGTCTATCCTTTCATCGAACGTTATTATTCATCCACCTCTAGATAGCCGGTATTCTTTTCCAAGTCCCGTCTGGCTTTCGAATGGTGGTCTCTTGACCTTCGTGTCAGAACAATGCACCGGGTCCTCCAGCTCTTATATATCCAGTTTTAAGACTGCGCTACAGCTGATTTCGGTCGCGATTGGGTTGACAGTCGGGACGCATTCAATTCGCCTGGGACTCTCACCTATCCCGGTAGCCTAGTGTTTCCTTGAACAATCTAGCAATAAACGCGGTTGGAGCGACCGTCTCCCTTGTAAAATTGCGTTAACGTAACGTTCACTTGTGAGTCCTGGTTGTTTAATAAGGTTACGAGGATCCCGTCGACCTTTATCTGCAGGTAGCGTTTCTAGTGTGCGCAATTTTTCTTCAAAAAATAGCTCAAACATCATGAACAAGCAAATTTTAACTGCTTGATGCCAGACGCAAGCAAAGGGAAAAGCAAGGACGGAAGAGCAAGAATGGGACATTCGAAGAGTGAAGCCAAAGTTCAGAATCAACCGACAATAACAGTCCTGACTCCATGGACATCGATAGTTGAAAATACCATCAGACGAGTCACGTTTGCCCTCTGTATAACTGTATCTTTATATTTTATTATGTACTTCATTGGTAGATATTGCATATACTACAGGGCCTGACGGGAAGGAATCGTGAGCTTGCCTTGCCTGGGAAGGGGCCATAGTTAGAACACATCCTGAGTCGTCCTCAATCCATTTGTTCTGTTCCTATTCTCGAATATCTCCTTTCCCACGTAGTTCAGCCAGATACCGAGGGCGGGGGCTAGAGAGGAGTAGCCAAGTAGTCATACTAGATATGAGACACGAGCGATTGATCATTGTGCCAGCCTGACGAGGCTGGAGGGTGCACCGAAGTGGGCTGAATTTCGAGCTCCGCTTAAAGATGGTAATAAGAATATACAGGAGGGGCTGGTGACGCCTGCCTCAGCATGGCTAATCTCATCCGTACCGCCAAGTCTGGCAACGACTGGACTCTCAATGACCTGGACTCATATCACATCACCCTCAAGCAGGTGGACGCCCTTTCGTTCTTTGGCTTACAGGTAGGCGAGGGTAAAGCTAAAGCCCTCGGAAAGACTAACGACTTTGCATGCCACAGGAGTTGCCACGACCCTCAGTTGATCAAGAGCTGCTAATCAATGCCGATGCTGATGCTATGTGACAAGATCACTACGCAGAGTTAATCACTTACCTTGATCTCGCCATGATCCCCCACAAAGGTAAAATTGCCGTGGATGATTTTGTCGTCGAGCTTTTCAAGACTCTGGGTTATGTCTGTCGAGAACGAGTGGCATGCATGCGGGTGGACCTGCCGCTCCTGATTTGCGGCGAAGACAAGGATGCAAAGACCGATGTCTGTATTTTCGATCGATCTCAGAACGATATCCTCCTCCTTGTCCAGGAGGACAAGAGGTTGGAGCACAGGGATCCCATCAATGCGCGAGCTCAGCTTGTGGCAGAAGCAGTCGGGGCTTTCAATGAGAATAATGCACAAAGGGAAGCGATTGGACTCCCTCCTATGGTGGAAAAGGTGAGTTATTTCGTGAGTTTGTCGACCCTTTTCTGGAGATCGTTCTTCTTAGGTCATGCCCAGCATTGTCATGGTGGGGACGTCGCCCATGTTCTTTAAAATTCCCGTCACTCGAACTCTGTCCATTCATATTCGCCATGGGACCTATCCTCCAGAGGAAACCTGTGTGACCTATTGTTATCCGCCTGTTCCTCGACCTGCTCGCCAGCGTACTGAAGGGATGAAGCCTCTGGACAACAGGCGTGAAATGTTCAAGTGCTATGAAGCGTTTAAGGTGATTGTGGGTATATGACTTGGACGATGCAGCATAAAGATTGATACCACTGTTGTAAAATTTGATGTAACTAGCATGCAATGGACTTTGAGACTTGAGCTTTGAGGCCTGAAACTGAAGTTCAAAAATCCTCAAAATCAACTTGCTCAGAAGGGAGGACGTTGACGAGCACCTCACCCGACGGTAACTTTTCAACTCAACACTTACCACACTTGGTCATGGCACTGACCTTTTTCAATGCATCCACAATTAAAACGTCACACTGGTGGCAGCTGAAACTTTTGCATTGTCAGCGCTTCAGTAATGGAGAGCATCCAAGGTACAATTTTCTATCCACTGAGTTCTCATACACCATCAATGATTCATTTTTTGCACAGCCGCTTGTGATTTTATCATCGAAATTCTCAGAATGGAGGCCCTTGCAAAGTTAGTTGCAGATGTCTCTGCCCCTTTTGTGCTTGTTTGACTAGGGTCAAACAGTATGTCGACCGCTGTAGAATCCACCACCTAGCCAGAAGAAGACACTCCAGTGTGGCTATCTGGGCATGGATCTGTCACAAATCCCTCAATTCTGGGAAGGAAAGCATGAGGCCATTGTGCGCAAGATGTTGGAAGAAGAGTTAAAGGGTATGTTTGTCCGAATTCAAGCCTTCTCAGAGCAAAGCTCATTGTGACGTTAAGATATACATAGCCCTGATGTATTTGCTGCCTCCTTGGGCTAATGGTACCGTCGCTATTCCGGGTCTGTCTTAGCAATGATTTTAAATGGCGCATAATGTGACATACATTGCTCTGCTATTCGACAAGATGGCTTTTCACCCTTTGGCACCTTTCTCTTTGGCCCCTTTTTCTGCATCGGAGGCTGGTCAATTCTTGAAGAGAAACGACTGATCCTTCGTGACTGCGACGAGGGCACCAACTTCCTTGGTTGACTTTTTATATACCTCAACATACACAGATTTCAACAAAGCCTCGCCTTCAGCTCGGACTAGGCCTGGCACTGTTCGTCATGCATCCCATTCAAAGTCGCCGAAGGGGCGGTGCGGTATTCAGTCTTTGATTTCTTGCTTTGTTGTCTCAGGCACTCCCTCGTTCTCTGGTTCTTGTGTGTTAAATCTCCAGATGCCGACTCCTTCACCATCTTTGAGATCTCAGTCAACGGCACCGGAAGTTATCAATTTAATTGACGATGATGACGACGACATGGTGGTCGATACCCATCTTCCTAGCCAATCTGTAGGTTTCTTTGTCCCAATCTATGATTATGCTCATTCAGCTTAGATTGGAATAGCCTCCTCGCCAGTGGCCGTCAAGTCTGAACCTTCAGTGGATAGAGACTCGAAATAGTGGGGAAATATGAGAGTGTCGTTTCGGGGTGCATTGAAGCAGAGCAATTCACTGGGCAGTCGGAAGAGGTGAAGACGCAATGGGGAAAGTTGTTGCTGAGTAGCAAGAAAGCGGATGTGTATGTCGCTATGCGGGCGAGAATCACGCTGAGGAAGTATGGTTTACAGATTGATGATGACAGCCTAAATAGGGAAATGGAGGCTATAACAAGGAAGGCGAGAAAGAGGCCAATGCATAAGGAGACAATGATGGGGGAGAAAGGGAAGGTGAAAGTGGAAGATATCAAGGCTCGCGAACCCTCGGCGGTCACAGCTGAGGAGATCGTTGATGCCTTTTGTAGAGGTGACGAGGTAAAGGGCATTCGTCTACAGCGAGGTACGATGACTAAATCTCACATTATAGCATATCAAATCCTGCGAATGGAATACGTTTGGTATGATCATGCTTTTGTAAACGATATGCAAGAGAAGCTACCACTATGGAAGCCGAAATCTGAGGCTACGACTCAGAAGGCGTCAGGATCACTACGCAGAGCGCCTGAACAAACCGAAGAAGACAGTAACCCTACTTCTCTTCGTTGATCTTTAAGGCAGAGGAAGAGCTCTAGTCGTATGCGAGAGTCGACGAACGAGGAACAGGATGAAGCGGACGAGGAGCCTGAAAGCGAAAGTTCTGATGCAGATTCGGATTATGAACGCTGACTGTCGTATGGTTGTGTTGAGCCAGTCATTTGCATTTTTGTGAATGTACATGTATGTAACTTTATATTTGTCCTCAGTTTGATATATAGAAAACAGGTCTAAGTATGTCATTAGCATAAAGTTACACACGATGACCAGGCGACTGACTCCATACGCGGGATGGCAACTGTCTGAGGAATGATACCTCTCATACAGTTCTGATGATAATAGTCCAAAAAAATATCCCAAGAAGGTGACGGCAGTCAAGTTTGACGAGGCATGTTCGTGGTGGACTGGGAACATACGGAGATACTGCGAGCGCCCCTCCGATAACGATAATATATTTGTCTGGCGGAGCTGGTTAATAAATGATAATCCGTATCACATTGCAAGGGTATATCCAAGGTAACTAAATACATAAGAGGTCATAGAGGGCCAAAACGGTCGTAACCTGAGAGCAGAAGTGATGATGACAGAAGACCAGAGGTCAGATACGAAGGTCTGTGCCATGATGACACCTGCGAGAAACTAATCACCGAGGGGAGCACAGCGAGACAAAGAATATAAACCTTGATCATCCAATAGCTCCCCTCTCTTTTCTCCTTGTCTCGAAAACCTCTCTAAATTCGTTAATACTCTCCTTGCCCAATGTCGCAAACTCGATTCTGCTGAACGAGTGTCATGGCCAACAAGGACAAGGGCGTGAAGGACTATAGTCGTGGCTCGGCAGGTCCCTCAGGCCAGAAGACTCCTAGAAAGGTGCAATGGGTCGACCACCGAGAGACCCATGCTCTCGATGAGCATGCCGTGAACGTGAGCCGCGTCGAGCACCTTCTCTTCTCTCACTAATAACATTGGCAAATAGCCCGACGCCTTTGAGCATCTTACCCACGCTCTCGAACAACACCGCTCCAAGTCACCCGTCGAAGATCGACCTTCGCCCTTGCCTCGAATCCATTATTTCCCACCCCGACCCCAGTACCTTCCCCCCGTGGACACCGGGTTGATGCCTTATCAGCATGAGGGCGCCCATACAACAAATTTGTCAACCACCACGACGCCATTTGATACGTCACCGACAACTGCAAAGTCCAACTACCACGAGGTTCCCGGGACTTTCATCGACAAGGATGAGAGCTCAGGCCTTCCTGGACCTGTAGACAATGACTATCGCGAGGCAACCAACATCGTTCGCGCCCATACACGCCCTCGGGGCCGTGGTCGTAATTTGTTCCTCAATCTAAAGTCCCAGCAGAAGAGCAAAAGTAGAGAACGAAACGCCGAACGTAATGATCCCGACGCAGAACGTGATGCAGCTCCAAAGAATCCCTGCCTGACTGGTGCAGGTAGCGCTGTTCTTTCTGCCCTCTTGACCCTCTATAACCAATCAGAAGGTTTCCTATCTGGGGCGGCGACGCCTGTATCTGAGCTCCCAGAAAGACCATTGTCATCTGAGGCTACAGACAGCTGAAACCATTCATTTTAGCCTTTTATACGTCTCGTTATTGTGCTTTTTGAATTTGGTTTGGTCTATTGTCTTGCCTTCGAACGCTTCCTCACGAATACCGTATTTTGAACAATAAGACGCGCCTTGGTAGCCCCAGAGTCAGATCCAGGCCACCGGACGAGTATTCGACCTAGAGGTGTCATGCATGTACCTCCCGGACGTAATGCTAATCAGTTTCGATGACTCATCCACCGGTACGAGCTCGATCAAGTTCATCAAGTAGGGCAGCGGGTTGGACCTAGGCAAGCTCCGCGGCAAATCCGCGACGCTTACGAGTCGTACTGGAAGGTTGGTACTTTCCCTAGATCATACTTTTCTCCGTTTTCACGTTGCGTGTCTAGGTCATCCACGACGACCTTGCCGTCAGTGATGCATCCGGACAGCTTACGAATCTCATGAGCAAGAAACAAATCTATCCATGGTGGCAGCTTATGTGCTTTGGTGGGATATGCTCCTCTTCCATCTCCATCATCAGTTTTGGGGGGAAGCTTCATCGGTAACGTGGTATATAATTCCTGATGTCCGAAGGTGAGGAGCTTCCTAAGAAATTCTAAAACGAAATGACTGACTCAAGACTTTAAAAGGAAAGTACGCGATGGTGGAAGCTTCATGACACTACGCAACCACCGTTCATCCTGCACGCGCTAGACGCTTCATCTCCTAGTACGTGATATATATCGTCTTCTTGGCGCGCCCGAAAGGAAACGTTGTGGACAGGTTCGAGTCTCCGACACGTTGAGGAAAGCATATCCCGATTAGTTCTCGAACTTGAAGGATGCCCGTAAAAGGCCTATGTTAAACTTCTCTTCAGCGGTTTGCATTGACATTCTACAGAGCGATATCATGGCTTCCAACGAGTTCGGAGATACCGTGTGATTGTACTCTCAAGAATCGTTTACGGTAGCCTGCTTCTGAACGGCAAAAAATGACGAGTCGTGTGTCCTGAGGCCACAAATCCACGGATATATGTGACGGATGAAGTGGAAGAGCACGACGCCATAGCAAGCATGTTTATGTATCGTCGATCTGCACTTTGAAGTAAGTAATATCATATACCAACCCCCTTGAATCATACGGAACTGTTTCAAAGCTGAGCATTGCTCATCGTACGATGAACTTCACACTCAGTTTCTTCCAGACACAGTTTTGCGAAACGGACGCTCGGACTGAAGAACCTCAAATCGTCCTCAACTCATTCATCGTCTAAATATGTCGACGGTCCTCTCGACTTTAGCCTCTTTCCGCTTTGAGTGATTCGTACAGGATTCGTGTACTTGCTCATGCATCTAATTCGCGATCCTCCTGGCTTGGCAAACGCACGTTTGTTCTGGGTTCTCTGAACGATCTTTATCTTTATCTGGACCTGTATCCTATTCGCATGTCCCATACTCGGAAATATCAACCATATCTGAAGCCTACCTTCGAGGACACAGAGCCCCCAGAGGCATGTTTATGGTGCGTGCTGTGTTCAATCAGTAGAACACATGCTTTCTACAATGTATCCAGTACATCGTCAAAAACGATTGCTCCGATAGGCTGCAGGATACTCGCCTCGGCTCAGAAAGGTCGCAACTCCTCAGAACGTGATCAATGGCTTCTTCATAACCGAGTCCCGATATTATTCTTGGATACCCTCGGGACGTATCTGTCTTCAATTATATTAGTATGGGAATCAATGGTCGCTCGCGTGGCTTAAGAGTCCTTGTTTTTTCACGAGAGTGCCTATGCGGGTGCTGTAACGGACGGTGTATGCCTCGGATATCTTCTTTGACCTCGAGGCTCGTGTCTTTGTCCCGTACCCTTGAATAGGATAGCCCTTCTACCTGCGACAGCTCTCCCACACTTTCCCATGGCAGAGGTGTGGGGAGTGGTAAGTTGAGTAATCGACACCGTCATTATCGGATTGCTAACCATAGAAACGAATGGGCAGGCGGACCAGAATGGCATTCTTTCATACTTCCCGGATGACATTAAGGAGCCTGTCGAATTTTTCTATGACCTCGCATCCATTCCTTTCCTTCGGGACCCTATTTTTACATCAGATCGCAAAGGACAGGCCCATATGGAATTGTCATATTGCTCTTTGTTCGAATCCACGGGTTGTGCGTTCTCAGCTACGATAGTAAAGAATTGGGTGATTCATTTTATATCAGTCTCATGCCATATACCTCCGTCTTTAATGTATCTGTGACCTGTTGGTTATTTATCTTGATTTCACGTAGATATCACTAGTACTGTAAATATTAGCATCAAAGTTTTTTGAGTCGAAAATCCCGCTATTTTTAGATGGCGTTGGTATGTGGCTGTGCCCATTTTCCTCTTTTTTCCAAACTCGACGGCCCTCAGGGTCGGTAAACATTCAGGCCTGCAGCAGCTCCCCTTTCTTCATTTTCATGCAATAATCTATCTCTTTCTATTCATTATGTACCACAATAATGCCATCAGAATTCTGACCGGTGTGCATCTTCAATATGGTCACGGATTGCTTCGCGAAGCTGACACTATGTACAGGAAATAGCCACCGGGAGCTCGCCCAAGCTGTAGCCGAGCGGTGAGCTACTGCTTCGACAGTGAAGCTATCCCCACTACTCGGCACGTGTGATTCATCCTTGTGACACAGGCTCAACCTACCCCTCGTTCCGTGCACCGTTAAAAACTTCTCCAATGGCGAGATCAACATCAAAATATCCGAATCAGTGCGCGACGAGGACGTCTTTATCATTCAATCCGGATGTAATGATGTTAATGACAATCTGATGGAGCTGCTTATCCTCATCTCGGCCTGCAAGACAGCTTCAGCCAAGCGGATCACGGCCGTTATGCCCTGTTTTCCTTATGCACGAATGGACAAAAAGGATAAGTCTCGTGCTCCAATTACCGCAAAACTGGTAGCGAATATGCTCGTTGTGGCCGGATGCGACCATGTAATCACGATGGACCTCCATGCCAGTCAAATCCAAGGCTTTTTCGATATCCCCGTGGATAATTTGTGGTCGGAACCACTGATGCTGACGTATATTAAACGGGAGATTGAGGGATGGCAAAATGGGATTATCGTTAGTCCGGATGCCGGGGGTGCAAAGCGGTGAGGTTTAGTTCCTGCGCAGTGGTACGCTGGCGGTTGAATTCTCGCAACAGGACTACGGCTATAGCGGATAAGCTCGGCGTAGAATTTGCTTTGATCCACAGAAAACGCGATGGAAAAAATGAGAATGCGCCGGAACGAATGGAAATCCTTGTCGGAGACGTCAAAGACAAGGTGTGTTGGTAAAACCCTTCCTCTCAGAAATCGATTAATCATCTTTATGTATTCTTCCTGCGCAGGTGGCGATTTTGGTTGATGATATGATCGACACCGGTCACACCCTGACATTGGCTGCTGAGATATTGCATGAGAAGGGGGCAAAATCAGTCCATGCTCTCATATCACACGGCACGTTTGCTATCTTTTCCGTCTTTTCTCTTGGGCTAAAAACTTCATCTTAGGTCTTCTGTCTGGAACTAATCTTGGTGCTATTAATGATTTGCCGATAGAGCAACTAGTAGTAGGCATTTTTCATTATCTACGCCTTTCTTTACTCATAATCTGCTCTCAGGTGACGAACACTGTTCCGCAGACGGAGAATCTTGCCCAATGCCCCAAACTCACCGTCATAGATATAGCACCCACGATTGCAGAAAGCATCCGCCGGACGCACAACGGTGAAAGTATCAGCTTACTGTTCGGAGAATGGGCTGAGGATCGGAATAGGGACGTATAAATACTCTTGACTTACCGTCGTCAGGATTCGAAGATGTAGTGAAATTTGGAGGTAACAAAGCAAAATTGTAACATTACCGAAATACTTTTAAGTTCTGGGAATTATATTTCGATATGACATACCTTTGGTCTTGACGTGTTTCTGAAAAGAACTAGAAAAGAACACTGATACAGGCTAATGTGAAACCTAGCGTAAGTACAGAAATGAGGGACTGAATCCTGATACATTTTCGTCTGACAGTGAGGGGGCCTACACAAGGATGCTGCACACAGTTAACCTAGTGAGGCGGTCGCAAACAAGTTGAAAATGGTGTGGGAAATAACAATTTCAAATGAGCAACATCTCGTTCGAACCATTGACATTTGGTTAATGAGCGTTGACCACAAGGACCGGATCTCTTCAAGCTGATACCGAAACTACTCGGCGATTATTTCCCAAGTAACACCTGCGCTCTCGTTGGCTAAGTGCGACTCTCACCATGAAATTTCGATCGATTCGGCGCTCTGTTAAAAAAGTTCCCAACTTTGGATTTCTGGTCTTGACTTGCGTGCTCGCGGTATCTTTGCCTTGCATTCGAACAATTAATAGCTACTTCCGCGTATTGACGGCTCATATTGCCGCTTTGCTCCGGAGTGATACTTATCCTACGGCCTAGGACAAGCATCCCATGGACCTGGTCAGTCCTTTTGGAAGATGTGGCACGAGCTGATCTGTGATGGATGACTTAATCGCAACGCCTTTTTTTGACGTCTTTTAATCGGACACCCGTCAGACCACTGATACTGCGACGGACACGATGGTAGATAAATGCCAAGAAATCAACTTTGTTTTTCTACATGTAAGCGAATCCTCGGTCTTTCTACTACCCTCAGGATGAATTGCCGTTCGAAGTTTTGGTGTGCTTGTTTTTTTAGGACGATATGACCTGGATGCTGCTATTTTCACATTGTGGATTCTCTGTTGCGCCAATTCTGGTTTCGAGGAATCCTTTAGCAAAAGGATATTCAATGTTCAATGGAATATCGGACTGCGCAAATCAGACGGCGTCCAGCGCCAAGCCAAAAATATTGCGTAAGTCAGATATGTTGCGCACTCGAATACATTCGAGGCTTGCCATGTCTTTTCGACTCTGCTGTTACCTAACGGCTAATTCGGCCCCAAAACTCCAAATTATGTTCTTTCAGATTTTCTATGGGACTTGCGCAGCTCAGAGGGAGGAAAGGTCGGCAACCCACGTAGAGACGGCGTCTACCCCAGCATGCTTATGGTTATCATCCAGCTCGTATATCTGAAGATGAACCAAGGGCGTTTTGGAGAACTTGATATCCTCTGGCCCTTGCAAAATTTCTGGAGACTCCCCGACCAATTCGATCCAAGCCACAACTGGTAACCAGTCCGCGACCTAGCGTATACCCGCTTCACGGCCGACCTTATGTCGGATGTGCATTTGTGGACAAAGTTCCGTTTTCCCGTGCACCAGGACTGCGGAGTATAGAGATATAAGTTGACGATGATCCTTTATCCGATAATTTCTACATTAGGTCCCAGTAGAAGATGGTGTATCTCTCTTCCATCGTGTCTTCTGTTTTACTCGCTGCGACCACTGTCGTTGGGCACTCGGGATCTGCTCCTATGAGCGTCGCCGAGGTTTCTCGTCGTACCGAGCCTCAGCGATCTGCAACTCGCTCGCTTGGAGCATGCCAGGACGTCCTGTCTCGTCGTAATAAAGCGGAGAAGTCATCTACGCGTCGTGCGGCTTTGGCAGACGAACTTCGAAGGAAGCGTGGACTTGCTACTCGTAAGTTGACTTCGTTTTCTCTTGCAAACCATGATGCCGAATCCATCGCAAGGGGCTCCGTACAATCGCGAGCTCGCTCATTTGTCGAGGGAGGCGGATCTCACAATTGAGTCTGCTTCCTTCGGCGGACTCTCTGTTGTCACCCCTGAGATTGAACGAGGGATGCTCTACGTTGCGGGGGAGTACGTCCGTTCGACCGTCTCAGAGGATCAGCAGGGTATTTATACCTACGTTGATCTGGAGGTAATTGATGTATCGAACTGCTCGGCTCTCCCCAACATGTACGTCGACTTCTGGCATTGCAATTCGACTGGTGTGTACGCAGGAGTTCTCGAGTCCGGCAATGGCGATTCCAGCGATCTTTCCAACTTGGTCAGTACTGCTGTGATCGATATGTGTCCCTCCAGTTGACATTTATTATAATAGGATAAAACATTCCTCCGTGGCATCCAACGAACGAACGAAGAGGGACATGCATCCTTCGAGACCATCTTTCCAGGTTGGTTCGGATATGAGTCCTTGTCCTGGGTCTGACTGACTTATGCGCCAGGTCACTATTCTGGACGTGCGACCCATTTCAACACGGTCATCCACAGCAGCGGAACCTTATTTGACAACGGCACTTTCACGGCACCCCGAGAGCACCTCATTGGTAAGTAATCTGGGCTAAACACGGTATTCGTCATGTGCTAATGCTCCATTCGATATCAGGCCAAATTTTCGTTGACCAGGACTTGATCCTCATCGTCGAGGCTACCTCTCCATACAACACCAACACCATCGAGATTACAACCAATTCTATTGATCAGATGTTCGGTATGATACCGGGCCATCCTGTTCTCGAGTACATTTTACTTGGCGATGACATCTCGGATGGTTTGCTACTGTCAGTGTTCTTTACGGCGGTTTATTGTGTTGGCTGAACCTTCCCGACTTATAGATGGGGCACCATTGGTGTCAATATGAGCGCAAGCTACGAAATTCCGCCGGCTGCCACTTTAACTGGAAATGGAGGTGTCATCTACGATCCTAGTTCTGCTGGGCAAGGCAACACAACTAGTGACGGAGCTGCCAGTGGCAACTCCACTACCGGAGACGGGTCTGCCGACTCGACTTCCTCCAGTGGCAACAGCACCACTCTTCTTCATGGGGACTTGTTTTGTACTTGCACGTCTTACACGGGTGAAGAACTGGTGTAATATCTTGCTCTTCTTTACATGATTTAAGAATATGTCAGCAGATTTTTTTTCTGGTTTCCTGATCATATCTTTATCCCAGCTAATCGGAGCATCACTAAGAGAAACGTATCCTGAAAGTCGGGCTACAAATACCGGCCTAGTTTTCAGTGAATCCTCTTGTCTCATAGATATCACCATCCCTCTTCAGTCTCGAGTTCAATCCGGCTCATTAGGCTGGACACCGTGGCCATCGTTGTTGATGTCATCCTCGTCCTTTTCCTTGATGAAACTGTCTTAGAACTCACTGCATTTATCCTGGCACTGTAGTCTAATAGCGACGGTGATCTCAAGCTTCCAGGTTCAGGTTTCAGGCTTCCTCGCGGGATCATTGTTGACATCTTCAAATTCTAGCGCAGGTATTCAACCCTCCTGAGTTCTTGGCATGGATGTGTCTAGGTTTATTGCGACAAAAGCAAGTGCGAGACCCGAGGATTTACTCTCCGACAGATTTTGTACTATGTTTGTAGAACCCAACAGCTTTCAGATTCACCGTTGACTAAATTTTTATTGTGCGAGCCGTTTCCTTGGTTTGACCCCCAGGCGCTAGCCAGAGATGCCGAGCTGTTCGTTTATATAACATGCCTGGGAATGCGTTATATGTGGAATGGCCTATTCTGATCGGCAAGACATCGTGGCTTGTATTGCATTCGTACGAACTTTACGAACTCAACGTCGATATGGGTTTCACACGCGGATTTGCGACAAATGTTTAGTTTAAACTTGGCTTATGTACACCGATAGGCTATGACTCGCTTAATATAGACTGTGGGAGTATCCACATTTTCGAGTGCAGGCAACTACTTCGCCCAGAATAACTGGAGACTTGGATGCACCAAGCTAAAGGGCTACCGTAATACCCGAAGGGGAACAAAGTCGATAACATGCACATTTTCACGGGCTGAAAAGGGACACAAATTCTTTATACGTATAACAACAACATGCTTGAGTTCCAGAACGATATGGCACGAAATGAAAGAAACATGACGCCACGGAACGGAGAACAACGTGAAAAAGAATTGGTTTTTTTGGCGTACCACGGCAACAAGCTCTTGCCATTGCAACTCAGGAACCCGGAACCGGACGTTGGCTTACTCGGTATATCCCACTTTCCCTCCCATTATCCTGGTATCCAGACGCTTCGGTGGCGCCGATTCAACTCTTGCAGAGACCGAATCATCTTCCCTTCTATCCATTGTACAATACCTCTGATTCGGCGCAATACCCGCTGTGGAGTATCTACGGTGCTTCCCACCCAGACTCTGTACGTCGACACGGGACACGATAATGCATGAAGATATCTCACGAGGGCGCGCCTGTACTCCCAATTCTGACCATGATCCTGTCCTCTGGTTGGCAGTACCGCGCAGGTGTGTTTTAGCGTGCCAAAGTTATCACTCGCGTGTGAGCAAAGTGTTATACGCGACGTGTTATTGGACGGGCCCGTCTCACAGTTTTGTCTTCATGTCTTGTTTTTGGAATGAGAGAGGCGTATAAATGCTGGACAAGGTGAGCCTTCACTGCAGTAGTCAACACTACATGGCTTTTGCACACCTCCTTGCTGTTCTCTTCTCTCTTGCCGTTGTACGCCAGTCCGACGGTATTGCTTAGCCTTCTCTGCTTGCAATGACTCTAATGGCCTTTATCTAGCTGCCCTCACCAAGCGAGTGGCATGCGCCGATGGTATTCACACCGCCACCAATGAGGCTTGCTGTGCACTATTCCCCGTCATGGACGACATCCAAGCGAACCTGTTCGATGGAGGAGAGTGCGGAGAAGACGTCGGAATTCTTCTTAGTCTTCAATTTGCCTTCACTGATTATGGGCGGCATTGGTATTTAGGTACACGAGTCGCTTCGTTTGACCTTCCATGATGCAATCGGCTTTTCTTTTACTGAAGGGTGAGCTCTATTTCTACTTTTAACTTTTAAATGACACCTGATGTCTTGGACAGCGGTGGTGGTGCTGATGGATCCATCATCATCTTCTCCGATATTGAAACGAACTTCCACGCAAACATCGGCATCGGTACGATTATAATAATCGTAGTTCTTTGAAACTCGTATTCATGGATTTTTTATCTAGACGAAATAGTGGAAGAACAGAAGCCATTTATTGCCCGTCACAACATTACTCCAGGAGACTTGTACGACATTTAATACTTTCCAAACTATGACATTCTTAAGAATTTATCAGCATCCAGTTCGCTGGCGCAGTTGGGGTGTCCAATTGTCCAGGTGCTCCACAATTGGAATTCTTGTTGGGACGACCCCCAGCCACTGCACCCTCACCTGATCTCCTCGTTCCCGAGCCTTTCGATACGGTGACATCCATAATTGCCAGATTTGCCGACGCAGGTTTCAATTCGTCTGAAATCATCGCTCTTCTATCTTCGTGCGGCATTCTTTCCTTCTATTCCTGCAACGCCTCCGATTGACATCCCGCTCTAGGCATACTGTTGCTGCTGCTGATCACGTAGACCCGACGGTAGTGTTCATTCATCTACATATTATCGTCTTTTTGCTCAAGGATTTTTGCAGATTCCGGGGTGTGTATCTTGCGGTGTCTTACCTTCATCTTTACTTATTTTCTTTAGCACTCCATTTGACTCAACTCCGTTCACCTTCGACACCCAAATCTTCGTAGAAGTCCAACTGCGGGGCACTCTCTTCCCCGGGTACGTCCCTTGCTTTCCTTTGGCGGGCTAGTTGTTGATATTCATTCGGACAGCACTGGTGGTAATCAGGGTGAAGTTGAGTCGCCACTGGAAGGAGAGCTGCGACTCCAATCAGACTCTTCGGTAAGTCGCGGCGCATATGTAACATATCATCAACGACTTATTTCGATTACTAGTTGGCTCGGGGTTTGTCCAATTTTTTACTGATGCTTGAATGCAACTTCATCTTTCCACAGATTCGAGAACAAACTGCGACTGGCAGTCTTTCGTCGGTATGTGTTGTTTGCGTTTCTCAATAGCGTCAATCATTTTGACAATTGTCGTAGGTGAACAAGTAAAGATGCAGACCCAGTTCAAGGCCGCTATGTCGAAACTTGCTGTCCTCGGACAAGACGTATCTCAGATGGTGGATTGCTCTGAGGTAATCCCAGTCCCTCCGCCACCTGTCACGCTAGAGGCATTCTTGCCTGCTGGGTTGGACATGAATGACATAGAACAAGCGGTGAGGCGTTTCGACATCTTCACGAATAGATTTTCATTTTCTGTTAGTGTGCCACTGCCGCTTTCCCCATTCTCACGGCTCAGCCTGGGCCTGTCACCAGTGTTGCTCCAGTGTAAGAGTCTCTGAAATTTCAGAGCGTGTGTTTGTTTACTGATTTCTTTCCCTTGCGTAGCCCACCATCCTAAGCGCATACAAGCAGGAATGTTTCTCATTTAACTTGAAATGTAACAACTGTAACTGTAACTGTAACTGATCGAAAATCCAATAAGTGTTGTTTGTGCCGATATGTTTTTTGACAATTCACCACGGGTGTGCACCTCGAATGAATTGGACCTTTACATGAATCTTCCTTCAGGATTTCGAGCGGATCATAAGCGCTCCGGGCAGCCCGCGTTGAGACAAACGGCACATCGGAATGACGACATGTGAGAGAACATTGCCACCTTCGCAAACCATGCATGCGGTTCACATACCATTTGTAAAAATAACCCACTTTGCACCTACAGCCGATGTAATAAAGAGTGGTTGAAACGGGGGCCTAGCGGTATGGCACACTTACCTTCATTACGAACTACTAACCGCGGTCCGCAGATGACTGTTTAGCTCGCCCGAGCTTAATTCAAACAGTATAATAATCATGACGCAAGTCCAATAGTACGCCGTGTTCGTGAATCCATATGGTGCAGCCTTCTTTGTTGTATAAAAAGTGGACATATGACTATTTCCGAAAGTGCAGCGTCTGCCTGAGGCGTTATAAAGAGTGTTCCTGCATCCCACCGACTCAACACCCCCATTTTCGTTGGAGATGAAGTTTTTATCTCTCGTTGCTTTCATCTCTCTATGGTCACATGCTTTAGGTATCGGAGGGGCCATGCAAGGCATGGAAGACGCTATGGAGATCCAGCGGCAGCAAATGGAGCGACTGCACGAATTCCTTGGGCCTATCAGAGACTCAGGTGGACTTCCAAAGCGACAGGACAGTCCGACGATATCATTTGAACACCCCAAGGCCAAGGAGTTCTTTGTGGATGGGACAACGATTCCTGATGGTTTGTTTATATCACCTTGGTTCCAATACTTGCAGTAATGCCTCGTAGTGAATTTTGACGCTGGACCGTCTTGGTCCGGGTTGATGCCCATATCTGCTGACCCAAACGAGACTCGAAAATTATTCTTCTGGTTCGTTTCTGAGGTCCCTTTGAACGTATAACAATGGAGCATCAGGCTTCTTCCAGGTTTTGGCCTACTAGCAACGCGTCGAATACAAATGAGTTACTGTTTTGGACTAATGGTTGGTTGGATCAAATTTGCTATTCAAATAGCGTCTCATTTTACGCTAGGCGGCCCTGGATGCTCGTCCTTGGAAGGTTTCCTCCAAGAGAATGGGCCCATCTGTATGCCGTCCATGATTTGACTTGCTTCCCCGTCTTACATTGCTCTCGCGAAGCTTGGTCATGGGGTCAAGCAGAACCAACACCGTAAGTCATGTATCTACATCCAGAGATCCAGGTACTGATAGCTTACCAAGGAATCCATTTTCGTGGACTACTTTAGCTCACGTTCTTTGGGTCGAACAGCCAGTCGGAGTAAGCTACACGAACTCGGAGAGAATGAAACTAATATGGAACGTAGACTGGCTTTAGCCAAGGCACCCCGAACATCACAAACGACGACGAGCTCGCAGAGCAGCTGACTGGCTTTCTGGAGCAGTTTCTCGAAGTCTTTTCCGAACTCAAGGGAAAAGACTTTTATCTTTCCGGAGAAAGTGTGAGTGTAAACCTCAAGCTCTTGTCGGGGATATATACGTTGACGACCTAACCTACAGTATGCTGGATTCTGTAAGCATCGAGACTTACTCCAGGAATCAGTACATGCAATTTATTGGTGATAGACGTGCCGTATATCGCAAATTGGATCTATGAACATCCTGGACTCGACCTGAATTTGAAAGGGATTTCGATTGCTGACCCTTCTCTTTCATATGGTGTCGTTCAGCAAGAAATTCCGGCTCTCCGCTTTGCACAGGTATGACTGCTAAACACTCGATAAAAAACGGACGTATACCTTGATTCCGTCCATACAGGCCCACGCAAGCCTATTCCCCTTCAACAGTTCATTCTGGAGCACGCTACAAAACATATCCGACACTTGTGGATATACTGACTATCTTGAGAATTTCGTTACATACCCTCCTGCTGGTCAACTGCCTTTCCCTGCCGGAGTTGTCGAAGGAACGCTTGGAACTGTCGACCCGAGCTGCAGGATTCATAGTCCGATACAGCGTGCTGTCGGTGTGTAAGTTCTTCGATGAAGACGCGCATAACGTAGGCATGGACGGCGTTGACTTTTTTACAGATTGAATCCAGTCTTCGATGTATATCGGTAAATATAACCGATACAGGGATCGAGGATACGCTTATCATCTAATCGCAGAGTCTCTGATACATTCCCCAATCTCTGTGAGTCTCCAAGTTATTTGGTATTATCGACGACCTTCTGAAAACTATTCAGGGAGTGTACTTGGCTTTCCCCGTTCTACGCAAGAATTCATTTATTTCAACAGGTGCTTTCTATTTTTGTTCTTCTAGTCCACTCTGTTGACTCATTATTTAAGGACGGACGTAAGTTTCTTGCTTTCAGGAATTTGCTAAGACACTTTACCGTCATCACAATGTCAGGTACAAGATGCCATTCACGCACCTCATGTAGAATGGACCGTCTGTACGAATACCAACGTATACGCAGGCAACGGGCGCGATAACTCCGTCGCCTCTACTCTTAGCGTGCTTCCGAATGTCATCGAGAAATCGGTCAGAACCGTCGTCATACATGGACTTGCAGTCAGTCATCAATTGTCTAGATTGTCGAGACACTCTTAAACACAGACTTCCGTAGGACTTCATTCTAGTTGCTGAAGGGACTCGTATCGCAATTCAGTAATATTAATTGTCTCTGTCATAGTAAGGGAAACGAAACTGATCATGATTCGTAGAAATATGACTTGGGGAGGAGCTCAGGGCTTCCAAACGGCTATCGAACCGGAGAGTTTTACCGTCGAGAACTTCGGTGTATTCGGAAATACGCATACAGAGCGTGGATTGACTTGTATGTCAATGAGCCTTGCTTCGCAGGTAGGAGACTGACAACTACGTGCAGACGTTGAATTTTTCTACAGCGGACACATGACGCCTCGTAAGTCAGTTTTAGAAGCTGAGGGTCAATTCTCACTTATTTCCTTCCAGAATTTGTCCCTTGGGCAGCGTTTTCGACAATTTCATTCCTTCTTGGACGGCAAGAATCACCTTCAAGTGGCTGAAAGTTGGTGTAGAAGATGAATTCAAGTGAAAATTGTTGCTGAAATAATATGTTTCCGTGTGTTATGGAATGTGAAATCCCACCTTTGTCCATACTATCTGTGCACGAAAAAAAAAGAAGTCAATGTTCGAATCTTCGAAAGGGGAAGATGAAAGAGGGGAATTCTTGAATCGGGGATCGCGCGAGAGAGGTTAGTTTGGAACCAATGGTAACACCGAACTTGAAGAGTGCTCGTAACTAAGCCAACTACAGATGTACTGGGAAACTAAGAAGAAGTAATCAGAATGTTTAGGGAGGAGGGCGGGCGAGAAAATTCTACGTGTACTTCGACTACGAACAGTGAGTGAGAGGATGAAGGATTGAGGAAAGGGAGAATTGAGAGCGCTCGGCTAATTCCGGACTCTTCCGAATGTGCACGTGATAATCTGGCATAAACTCGTGGGAAAAAAATCACTGTCTGCAGATAATTTTCGTTTTTGGTAAAATTTCGATGCTAGATCGAGTACTTACAACAGCATTCCGGCGACCACCCCTTCCGCCCTTAACATCCTATTTTTCCACAACTGCCTTTTGTTGCGCCAAAAAGATGCCTCCAAAAAAAGCAGCAACCGAGAAGAAAACTCTGTTGGGTCGGCCAGGAAACAATCTCAAGATTGGTATCGTAGGTCTGGTCTGTTCCCTTCGACTATCCGTCTTTTCTTCTCCTGATTTACTCCTTTCCTTCAAGGCGTGCCTAACGTAGGAAAATCGACTTTTTTCAATGCCTTGTCAAACACCAGTATGCCTTGATTTTTGTGGATCGGGCTCCGTTGGTTACACGAATCCAGGTCTTGCGATCGCGGCGAATTACCCGTATGCGACTATCAATCCTGAGGTGAATCTCTTCCCATCTCATCGGGAAATACGTAATCACGGATTATAGGAAGCACGCATTCCGGTGCCAGATGCTCGGTTTGACTGGCTATGCGAGACGTACAAACCTGTATCCAAGGTCCCTGCCTTCTTGACCTGTATAGATATCGCTGGGTTGACAGCTGTGAGTGCTATCACCATCTCAGAGCTCAAATGGATTGTATCTCACGATCTTAGGGCGCTTCAACTGGTGCAGGTCTTGGTAATGCTTTCCTGTCCCATGTCCGGGCCGTGGATGGTATCTTTCAAGTCGTCCGTGCCTTTGAGGATGCTGAAGTTACGCATGTCGAGGGAGACGTGGACCCTACACGAGACATGAGCATTATCCAAACCGAACTGCGGCTGAAAGACATCGAATGGGTGGAAAAGCACTTGGAGGGCCTGAAAAAAACAGGAAGAAGTCTTAATAGCACGAGTTTAGCTGATAAAGCCAAGAAGGAGGAGATTGTGGGTATTGTTCTGCACTTTTTAGTCCTCATAATCTGAAAACCTTTGCCTAGGCAACCGTCGAAAAGATTTTGAAGGTTCTGACTGTGGATGAAAAAGACGTCCGGAAGCAAGATTGGTCCAACAAAGAGGTGAGTAATGCAACCAGCGGAGATTTCTATTTCTTCGTGATGAAAAAGAGCCTTGTGCTCGATTTAACCCAGCTCTTCGAAGAGGGAGTAACGCCCCATTATTCTTATGAGATTTTTTCATGTTCTGATCCTTCATCTTCCTCGCTTGTTGAATGTAACTGACGAACTTTTCAATAGGTGAATAATCATCTACTTGAATTTTTGAATGACGACAAAGAGCTTGAAGCTCGATCGACCCAGCTCGTCGAGGCGGGAGTAACGCCCCAAATGCCCATGAAATCAATCTTCCATCTGACCTGTTCCTTCGTCCTGTGACATTCACGGATCTGATTGGTGAATCTTCAGATCGATGTTGTCAACGGCCTGCAACTACTCACCGCGAAGTCGGTGACCTACCTTGTCAATCTGAGTGAACGGGACTATATACGGAAGAAGAACAAGTGGTATGTCATTCATAGTTGATACCGTCACGAGTACTCTAACAGTTTCTTTCAAGGCTACCCAAGATCAAAGCATGGATCGATGCCAACAACCCCGGCGATCCCCTAATCCCTTTCTCTGTGGCGCTAGAGGAGCGTTTGGCCGGCATGTCGCCGGAAGAGAAAGAAGAAGAACAGAAAAAGGTCGGAGCACAGAGCGCCTTGCCTAAGATAACGCAGGCCGGATATAGTAGTCTGGATGTAGGTTTTCTCAATCCCTTGTGTACATTGTGCATTATCGCCGATCTGATGTTGTTTTCAGCTCATTCGATACTTCACCTGCGGTCCTGATGAAGTACGGGCGTGGACTATTCGAAAGGGGATTAAAGCGCCTCAAGCGGCCGGTGTCATCCAGTACTGTTCTCCTTCCCTCTGATCGAGGTATCGTATTCTGATAGTTGTCTTTTTCCAGCTCTGATTTCGAAAACAAATTCGTTTGCGGTGAAATCATGTCTTACGACGATTTAAAAGAGTATGGAACCGAAGCCGCTGTCAAGGCTGCCGGGAAGCTGAGACAACAAGGAAAGCCTTATGAGAGTGAGTTGTTTTTTCTCGAGTCGCGAACTAAGTTCTGATCATTCGGAATAGTGGTCGACGGTGACATTGCTTACTGGAAAGCAGGAGCATGAGATCTCTGCTCATGTCAGTGGTTGATATTATGATAGGAAACGAGTATATGTAGTGCAAAGGAAAATGAATGTATACACCTACTGTAGATTCGAAGGTTTTGGCAATGATCGCAAATATTCGGACCGTTTAGCCGGAGAGCCATTGCCAGGGTCCGATGGTCCTTGCCAACTGACTACCATCATCGCCTCTTCTATGGGCTGCAGAAGTTGCTACATGCCAAGTCTGCCTACACTGCTACTATCTCTGGCTCTAATACCGACTGGAATCTCACTAACTAAATGTGAGATGGACTGGCTGAACGAGTGACTTGGAATCATGGTATTTTGTCTAAAGTCTGGGATAGGCGCTGTTGACGAGGTCAATATCCGACGGTAGGTATAAGGCTGTTCCCACATCGTAATGTCACTAATGTTTCCTCTAGCCACATCCTTGTACTCATCGAAAATGCCTCGCACTTCGCCTGTTACCACCATAGATGAAGACTGATGCATCGCGTTTGCGATCTTGTGAAGAGTGATTATTCTGTGACTGGCTTCGGCCCCGGATTTTTCGTGAACCAACACCGACGTTCTCCCATGTTGAACGACTTGAGTTTTTTCTTAATCATTCATTCCTATCTAAGGGCACCACATCTGAGCTACGCACAAGTATTGAGGCCATCTGCTTGCTTTTATCTGAATGCGTTGTGGATCAGCACTGCTGGTTTGTTTTTTCTCCAAGGTACGTCCTATCTCGCGCGTTGCTCGGCCCGGCTTCTCTGATAGGTTTTCCTGTGCTCAGTGTTTTTAAGTGTTATCTTCTTTGTTGGGCATCGATAAAAGGTGACACGGCAATTGAAATGGATATCTTTATCAGTAATAAACAAAATGAGGGTCGGTATCTCCGAATGGAGGTTAAAAAAGTAAACAGGGTTGGTCAATCGAAATGTGAGTTTCTCAAGAATAGTCCTTCCCATAAATACTTATGGTATTCGTAGGTATTTGGTGTAAACCAAGTAAAGTTGGTATCGATTGATTATTGGTATATGCCAACCTGTCTGAAAGCTGACGCGGGCTGGCTGATGGGGCTAGGTCCTTGCGGCAGTCCGATTAGTTGCTCAATCTGGAAGCGGAACTGTTCGACAACGGGGCGGTTGAGCATGAATTGATCGAAGGGCGTCGTATCCAGTAAACTTCCGTAGGAGGACAAAGCTATAGGGATGACCACTGAGCACTCCGAATCTCACGAAGCAGCCGAACACATACGCTGCAGTCCGGCCTTTGGCGGCACGTCGTTCCTCACACTCCAGCCTCCAGTTGCCAGCACGGTCTGGTAATCGACGGAGAGCACCCAGTTCATATAGAGCTTTGCCGCATTGGGGTGCGCCGCGGTCTGGAAAATTGCAGCGCGCTGGGACCAGATAGAAAGTCCACTTGGGTCGCTTGTGGGTAGCTGCTCGACAATTCCGGTAGTGGAATTGGGGAATCCAGCAGCGGTGGTGAATGTCACCGCCTGCTCCGCGGAGGAGAGGAGCACGGTCGTGGGAGTGACGCTTCCACGGACCCAATCGATGCCCATTGCGATGAAGTTGTTGATAGCCGCCCAACCATGGGCTTGCTGAATCTTGTAGAACCTGGGAAGTCATGAGTATCGATGGTCAACGCCTAGAGAAAGACCATCACAGGAAAAGGACACCATCGTCGTCATTGGGGTATACGGATACGATCTTGTTCAGCCATTGCGAGTTGAGATAATCGAGGAAATTCTTGGGTGCATTGGCGGCAGTCGTTTTTGCAGTGGCGTAGGTGTTGGTGAAAAGATAGTAGGCTATGCCTCTGCATCAAAACCCTTCCATCAGCGATCGTCCGAAATACGGAGAGATAGGTGGACTTACACGAAGGCCCCGTCCGAGTCTTTGATGTCGTTGGTAACCTGATCCCATCCAGCCGGTTTGTAGTTGAGGAGCTTTGAAATTGTTATCAGTCGGAGTAAGACTTTGGCCACTGAGTTTACTTACTTGGCCTTCACTCTTCCATCGCACGAAATCGTGGTAGGTCTGCAGATGGGCGACGTCTACTCCGGCCTTGCCAGTCTGGTTCAATGAGCGGTCGATAATCGCTTCGTGGTACTATGGATGAATCAATAAGCTCGTAGGATGGTTGTAACAAGGAAACTTTGCCTTGGACAAATCGACAATCATTGTGATGTTTATCTCTGGGAACCTTTGCTGGAAAGCCTGGACGAAGGAGTCCTGCTGATTAATCGTGTCGCCTCCTGCCCTAACGACTAGTTGGCCTCCTTCGGCAACTGCAAGGGCGTACAGCTCGTCAAGGGTACTATTTTCCACTCCAGACGAGGTCGGACTAGGTCCAGCTGAGCTAGCGATGGTGCTCGTAGCATTAATGGTGCTCGCGGCAATGCTGGCACTCGCTACAGAAGTGCTGTTCGCGGCAATGCTGGCACTCGCGACAGAAGTGCTATTCGCAGCAGCGCTGATGGTCGCAGCAGAGGACGAGGAGCTCGATATGAGACACGTCGCGAAAAGAATAAGGAAGGTGCGCATCATGAGGTGATGTTCGAGTAAAGAGTGAATGAGTATCCTAGGTATACAGAGGGAAGGGTACGATTTTCTGGGCTGACCATGTCCTCATCTTTATAGTGTCCTGCTCTCGTCTTCAGAGCCAAATCGCACCGTGTGTCCCACTGTGTTTTAGTACGGTTACTATTCACATCTATGAACCCGCCCACCGCCAATGCCGAGCACGCGTTATGTTTGTTTCAATGCCAACGTCATTTCGATGCGAGCATCGGTGAATTTAATCAAGAAAGATTATCATACGTACACTACGTCCTCGAAAACACCGCAACTCATTGAAAACCAAAACATCAAGTCCCTAGCCTGACAATGAAAGACCTCCTAGCGGCCTCCTACGCCCGCGCTCAGCGCTGACATGAGAAACGGAGTTGAAACGATGTTGATTAATCGGCCCAAGCACACCCAGGAACTGGACACGGTTTTCAATGAGTATGTTGTTCTCCTGTAGAGAAGGCTTCACCCAAATAAATAAAGCTTCATACCAGTGCTTTCGGAATCCCGAGTTCGGCTATTCATTTCGGGCATAGAGAGGTTTGCAGCAGACGTTACCGCTATTTAGGCAACTAAAGGTTTCATGGCTAGTATGCAGGCGCAATCTAACCCTTTACACTCTCGCTACGCCGGCTATTCAAACGTCGTGGCTGAAGTAGTCAAATGGAAATTGGAACGACCCAACTGAAACATAGCCTACAGCTCTTAGGAGTTTGAAAATCGACTTTCCGTAAGTTACAAATATTGGTTTTATGTGACCAGCTTGCTATAGCCATCTCTGATCTAGAACCTTACAGCATCATTGCATATCTGCTTAGGATTAGAAACGATGAGAGTACGGCAAGCAGCCCAAGAAGAGGATACCAAAAGGCCTGTAATGGCCTGACAAGGCGGAGAGCTCTACAATTCAATTGGTGGTGTCCATCATGCCTTACATTAAATTCAATTTCTCGTACCTGGAAGTCGTCATAACTTCACGTGAGTGGCATGCATCAAGCCTTCTCTCGTCTTTGATTCTGTGCGAAGGTGTCTCCATACCGCATGTCTCCAATCTTCGAATCCCAAGGGCGTAACCTCGGAGGGCTTGAGTGGGTTGCGCCACATCTCATGTTCTCCCGACCACTGTACCTATGCTGTTGGTACTGTACTGCGTACTCAATGATGATGGTGGTGGGGGGCTGATTGGCATCTTCAATTCATCGTGCGATGGTCGATCGATGCGAAGCGCTCACAGGCGTCTATTTTGAAGAATCCTGGGAGTTGATTATTTAAGATTACAAGTGCCTCAGCCACTCGTCATGAAGAGCTTTTGCTTCAGGGATCCCGCGGTGTCTGCCGTTCATCGCTACTTTGATCACTCTCTAACTGCCAGACAATTATTGCTACCACAGATTGAGTCTGGACTGCCTACTTCCATTTTTTGGTGACTTCACAGGATCATATCGCACGTAGCTGATTCTACATAACTAACCTCCCAAGGCTTGCTTTTGCTGATGAGCAAGTCGGATATCCGTACATGGATTTCCGAGGCTTCCGTTAGGAAAGGTACGTGAACTTCTTTGTATCCAGCCCTGAAATAAAGATAGAAAACTGTCCTCGGTATCCAGGTGAACGTGATGAAAGCAGACGACGTTCGGATAATCTCAGCTGTACCTAGGGTGCGCGGCTCGATATCTTATGCCCTCATTGCTTTTTACCAACTCACGAAGGCCACCCGTTTGTGTCCCCACCGCATATTCCGGTCGAGGTGATGGAGTGGCATGTCGTCGTGTACCATTACTGCTGCCATGAAATTATTTACCGAGATGTAGTTTGCGGGGCTACCGTCACATGTTTAACTTTTTCTTTTGGTTGATGTTCCCTGAAGTTCGTATTGATACTCAGCAGTGCTTTTCATAGAGTCGTTCGCCACAGGCGCAATATCATTTAAATGCCTTGATTTTCGGCACGGTGATGCATCTTCAAGATGCCTGTAAAGTCGTTGCTAGATAATCAAGAACTGTCAGCAAAGCGTTGCCTGTCGGATGCGAAGAGGGTAGGGACCCGCTGAAAGTCGCAGAATCGGCACCCACCAATGAATCATGCAGCCGGAAAGAAATCAGATGCTTCCATACGACCAAACCAAACCAGACACCTGCGTTCCTTGCAGAAGACCATAGCATTGGTTCCGATGAAGTCCATTTGTTCCTTGCGATAGTCATCTAGAACAACAGGAATGTTGTCTCCATTCATTTGTAGCAACACCTAGACGAGCCGTGTTATCCAACCCACTTCAGGACCAAAAAAAAGCATTGTCTATCTTATTCTCGAGGGTATACTGCAATTAAATTGTGTCTGAGAGGTGAACGTAAAGATGGTCATAGTGTAAAAACGCAGAAGACTTATATAAAGTGGCCCCAAGCCATCCATAGGATCCAAGCTCATGGCAAATGACAGCCAATAGTTAACGTTCAATCATCATTTTTTGCTCAACATGTTCATTGAAACACGGAGTCTAATTCAGACGTAGGAGCCGAAATCACATTCCAGTGTCATATCATGAACAGTCGAAGGGAAAAGGCATGTCTTCAAACATAGTCGGAGTTATTGACATACACTGCGTAAATTGGCGCCTACACAACTCACATCAGCTCGTACGGATATCTGGGTCCAACCCCGACGGGGAGAGTCGAACGTCAAGTCACCGTCTGCACGTACGTGGATAGGAAAAGCAAAAGAAGCTAGCATCTTACACTACCACCTGGAAGTCACTTGAAGCCTGATGGCAGCCAGAATGTTTGAAACAAATGGTTTGAGATAGTCATAGTCCACGTATATGATAGGGGTGCCGTGTGATTGCAGAGATTTTCTGCACGATGATATGAACCGCCTGACTTTCTTTGCTCGGTGCATGCACTTGGTACTGTGAGCGAATATACTGTCCTCCTGTGACTTTGGTCTGGCGGTTGCTATTATTGACGGACCAGTCGGCTTTATGAGGAGCTTGAAAAGAAGTTTCCCGATTCGTTTGGTCGTTCCCTCAAGTTGGGCTCAAGAACGCAGCTCCAGAGACCTTCCTTAAATAAGACTACAGGTGTCCGTAAATCCAGGAAGGAGATAGAATTTACATATCCTTCGCCGTCGATATAAGTTTCTGAATATTACGAGGAACGAGATCGCAGGATTGAAAACGCTGAGAGCGTATAAAACTCGCGATATCTGACGCTGCCACTATGGAGGTCCGAGTCTAGCATATCGCTCTGAAGGTATTACAATCTGTTAAGCTGAGATCCATCCTATATTATTCAGTACGACGATTCGAAGGGTAGTATCCGAAAGAGCATCAGGTGGTAGCCTCGAGGTGGTAGTGGTGGTGTTCAAGGACATGGGACGCTGCCTACTGCCAAGATATGAGTCATCTCCGTTCCCGGTTATATGTGCGCTGCTTCCAGTACTCCTTCATCTCTAACCACCACCACCATCGCCACCATCATGCCTGGTTCACCGTGGAAATGGCAGCCAAAAGATGGTGCGCCTCGCTTGTCACGTAAGAAGATTGCAGAACAGACGCTGAACGCCATCAAGCACGGTCATTTCGACCTTAACGGTGTCAGACACGACCTCGCTACTGCCGAAGAACGGTCGAGTCGCTCGACCAAGTACTACGCTCCCAACTCCCTTCTCTCTACATGGTCACAGGCTCAAGGACCCTCGTCAGCTGCAGGAACCCATATCACCATCTCTGAAATATCTACCCTCGAAGGATTGCGAAATCTAGCTACCAGCAACAGCCATGGGAAGATCGCTGTTCTCAATTTCGCTTCTGCAAAGAACGCCGGTGGTGGCTTCCTTGGTGGTGCATGCGCCCAGGAAGAGTCTTTGGCGCGCTCGTCGACGCTTTACCCCAGTCTCATGACGGAGACTGCTCAGGAATTCTACAGGCTGCATAACCGGAAGAATCAGGGCCATGGGTTTTACACTCATGCAATGATCTATTCGCCTTCCGTGCTGTTCTTCCGGGACGATGACGGGAAATGGCTAGATCCCGTCGAGGTGGATGTGGTTACCAGTCCAGCGGTGAACGCTGGCGCTGTACGAGCAGACGCGAGCGACAAGAATGAGAGACTGGAAGAGAACATTACTAATGAGATGTGGGAGCGGATGGGTCGCGTTCTTTTCTTGTGTGAGAAGATGGGCGCGAAGACCCTAGTCCTAGGGAGCTTCGGAACGGGCGTCTTCAAGAACAAGGTCAGCATAGTCGCGAGGCACTGGGCTGATCTGTTGGCGGTACCCGGAGCTAGGTTTGCAAGTTCGTTCAGCAGAATCGAGTTTGCGATATTGGGCAAGGAGACTATTAACGAATTTAGAGAGGCTTTCGGGACGAGGAGAAAAGAGAGGGGAGCTATTGGATGATCAAGGTTTATATTCTTTGTCTCGCTGTGCTCCCCTCGGTGATTAGTTTCTCGCAGGTGTCATCATGGCACAGGCCTTCGTATCTGACCTCTGGTCTTCTGTCATCATCACTTCTGCTCTCAGGTTGCGACCGTTTTGGCCCTCTATGACCTCTTATGTATTTGGTTACCTTGGATATACCCTTGCAAAGTGATACGGATCATCCTTTATTAACCAGCTCCGCCAGACAAATATATTATCGTTATCGGAGGGGCGCTCGCAGTGTCTCCGTATGTTCTCAGTCCACCACGAACATGCCTCGTCAAACTTGACTGCCGTCACCTTCTTGGGATATTTTTTGGACTATTATCATCAGAACTGTATGGGAGTTATCATTCCTCAGACAATTGCCATCCCGCGTATGGAGTCGGTCTGGGCCTGGCGGGAAGAAATCGTGAGCTTGCCTTGCCTGGGAAGGGGCCATAGTTAGAACACATCCTGAGTCGTCCTCAATCCATTTGTTCTGTTCCTATTCCCGAATCCTTCCTTTCCCACGTAGTTCAGCCAGATACCGAGGGCGGGGGCTAGAGAGGAGTAGCCAAGTAGTCATACTAGATATGAGACACGAGTGATTGATCATTGTGCTAACCTGACGGGGCTGGAGGGTGCACCGCTTCGTGCCCGATTAGGGTGCACCGAAGTGGGCTGAATTTCGAGCTCCGCTTAAAGATGGTAATAAGAATACATAAGAGGGGCTGGTGACGCCTGCCTCAGCATGGCTAAACATCTTGGACATGCAACGCATCATGTCCCTCACTGCCCTCAATAATTGAACGCCTTCCCAGATGCCTCTCGCCGAAACCATATGAGTCACTTCCTGTGACACTGAGACTCAAATTGAGGATCTCAAGCATGAAAGGGACAAATCTCGAGCCCAATATCTGGACACCCTAAAAAACTTGCGGAGAAAAGCGGACGTGGAACGAGATAACGACAACTTGCGCAAAGAGAATGAAAGATTGAGGGAAGACTTGAAAGAAGCGAGAGCCAGGGCTTTGAAAGCTAGCGATGAAGCGACCGACTTGTGGGGTCAAAAGGAGACTGTCGAAGACGATAACCGTGATTTGAAGAGACTGGTTGCCAGGTTGCGACACCGTCTGGAGGAATTAACACGTTCTGGAATTGTGACCCAGGTAAAGGTGGAAAAGTCCTCCAAGCCACCAAGGGTGAGTGTGTATCCTTTATTTCGGATGAGATTCACTTATTTAACTAAATCTCCAGATACCGACCCCTTCACCATCTTTGATATCTCAGTCAACGGCACCGGAAGTTATCAATTTAATTGACGATGATGATGACATGGTGGTCGATACCCATCTTTCTAGCCAATCTGTAGGTTTCTTTGTCCCAATCTATGATTATGCTCATTCAGCTTAGATTGGAACAGCCTCATCGCCAGTGGCCGTCAAGTCTGAACCTTCAGCGGATGTTGTATGTGACGGTTATTCACGGGCTCACGTCCTACCTCTGATGCTTTCATTTGCAGGCAGCCGACAGTACATAACTTGACAAGTCCCCTTACATAGGCTCTATCAACACCTGCACGCACCCAACTTCCCCCCCCCCGCAAAAAATTTAAACGACCAGCCCGCAAACGCAAATCCCATGGAGTCGATAAGTCGCCAAGCAACGAGAAATTCGAGTTTAACCACTGTAAGTTACCTTCCGGTTTGACTTACGTAAAAAAAGCTGTACTATCACCACGTACATTAGGTGTTACATGGCGAAGCTAATTCTTCGAACGCGAACGCGAGATACGACGACCAAACGTGTGGCTGTGAATTCGAATTCGGGTATTGCCGGATTTATCCGCCGCCCGGCAAGAATACGGCAGCTTTGAACATTACCGCCACCCTTCATTGATCTTATGAAGAATAAAGGCATCCGAATATCGATCAACTATTCGGAGTCTGTACGTCGCAACATCTCCCTATGCTAATATTTCATTTTGGTCAGATTAACAAAGTCTTCATTGCTTTCATATCTGCTGAAGCAACGGCCTTCACAGAAAATTCTGCTGCAACGCGAGTGCCCGTTGACCAGTATATCGATACTTTGACCACGCAAAAAGCCCTGCTCTTCAATTCTCTTATGGCGAGTTGTAGACGCTCTTGAGGATTACTTGTCGAGTTTTGATGCGAAATTTTTAGTACCATGATATAGTGGTGCGTAAGCCCTTCTAAGAAGTGTACAAACAATTAATGCCGCGTTTCTCAGGAGGCAACGAAGTATTTGAAACAATTTAATCTTTGATATGTCTTCGATATGCTTCGACCGGGTGAGGTGAGTGCTTTTAGTCATTTAGTGAAACGAGTTCTTCTAGGTACCGATGGCTGTCGTAGGCGGCCGACTCTACTTCGCACACATATGTGAATGAATGCGGTCGTATCGTCTTAGCAGAGTTCGCCCCAAGGAGATATCATATACTGCACGGTGAATTGCATCTCCTCCTTCGCGTGAAACATTCTCAGCAGGCTAAGCAATCAAGAATACCCTCTCTCGACCACCTCAGAGACTGGGATAAACACCGTACTCGGCCCGTCTGGGGTATGCTTATAGGGTGCCGTTTCGAAAAAGACACTTTGCCACAGATTTATGACCTCTTCTACCGGCTCTCAATGGACTGGAAACTTGGTTCTGGTCTGTCTCTGAACAGCAATGCTTTGACCTTCCGGGAAGCATCAGACAGGAAGAGTGCGTTCTGCAGAACAAATATCATCTGGTGATAGCGTCAGGCTATGAATGGTCTATAAGCCAGTACACCGGACCAAGGGAGAAGATGAAGGACAGGTGCGCCGTGTTTTAATAATGGATATACCTTGCTTTCCAACTTGCTTATCAACGAACCGGTGAGATATCCCGTGCCAGGCTCCTTTTTCTTGAGCTCTCCCAGCATAGATGATGCATCGTGTCTGGACTCCGATGACGTTCGACGGATGGTTCATTCTTAGTTTTCACAGGCTTCTCAGTTATGCCGTTCTAGCGACTGGGAATCTTTTGGTCGGACCTACCTACAACGAGGTACGCGTGTTTATTCGAAGGTAATGCATTTGGCTTTGACCGAACCAAGCATAGACCTAGTATTTCACGTTTTGGTTGTGATTAAGGACTTCGAAAGCTGGAAAGATGTCAGCTGTCTGACATACGAAAAGCGATAGCGGACAAGTTCAAGTACTGCGCGTGGAATACGGAAATGGCTATATGTTCTTGCTGATCGTGATTTCACTTGGTGTTGTTGTTCTATCCTCGATACTTCTTCGTTTTGGAGTAGACATTGGTTATCTCAGCGCTTCCAGTTATCGACCCATCCACGATATACCAACTGAAAGTGACCTTCCCTGCCTGTACTCATTGATAGACACATGACATTATTTGCAACGCTTTCACATGTCGAACCATTTCGATCATTACCTCTACGGCCAACATACTACTCGTAACAAGGTAACCCAGGAGTGTAATTAAGAATACCTAGAAATGACGGAAGCAAACGAGGTGAAAGAATTTGAGTATGGTGACTGAAGGCTACAGCAGTGTCACGACGTTATCATCAAACCGCTAGGAAACATGCACAACGGATAATAATGTCTTTAGAGAGGCTAGTCAGAAGTGTAACTTGAACCCAAGAATACGACAAGTAAACCACGTACTTTGTTCGAGCTGCGGTATCCTTCTCCTTGGTCTTGTACCTCTCTAAACATAGAATCATGAACTTGCCAAAGCATAAATATGGTTGCGGTACTACCAGCAGATCAGTTCGTGTCTGATAGCAACACGGACCTTATTCTTGAAGACACTCATCCCGAAATCTCTTAGCACCAGGGTTTTCAAGTTTGCTATCCAAGAACAGGATGCAACCGGTTGGTTCCTGCGTCTCCGTACCTATCCGCTCTTGCCACCAGCATGTGATGGTAAACGCACCAGCGTTCGCCGACGGAATCGGGACCATATGCACCTCGAGAGGCCCCACCTGCTCGTCGTCTCGGAAGAACAGCACAGGTGGCGTCGCGCAAAATCTATGATCCTTGTTTCTCTTCTGGCTCTGTACCTTTAGAGCGTTGTCGGTCATCATGAAGGTAGAGCGATACTAGCTAGCACTTACATTTTCTTATAGCTGCAGGACATGTTAGGATCGGTAGGCTTAGTAGAATAGTAGTAGCACCTGCTGTACGTTTTTCGCTCGTTTGTACGCATACTTCGCGCGCTATTCCGAATCCTGACGCACTATAATTTGAACCGGAAAGGATAAACATTGCTGAGAAGGATATGCCCTTGTGCAATTCGTAGCGACCGAGCAAAGGGTGGAGGTACCGTATGGTCCCGGGTATACACGTTGATTATTTTCGGAGCCCATCTTTCGGAAACATCAGTGTCCTTCCATCCTCAACTAGCTGCAGTTCTAGCTCGGAACATCCTCTCAAACTTCTCGGTCTAAAACTACTACCTTCCTATGAATCTTTTTCTACCGACGATGTACCTTCGGTGGCTTGACCGCTTCTCATGAGTGAAAACATCGACAGCGTGTTGCCATCGTCCCAGGGAAAATGATACGATGTTTCGGGCCAAGAAGACTGCGTCCCTTCTGAAATTTTGGGTGAATTCTTTCTCTGTCACAAGTGTCAGCATTTATGGCCACGAAGCAAGCACAAAGAATGCCTAAAGAGCCAGGAGAAATCAAATTACTCCCGTTCTTTTCCAGTACTCTCAAAGATAAGGTATATTCTCCCGCTTTGAAGACAGCTTGAGCACTCAACTCTCACAGGTCTAGGCTGTGAGGTAGAATTCGCTCTCAATGGCCGCACTTTTTCAAGGAATCGTACGTCCACTCAAAGCTCCCAATCTGGCCTAGTCTCAAATTTTGCTATCATAGCTTTTCGGAAAATCTTGTCATTTCAAAACCATTTCGTATCTTCTTCGTAGTCATAGCGAGGAAGCCTAGAAGACGTAGTCCCTTTTATCTCCTACGGTGATTGTCGAGTTGTTATCAAGTGACTGGCATGATTAACGCCAATCAATGTTTGGTCTCAGAAGGTCAGGTTCAATTATATTAAAGATTTTTATCTTATCATCATACAGGTCAATTAACGAGAACATTTACTGGCTAAATTGTTAGAGCACCTCCGTTTTTACTGCGCTTCAAGGGACCCTTCTACTTAGTCCTCGTGGTTTTCTCACCAGATTAACCGAATTTCATAGATTAGACCCTCTTGCCCTCATGTGTGACCTGTTTTATGTGTATTCGCAACATGCTAGAAACGAGAGTCGCGCCAAATAGGACGCGCGAGGGAATTTACGCAGCTGTCAATGACGTGACGCGATGACAGCTCTGCACGCTTCTTTCCTTTCTACCACCCCGCCCAGAATCGGGTCTTCTGTACTTGGCACTCTCTCTCCGCATTATGCCCGCCTTTTAACATGCTCGATTTTTTCAACCTCGACATCAAGTACCCAATATCCAACTACCGTACGTGCTGGCATCCCATCTCAGTACTATTGCTTATTTTGTACCAGAACGATGTCAGACGCGTCAACAGCAAAGGGCAAGCCAGTCCCCGAAACTTCGAGGCCTCCTTCCTTGCGACCCAGATCTCCTCCTTGCTCACGGAAACGCGTTTCGCAAGCCAGTTTTGCTGTATCCCATTCACCTCCAACAACAGACTCGGACGTGGAACGGGTTTTCAAGCGCCGGAAGGTACTCGGCTCATCTCCACCGAGTCCTACTGATAGCTATGCTTCCTCGGACTCGCTGGAAGAACCTCTAATATTCCAAACACCCTGCGAGTTCGAGTGTGACGATGACCTTGCCATTGCTGCTATCCTCGATGAGCACGCCCACATCCACATTCCAGCGATGTCCACACCAGAGAGGGCACCCGTACTGCAGGAAGGGTGTAGTCCATGGTTGAAGAGAGCTGTGAGCCTTACTCGGCGAGACGAGGACTAGTTGTTAGTGTTTACGATCCAATTGAACTGGGCAGAGCTGACAGACCTCTCAGATGCAGTGTCTTGTTTGGGACTGGTTTGTACTATTACCACATACCACCGCGGTTTGTATCCTTCCTCTATACTCATCCATTATTATAATTTATCCCTTTATCACCACACTCCTCCTTCAAGTTCATCTGGCTCCGAGTCTTTGGAATTTCTCTTCCCCTATGGCGTCGTTTCATAGAGTCTTAGCGAGTGGGAGCAAGGCGGATCGTCTCTCGGGACCAATACGCCTCGACCAAAGCGCCAGTAACTTGGCCGTTGTGATATCAACATTGGCAAGGGCCCGCATATTGCCTAAAACGATTTCCTATCTCGTATTCTTTTAACTATCTAGCAAACAGAAAAGCGTTGATCGTGACTACTGTCGTTTAAGACAGCTGGACATCGTTCTCGTGGCGAAAGCCCGACGTCGCTTCACTGTGTGTCAGTCTTTATCCATGTTTCCAATAGTAACTGAAGCATTTTTTATAGACTCATCAGACTCTTTGCGGTCGAGTAAAATTCAATTTCAAGTCGTTATTCGGCTTGCCGTAGTCACAATGTTAGCTCAGAAAGAAAAACAGGCACTTTGCTCACCATGTTCCATGCGTATCTTTACTTTTGAATGGCTGCTAAATTGTCCATACACTTCCAGAATTTCTCGCTAGGAGCACAAGCGAGTACATAAACCGTCGACTCAACTCGAACTTACCTGAAACGTACAGAGTGAACCAGCCAACAGGGCTGCTAAACCCGATCACCGTGTGTTGACTAGCCTCATGCCAAAGTTTTCCTCCATCACAAAGTCTATAGCCTCCGCTATCCCCTCGCAGCGTCTTTGTACAGTATCTGCCCTATGTTTGTCTCTCGCGGGCCTAACTACCATGACGTCCGCAACATCACACGCAAGCTTGCTCTCTTGTGCTCGCCATTCACCTCCAAAGACTCCTGATATCTGCTCCGTGCTCTCCCTGATCATGCTCGTAGGCTCCTCTTAACGTCCGACTCGCTATCGCTGTCTGTGTGTCCCGTGTTATTGGTTTTATTGTGCGCGCGCTACGTGCGGGGAAGACGACATGCGTCCTCTTCCTCTGCTGTGGAATCAGACGAGGGTCTGGTGCTTTCACGACTTTGGTCGCCATCTAGAGCCTGCGAGAGTGGAACGGGCGGAAACTGACAGCTATTTAATGTACGGCTCAATAATTCTTCATAAGTGATCAGCAGCTCGGGTCAATTGTGGGATGGGTTTGGCTGGGATACTATAATTAGAAACGTGATTTATACCTTGCAGGACGCGAGATCTTAGGGCCGCTATCTTATCGACATCTAGAGATGTTTCCAGATACATCCATAGCCCTTCAAGTGCGTGCTAGAGTAGCAAGCTCCATCAATGACTGGCAGACTGGTTTACTTTCTCGGAATTTGCTGGGACGACAAGTTGGTGTCGCTGCCCACTGTGGTACTGTCGTATTCTTCCTGATCCCCGATGTCCCCGCAGCTGAAGATAGTTCTATAGTCGAATGTTCGAGCCTGTGAAACAAATTTTATTGGGGCGAAAGAACATTCTCTGTTCTTTGAGAGAACCGCATCATGCGTGTGACGACGCTACGAATCATCACTGGGCGCCTATAGCCTAAATCTTGTGGTTAAACTGGACCATTCAATGACTAGAAGGCTTCAGCGGACGAATGTGTTGTTTGCTGGGTGCCGATGGTCCTCTGAACTTAAGACCATGCTCAGTTTTGTTTGATGAAGCGGGCGGAAATCATGCAGACTGTCACGGCTCCTTTGCATCCCATTAGAAGGAGCAGTAGCGCCGGATCTGGCCATGTGTCGTGACGATCAGAAATACAACCCTCCAGCGGGGTCACAGCTGAGAATCAGTATTCAATTGGGCAGCGTCGTGGGTGCAATTTGGGATCATTGGTGCTTATTCGACGAATCCACCATCATGCCCTACGAAGCCGTCAACGAGCCATCGGACCCAGCGCCAATGTCACCGTCGCCATCGTTCTACAGGTAACTATTTTGAGGCACAATGATAGATAGACAATGACACGCCATTCCTCCGCCTTGTAGGTTGAAGATACTCTTTTCCGAATACCTAAACACCATTTAGTCGGAAAATCAGAGGCGCTCGACTCGATGTTATCTCTACCTCAAGGTTGCAGCGCACCAGAGGGTGTCAGCGATGATAGGCCCATTCAGCTGTCGGGTATCAAGAAAATCGATTTTGAACGACTACTTCAGGTTCTTCACCCACTGTGAGAAACCTACTCTTTGAATGCAAGACATGCTGACAGAAACACAACAGAGATGCCACGAAATCACCTGAATTGTCCGTAAATGGTTGGATGTCCGTTCTTGCACTCTCCAGCCTATGGCGTATGACGGTGCGGAAAACTGCCATCGAGCATTTAACGGGGAGATATCTCCTGCGGACAGGATCGTTCGGCAGAAAATATTCGGTCGCGCAATGGATCTCTTCCGGATGTGAGGAACTCGGTAGTCGTGTAGAAGTGGTGTCCCTCGAAGAGGGGAAAAGGGTTGGCTTGAGCGCGACGCTGAAGATCCACCACATACGAGAGTCGTTTTTCACGGACATCGCTAATCAACAACGAACCCCAGAGTCACGGTTCATATTACTGCGATACTTGCTGTCTGTGACTAGCCACCAAATCGGAGGGGAAGCCTGTTTCAGTTGAGCGTATTGTGCAAGGAGTAAAATTTCAGGATAAAATATTTAAGAATAGCGTCAGGGCATGAGAATGACTGCATACTAAATTTGCCCGAGCCTGGGAGAAGGTCGCGCCAAAGGCTGCGGTATAATTCACACGACATCGACGCGTCACTCTGACCTGAACTACCACCATCCACACGCGCACGTCTGCGTATTATCGACTAGAACCGAGGTTCCAATAACCCTAGGCCGATAACTTAGCTTATCTTCTTGGTGAGCAGGCCTCCTCAAGTGTTCATTTGCATCCAGGTCTCATGTTTCGCTTTCAATCTACCGGCCGTAAAAAAAGTCACCTCATGGCGACAATTCCCCCAGAGCTTGTGTTAGAGATTCTTACATACACAAGTGGATGCCGCGATGATCTCATGGCATGTTGTCTTGTCTGTCGCGCCTGGCGCCGTCTTGCCCAACCCTTTGTCTTCTCTGAACTATCCCTGTCCCTCGAATCGCAATGCCACCCTTGGAATCGAAAATTTGCTGCATATCCTCATCTTGCTCAATATGTCACCCACCTCAACCTGTGGGGCGGAAACTTGGGGGAGTTGGATGTTGTGTCATTGGTCGAAGATCAACCTCCTTTTCTTGAAGGTCCCGCCACACTGGAGCTCTTACGTCGGCTCCCAAATATCAAGTACTTGAAGATACATGACTTTTACTTGCCGAGCGAAAGGGAGATAGAGGTTCTTTGTCATTTTATGCGGCTGGAGTGGCTGGAAATGTGCGAGGTGATGTTCAGCCATCCAGCAGACTTGTTGGATTTCATGTCGCAATCAGTTAATTTGAAGGGTCTCCATATTACGGATACAGAAGTCAGGAGTCTTACCGAAGACCTGATTGGTCCCACACTGCATAATCATGTTGACGCTGTTCCGAAACGGCTACGGAATCTCAAGCTCCAAGACGTCACTGAAAGTTTATATTATCTCTCCTGGCTTTCAGGAGGTGCCTTTGACCTCGATGATCTTGTCGACCTCACTTTATCTTGGGAATCTTTCCCAACGAAACGCCCTCACCTTCCTCCCGAACCTCTTTCTTCCTATATCGATCCTTTTATCAGTACTGTCGGTGCTGGGATCAAACATCTACGGCTTGATATCGAAACTCCAGAGCAAGAATCCAACGTTAACTACATGCTAGGTAAGTACAACGGCCTTCTCGAACAACCATCTTTGTTAATAATGCACGCAGAGCATTTCATCTCAACGAGAGCCTTGAGCAACTTTAAAGCGCTAGTAACCTTGAACATCGACTCAATAAATCCTTATATCAAGAATGATGCTGCCCATCTGGTTGACATCGAACGTCTTTTTCAACACCTCACGCTACCGAACCTTCGGAAAATATCCATAACAATTTGCTTCACTCTGGACACTGCGGACCATCTCCCATCCTATAAAGAATTCCCCGTCTGGGCTAGTCTCGATGAGCTCTTCGCCAGCTCGCAGTTTCCCTCTCTTCAGCAGGTCATGCTGTTCATCGAGGTGAAAAGTGTCCACTGGGATGCTCACAAATTCGGACTGAGGTTGGAAGACTCCGATTCCGACAATGAGGATGCTGCTAGTGTTGTCATCCCGCCGCTGGTTACCAGACATCCTTGGCCAGAACATCCTCCGACGGTGGACGATGTTGCTGCTGTGATCGTGGAACAAATGCCGATATTGGCGTCTCGGGGATGTTTGATACTTCGCCCTGCCGGGATGCACCGAAACTAATGCACCTGGAAAAAGCATCAGAAGAAGTGCTTGTACTCGGTTCTATCAGGTCATCCGAACTGAATGTGATATATATAACCGGACTCTATACAATCGAAGGACGTTCAACGATTTTTCCCATGGACACCACGTTACCATTTCATGATGTGATAAGGACCAGGCTATTGACACGAGGCAGGATCAGACGCCGTTGCCTACGCACGAAGTAGGTTCTCGATAGCCACTTCTCTCTTGAACATGCACGACGAGAAGGCCGAATCAAAGTCACCGCCCGCTCCGCCAAAGGGAGCTGACACCGTATCTGACCCACAGGAGAAGCCGAAAGAGGTGTCGTGGGTCAGAAATAATAACTTTTACTGGGAGAACAGTACATTCCTAGTGCGTGTGACTTCGGTAGCAATTTGAACGGAACTTTGACAAGGGTTGAAGGTCGAAGATGAGCTATTCCGTGCACCAAGATGCCAGTTTATCAAGCATTCAGAGACCTTTAGGGCCATGTTCACGTTGCCGCAGGCAGATGCAGACGCTGTCGAAGGCAATACCGATAATAAACCTATTCACTTATACGGTGTCACCAAAATTGACTTCGAACGACTATTGAACTTCATGTACCCTCTGTAAGTTTGTTGCTGCTTGATTGTACGTTTGATCTCAGGCATGTGTAGGGACGTTTTGATTGCCTTGAAAAGGTCGTTGGAGGAATGGACGTCGATCTTTAAGCTCTCCACGATGTGGGCGATGGCGGAGATACGCGACAGTGCAATCTCACACATCATGGAGCGCCATCTAGAGATCGAGGCAACAGAGCGGATTGCGTTGGGAAGAACACACGATGTCCCAGCATTGGTGAGGTCCGGACTGGTCACTCTGGTTAATCAAGACGGAGGGGTGACTGAGCGGCAAGCGATTCTTCTTGGTTGGGAGATGGCGCTGCGTATCCAATGGGTCCGGGACAAACTGCTTACTTCTCGCTATGGATGTTCATGCACTTTTGACGAGAACGATATACGCAATGCGGTGACGAGCGTTTTCTGTGGGAAGCCAGAGTGGTCGTTTGAGTTGGAGATTTTTGAGCCGAATGCTTCTAAAAGCCAGAGAGGCAAGGCTCAAGCTGGCAGAAGAGGGGGAAAGAAAAAGTTTTAGAATCCAACCTGTAGTGATATCTCAGCCTCCTGTACATCGTTGCATAACGGGCTGGTGTGTGTGTACAGAATCTACTCTACTTATATACTTTCCAAGCTCTAGTGGCACTAATAGCCATTGTCTGACTAAGGCATAATAATCAAAGACAATGGGAATAAAGACAATGGGTGTCTTCAGTGCGACATTTACTTTGTTCATGTACTAACACTCCTCATCGCTGATGACTCCTCCTGACGTTCCACTTATGATACTCCCATGAATCCCCTTAGTCAAATGAACTGTGCCGGTGGGAGTGCCTTTGTGAAGCAATCTGCAATATCGTTCTTGGTGTTGATGTAGTCCAACGATATTTCTTTGTTCTCGACTCGCTCTCGGATGAAGTGATATTTAATGTCGATATGTTTAACATGGGCATGTAGAGAAGGATCTTCGGACAGACTGATTGTGCTGTTGTTATCGCAGTTGATTGTCGTCGTGTCATCTTGCCCAAATCCAAGGCCAAGAAGGAGAGCCCGGATCCATATGGCTTCCTTTGTTGCTTCGCATGCTGCCACGTATTCGGATTCGCATGAGGACACTGCAACTGTCGGTTGGCGTTTGGCCGTCCGCGATACAAGTCCAGATCCAAGCGAAAAACAGTATCTGCCGATGCTGCGTCAGGTGTCTAAGCAATTTGCCCAATCGGAGTCGGTATAGCCTACAAGCTTTATGTCAGGGTTGCCTCCGAGATGCAGGCTGATATTTCTAGTGCCTTTTAGGTATCGGACAACTCGAGTTGCAACATTCCAGTGACCATATGAATACGAGTCAAGGAACCGAGATAGTTGTTGAACTGCATATGAGATATCAGGGCGAGTGCCGAGAGCAAGATAGATAAGGGAGCCAACAAGAGAGCGGTATGGTAGTTTCTGTAGCATGGCGCAATCTTCAAGTGATAGATCATGGCGTCGAAGTTTTAATCCTGGATCCATGGGTGTAGCTATTGGATGTGCATCTTTCTGGCCATATTGATAGCGAAGGAAGAACGTCATGGTGCAACGAGAAATCGGAGGCAATTGAAGATATTATGTCCGACGTGAATCGCCGCTAGAATTTCGGAATAGTATCCGTCGGTCTCTTAACGTTTAACGGTCATCGACTCGTCATGGTCTAGTGTCCTCGACCTACGTCTGTAGCCCGCGTGGAATATCCCTGGTAATCACTTCCTTCATTCCATTCCGGCCTTTTTCGCTTCAACAGAGCTATCATTGACGCCGCCCCGCACAACGATGCAAATTCGAGAAACCGGACATTCCGTTTTTCCAGAGTGATATGTGTTCGCGCTAAGGAAGAGGACCGTTTTAGAATGTGCTGGCGAACGAGATTACTTGCGACAAGGCTTTGGATGAAGTAGGCGTAGAGCGGTAAAGAGGTTCTGAGTTCTGTTCTCGGCAAAGTAGGCTTGGGGATGGCGACAGGAAGGAATCGCAACCCATTGGCATTAGTCCCACATGGCGATGTAGGCCTGGACGGAACCCCTCGCGCAATATGTTGCTCGGATAGAGCCACGTGGCTTCATTTGTCGGATGTAGCCATTTTTCTTCTCCCCCTCTCATTCCTCCACCACTTCTACGCTCGCCATGGTGTCGGCAGACGATGAGAAGATCGTCATCGAGACGCTGACGGCGTACTTGAACGGACTTGTCCTCGAGGCTTTAGTGCATGGTGAGCACATCAAACAAATAATACATCCAGCACCGACCGAGTTGGTGCAGGAATGTATACATCTCTTGTTGGAGTAACGCTTTGGTACATCTGTACGACATAACGAACTTCAATGGTCTCCTCAATCACTGATTCCGGTGGCAGTCATCAATCCCACCATCCGCCTACCCAAAGGTCACATAAGCAGGATGTCGATCCCAATCACGCTCATGTACCTCTTCACCACGCTCAACCTCGGAATACGATGGTCCTGGACGCGGTCTCCACTTGTCTTCTCCCGGAAGGACGTGCAGAACGAAACGACATACTACACATTTGGTAACGGGAATGCCACGACCCTATGGGCGATCTCGGGGGCTGCAACAGGCGTGAGCATCCTCATCGCGGACTCCATCTTGGTGTGTATGAGGATATCCTCGCTTATGAGCTGTATTTCTGATAATAAGATCACCTAGATTTGGCGCTGCTGGATCGTCTGGGGTCGTAGATGGCCTTTTGTTATCCTGCCAATACTCCTAACCGTCAGCGGTACCGCCCTTGACGTCCTTTTCATATACCACAACGCAACGGACAAATACTCTTCCGATGGCACTATCTGGGGCTCGGCCGTCGAGTGGGGGATCATATTCTATTCCATGTCTCTCGGCACGACAATATACTGCACCGCGCTCATTATCTTTCGGATACTCGCCTATCGGGAGCAATACTGGAGCGTCATCGAGATGGTCGTGGAGAGCGCGGTGCTGTACGCGTTGGCGCTAGTCGTTTTCATCGGGTTCCTCGCTACAGACGATGCTAATGGGTTGTATCCCAAGGCGCTGTTGGATACCGTCGCGGGTATCGCGCCGACTCTTATAGTCGTACGCGTAGCTTCAGGACAGGCGAGGTCAGATGAGTCGTGGCAGCCGAAAGAGACGTCGTCCTCGCTGCGTTTTGAGTCCAGTTTATGCACTGTGACCGCCGTGGAGGAGGAAGTGTGTGGGATCTGCTCGTCCTGTGGGCAGAAGCTTGTTCATTGACATTCTTTGTGCAAGTGAAAGTTTAGGGGCTTATCTATAATCTGAGGCTATATTATGGCCTTCTTCCTCGTCACGTATGCACGGAATGGAGAGGACGTAGGACTTCTGGGGTCGATTGTTCCCGATGGCCTGATTTCTCCCACTGCTTAGTTTTAAGCCTGTGCGAGTTGGGACTTGAAACTGCGTTCACTTTGTACTGCGGCGCTGAACTGCTGTAGAAGTGATCTCGTAGTCTGGCTAAGTTCAAATTGTCATCGAGGTGCTGGCTGCCATTTTTCCCAGTCTTTTGCGCCATTTCTAGGGCTGAGATTAAATATCTCCGTCTTGACATGGAACTGCCCCGTCCATATTCTTTCACGAATCTCCGTCATTGATAACCGTACGCAGATCGTTGTACTTTGACAGGCTACAGCAGTATTGAGACATTATAAATCCGATCAGCGTCCTGACAGTCCAAATAAGGCCCCATGCCTAAGTGATATTCTTCATCACGCTCGAACACCGCCTTCACATTCTCTAATCTGCTCGTATCATTGTATTCGCTATCCCCAGCGGTATTTTAGACCTATCCCGAATCTTCAAAATGTATGTCTGCGGCTCCTAGGCTGAGGTGCGAGACGGTGCAAACGGTGTTATCGTAGTTAACCCATTTTTCAGAATGACCTGAAGTCCACCATCGCAGACGTCAATAGTCCGACCGATCTTTACGTCCAAGTCGGTCGTGATTGTGAAATCCAGCGTCATTCTTTGTGAAGGAGTGACAGATGAATGTAATTGTGATCTCTGCCGTGACCGTACAGGATGTCATTGGTTCAGCCTCTGCTGGCATATTGTGCTCACGGGGACCTTGCGGCCGAGAATTCGACCTGTGACCCACGCCTGCCTCGATGCAAACACTTCTTCGTTCCACACCCCCTCGACTGCATATCCATCTCAGCCTAGAAAATGGGCAATAGTAAGTATTGTTAATCCGTGTTATTTCGAGTACTCAGTTCGACTTATCTTTGTTAGAGTGCGAAGTAGATTTCTGTAACAAGATAATCTCAGACGGGCACTCGATTTGCAAGAGAACAACGTCTACATAGCTGTACTAGTAGTACAGCTATGGAAGCCTAAGCACTGGTCAGTGATGTGTATATGTCAACAACGGAACTACAGATAGGTAAGTAACGAAAAAGGCAAGAAATAGAAATATGTCCTTGGGTATATGCGTGCCGGCTACGGGCGTCCTTGCAGCTCCGACAATGTTAGCACCGGCCAAGGTCTTATACTAGTCACATTCCAATGTTGTGAAATCGATTTGGAATCATATGTGCTCTGTCTTTTCGACCGCCACGGCAATGAGAGATTCATCTCCTGTCGAAACCTCTGAACCTTACGAGAATCGCAACACAATGGTGTCATCCGAGTCCCAAGAGGAGATACTACACCAGCATGACAGTTCTACTGCAGAAGGCGGCGCTGACTCGTTGTCCAACTTGCGAGTAGAAATACCCTCGGGTTCGTCGATTCCGAGTTGTCAGACTGGTCCCGTGGATAAGCAACCATCTAATGATGCTTCGGATGAATCTGACACGTCTTTTGAGTCTGATGACGATGAATCTGAGGGGGTAAGTTAATTGGAAAACAATAAGAGGGGAAACTGATAACATATTTCTAGGGCATCACTTTACCCGAGGTCACCATCTCTGCCTTCACTGAGACGGGCTAAGCGGAGTCGTCTATCAAAGTTCCATTGCAACGGGCCCATACTGGTAGAAAGCCCATTATACCATCCTCCCTCGCCGACACTCCCTGTGCTACGCTCGGTGCCCAGGGCATCTTAGATCAACTCAACACCACCCTTGGAACGTCTTACACCCTGGACACTACATTCCTCTCTTCCCTTCTTGAAGATTGCATTGCAAACAACTATGACTTTGGCACGGCATATGGCCGCCTCCGCTCGAGATGGTACACCAGCCATTGAAGCACCATACAATCGAAACTATATCACCAGGTTTCACAAGCAGCTCAAGCCTCTGCAGATGACATTATGTGGTGTATCTGGCACACTGTCCAAGATGCAGAACCGGGTGTCGACCAACCCAGTGGACAAAGTCGCAGGCCTGGCATTTTGCTTGCAGTCCAGGATGATACCGGCCTACTATGAAAGCCAGAATCTTGAGGAGGCATGGAAAGCACTCGTGGATTCGATGCATCCATGGTCTCGGGCCGAGTTGTTCTTCTTGTATCCTGAACCAGGAATTGCACGCACAAAATGGAGACCATCGTGGGACCAGGTTATGACGACACCTCTGCCTGCAGATAGCTTCCCTCGGATGAAGGTTCATCTGGATGAGAAGATGGACAAAGACTCATGTGACGCATCTTGCATTGAAAAAGCATTTGTGCGGTGGTTGACTGTGGAAGGTGTTGATCGACATGGAGAGTTGCTTATTAAAGACAAGCATGGGATAGAACATGCATTCAACATCGTGGCCACCCATAAGTACCCGATACCTGAAGATATGTACACACTGCTTCATATCCATACAGGGGATCCCTTCCTCTCTGTCTCGACCCAATGTTGCATTGTCGGACGAAGGCTGTCAGGGGAAAAGGTTTGAAAAAGTGTCCATATTGGGACTGACTAATGAAGAGTTGAGGCAGTTAGAAAGTCTGGATATTGATGAACAGTGTTTAAATATTCTTGTTTGACGTGTGTACACATTGTTATAGTAGCCCTAAAGCAGGTAGGAAAGTTTGGACTGGGGAAGAGCCCGTCGAGATTGATCCAAACAGGGAGATCCTCGTAGGATGGGGAGTTATCAATGTGTGAACCTGAGGCTATAGTATTATGATCTTTGTCCCCATCATGCATGGACGGAATGGAGAGGACGTAGAATTTCCTAGCCTGCTCTCTCCCACTGCTTGGTTTTAAGCCTATGCGAGTTGGGACTTGAAATTGCCTTCAGTCTACATTCCGGCGTTGGAACGCTACAGAAGTGGATGTTGTGGTTCTGCTGCGGGACGTAGGCTGACTGTCGATGGCCTGCCCGATTACCATCCAAACATCTCCAATGAATCGAAATACGATAAAGTAGACCATGGATGTTAAAGTTTGTTATAATAGCCAATTCTAACGTTTCAATCCCCACTCTGTTCACCAGCTTTTCGTTACTCTCTCCACTGCGCCGCCGCTTGATGAGCATGAGATCCCAGGGTGAACATCTTCCGGTCCACTGGATATTCAGCACCAGGCTCATCCTCAAGCTTCGGTGCTGATAAGATATCCACGAGATGATTTGCCTACGCGTCAGCCTCTCTTGGATGAGCCGGATCTGCTCTTCAACTGATGGCATGTAGTCCACTTCAAATGAGGCCCTGAGAGCGGCGAGCTGACTAGATGCCCTCTTGGATTGGTGAGGTTCCCGCTAGCCTCTTAAGCGCGATTGGCGAACCATCTGCTAAGCCGTCAGCGATAGGACGGATATGATAAAATTACGCACCGTCCGACCCCCTGGGATGATAATACCCTGCCTCTTTGGAGGTCTCTCCCTGTATTGGAGTTAAATTTAAAGAGGTAGGTGGTCATATAGGAGACTTGCATTTCGAAGCGGCACCATGTATTCAGCTGGCTTTCCAAGAATTCAATCTGCTGGTCGTTCAACGGTTCTGCTGGCATCATGACGATAACGATGAGGTGAAGAAGAGCAGGGCTTTGGTTGACAATATTGTCGCAGACAAAATCTGGCTGTTAAATAATTTGCTTGCAATCTGTAATTGACGCGTCGAGTCGCGATACATGTGATCTTACATAGCCCTGGCACTGACGAGACGCGCATATACTTTGAAGCCTCTTCCTTCGCGTAAATGCAGGTTTCTCGTGTCAATAATCAGAGATATCAATTATCGAATACTTTGAATTTGCACTGGCGCCTATCACCCTAAAGAATTACAGTCGAAAAATATGACGAATTCATACTAAGGAAAGCGCATAAATACAAGTGATTGACGTACAAGATGCATGATTGCCAGGCTGGCGAATCCTAGTTTCCAAATTTAACCAGACGATTCAGTGGTCTTCGTAGGAGGTCCTGGGTTGCCCTTTCTTCTGTGAGAAATGTCCGATTGCCGCATGGCAAGAAGGGACCTTGAAGGTTAGCGCAGGACGTCTGGGGCACCTAGGGATACAGAGCACGAGGTGTCTACCAAGCAGTGAGAGGAGAATCCTGCCTAGATATTGTCCCAGGGCTAGGAGGAATGGCATTAGCGAAAGGCATCTCTGAAGCAAGGTCATCAAGGTAAGCGCCGCCAATCTGGGGCCCCGGGACACAGAGAACGAGGCGTCTACCACGCACTAAGAGAAGACTCTGATTTTGCGGCCTGGAGGTGCTATGAGGGATGTCTGTCAAAAGGCCGGTAAAGATCTCGAGCTCGTACCCCCGGATCAGCCAGCTTATCATCATCAATGCAGGATAGAACCCGCTGGTCGCAAAGCCCCATCCGTAAGCGTGATCCCATCTTGGAGAGAAGAAACGATGATGATATGGCATGGTACAAGTAACTCATCGGTTTCCCTTGTATCGAATATTCTTCCGGTCTATCTTTCACGGAAGTCTGTAAGCCCAGTCCTTCTCGTCGTGTTGCCGGCAACAGTGACGGGCTGACAGGTCGATAAGCCTCGTCCTCAAAGCCTTGCGCGAAATCAAGCACTGGTGCACCTATAGTAACGACCAATCCTCAACGTAATGTTGCACGCCAGTGTTCTGTACGACGAGTGCTGTCAACTGTGAGCCTAAGAGAAGACCATTTTGTATGAAAGTGAACAGTGAGCTCGCTGCAAGGAAAAAGGAAACTGGAGATGAGCGCTAGCACTTGGTTGGGCCCGTAAATCAGCCGCTGCACCTTCGCCGAGTCCGAAGTGATCGTCGTTGAGTCGAATTTACAAATTATCTTCATTATCTTCTCTTCCGTGACCAGCATCGTCCTTCATCATGTTCCACGTTGGCGCGAGGATCCATCGGATACGACACTGGAGTAATATGGAGGCGTAAGAGGGTATCAGAAGAATGGACGAGGTACGTCTTAGATGCCCCGCATTCTTATTTTTTTGCAGAAGCTCGCAAGCGCTTAAGCAAGGTTCTCGCTACACCCCAGGCAATGGTACCATCAGTATCAGCTTCCTTTCTCTGATGAGAAACTCGTCCCACTGACTGTAATCGTATGCAACCTGAACTGTTGACAGCTTTTCGCATTCTCTGTGTTTCGTTTCAATTCATTGCTGTCCGCCTCGAGGCTTGGTACCATCAACGCAGTAGCTTTTACCGGTGCTCCGTCGGCGAGGCCTTGAGGATCTATATTAGAAGGAGAACACAGCATCTCGCTTCCTTTGACTCAAGAGTTGAGCCGTCCTCGAGGAGTTTTTAGTATTGCTGCGCTGCACAGGATGAAAGTGGTAGAAATCAACCTCGCGCAATGTAAACTGGTAAGTCTATGTTAGGAATTTTAGTCATCTGATACTTGTTTTATCGATTTCATAGTTAGGCACGTGTGTGCAACGTGTGTATAGATTGACGTGTATCATGGGTCACGAGGACAAGGCTGCAGTCCGGGCATGAGTATCCTCACCTCCAACCCTGACTACCACGGCACGATGCATCAGGATCAGAGGCCCGAGCGCCTACGAGGTCCATATAAACCACTAAAAGTTGCGCATTTCTCATACTTCGCCTCTGCTCCTTACCACTGCTACCATGTCTGGGTCAGGCTCCAAACTCGTCGGAATCAAAAAACACGACATTTATTATATTAAAGGTGGAGACGTCTACTTCTTGGTGAGTTTTGGCTATCAGAATGGAGCGCGTGCACTCACTAAAGCCTACTTAGGTGGACGAACGTATGTTCCGGGTGCACCGGTACTTCTTCGAGAGGGAATCTTCCTATTTCCAGCAAATGTTCAGATACCCGGCATTACCTGGCCAGGAACCTGAAGGAACCTCCCATAGCACCGCATTCAAACTCAACGATCTCACAGTTGAGAATTTCGCCAATTTCCTTTGGGTATTCTACAACCCGTGAGTCCTATCCACTGTCAACTCCCAGAACGAAGACCGATTCTTGCTTGTATCAGGAAGCACTCTCTATACGACGCCTCTACAGATGTCTGGACGCAAATTCTCCACACTGCCTGTAAATGGGCATTTCCTGAGGTCAAGGCCCTTGCCATCAGGGAACTAGAGCGCAAAACCCTTGGATTAGTCGACCGCATTGTCCTATACCAGAACAACAATATCGATCCAAGCGTACTGGCTCCGTTATATGCAAAGCTCTGTGTGCGCGACGAACCTCTCACTACAGAAGAGTCTCTGCGCCTGACCGTCGAGACCGCCGTACATATATTCCACGCCCGCGAGCGCCTCCACTCCATCTCGCTTGATGGTCTGAGGAGCCCTCTTCCAAGCGGCATGGACCTTTCCATTGTGATGAAGATCATCGACGAGGTGTGGGGAAGTTATGCGAAACGTGCTTCAGGTGGATGGGTGACCATAGTGTATTCTGCTGTATGTTTACTTACTCATTTTGTTCTGGCCCACAGGATCCAACGGCAATACTCAGCAAGGCTCCTCGTCGACGTCCAAGGCGAATGGATCTACGAACGGCAAGTACGCTGCTTGATAATTATGATCTTCCTCTACCTCCGACTCAAGACGACAACGGTGAGTTTCTATTGTTGTGTTGGGCCTCGCTTTCCTGAATTAATACTGACAGGCATGTTATCTGTGGGTTCTCAGACTCTCAGAAGGAAGCTCACGGATCGGGTGAAACGATTTCTGTCGAGTTCGGAAAAGAGGAAGAGTTAGAGCACGAGACCGATCGTCGCAGTGTGGCGGACCCTATCAATCACATCCCTGAGTCTGGGAGGTTCCGAACGGCTTCCCCACATCTGCCTGGGTCTTGGGTAGCATAGTGTATTCATTCGTTCTTTGTATTCAATCAACCTGCCGATATCAACATTTATGCCACGTTTCACTGTGTAACACCACGTACAGCTTTATCATGGATAAATCGGGTTCCTGGAAATCAAAAGAATTTGATGTCAGGATGCTACGCATCCGCGGAATAGGCAACTCGCTTTGCAGGGTTCCCGCACTAAAGGTGCGGTTGTACGACTCGAATCATGAGCCTGCTTCATGTAGTATAACCAGAATGCAGTGTTTTTAGGTGAAAGAGAACGTGCAAAGCTTACGTTTCCTCCAAGCACGCGCCCTTCGTACGTTAGATCGAAACAATGGCAAGCCGTTATGATGGAGATATTCTCACTGCCGGAAGACATGTGTCATACACGTGTAGACGGATTCAAAAGGCTCGACTCTCACCCTTTCTCAGAAACCCCCTTCCTCCCCTTTCCCCTCGATGGCCAGTCAGTCACCAGACAGCAGCTTTATTGCCCTAAGGCATCATGATGAATACCACCTCTCTGGGGGTGACCTATTCTTCCTCGTGCGTTGTCCGGTAATCCATTACACGAGAATCCAATAACCGATTTCATCTAGGTTGAGCAATACCATTTTCGTGTCCACCGATACTTCTTCGAGCGGGAATCCACTTTCTTCAAGCACCAGCTCGCTACGCCAGCTTCTCCAGGCGAGGAGCGCCAAGGGACATCCGAGGGGACCGCCATCGTCCTAGACCACGTCACCCCCGCCGAGTTTGCCAGATTTCTATGGGTGTTCTACAACCCGTCAGTCGTACAGTGTGTTTTTTCCCGTCACCCAGCTCTAACGTCTAACCACAGTAAATATTCCCTCTACGATGCGACTGTCGAAGACTGGGCAATCATTCTCAAGCTCGCGGATCGATGGTCTTTCCCCGAGGTCAAGAACCTTGCCATCCGAGAGCTGGAGAAACACCTCATGGACGATATCGAACGCATTGTCGTTTACCAGAAATACAATGTCGATAAGCGTCTCTTGATCCCTCGTTACGCCGCCCTTTGTGCGAGGACGGAGACCTTGTCACTGTCAGAAGGAATGCGGTTGGGCATGGAGACGGCGTTGAATATTGCTCGCGCGAGAGAATGTGCCCGCTCGCCATCAGTGGGTGGACTGCGCAGTCCCACGTCCGTCATACTACCATCCGAGGAGATGCACGGCATCATAGTGGACTTGTTCAGCATCTTGGAGACATCAAAGGGCCAAGAGAACGGTTCGTCAACGGCATCATCTTCTACAACAGGTGGATCGGTGATACCATCTTGTCCATATATGCTTCCTCATACTCATAATGGTATACTACAGGAGACGCCGCATCCAAGAACGCCGCTGACGGAGACTCCTGCAAACCCAACGGAAAACCTGCCAACGGCGACAAGAACGGACGAAATACCGGTACCGGCCGTAAAGGGGAGCGGAAGAACTAATATAGACTCATTTGAAGCTGACGAGGATGAAGAATACTGGGATGACTCAGGCTCTGATTCGGATACTCACGTCGATAGCGCTGGTATGGATAGCGAGAAGGTTTATGGCGATGTTGACGATGATAGTCCCGTTGAAAATGTCGTAGATCCTCAGGACAATAATGACGCTGACTTGGACGAACAGGTACATGATCTCACCCCCGACGCAGGCGTTGGAGAGGGCCCGCTCGAGAGTAGTGCACAGGATCACAGAGATGACAATGATGCTGGTGCTTCGCATGAAATGGATGGCGAACCTGATCAGAATGGACTCGGAGATGGCGAGGGAGATGGACACGATGATTCTAGCTCTCCATCTAGTGGGGAGCAAAGGGTTGACATAACACTTGATGCTCCTTCAGAGCCTAGAGAGGGGAACGAAGATGACGGAGGTACTCCCATCGGGAAATCCGCATCTTCGCCCAACCCTGATGTCGATTCATCTTCTTCCGTACCCGGAACCCGGACTGACATTGGTCATGGGTCGGGCTTTTCGTTTGATTTTATGGAACCATCTGGCCCAGGGCCTATACCCACGTTCAATTTCGATTCCACTTTGGATCACAACGAGGTTCCAAATATCACCGTCCAGACTCCCACTGCTTCTCATGCTTCGTTCGCAGGGACGGAAGCTGGGGATGAATCTGATACCGAGGTCCATAGGGATGCGAAGAACGCTTCCGCGTCATCATCTTCGGACATCGTTCTCAATTCTAGTGGACCTGAAGACGCCACGACTACGGAGGTTGATACTCAAATTGCGGAGGGTAGTGGTGACGCTGTTGCAGAGGAAGACGAAAATAGCGCTTCTAACAATGACTCCCTTGACAATACCCTTCCCCCTTCTCACGACACTGCTTCTAAAGTGGAGGATGGCGGTAGCGTTGCTGCAGAGGGAAATAGCGATAGTACCGGTGGTGAACCTCCTACTCCCGAACCCAATGCCGACGAAGCTGCTGATGAGCGAGAAGAGGATGGTACCATTGCTGCAGAAGGAAACAGCGATAATTCTCCTGCTCCTCCCGGCCCGGATTCTAGCGTTGGCGATACTACTCCTAAATTAGAGCATGGTGGGGAGCCGTCTACCGTACCCGTCGACGAGGATGCCGTCCTTCAACACACAGCTACGTCGGGAGACGAGGACGCAAAGACAGAAACCAAAGTACCACGCAATGCAGACACTACCGCACCCTGCAGTGATCCTCCCGTGGACAGCTCTTCTACCTTACCACCACTACCACCAGTTGACAATCTCCGTCCAGGCGGTGAACCCGGTAGAACCAGGAGGCCGACCTTGAGTATTGATACAACAAAGCTTTGGGATAGCAAGTCTGCACACGCACTCGGACCCATGCATGCTGGACATGCGTCTGGGGAGACTGGTCAGCCCACCAATAATCCCCCAGAAGAGACTCACACTGCTTCCCCAATCAACCCTCCACCAATCACTCCCGCCAACGCGGAACCTTTGGCCGGTGTTGCCAATCCTCTTCCAGTCAAGCCCACTCTGCCTGAGGAATCCGAGAGTGAAGATGATCCGAATGAAGAGTTCTATGACTCGCCCGAGGGTCCTGCTCTTTGATTTTATGGCTCAGGATGCTTGGATCTTGCTGACACTCTAGTTTCGATATAATATCGTTTATCATACGTAGCCCTAATGCCCGTTAGGATCTATCGTAGCGTATATAATATGAATAATCTTCGTACCATTATTGAGAACCAACGACACGTATAACAAGTGTGTACTGTGGCTCTCCTAAAATCAATCCCTCGCAGCGTATCAAGTAGTGGGTCTGCCTGCTTTATCTGTAACTTGCGTACTCATCGATGACTCTAGAGAATGAGAGGTTCGTCAGCTTTGTAGAACAGAGTAAAAAAGAATATGCTACGTACCCAGCTGGAAACCACTGAGACTTACTTCGAGCATGATCTATGTCCCGAGAACGAAGTTGGAGAGATGGTAATTGGCCATTTACTCGTCATTCATATTGGGGGCATGATGGTGGTCAGAATGAAGCTGTTGACCGAATAACTCCGATATCGCCGTCATAGGTATCGGATACTTAGGTGCATCTTCTTTTTGAGCTGACGCCCGATTATTGTTTAGTATACAGAAGAGAGTTTATAATATGTAGAAAATCTATCCGGCCAAAGACCGCGCGTTCCACTGAGCCTTTGAAAGCCCCGTACAACATAACGTCGTACGAAAGGATACCACATACAATCACATACAGGCGATAAATAAACCGTAATACAAGTCCGTTGATGGTTTGAGACCTATCAGGATGGCGATTACGAACTTTAGCCGGTATGCCATTAAGAAGACGAGAAATCGACAATATTTGTGCAGCTGTCATATCCATAGCTCACGACCTGGGTGATTGTTCCAAGAAACGTTATCGTCACGTATGGTCGAGAGGGAAGAGACGAAGGCTAATCGATGGGCATACACCGTGTAGATGTAATAGTGTAGAAGAGTCGCAATGAGCATGCGTCCTCACACCACATCCTGGAATGTTAACAGGGTCCATAGGAAGGTAAACCTCCGATGAACGTAGCTACAGCCTACACAGCCAGCTGGATGACAGCAGGACAGCACGTCAGACATCCCCAAGATGTCAGCGTTGGCATTTTCTCCGTGATCATGGCAGCAACATCATCCACCATCGGCGGCTGTTCTGGCACAGCATCATCATCATTGGAATCAAAGTCTTCCCACCCAGCGTTGGCTTTCCAGTGGACACATCTCACGTCAATGATAAACTTGAGTTGCTGAAGAGAGGGGAACTTCGGACTGGAGAGGAGCCCATCGAGACTAGCCCAGACGGGAAGCTCTTTATAAGATGGAAGATGATCAGGAGTGCTCAGGGTGAAGCACGTCACGATTGACATCTTGCGAAGGTTTGTGAGGGTGACGCTGCGAAGAAGACGTTCGATATCAACGAGATACATAGCATCATTCTCGAAGGAACTTATTGAGTCGATGTCCAGAGTTTCTAGCACCGTAAAGTTGCTCAATGCTCCCGTCGAGATGAAAAGCTCTGCGTTCATATTCAGCAAAGGTCGTTGTTCAAGAAGGACGTTCACTCACCTAGCATATAATTGATGTTGGATTTCGAGCCAAATTTGAGCGTTTCGATGTCAAGTTGGAGATGTTTGATCCCAGCGCCAACCGCATTGATAAAGGAATCAACATAAGAAGAAGCTTGAGGTCCGGTAGGGTGGCGTCTCGTCGGGAAACATTCCCAAGACAAGGTGAGGTCGGTAAGATCACAGAGATCAAAGGCTCCTCCTGAAAGCCAGGAGAAAATATACAAGCTTTCAGTGGTGTCTTGGAGCTGGAGATTCCGTAACCGTTTCGGAACAACATCGACATGGTTATGGAGCGCAGGCCCAATCATATCCTTGTTAGGACTTCTGATTTGGGTGCCTGTGAGGCGTAGGTCCTTCAGATTGACCAATTGGGACATAAGATCCAATAGATCCACTGGTTGGTTGAATACCACCACGAACATTTCCAGACACTCCAGGCGCGTAAATTGGCACAGAACCTTTATTTCCCTCTTACTCGGTAAGAAGAAGCCCTCCAAATCCAAGTGCTTGACATTTGGAAGGCGACGCACGAACTCCAATGTCTTGGCACTTTCGAGAAATGGAGGTTGATCCATCGTCCGAGCGTCCTGGCCCCCCAGGTATGACCCCCACATGTCGAGGCGAGTAACATATCCAGCGAGGTGAGGATATGTGATGAATTTTCGGTTCCACGACTGGCAATGCGATTCGAGGGACACGGCAAGGGCGGAAAAGATAAAGGGTTGGGCAAGCTGGCGCCAAGCACGACAGACAAGACAGCAGGCTCTAAAATCGTTGGATAAGTATCTCAGGATCTCCAACACAAGCTCTGGAGGAAGGGGTGTCATGAGGCGGCTTATTGTTGAAAATCAAACATCAGACCCAGATGCAGATGAAACTGCAAGTAAGCGAGCTCACTTAATCAAGTCCAAGTGTGCAGCGGGATCCAGGCGGATGCGTGTCGAGAAGATGGTGGCGGAGATGAAAGTGACGCCGATGGCGTGAGAGAGACTACATTGAACAGCCTTGAGGCCCGCGAAGCCCGAGTCTTTCTTCCACTGCTTAATCACTACATCACTACCCTTGGCCATCTGCACAATTGGTGAGTATTATACCAGTCGTTTTAAAGAATATTTCGACTTGAACTGAGAATGATGTTCCAAGACTATCGTACCGTGTGCTTTTACCACTACAGCGTTCTGTCGAATAAACTTCTGCGTCTCTCTTCTCACCTAACCGATATCTCAGCACAGGCATCATGTCCTCGATAGGCCAAGGCCATCATCGCTTTCATACTTGGCTAAGGATACAAAGCTTTGTAGATGATGTTCCCAATGTCCCAATGGACCTTCTAAAGCTACCACGACACATGCTCCTCCCGAACTTTTGCCTTCATACGACGGACTTCTTCGACCTCTTCGACCGGCTCCAAAAAGGGCCATTCTCTATGAAACACATCTCTTGCCGTAGCGCGCACCTGGCGTTCTGGAGACACACCTGGAACACCCTTGTTCCTCAGTAGTGTAGTTCGTATACTCTGTATACGCAGCGCCATCTCCAAACCAAGAACCTTCGCCTGCTCTTCGGACACCCCTTCCCATTGGTTGACCAGGCTGATGATTCCAGAAATCACCAGCTTCGGTATATCATATATATTACCCAGTGAAATTCGCTCCGTCGCGTCAATCTCCAGTTCATGCTCCATGATGTATGCAATAGCAGTTTCGCGTATCTTGGTCATATCCCACATCGTCGAGAGCTTTAAGGTCGATAGCCATTCCTCGTGCGATATTTTGTCTGGAAATAGCCCATTCCTACATCGACCATGAAATCAATGATAATCAAATCAGCGGAGGTCTTACTGAAGGTACAGGAATTTGAGCAGTGCTTCAAAGTCTACTTTACTGACACCTTGCAGGTGGATAGGCTTATCGTCGGTATCGCCTTCGACAGTGTCGGCCGCAGCTTGCGGCAACGTAAACATGGCTCTGAACGTCTCCGAGTTCTCGATGAATTGATATCTTGGCACACGGAATAATACATTTTCGACCTTTCCGGCCCCGCCTCTTCAGTGCATGGTCGCATGACATTGATAGCTTCACTTACGAGGAATGTGCTTGTTTCCCAGTAGAATTCCCTGCTCCTGGTCCACGGTTGTACGGGCATTCTAGACATGCGAGATACCATTGAAAAGAGCACCACAGCGGGTACGACTTGTTCGGACATCTTTGTCGTTGTAGTGTTGTAGATGTTAAGAGGGTGTGCCCACTGCCTCGCGCTTCCATCGTGGACACTTTTCTCCTCGTGTCAGCCCTTTGCTGTATTCACATTCAAGAATGACATCATACAAACATGGACTATCTCATGTGCCGACTGATGGAAGACTTTTGGGTTGTGGATGGCAAAATGTGACTTTGCCGCTAGTGTGTATTGACGTCCGCAACGGTGGACTTGGGGGTCATTGATATTCCACTCGCGGAAAACCCATCTGCATCTTGCGTAGAGTGTCGAAACTTTGTCCTTGAAATTAAAAAACCGGTCTACGAGGGCTGATATCTGATGAAGTAACATGTGGTCTTTCCTTGTGTGAGATCTACAAAATAGCTAACTGCGTATACTATTGGGTGCTAAGAACAAACGGGTGTCACTTACACCTAGTTCCAGAGATCAAGGCGGGTGACATATAATTGGCGAGATGAAGATGTACAGCGAGTTTCCGATGCACTGAGATTCGAGAGACAGCAAAATGCGACAGACAAGACAGCACGCTTCCAGAGAATTCTGGCAGCCACCTACGAAGATTTCAAAGATAAGTTCTGGAAGAAAGAAAGACATGGTACGGTAGTTTTGGCCGAAGGAGAGAGAAGAAAATCAGGCTTAGATGGTACTGGGCGTACGAGGGTTGATGGCCGTGAGAAATTCAAACGGCGTGACGCGAGAGTTGCCGGGTCGGGATGTCATCCTAAACCTTGAGAAAATCAACAAGTGTCCAGGCGATCCCTACTAATACTGGGCGGAATACGATGGATAAATCTGTCACGCGTAGAAGGTCCAACTTTTGACTGCACGTTTCCCTTCCTTCCGTTCCCATGTCCTCATTCGTTTTCGCACCCATTCCGAACATCGGCCGCTATTGAAAATCCTCACTGCGGTGCCCAGGCCAATTCTTTCCGTCTGCTCAAACGAGCCTAAATGACTTACTGGTGCTTCCCTTATACAATGATGTCTTCCGGATATGAGTGTTTTCTGCTAATTCGACTCACCGCCAGAAGTCCCACTCAAATGTGCGCTGGTAGTTCTCTGTCTGCCACCCGCCATCAGAACGGAAACCTATCTATCTAGTGACGCAGCTTGCATCCATGTCATGTTTCTGTCAACCTGTGTCGTTATTCATCACAAGGTGTATTGCTCGCGTTAGGTGAAGACGATTCTCTCGGTTTTTGAGAGCTGAATAGGCCTACCCTTGATCAGAACCTTTAGGACCGTTGCTTCCTTGTGACAAAGGTAGCATTTGAATCAGACGACTCCGACTTTTCGACGAAAAGGCGATGTCTTTGGGCGACGACGCATTGAAAATTTCATGTTTTGAACGAACGACGCTGGTCACGAGTCTACATGACATTCCTCCACCGTCAAAAGACACTCCCGACGTTGAGCCTTTGTTGCTGTTTCTGCTTCCAATGGGGCGTAAAGGAATCGTCTGCGGTGCATGATTATGATGGTGGCCAGGCCTGTCATGAGCTTGAGGTCTGATGCACATTTCGCTATGTCACGGGCGATCCTTGGATCTTCCGAAAGCCGAGCCAACCACAGGGGTCTATCCAGGGGCTGATTGCGCGGTGCAGATGTACCTGGTTTAAATACCCTCCGGGTATTCTGCCCATATCTCTCAACCCTCATCCTCACCCCGTTCGAAAACCTTTGCTATGACTGGCTGTGCTTCATTGTCAGCTATCGCTGTCCTCGAAAATCCCCGTGCAATTGAAAATTCCAAGACCTTGCTCTTCGATGCCCATTTCTACTTTCAAGATACGCACGGGCCTGATCCTGGCCTTGCCTCTCTTCGCTACTACAATGGTAACGAGCTCTCCTTCGGGCAAGTCGGGGTATATTTCGTTCATGTGAATGTACGCGTTTACTTACTCTGTCCGTGACTCCCATTCATCGAAGTCTTATAGATCGCAAGGATGGAGCACGAGGTGTCCAGTGCGGCGGTTTTGGATGGTTTATCTAAGGAAAAATATGTTTTGGTGGGAGATATTGTGTCGGTGAATCTTAGTCTTGAGCTTGATGATCTATGCACTGCAGGAGCTGATCATTTTGTTCACAGATCATCCCAACCGCCGTGAAGGACATTGCTGATGTCAAATACCGGCCCTTTGTCAATGTCTCCGGTGTCGTGACCAGCGTCAACAGCACCGATAAAACATTCCATCTCGCTCCCGAGACCTTTGTCCATGCCCTCAAGAACAGCAAGACCAAATCGACGCTCCCAATCCGGTGCTTCTCCGCCGTCACGGCTCAAAGCTTGGGTGCCAAAATCTCTGATCCTCGCGTCGGTCACTACGTGACAGTTTCGGGGCATCTTCATCGGGTGATCCGTCGGTTGGAGGATAATATGGCAGACTTTTTCGACGTCGAGCTGGACAAGACCACCTATCTTGGACCACCGTATACTCCACCGTCGTCCCCATCTGCAGGTGAGCATGGGTTCAATCTTGACGTTATTTTTACTTATGGTCATAATGTCTAGGCATCCCTACGACCCCAGCAGGCAAGATCAGGTTCAGCTACACGGAGAGTAGCCCGTGTTTGTGTAAGAAGCGGAAGATTACGGAGACTACGGCATAAAATTCTACTAGTCATCTTTGTCGCAATACTCCTAGTATACAGACGACATGGTTAGTACAAAACTTGTGCTATACAAACAGGTCCAGTCATATGCAGCTGATCTTCATACGGATCGTTGGTCTAGTTTACGAGACTAATATGCAACTATGGCGGAAAGAAGTAACTGCGGGGCGTGAACGTGAAGTATGCTTATTGCCAATGCCTAATTTGGTACCTATATGCTTGCAACGGGTGTCTTCCTGGTGATTATGGTCTTATCATACGGGAACGGCGCAGCTTTTGCAGTCGCCGTTGATTCCGACTGTTCGCTTCCGAAAAATCAACTCCCAGAGTCTCTCAGGATGGTCAGATCACCCTTCAATACATGCGTAACGACTGAGGTAATGGGATCTGCTTTCATTGACTGTACCGGTACGAGGGTGAAACGATAGCCCTGCAGTCGTCGCAGCAGTTCTCACAAGCGACCTTTCCGGCGGCCACCTATGTACCGTAACGGTACCGTAAACATCAGACTCTCTTTCCGCTTTCCGGATTTCTGTATTGAAAACATCCAAGACTGCGGTCAACGGATCGGACCCTCCTTCTCTGACCCTCTCTTGCGCTTCCCATACTTTGAGAATGGAGTCCCGGCGAAAATACGCAGTTTCGGCGTTGGTGATACGTGTTTCGCGTTCAGCTGGTTTGTACAGGCTTAATTGCAGCCAAGGGAGGACGAAATACGTAGTGCCAAGGTCAACAAGCACGGGAAGTTGGTGGAAATCAAAGCGTGAAGCTGATGAATAGTTTTGTTGCGAGCGTCAATGAGTTGCCAATTGGTGGAAAGTTTCAACGCGCTGATCAGCACTTGCAGATCGAGTTTCCCACTATCGCTATAGCGGACACCATTCCTTGACAGAAGGGCCTACCGCATATGTATAACTCGCAGTGAGTTTTCAAACTCTGTGGAGGACGCGGCTTCCAGAACAGTCGGATCATCATCGCAAGAGCCATTGCCTCCGGTGAGATCTAGCTCCTTCCAAAATGCGGATTTCTTAAAATCGTGTATCTGAATTTTGAAAAGTTGGGTTCCGACCTGTGATCAACATCAGGCAGCAAAGAAAACTTGCGCATCTGAGTTGACTTACCTGAATGACTGCATTCTCCCAATAAAAAGTGCTGTTGTGTATGGTCTTGCGCGTCGATTTGTCATTAGAATTAAGATGAGACTTTGCTGCTTCCGGAAGCCGACATCCATACGTTTTTACATTCAACGTCAAAGACACTGTAGCTACCATTAACTAACGGAGTATTAAGCAAACTTTAAGCTCATAAGTATTGTCACATACCATCAAAAACGCGCAAAGTATCTGGGATAGCATAGCACAAAGAGAACAATTAAGCTGGCACGTGCCCCGAATTTACGTTCAAGTTGATACCGAAACACACGCTGGGAGTTAAATCAAGGAATTGTAATGCTTTTACATATGGATCAGGTTCTGAAGCTCTGAAAGCACCGATTTCAGGTATCAAGATATCTTTGGCTCGCGGCGTCTGCAAGCCTGAATTCCTCCTGGAAAGCCTTGTCGAACCCTGCCTGGACATCGTGGTCCGTCAACGTCCCATTATATTTCACGTATCCTCTATTTCCAGCCTGTTTGACTACGGCTTCCTCTCGCACTTGGAAGATCTGTATAGCTGATTGGAACCCGATCTTTTCAGCCTCCTCTAATGAAAGTGGCTGCGTCCGCTTCACGAGGCCGAGATAACCGGTACGGAGCCACGAGGAAACAGAGTATGACTTCGCGAGGACAACGTGCTCTACGGGGTCCAGTACCATTTCTTGGAGATGTTTGATAGTCAGCTGGCGAATGTCAGAGAGGTGCCACATTGTAGACAGCCTTAGCACTGAGATCCACTCCTGTTTGCGGAATGCAGAATAGTCCTGAGGGACCTTTCTAAAGGAGGAGTCAATATTCTATATAAGAACGTGAAGCGAAGACTCACTGAGGGTATACGATCTCTAGGAGATGCCCAAAATCTTCGGCACTGATTCCATGCAACACCAGAGGTAACTCGTCGCTGAGCCCCTCTGGACTTTGACTTCCCTGGGGTAGGTCAAAGGTAGTACCGAATATCTCGGAATGCTGCACGAAATAATGCGAAGGTATTTTAAAAAGACGGTTTTCGACCTGGCAAACCTTAGCCTAAGCTGTTACGAACTGGCACAAGTCAGGTTCTTACTTGGAAGATCACATCGTTCCAATAGTATCTTGAGTCACGGATGGCACAAGAGGAATCTGGCCGTGACTGGAGCATTCGACGATGGGCGTGAGCGGTCAAGCTTCAAGCCGCATGGTAGCACAGCCACCTTGGCTCAAATGCTTCTCTTGATTTATCCATCCTGTACCCACTTGGATGCGGCGCGTCCCTGTGCGTTCTCTTACTAACAACACTGACCATACAGTCATGTGAACGCGTAACTGCCTTTCTTGTCTTGGCTTTGAAATTGCCGGCATTTATGTAATTACTTGTCAATTACTTACTCCGGCTCTTCCATCCCTTATCTGTAGTCCCCACCTCTCAAGCGACAACATGGCTAGCAAGTCGAGTCATCCTCGAAGTTCGGAGTTTTATTGGCAGTCCGTCATTTTCCTGGTGCGTATACCCTTTGACTGAGTGAACGTGGCATTATAATTTTTGCAGGTTGGAGGTCAATTGTACCAAGTTCCCCGCCATCACTTCGAGAAATCTTCTGATATTTTTGCCTCTATGTTCTCCTTACCTCCCGACACGGAGAGCGCTGTAGCGGATGGTTCGGATGACGACCACCCCATTGAATTGCAGGGTGTAGAGAGCAAAGATTTCGAATGTCTTCTTAAAGTTTTATTCACAGATGCAAGGGTGTAAGTTTGTACCCATATCCTCTCCTTCCCTTTTTGACCAGTAGTCTTTTTCTTCGACTAGAGAAAGTACTCCCTTGCTTCCAGAAGAGTGGCTTTTGGTGCTGCGCCTGGCCAATATGTGGGTCATGTCAAAAGTCCGCCAAATCGCTATCTACGAGCTCAAAAAACTGAGCTTGACGGATGTTGCCCGAGTCGTGTATGGCAGAGAATTTGCAGTGTCTGAATGGGTGATTTCAGGCTATCGTGATTTGGTTGACCGCAGAAATGCAGTATCCGAAGCTGAAGCTCAGCAGCTCGGTTTAACGACCACCCTTCAGTTATGGCAGGTCCAGATGAAACTCGTCACTCGTATGCCGATGGGCGCAATGGGTTCCGCTTATGGATACAGGCCACCTCCGACACCACGTGACGTATTCTTAAATGAAGTATTTGAAGCTGAGATTGAAGATATTAATAGAAGGGCCGAAGCATTCGGTGATGATCTCCCGATACCAAATCTTTTGTCGTAGGCAGGTCAATTATGTATATGAGAAAAGAAAGACTTTGAATTTTCTAAGTTGATGATGCTGACCAGGTTGTAAGCAAGGAAACAGACAACCGAAAACATACTTATTTAGGAATGTAAACTTTGCAGTTGTTTGTCATACCGCACCGGAAATGATCCCGGCCCGCTTTCTTCCTTGAGATCAATGACCACCTCGCTCATCCACGACCTGCTCACACCCGCCATCGACACCGCCAAAGCCCATCAATACGCCCTCTCCAAATACGCCGACACACTTGCTGCTGAACTCGATGAGCTCGACAAGCTCCTCGTGCGTTCCGTTGTGTTTCGTCTGGTCTTTGCTTACGGATGTAGAAAGCGGCGGAGCGCGACAAGGAAGATGACGACCAGGACCTGGGGCTCCAAGTCCAGATCGTAGGCGCGAAGAAGGCTTCGGGGCCCGTCGCGTCGAGTGAACTGGTCAATCCTGTAAGTATTCTGCCATGGTATTATGTTGTCTCTCATATATGTTTCGAGTCATCACCATTCTACGAAGAGTCGATGCAGAGGATGCGGTATCTCGCTTGTACCACTCTACGGCCTAGTGCGTCTCATTTCTTATGGCCTCTATATTACCTGATACGACGACAGTGAAGGCCAAAGAACTCGCAGCGCTAGATGAGGGAGTCAAAAATGAGAATACACGGTTGAAAGCCCTGGAAACAAGGGAGCGGTGCGTTCCTTAAATAATGACCTTCTCTCCAATCTTGTCTGACATTCCTAGTGGAACATCGGATATCGACCTCGCTCGCAACACAGAAGGCATCAACTGGTCTATCGTTGCCGAAAAAGTACATTTACATTCTGGTATTTTGTACGTATTTTAATCAACTCGCAGGTATCCGACGCGTCTACGGCGAAATGGACAGCAGACGACATCAAGTTCAAGTGGATGGCAGATAGGCATCCGAGGTTTAATCATGGCGAGTGGACGGACCAAGAGATTGAACAGTTGAAGGGAATCGCTCAAGAGAGCAAGGTGGATTGGGTGCAAGTCGCAAAGGGTCTTGGCGTGAGCAATTTTCCATCCCTCTATCCAAGCTAACCCAGTGTCCAGACGAACCGCATCCCCCTTGACTGCATGCGCAAAGCCATCCAGCTCCGGCAGCGACCCAAGTATGCATGGAAGAAACGCGTCGATGACCGGCTCGAGGAGGCTGTCGAAAAGTATGGCGTGGCCAATTGGAGTCTAGGTACGCCTGCCTTGTCTGTTGCCCTGCTCGCTAACCCTCGCCAGTTGCCCGATATGTCGCCAACAACCTCAATGCAGTACAATGCGAAGCGCGATACGTCCGGCTGCACCTCGAGCGCAGCCCTTGGACCGCGGCGGAGGACGCGCGGCTGGATTTAGCGGTGGCGGGGTACGGACAGAGCTGGGTGGAAGTGGCGAGTGCGATGCCGAGGCGGACGAACGACCAATGCCGGGACCGATGGATCGAGCGACAAAAGACGGTGAATGTCTGGACGGACGATGATGATCGCCAACTGGTGGAACTCGTTGACCGGTTTGGGAGCGACGGACAGTGGAAGGCCATTGCGAGCGAGATGGGTGGGGGACGAACCGACATAAATTGCCGGTCGAGGTATAACAAGATCAAGCCAACACCTCGACCGGAACCACCAAAGAAAGGCAAGGGAAAGGAAAGGGAGAAGAAAAGCAACCCGGTCTGGAAGCAGCCTCCAACATATGCGCTTAGTGCCCCGGTTTCGGCGGCGCCTCCTTCAGCCGCGCCTGTGTTGACTACTTGGGCGCTGAATCCATGTACAAGGGGAAACCAGGCCGTTCCAGATCCAACTCCGCGTGCGTGGAATGCATTCCCAAACCTGGACCCCCCTCGGCCGCTAGTCGCGTTTGCAGAGCCGACGTCAGCATCCCAACCAGGTCCAGCAGAGTCTGATGCTATGGATGTTGACCTTGTGACTCTCCAACCAAAACCACAACCGAAAGCAAAAGGAAGACGGAAGAAAGACGATGGGATGGATGTAGATACCGAGACTGCACCCAAGCCAAGGCCAAAAAAAGCTCCGAATGAGGAAGCAGATGCCCCTGCGAATAGTGCGAGCCTGAGAAGAAGTGCGAGAGGCAAGGGTAGGTAAAAGTAGGATAGTTATTACACATGGACACTGAGTTTGCGGTCAACTTAGACGAAGTATTGATGAAGTCAGCGTCGGCGCTATGGTGCAGTGGCAGCACATGGGGAAATTGTTATATGACTCGGCCTGACGTCCCGGCCTGGTGTTGGCCTGCAAAACAGTCAAAGTTCCCAAAAAGGTCATGTCCCGGTGGATTATAAAGCCTCTACGCGATGAAATACATCAAAAATTCCCATTTCTTCACCGGACTGGCTTCACTGATATCCCGCAAAAGGACGGGAGCAAACATAGCAGATATCCTTGCCGCTTTCTCATTCTGCTTCGGCTCTTCGCCAGCATCCGCGTCTTTCACGCCATCTTCCCGCGCGATGTAATGCAGAAATGCAGTCACCGATATCCACACATTAACATTCGCCGTCGGTAGTGTTTCCAGAATCTACAAATACATCAGTGAGATAGGGAGCACTAGAAAATATTATTATAGAAACAGACCTCGAAAGCGGCCTCCCGATCTGCGATATTGAGTATGTTCACGTTGCGCGGCATGACACTCTCAGGTAACGCGCTCAACAATGCTACGAGCGTTGCCCCAGCTAAGGAAGGGGGCACAGTGGATGGGAATTGAGAGCCAGTGTCCAGGCATTTCCGCATATCTGTAACGGCACCAGAGGGATGAGAAGAGAAGAGTTCGGTTTGAAGAGATTCTCGTGGACAAGCCATCAGCCATTCGACGAGTCGCATCACCTCTCTTGGTGCGTTGACCCTTTCATCCTCTCCTAGCAATCTTGACTGAGGCTGTGATATAGGCCCGGATAGTCGGGTCAATGTATCCAGGGAAACAGCAAAACATGTCGGCTCTACCGAGGGCGTCAAGAAAAGCATCTAAATCCAGTGAACGGGAATTGGACTCACCCCATTCCCCGCTGATCACGACAAAGCTGTCCTTGCCGCCACTGCCTAATGTACGAAGGATGAGGGTGCAGTCTATTTGTTGGCGATTACTTGTGCGAGTCAGATAAGCCTCATTGAGTGGAACGGCAGACACCTCGTCTACATGTACTGTGACCGTGATCTCGACATTAGACATAGGCATTATGAGGCCAGTGATGGGCTCTATATGTACCCACGAGGGATCTGCAAAGCATTTAATATAGGTAAAGACGGGCAAAAAGGTTGGCATACAGAGTTCAGCATTAGGCTCTATGGGCACGAAGCGGAATGTACATGGAACCTTCCCAAGGTTCTTCACCTGAAACGTATGGGTTCGCTTTCGTTTATACCTGTTGAGGAACCACATAAGCCACAACATAACGCGAAAAAGTGAGATACCTACGATAACCTTCCCAGACTCACTCCGCTCGGTTCAACCTTAACCTTCAAGTTTGCATAGGACCCGATATCCTCAAGCTGCCTGTACAAGGTCTTAGCAACTGCGAGTTTGTGGTTTTTGTCATACACGTCAACCTATACATTATGAATCCCCTCGTCGCTAAACAAGAACGACGCAGGTACTCACATCAACTATAAAATCAGCACTCAGAGGTTTGTGGTCGCTCATTGTTATCTTGTGATGTCCACCGTATCTTGTCTGTTTGACCCGTATATGTGTGGGGGAGAAAACATGGAGAATACGGTCCGTCCATGCTGGTTTGCGGCTGCGAGTTGACGTGTTAGTCTGTATCGCTCCCGCTATAAGTGAGGACCCACTTTACATCGTATCCCATGGAGTCGGTAAGTATACCTTGACTAAAACGATATGTCGGGCGATGCATAATGGGAAACTCTGTAAAGACATCAAAGGCTTTCTGCGAATGAACAGAGGTCTTCAACTAAATATCGCTCTGAGTCAAGGTGCGTTTGATGAGACAACAACAACCAACTTGGTCATAGGGCAGCAGGATCTCGAATCTGTTTCCCTCCCAACACTTCTCCGACAATATAGCTCTGAGATCCAAGTCTGAGAGGTCGATACGATAATTCAGATCACCCATCCAAAATACCGCGTCACTCTCCCACATAGTCGTCGTATCATCGACATCAGATCCTCCAAAGACTAGACGTTTACCCAAATCAGCATAATCAGCATTTCGCCTGTCGACCATCACGTCGAAAGCAGCCAGATGAGAGTTCACGAAAGTCAGTATAGTTGGCCCTTGGGTTAATATGCCTTCCGTGGGCGGCGGAATGAAAGCCAGTCGGATCGCGGTGCCACCTTTGTTTCCCTGAATAAAGGTCGCAAGTGATATAGCATGATCATAGTATTGTTGTATTCACCATGACACCCATAATGCCAGCACCTGCGGCACTTGTTCTTACATCTCTGAAGCAATCCTTGAGGCCGTCCTTCACTATGATTACGATAAGCATTCCAACGAGTTGCTTCGATGCCAACTGAACAATATGGTCAGCGAAGGTCCAGAAGGAAGTTGTCAAGTTACCTTGACATAATGCTCCCCCCATTCACCCAGCGCTGCAAAGATGGCCATGCACCATGCATCTTCCCTCGCAGTCCCCGTGGAATAGATGAGAGCTTCTGTGCTTAGGTCAAGCTCTTGGAAGCCAAGTACGAAAACATCAGGTTGGTTTTGCGTGTATGGGTCCGGGTCAAGGGGTATGGGGTCAGCTTCAAGCTCCTGACCTATGTCCGATGGGGAATAAGATAATTCAGATGGCTGGGTATATGTGTAAGCCGTAAATGCTGAAGCAGAAGATGCAGGTTCTATCATTGCCGAGGATGTCGTGGAGGGAAATGGCGGAGGAGACTGAATGACACGTGTAGAGGAAGCAGAAGAATAAGAAAGAGAGGAAACAGTCGATGAAGGAACGAGGGTGCTTGGAGTCGGCGGAGCTGAGATTGATGCTGAACACGACAGTCATTTTCTATGATTCTTCAATCCCGGAAAATGACCTCACATCGAATATCGACAGCATTATCCAAAGGATTTCGCTTTACCTCTCCCACTGACAGCGGTGAAATATCCGTCAGTGGAGGTATGATACTTAAGTCGTGGGCATTGGTGTCATTTTCTTGAATCCAAGAGGACAAGTCTTGTGATGGCATTTTTCCATTCACGTTGAAGGTTCCAAGACGGATACTGTCTTCTTATTAAAGAAAAATACCGTAGAGAAAAGATAATGACTAACTTCAATCTTCGTCGTCCCTTCCTGACCTGGTGCCTCGCTGTCTTTCGGACCCAGTCATCCCGTATCATCAGAATGTCATCAATATCGTCACCAGGCAATCCAGCGCTTGCAGAAGAGAGACGAGCATGGAGAGGCCGCGTCGACAGGCGAACATCGAGCGGGGACAACGAGACTACACACTCATTAGTTCAAGTTGAGAGGGCAAGTATAAGCCATCATACATATTGGAAGTGATGAGTGCTCTGACGTATACGGAGCCAACCATGAATAGGTCTGAGGGGCGGAGGACGATTCCAAGCTGTCCACAATTTTCTTCAAACGCCTGCACTCAGCCAGCATGGCGGTCAACCCTTGGACATCGTAGGTAATGAAGGATAGAGATTCCTCATGGGACTTTATGGTCAACTTGAACCCTTCTGGCCATAAGCAAACAAAAAAAGAAGCGGCGATTGCCTACCAGACTGAGGACGAGACGCAGAGAATGAGGCACGAAGGTCGGTGGTTTCGCGGCGCAATTGGGCCATGGTCATCGAAAAACCATCGTATATAGGGAAAACGCGTTGAATATCGAGGGTATCAGGGGCATCATGCCGTGAAGGGTGATGCTTGAGCACAAATACACTGGAGAATAGGCTTTTGTTCAGATATTGAGTGATGAAGAGTGAAATGAAGTACTGACCCGCCCTCCTCAAGCGCGTTCAATTCATCCTTATGCAATATCACCGCAAGTATTCTCCTGCTCTGCAATGTGGTTGTGTCATCGTCACGTTCAGTGATCGATGGTGTCAGGGCAGAAACTTGGAGCGTAAACTTGACGTCGTCCGATGAGCGTAGCAGCAGTCGTAGAGAGGTCGCGAGGTCGGTCATGACGGAAAAGCAAAAGGCTAGAGCTGTATCGAAATGTCGTCACTGATCGATTGATACAGAAAGGAGGTCGTCAACTCAGACGACCCCGACGTCGATGTTGAGAATCATAGTTGCCGTGGGCAATGCCTTGCAAAGTGCCGTTTGCCTGCCCTCAATGTCTGCATCGGACCGCCATGTTCCGAAGAGCTCTCACCGGCATATGGTCTCCCATTATTTCTCTCTGTCTTCGACGCCCACTGATAACGAAGCGCAAACTGAATATACGGACATTCACAATGAACCAGTTTCCTCCTCCATCCAATGCAAAGCTGGAGACGTACTCTGTCAAAGGTGAGCATGGATATCCAGTTTTCGAGGAAACTGACTTAAAGCCGCGAATCTCAGAAGGAATCAAGGTCATTGAACGATTCTTTGATCTCCCACTCGACTATTCCGATCCAGACGGAGAGAAAATACGCGTCTTTGCGCGAAATCTAATACCCAAGAGCAAGGCCAAGACCGCTAAAGATGAAGAAGAACTGCCTTATCGTTGGTGCAAATTTCTTGTAGCTAGAATTTCTACGGATTAATTTTGAGATTTTAGTCGTGTATTTGCAAGGCTCGTCGGTAAATATCTCGCCTCAACTTGCTCGGGACTCACCTATGCCCAGGTGGCCCCGGATATGAGATTCCGTTTCCCAATATCAGCGGATATGCAGCAGAAGTGCATATCTCTCATGCTGCTTCCTGAAAACACACTTAAAATACCATTTCAGATTCATGAGCAGGGATACCAAGTTCGAATCTCACCCCGGATAGCAACTAACCGCTGACATGCTTCCAGACGCTCTGGATGGACCCTCGAGGGACAGGCCTGAGTACCCACATCTCCCCTGAAAGCCTCCCTGCCCACTTGACAACTGATCAAACCATTGCCGACTACCTCAAGTTCTTCCGTGCGGATAGTATAGTAAAAGATTGTGAAGCCATCCGAGAGATTCTCCTAGGACACAAACCGAGTCCAGAGGACCGCAAGTGGACAATACTGGGTCAGAGCTTTGGAGGCTTCTGTGCTATAACGTATCTCTCCTTCCACAGCGAAGGCTTAAAGGAAGTATTCACGACTGGCGGGCTCGCCCCGTTGGTGGATCAGCCCGACTCAGTATACGCGGCTACTGTTCGTGAGTTGTTTAACTGGTGATATTTTGCGTCTAAGTTTATATTGGTGGTACAGTCAGGGTCATGAAGAGAAACAAGACTTATTACGACAAATATCCACAAGACATCCAGCGGGTTCGCAGGCCCCTTCTTCCTCTCCCAAGTTGTGACTGAAAGTCCACCCAGGTTCGTAATATCATGTCATATCTCGAAACGAATGAGGTTTCAGTATCGAATGGAGGTCGGCTTAGCCCCAATCGCTTTCAACACCTTGGCATGGACTTCGGTATGCACGGTGAGTCATAATAATGCAGATCCAAGCGCCGCCTCACCATGATTCTCGGAAGGGGGGATTGACAGGGTTCACCGTATGTTCATTCACTTAATCGGCAGGGCAAGCTTATTAAATCGTTTGTAGAACTTGTCTTTCGAGCCGCCAATGATCTCGACACATTTGGTCATTTAACATACAAGACTATTCAGCTCGTTGAGCAAGCTCAGTCATTCGACGGCAATCCCATTTTCTCAATATTGCATGAAGCCATATACTGTCAAGGGTATGACTACGAATCTCCCGCGTTCATCCAGAGTCTTGAAATTCTTCTATAGGCATGCATCGAAATGGGCAGCGACGCGAACATTACAAGATTATCCTCAATTCTGTTGGTCTTCCGTCAAGCATTTGGCCGACTCGGAGCCAATCTATTTCACCGGTGAAATGGTTCGTACAACTATGCTGGTCGGTTCCACCAGCCTAACAAGATATGTAAAAATAAGATATTTCCAAGCATGTTCGACGACTACGCGAATCTTCGACCACTCAAAGGCGCGGCCGAAATAATTGCACAATACGATGGATGGGGTCAGTTATTCGATCTCCAACAGCTGTCCAAGAATGAAGTCAAGGTGTCTTCGGTGTCGTACGTCACTTCCAAAAGAGTCCCCTGTGTTCTCTGACTATCAATGACCAGATACTTCGATGATATGTAAGTGGTGCATCTATGTTAGGGATGAGAGCTCATAGCTGGTCAGGTATGTCGATTTCGATCTGGCACAAGACACGGCTGCGAAAATCAAAAACACGGAGCAATACGTTACGAACCAGCTGGTCCATAGTGGTCTCCGCGCTGATCCGAAGGATGTCATGAAACATTTGTTCCAGTTGTCGAAGAGGGAGTATGATTGAGGGTACTGCAAGGATTCCATCAGCACCCATTCGATGACCCTGAACTGTGTAACGTACACTTTGCCAGCACCAGCTAAGTTACATCTGCAACAGGGTTACGGATCGCCTAGCAAGCCGAGGAAGAATCCAGTCCTTCTCGTAACACTGGAAGTCGGGTAAATGACGGCGGCCATTCCATTAGACGAGGGCATACCGAGGGACAGAGATAAAGAGGCGATTTCGTCTGCTCGACTTTTATCCAGCGCTCTTTGTCTCTCACAGACTCCCAGCTCCCGCAAGCCTCACACCAATGCGCCAGACGGTGCTCAGGAATAAGAACTTCTACTTCCATAACAGAATCATTGTCCACGTATCCATCTACCGGACATCTCAACACCGGTGGATGACCGCACCCAAGAAGCAACAGATAATCCAACAAATTCTCCCCATCTCGTTCCCATCCCGATGCTGTCTTCAGGTCGAACAAAAACCGCGGCGCTTCGGAATTGCTCAAATCTTTGATTTTCAAGCATGGACTGTGTGCATCAAGGCGCGTGACCTCTCGACTGTCTGCTGTTCGATATGGGCGTGCAAATAAGAGATACCAACCTCCTCTTTTGTGACCCAATGCCAGCTCGAGAATGAGACCGGGAGGTGTGAACTTGAAGACGGAGGCTAGGTTTGGATCGATACGTGGTCGGAACATAATAAGGGTTATTTTGTGTGCATGATCGGCGTTGGGATGGTTGGAGCAACAGTTGCAATAGAAGACTGCCCCAAGTTGACTTTGAGCGGAAGACCCGAGCAAAGAACCTGAGAACAGTCACGGCCGAAGTAGAAGAAACGATCGGTCACGATAGCACGTGTGGCCGGACAACGCGTCACACCTGAGCACAAATTGAAAAATAAATTCAAGAACGAACTGTCAAGTATGACACGGCCAAAAGTCCATGAGTATCGTAATGTAATGCATGTGGAAAAAACTGAGGTCCTTCTGCGACATGGACTAATGTGAACTGGTTGTGTAAGTCAAAGCCGCCTCAGTGGTAGCTGTCATCTACAATTTCTGGTGTTCAGTTGGATTGAATCAAGCCAACTAAGCCGACGATTACGTACCAGCTAAATTTCATCGTCGAACTAGACGGCATCCTCGAGCAATATGTTGTAAAGCGGTGATATGACTTTCCCCGATCTCGGGTCACAGGCGCCGTCGTGGGTAAGTCACACACGGGCTCCGCTGGATAGGAGGACGCAAAGTACGGCGAAGGTTCAAAAGAGAGGAATGATTCCCGTTCCCCCGGCAGGGAGACGGAGAAATAAACCTAAGGGCCTGAATTTGAGAAACATCAATGTGGACACTACAAGGTGTTAACTCGCCTGTCTCAAATCCCGGTCTGAATGATAAGACTGCTTGCTATGCATATTAAATTCGTCATGGTCCTCATGGCACGTTAGCGATTCCGACGAGCTCGATATCGCGTCTTCTTCGCCATAAGAAGACAGCAGATAGTTAGGCGAAGATGTCGGGCAATCGGACATGGAAGAGGATAATGAGCAGCGTTCATTAGAATCATCATCATGGACTGCGTCTCTCCAGCAGACGTCAGCGAAGGATTCTGTCGGCCGTGTCAGAAGCTGCAAGTCCAAGTAACGCAAGCAGGAATGGTCAAAGGAGGTTGCGAGGGATGTACGGTCGAGAATGTCGCGTAGAAAGTCGGTTTCGTTGGGTTGTAAAAGGGGACGGACGAGCCCATGGAAAAGGGGTATCTCGAGTGACTCCGACCAGGGAGGGACATCGGAGACGATTAAACTGTCGTCGCTGTCGCACGCGGCGTGATAGAAAGGTGTAAGCCCTTGCATCTGGGCGCTCGGTGTCAACGGGCGATCTGTGAAAGGTGTGCAAAGATATACCTTGTCGTAGTGAATAGAAGCCGAAAGAGCGTAACATGAAGGGGAACCGTCGCCGTGAACATGCATCCTGTTTCGGTCTGGTGTACGGAATATGTCAAATTTTCAGCGCTGCGGGCTAGACAGCACGGGCATGAAAGCGCACATCCACTAAGCGGCTATCTTATAGAGCATCGGTTATTGACCGGAAGAGACGTATTCTTTTGTTTCCCGCGATCGTGGTGCCTTGAGTACTCTTGGTAGTCAATTGTCCTTGTGCCATCCGACATCGTACATTCGGCCCTTCAGAAGCTAGCGATAGATCACGCGTTCGCCGAATCTCAATTGTTGCCTTCGACGGGCCATGCAGTGCGTTGAGGATTGCGAGTGGAACTGACGATAAGACGCAGTGGAAGCAAAGAACAGGCGTAAAGCACAGCTCTATCCCAATGACTGAAACCTAATATACACGTAGAACGATATCACAGCACACAGAAAACAAATCAGGAAGTAAGATGGGTCACCGACAACTCTGCATTGCTCCTTCGGCGAAACTTTTGTGTAAATTCTTTTGCTTTAGCCATCAGAGAGGTTCTTCGGAATGAGCACCTGGAGGGTTGATTCCGAAGACTATGTACCACCATCACGGAGCCGGAGCGTGGAGGAAGATCATCAGGAGCATTTTCGGTCGTAGCTTCTTCTTCCACGAATACTCCGATGACCATACTGGAATCGACGGCGGTGTCTATAATACTACGAGAGCGAGTGTGACTGAGCCGCCCGGGGATGAGACCACCAATAGCCCGGGAAATAGTGGTCTTACGGCCAACAATTTGTTGCATTTGGGTGACATGGTGCGAATCCTCAGATAGGCCGTCTTCGTCGTCTGAGTGTTTATCGGACGTAAGACTGTCGACGCTTCGATTCTGTGATAATATAAGAACGAGGGATAGTAAGGATAGCAACAGGCGCACATACCTTTGTGAAGAAACGCGACCGTTCTGCTAGGGGTGATATTCGACTAGGAGTTGGTGTGGCACTCCTCGTTGCATTGAAAACTTGGGTAAAGTCATCAGATAGCTTAGGGGGGAATGTCAGAATGCTATTATGCACGTTACTGGATTACAGGACATTACCTGGCCAAATCGCGAGATAGATACGCTGCCTCGGTGTCGTGACTTCACTTTCAGAGTCTTCTCTGGCGACTCTGGTGGGGAAGGAGACTGCTCCTGAGCGCGTCTTTCAGTCTCTTCTTCCACTCTTTGAAAGATCTGGCAAATTTGTTAGAAAACTAATGACAGCAGAAGGAGAGCGCACGCCTTTTCGAGGGATTCCGGACAAGCCTCCATTACTGTCGACTGCAGATTAGACGCGCGGCAGCCAGCAGCCATTATGAAAGGCCTTTTAAGTCGGTGCAGTAAGGTGCAGAAAGAGAGGAGATAAGAATCTCAGAAGAAGGAGCGTCGCGAAGTTAGAAGTATGTGCAATTGTCCATCTTACGGTGCTTCCACTCGGGCGGTCTACATCAAAATTTAGTGGCTTTTAAGTTAAAGGATTATGTAATACACCACGTGTCTGTCCGTCGGAAGACTGCGGGGTTCGGGCCGTGCAGCAGGTATTTTTCTTGTGTTTAACTACTTTCAGTATTTTTCTTGCCGTTGGTCAGCGCGCGCAACATATTCAACGGTGGAACCGTTTGCTCTGTCACTGGCAAACAAACTAAATACCACTATCCAGCCATGTCTAGGGATAATACTAGATCAGCGGCCGGCGCGGCAACACCGCGTAAATACAGTAGCAGCACCATATGATTGTAAAGTTTGTTCTAAAGAGGGGTACTTTTGAATAGACGCAGTTTTCCAGTGCTATTTTCTCTGCGGGACTCGGATCCGGCGGCGCGGCTTCCTAAGTAATGCTCTTCGAATCAGCTGCTAGAAGGACGAGAGAAAGCATATAGACTTGTGCATTGACCAGGCTTGCTTCTGGTGCTGCGTTCCGCACTGGGGTAAATGCATATCACCACATAGGTTCCGAAATCAGTGGAGACCACCTACGTAAACGGCACACTTGCACCTAAGGAAGGTCTTCAGTATAGAATTATTCCATTGCCGCTGTCGAAACTTTGCTAACCTTCCGCATTGCATGAGAGCAGAACCATCGCTTTGGGTCTCACGATCACAACCAGCTCCCCCGCACTGCCTCAAGGCCTTCTCGAGCATACCTTCGACCGAATTTGCCATGAATCGAGACTCCCTGGTAATCAATTAGCAGAATGTTCACATATGTCCAATAGGGAGCACGCTATGTTTATGAAGATTTGAAAACAGAAGCTTCATTTGCCTTGTTTTACTCTTCCTTTTGTCCCGCGATCAAACACGATGACATAGTCATGAAAACGAACCTGGCAAGGCACGTTTCCAGATGGGAGCATGCGAAGACGCCATTGAAGCCTAAGAAGTTCAAGCCTTTCTCACATCGAGCATGAATTTGTTACGGAACCGAAGTAATATCACTGAGAGGGAAAAAACTTACTCGTCGGGGCTTAAAAGGTTCAAACACCTTTCGCAAGTCTCGCTGGCAAATACAGGAGGCATACCGCGAAGCCGCCCTGAGAGCATCGTTTTAAGGCTTTTCTTCTCATCTTCAGTAATCTTTTCCGTGCCCTCGAGAACAAGAAGTGTCGCCAAGAACTGGCAAACTTCAGCAATGACTTGGAGAGACTGAGTACTCGGATTGAAGCTGTTCCTGGATACGATCATGCGTTTGCCTTGTACTGCAGATAGACCCTGGCCGGCCGAGTGTTGCAAAAATCGAACAAAGTAGGGTCTGTCAAATTCCAGAAAACGCGTCAAAAAACGCGCCAAGGATGTAAGGAATCACGGAATGCAAACGTAAAGCTGATCACGTTCAGAATTACAGCTGCTGAGCCCCAAGGAACGTCAGAGGTTCGAAATTTCTCTACGAGAGAAGGCATATATTTTGCGCCAAGTTCACTATGGTTAGATTTGACGTATGAGATTGTGTGGACCATTTGAGACATTGGTATCCTACTGGTAGACCTTCTTCTGTTCAATCTGGGGCCAGGATTGTACGGCACCAAGTTGGCATATTGGGGTCAGTCCTATCGTGATAGCCCTCGGTCAGGGACTGGATATATCAAACCTGTATTTTCAGAATATCAGGTGCGGAGTCTTGACCATTGGACGCCACTCCACAACATTCTGCTAGAGATTCTGCTGAGACGTTCGTGTACGACATGGTTGAAAGGTAGAAAGAACGCGTGTTCCCCGGCTTTCGGGGTCCGAACCATAAGAGCAACCGGCATTCGCGCCGGATTCTCCTTCTAAACCCTCGTATTTCCTTTGTCGAACTCGAACTCTGACGCGTACCTAAAGCGTACCTAGTAAGTGCTCTCCAGCATGAATCTGCACATATTTCTTGGTAGCCACTGCACAAGTCATTCCAAGTTCTATACCCGTTCTAGCTTCAATACTAACCTTAAATTGATGCTCTCTTATGGCTGACCGATGGTCGTTTAATTTAACAGCTCGAACGGTCTGCATCTTGAAACCCGGATGTAGTAACTCCCCTACTTTGGGTTGGAGGAGGACAAAGGATGATATTCTCTAGTTCCTGGACGAGATGATCGCGCTGTCGATATACTATCAACATCAAGCCCTGGCATCACCCTCTCCTCGGTTGTCATTAATATCTATGGTATGCCCATTTTTAACGATGGCGTCACTGCTAATAGGACAATTATTAACTAGTCACCGTGCTGCAGATTTTGAGGGTCAGCGGGAACATCAAATAATCACCTGAACTTACTCGTTGGCCATATCACTTACACTTTGCTGTCGATTTCCCTCACGATGGCTACAACCGCTAACTAATGAATTTATCACTCAAATTCTCGCCCCTGGCCACCTTGTGGGTTTTAACGTTGCGGGGTTTCTAGAGGTTTGATTTCTTTGTTATTCCCCATCCTCCAGTGGGGTTCATTGTCGGCATGGTAGGTTCAAGACTCCCTGTCAAGGAGAAATGATACGTCTAGTAAGTCGGCACCACACGTATATGAAGCTGATGGGCATCTTTGGCAGACTTTGTTATCTAATCTAATTTGCTTTCTGAGCCTTTGGGACACTAATTTCCGTGTCATTTGGGCAAGTAGTGACATGATGGAAGTGGCTGAACAGTCTCGACTTTAAATGGGCGGTTATTCGAAGTAGGCAAACGGTTTACTTGGCTTCTGGGGCTTTCGTTGTTCAGGTGAACTTGCATGCAACCGGCCCCTAGATATTTGTCTCTGCAGCTAATCCATGCTGGACGATTTCATAGGCATTCTATCACTTATATTCAAAGTACACTTGCAGATGAGCATCATCTCTTCGTAGAGATGACACAGTGTACTGTTCCTTTCTATGCTCAGAGGCACCAATTCTGTAACCGGATGAGGTCTTATTTAAATTAAGCTCTCACTTTTTATAGGCAATGCTTCCAACGTACGTATTTGTGTATACTTTGAATATACTGTGAACGATATGATACAAGTTGTCGGTTGTAACGTCGTCTGCATATTTTGGGTAACCCCTAGCGTGCCCTCATATCCGAGCCGCTGATGCCTCCGGCTATCAAACTGATGTCCTTCGGCTTTTGCCACCATGACGCTGAGTCTCAGCAGTCTACCAGAGGACATCTTGTATAACGTTTTCTACTTCCTAAGTCCTGTTTCTATCCTCAAAGTCAGACAGGTATACATTCATTCTGATTCCTGAGCTTATCTGACCTCAATCCCAGGTCTCCAAGGATCTTTACTCGCTTACTCGCCAGAAGATAGTCTGGACAAACGCATATCGAACCTCGAACAGCTTTCTTCCGGTAGAGCCTCCTGCCGATGCGTCCGCCTTTGAAGTGGAACGCGCTCTACTTTCTGCCATCAAGCTAGACGAGGCATGGAGAAAACCTCAGCCAGAACATGTGTGCAAACGTTTTCTCAAGTACTCCCCGGGAAGGTCCGACAATATCTATATCAAGTTATACCACGGACGATACCTGATGATTGGGTCGCGCTCCTCGTTTTCATTCTATGATCTAGATGCTAAACCGGAAGACTGGGGTCGCCCTATCTTCGGGTCTGGCGAGTCCGAATCCACGTATTCGATCTATCGCGTCAACACGGACGATTCTGCCAAGGTTTCGTACATATCTGCTGTGGCAATGTCACGGTTGCCCCAATATTTCATGTCAGTTCATGTATATTCTTCTGTGGCGAGGCTAATTGTATTGCAGTCGCATATGGCAGATTGACTTTGTTGGCAAAACGCTCCTGCAAGTTGCGGATGTACCTATAGGGAGGAACATGTCAAGTTTTGCAAAGATCACGAACGGATGGCTGGTGCATGGTGCTAACAGACAGCAAGGGTCAAACGCCTTCAATGCCGTGCTGTTCCACATACCCACTCGGCGGATATATGAAGTACCCGTTTATGTTCCTTCTGTACGTGATTTCAATAATGGAGCTGCTTGGGTATTGACGTTCCCAAAGCCAGGAAGTGGAGAGGAACGCATCTTTCAAATAGACTACATCATCGCTCCTCAGCATCTTCTCCTCATGTATATATCAAGACGACAGACCCTATTCGAGGCCTTCCCACTTCCAAATACCAACGATACCGTCATTAATAGAGTTTTATCCGGTTCTCACAGTGGCATCTGTCCATCTGGATTCACCGAAACCACCTTTGTCAGCGCGTCGGACCAAGCGAAACGTATACGTCTCCTGGGAAGCGTCATCACAGGACCCGCACGAGGTATGCCGGGTGTCAGAGTATTCGACGTGGTTCTGAAAAGAGATGGGTTAATTTCGTTTCCGGAGGAGTGCTACAATAATCCCATGTCTGGATACAATCTTCATTTAACGCTATCACGCTCTGGAGCCGTGCGGGGTATCTGCATGGCACCTACCACATTCACCCTTTTGCGTGTTGATTTTGGACCTACTGCTGCTGGTGACATGCAGCTGGACATCACGGAACTTGGGTTGAAGATGGATGGCGTCATTGCTTACGATGTCGATTTCGACGGCTTTCGTGGACGGTTGTGTCTCGTTCGCGATGAAGGTGTGATGATACTAGACTACATATAGAGTTTCGATGTCATACAAGTACACATACGACGATAAACTAGTACTGTAAGATTCGATGATCCGTCGCTACTTGATGATCCACGTATACTCATTTGACATGGAGGACTCGGCATGAAACTTGGCTTAGGAGAACGTTCCTCGTCTCCAAAGGCTTGGCTCCTTTGATAAATGTCGTCTAGCTTAGAAGAAAATATGTCTTCTAGGACTTGATTTGCCCTCTCTCCCCTGCCACCTACTGGAGCTGTTGAGGTGGATACCTGGGCCTGCCGAACTTTACGCCAAGTAGGCAGTGTAAGTCTGGAGACATCCTCTGAGGTGATACCATTTCTTCGTCTGCCCAAATTCCGATATCCTGATATAACCCAATCCACAACAGCATATTCTTTTCCGTAGACAACGCGGTCGGCGTCTGACATCTTCAGCTTGGTGAGTTCCCTGATAGCCAAGCGTCGGGCGCCATGCATCCCCCACATGGATGCCAGTTTCAAGACAGAAATCCACGCATCCTTACTGAGGATTGGAGTCGTTCTACAATCTGATGATGGCCATTGCCATTGATAACACACGACTTCACCAATGCCATCAAAACATTCTCGAAATCTGTGCTCTGCACCTCTTGCAGAACCAAAGGATGCTCATCATCAGATCTGTCCATGACACCTACATTATTCCCTTGAGGAAGGCTAAACATGGTCGAAAATACTTCCGACGAATTAATGAATAGGTGACGGGCAACTTTGAAGAGCTAGTGCTCTACCTACCGGGCACTGATAAGCTTCGCGGTTGGATTATTCGTATCATAAAGCTACTCACTTGGAAAGTCACAGGCTCCCAGTAGAATTTGATATTTCGAGTGTATGTCTCGGAAGGTGTTTCGACATTAACGTTCTTCATTCCAAGACGAGGATGCTGAATCGTGACAACAAGGTATTTATCCTTAGTGAGACGCTGGGAACACGATTGAGTCATCTTCACAGCTAAGGTATAAAATGGAGATACGGTGCTGGAAATTCCCATCGCTCATTCCCGGATGTCTCGGCCGAGACGTCCCTCCCAGGTTCACTTTGGTGAAACCACTGGATTATTATCTGGCACAGCCACTTCCATGTGCCGAGCTCGGCCTTCTTGGGCTTGATCATTTGCCTTGAATTTGAAACGGAATGCCAAATATCTTCTTACCACCACCACTGGTGCTAGGAACCCACCCTACCAATAGCTACGACAATGACTAAGCTACTATCCCGGTTCGCAAAGTCATTTTTTGCTGTCATTCTCGCTCTGGTCAGCTTGGTTCAACTTCCGGAGTGCCCTCCGAGATATTTACCCGTTATTTTATAGGTCGTTATATCCATGCTGGTATTTCTCCACCCTCCAACTAGAGCGTATATCGACCCTTGGACGGGCGACTTTCTTGGTGAAGGGGGCGTAGCTCTCCATCCCGGTTCGTTCAAGAAAGGCGAATGGGATGCCACTGAGGGACCGGTGATCATGCCAAAGCTAGGGAACGCGACTGCCAAGTGTGTTTTACGACTTTTTCTCGAACGACTGAACTAATAGTTTGCAGGGCCGCACTGGGACGGTCGACGTGGAAGCTACTGTGAGCCGACTTTCCGCATCTTGTTGCACATGCCTAGACTTCGGTGAAATTACAGGCACACGATCACCTTGCGATACCCCGAGGTTCTTTTCTTCTGACTATTTGTCGCGACAATGACTTGATTTCTGGTGCAGAACCCTACTGCCGACGAGCGTGAAGCGATGAATTCATACTTTCATCTTCTGTCACGATTATATCCCTGCGGAGAATGTGCTGCAGAGTTCCAAAAGCTGCTCAAGAAATTTCCTCCTCAAGTGAGCTTCTTCTTTCGCTTCCACGCCAAGTCCAAGTCCACTGAATTCTTTTAATAGACCTCATCCCGTCGCTCTGCCGCACTTTGGTATGTGTTTGGAAGCTATGATGTCACTCCCATGTATCAATATACGCATCATCACAGGCTTTGTTCCCTTCATAACGAGGTTAATAAGCGTCTAGGTAAACCTCAATTTGACTGTGCGCATTTGGATGAAGAGTACGACTGTGGATGTGGTGATGAACCTATTAACGGCGCGGAGGTCGTAGACGGAAGAAAAGTAGAAGGTTTAACCAAAGATCCAAGTAAAGATGAACTGACCGGGATAGGGATGATCAACGGTGGGAGATAAATGCTACAGATACTAAAGTCCGTGTGTATTTGCGTTTTGTAGGATATGGATGGATTATCGACAAATATTACGGTGTGCTTAGGAAGGTTCGTTGACAGGTCGCCATGTTAACATGACGCATCGGTGAACGCATTGAAGTTGTACACCTTTGGCCTTGTTCGGAACAGGAATTCGTGCGGTGCGCAATACGCAATGACAGCGTCTTCTCGTTCCATCGTTACTTTGACGCCTCTGTTACCTTTTAAAGACCGGCACAGCTTCGTTACCCCAGCTTTGACATGAAAAGACTTTTTATGATCGTCCCCAGCGTACAGCTTTACCTTGGCTGGTGCCATAGAGAAAACGACAACCCATAAAGTGTCATCCGTCTAGGACAGTGAATATCAAGATATATAGTCAAAGTACTACATCAGCTACTTACCACCTGCCAGTGAGTGGGCCGACCCACGCCATCGTCAGACGCCATTGCGTCTTTGGGATGAGGCCGCGCCCACAGAAAAATCTGGTCGCGCTCAATAGGAGGATATCTCCCCTCCTTGAACGCTCGCGAGTAGTACGCATTGAGCGTTAACCACGCCGTATGTGGAAAGCCGTCAACCCATGCTTGAGAGTTTGGCTGCGCGCCTTTGATTGGGCCGATGTAGTGCGATTCGCCGTAATCTGATCAGGATACAACGTCTAGGAGGACTTAAGGATGGATGTAGATTAAAAGACCGACCGTTCCACGATATGACCTGGACGATGTCGATCTGCTCGCGCATTGATATCAGCTGTTCCCAGCGGCGTACGAAAAGCCAGTCGTCTCCTCTGTATATCCACTACTTGCGTTTCATGGGAAATTCTCTTTGTATCCAGATAAAAGGAGCTTACGTTCTTGTTCCAAGTATCAGGCCCATAATGCTACGAGCTTCTCAGATAATAGTCCCTTATTGGGTTGATTGAGACGTACTGTGAAGAACCAAGGAGAAACAGCGGCCATGAAGGTCCGCCCACCCAGATGACGAAGGTGGTGCTGGTCGGACTTCAACTCTGGACACTCAATCTCGCGTCTGGGAGATTTGGACGTCAAATGAATTGGCCAGCTGCCGTTCCACTGAGGAGATGAACTATTTAGACATGAAAGGAAAGTATTGAAGAGGAGAGCGACTCACGTTGAATGTGCCATCCAAACACATTATTGTCGGATATGTTGCCGGGTCAATGAAGAAGGATGGAATAAAGTGGACCCGCTGCACAAGTGAGGATTATGGTAAGCACGAAAAATGGGTCTTGAGACTCACAGGAACGATCTCTTCGAGGGCTCTCTTGACATATCCCCAGGCCTTGTCCAATGTATGTTGGCCAAATCGTAGATGCTCTCCTGTGAACGTCGATACAGCGACGCCGCCTTGGTATCGAAACATCCCAGGATTATTTCCAAAGGATTTCATGTACTCGCAAAGTACATGAACGTCTTCAGCTGACTGTCCTGGTATCGAGCTATTTTATGTCAGGAGCTAGGGTCAATAATGAAGAAGTAGAAAGCACCTCATATCAAAGCTAAAGAACAGTTTGAAGGAAAGCGTTGTTTGCGAGAGCGCATGGAAACAGTCCGCAGAGCGATCCTTTTGCCATGGTTCGCGTCCAACGTTTAATACGAACCCATCCCTGTGTAAGGCGATATTATTGGGAGGGGCAGGAAGAAATTTGGCTACTCGCAAGTTATTCTGGCTGGCCAATACGATGTCTCCCAACCAGTCTTGGACGCTATACGGCTAGTAGCGCGCCTCAATCATCATTCACGACCTCGGTGCACGAAAGAATATGGAATAGGCTAACATAGGTATTCCCCACCATGAAGCTTGATAATGTGAAAATTTCGAAGGAGAATAGACTGTATGGGGCACTTACTGGGCGAAAACATACTTGGTGGACTTTGACATGAACTCAACCCTCCAGGTTCAAATGCAGAAAGCGGGCGAAGGTGCGGAGGTCGGGCCGGATGAGGCGGAGAGCCATGTGCTCGCATCCAGCCACGATACTTTTTTTTTTCTTCGGTGCCGTTCCTGATTGGGACCTTGTGCCGATACCAACACCAACCACCAACACCTCGTAGGTGTCCAAGGGAAAGATAGAAACCCTTATTTGTCTCCTCCATGCACGATACGTCAGCCCCAAACATATGCTGTGATGTCCACCACCGTTTCCCAGGTTTCAATGTACTAAAGCCACGGCACCACTGAATCCTGGGGCTTAAGGTTCAGTAAAGACGTAAGCCGTCTTGCAATGATGGTGCTCAAAGTTCGTAGGTTTCATTCATTTGCTCTGCTGCGAGAAAGAAGGGGAGAATGCCGTTGATGTATCAGATCACTCCTTGATGACGTCTCCTGGTGAATATCATACGTCGCTTCTGAGACGTGAACTGACCCTCCAAAGATCAACATCACTGAAAACTCATCTGCCGGGAGGCATTTCACCTGTCTTCTAGACTCGGAGTCGCAATTTTCGTTTTTCCATCGTGAAGGGGAGGACCCCTTTGGTCCCGTATTACGATAGTGTCCCGGCCTTCTGTGGACATGTGTTTTCATATTTCGGCCTCATCTTGCCTGAGTCCATGTCTGTGCCTATACTGGGTATGTGACGGTGGCAACATGGTGGCCCAAAGTATAGGAAAAGAGTCGCCTTCCCCCCTCATTATTCGAAGCCGCATGGTTTAGGCTCCGTGGGTCTGTGTGCTTGGTCGAACAGCTACAGCGTGACGATCTGATATGACAACTGACACGGGGAGCGACCTTGAACGCAGCGTTTCTGCTACTCCAGTGCGCAGCCGGGAGACTTGAGCATATCAGAGTAACCCTTCTATGTGACACACCAGAAGATGCTTTTTTTCCGAGTCCGCTTGGAAACAAATGTTCTATTTATATCCCGTTTATTTTTAGACTCCATACATAAATCATGGTGCCTCCCTGTAATTCCCTTTTCTCTGTCCACATCGAGGTTATCCAGGGCCATGGCACTCGGCTCCCTTTCCCTTTGTGCTTTTTTGCTGCTGACTTTCCTCACTCCGGGTTCCCTAGCCGCTGACCGTACTAGTGAGGCAGGGGAGGCTGCTATCTCTGGTTAGTGGAAAGTTTATTGTTCGTTGGTTGATCTCGCCGCATGTTTGTTGAATTTTTTTTAGATCCATCACAAGAGTGTACGGCCTACTATTACGCGCCGTCAGCAACAAAAATCAGCTCCTTTCCTACAATATGGCAGCCTGCATCCATCGTTGCCAATGACTCCGCTGCACAGGCCAAGTGGCAGTCCATCATGGGTAGTGTTCCGACCAACATCACAGCCAAGGTGAGTCCTGCCTCCCATCGTCCATCGATCGTCCTTGGCCCCCTTGTCTTACCTCGTGACAATAGGGAACCAGCACCGGCAACTTCACAAACGTCACGTATTCCGCATCCGACCCAGATTGTTGGTGGAGCTATCATCAGTGTGTTACGCCAAAATTGGCTGGACTACCTGATGACATCGCTACGGTCCCGGAAGTGCGTTGGCGATTCTATTATATGACTTGCAGCTCAAACCTTTATCTACAGCCCAACACTCTAGGGTTTGGTTTCGATGACGGACCGAATTGCTCTCATAACGCGTTCTACGACTATTTAACTAGTCAAAATCAGAAAGCTAGTCAGTACCCGTCTTTCCATTTTCGACCACGGACATTAAATGCAGCTCTAGCGATGTTCTACATTGGAAGTAATGTGATGGACTGGCCGTTAGAAGCGCAAAGAGCAATTGCTGATGGACACCAGATTTGCGTTCGTGAGTAGCTCTTGTTCCTCATGTTCGTCGCTAAAAATTTGACAGATACCTGGTCTCATAGATACAGTGCGTGTCCCCCTGTTGATTATTCCTGGTTTGGCACTAAGGCAACAACGTTTCAGTGACATCATTCTCTAGTGAGGATGCCTTTGCCGAACTCTACTACAGTAAGCCGCCCCTCCTTTATTTCCCGTAGCAACAACTAACCTATGACAATCAGCCGTGAGTCACGTTGTGTTCCGAGATGTAATTCCCATTTAATATGTCAAAGATGGAAGCCATCAAACTCGTCACTGGAGTGACTCCGAAATGCTGGAGGGTAGGAATTTACCTTGCTGCCAACATAGATGTCCTGACAAAATCTTAATAGCCCCCTTTCGGTGATGTCGACGATAGGATACGAGCAATCGCGAATGCCCTTGGCCTTCAAACTGTCATATGGAAGTATGACTCGAACGACTGGAAGGCAGGAACAGGGAATATTACCGCCGCGACTGTAGATGCGAATTACCAAGCATTGATCAACAACGCCACTAGTGGGACCTTCAGCACGGTATGTCAAAGTTACGGATTTTTTTAAACAAGGGTACTCAGTGATATATTCTAGCAAGGAACTATAATGCTGACCCACGAGCTGAACAATTACACCATGTCAACGGCAATGAAATGGTATCCACAGCTGAAAGCTGCTTTTCAGGTCAGTGTGGCTCTATCAAACTTTCTATCAAATACTGATCGGCCTTGACAGTACTTGGTACCCATCGCCGCCGCATTGAATATTACTCAGCCGTATGTTGAGACCAACTACTCGTTTCCTACGTTCGAACAATGTGAGTGCTTTATTAGCCGGGGATGATGACCAGTTGATAATCATAATTGGTATGTAGATATCTCAGGAAATACGACTGTAAATGTGACTGCTACCTCGGCTCCGGCAAGCAAGTCGAATGGTGGTGTGGCTCTATTCTCGTCTGGTAGTCTGGCGTTACTGGGTGTGTTGACCGTCCTAGGGATGATGCCGTAGTTTGCATTTGACATTAGTTATACCGATGACCTCGATGGACAATAATATACCAACTAGGCAAATTTTACGGCTAGACAATAGATTTGAAAACCAGGACTAATTACAGTTCCTATTCATGTTAATACTGCATGTTTTTTGTCGAACTTCTGTGCTTAACGACTCGAGAGATTGATGGAAAGAGTCTGGAAGAGGCGGGCCGATCTAGGCCGACGAGCTCCAGACATTTCTAGACAGTCCACTTGACCTCATCCATGGGGCAAGCATGAACCTGCGTTCATTAGTTCATGATTCCCACCCGAAGGCACTTGCTTTCGGTCTTCATAACAATTACTTTCACCGCCGTATTCGTTAGACATCTCATGTCTGCTCCACCACGCACCATCGTCATCGGAGGCGGCCTAGCTGGCTTGAGCGCTGCTCATACTTTGCTGGAGAAGGGGGCCAGTGTGCTGTTGCTTGACAAGAAACCATCGTAAGTCGCTCATACTTGGGCGAAGAGGAAGGAACTGAAAGGAAGCTGCAAGACTCGGTGGGAACTCTGTCAAAGCGAGTTCTGGTATCAACGGTGCCGGGACTGAGGCACAGGCTAAACATGATATCAAGGATACAGTCGAGGAATTGTAGGTACCCTGTCGTCGCCATTTCTTTCGACGTTGACCTGGTATTGAAGTATTAAAGACACTACTGTATCCGCTGGCCCTCTCGCACGTCCAAATCTCATCCAAGCATTAACATCTAACTCGGCACCAGCTCTTGCGTGGCTCTCCAGCAAATTCAGTGTTGACCTTTCACTTGTCACCCGTTTGGGTGGACATACTATTCCGCGTACGCATCGAGGAAAAGGCGGCGCACCGGGCTGGGCTATCACCTCGGCGCTGATCAAGAAGCTCGAACAGGAACCCAATGCCTCCATCATCAAGTCTGCAAAGGTGCTACGCCTGTTGGAGGAATCAGGGAAGGTATACGGTGTTGAGTATGAGTCGGAGGGAAACAAGGTCCACGCAGAGGGACCGGTTATCATCGCCACAGGGTGCGGAGCTCTTTCGTTCGTTCTTGCTAGCTGCTAACCGTCTTGCAGAGGTTACGCAGCAGACTTTTCGTCTTCAGGATACCTCACTCAATATCGGTCTGATCTCCTCACGCTGCCAACTACGAACGGCGACCACGCTACCGGTGACGGACACCGTATGGTGACATCCCTCTCCTTGCCCGCCGTGTTGTGCGACATGGACCAAGTCCAGGTTCACCCGACAGGGTTTATCGACCCTGCCAACCCAGATGCCAAGACCAAGTTCCTGGCCGCCGAGGCTCTGCGTGGAGTGGGCGGGATCCTTGTCGACAACACAGGCGCGCGATTCGTGAATGAGATAGACCGACGTGATGCGGTGACTACAAAAATGCAGGAGGTTATCGAGACAGGCAAAGGGCCGGTCCGGTTGATACTGAATTCGGACGCTGCGACCGAGTTAAAGGCACATTGCGATTTCTATGTGGTAAAAGGGCTGATGAAGAAATTTGAGGGCGCGGTGGCTTTGGCGGAGGAGATGGGCATTCCAGCGGATAGCCTGAAGAAGACATTTGAGTCTCACAGCAGGTATGCGAGGAACGAGGAAACGGATCCATTTGGAAAGACCTTCTTCCATAACCCGACATTCGAGTCGGAGGCGCCAATCTTGGTTGCACTCATGACGCCTGTCGTGCACTACGTGAGTCCCTTTTCCAGCTGTATTGTACCTGTATGCTGAATGGCTGTAGACGATGGGTGGAATGCAGGTGGACGAAAAGGCGCGAGTGCTCCACGCCGACGGTTCGCCCGTCCTTGGACTGTTTGCAGCCGGTGAGGCTATTGGCGGTGTCCACGGACAGAACAGGCTCGGAGGTTCGTCTCTGCTAGAGGCTGTTGTATTCGGACGAATTGCGGGGACGTCGGCATCGTCTTAGGGAAGAAATTCAAGGACAATTGTATCATTAGGTGTGCATCTGTGCAATGTGAGATGTTTACTTCTTGAAATGTTCGATCCTTCTGTGGCATTGTGATAGCTCAACTAGAGGCATGGAAGGCCCAAGGAAACTTTGAACTATACACGATCAAATTGCCGAACGTTTTCCTTGCAATACGCGCACGTCCGATTGGGCGGATTGTGTACAGTCTTCGTGCCTAGGTCAAGCTGAGGGCATCGGTTCTTGTAATGTGTACGTCCTTTTCTGGATACGCAAGCCTCAACTCTAGAAAAACACCGACTTCTGCTATTCGAATCGGCGGATACCTTCAGTACCTCCTCGTTGCATTTCATCCAGCTGCTAGTAATGGAGGATGTTCCCTTTGGTATTGTCCCATGAACAGCGTGCCTTTACTGGCTGACCTACGTCCTTATGTGCGCCCTGGCACCAGGACGGACGAGAGCAACCACTCTTCAATGGGCCTCGCTAACAGCACGTTCTGGTGTACAAACCTGTCTCAACCGTGCGAATGGGCGAGCTGTTGTTTTCCGCATCGCAGTGGCGGATGAGACCTGCAACTCCTAAGGATCCAATATCTTACCCTGGAGAACTTTACCTGCCTTACGAAAGGCAGGAATTCTTGGTTGAAGCCAGCATATACGTCTGATCTGCAAGGACAACAGACTGCGCGCAGGTACCCGTCGTTGGACCCAGTTGAATGCCCTCATCACGTTCGTCGTCTTCACGAGTGAAGCACAAGCGTCAATGAATTTCCGTAACGTTTCGCTTTCGGGCTTGACTCCGGCTTTATATGAGCCCGGACCAATAGCGTTGTTTCCTCTGCGTTTGGACTGGGAGCTGATAGCGACTCTTCTCGCCTTCTTGCTGGTCGTTCATTTTTTCTCCTGCGATGGTCTGCTTTTGAACATCAAATTTTCATTTACTGTACCTCCTCGCGTTCTCGGACCGTCGCTAACTACTACACATCTATCTCAACTTCGTTTAATTGCGCTCATTGCCTAAATTTACTCTCTCGTATCGCCTAGATATAACTTATAAGCAGACAGTGTTGGAAGCACTCTATATCAGACCATGTTTTCTTACTGTATAGTGACGGTACACTTATTGTATACATATCAAGTTTCTTCCGCCGCGGTTCATATTTTGACTGGTTCTAACTCCTCTTGCACCTCCTGACGGTTCCTAAGGACTTAACTGAAACTTACAGTCCCCAGTGAACAGCGGCTGGAGCTTCCCATTCTACGCTGTACACTCTTTCACCATTCGATCGATGCATCAGTATTAATATGAATTAGCCATTTGAATATCGTAATTATGCTCTCACTGCAGGGCCGGTGCCAGTTACCTTTTAAACGTACAAACTCGTTTTTCCCTCGTTAAATTGTACCCGCGTCTACATGTATAAATTTCTTCCGAGGGTATATATTTTCGGTGCTACAGATAGTAAAAATGAGAACAAGAGAATGCTTTGTCCAAAGGAATCGGGGTTTACCAGTGAAAGTGGCCCTGTCGGGTGTCGGGCGGATTTGGGTTAGAGCTTCTAACATCAAATTCCATATCAATTTCATAGGAACTACATCTTCCCGCTATAAAGTCCTTCGTTTGCTAGTGTGCGGCTCAGGAACGATATTTCTGGCACCCGTGACCAGGAATCTCACGTCTCCGTTTTCAAGAAATTATCTCTAGATCACTTTGTTAAGAAGCATCTCTCTTGGCTTCTTCTACTTTTCAACTCCGCATTCGACCTCAAATTTGATTCAAACTCAGCTGGTCTCGAGGGAATAACGGGTATCCTGCTGCTAATATCAATGAGCGAGATAACACAAGACAGAAGATGGACTAATTCCACAGTAATTCCACCTTTTTACTAGTCTGATGATCGGACTTCAGTTCCCTTGGAAGGAACAGCTTCTTTGTTTGTCATCTCCACAGCAACATCGGTATATTACTGACTGAAAATACGATATAGGTAAAGGAAAGTTTGCGCACATGTGTTGCGATCAGTTGTTGGAAGACCGAGGGCGGTCTCAACGCGATACACGTTTTCTATCTCGTCTGGCCCGCTTTCTCATATTCTTTCAGTTATGCCGCCGTCAGAATCGTCCAAGGGTGTGGGCCGTTACTCGGTAACCTGGTTCTGAGATTCCGGTTTTCAAAGCAGTACTTAACTGTCAGACCATTTGCTCGGGAGACATTCCTCCACCAAGTGGTCTGAAGATATTTCTATGGAATAAGGAGTACTACCGGACGCAGGTGGATGCAGGAAGGAAAACGGATATTTAGCGCAAATCTCAGTGTTGGATACGATGAATTAGATGCTAAAACTAAAATATAGGATGGAAGTAGGTAGGCTAGGCTCTAAGGCTCCCTGAGATATGTGTTCAAGAATTAAGCCCATGTAATAATATATCTGATTCCTCTCTGACAACTATTATCATGAAGTTCAGAAATACGGCTTGGCACGGCGTGCACCCACAACTTATTCAATCAATGGATGGTTAAGTTAACTAGATAGTAAATTGATAACTCACATTTTGTCTTCTAGAGTCTATACTAAGCATGAGCATAGAAGCTGAAGTGAAAAAAATGTATTCAGTTCGCAACAAGGGCAGCATCGGCGCTTGAATACCCGCATTCTTGATGCCCAACTGAAGGAAATGGCAACGAACGTTATGGGACTTAAAAGAATTTTCCTGCTACTAATGCAATATAGGTCAGATAAGGCAAGATGCCCCGGCCTCGGGATCGAATGATTCTGCAGAACGTAAGTAAATTTTACTCGACGAAACTTGCGGTTAGCAGTGTGTGCCTCATGATATGTACCGCATTAGTATATCTTACATTCAAGATCTCGATTGTACGGTTTTTGATTTTCTGACTCTTCGCTAATTCCGTCTGGAACCTCTATTGGATGAGATCAGAATTGTGATCACAGCATCATCGTTCCAAAAAAATTGTGCTGGTATTACCATCGTTAAGGAAGGAGCTCGAAAACATCAGAATGGAAAGAGGAACACTGCTGGATCCAACTGAGGCCTTGTGATCTGACCGTCACCTCGTAAAAACGTATTCATTTCATCCCTCCCCTCAAAATTTGGGGCACTCATGACTGAAGACTTTGTAGTAAAAGTCCGATGTCGGAATACAACGAAGCGCGTGAAACATGTGTCGATTATTGGAGTGCCGAGATCGCTTTCATTGCGGTCGCATTATTGTCATTACTCAGAACAGAGGAATGCCTGGGTCCTATACGTTTCACTCCATCGAGTTGTCCGCTCTTACGGAAGGACGTTTTCATGGCTGGTCAACTGCAGAGTCAAATTCTATGCACTAGATAGTGTCCGACGGTAGTAATACTTTAATGCTTTCGATAGATACGGTGGTTATACTTGTGATACAAAGAAAGAACCCGAGATATGAATACAAATACTTCTAAGATACGATTGTGTCAATAGTATGAGAATGTACGTCTAAGTGAATGAGTGCTTGTGCATGTCCAAGATGTCGGTGTGGATGAATAAGTAGGTACAGATATTAACATACAAGAACCAGAGAACGAGGGAGTGCATGAGACAACAAAGCGTGAAATCAAAGACTGAATACCGCACCGCCCCTCCGGCGACTTTGAATGGGATGCACGACGAACAGCGCCAGGCCTAGTCCGACCGTTAACCCAATCGCGACCGAAACCAGCTGTAGTGCAGTCTTAAAACCGGATATATAAGAGCTGGAGGACCCGGTGGATTGTTCAGACACGAAGACCAAGAGACCACCATTCGCAAAGCCAGACGGGACTTGGAAAAGAATACCAGCTATCTAGAGGTGGATGAATAATAACGTTCGATGAAACGATAGACCACGAACCATGATCACGAAGGCGTTCCCTGAGAAGAAGCGCCCGTACAAGTTGGCCACGAATCCGACCGCAAATGCACTGGTAAGAGAGCCCATCAGTACATGTTCGCCTCATGATTTTCAGAAAAGATATGCTCACCCAACCGCTGCACTTATATCGCTCTGATTGACGAACTTGGTAGATGTGAAATGGTTGGTCACCCAACCCACGGATGCAATCGCAACACTGAGAAACTACACCAGTGCCAACATTAGCGGCGCACAGTCATCAGAAAAAACACGCATACCATTTCCCTCTGATTCCAGGGCATAAAGTTTCTCAAGCACAGCCCCCAAGCAAACATCGGCACGATGAGGAAGTACCAATATCCGCTCGGCGTACGCTGCCACCACCCGCCTTCGGGATCATGGGTCAACGCGCACGTGTAGTCCGTGACACCGACGACGGAGTGGCTCGTAATCTTCTCGTATGCCTCTGCTCCTATCGACAGCCCGAACCCGAGGAACAAGGAGTAGATCACCGCGTAAAACATCCGCACCGCTCCAGAAACGAGGTTGCGCGTCATGAGCTCTAGCGAGCCGCATAAAACAATGAAACCCTAGAAACCATCTTTGTAAGGGGGAGATAAGGATGTCAGAAATTAATACTCACAGGTAGGATGAGTACTACGGAGCCGGACGCGATCGCCGAATAGCAGAGCTTCCCTGAGGCTGCCATACCCGCAGCGATGAAACTGAAAAGCATAGATACCGTGATTCTGTCCCGGTCATTAATAATGTGATAAGGGAGATAAGGGTTGTAAGACTAACTCAAAAACATTCGAGTACAGCTCATTTCTGACACTCAAGAGCTGGATCCCGACGAGGAGCATGCCAAGTGGAGTTACGGCGACAGCATCGATGAAGCTTCCCCCAAAACTGACGATGGAGATGGAAGAGGAGCATATCCCACCAAAGCACATAAGTTGCCACCATGAATAGATTTGTTTCTTGCGCATGAGATTCGTAAGCTGTCCGGATGCATCACTGACGGCAAGGTCGTCGTGGATGACCTAGACACGCAACGCAACGTAAAGACGGAGAAAAGCATGATCTAAGGAAAGTACCAACCTTCCAGTACAACTCGTAAGCGTCGCGGAGCTTGCCTAGGTCCAACCCGCTGCCCTGCTTGATGAACTTGATCGAGCTTGTACCGGTGGATGAGTCGTCGAAATTGATTAGCATTACGTCCGGGAGGTACATGCATGACACCTCTAGGTCGAGTACTCGTCCGGTGGCCTGGATCTGACTCTGCAGGCGATGAGTCGGAGCGGCGAACATCATCATCGCTCGTGCGAGCTTTAGGATGAACTCCTGACGCTGGATGATCTCTGCAACGTGTCGGGTGATGTAGATCTCGCGGGCTTTGCGCTTCCTGCGGCGCTTCTCCTTGTCGCGGTCTCCAGTTGAAAAATAATCGTCCTCCCCCTCGGTAGTTGGGGTCGTTAGAGGGGTCTGAGCGGGTGTACGTCCCAAGCTCCTCACTGGACTCGTGTACGGGAAGTCCCTGAGGATCCCGGACCACCTATTTCTGAGAGATGAGGTGGAAGGCATCTTTTCATGAGTCTTGTCATGATGTTGCAGTTCCGTAAGTGTAGTGAGCGTTTCGTTCGAAGGACTGTTGGGGAAAGAAGGTGCAAAAGAGGCGACATGCTCGAAACTGTCCGATTTTGGCCTGATGGGAATCATCTCGATACTGCGCCGCTGCGCGTCTTTGTCCTTGTCATGGTGGTGCTTCACAATCGGAAACCTGCTCTCCAGAGAATATCTGAAAATGGTTACGTCAGAGCTAAGGATAACTCGAGAGAAGTGGAACAGACCTAGAAAGATGATAACCAGGACGCTTGACATCCGGTTGGATCTGGCTTGACGTAGGAGCTGCGGGGCCAGTGATGTTTCCAGTACTGGCAATCAACGAACCCAAGACGCCCCCGCCAGTACGTTGCTTCGGCTTTCCAAAAGAATAAGATGCCAGAGAGGACAGCGACGCTGCACGTTTCAAGAGGAATTCCTTCTCCTTCGGGGAAGACGGCTTTGAAGAAAGAGAGATAGAAGAATCGCTGCTTGGCTGTGCGGCCCCGGATGACCATGGTCTTTCTGGGAGCTCAGATATAGGCGTCGCCGCCCCAGATAGGAAACCTTCTGATTGGTTATAGAGGGTCAAGAGAGCAGAAAGAACGCCTCCACCTGCACCAGTCAGGCGGGGATTCTTTGGAGCTGCATCACGTTCTGCATCGGGATCTTTACGTTCGGTGTTTCGTTCTCTACTTTTGCTCTTCTGCTGGGACTTTAGATTGAGGAACAAATTACGACCACGGCCCCGAGGGCGTGTATGGGCGCGAACGATGTTGGTTGCCTCGCGATAGTCATTGTCTACAGGTCCAGGAAGGCCTGAGCTCTCATCCTTGTCGATGAAAGTCCCGGGAACCTCGTGGTAGTTGGGCTTTGCAGCTGTCGGCGACGTATCAGATGGCGTCGTGGTGGTTGACAAATTTGTTGTATGAGCGCCCTCACGCTGATAAGGCGTCAACCCGGTGTCCACGGGGGGAAGATACTGGGGTCGAGGTGGGAAATAATGGATTCGAGGCACGGGCGGAGGTCGATCTTCGACGCGTGACTCGGAGCGGTGTTGTTCGAGAGCGTGGGTAAGATGCTCAAAGGCGTCGGGCTATTTGTCAATGTTATTAGTGAGAGAGGAGACAGTGCTCGACGCGGCTCACGTTCAAAGCATGCTCATCGAGAGCATGGGCTTCTCGGTGGTCGACCCATTGCACTTTTCTAGGAGTCTTCTGGCCTGAGGGACCTACCGAGCCACGACTATAGTCCTTCACGCCCTTGTCCTTGTTGGCCATGATACTAACGGGCGTCCGGGATCCATTAGTGCCAGCCACATTGCACATAGAGAGAGAAGGAAAGAAAGAGGGAGGGAGGGGGAACGAGATAGACTCACCAATACTGCCGTCTGGGTCGTTATATTTATTCCCGTCGCAATTTATTGAAGGAAAAAAGTATATAGATCGAATCTACCATGCGTCGATCAGTGAGTGCCGGTAACAGGAGATCCGAGACCTACCCTGCAATTACGGGCGAGACTATCTCAGAGTCCCGTAAGATGGATATGTGTTGCCCACAAGCGTCCGAAGAGTTCTAGTAAAGGATGCGGTCAATGGCCGCAGTAAAGGATCAGTCGACAAATTTCTTTCAGCGACCCAGCATTGGCTGGAGCCGTAGACATGCCGACGTCATGATAGGCCCGGCCCGTGCCGGATAAGCCCGAACTCTGCGCAATCAAGACATCTCGCAGTCTGATTCGCAGCGCGATTTGGACGCTTCTTCTCCTTCAAACTAGAAAAATAACATTAAAATTACGAAACTTTATGGTCGCACGTTGTCGCCAACGTATAACCCTTTGACCTGGATAAATAACCGACTTATTGCCCATGTTCGTCGTATCGTTTTGTTGGCCGCTGGTCAAGAGTCACTAATCAACCCACGGAGTCTTTATCGACTCGTAAACTCCACCTTCATCATCTTCCCGTCGGCTCTACCTTGACAACGGTAAACAATATTCAGCTTCTCGCTCGCCCATTTTCTGCCAAGTTCAAGATAAGAATTACGTGCGAACAAGAAGACCGCTTATCGGTACCAGAAATAATACGCTTTTGTCATAGAGACCACGACCCTTGTTGAACGGGTATACTTTGCCCAAACTTCAATGCCCCCCGCAACAATTTGCGAATATGAACCAAGTAGAAAGAGGCCAAGAATGGATTGCCGCCTAAGACCCGCCTTGATCACCGGATAATCGCGCCCCGAGATTGGAAGTAAGCGCCCTCCGACCCTCAAAAATTAGGTGGACATATATATATATATCTCGTCGGCATGACTATTTTTGATCACATCCGCTGAATCGGGAGTAGTACGGTGTAATGTCCCTCCTTTCCTGCTGGCGCGACGTATAGATACCAAGACGTACACAGCTCTAAAATTAATTCGCGGGATAGTTAGAACTAATTGCGGGTTTTTCGCGGTGCTATGTCAAGCTGCAGAACTTTAATCACACGGAGACTCAGCCGCTGGGGGCCGCAGCTGAACGGGCTTATTAGTGAATATGGGCTTCATTTCGTGCCCTATCTCGTAAAAAACACGGTGGCGGCCGTGAGACAATCCAGAGAGGAGTAAGTTCTATATAGATCAGTAGTGCAAGAATAAACTGTACGACGTACCTGGTTTCTCAGCACCATCACCCATCATTGAACGCCACAACCGGATTCCAGGTGTACTCGTCAAGACGAGCAACAGGTTTCATACGTGTGATAAGCGTGCCACTATAAAAGTAAACACTGACCGGCGTCAAGTGCTAACTCCATTGGGTCAGCGATTTGCGTTCGTACCTTTGCGCATTGGGTGAGGAGAAAATTCCTCCGGTCGGCGCCGACAGAGATCAAAGTCTCGAAGCATTGTAAGGTCTCTGATCAGTCTCACGATGACTCCAGGAAGTGGAAGACATGTTTCTTACCCTAGTACAAGCAACGGAAACATTTGTAGCAGTTCGATGAGTCTCGAAGGGGACGTCCGTTGGGTAGGAATGTTGGTTCAGCTGGAGACAACGGTTGAGAAAGATCAACTCGAACATCTTGACTGCTTAGCGGGTGCTGAGTCAAGCGCATGTATCGCGAACCGGGCGGTGTGGGGTATTGGACCCATCCGAGTAGTAGCAGCTGAAATTTCAGAGAGCAAGACCTTCGTTAATCAGTTGGCATGTCCTTGCTCCCGCGCTGATCTGGACCACATGGGGGTAACGGCTGTCGCATACCAAAAAGAATATGATGGAATGGAAGCGGCGGAGTCGCAATGGCTATCATCATAGTAGTGGCACAGAATCCAATTATTTCGATAGGTACTCTAGTGTGTGGTCGTACAATCGGCACAGTTGGCATGGGTGTTTCCCCCAGGCCCAAGACCTGTTTCTCATCGCGAGTGCAGCCAGATCTGTTTCTGATCACGAGTGCAGCCATAAGGTTGCAAGTTTTGTGCCAATGGAAGCCGCCAGTCACAGCTCTTCTAGAATAAGATCTATTCTCATATGTACAAGTAAAGTTCTAGGGCCGTGATCTTATCGAAAGAAAATATGCGGCAGTCCCGGGCCCTCCGAATTATCGTGCTATATCCCACTTTGAGGACCCCATTCGGGCAGTGGAGGCATCCAGTCAACGACTCGCATAATCGACTAAGAATCACCCATTTAGTTGTCTACGTACGCGGACTACTTGGACTGCCGAACCCCGATGAACGAGGGACATAAGCTTCAGATACATGTTAAACAGGTGCCAAGTGTATGTCGATCTCGACGTCATGGAGAAACTTAAACATAGCCGTATATGTTCGTTCCTGCTCCTGTGTCATTGTTGGCCGACCGAACGCGCACGTATGGGGGTATCGGGACTCAATCACCCACGACATGTCGATCCAAACTTTCCGGCAGGAACCATTGTAGAATGGAAGTGATCCAGTAACAAGCGAGCCGCGGCAGTTAGAGGTATACAGATCTCAAGCATGATAAAGATAAACAGACAAGATTCATAAATGAGTTTTGGGATGCTCTTCAGTGCAACAGATAGATGGATGCTTCTGGACCAGATGGTGGCAATAAACAAGAGTTCCTCAGACGTCGTAGGAGACTTCAGTTTCAGCGTGAGCATGAGTTATTTAAGGACTATATCTTTCCATTGTTCCGAGATACCTGGACTGTAGGGCAGTGTGCTCATTTGACCAGCCAGTGACAGACCGTAACACGCTTCGATGATCGCAGTTGTAGGTCCCAGTCCTTCGAAGTCCGAGAATCGTCTACACAGTTTGATTAGGATAGTATCTTCTTCACTGTCTAATTATATGACATACGCTCCGTTGAAGTCATGAACTACGGGGGGATTGGGAGGAAGCAAACGATGGGACAGTAAATTTCAGCCAAAGAGAAGGTCCAGACTCGACTGCTTCTCGGCAATCGCCGGAACAACCTCTTTCCTTACCGTCAACTGTCGATTCGTCTTGTATCGTCTTTTCTTTGCCTCAAAGTATCTCTTGTCTCTTATTTTGCGGTAAAAACATGAAGGAATGGCAGTGTCGATCGTGTAGGAGTATATTTCTCTATCTCGCCAACCCGCAAGACTTGGTTGTCCTGCTTCGCAAACACTCCTGGCTTTGGTATCTCTCCTCTCACGGACTTGGTGGCCGGGGAAATACTGGAGAGTTCTATGATGTGCGTTCCCAATGAAATGAATGGAATTGAGATCTGACCTTTATTTTCAATCGCAATGAGTCCTGGGAGCTGTCTTCCTACGCCGGATGTAAGTGGTTCCGTTTGGTTTCGGTGGACATGGTAGTTCATTGAGCTTCAGGTGAAGAACTTCAATCCACTGGACAACCATGCTTTGGTATGGTCAGACGATTACCGCTTTGAAAAGACAAATTCCGAAGACGAGGACTGTGATGACGACTGCCAAGACGTCTCTAATCCGAGAAGTTTGTCAAGAAATGGTTCTAGGCGAAGAATTATCCTTATCTATGGGCAGAAGATATATTGGCGACATTCTAGCTGAATTTCTCTGACCTGACCAGAACTCAATGTAAGAGTTCGCGTCTGTCCAGGCGTTGATCATTTGTGGTATAGCAAGACTAAGAGTAATCTCTTACATGGACTTCTATGACAAAATTTATTACGGAGAAGTCTCAAAAGGTCTTTCCGGGCACACTCTCGGAGGCGATCGGTTACTGAAGGTATGGCATTTTCGATTTATGTTTTGTTCAATTTAATTATTGGTTCGTAGGATCTGTGCTTAAAACATTTGTACAATAAATATTTTGTATCAATAAAGACCTCAAAATCTTTCAATGGACAACTCCGTATGGAGACTTCAAAACGATCATGTCGACCGTCCTATCAAAATTTATAACAAAGACCCGTGGTCATCGCCCTATGTTCGAACTCAGATTGTCGATGTCGCAGCTAACGGTTCAAACGTGGCAGGTACACCCTTGTCTTTCGCAGTACTTAATATGCTAGAAGTTCATACCGCATCTTTCACCAATCCGAAGGCACCAAATCTCACTTAGACATGTTCAATTGTATCGCGCGTGAGTCTCAATATTGTCTCTGAGTCCTCCTTTTCTTGATTGCTCCGGTAGAATACCACGGACCGTGAAACAGAGCACTTGTCATGACCACATCTGTCTTCTAGGTGGAATCATTTTAATTCTGCTCTCAGAAGAACTAAAGATCCTCGGAATTCGTACGCGCAGCTTCTTGAATGGCAGATTGAATCCACTGATAGAGTTTAGATAAATGCCTATCCCTGTCGGTAGAAGAATTTGAATATGACCGCCTTCGGAGCTTTGCATGCGTCACGGACTATGTCGGTCCTTCCTGTCATGGCTGGGGAGCGTCGGGAGCGTTGCGTGGGTAAACTAAAACGATCTTCCATCAGCTATTCCGTCGTTGGGATACTCTGATAAACGTGTCTGATGCGACGAAGCCATCCATCCGATACATTTCTCACCGGCGTAGATGGCTTATATTGACCCGGACTGCCTGCCGAGGACTGTCGTATCAGCTCGTCTTTCTGGCAGTGGTTACAGAACACCAGGATCTGGAATAGAATGTGGTGCCGGCAGGAAGTCCAGAAAATTCTCGACGTTATATCAGGGCATCGGTGAGGACACCGACAGTGAGTGTGGAATCGGCGGCGTTAGCCTGGTCTCGACACTGGCGGGAAACTTAGCCTTGACTAAGCGATGAAGAAGACAGTCGAGGTGGCCAGAGGAGCGGATACCCATGCCGTAGATTAACGCCTCGTAAGTTCGAGAAGGTTAGTCTCCAAGAACCAGTCCAGCTGAAACAGGCCCACTTTGGATGAGAGACGTTCTCCGTTTTCCTTAATGTAAACAGGTTCAATTCATTTTCCTGACAACTCTTCGACCCGACACGGGCCACAGAAGAAGCGCCTCTACTAAAATGCTGTGGCCGAAGAGTCCCCGAGCTTTATCCTTTTGTGTGGCCGTTTCTCTCGATTCTGCTTTTTTTGGATGAATTGTCAGCTGTGAGTTTTGTGTCCCTTTCTCGAATCGTCTTCGGGTCAGGCTAATGTCAACAGGTGATACTTTGTACTATTTACAGGCATATATAGAACCCGTTACACGGTAGAACCCATTGGCTACACTCTATATGCCGCCTCTGACAATCTGATATCCTGGAACTTCCCCCTGAACTTGCTTTCCACCCCAGCTTGGAATTGATGTTCCGACAAGAATACCCTGCCCATCCGAGTGCCGGCCTCTGAAGCATACGCCTCTTCTCGGACATGCCCCAGCAACAGCGCCGTCTCCCATTCTATCACCCTGACATCCCTTACGCTTACAACTTGACAGCGCGTCGCCAGCGCCCTTTGAGACGCTTAGCAATGGCGTGGCTCGATGGAGAGTGAAGCTCACCTGAAAGATGATGTTTTCCCAGTAATGGTCTGGTTGGGAAGGCGGAGTCGGCGGAGCCTACTTCGTAGAAGTCTGACCGTACAAGTATCGCTGGGTTCAGGACCGGACTGGGTGGAGAGGGTGGGGAGTATGAGATTTTATAACTGTCTTTCTTCCTTACTCTGTGTCTTACTTATAACTTAGATCTTCCCCGCTCCGCCCTACGCCGTAACCCAAACTTAATTCATCGGTGCATCCAGAACGTGAACGGGGCGAATGTGTGTTCTTATCACATCGATGGTGCGATAGATACATGGAGCTTGTCCTGGTGACTAGCCGCATTGCAAGTTTCCGCCTCATGGGTCGAGCATGAACCTTCGTGGGCGGCTAAAGAATCCATCACAATATAAGATTCAAGATATTTCTGTATGGGCGTAGGACACTGGTTCGATCCTCCCCCGTGAGGCCGTAGCCATTCCCTCTCCCAAATCTTGTACGGTCACCATGAACGAAACGAAATCCTCTGATCAAAGTACGCCCGTTCATGACGACGTTTTCTATTGGGAAAATGTCGTGTTCCTGGTGAATTCTCAATCTGATAAGCGCTCTACTGATGACCTGACCACAATATAGGTCGAGAACATGCTGTTCAACGTTCCGAGATATCATTTCGAGAGCTTTTCTGTAATCTTCAAAACTATGTTCGCTCTTCCCCAAGGAGACAGTCTCAATGTCGATGGTTCAAGTGACGAGCGTCCTCTTATCTTACAAGGCGTAACAGCTCAAGAATTCAGATCCTTACTGAGCGTGATGCTTCACCCGTAAGTGCGCTTCTAATCTTTTTGTTGTAAAGTCGATCTGATGCGTCGTCCAGAGAGCCGCCTGTTTTGACGAAGGAGGCATGGATAGCTGTGTTGAAGCTGTCGAACATGTGGCGACTGGTCAATATCAGGAACATAGCCATCCGGCAAATGAGCGAGAAAGAGATCTCATTCGTCGACAAAATCATCTGGGGCAGAGACTATAAGGTGGTTGACTGGATGATGACGGGATATGGTGGTCTTATCGACCGTGGAGATGTACTGTCATTGGATGAAGGCATGCGAATCGGAGTGCAAGGCGTTATAGGAATATGGCGTTCTCAAGATATCTCCCGTAGAAATGCCGGTCGTTATCGGCGCGATACGAGGGGTATCGTTCTTGAAATATTTGCAGAAGAAATCGGAGACGTCCAAAGGGAGGAGGCGGAATACAATTTGGCGGAATCACGAGCACCATCTCGCGCTAGTAGAGAACCGTCGGAACCTGGAACAATGCTGGGTTGGTGAGGGTACGTAGTAGTAGTCGTCGTAGTCGCACTGGCAAACGATCCATAACAAGAAACTTACAGCCAATGTTTTCCGAGTCCGCGTCATTGTTACCAAGCCTTAGTAGGACTCTGGGCTCAACGGCTCATTGTCTCACCTGCCATCCGCGACATGAATAAAGGTAGATAACCAACAACACATGTCACCTTTCTTCATTGCCTAGCTTATTCTACTCCTTGCTTCAAGCTTGTCGCCGCGTTCCGATGTTCTGGTCGGGATATAGATGTGCACGTACTGATTTTCCTGTGTAGTATCACTACTAATATTCATTGATACCAACGGAGACAATCAATCCAGTATCCAGAACAAAATTCCAGTAGTTACGAAATCCCCGGAGCCGACTCGCTGAACAACACCTCTCTCTGAAATTTCGCACGGTCAACCGTCACCATTAGCGAATCCTTGAACCAAAGTACTCCGATTCACGACGAGGTTCTCTGCTGGGAAAGTGTCGTGTTCCTCGTGAGTCATTCTATCTTATGGACATTTCACCGGTCTAACCGCAACCTAGGTGGAGAAGACGCTGTTCAATGTTCCGAGATCTCTTCTGAAGTCTTCAAAATTATGTTCACTCTTCCCAAGAGGACAATCTCAATGTTGATGGTTCAAGTGACAAGAATCCCCTCGCTTTACAAGGCATGGCGGCTCAGGAATCCAGATCCTTACTGAGCGTGATGCTTCACCAGTAAGTATACATATAATTATTTCGTTGTAACATTGATCTGATGCGTCACCAGAGAGCCGCCTGTTTTGACGCAGGAGGCATGGGTAGCTGTTCTGAAGCTGTCGAACATGTGGAGGTTCATCGGTATCAGGGATATGGTCATCCGACAATTGAGTAATAGAGAAGACAACGTCGTTCACCGATAAGATCGTCTGGGGCAGATGCTATAAGGTGGTTGACTGGATGATAACGTGATATGGCGGTCTTATCAACCGTGGAGGTGTACTGTCATTGGATGAGAGATGCGAATCGGAGTACAGAGCGTTTTAGGCATATGACGTTCTCAGAATTCCCCCCCCCCGGAGGTGCCGGTCGTTATCTGCACGATATGCCAGCCATCGTTCTTGAGGTGTTTCACGAAGAGATCAAGCACATCCTGTCATGAGGCTCGTAGCAGTATTGCAGAACTTGTGTACTGGCATATATGGTAGTGACAGTTATTACCTCGATCATTGCTCGAATCTCCTAGGGTGAGATCAGGAGAAGAGTGAATTCTTGAGATGCGGATCGAGCGAGAGTGGGAGTTTGGGACCAATGATAACATCGAGGTAACAAGTTCCCGAGCGCCCGTAAGGGAACACCCAAGCCATGATGAGTTGAGAGCCCCAGAGGTCCGGAGGAACGTAAGAGGTGGAATGGGAGTGGGCCCAATAGAGAGAAGAGGAAATATGAAGCATTAGAGCTGGATCCATTTCTATATAGAGTTTGTAGGTGTCACTTAGCCAGCGGCCAAGCATTTGAATTTCGTGGTCTAGCATCCGGCTGCAGATGCGCCACCTCATCGAAAGCTATGCCCTGCAAAGAAGGTTGGATCATAGCCAGCCGATGTAAGGGCTTCGCGAATGGTTGAGATGAAGAATGCGCATGTGATCAGTTTGGATGGGTCATCTGGTGAAGGGAACAGGGGAAGCATAACTTCTGGAGCTGCGCCATTTGGAATCAAGGTTTTGAGTGCAGCGATGGGGCCTGTAGGTTTTCCCGGAGCTGCAGTAAGGCGAACAGAAGCACCTTTTCGGAAGGGATCAGTCTCGGATGCGGGCAGGAAGAGAATAGCATGAGAAGCGTCATAAAACCCAGGGAAAAATTGAACTGAAGCCTGCGACAACTGGAAGGCAGGCGAGAATGCTTTATCTGCTGATTTTGTTGTGAATTCCGAGCAACGAAGAAGACCTGAGAATGCGACGCAGCAAGCAGTATAAGTGGCTATGTGCCCTGGCTTGGCTTCTGGCTGGAGATGAGCTAGGATATCTGTGAGTACGGGAAGGGGTATTGGCTGTTTCGGCTTCCTATCTTTCTCACCATGGAAGCGCTTGATGCCTCGGATGATGCACTGTACCAGGGGGAATCTGTGGCTGTGAAGGGGAGATTGAGGTCGGTATGCATGGACTTGACGTGGGTGAGGTATTTTTTGATTGTCTTGGGTTGAATGCAGAGGCCGAGAGAGACAACCCACTGTAGGATCATGTCCTGGGATGCTGGGAGTAAGGAACCATCGGGGTTGAGGAGAGAGTGGAGCTGTACAAATTTGATGTAGGATTTTTGTCCTGTGCTGTAAGTCGACCTTGTACTTGGTGCGAGGCCATGCCAGAGGTAAAATGCGATGGTTTTGCTAAGGTTTGCATGTCTTTGGTACCACCAAGTCAGAGGCGCTTCGAGGAAGGCTGTTTGTCGAGATATGGTGTGAGTTGGAATAGGTGGGTGTAAGCAAAACGAGAAGCAGCATCAGCAAGTGCATTATCAGCAGAAGATAACCAAACGCAAGAAAACGAGAAGTCGAGGTGGCATACCATGCTAAGAAATTGCCGCAAGAACTTCATTGTGAGAGCAGAGCGAATAGTATACGTGTTGAGGGCATCAAAAACAGCCTCATTGTCAATGTGAAAAATCACATGTTTATGTCGAAGTGCATCACTCCAACACAATATAGCGTACAGCGCAGTGTACATTTCCTTCATTTGTATGTGAAGGTGATGAATTTGACAGTGTTTTGGCTGAGAACCACTGAGATCCGAAGATACCACTGATACCCTTTGAGCCCGATACGTCAGTGTAGATATGAATCGTTTCACGTTCTGGCTGTAGAAGGTGCACCCCATTCCAGTGCAGTGCAATGTTGCTTCGTACAGGTGCAGGAATGTGCCGCTGTGAAAATGGCAAGGAAAAAGAGGATGCAAAGTCATGCATTGAATGAATGAAGGCTCGAGACATTGAAATAACTTGCGAACAGAACTAAAGATATCCAGTTAATTTGTCCAAGTCATGCAAGGAGCAGGTACGACGTTTGTGCCAGAGTTCTAGAATTTCGCGAAGATGTGATAGTTTGTCTAGGGGCAAACAGGCTTCCATTTTAACCAAGTCAAGAATGAGCCCCAGAAACTCTATTACTGTTGATTGTCCATCAATCTTGGATGGCTGAAAACGTAGACGCAATTGTTGTCCCAGTGCAAGCATCCAGTCTAAGGCTTTCTGCACTGTATCGTAGGGGTGGACCAGGGAGAATATGCCCAGAAAGTCATCAAGATAATGTCGCAGGTTTGCCAGTATATGGTGCTGAATGATCCAGTGAAGGGCCTCTGCGAAGAGGTTGAAGATGTAGGGGGCTAAACGAAGGCCAAAGCAGAGAACCAGATCATAGAGGAATTCAGCTTCCCAAGAGAAGCCCAGAAGATGCCAGTCAGCCGGCCGGACGGGGATCTGACGAAACACTTGCTCCAGATCGAGCTTGACTAACAGCGAGCCAGGTCCTGAGGCGATCAGATCCTGAACTGCTTTGTTGAACATGTCGTAGGCCATTGAAGCTTCGGAATCAGGAATTCCATCATTTACCGATGACCCACGTGGCCATGAGAGATGAAATATGTGATGGATTTTGGATTGGTGCCTGCGCGTGATGGCACCTTGCAGTGAGGAATGAAAAAACGGGAGCGGGGGCTCATCAAAAGATCCACGTGTGCGGCCTGCAGTGACTTGAGTATGGATGTCAGCGTTGACAGCGACGGGGTGCTCGACGGAGAAGCGAAGGTTTGTGTATGACTGTGAACAGTTGTGGTCCCTCTGATACCCAATATTTGCCCCATGACGAATAATATGTATTATGATGTCTATGAACAGGCGGGAGGGATAGTCCCATAAGTAATGGGACCACGCATCAGCGTAAAGAGAGGAGGAGACGGTTGGCAGGAGCAGCGAGGCGGGAGGGAGCATATTAGCCCGAGGATCGGTATTAGGGCGAGTGAGAGGTGGTGAGAGTGGTGGGAAATTTTTATGAAATGGGAGAGGGGATACGTCCGAAATAAAGGTGCCTGAAGGATGAGATTTGGCTTCACCAGAAAGTGTGTCCGGGCGAGAAGGTGGTGAAGAGTAGCTCGCCCTTCCACCAACCTAAGCAGTCCTTGGGTGGTTGTAGGCACCATGATCAGTTTTGTTGCAGGTGGTGCAGCTATGGGGATGACTCCATGGACACTTCTTTCCAATGCATCTGCCCAAGTTGGAGTTACGACAAGGAGCCGTCCGGTCAGTACCTAGCAAGCCCTTCCCTGCCATGGGGGAGGTGGTTGCCTTCGCCTTACGGTAGGGAAAGAGGTGCTCACCTCGGAACTCCAAGTCGATCTTGCCCCACCCAGCATAGTCTCCGTCCATCACCTCCCTACAGCGCTTGGTGAAGAAAGCCATGTGGTACGAGACCACTGCGTGCCATTCGTATTCAGACGCAATCCTCGAAAGATGAGCTGTGAAACAAAAGACCTGAATGCCAAGCAGTGCCGATTTTCCAGAAGGCTGAGCGTGCATGATTAGAATTGAGAAATACGTCGAGAGGGGATCGATGATTGAGTTCAGGGTCTTGTACTCCTTTAATGCTGCGTCGTCATTGAAGAGCTCGAGCTTGGTACCGTTGAATTCCAGAGTCTTCCTTTCGGTTTTACCCCTGTGCCTCAGGTCCAGCTTGTAGACATCGGAAGCACGAAGGTCATGTTGAATTACCATCGTGATGGTGGCCGCCTCGACTTCATGATGATGAAAGAATGGACGCGTTGGTATGATCCGCATTGGTGTGAACAGTTGCTAGTAAAGCTTCGTGCTCGTCCTTAGATATGTACTCGCAAGTGGTCAGGTGTCGTGGTGGCAGGTCGCGTTTAGGTTTAGCCAGGGTAGAGAGGGGACGAAGCCGAGGATGAAAAGTTCTGTGTGTACCGTAACTGCGAGCAGTGAGTGAGAGTGAGAGGGTGTATTGACATATATGGTAATGACAGTTATTACCTCGAACTTGGAACCAAGGGGAAAAAGCGGTGCAAGTATGCTTACTTGTTTAGACTCCGGCTGGTCTCTAACTTCTCTTCATGAACGATTATGGACGACGGAATCACTGCACAACTACTAATACCCCTCGTTTTGGCAAAGGGAGTATAGAGAAATTCAGACGAGGGCAGGAGGCGACCTCTCGCGCCGAGGATTACCAGCCCAACGAAAGTATCAACAAACGAAAGCAGGCGGCACCTCCAGTTCTTTCTACGGCTGGTCGAGGAAGCAGGCCATCGTTTCGTGGTGCAGGACATGCTTTCAAAGAAGGGAGCTACAGGGGAAGTTTGAGTCGTCGCTACTCTGGTGCCGGAGGAGGACCTCTAAGAGCAAATTTCAGCTCTTCATTGCATACCGTATCTCCCTGGAAAACGGTCAATGCTCTTCCTGTCCGCATATATGCATCTCAAGCTTCATACTCCTCTACAACTGACGACGACGGTCAATCCCGCGACCGCACTATCGAAACCGTTGAAATGCAAGCCCTTAACAGCACGACGGAACCACAGAACAAGCGACAGAAGCTCTCTCATGAAGACACTGCCGTTGTAGCTGCCCCATTGTCACATTACCAGCCGTCCGACGCGTCTTTAAAGTCCGAAGAGGTCGACATAGATCTAGAGGGGTCCCCGTCAGCAACGCTGGTAACGTCTGGATCGAAATGGTACCATCCACTTCCGCCAGATTGTCGTAAATCAAACCCCAATTGGTCTGCTAACCGAAAGCATTGGTTCAAGCAAGAGGGAAAATTCCTGAGGTCTCGCGGACTAAACATCCTGAGGAACTTCTTCAGGTATGTCGACTCTGCCATTTTTGTCTGCGTTCATGTTAAAGTCCCATTTGCAGAGATGATGGGATGGTAATTGACTGGTGCGATCTGCCTGTCTTTGCTTGTTTGTTACTGACGAGTTTTTAGGTCAAGTCCAGTGCCAGTCTGGTCTGACACTCTCGAACCAGAGCAATCATCTTCATCTTCATATCCTCCTCCCATTCCGATTACCTCCAAATCTAAGAAGCGTAAGGAGACCAAGTCCTCAAAACATCTTTTGAATGGTATCACTTCCAGTGAACCCATCATCTTACCTGGTTCATCCCTTATTCCCCCTTCCAATGCCAACACCGAGATAAACTCAACCATACCGGTCCCGAGTGACGAACCGGAAACTATCGTTATTGACCATGACGACCATACGGAGCTTGCTACACAACTACCTATAGCGCTAGCTGTCACTGAGGTTGATCGGCAAGCGACTATGGAATCTCACGCTTTGCAGTACTTGAAACAGTAAGCTCTTACGGCCGTTCCTCTTTCTTATGCTAACCGTGCCTGCAGATATGTGTTGACATTCGATGGTGACCGCTCGCTTCTCCGGGAGGCGTACGCTGAAAATGCTCTTTTCTCGTACTCAATCGTACGTGACAAACCTCTGTCCATCTCTGAGGCCCATTTGTTTTCTGGATGCGAAACGTCATCCAGTAAATATCTCTGTCTTCCTTGCCCAATTCTATAGTCTTCATTAATCTACTTAGATACGGCTTTTAAAGTCGGTCCTTCTGACATCGTGGAGACGCTCAAATCTTTTGGAAAGCACCAGTTCTTTCCACGGGGAGCTACACTGAATGCCGATTACGACCTGCTTTACCTTGAGAGCGAGCAGATCCTCCTTACTGTGCACGGCCAGGTCGCCGACCCGCGGTCACACGAGGAGGACGCCAGGGTGGCTGTTGATCAGAGCTTTGTGTTATGCTCGTATGTACTGGTATTGGTGCAATGACTCCATATTCTGATATTTCTCAGGAACGAGGACTCGGGATCGTGGCCGTTGGTGGCTGTCTCCCACCAGATGATTTTGCGCGACAAGGTTTGGGTCCCGGCGTCTCAGTTGAGGTTGCCATGTTTGTGAGACCGGTGGACGTTGAACATACACAATTATTGTACTAATCCGTGAAAAGTTGTAGCATTAGGTTTGTTGTAGATATTAAGATACTCAAGGAGAGAATACCCTCGGTGCTACTTACATACTTCTAGTGCCAAATTCAAGCGAATGAGTTTTCTTGCTGAGATTTGTTCCTTACGACTACGCACGGTCCACACGTTGTGGTTTGGTCGTAGGCGCCTGACCAGCCACAGCAGCGGGGCCAAGAAAGGCACGACATTCAGTGCCAGTCGAATATTGAGGGTTACACCCTAATTCGGAATCGGACTGGGTGCGCTAGCGCTGGTTGCCAGTCTAAGATGATGGCGGAAAATCCACAAGGGGCCTGACAGGATCGCGATACAAACTGATAGAAATCAAAACCAAAGCGGTGTCCAGAGCCTAGTGAAAATATATATTAGAGATGCATGTTCACTACTGCTAAAGGTGGAGGTACAATCCTGGGCGTTTTGTACAGGCAGTCGAATCCACGAAGTAGGTTAGCCGAGCTGACTCACTGTACTCGAAATGCAACACAAAAATGCGGATCTACACACATGGTGCCAGTATCTTGAGGATGATGACGGGACAGCCTAGGCGTCGGGCTGGAACAACGCAGGTACGCTCTCCCATTTAATTCTCCTGTGCGATGGCTTGAAGTCATAGGCTAGCTCTCGAACGCACGGACGAGGAACGGTTGTCAATGCTTCTTAGAGGTCTCTTGACGGTAGATGGGCAGCAATGCGGTGCTAATGACGGCTGTTGTGACAGAAATTCAGGGTACGAAGAGGAAAAGTAGTACGCCACACTATTCATGGCATACTACCTAGTCTAAGGCCTGTCCGGAGCCGCCGAGTCTGTGTTCCCCCCTCAAGGTCCCCTGTCTGGTTGCGTTTCCCTGTGTCGAATGTTTAATTGGCTTCTCAAGTATATGTGACCTCTCGAGATGTCGCTTGGATGGCCGCCGCTGAAATGCCAATCGACCCTAACTGATCAGTGATTTGCTTTTTTTGAAATGATGCCAAGGGATTGGCATTCTGTCGCAGCAGGTCGCAGTGCAGATCAAAAAATCGAGAACGACCACCACTACTGTTCAGTAATTAGATGTAACCGCAAGGAGACAAGGAGTTGAGCAGTATACAATCCACGAGCGAGCATTTCGGTTACCAAGGTCATGAGCTAAGTTGAGATCTAGGCAGGCCGCCGTGCTGCAATGCTCACGTGGATCACCTTTTACTCTCTTTTCCCCACACTACCACGTCTATTTCTCCAATTCTTCCAATGGTTAAAAGGAAGACCGACACCAGAAAGTAGTTGCCGACATATATTGCAAACAAACTGTGGAAAGCTGAAACGGAAACGACAGATTTATTCGCGTAACAAGCGGAAGCCATGTGTTTGGAAAAATGCCAAGCTAGAGAAGGGCCCTGCCCAGGTCAACTTTGAAGGTCATGATTGAAGTGGCTGTCCAGCCTGGACCGGCCTCCGGCGACTCCAGCGCAAATTCAGGCGTCAAACTTATAGATTTGGAAACCCTCAAATGCCGTCTCGCAAACATGTTCCGACCAAACATACTTTCCTTCCTTAACCTTCCTCCTTCACATCATAATGTTGTCCGTGAGTCTCTTGGCTCTTGGATTATCCTTTGCAGCTTCAGCATCTTGCCATTTGCATGCTCCTCTACGCACTCGTGCAATAATTGACGCAAGTAGTCTCGCCGACAGCTATGACTATATTGTCGTAGGCGGTGGCTCTGCGGGTCTCGTCGTTGCTTCCATTCTTTCAGACAATTCTAGTGTTTCTGTTCTTGTTCTTGAGGCCGGCCAGTCAGGAGATGATGTTGCCGTTCGGCGAGGTGAGTTGGCTCCCCGTAGTTGGTCGTGTTCGAATCTGAAGAAAAAATTCAGATACTCCTGGAATGACTTATTATAATGGCCTTGGCGGTACTTCCTACGACTGGTCGTTCTCAACTGCCACACAAACCAACCTCAATGACCGGATTCTAACGTGGTCCCGAGGCAAGATCCTTGGTGGTTCTGGTGCGACGAACGGCATGTACTACACCCGTCCCAACACCATCGAGATGAATGCATGGGCCGGCTATCTGGAGTCACAAGACTCAGCTGGCTCCGCCAAGTGGGGCTGGGACAATTTCTACTCGGTCATGAAGAGTATGGAAACCTGGACGAAGCCCACTGATGCGGCAGAATCCGTTGGTAATATTCAGTACGACTCTTCTGTTCACGGCACCAGCGGTCCCCTCCATTCATCTTATCCCGCTGTGTACGTAATATTTCTATCACATGCCTCTGAATACTCAATTTTCGCAATAGCGAGCTGGGTTTGGTCGGTAACTGGACCGAAACTTGTCTCGCAGCTGGTATTCAGACGCGTACCGATCCTCATGGCGGAGAGAACTGGGGTGCCTTTGTTTCTACCTCCTCTATAAATCCCACCAACTGGACTCGGTCGTACTCGCGTTCGGCCTACATTGACCCCCTCCCGCCACGGTCCAATTTGGCTATCTTACCAAGTGCCACTGTCACCAAGATCGTATGGGGCAGCTCCGACAGTAATGGTCTCAAGGCTACGGGCGTTTCCTGGGCCGCATCTTCAAGCTCAACGGAGCAGACCGTCAATGCCAATAAAGAAGTTATTCTGGTACGTTACTCTTTTACTTTTCTAAATCAAGTCTTAGATTGTTTTAGGCCGCCGGAGTCGTTGGCTCGCCCCACATCATGCTCCTTTCTGGTGTTGGGCCTTCTAGTGTTCTTTCCAGCGTGGGTATCGACCAGAAACTCGATCTGCCAGGAGTGGGCCAGAACGTCCAGGATCATGTCGGTGCCGGTGTTTCTTTCGCTACCACGGCGGACACTTTGGGTAGTATTTATGCAAGCAATTCCACTTATTCAGTACGCGTATTCTTATCACAATGGCATTTTGTACTGATATGATGCCCTAGGAATCGACTGAGTTCCTTTCCCTGATCAACAATGCCATCGCTTACGTCAATCTGACCGTCCTCATGGGATCTGGTGCCGACACTTGGATTCAGACTGTCAAGAACGACTATAACACCAGCACGAGTTATCTTCCTTCTACTGATTCCACCATTGTTTCTGGCTATGAGACCACTTTCAAGACCATTACGGAGACATATTACGCCAGTGAAGACCCTCAAGTTGAGATCTTGCTTTCGTTGAACTCAGCGGGTACCGTGATCATCCAAGCAGCACTTCAGCATCCTTTGAGCCGAGGCGAGATTACAATCAACTCTACATCGGCGTTCGATTCTCCTGTTATTAACCCCAATTACTTCGCGCACTGGGCAGGTAAGTCGTTTTTGCATCTGAATGGTGTATTAGTGTCTCTTACAATGACAAATTTTACAGACCGTGACATTCTCCGTGCGGCGTACAAGCTGTGTCGTACGATCGGTGGAACTGCCCCTTTGTCGAACTACCTTGGCACTGAGTCTAGTCCCGGAACTAATGTCGACACTGATGATGAGTGGAACACTTGGATGAACTCGAACGTGCACACAGACTACCATCCCATTGGTTCGATGAGTATGCTTCCTAAGGACCAGGGTGGCGTGGTCGATACCAGCCTCAAGGTCTACGGAACTTGTAAGTATAATCTTCTCGTGTGACACCCCCACCTCAACTCATTTCATCATCAGCGAACGTCCGCGTCATTGATGCTTCTGTGATTCCGATTGAAATGTCTTCCCATAGTGGTAGTATCTCTTTCGCGTAAGTTAGCCATTCTCTCACGTGTGGATAATTGGTTTATCAGTCCATCTTTAGCATTGGTGTCCAGGGAGCGGAACTCATTCAAAATCCCGTAACATCATCGACCTCCACATCGTCGGCCTCGTCTCACAGCAGCAGCTCAACATCAAGCTCTGGTTCCAGTCCCAGTTCCAGTGGCTCCGGGGCTGCCACATTGATGCTTCCTCCTCGGGAAGCCTTTGGTGTTGCGGCTATCATTGCTGTCACCATGCTATTCCTCTAGGCAGACGTAGCCCTTGATGTTGATATTACGACTTTTAACGCCACAAACCCATCCGTCGTCACTCCTTAAAAACCGCTACTTCTCTTTTCGTCAGGACTTTATAGGCTTCGACGGACATAACCATACATACCTCAATACAACATACCTGTCTGTTTATTATACCCATGGACTCTTCGAGCGTTGCCAGCATAATTCCGGTACCTCGAACGTTAGTCACAGGTAACTAGGGACATTACTACTCCTTTCTTCCTTCATTATTCAGGGATAGGGACGTTAATCTAATGTATCGATACAAGTGTAATTACGGTCGCGACTGTACCAAAAGTATTGCAGTAACCAAGTATTACGCTTGTGTTTACAATTTTTCGCGATGAACGTTCTTTCAACTTTGGCTTTCGGAGAAAACTGCAACGCCTTTCAACAAACATTCTCCCAGTTAACTGTGGCACAATGACGCTTGACCAGGCCCAGCTTGAAGGGTCGGTTTCGGCCCTTACAGCCCTTACAGCATTTCGGGAGCGTTTAGGCGCATCACGGATTCTGACGGAGAGTCCCGCAGCGTGGAAACAGGAAGGCCGACACAGAGATACTTTCAAAAAATCTCATCATAGAGCGGCAGCTAAGTAACTAGGGAGATCGAGGCGAAGAAAGTTTTAGCTTCTCCTCGCTCTTTGATAACGGGCCAGAGGAACTTGGACGACTAGCCTGGAAAGACTGACTAGGAGACCGAAAAATGAAATTGGACCTCGGCCGCTGCCTGCCAATGGTCAATTCCTACAGTCGAGTATCATATGGCCATGCTTTTTAATCTATTTACGAGGCTTAGGTTGCATTGATAGCGAATCTAGAAACTATTGAACCGGAGGGCATTTTTGGGGTCCCGGACGCTATAAGTGCAGGCAGTTGTTCTATTCAGTTAGCATCGTGTAGATGGCTTTCTCGAATTGTTTGACGCCCATTGCCTATGTCCTAGGGTACAGATTGTTAATCCGCCTTTGTTACTGAATTTACGACTCAGGCGGGTCTATGTTTCCTGTATTGGTCTAGTGGCCCCTATAGCCCCCAGGAATGATTGTTCCCTTGTTCATATGGTGGAAAAAAAAAAAACAAAAAACTCTGGAATCGCAGTCCATGATAAGCTGACTTTCCTAGGCCTGGTACTTTCCACTGAGCAGAACGACTTAATAGCGCATTCTGGAACTGCAGGTTGGACCAGGCTTGCATAAAGTTGGACTTGCAAGTGTCTAAACTGAGCGCATGGAGCAGCAGAGTCTGCGATACAAACATGAAGTTAGACTCACACGACTACATCAAGAAAATTTTTCCATCCCGCGATGCTGGATAACGTTGTATTTAGCTTCTTCTTGAAGCTGAAGGATACGTTGCGCCAGGCACTCGGTCGCAGATCGGCAGTGCCTTATTTTTGCGAGCCCAAGATGCAATCCGAGATCGAAGAATTGGAGGCACGAGACAAACGGTGTTGAACCCCCCAGTGATAGACTATTCTTAGTGTAATTCACAAGCCGGTTACGCACCTTAATTATTTCTTGAAGAAGCCCACACATAGTCCGACAATCGGCATATGGTGATCCGTTAGAAAAATCAGAAACTCGCCTACACTCCAGATCTTCCTTCGATTCATCCACGGTCCACTTCGCAAGGAAAGGGAAAGCATGACGTTGCACCCCATCATATCAGGCTAGAACCTGTACCTGTGACAAATGGAGTAGTCCCGGCCACATATGAAGAGGCCACAGACAGAGCCTCTCTTCCTTCGATTTCCCTCTTTCGCTCTTTCAAATTTGACGACGACGACTAATGGCAGACACATTCCAACCATCCAGCTTGGTCTACACGCCACCCCGCCGCCCCTCTCAAAACCTCCGTACCTTGCTCGCTTACATAGACTCGCGTAACCACCTAAGCCCAGATATCATGAAATACTTCCACGCCACTCTCGAGCACCGCTACCTCCCAAAATCACTCGGGAGACCGGTACTCAACAGACGACAGTACGGGGAATATATGTCGCAGTTACAGCCGATGTTTAGGTCGTTCAGGGTGCGTGAAACCCCTCGGTGCTCGCTCTCGCTGAAGAGGAGCCACTCGTGGTTTGTTTCGTGTTTATTGTGTCCTCGTTTTGACTACCTTCAGATGACGTTACACCAAGTGATCGAGACGGGCGACACGATCGTGTACCATGTACGTTATTCTTCTGTCCCTGCTCATCGTTGCTAATTAATTTCGGTTAGGCCACAGCCGTAGGAGAATCGGTCTCTGGCGCACGGTACGACAACGAATACATGACAACCATGCAGTTCGTTATGGGTGAACACGGCCCGCAGATTTCCTACGTGAAGGAGTATGTCGACAGCAGGAAGACGACGGAGTTTTTCCAGGAGCACAGTGCACGAGTGGCGGAGATCAATAGACGGAGATCACAGTCAGTGTCACAGGGTTCGTAGTAGAGAACTCAGTGGATATACATATGCTTGCCATTAGAAATTGTACACCCAGTTTAATTATCAAAAGTAGTATGCATGCCCCTCACACCTGTTTCGCTTCAATCAGCCACCGAAACCGCAGACCAATGATGCACCGACCACTCTGTATTCAAGAATCAAATAATATAAACGTTTTCCTTGTGAATCTCATAGCCCTCCAACTTCTTGAAGAATTCCAAACGCGCCTTGCGCTCCTCGACGAACTTCTGTAAATAGATATAAATATAAAGTAACCAGTAGAAGATGTTGACCAACCTCGTCAACATCATCATTAACCGCCTCATGTTCTTCCTTCTTTGGTCTCGTCTTCGTCTTCGACTCTGACTTTGTTCGCCGCCCCCTTGTTGTCTTCCTGTCACCCTCTTCTTTATCCGGGTCCTCCTTCTGACCACGTTGAGTCTGTCGACGGACGCGTCTTTTCGGCAATGATGCCTTCCATTCTTTCGCCAATTTATCCGGATCTATGCTTTCTCGCGGGATAGTCTGCCTTTGCTTCCCTCTTCGCGCCCTAACCTTCTCGCCTTCACCAACTTCACTACCCTCGTTGTCATTGTTTACCGGGTCCTCTTGAATTTGGGATATTTCTGCATCAGAATCGTCGGAGGATTTATGTTTCGGAATTCCGGAGCTTTCGGGTTTGACCGACGAGGGCGTGCTTGGCAAAGCGCCCGATGTTCTGGGTGCAGGAGATACAGTCGCCGGGTAAAGCTTCTGTCGAGGGGTTGTAACAGGCGCTTGTTCATTACGATCCAGCATGGGATGAGTCAGCGGTTGTTCCCGCCTGTCCGCCTTGAGCGTCTCCTCAACAGCAAAGAACCCAAAAGGGTCGCTGCCAGTACCGCGATTTATTGGAGGTGCTTCGAAAATAACGTCCTGCGCGACATAGCACCGGGGGGAGAAATCTAAATAAAACGCCTGGTCCAGATCCTCCCCGTTATATCCAAAACGTGTACTCTCTGTAGTGAATTCGTGAAAGTCGTCGGAAGTGGCGGTAGGCAAAGAGTCGGATTCTGGCCCTGCCTCCAATATCGGAGATGAAAAGCGCGTCGGAGAGGAAGGAGGTAGTGGACTAAGAGCCTTGGCCTTCAACTTAAGCTTTTCTCCCAGTGCCCCGATTGGTGCTCTTCCTCTGCGTCTCGGACGACTGGCATTAGAGCCGATATTTTGTAGTGGCTGGTTGTTGCGTGACTGAGAATCCAACTTCAAGTCAGCAGTGTCTTCACAAATGTCGCTAGGTTGTTGCAAACGAATGGAGCGTGTTCTGAGAGAGCGCGACATGGTGGTATTAAATCAAGAAATATGTGAAATGTGACACTGTGACTTGACATAGACGCGTCGATCACGTGCCGAAGATTCATAAGATTTTTCATTTCAAGGGTTTCGGGAGTCGGAGTCACTATGTTCCGGTTGTTCTCTTACCACCACAACACAAAATGATGGCCTGATATACCGGAGTCCTTTATAATCTTACCATTTATTATTTTATCGATTGCTACGTCGACATGTCTCTCTCTTCATGGACTTTTCACAGATCGGCGCAAAGGGCGCTCGGATGGATACAAAGACGGTGCATGAGCGTTCGACCAGCAGAGTCGAACGACAAGGTGAACAGTGCGTCTCCATATCGTTGTGGTTCATGTCTTCTGCAGTATCCTCACTATGATTTTAGATGACCCTAGGAAAAAAGTGACTATTCAGACCTTGAAAACACTTAAAAGCGCAAACATACCAATAACGATGCTTACGGCCTATGATTATCCCACCGCAGTCTCTGCTTCTTCTAATGCTCTTATTGACGTTACCCTTGTCGGCGACTCTCTAGCCCAGGTATGCCTGGGGTACACTTCGACGACCCAGCTAACCCTCCCGGAAATGATTCACCATGCCCGAGCAGTTGCTCGCGGAACCACCCACCCGCTGCTAATAGCGGATATGCCATTCGGGTCCTTCCACGTTTCCAACGACAATGCCGTGGAGAATGCCATCCGTCTGATCCGCGAAGGCCAAGTCGAAGCGGTCAAGCTCGAAGGCGGCGAAGAGGTCGTGCCCATTGTGCGGCGACTCACGCGTATTGGCATCCCTGTAATGGCACATGTGGGCCTTTTGCCTCAAAAACACCTAGCCATGTCCGGGTACAAGGTGCAAGGAAGAAGTGCCGCGGGTGCCAAGCGCGTGATTAACGACGCTTTGGCTCTCGAAGACGCTGGCGCGTTTGCCGTCCTCGTCGAAGGAGTTCCGAAAGAGCTTGGGAAACATCTAACGGAAAAACTTCAGATACCTACGATCGGTATCGGCGCGGGTCCCTGGACAAGTGGCCAGGTATGCACGTACACACATGCTCTTCGTCCCTTAACTGATGACGGACTAGGTGCTCGTATGGGACGACATAATGGGTACCTGGTGCGGCCACAAGGCGAAGTTTGTCCGCCGGTTCGCCGATCTGAAAACGCCCAGGGATAAGGGTGTGCAGGACTATGCTCAGGCCATCCGAGAGCGTATGTTCCCCTCAGAAGATACCGAAAGCTACACGATGGATCCTTCTGAGCTAGCCAAATTATCTGACTAATCATACATTACTTTTCTGTTTGTTATTAGCAGAGTTCTAAAACATGGTCAGCATTGATGATTCAATACCTAGAGCCTAGCACGAAACGCAACTTAAGGTACCATCCGTCTTTCTATGCTCTGCTTCTGTACTTGAGGATCTGTTCAAACGGTGAGCAGACGAAAATTTGGACGACCCAGGCTAGTATATATCAGGTATAGGTCAGCGGACGGACATCAACGAGTTAATCGGGGTTCATTCATTGGTGGGACATAGTTCGACATGTAGCGATTGGTTTTATAACCTCAACCAAGATGATGAATCCATCAATAAACGGCTGAGCTCAGATATCTAAGGACCATGGATTCATTTGAAAGTCTCGTCGACAGAATAGATATAGCAAATTGTTAATGGTGTAAACTACACCAATCATAGAGTCAGCAGTGAAACCACCCCCCCTCCGCCCCACGTCAAAGAAAGACATAGAAGTATATATAGAGATGGTCAAATTGATCCATCACTCGACTGTGTATTGTTTCCGAACTCAAACGCAACTTCATTGACCAAAGAGCAACCACTGAAATGACGTTCTCGTTGAGAATCTGTGTCCTTGATAGAAAACGTAAACGTACCTTATCCTGAGGTCAAGCCCCTCATCTACAAAAGCCCAGAGTTTCGGGATACACTCGGGTTCTGATTCGAGGTCACTCATGTACAGTTGCAGGGTAAAGTGCCGCAATCTCGTGGCTACAGTTTCGTTTCGACGTTGAAGCATCACAATGACGTCGCGCAAATCGCACGCAGAGTTACGCGGTAAAACGACAAGGTTTTCAAGCATCGGAAGCAACGAGGATAGTGCTTGAAAGAAGGGTGCCATGGAGTCCTTTTGCGGCTTGGGAATGTAGTTCCCGAAGTTGTCATATTCTCCATATTCCGGTTCTATCTCCAGGTGCGCGAGATGATATTGCTCGGAGAGGAAATTCACGAGATCCGAGTGATGGATCATCCTGACATTGAACTGGAGGAATTGGAGTTGACAGGCTGAACGACAAAGAAAACTAGACAAAATATTGAGTTCGTCGGTTGTTAAAGTCTCATGAAAGGTGAGATGGATAAGAGAGGGAATCGTCATGTATTTGAGATGAGACAGGAACGCAGAATGCAACCCTAGCTCAAGAACCTGCAGGGAGCTGTGGATCAAAGGTGTTGATATAGCACCTCCTGCCAGCACCGACGTTCTCAATACCCTTATCTCCGGAGCCCCACTAAGGATATGCAACAGATTCTGCATACTTATAGGGCCTACATTCAATTCCTCAAGCTGCCGAGGAAGATGAATCGTTGTAGACGGAGATAACCAAACCTTTCGAAGCTTTGGGGCGGTATCAAGAATACCGGTGGGAATTTCAGTCCCTGTAACCGATCCATAACCCGGGGCGACGTGGAGGGAGAAGCATTCGAGGGAGGATAGGTCGAGTGGCGCTGGAAACATTGATTCTGGGGAAAGTCCGAGCATGAATACCACGTCACGCCATCGAGATGACTCTTCAGCCAGTCTGTCTACTGCGTCAGACATAACACCATCAGGTCCAAAGAACGACCAAAATGTTAGAGGCGCGTTTCCGGAGCGACGAAGGGCGACGTCTAGCTTGATCAACAAACGCTCGGGATCAATGTTAAAATCCTCTGCGATGACCATGTTCGACCAAAGGGTAGGGAGTGACAAGGATATTTGCCTCCAGGAGTGACAGATGTGGCCCAGTATCCAAGGGCTTTCGGCGATATTGGCCACGTTGTAAGTATCACCGTTGAGGGTCTGTAAGAAGATTTCTCCGAGCACATCTGGAGGCAACCGATGTATACCAGTAGCAGGTTCTGTCAGTGAGTGCTGGAGAAAGGCGATATGAGCATCCAGTGATCGATGAAATAAGAACACGTACCGAAGACATGGTGGTCAGGATCAAGTTCGTAATGACTTCCTTTTTCTCTTCCATGACTAGCGCCTATCACACATATGTTTTCAACGTGGCCAGGATTGGTTGGAGATAGATTCTACGAAGGGAAGATAGGAAAGTGGTACGCTTGAAATCGTGTTACCAGATCCTCGCTCTAACCTTTGCAAGAGGCCTGGCTACACATCCTTCAATACGATGAAAAGGGCTCATTCCGTGTCTCTTTCGGCGGACATGTCACAGACGCTTACCCCATTAGAAGCCGAGGTCTATCTGATCTTGTGGCGTAATGCCCCCGTTCACTCTGAGAAAATACGAACATCTTGAAGAGCCGCTAGCTGTACAGCCAATATCCCAGTCCTCTAGTCACAGCGAGAGCTATTACTGGGAAGACATCGTTGTACAGGTAGGCTTCCGTCTTCGAGCGCACAATAGTCTCCCATGCATTTCGTTCATAGGTCGAAGACACCCTCTTTCGGTTTCCAAAGCATCACTTGATGGAAAGATCAGAAGCCTTCAGGTCGATGTTGTCTATGCCACAAGGAAGCAACGAACCTGAGGGTTTCAGTGACGACCGGCCCATCAAGCTCTCAGGTATCAGTAAAGTCGAGTTTGAACGGCTTCTTCAGGTCCTCCACCCAAAGCCAGTAACAAAACCCTTCGCGATTAACGTACATGTACTGACAGAAAGGTTACAGAGACGCGCAGAAACAACCACATCTATCACTGAATGCGTGGCTTTCCGTTATAAAGCTATCCAGCTTATGATGGTTAGCGGGTACGCGACATATCGCCATCTCCCGTTTGACGACGCTTCTGTGCAAGACAGATCCGGTGGATAGAGTCATCCTTGGCAGAAAGTACTCGGTGGCGCAATGGCTTTCTTCCGGATTCATGGATCTAGTGCATCGCGTAGAGCTGGTGTCTCCGGAGGAGGCGGAAAAGATTGGCTTGGACACGGCACTTGAGATTCAGCGTGTGCGGGAGCGCTTTCTCCGGTCTGCCTATGATAGGGTCGAAAGGTCAAATAATCTCTGGATCGAAGTCCATGGGCCATCATTTGATCCGGACCAGGTGAAGAATGCGATAGAAAACGCGTTTAAGAAGGTGTTGGAGGGTGTTGAAGCCGATGGGTCGTTGTTTTACGAGTAGTTCAATATTGTAAGATAAGTAAGGAGATGTCTTCAATGTCAGAGTTGGAGGGAATCTGATTTGTGCATGAACAAAACAGAATTGTAGATGTCTAATGTCGTCATATCGGAGACTAGCAGAACCACTGACTCTATGGCCACCGTCTGTTCGTCGTCTCAGTCAGGACTGTTAGTGGGAAGCCGTCGTTCTCCAGATAGCCATGATGAATATCCTATCCATCATTTTTGTAGATCGAAGACACCTTTCGAATACCAAAATAATATTGTGGGGGAGTCCGAAATTTCGATTTAATATTGTCTCTGCTGCAGTGGAGCAACGAACTCGAGTGCTTCAGTGATGATGCGCCCATAAAGTGTTAACACCAGGAAAAATCAACTTTGAACGGCTCATCCAAGTTCTTTACCCAAGGCGAGCCTTGTTATCGTTCGTCTGATGCGAAATATACTGATAGACAATTTTGTAGAGATAACGCCAAGGCACGTAGTAACGGTATTTTCGGCAGAGTCGGGCAGACCGAATCCTGGTTCGGTCGTGCATTGGATTTCTTCCGGATATGTGAACCTAACAGCGCCAATGGTCTGCCTAGAGGAGGCAAAAAAGATAGACTTACGCTTCTCATTGACCATGTGAGAGTCACCCTAGAAGAGGAACAACCAGAATTTGTAGGCGATATGGATACAACGACGATTACTATTATTGTGACAGAATAGAGGAGGACGATATAGTGGAACAAGGGCTAGAATGGACGTTCCGGGAGCAGTTAAAAGACGTCGAGGCTGAGGACCCCGAGCAAGATTTGAAGCCAGCTTGTAGAGACGGTTGTATGCGTCCTGGCTTCTGCCTAAGGTCGACGCCGGATTAGCCGAAGTAATATTCTTTTTCTACCTGTGGTGACCAGCCTGTCTAATTCAATGACGAAAATAGTAAAGGAAGCAATCTTAACAGTGCCATTTGAAAGTCATTGGCGGGTAGAATCCTGGCTAAATGTGGTCGGACCTACTACATATCTTCCAAATTCGTTGTCACATTTGCGGATGGGGAACGAAGCTCTAATCGTTTGCCAGGTGGTACCCGTCAACGTTAACGTTAACGGCAGAGTTGATGCTGATGTAAAACTTACAGCAGCTCTTGCTATCAAGAAGAAATGTACGCTTATCTCTAGAATAACGTACAAGAAGGCAGCAGTCCGCATGAGTGGTAAGATATAGTCTCTTGGGGCATAATGTAGCGCATACATGATGTCGGCCTGAAGAGGATTAATCATATCATGGGATCGCCACAAAGCGCCTCAAAACCATCGGTGCCGTTATGGTGTCAAATGCCTCCCTATAACAGCGAGTCGAATAATATCTGCAGCCCGGATTCGTTGGCGCCACATGCACTGTTATTACCCCATTCTTGAGGGGAAAATCAGCAATCCTGACTAATCAGCGGAGTGTGTGGGTCCAACTTCGCGCATACACGGCGTCTTGACGGAAAGCTTGGGAATTCAGCGGCGAAAATGCGTTGATCAAGCAAAGGATGCAATCGCTATTCTGGTCTGTATCAAACTCTTGGTTGCGTTACGGCCCTTTCAACCTACAGCCAACTATCCTTAGTAACCTCTTTACTCTCCCCTTTTTGGGCAGTATCGTCATGAGCTGCTTGAAGGTATTTAGGACTTGGGCTTCAGTTTCTGGTGACTCCAATGCACATCGGATACCTTAGTCTATCAGAAGGACTTAGCATAGACTGTAGGCATTTCCGGAACGCTCAGGTTACGATACGCAGCGGAGAAGAACAGTCGATATCTGTTATCACCTGATGTGCAAGGTCATTTGATTGGTCTACCTCTCCGTATAAAGGACCATGTCTCATACGGCTAAAACTACACGCTATAATGTCGACTCCCATCCCCCAGCCGCCTACGGTTCCTTTCCTTGGAAATACTCGTGACTTGGACAGAGATGTACCGATCCAGTCCTTTATTCTTCTCGCCAAAACGTATGGCGAGATCTACCAGCTCGATCTCTTGGGTGGGGATACCCATCTGTCTAGTTGGTGGGTGTACTGACCGTTGTCACCCACAGGCGGACGAAAAATGATATGCGTCAACTCGCATGCCTTGGCGAACGAGATCTCCGACGACAAGAGGTTTAAGAAGAGCTTCGCGCCCGCGTTGTATCAAGTCCGCAACCTTGTCGGCGATGGCTTATTCACCGTAAGGCGGTTCTACCTGGCTCCAGCATTGACTGACAAAATCTTTAGGCTTCTGGTGATGATTTGTATTGGGGCATCGCTCGTAAGTAGAGCCTTACTCCTGACATATTTATGCTAATTATCTTCTTAGACCGTATCTTAATGCCCGCATTCGGTACGATGTCTGTACGAGGTATGTTAGATGATATGAAGGACATCTGCGGTCAGCTACTTTTGAAGGTTAGTTTTCCCATCATTTCGTCTTCACCATTGACTAGGGTGTCACCATATATAGTGGGAACGGTTGGTCGTTCCAGTCGAATAAACCTGCTTTGGTTGCTTATTGTTTTAAAAGCTTTGGACCTGATGCTATCATCGACCCTGCCGCCGATTTCACTCGAGTTGCTCTGGATACAATCGCGTACTGTACCATGTCTTATCGGTGAGGTCTCCCACTTATCACATGCATGTACTTGCTCATATCCGGACTAGACTGAATTCTTTCTATACTGTACGACTTCACAGTCATATTGCAATCAGCTAGCTCATATCATACGATACAGGAAACCCAACAGCCTTTTATCAAGTCTATGGTCGACTTCTTAAAGGAATGCTTTGTTCGCTCCAAGCGGCCTCATCTCGTTCAGGCTCTGATGCATTCCGCAACGGTTAAATATGAAAATGACCAGCAGATCATGCGGGATGTTGCAAGCTCCAGTATGTAGCACGTTGTTCGTCGTATTACTGTCCCTTTATAACTGGTCCCAGTCATTGATGACCGCAAGCAAAATCCTATCGACAAGAAGGATTTGCTCGACCTGATGCTGAATGCCAAGGACCCTAAAACTGGTCAAGGACTTTCAGAAGAAAACATTGGTTACAATGTGTGTGAACATTATTCTAGCTGCACAGTGCCTTCTTTCACTGACCGAGTCCTTAGCTTCTGACTTTCTTGATTGCGGGTAGGTGCGCTTCTTTATGGTTGCATTTTTAGCTGATACCTCTTGCAGGACACGAAACATCGTCGGGTAAATCAAGCAGTTCTGTTTTCTTTCTCATCTCACCATTTCCGAACAGGAATGATGACCTTCACGGTCTACTTCTTACTCAAAAATCCAGAAAAGATGAGAAAACTTCGAGACGAAATCGACGAGGTCTTGGGAGGACGCCCTGTAGAAGTCGGAGATTTCGATAAACTCCCTTACCTTGTTGGTAAGTCATAAATCATCTTTCTCGAGGAGGGCCACCGATGTTCTTGAACGAAGCTGTGATGCGGGAGTCGCTTCGTTTAGGGCCAACAGCGTCCTCGCGGTCAGCAGCACCCATTGAAGACACTACTCTTGGTGGTAAATATTTCGTCAAGGCCGGCAATTCCATCACTATCCAAACATATCTTATGCACAGAGACCCCAAAGTATGGGGAGAAGATGTGAGTGGATAGATGCTTGTGCGTTTCGGACTATCTCTAACGGTTCGTTTAGGCGGAAGAATTCCGGCCAGAAAGAATGATGGATGGGAAGTTTGAAGCCTTGCCAGTGTGTTTTCTGCTCGTTGCTTAATTTTAGTAAACTTACTTCGTTGATGAATAGCCCAACGCATGGCAACCCGTAAGCAGCTTCGCATTTGGTCTTTTGATTCCCTATATAAATGTTTCCATCGCAGTTTGGTTTCGGTGCCAGAGCGTGCATTGGGCGTCCTTTCGCATGGCAGGAAGTCATGTTAGTACTTACATCTATCCTTCAAAAGTTCGATCTATCCTTGGCCGACCCCTCGTATACGCTTCAAATAAGTCAGGCCCTCACCATCAAACCAAAGAATCTCACAATACACGCAAAGCTGCGCACAAGCGGGCCTCATATTTCTTCAGCATCTTCCGTTGGTATCAAGAAAGCCTACGACGGTCCAGATGTCACTCCGCATCCTGGCATCATTCCACCAATGGACAGTAAAGCGCCACTTTATGTTCTGTATGGCTCCAATACGGGGACATCGGAAGGCTTCGCCCAAAGGATTGCCAGCGAAGCAGCGACGTATAGTCAGTGCCAATTGAAACCAGGAATGACGAATTCTAACCATTTTTCAGGCTTCGCTGCCAAAATTGGAACTTTAGACTCGGCTACTGGTCAGTTACCAACTAATGGCCCCATTGTCATCGTTACCGCATCTTTCGAAGGTTGGAAGCTTCCCGTCTCTTATGCTATCGTTATTAACTGGCAAAAGGCGAACCCGCAGATAATGCAGCTCACTTCGTTGACTGGTTAAGTAATCTTAAAGGAGACGAACTTCGAAACGTTAGCTTCACGGTCTTTGGATGCGGCAACTCCGACTGGGTGCAGACCTATCAAAAAATACCAAAACTATGTGATGAACTTATTGAGAAGCATGGTGGCAGACGACTACTTGAGCGAGGAGAGGGCGATGTAAGTTTGGGAGATTTCTTCCACGTCTTCGATGAGTACGAAAGCAAGTTGTGGAAGACTTTGTCCAACGTAAGGAATCTCATTTCTCTTTTGGAACAAATCCTTATCGAGAGAGTAGGAGTATTCTACCACGAGGAGAACTGCCGGCGTTTCAAACATCGACGTGACAGTCATTGACGCCGGGGACGAGAGAGCTGAGAGCCTTCGTCAACCCGATACCGCCTTGGGTCGTCTGATAGAAAACAAGATTCTCACACCTGCAGGAGGTCCCGTGAAGAGACACCTGGAGTTCGAGCTCCCGCCACGCATGAACTACAATGCTGGCGATTATTTGGCAATGTGAGTTAGGGCCCGTTTTCCACTCTGAGCACTACTAATATTACGTGCTAGTCTTCCCCTCAATCCGACGCGAGATGTCAGTCGTATACTGTCTCATTTTGGTATCGTGAAAGAGCAGCATGTGTGTAAAGCAGTTGGTAATGTTGGATTCGTCCCTGACATACATGCCTCCAGGTTATCATATCGTCGACAAGCCCAACTTCGTTACCCGTTGGAAAACAGGTTGCTTTGTTTGAGGTTCTGAGCGGCTATGTGGAACTTGCGCAACCGGCTACAAACAAGGACATCGAAATTATTATCTCGGCTACATCTGACAAAGCCACGATTTCATCTCTACAGGGACTTAAGGCTGCTTATCACAACGAGGTGATAGCTAAACGGCTTAGTGTGCTCGATATTCTCGAGAAACACTCATCAGTGTCTCTCTCTCTTGGAGCCTTTCTTCAGATGCTTCCGCCTATGCGGGTGCGCCAGTACTCTATCTCCTCCTCTCCCCTCTGGAACCCGCAGCGAGTCACGCTAACCGTGAGTGTCATCGACTCTCCCTCACGTTCTGGAGGAGAGAAACCATTTCTTGGTGTCGCTTCAAACTACCTCTCTGGTCTCGTTCCTGGGGAACGGGTTCGGATGGCGGTCAGGAACTGTTCTGCGGCGTTTCGCCTACCTTCGGACCCGAGCGTACCTATCGTGATGTTCTGTGCCGGCTCTGGGCTTGCGCCGATGCGTGGATTCATGCAAGAGAGAGCTATGCAAAAGATATCCGGTAGAGATGTGGGGAAGGCACTCTTGTTCTATGGCTGTAGGAATCCCGAGGTGGACTATCTGTATGGAGAGAGTGATTTGAAGGAATGGGAAAAATTGTGTGTCGTGGAGCTACGTCCTGCATTTTCGAGGGTGGCCGCGTTGTCGGAGGGCTGCGGGTACGTCCAAGAGTAAGTTGTTGCTTCCTTTGCTGGCGCGCTTGTATTGACATTGATCCAGTCGGTTGTGGCATGATCGCAAATTGGTCCTCGAAGCTTATTATTCTGGAGCCAAGGTTCGTTTTATGCTTTCTGGTCCAGTTAAATGACTGACGTTGGGGTCTTTCAGTTCTTTACCTGTGGTTCTGGACAAGTTGCGAAGGGGATTAGGAACAAGTTGGTTGAAATCTTAGAAACCCAACAGGACCTCGATTATGACCAGGCCGCAGAGAAATTCCAGCAGGTCATGCAAGGACGATATGCGACTGATATCTTTGATTAATCTCCATGTTAAACTGTAATGTGTATAATGTCATGAGCCATGTTGTAAGGCGTTTCCTTGCAAAAAATGTGAGGGGCTTATATAGATTTAGGCGTTCTAGAATTCAAGGTGGAAGGATTCACCACGAGACCTTACGCCTATGAGCGTAGATCAGTAGGAAAGACTTTGTCAAGGGCGAGAGGAACATTCTTTTGGTGTTGTCTGAAATTATTAGTGAGTCTGTCTGTGACTCACGGATTGCCCTCGCTTGACATTCCCCGCACCAGAATTGCTGAACGATATCCTTCTTGGGTGCGTAGAATCGTCTTTTCCCACATTCTGTGTTGACGTCATGTCCGAGTCAGAAAACCCGCTGGGATACGTCCTAGGATGCATTGGGAGAGTACTTCCTCGCTTCAACAGATGGCTTGCTGGCAGAATCGAGTGCAATATCCCCAAACGCCAGATGCGTACCTCTACCAGCACCGAATCGACATCCGACGATCAACCGCAACTTGTCCGCTGAACAATGTCATTGCTTGGAAATGTGAGCTGCTACTTCATTTACAGCTTTTCATTCACCAACTTTGTGCAGAGAAAGATCAAGATAGACTGATGACAATTACAGTATCCCGCTCACTGTACTTTTACCACTGTATCAATTGGCAATATCAACAGTCCAGATGTTACAGAAACCTATGCACATCGGTCTGAACAGGTTTTATGTTTCTTGTGCTTCCTTTTCTTGTTGCGTCTACTGTTGTCGCACATGGTCCTCCTCTCGTTGCCGCTCTGCCACGAGCGCCGCAATGAGCTGATCCCAGTCTTATTTGCTTTATGTCTATGTACGAGGGTATCATCCTTGGATCGGAGACTGATGCCTGGACGGCGTCTGGAATGGAAAAGAGGGGTCTCTACTGAAGTTCTGCTCCAACAGGCTCAGTAATGACAAAAAATACCCGAATATTCCAGGATTATGGAGCTGGGAGAGAATGGAGAAGTCTACGATGGAGAGAAGACTGCCCTCGCGATGGGAGTAACAAAAGCAACGAACTATGCAAAAGAAGATGAGGAAGTGAAGCACCTACACTTCTTTGCTGACAACACATCAGCAGTCGACGCTATATTTGACCCCCCTTACCCAAAACTGGTCAGGCATTCTCAGTAGTGTTCGACCGACGCATACGGCGATTCCTCGACAGCGGCCCAGCACATACAGTCGAAATTTCATAGTGCCCAGGCCACAAGGACATCGTAAGGAATGGACGAGCCGACTACCCTAACAAATAAGGGAGCGGAAAAAACAACGGAAGTCATAGGCAAAACAAGAGCCAACGAGGGGAGGGAAGCGAAGGCAAGGACGCTGGAATAGTGGAAGAAGGCTTGGGAGGCTAGCCCCAAACATGGACGCTATGCGATTCCAAACAGAATGTCAACATCGCTGAAGTCAACACGACACCTCTTAGACCTCTCAGGGAAAAGAGAAATAGTCGGTCGGGTCCTCCAATGCAGGACAGGTCATGGATACATGGGTGAGTACTATTCACAATTTGTACCAAGCCAGAACGTTGACTGTCATTGCGGCGAGACATTCCAGACACGGAAATACATCATACGCGAATGCCCGCTCTATGAGGAGCAACGGGGACACTCCGAGATGTGTCAAGATCCATATACCTACCAGACATCCTCGGCACCAAGGAAGGAATCACAGTACTTAGCGAATCCATTGAAAACAACACGGGAGATTTCACCCGGTCGAGAGAACCACGAAGCGAGAGACATGTCCCAGAACTGGAAGAAGAAGAGGAAGAAGAGTGGTGGGAAGAAGAAGAGGACGACACAGAAGACAAGCATGGACAATTGTCGTACCCCTCACATCACAGGAACACAACCAACACGACTCATACTCAAGACACACTCGCAAAACACCACTGGCCAACAGCAGAAACAAACTAGTTAACCCATCACGGAGCGCAAAAATACCATTGTTCATCACTTTACTCCACATCACATGCCAAATCACCAGGGGAAATCAGGAGGAGCGGAGGGACCGGAACAAGAGGGAAGGAGGGTGCCTGAGGTCCTGTACCTCCGCCGTGACTTAGTAGATAGTTTACTTGTGGCAGTTGATCAAATGCTCAACCCAGATATATATATATGTATTCCAGGACTGATACTAATCCTATCGGATATCTTCATAATTATCCAATCACAGAATCAGATCCAGATGAGCAGAAAGACCTGACAACTTTGAGAACTCGTTGAATGGCGAAGGGCCCGGTGACACCGTCGACTAAACAATGCCTGCCGTTTCGTAGAGAATTCAATGTCCATCATCGAAAGGCAGAAACCGGAAAGCCAGGGTTAGGTCAACGTGATCGCAGTTGAGGAGCCTGAAGTAGGAGACACAGTTGGATGTTGTTTCATAAGTGAGGGTTCGTTCCCACGGAACTCGGACTCTCGAGTCGGCATCGGACATAGCTTGACGAGACTTCTGGGAGATGGCTTCCAGGCAACTCGAGGGACTGCTGAAAGACCGCCGACAAATTATTTCGTGCCTCAACCAACCACTACACCAGGTACAATCTGTCTCAAGAAACAGAGAAGAAAAATGAGTTAACGTATGATAGACAAACATAATGTTAATAATAGGGTACAAACAGTAAGATCCGCTTTAACTCTGATCTTAAAAGTCCATTCAATACACTCCAGGCACCAATCGATAGCGTACAATCTTTGCCCATTCGTTCCACTCTTCTCCAAATTGCTTAGATAGCACTGCGTCTTCTTCACTCGAGCGAAGGATAAATGCCATGCCTGAAAATTCGAGATTTATTGTAGTGAGAGTTGATATAGGACTCACACAATGTACCAAGCCAAAGGATTCCCGCAGCAGCGCAAAAAGCTCCTGGCCAGGCCTGGAGATATCCACTCTCCCTGGTCCAAGACCCCGGGCATGCCTGCCATAGTCCAGTACCGACCAATATCATAATCATCCCTGTATAGCTAGGGTGCCTATGATAACGAAAACTTCAGGAAGATAACCTATGAACGTGGAGTCCAGTACACCTACCGGACAAAGGAATACGGCCCGGTCGTCATCAGCCTGTGCTCTTTCTTCACCGTGTGTTCGAATGTGAACATTTCTCCCATCGTCCGAAAGCATATCAGTCGAATCACTCCCCCGAGAATAACCAAGGTGGTGCCTAGGACCAGTAACAACGGCAGGGGGCCATTGACTTGCCAAATTCTTTCCGGATGACCGTCAGGCATGAACAGAAATCTGAGACCGATACCAGATAGCCTCCAGGATGGAATCCACTTGCTTAGAACGAGAGATACAATCTCAGTTCCTGCAATAGTCCATACAATGGCCTGGTGACAGCGCGTGAATTTAACCAATTGGTGGGAGGACAGCTTTACCTTCTGAATAAAATTAGTCACAGCAACATTCCGATATATCGTCCTCTCGAGCAATGTCCTTCGTTCTGTAGGTATCGCCTCGTTCGATGCGACGGGTGGTGGAGTGGCAAACTTCGGCGGAGTTACAGCTCGTTGGTTCAAATATGCAGCAAGATAGAGGAAGGTCAAGGGGACAAGGGAGCTCAAAAGGATTGGCATATCTTCCATGTTGTCGTGAGTGGTCGTTTGCTCTGGAATTGTGCGGATTTCTACACCCACCCCCCGGGTTAAGTATAACTTGCTGATTCTATGACGCATGATTAAACTGTTCCATCGGCTATTAGATCAATCATAAAGGAAGGCCGTACATGGTCGTCCTATAAATCATCCCGGGTTGTTCCTGAAAAGAACATGTTCCTGTGACATATCAGAAGAACAAGCAACATGCGCACATAGGTATTTCAATCCCGCGAAAGAGAAACGATGGTCCAAATGCTTGCCAAATGGTGGCCTTGAGACCAAGCGTTCCCAGCCAGTTACAGCTGTTCTCATACAGCTTGACAGTAACATGTCTGTTTTGCGAGTGGAGAGAGCGGTTTGAACTTGGTCATAAACCACGGTTTTGCTGGTTTATGGCTACTTTGGCGATCTCCGATCTCTTCTCGTGCGCTCCAAGTCCTCAAACTCTGGTTTACGACCAACTTCGACTTCAAGTTCTTCCATCCTCCACAAAAACTTCCCTGACTGTCAAACTGTGTGCAAACGCCTGTTATGAAGTCCCAACTACCAACACAAGTTATCTCAGGCTGCGAATGTCGGCAGGGTTAGTAGAGTAGAAAGCCTCGACAACGTTGACACATTACGCATCTCACGCTTTGATAGGAGCAAGTCAACAAGACAAGATAATTTGCTATCCAACTTGGCACCAGGCTCTAGCGCTGCGGGAATAGGACAGAACTAGCGACACGATTAAATAACAATAATGTTGAATCGGTATCCAGCCAGACTGATTGCCGATAGTATCGAATCTGGAAGTTGCTTTCGGACTAACGAAAGAGGTTAAGTCAATGCCCGAGGTGTAGTGACCCGTCACATCGATGGTTTAGAATAGCCAAGAAATCTGAAACGAAAGGACAGCAATAACCGCACCACGTACTATGTAGAATAATGATCATGCACCTTTGCCATCCATAACGAATTTCCCCCACTCAATCCACCATTCATCTACAGCCTCTATCGCATCATAATTAAACTGTATCAACGTCGCCGCCCAAACTTTGGCTGATGCCTCGTCTTCTTGATCAAGTGCTAAGGCCAGCGCCTCATCACGTTGATCACGTTCGGCACTAGGCGGTAAAGACATGAGGGCCGCAGCCTCCAGCTCCGAGGATAAAGAGCCTAGATTACGAGGCGTTCGTATCTTCTGATAGCCGTCCAGAAGAAGTGGAATCTGCTCCACAGACGAGAGCCTGGAGAACAGATGAGGTAGAGTAAAGGCACTCTCGATCTAAAATAAAATCAGTTCTCTTCCTTATTGCGGTACTAGTTTACGATCTCACCGCCAAACAACTGGTCAAGGAATGAATTATTTAAAAAGGGACACTGAATTGCAAAGAACACGTACTCGGAGTATATTCCATAAAACTGGAACAAAGGTTCGATTAGCACGGACATCAAGAAGGTACAAAAAAAACACACCGGTCCGGGTATTCCCGCGTCCCCAATGAGGGCGAGGTTCCGAGTGGTATCAACAAGATGCGGAGCTACTTTGGGAACCACCTGTCGTTCTCGATGACAGTGTGATGCCAGTCGCAGGAGCCGGAAAACCCTGGAAGTGAGTCGAATCAGCATAATCGGGCCGTCCGTTTTGACTCCGTAACTCACAATGAGTCACATTGGCCAAGAACATCTGCAAAGGCCTCCAAAATATCGGCGTTCTCTCCTTGGGATTGTACATTGTCGGACTTGCTGGGCGACATAATTACGACGATGTATAGCTCAGGTCCATGCTATGCAATAGAGTTAGCCTTATAATGCAGACGATGAAATAAGAGTACCATTGCGCCCAAGACCATTCCATCAGAAATCATCCAAAGTTTAATCTGTTGAGAGAAATAAGTCGACTGTCAATTTTCACATCGCATAAAGAAACTAGAACTTGCAGCAGTCGATCGCGTTAAACCTTCCAGCTTGGGATCTGCACGCATAGACGCGACCGGGATACAGAACGTTGCACTACAACAGGGTGAGAGGGCACGGAACCTTTGCATGGTAACATGACGTACCCTATTACCTGGCGAATTCCGGTGTGTTGCAGAGTACTTTCGGAATCTTCGTCGCTATCAGTGCTGCTGCTACTGCTGTCACCATCGGATAGCGTCTCCGGTAAAAAAGTGCGGCTAATCCCACTGTCACCGTCGGCCCCCACAACCTAAAGTTATGAGAATTTTGGCTCATGGCGGAGCGAATAGTAAGGAAGAAAGATACCAGGTCTCCCTCTATCGTTTCCCCAGTCTTGGAGGTGACAATCGGTCTGCCAAGTTTCGACGTCGAGAACGAAACGATGTCTACTTCATATCTGATGTCGATCCCAGCTTGACGACATAGGTTGCGTAGATGGCTGCACAGAACACCGTGCTACCGAGGATCCCCTTAGATCAATTTCGGAAGACGACGGACTATTACATACAGGAATAGTGTGGAAGTCAGAGCCTAGATCAGACATGACTTGGTCAAAAAATTCGGTGAGTCCAATTGATCGAGACGTTCTTCCTGATCGTAGCTGAATGATGAGTTTTATTTGTAGGACACTTGACAGAAGCACCTTCAATATATTCCAACCTGTCGGGATAGATGAGTTTGGCCAGGAAATACTACAGGTTATCTACACACCCTGAAGCAGTGGTGCCCTTGTTTTGGAGCAAAGACTTTACACCAGGAAGACGGACCAGAAGACGCGCAGCATTTGGAGGAGCACGTACACCACGCTGAAGGACCTTTAGCACCATGTGAAAGACCTGGTCATTAATACCAAATGGTTAAAACTTACCGGAACGTCTTCAGAGTTCTTCTCGACCACGACGACATTGTGTCCAATTTGTCGAAGCAGATAGGCACACAGAAGACCTTCTAAGCTCGCTCCGATGATTATGCATTGTGCTGGATGAACGTCGTGTTTAGGTGTCGACATCGCCAGAGGATGAGGAGTGCGAATATAGATGATGGTGAACGAGTGAGAAGAGTCAGGGACATGGTGATGGCCGCGAAGATAGAAAATGGAATTTACGAGACCTATGACCTATCTATCAACGTTCACCCAATGACGCGAGATCGAAATGACGACAGATTCAGAACTGAGCGTAAGTGGCCGAAATCCAGACACATATCTTTACTAGACGCAGGGGCGATCGGAAGATAGAGCGTGGACGCCAGTCGCATGCAAGACCAAGGTTCGTTGTAAGGGACTGGTAATAAATATAATCGCTCCCGGGCCACACCATCAATCGTTGATCACCGTGCTGCGGAGTTTGCCGTTAGTCGATACCGTTTCCAAGTCACTTGAGCCTGCACAAGATGCTCGCTCGCAAGGAGCTTCTTCCCAGCTTGAGCAGCTGATCGCACAGCGTTGTTGCCGCCAGATCTTATGCGCAGAAAAAGAGCCGGTTAGTAGTTAGTCGCTATGGTAGAATCAAGTTCACGAGAAGATATTTTCCACCAAATGTTCACAACCTCGTTTGGGTTTGCGCTTTGTCTGAGTGTCTATCATCTCTTCGAATCGGGAGAAATTATCACCGTCAATATCCGCTCGTCCGCCCGAAGGATAGCTTCTATCCTCAGGGAAAACCCGTATTAATTCGGCAATTCCCTGGTGCTGGCAGTCCCAAGTTGTTCATCCCAACATTATGCCATTGAGAATGTCCAGCGATACAGATATATGGCGGATACTTTTGTTCTCCAAACACGGTGAAACAAGGCGATAGTCCTAAACAAAATACATGTCCCAGCCCATAAGCGCTGCAATTGAGTTTCACCCAATGAGACCCCAGTAGGACAGAGAACAAATTGGTGTAAAGCAATGCTGGATTTGCCTTGAAGGACCTCCTAGTTTTCAGTAGGCGATGTACAAAGAATTGACAGTTGCATTGTAGACGGGCCTCATCCGAGAAGCTGCCACTGATAAGTACAACCGATCTGGGCGACTTCCTGGCTTTCAGGGCCACGCGATAAAGCGGTTAATCACATTCTATCCGCTTGTCATTCCAAAAACAAGTGATAGTGTCCGCCTCTCGTTAGAGCTCTATACCACAGGGTCATGGGTGCCTATTGAGCTAGCATTCGACGGAGGTGATTGCATCCACCTCCTGGGACAGATAGGTCTTTGATCCTAAGGAATTTGAATCTTCTACGTTTCCCTGTTCCGGGCCGGGGTCGTGGACGGTAACGGAGAAGCGGGAAGTCGGAAGGAAACCGGATGGGACAAGACACTGGAAATGGAGCCGCGACTTCATATGCGTAAGGTCGCTCTCCGTATCATCGCCTCTTATCGCCGTGATGATGTTCTGATTTGTATATGGAAGCCGCCACGAGATGTTTTTCGAAGTACACATGCGTCAAGTCAAGGATCATGATGCTGAACAAGGCACAAGCCAGGTGTGAGGAAGGAATCCTTACGTATTCAAGGACACTACTAGACTGATAAGTTCCGGGGCGGGCAAGGAAGGCTATCTGGGATCTTCCCTGCACTCACCACAAGGGCGGCATGATGAGACGATCGTAGGTACAGTGCCCAAGAAGGTGAAAACTTTTTGTTCGGGATTCGAGGTACATTACGAAGCTGAAGTGGAATGGGGAATTATCATGTTCCCGTGACCGTGTCGATGTTATGAACCAGCCACATATTGTTCTTGTCAGGATGCAGTTTCACGAATACGCGAAATAAAGAGGACACGCGTGGTGCATCGAGCATCCCGAGTCCCCGACACACTAGGATTATGAACTCCATGCAAATAGGGACACACACATCAACAAACCGATTTCTCTTCGCCATGCCTGAGCTCTTCAGGTCGTTGACAGAAGAGATGGTCCGGAGGGCCATAGCCTGATTCGGATTTTTCCCGGTCAGTGCTCTCTTCCCTTCAGATGAAGTTCGCCTTGAAAATAAGGCTGACAGAGGATGTCCCTCGATGACTGGAACGGCGCCGGCGAGGCCTCGATGTTCTGAGTTCGTCTGAGATATCACTTCGCATCCCAGGGCCTGACACTGTGGACAGACAACAGACATCTTCGTTGAACGAAGGCATCAGTACTCCTGCCCACCCAACAGCTCTCCTCGGAGACCTGACGGGTTCTTTGAGGATACCCCGTTTAGCCTAACAAGACGATGTGTGCATTATAGCCTGGTGCGTTCCTCGTCACGTTCACGTGACAAACACCTTTTCCAGTGCAACATCCACCATATCGTACGAACATGGGATGGTCAGGACATGATGATCATCCTTGTATCAGACAGCATGAGGGGCATGGATAATCCCGCACTCCTCCGCCGAGTCGCCTGGCCTCCTTCCGTTTATCTGCAGGACAACCACTGCCTGCCCACGTTGCAGGAAGTCGTCATCGGAAACCTCGTCTTCGGTACCTTCTCCTATCTTCAGGGAGTGACAAATGCTCACTGGAAAACCTTCGGCTAGGCTTTCGAATTCATGCTGCAAACATTGTAGGTCTGTCGTCATCTGGCATCGATCTTGATTGTTCGTATGCCTGACTCCTGAATGACCAGGTCCTCGGGTATCTCCATTCTCTCAAGGTTGCGCACCGTGTGAGCAAACATGTCCTGCCCAAGTTTCCAATCCATTCATGCTTGTTTCAGGATCTTTTCTGCGACAACTTCCTGGCCCGCTGTCGCAATGTTGGTCATGACGAGACGTCTTGGCGTCGTCCACGTTTATATCTGATCGATTTCGAGTTGGCGACCGTGTTCGGATCATCGACAGCCGCCCGAGACGATGTCTGTCCATGGGCCCCCACTGAGCTGGGAAGAGTACGCTCGTCCATGCCCAGATGAGGAAGCAGCCGTACAACCCCCGCTGTCCGTTCTCGGTGGAATCTGACAGCTTGGTTTCGAGTTTGCTCGCCTGATCGATTTCACCATAGACGGGGAATCTGTTGCTGATGATGAGCGCTAGCGAATCCGCTGAGGAGTTTCCATCGTTGCACGCCTTCGTGCCAATGGAATGATGACCGCACATCCTGATACTCGTCCCACCGCTGACTGCTGTTCGTGCTGCGCGTGACGGGCTTCATGTCCGGACACTGGGGAACGCATGTCCTTACCCCAAGCCAAGTGGTTCTATAGGGTATACCCTGAATGCTGACCTTGGGATAGTCCAGGGACAGAAAGCGTCACCCTAGCTAGGGCTTCAAGGTTCATAAGAGCAACATTGGGCCGATAATCCAAACGATGCTCACTACTTTTTTGATCATCCAAGCATACCGTGATAATAGCCCTGCCTCTCACACTGAGTGCAAAGGCCCCTCTAGTATTGCGCGGTGTCCTAGACTAGGTAGAAAACAGTTTCAATGTGCTTTAAATGACGTCGAGGTAACCGTTCGAAGTAAAATTGAGCTGCGAAGGAATATGACAGACCGCAGTAAATGGTAAAGCGATAGTAAGGACAGTAGGGGGTCAGTTAGTCACGCCACCGTGACGTATTCCTGAAACGGACAACCGAGTTTGAAAAATTAAGAATCTTTGGATGTCCACATTACACGGTTGCTGATTAAGAACTGGTCTGTCTGACAACATTGAATGGCTACCATCAATGGTCACGACTCAGTGATCACTGTAGGTGTTCAAAAAATTGATCCCTTCACATAATTCCGACACGGGGAATCGAACCCCGAGCTGCCGCGTGAAAGGCGGCAATGTTAGCCGTTACACCATATCGGATACATTAATTGTGGGTACAGTCACCTAACCATACGATAGCCCATCCTACAAGATTTCCCTTTAATTACTCCTAACCCATAGCGCCGAATGGGAACGGAAGGGTATGGGTTCTGAGGGAAGCGACTGTATCCATGAATATACTAGCTGACAAACTAAATTGACTATTTCTGATAGATGTCCAGGACAACCGCTACAGAAACCAACTTAAAAGTGTAAAAGGGTGGACACTAAATATTATACTAATTTGCCATGCTTTCTACGGCTTCTCAGATACGATTCTACGATAAGCTGTTCGATTCTGGAGAACATGCCATTTATTACAGGTTGTCCTCAATTGGACTCTGCATACCTCTCCTTTACCAGGAATGAGATACCCTGTCCGAAGAAACCTTTAGCAATCTGCACCCCAAACCGCCTGCGCTCTTGTACGCATCGAACAGCACCGAATCCAGGGTAGAGGTGGAACTTATCTTGCGTTGGACTTGTAATCTGACTTTGGCGAGGATGAGTGGATAGAGGATCGCCATAGCTAGAGAAAGGTTAGGTTAATCCCTATGAATAAAGGACACCAATAGAACTAGACACGGCTCCACCAATGAAAGACTCTTCGGGACTGGGCTTGATTGTGGAGAAGCGGGAGGGAGAGAGTCTATCGGCGACTCTCTTGTAGATCTGAAAGACGGCGAGTGTAATTGAGGGATTGAGTGACAACATAATAGTGGTCTGGAAACCTATGCTGTCTGTTAGAGAAAAGAGGGCCTAGTTGTTAAATGCATGTACCCCGCCAAAATCCAAAGAGCCCGCGCTCGCTATAAACGAGATTGACGACCGACGACAAACCCACGGCTTTATCTTGATCGGGATTTTCGTCGTTGTCGTCACGCTCAGCCTGAAGGCATAAGGTGATGAGATTCAACAACATCGACACCGCACGTGAAGCAACCCCAGCGATGAAGCCGAGAAAAAGTTCTTGCAATATCGGGAGAGATATTTTTGCTTTGGTGTCATTATAACGATGGCGAAGAACCGAGGTTCGCAAGAAGGAATGGATGTAATAGTGACAGAAACTGTTCGCAGTCAGCACCGCCAGCCCTGGACAGATAGTAAGCGGACTTGGAGACTAGAGACGCGCCCGAATCAGTTATTATGCCATCGTACACTGCAGCCAAGCCATATCTCCGGATAATATGCGGCAGAATGCGTATCCCATCGTGCAGTGAGTTGGTGCCTGTTCGTTTAGGGTGCAGCTGGAGTCGCGTCGCAGCAACATCCAGAGGATACGTGAGGACGTTAGCAAACGCGCTCCATACGGCGCCTGAAAGGGCTTAGACGATGGGCGGGAGGGTACTGGTCATGGTTCAAGCTCAAGGTGAAGCGCACCATTGGAGTCGAGGTTAAGAAGATTGGCGTGCGTGAAGCTGACTAAGCTAAATTTCTGACTCCTTTACAGCGTTTGAGCGTCGACGGTCACTAGACTGTACACCCTGCTCTGCTGGCATGTCGTCGTCACTCCCACCCGCCTTGTGTGGTCAGCTCGACGTTCTTCTCATCGACAATTTTGACTCGTTCACCTGGAATCTGTATCAGCAACTGTGTCTCCTTGGTGCAGATGTTACTGTTATACGGAACGACGCCATCTCTCCAGAAGTGTTCCCTGAGCTCAAGCTTAAGTCGTTGATCATTTCTCCTGGCCCAGGACATCCGAAGACTGACTCTGGGATATCTCGGGCCGCTATTGAGTTTTTCAAGGGCAAGGTGCCGGTATTTGGAGTGTGCATGGGGTTGGAGTGCATGGTGGATCTCCTTGGCGGGGACATTGCGTGTGTGATTATCTATTCTACCTGCCTCGCTACTAACTTGGCTTTCAGCTATGCTGGCGAGATCATGCATGGAAAAGTTTCTCGAATCCTGCACGACGAGCGGGGCTGCTTCAAGGGCATTCCCCAGGGAATCAAATCGACCCGGTACCACTCGCTCAGCGCCGCCCACACGACGCTGCCTCCAGAACTCGCTATCACCGCCACCACCGACAACTCCGGTGTCATCATGGGTGTCCGGCATCGCCAATACACCCTTGAAGCCGTGCAGTACCACCCCGAGAGCATCCTCAGCGAGGGCGGCGACGCGCTCATGCGCAACTTTCTCACTCTCCGTGGCGGGACATGGGAAGAGAACCCAGAGAGCCGGGTGATGGACTCGACGCTGCCGCCGTTCGAGGCAAAGGGCGGGGGAAAGAAGATCCCGTCGGTGCTGGAGAAGATCTACCACCAGCGGCTGGCCGACGTCGTGCAGGCGCAGTCCACGCCGGGGTCGACGATGGCGGACTTGGAGACGCTGTACACGCTCAACGTCGCCCCACCACTTGTCCCGCTCCTCCCACGCCTCGCCTCCCGCCCTGCGCTGTTTGCCGAAGTGAAGCGCGCGTCTCCGTCCAAGGGTCCGATAGCCCCGACCATATCTCCTGCGAGCCAGGCCCTGACGTACGCTTTGGCTGGTGCTCACGTCGTCTCGGTCCTCACTGAGCCAAAGTGGTTTCTTGGGAGTCTACAGGATATGCTGCATGCGCGGCTGAGCGTAGGAACCCTCTCTAATAGACCTGTCATACTGCGCAAGGACTTTATATTCAGCCGTTACCAGGTGTTAGAGTCACGCATCTGGGGTGCTGACACTATCCTGCTCATCGTGGGGCTCCTCCCCGAGGTCGCGCTGCGTGATCTTTACGCGTACAGTCTCGAGTTGGGCATGGAGCCGCTCGTTGAGGTGAACAATGCAAGAGAGATGGAGCTCGCGCTGAGCCTCCCTGCCAAGGTCATCGGAGTGAACAACCGGAATTTGCACGACTTTCGGGTGGACATGGATACAACGACGCGGCTGTCGGATATGGCCAAGGGAAAGGGCGTCGTACTGTGTGCGCTGAGCGGGATTACCGGTCCGGCTGATGTAAGTCGGTATGCAGCACAGGGCGTGGATGGCGTGCTCATTGGGGAGAGTCTGATGCGCGCCAAGGACCCCGCCGCATTCATCCGCCAATTGTTCTCGTTACCCCCGCCCCCTCCGCCGCCGACGTCCCCCGCCCCGCCGCTCGTAAAAATATGCGGTGTCCGAACCAAGGACGAGGCGCTCGCCATCGCAGACGCCGGCGCAGACTTGCTCGGCCTCATGTTTGTCGAGTCATCCAAGAGACACGTCAGTTTCGACACAGCAAGAGAAATCTGCGCGTCGGTCCGTGCGCTTAGGTTCTCACAGCCACCCTCCCCTCCTCTTCTGTCAGTAGACAACACTCCATGGTTCACCTCGCACGCAGCCCGTCTCTCATCCTTTCCTCTCGTAGTCGGCGTCTTCCAAAACCAGCCCCTATCTGAGATATTGCACGCTGTGAGCGCGTGCCAACTGGATGTGGTGCAGCTGCATGGGACGGAGCCTGTCGAGTGGGCGAGGCAGATTCCTGTACCGGTCATCAAGGCATTCCATAGCGAAGCAGACATTACACGTGACGGGTACCACCAATTCATACTCTTGGATAGTCTGAGGGACGATGGCAGTGGGGTGAGCGGTGGCAGTGGCAAGGTCGTTGATTGGGAATTTGCAAGGCGGGTCGTGGATGGGAAAATATTTGCTGAGAATTCCGAAACCGTACCGACTTCTGCAGGTGCTACTAATGGTACTACAACAAAACCTTCACCTCCACCCCTACCGATAATCCTTGCTGGGGGCCTCACTCCCGAGAATGTAGCGGCTGCCGTCGAGCAAGTGCAACCCTGGGCTGTGGACGTCAGTGGGGGTGTCGAGATGGAAGACGGCAAGGGAAAGGATCTGGAGAAGGTTAGGGCATTCATACAACATGCCAAGGGTGTTCATGATCAATAGAATGGGTTGGCTTTTTATATTTATTCTGCTTGGTTGCGTTCGCAGAAAGTGTATATTTTCCATCTTCCGCCGAGTTAAAAAATTGGGCTATCGAGCTACAGGAACGAGTAATGTAGTCTCGTTTATGTAAGGGAATATAGATGCAACATAATAATACGTTGGAATGAGAAGTGACAGCGCAGAATTTAGGGTCCATTTTTGGGGAGTTTGTGCGCATATTCGTCGACCTCGGGTAGAAATATGTCAGATGGCTAAAATATCCAAATTCGCGTGCTTTCGCGTCGCCCGTTCAGCCCTCGCGTAATGATAATGATGTCATCGAACGCGTCCGGCTAAAACAGCCTGCACGTGAAAATAACTTTACTTCCGTACCGCCATGATTGCCCATGGAATCCGAACTCTTGGCGTCCTAGGTGCGGGCCAGATGGGCACCGGAATTGCATTGGTGTCTGCATTGCGAGCCAGAGTTCCTGTGCTCTTGCACGACCGATCTCAAGATCAAGTAACAAAAGGCCTCGCCTTCGTAGACAAGCTACTCGAGAAGGACGTGTCGAAAGGGAGAATAAGCAGCGAGGAAGCCAAGGAGGCAAGAGACAGGATAACGGGAGTTGATGGTGTCCATGCGATGAGAGACGTGGATATGGTCGTTGAGGTGTGTATGCAAAACCTCCAATCTCACAATGCTCAAGTCCCACCGTGACATTCAGGCTGTTTCGGAAAACCTATCGCTGAAGCAAAAAATATTTCAACAATTTGCTGCTGAACTGTCACCAGAAGCTATCCTAGCCTCCAACACAAGTTCGATAAGTATCACCAAGATTGCGGCATCGACGATGCCCGAAGGTGTCAGTGCCTCCAGTGATGCAGGAAAGAAGACTGCTGGACGTGTCGTTGGTTCGTCATCCTAACGCTCTTTACCTTGTATTAATAATACACATAATACAGGCCTGCACTTTTTCAACCCTGTACCTGTCATGGTATGCCTTATTATCCCTTCGTGAAATACACCGCTCACGAGGGACGTCCGGCAGAAACTTGTCGAACTCATTTCGGCTTTACAAACTACATCGGACACATTAGACAGGGCGCGCTCATTCGCCACGGCGTGCGGAAAAGGTGCGGCTCGGACGTCCCTTCTGATCTCCCTTTGTCTCATTTCGTGTGAGCAGAGGTGACAACTTCGAAGGACGTACCCGGATTCGTGGCTAATGCTCTCTTGATGCCGTTCATTAACGAGGTATGGGTCTATACCTTTTCTATGCCTCGTAATTCATATCAGGTATTAGGCCATCATGTGTTTGGAAAAAGTACGCACTGTTTTGTTTCCGCTGCCATAACTTAGAGGGATGGTCCTTTCAGGGAACGGCCACTCGGGATGACATCGACACAACGTTAAAGTTGGGCATGAATCATCCCATGGGTCCATTGCAACTTGGTACGTTCTTCCCAACTCACAGCGCTCTCATTTCTCTGACGTTCTTGATATATAGCTGACTTGTACGTTAGTCTCATTATTGATCTGCATTATTCTTATCGTGGTTTGCTCAGCATTGGGCTGGATACTTGTCTTGCGATCCAGGAAACACTGTATGCTGGCACTCGAGACTCGAAGTACAGGCCCAGCGTGTTGCTCGAGCGAATGGTGGACGCGGGATGGTATGGCAAAAAGAGCGGGAAGGGTTTCTACGAGTATAACTGATCTTTGTGAGAGAGATCCTGCTTCGACCGAATAATCAAAATGCATAATTAGCTAACTGTAATATACAACAAGAAGGGTTACAAAAGACATGTTTGGCAAGGCATCTGTGTCAACCATTATGCATCATCGTCAGAGTCATGATCCACAGACATCAAGTCATTCAAACTATAACAAAGTAAGCAACTGAGATGTCCGCCAATAGTCTACAAGGAAATATGTTGTCGTACCAATGAACCAGTGGTCTGACAACAACCGCAACGTCCGCAAGTGTCTGGGCAAAATTGGGATCGAGTACCTTTTCATCCGTGAAACTGAATTTCACCAGTTAAGTCAATAATGGCCCTGTTCGAAATTTGAAGCAATGATCTTACTAGTGGACGACCGCGAACGAACGGCATTTGAGCAAATCAATATCTCTGTGAAAAAAAAACTTGGCATGGGAAAATTTGTGAAGATAGAAATCGTACGGATGGTCCTTGTCTACCCCCTTCGGTGCAACCTTCAATTCATCTTCTCTCCCAAAGATGTTTTCCCTCGTTCCTGGTTTCGGCTCTCCGAAATACTTGACAAATTCAGGAGAAGAGATTATGTCTCTTAGTCGGGAAGAACTGCGTTTGATATTGGTCCTGGAATAAATTAAGATGGACCCCAAGGCAAGGAGGGTAAAATTTGGGTGAAGACCTTATGGTTGCTAATTCGTTTCTGCCGGGACACCAGAGTCCACCAGCTAAAAGGCTTCCACCGCCAGGCTTAACTGTCAAAAGTGCAATCGGGTTACTAGAGAGATTAGGCGGACTGAAGTAGAGAGTTACTTGATCTAAAGAGTAAATGAGAATGTAAAAGTCAAACCTAACGGAATGACAACCTACATGTGATCTAGGATCACGATCAGCCAGTAGGTCGAACTATGAGAGTTAAAGTATACACACATGCGGCGAACGTGCCCTTTCTACCACTCCTAGAGAAGCTCGCCGAGAAATTCATCTTATATGGTGTCTTATCATTACTAAACCGAATCTAACAATAACGCGATCAGTCCTCGAACACGAAGAGAGTGTAAAACGACGCGGCGCACATCACGGTATATCCGATGAATCACATCCCTGGGCGGCAATGGCGGTATTTCCCCGTCGACTTCATTGAGCTTGTCAGTGAAAGCCTCGACGAAATCCTTCCACTCCTTTTCTGCTTGACGGTACACGCGTTCTGCTAATGTCAGTGGACCCATTTCTGCTCCGATTGAGAAAACACGACCAACCGTGCAGCTTGAACCTGGTACGTTAAGCAATTAGGATGGACATAGTAGAATCACGAACAGACGTACCATTCACGGTCATTACATTCTGGTTTCTTCAGCTGCGCCAGAAAGTCTAGGGTATTTTGAGAAACCTGACCGGGGCGAACTGAAGGGAGTCAACGATGGAAAGCGGTGGCATGGGTAACGACACACCTTGCCCTGTCTTGGGCGCATCGATGACTACACCAACAACTTCCTGGCCCTCTTCAAGCTCCAATTCCGACCATTCATCTTCGTCGTCTGCAACCTTTCGCTTCTTCTTTGGGTCCTTTTTTCGTTTCTTCGGTTTATTATCCGAGTCGTCGTCCAGCACGTCGCTGTTCAACTCTTCCTCGTCCGAGTTATCGACTTTTCGAGCTCTCTTTCTGGGAGACTTTCGCTGAGGCTCTGCTTCAACGTCAGAAGCCTCTGAGCCGTGGGGAGGTTTACGGTTCTTCGAGGAACGGGATGTCGACGCCCGCGTTGCCCGCGTTTTGGGAGCCATGGTGATTGTCTGAGTAAGACACGGTGGCCAACAATCAGAGTCAGTTGACACTGCTAGGGCCTGAAAGACTGGCAGTAAACAGGGGTAGCGGTGTGAACGTTGTTAAGGGGCTGACTAAGAGATCTCTTCTCGCCCACAGTCGCTGATTCAGTTTTGGTGATTTTTACATCGCAGGTACTCCTAGCTAATATTCGAATGCTTCTTTGAGTGGTAGTTGGATGCCCATAATGTCTCCTTCGAATTGAATACCCTGTGTAGGATGCTCGTGTCTGGATCGTCATTTCCCCTTTCAAAATACCGTCTTGGAGGATTCTTCTTTCGTAGCTACAGTTTTGACGTATCTAATGCGCTCAAATGACCAGCCATTACCAGCTGAAGCTGAAGCTATTCGAAGCATGATATCCAAACTCGAGGAGCGCATCGCAACTGCAGACTTGTGAGTCTGCCCTCACAGCATTTCGTCAAGACATGGTCGACTTTATCTTAAAGGCCGACGAGATGATGGCTGAACTCCATAGAGAGCGCGGACGGGTTTTGGTGGAGATACAAGAGAAGAGGGGTCTTCTAAGCGTTGTTCGAAAACTTCCCTCCAAAATTCTGTTGCAGATATTTCGCGAAACGCTCGAGTTTCCTATAAAGCACACGCAATCAGACCGAGACGACTTTTGGTGGGATACTGAGCCTGCTCACCGTTCGCTCTGGACCATTGAGCTGGTTTCATGGCGTTGAAGGGCTGTAGGTCTTAACCCCTAGCTATGGTCGTACGTCAACATCATCATCACAGATGATGATTTTGCAGATGGGGCATATAGTCTCATTCGGCGTGTCGGTCTTCAGTTAGCCCGTTCTCAGCAATCCTTCCTCTCCCTCTATATACGATTCTTCAAGCTACAAGAAACTCCCCTCTCCACTCGAATTTATGCTTTTGTCAGTTTCTACTAGATTGCGTGAATTACACCTTGGTATGGACGTAGAGATGTTCTCTGCCATTCCTTCACTGCAATTATCATTACCATCCTTTGAAATTCTTTCCATTCTTTGACACCGATGATTACAGTTGTCTGCAACTAGTCTGCAATGCGCTGAAACTTCGCGGCCTCACGTTCATAGACGTCGAAGATCCAGCAAAGTTATTTGCAATTCCGTGGCCACAAATCACTCGCTGTAGTAGCTCCCATGCCTATCGGGACGGAAATCCAGGGCCCGACCCCTCCAGGTTCCTGGACGTCCTCAGATTGATGACGAATTTGACAAGTTGCGACTTCGTCTGTGAAGGCTGCTCAATCGAATTCGAAACTGAACAGGTTGCATGCACTAAGCTACAAGAATTTTCATTGACATCGTGGGCATATAACGAAACTTACATACCCCAACTATTCAGCGGACTTACACCACCATCTCTCTCTCGGTTGCGGGCCAAGTGTTCAATGGGGCCGGGGCCAGAAAATGAAGACACCTTTAGTTCCATCCGACATGCCATCAATGTGTCCCAGAGCCCTCTAACCGTTCTTGAATTCGAACATTGTCTCATCACAGAAGAAGACCTCCTCTCCGTTCTTCGAACTATGCCTACTCTAGAGCACTTGAAGCTCATCAATATCGGTCCCGATGCGATCACCGACCAGACATTAGATGAGCTCATGGTTAGACCAAACGAAAATTCCCTTATGCCCCGACTAACGGTGGGAACTGTCCTTTGTCTGAAAACACATTTGGAACTTCCGACCTACTCAGTCCGCCTGTACTGTGTTATATCATCCCCACCTCCGTTGGCTCCAATAACAAGGTACGTTCCTTTGTTACTATCAAATATATTGATGATTGACATTTTCTACCCAGGCAGACTCGTTCACTATGATAGCGTTATTCGAGGGGCAGAGGTTGTCCGAGAGAAACTTAACTCTCTAGGGAATATAATCAACCTTGAAACTGGCATCTCTGTGATTTTCGATAAACTTGCATTCGGCATCGAAGCTCTCAGCGTTACGAGGAACAATGAGGTAGGAGTACAATCCATAATTGCAAGTTTCACAAATTCATTGTCGATAACACCGTCTAAAGATGTGTTATCACTTTCGCATCGCACCGAACGTTGACGTTCCAACCGAGAAAAACTTGTTCTCCGTCAAGCCTAATGTGGGCCTTTCATTTGGCACCGGTCCATATGGGAGAAGGCTTGGAGGTGCCATGCTATGCTATCTTCATTGGGTTATAATAAGAGTTATGCGTAGGAGTGGCGCTGCTGAGATTTTTAGGGAACAACTAGAGGAGCAACGGCAGAATCCCTCTGCCATTTTGTCTCTGCATTATGTCAATGCTCGTCTTGACGATTTCGCAATGAAAAGAACGATTTCCAAATTGTAAATTGTACACTCACGCTACAGATACATTCAAATTTTCTCGATCAGAATCGTTACGCTCATATTACTAGTAGAAGCCTAAATCTGAGGTTGAGAGCGAATATACTCTCCATCTCTTCATTATATTGTCCTAAGAAGATTGTTTCCTTAATGGGAGAACACGTACGGTTCTCTATCACTCACAAATACAATCCGAGGCAGGAAGGTGTCCACTGCCCATACAATCCACGCTTTACTATCCTTCCAAATCCATGCCCAGAGAGAAGGTTTGAGAGCCTCCCACACCATATTTTTGGCATATTCTTCAGCACTGATGGCGCCTCCTGCATATAGTGAGATAAGAGACACGCAAAAACTTGAACAAGGGGTACCTTGAGAGACCTCTCTTCGCTTCGCCAGGGTAATAGGTTCGAGGGACTTGTAGCGCGAATGGTCAGGGAGTAGACTTAGCTTGTTTTCGACGATATCACTCTTCACGCTACCTGTACAGAGCTGAAAGGATGTCAACGGACAGAATGGGCATGAGAAATAAGAAGCTTACATTGACAACCTTTATACTTTTGTAGCGAAAAATTGTCAAAATTTATGCTACTATAGTAAAGAAGTACACCCAATTGAACGGGGACAGTTCAACACGAAGCTTATTCCCATATGCGTGGAGAGCTGCCTTCGAGGAACTGTACGTGGAACCAAAGGGATAAGGGGTCACAGCAGCAACGCTACCAACTTGAAGGATGCATGCACCACCGGAAACAATGAGAAGCGGTATAAATGCTTTAATCATCCTCAGTGCACCAAACACATTGACATCATAGAGATCTTGAACCCTCTTCATGTCGAGGTCAATAGCGGAAGATAGAAAGGCTGGTATTTCAAAGTGTCAGGTAGAAAATGGTTCAAGGAAGGGACGTGCTTTGGCCACTAGGTATAAAACTGAGTACGGAACAAGGAAAAGACAATCAGGACAGGACATACGCTTGATTGACCAACATGGCGAGTTTACCACCAGCCATATCTGCCACCTGGTCCCGAACGTGGTTGATCTCCTCGTCATTCGTAACATCAAGCACAAATGTCTTCATCCCTGCTTTCAACAAATCCGAAAGTGCAGCTCCATTGCGGGCTGTGGCAAATACGACAAGACCTAGTAGTTTGGTGTTTCATTCGAACTTGCCTTGTTCATGGAATTCGCGAGCGGGAGCATTACCGATTCCAGTACTACACCTAGAGGGCAATGAGCCAATGTAATTGTGAATTTTCAAGTGAAGAGGGTGAAGAGCATAGAAACGTACGACTGGACGGTTGGACGGTTGGACGGTTGGACGGCTGGGCGGCTGGACGGAAGCTATACCTGTGGGTGCTTGGATGTCCAGACCGTGGCGTCGGATGTCGGCGGAACGGCCCGGTAGCCAAGCTCATCGAAGTGCCAACATCGCGAAGCACAAAGACTATGAAAACGAGCGCGTCGTCTTCACACATCTCCCAATCTCAAGTCAGTCCAATCCAATGGCTCACCGGTATGTCCTTGATGAGCATATCCAGGTCTAAGGTCACCATTATCTCGGAGAAACTTGGGAAAAACTAACGTTAATTCGGATATCAATACGGAGGGTGTCTGGGGTAAATATGACAATGTCGAGCCGCGTTTTGACATTCGTTGATAACGCTTGTAGCTCTTCTTGGTCGATATCGACTGGCTCGACGCGTAGTAAGGAGATCACGGTGTAGGCATCCGAGGACCATCCGAAGCCAATATGTATAGCCTTCCGTTTCGAGAGCTATTGTTCCATATGCTACATTCAGATATGAGTCGAAATCTAGTAGGCAAATTAAATTACTTTTGCGATATCCACTGAACCGTACTCGCAGTTTGAGGACCGGTCCGGATTCCCGCGCTTACTATGCCAAAATTAAATTTCTTGTCCCCCCAGTGACTGATTCGCGCCTATTACTCTGAATTGAAGCAACGTTGTTCATTGTTGAACGTTATTGCAAAAACCGATACAACCGAAAACCATGTTGATCGTACATCGGCCGTTGAAAGGCAAGGGGCGCCACTGACCCCATATCGCACGCCCTGGCCAACGGTAATAATTAATCGCGTCGTTTGAAATACCCCCACTGCTATTCATCAACCATGTTTAAGCACCTATCCACGAATCATCGCCCAAATCACCCCACTAAACCACTCAATATCGAGATGACACTACCTTTAGCCTCTCTGACAACCGAAATCAGGAACCCGGCGTCGACAGACATCGACACGGTCAGTACGGCTGAGCTCTGCAAAATCATCAATGACCAGGATGCTCTCGTTGCTCCAGCCATCGCGGAGGTGCTTCCAGCTATTGCAGAAGCTATTGATGCCATCGTGGAGAGGATTGAAGCCGGTGGTAGGCTTCTGTACATGGGCGCTGGGTCGAGTGGACGGTGCGTACTTTTAAGTTTTTTGTCCGAGGGGGTCGGCCTGACTTGATGCACAACAAATAGTCTGGGCATCATAGACGCAGCTGAACTCCCACCAATGTTCAACGCAAACAACATGCAGTACATTGCTCTCATGGCCGGAGGCGACGGAGCCCTCAGGACGGCCCGGGAGGCGATCGAAGACTCGCGTGAGGCAGGACGAGCGGACTTGGATGCCCTTTTGCCGACTTCTCATGACGCGCTGATCGGTGTGACATCGTCTGGGCGTACACCGTATGTTTTAGGTGCCCTACAGCGCGCGCGCGAGCTCGGTTTGCTGACCATAGGGCTTGTTTGCGTTCGGCCAAGCGCAGTACGGATGGAAAGGAACTGTACGGTGGTCGTCGATCCTGTTACGGGTCCGGAGGTCATCACTGGGAGCACGAGAATGAAGGCCGGCACCGCTACCAAGATGGCCCTCAATATGATATCTACAGGCGTTCAAATAAAGCTGGGAAAAACATACGGGAATTTGGTATGTTTATTTGGTCATAGGGTGTGAAGCGCTCATGCGTCATTGGTTATAGATGGTCGATCTTACCGTGTCAAATCACAAGTTGATTTCTCGTGCTCGACGCATTATCCGCACCGTCGCAGCTGAAGTGGGGTTACCACCGTCATATGCATCGATATTCACTGATGACGATCAGCTCGATGCTGTTATACGTCGGTGCGATGGTAGTGTAAAGCTTGCTTTGGTTGTCGTTGTATCAGGATGGGGCATTGATTTGTGTAGGGAGGCACTCACACGAAGAGGAGGGGCTTTGAGAGCAGTCCTCGAAGACGTGAGATTCGAGACAGCATCGAGAGTTTTTAAGGTCTGAGCGATGACGTGCTCAAGGTATTCATTTGATGTTTTTATTGCTCTGTACGCTTTAATTCGCTGTCGATGTTAGCTTTTTTCTTGGGATATGGATTGTTGTTGTAGGAATAAGAGGAATATATATGTGACTTTGCAAAGATTGCCGGCCATACCCTGAAATTTCCACGGACCTCGACGTTTCCAAATAGAATCCTGCCTCTCGGCGCAACAAACATATGCTGCAAATCACTCGTTGGCACCTAACAATAGTCAGGTCAACTTCGAATGTGAAATGATATGGACCACGCACGTTCGAGAAGAGTCCGACGAGCGCATACCACCGACTCGAATGATGTAGAAAAATCCTTACGTTGAGCAGTATTTTTCCTGTATCGATTAAAGCAAACTGAGATTCACTCAGGACGGTGATACGACTTGTTTCTTTGATACTTGGCTCACAAATACTGATGAAAGAGGGTGACGCCAGACGCTGTTTAGTCGGAATCGGTGCTCAGGAATGCGAGATTCTCTCAGGAGATAAGCCTCGAGGCATAGGGTCGGGGCCCATAACATCGAAAGGAAGATGACGAGAAGGGCTTCGACAATAAGGGTCCTCGCTCGGAAGGTCTTCAGCGATATCTGATTGCCACGAAAGATTTCCGTGCGAAGAAGCTAGAGACGTTACGGAGCAGAGTACGGCGCTCAAGTCGTATGACAAGAGGAGCAACAGTGTTAGCCCAGAGTCCTTCAATAAAGCCTCAGTTCGGGAATTAACCGTTTATTGTCGCGCCGCTCGTTGAATGAATTGTTAAAACCAGATTGCAAAGACCAACGCAATTACAGAAGACGAACGAGGATTGATGATAAGCAGGAAGCACAGAATACTTAATTGGCGACAGATTGACAGAAATGGGGGGATGCGGTCGCCACATCGGGCGTGATTTGTTCCAGTAGCCGAGTGTAAATGACGTTCCTGTGGTCCTGTCGGTAAAGTAACTTGTATAATGCGCAATCAACGATGTGAGAATGAAAAAAAAGAGAGATGAAGGACTTGCTCGAGATAAAATAAAAGGCTGTAAAAAGCTAAATGCTGGTACGAAATAAATAAACGGGTCGGATGTGGCGCCGTCACGCCGGACCCGACTGCATTATAAGTTACGATCTGTTACAACAAAGAATCCAACCAACCAGCATACGTAAGGGGCTTCCAATGAAATCAGAATGCAAAAAGCCAGGCATTCGACAATGTCCATGAATGCAGAATGCTGCTTCAATCTGCCTCCAATATTTCCGGAATCTCCGCATCTAGCACTGTCTTCTTGACTGCCAGATCCGGGTAGACCAGGTCCCACTGTGGGAGGGGGGGCCTTTTCGGTAGGGCTGAGCTACCGCGCCAAGGCTTGGGTTTGGGAGAGGAAGGGGGGGTGCGAGGCGTCATGGGTGACATTAAGGAAGATTGGGATGTTGTTGTGGTAAGTGGAGGGGTTTGAAGGGTAGATAGGGAAGTTGAGATAGGCGGTGGCGGGAGCTTCTTGGAGCATAGTCGAGGGAAGCTGGAATCGGAAAATGGCTGGTCCTTGAGTCGTATACTGCTGACCAGTAGAGTTTTAAAGTCGAGTTGGGGTTCTGCTACTGCAGCTTTTTGGAGGCGTTGCTGAGTGACATGTAAGGCACCAAATGGCAGGATAAGGCTGAAAACTCACGTATTTATCTGGATGGTGAAACGACGCCTTGCGCATCAACGGCGGTGGTGGCCTTTTAGAGGTCACAAGTGAAGTAGTGCGAGAGAGACGGCGGTGGTGACGAGGAGGGATGTTTTCCTTGTGCTGTGGATCATCGGTAGGGAAGCGGTGGCGGTGGGAAATATCAACGATGGTGGTCTGTTCCTCATTCTCGTCTGGTATAGTGGGTATATAAGAGGACGGCACAGGGCTCGAGGACGGAAAGGCGACGAGCATGACGGTATCGTGAAGGTCGTAAGAGAGTACACTGCCAGTTATTTGAACCAGTACTTATATGGCTTTGCTGATCCGCCACTCGGCCGTTGAGCTGCCACAGACGCGTCAAACTCCGGCATCCTCCGGTGGCCTAGGTTCACGTTTTTTCCAACTTGGGATCTAATTGACGCGAAGAAAATAAAGTGAAACAGAAAATGCGGGCAAGGTACAGTGCGATGACAACGAATCCACTGACTGGACTGCTCTGGCCGTCACAGCGCTCATCGATATCCGCAGATTACACTCATTTCGACTGGCCTGACAATATTCCGGGTCGAGGAGCAACTATTATTTCCAATCTTCCCCAGAACAAGTTGTATATTAATATGGGGAGAAGGAAATGGATTTTTCTGTATTTGTTGCGTCATGCGACACTGCGAATACTCCCGGAATCGGGTACAGGATCGGGATGAAGCGGAAACTGAACGCGATGTAGCAAATCACTCGAGTTCATGAAACTCTTTTCTGCGAGGAAATATGTTAGGCGCATGTCCCTCCAGAGCTAGTGACAACGACTGCGACAGCTAGAATATTTCCGAGATGCAGGGGCATGATTGATGATAATTTGCCATCATGATGGCATCGGTGATATACCCATCACCAATATTTGGGCAATAGTACACCAACGCTTTCTCGAAGTTCCATACATATACTTCGTGAACGGGAGAGCATTCAAGTGACCGAGATCTTGCATCCAAACCCTGATATTGGGAGCATCTATACGCAAACCAATCCCAATCGGCGCATGGTAACTCCACATCATCGAGCTCTCCGGAATGGATCGTCTCTGCGAAAGGTACGTGCAGCAGCGTATGTCACACACACACGGCGGTGAGTCTAACTTGTCTGCTACCACGAGACATACATCGCAGATGGCCCCGCACGCGACAAAAGCAGCAACATTACGTCGCAGATATCGATGCTAGAAACATATCCTTGCATAAGCGCAAGGAAAACACATCAACTCTCCAAAAACGGCTAACCATCGCTCGGAGCCTGACATTGCAGCCATTCAGAAAAAGAGGTCAAGGTCGAATCACGGCCATAGGTCCTTTTGGCACACTATACAGCCCCTCATTGCCAACTACCAGGGTACTCAATATAGTGACATTACCTGGACGCCTGCGTCCTGTAATCAGAGGCAGCCATAGAGGACCTGGTTGCAATCATTTGAACGCATAGTACAGGCCTCTTTAACCAAGGCAGAAACAATGGCCCTGCATCCCCCGGCAGTACCTAAAGCGGGTTGCATTCGAATATTCTCGCTACTGCAATACATGAAAATTTCAGTGACAATGCATGAAACAGGACTCACTTAGATTTATACAGACTGACATAGAAAAGCGGGCGGTACCGTAGCAAACAGAACCCGCAAAGATGCAGCTGAAACCAAAATTCAGCCTCTTTCCTGGAGAACGGAAAACATCAGCTACCAGCTTACATAAAGAAACATTCTCGAATGACGTTATACCTTCATTTTTTCGATTTGCGTTGAGAAAATGGTTCAATTGCATTGCATGCCTGTTACCCCCTTCTTTCTTTCAACTACCATCATCTCCATTCAACATTGAAGCATACTCACTGGCTACCGTGACGGCCACGGCCTCCTCACCGTCTGTACGCTCTCACCAAAGGAGCGTCCCTGCCTCCTCGTAACCGTTGACGCCAAAAGGTGCTCCAAACGTTTCCAAAAGCATTTTAGGCTCAACTCCTCTTCATGGTACCCACAGATGCCCTGTAATGCAATGTACAAAATCCAGCACACCACGAGGTGCGCGAGGCTCTAGACCGATTTGGGTATCAGATCCGGAGATTGTGATAAAGGTGATTCAGGCTCCTTCGATCACCAACGACTATTGACCCCCGCTAGAATTACTCGCCATGAAGGTATGCATTATTGGAGCCGGTATGGGCGGTTTGGCTGCATCTATTGCGCTGCAGCAGGACGGTCACCAAACTGTTGTCTATGAGCGGGTCTCCGACCTTCGACCCGTTGGTGCAGCTATCTCAGTATGGTGTAACGGCGTCAAGGTTCTGGCACGGCTTGGTCTACTCAAGGAAGTGGAAAGGGTGTCTGGTCAGATGAACAGAATGAGCTATCGGAAGTGGGATACTGGTGAGGTGTACTGCGATTTCAGCTTGCTGCCCCTGTACGAGGAGGTGCGTGGGAGCTCTTTGCCGGTCAGAGCTTGAACGGAAATCCTTTTACAGGTAAAACAACGGGCATACCCTATCGCGCGAGCTGAGCTGCAACGGATGCTTCTCGATGCCAATGCGCCTGCACCTATCCACCTCCAGAAGCGCGCCGTATCCTACTCGACTTCTCAGGACGGCATCACGGTGTCTTTTGAAGACGGAACGATAGAGACAGCCGACTTTGTCGTTATCGCCGACGGAACGCATTCCAAGCTGCGCAACCAGATCACCAAGGCAGAGATCCAGAGAGATTATGTCGGATACGTGAACTGGAATGGGCCTATCGAGATGAAAGAATTCGAGGTTGGATTTACTAGCTCATGTCTATATTATTTTGATTTCATGCTGAATACAGGGACTGATATCAAGCGATAATTGGACGCAGTTTGTAGGCGAGGGTAAACGAGTGTCGTTCATGCCTATGTCAGCAACACATTACTACTTCTTCTTAGACGTACCTCTTCCTCTATCCTCCGCGCCCAAACGGCCAGAAGAATACCGCGCTTCTCTCACGAAACATTTTGGACATTGGCATCCAACTGTCCAGAAACTTGTTGAGAGGCTAGACCCTTCTAAAGTGGCGCGAGTGGAAATACACGACACCAAGACGCTTCCCACGCTCGTCGACCTCGAATCGGGGCGTGCATTACTCATCGGCGACGCTGCGCATGCTACCTGTCCGGATCTAGGACAAGGAGGCTGTCAGGCGTTTGAAGACGCGTTCGTTCTCCAGCAGCTGTTCCGCGAGCACCGGGTATCTCCTGCATCCGCATCGGCGAAACCAGATGTTGAGGTCCTTCGTGCTGTGCTGCGGGATTTCCAAGATCAACGAGGGGAGCGCACGGCAGAGCTTGTTTTGCGTGCGAGGAAGCGGTCTGGGGTGACACACCAGCTGGGCGAACCGCAGGAGACATTGGACTGGTATGAGGAGCTGAAGACGGAGGACGGGACGGGAATCATGCGGGGGATGATCAAGACTATTCTTGGTGCGCCAGCGCAGTTGGACCATTAAAATTAATGGAATGTATTGCTTTGTAGAGAGGAAAAATATACATTAGACGATACAGCACATGATGGACACGACGCAAATTGGTGGACAGCGCCAACAATGGGTCGTGCGCGGTTCACTGGTGGTGAAGGGCCTCAGTCCTGAGCTGGCCTTGTATGCCTGGGAAAGGGATTTGGACCTCGATGGATCGCACGTACGTCTGCCTTCCTTGTACCACCAGGTTCCCTCAAATGCAACCGAGGTTGGTAAACACACAATATATGCAGTCTCAATAATCAACTCGTATGTAATCGTACAAATCAGCCTGATGCTACCCAGTCCATCTGCTTCAGCTCTGTAGGTTGCATTATTGACAGGGCCGCAAGGAACATTAGTGAGAGTAGCAATCTGGACACACGAACCTATTTTTTTTCGAGGGTTTTAAATAATTTTTTTCAACGACAAGGAAAGAAGAAAGAATAGATGATTATTGATGGGACTACTTGTGGCCCTCCGTGGGAGTGTCGCTTGGAATAGGGAAGGTATACTGAAGCGCGGTCTTCTTCCCGTCCTCACGCTTGATGATGATGGTGGGCTTGACAAACTCGACAACGGAGTTCGAAGCTTTCTGAGAGTCGCCATTGACGACGAACTCATGAGAGAAGGTGCTGCTCTGGCTCAGCCCGACGAACTGCATGTCACTTCCGGGGGAATTGAGATAAGTATTCACAAAGTACGCCTGTAAATGACAGCTTAAGCGTGACGAACGCTATGAAATGGAAAAATTTACCCAATAGTTGTTTCCGTTGTATCTGATAAAGGCATTAGCTCGACAAGGACTAACTAACATGAAGCAGTGATTACTGACATGTCGCCCGAGGCTACAAGCCGAAGCATGTCAGTTGGCTACATGGAAAGTAGGACATTGTTACTCACTAACAATAACAGCTCCTGGGTTCTGGGGAGTGTTGTTTCCTTCGTTGAGCCCATATTTCTGAGGAGAGAATTTAAACAAAGGAGTGAGTCTGAAGGTAGTACAAACACGGACCAGGGCATAGATTGATTGGCTGTTGATGGTTAACTCAGTCCTCAGAATTTCAAGTGTCTCGCCTGCAGGAACTCTGCGCACACGTCGAATACGCGTCAATTTCTCTGTACGCGACAGGATCCAGTGACGACTCACGTGATGTTGAACTCCTTTTCCGAGCCCTACGTAGATTCCACCTTCATGATCGTGGAGGTGTCGTTGGACATGTTGATGGTAAAACCGGAATTAGCAACCGACTCAATAGTGACCGACCACTGGAGACTGATGGATGCTGATGATAGAAACACGTCGTTAGCTGTGAGTGAAACTTAAGAAATTCGTAGGAAACTGACGGCCACGAGTTAAGGTGAGAGACGCCGTCGATTCTGTGAACCACTTGTCGGTCCAAACTGTGGTCAACGGCTCCAAACCAGTGCGATTGTCGAACTCCGCGACCGGTATCGTCCTTGAGACCTGGTTGCTCCCACTTACAACCAGGTATGGATTGCCTTTGGTCACATTGTAGCAGGGAAAGCTGCAGGAGGACGACCAAGTCAGCTTTCTAGGGAAAAAAGACACCGTGTACGCACTTGGAGGCGATACCCTCGTTAAGAAACATGTCGTCTAACCCGCGCATCGTATATTCACGCAGAGGATTGAGTGTGTCGTAAACCTGCTGCTTACTCCAGCCCCAGATTCGCCAGGTCTTCCCAAGAAGTTTTCGGTCCAGGTTCGTCCATGGTATGCTGTATCGTTGGATGTCTGTTGGGTTGACTTGATGGTCACCGAAGAAAATGTATGATGCTTTCATAGATTGGCGGGCACTCTTCCCAGTGCTTTATCGATGCCTAGGTCAAAGCACAGCATGAATGGAAGCTGTTGTTACTACCACAGGTAACAACGCATAGACGTCCGAGGAATCCTAACATCAGACAGATTTGTATTCAATGAGAATCATCTGGTCTTGGGTTGCACTGTCAGGAGGTAAGGCTTTTCGGGAGTCCAGAAACGTATTCCCGCCGCCAGGGGGCCCGAGCGCGCGCGCTCGCATCTTGAACGAACTGCTTCCCAAACTTAATCACTGTGCTATCCAGGTTGACCTTGAATCCACTCTGTAGAGGGCGTCGCATAGAATATGGTAGCGCTTGTAACGCGGTTGAAGGACAATGGCACCGGGGATTCATAACTTCGGAGATCTTGAGGAGTGAGAATTACAAGTTTCTTCTAGCAGGCGCGATCTCGGATAATCGAAACGCCTAAGACAAGACTAGAATTAATTTCATCTCGTCTGATGAAAAGTCCTCCGGAACATAAAACATACAATCTCCTCGATTCTCGGCTGTCAGGCGGAGATTGGCTGGAGCAAACTTCTTGATGACTGATGATCAGAATCGCAGCATCCAAGGTCAAGGGATAATGCACATACCCGGTCGTTTCAGGAATGGTTTCCCAGCATATTTCAAAATGAGAAGTCGTCACACTTGAAGAGCAAAGGCATTGAATGGCAACCCGCCGACATGACCTTTGTGATCGTGTTCTCATATTGGTCAAGGTCCACGTCGCATCTCATCCAGAGTCTGTCAGTGCGTTGGGCTCTAAAGAATTGTGTGGGTGTCGGGTCAAGCCCAAGAGATAAATAGGTTGTTTGGGAAATCTAACAAGCCCGTATACCAAGGTACATACCACCATCTTGTACGTGACATATGGACCTGAGCAGAGACCTAGGTAAGCTGTGGTGAGTCAGATGAAGGAGCTGTCTAGTAAACAGACAGACTCGTAATGGCTTAGTCCATTTTACGGGGAAGAGAATACCGACAACGATAGAGATTCAGAAGAGAAGAGGAGAAAGAGGAACGTCCAACGTCCGGATCACAACAAGCCACAACAAATGCCACCACGTCCAGCTCTCGTCTTGCCATATTCCATACTATATGATATTAGCACACGCGATACCAACATGGTACTAGCTACCGCAGTAACTTGAGCACTTGAATGGTCGCTTCCCAGTAGTTATGTCCAGTGAAGATTCACGGCCAGGTCTCGTGTTGAAGTTAGTAAGTCGTTTACCTTTAGAAGCCAACGCCGGCGATCTTTCCTTCTATACTGATGGTAAGTGTATACTACCGTATAGTATAGCTAGAACTTACACTACTTATCTAGATCCTTTTCTGTAGTTGCGACCACGCTAAAAGCTTGGGAATTAGAAGTGCCCATAATTGGTACGGCAAATATTACTTGTGTAAAAAGGGCAGCGGTGCAAACAAGACTTGGACGTGCGCCACGGTGAGGAACGTGCTTAATGCGGAGAAGGGGGAATGCTTCAAGTAGAAATGGATTGTGTGCATCGAAACGACTTCTGACGCGAAACTGGTCTGTGCGTGGGAAAACGTTCCCACGTCGGCTCCTTTCCGGAGGTCCCTGCCTTCGCTGACTCCGACTTTTCGTCTAATTTGAACTTGAACGCTGCCGCTAAAGACAGCAATCTCCACTCTAGCGTGAGGAACACGATGGTAGAGAAGGCAAGCACGGATAATTCACCAGGTGCACCACGAATTCCACCCAGTTTTTTCGCTTTTACTGACTTTGACCGGTCCTTAGTATCTCAAAAGGTAATTTTTTGTTCGAATGGCCGAGTCTCTTCACTTCAAGTCATATCCAGGTGCCGATATCTTCAGTTTCAGCGGCTACGACGCCGAGCCGCACGACTGTGTATCCCATAGATCGACCTCTACGATCTGCATCTCCTGCAACTCTTGTGGCGCTGACGGAACCGCTGCTGATGTCGTGGTGCTTTGACAATTCCTGGCTTGAGAAACACTTGTGATCTTTGCTCAAGGATTGACCGAAAGAATTCGTATACATGTCCGATGATGCTCAAATAGGCCATAACTGTAATAGTTACCACTCAAATCGTCTTCTTATTGTCCTTCCCGCTCCCAAGGACGATGCTCTCGATTTCAATGCGTCCCGTCGCATTCAGTCGTTCCACTAATGCGTCTCCCATAGCTGAAGCTGGAGTTAGGATACCACCACGCCGCGCAAATGGCCGAATCGTCTCTTGGTGAAGAAGACATAGCGCCGCTTCTGCCACCATGACTGCATGATCCAAAGTTAGTGTCGACTACGTAAAGCAACGGCAAACGTACTGCAGGAAAGAAGATATCCCGGATCCCCATGGCCTTTAAACGTCGTCTTGGCGTACGTAGACCCAGACCGTGTAATATTGACCAAGTCCAGACCGCCTAATTCCACTTCCGAGTCCGTAGGTCCTTCTCCCGGCTTGCGAACAAGCTTTTTAACAATGAAGCGTATCTACACGCGGTCAGCGTCGAGTCGAGGAACCTACGATTGGCATTATTGGCACACACTGGAGAAATCATCAGGCTCATCAATCCCAAGACCAAGCTAAGCGAGGCAACAGCCGCCACCAGAACGTTCGACTGGATCCTCAGCTCGTCGTATGTGAACTCAGGGCCGTACCGCGCCTTCTCAGCCGCCTCCAACCGCTCCGTGTCTCCTTCCAGCCGCGCCTGTATCGCATCATACTCAAGCAGCCCCCACGTTCGCTGCACGATCGCCCTGTCGACGCTGGCCATGAACCACTCTCCGCCCACCAACGTCTCGTCGCTGAATGGTATATGTAGTTTTCGCACGAGTTGGAACCGCTGCTTTTGGCGCACACCCACGATGGGGCTCAGAGCGTAATCGGACATGGCCCAACGACGTTTCGCACGCGGGACGGCCTCGAGCATTGTGAACACTGTCGCGAGGGACCCTCCCGATGCTGTTCCGTCGAAGTGCCATGCGGTAGTCGAGCTGTCGACGGAGCTCTGAACGGTCTTGGAACCGAGATAAGCGCAGAGATCGCTGGTTACGCAGTCCATTCCACATGTTGGCACAATAATCGAGCCGGTTTTTGTGGCGAAATAGTCGAATCTGCCCAAGTAAAGCCTCTAGCGCAAAGGGAGAGATAGAAGAGAAACGTACTCTTGAATGATATCCTTGACCCAATAGAATTCCCCGGTGAGGTCAACGTAGTGTATGCCATTCCGTACGCAGGCCCTGCTGGTCGTTAATGGCACGCACAGAACAGAAAAGGACCGCTCACCTAACTACCGGTGTACCATACGTCCAAAACGGACCCACAGTGTTGATGACGACCTTGGTCGTTTTCACCGCGGCCTCGACTTGATCCGGTTTCATAACGTCGACCTGCAGCACATCAACAGAGTCTGGCAGAGAAAATTCTGCGACGATGGCATTGAGAGCATCCTTCCTGCGGCCGGCGATAGAAAAAGTGAATGACGAGCGTTCGGGATGGCTGCAGAGGTAGCGAACAGTTTGGCGACCGGTTATGCCTGTTGCCGGTCAGACAAGAAAAGTAGATCCCAGTATCTTACCTGTTGCACCAAGGATAAGGAGGTCAGTTTTTTTGCTCATGGTGGTAGAGTGAGAGGAAGAGCCGAGGCGAATGACAGACAATCATATACATATGTTCCACTTGGAACCGGCTAAGGAAACTACAGTACACATCATGATCTATCACTCAAAGGCTGTTCCATCCATCCGTACTCCCATATTTTGCTTTATATCCATACCTAGTAGCTTCATTTTACCGGCCTAGGGAGAAAAAATCAATCCAAAATGATACATTTACCACAGGATAAAACTGACCTCGATTCTTTCATTCTGCACTTTCCTCAACTCCATCAGTTGCTCGCGGCTCATGTAGCTCTCGCGTTCCACCAGCTTCTTCTTGTGTGCGCCACTGATCGCCTTCATGTCGGCTTGGGGATCATACGTCTCATCCGACGGGGGAACAAACTCTCCCGAGCGTAATGCAGACATCCGCCGTTCGTATGCTTCCATGTTGTAGTACTTCTCGTGGGGTAGCGTTGCTGAGATATAGGGAAGATTAATGGGAACAGGTACTTCGAGCACGAACTAACCGGTATTGAAATCTTCCACGAACCGCACGAATTCCTTCTTGCTCTGATCCTTCGAAATTGTTTCTGGATTTATCTTGCGCTCTTCGACAAGCCATGTATGAAACTCGGGCCCTTTGGAAAATATACTAGCCATTTGTGGGCAAGTGCTGAAATAACAAGGAACCAACAACACGTACTCAATCTCAGATATGATTCCGTATTTACCCCACTGAGGAACTTCGGCTTTCTTTTTCTTCAGATAAACGTAAGTATAAGAAATTAGGAAGGAAAGAGGACACGCACCTTTCGCTCTTTCTTTTCTTTTCTCCGCTCCTTTCTTTCTCGTCGTTCCTTACTGTCTTTCCGCCGCTTCTTCTTTTTCTTATCAATGGACGATGTACTGGATAATGACGATGACCTGTTTCTCCGTGACCTTCCTTTTCTCATCTGTCGGTCACGAGAGGTCGACCGTCTCCTCTCCCGAGAATCTGATCTCCTTTCATTACGAGAAGACGACCTTGACGAATATTTCCGCCGCTTGGTTACTGGGCTCCGACTTCGACTTCGACTTCGACTTCGTCTGTACGTAGGAGCCTGAGGAGGTGAGTATTCACGTCCCCTCCTTCCACGTTCGGGGGTGTGCTGCTCATATCGTCGCCTGGGTGAGCGGTCTTGAGGCATGCAAAGTGAAGTTGTGGCGGCAGGTGCGTGAAGGTCACTTTGTTTGAATCCAAAGTGATTGCTCAATCGATGACGCACAGTATTCGATAGGCGCTTCGGCCCGTACAGTCCGGCGTTTTGATTTCAATTTGATTTTCAGTCAAGTTCAGTTCGACCTTCAAGTTACTAAGCGCCTTCCATCTGTCGTACGCCTCATTCTTTTGAGCTTTTTGAACGGTCATGATCTGGTGATCCCTCCTATTCATACTGTATCTCTATGAGGATACAGTACAGCCAAGCCGGGAGCCAGTTATGTGGCCAAGGTACGAATGCTACTTCGACTCCACTTGGCTCCACCTTCTGTCTGTTATTTGTGCCTCCCTACCCCCAAATTTATATATAGCAATCGTGGACCACTCTAAAAAGACTCCACTGCCTATACCTTGAACAGAAAACTTAGCCCAATCTCCCCCTGGGGAGAATAAGGTAAGCTTGAACAGGATAGTACATCGGATGTTACTCGCGTATAATGATGTTTGCTCCACGATCTAAGCATAAACGTTGTCTGATGTTCCTAGAAATGCCCATAGCGATTTCCTCTGCTGATTCCTCGCAAAAAAAACAGTCCCAGATTAACAGCCTACTCGCAGATTACGCGGCGAGTGTTGTATTCACTCAGTCATTGATAGATGGTCATATTCTCTGGAACCTTCAAGTTTAGGTAACGTAGGACAAGTCCTATGTCTTATTGAATGGTAGCCTTACATAAAATTGGGGCCATGGAAAGTGTATTAGGAAGATTGCTATTGTAACACCGGTTGCAATTAACAGCTTATTCAACGTTGCATCCATGCTGAAGAACCTGTCACCAGACAGCGCGTCCCTCCAGTCTATCGTAACTGAATGTATGTACTAGTCATGCTTCGAAGAAAAGGTTGGCTTGTGTCGGTCAGGAATGAAGTACCAGCCGAGTTCCAGAAATATCACGGCGTTTCGCCAGGCCACTTGATGACCACTTTGCAGGCAGTTTTCAATTTTTGTCTAGTTAGTACTAAGTTGGAGTGATCACATCATCATTCGGTGCCAGCGCGTGCTCCTGCCGTGTTTGGCACGCCGCTTCCTTCGCGTCACGGTCAAGTAATTCATTTTCGTTTTTGCGTACTTAAGCCGTGCTGCACATTGAGAACCCCCTATCCCTTCTGCTCTTAAACAGAAGGACGCTTTACACACTGCTTACCATGACGGATTTCAATTCGGACCCAAAGGCGGCAGAGTCGGTCATTGTGTCGCCTCTGCCCAAGCATCTCTACGAGGAACTGCATGCTTCGCTCAAGGGCCAGGTCTTCGTTCGAGGAAATCCACAGTAAGTCACCTCCATGATGTTATCGACAATGCTGAGCTTCTGACCACTAGCTTCACTGAATACACGACAATGTTCAACGGGAATGTAAAATCACTGGCAAAGGCTGTCGTCTGTCCCGTCGATGCGGAGGATGTCAGCACGTATGTCGCTGCTGCGTATGCTCAGTGTCCATAGCTCTGACATCTACACAGTGTCATACTTTTCTGCTTAAAACACTCATTGTCACCGTCCATCAAGGCCGGTGGGTATGGGACTGCTGGCTGGGCCGTAGGAGGAGATATTGTTCTTGACATGAGCAGGATCCTGGACATTGACATTGAGGTCCCGAATCCTGAACTTACAGGTGGGTACACGAGCCTCAAGGACATGAAGCCCTCCGAGTCCGCGAACAGCAAAGGCAAACAGCCAGCTAACGGTAAACGACGACGGGAAGAAGACGCCAACCTTCGTTCATACCATCTAGCTTCAGAGGCTGTAGCCAATTTTCTCGAAGGCCCGTCAATTAATAGAAGGAGGACCAATCTCGACGGAGAGTCTGTATCTCCACCGTTAGCCCCCCTTGCTTCGCCTGTTATTATCCTTCCGAGCTCTTCGAACGGCCCAGCACCTGCACCCCCACCGGGCGCCTCTCAAGCGCCTCTAGACGCTGACCCTTTTGGGTACATGAACCCAAGTCGGCTTATCCTTTCCCCCGGCATAAACGTCTCTTCGTCTTACTCGCCACGGACCGGGACCGAGACCGCCATGCCGTTTTCTGGAAGCTCGAATTTACCTTCTGCACAGCTAAATATTCTCTCACCTCCAGAGCCTGTGCATTCGCATGCATTCGTCACGTTCGGAGCCGGGATGCGACAAAAGGAAATTGATATGTACACGGCTGCACATCCGCTGGAGGCTACCTCGTTGTCCGGGAAGAACGACGGGGTACCCTACCATGTACCTTTGTGAGTCTTGTATTTTCTCGTTTCACTTCTGGGGTGGGCCTTCTTCATGGACGTCGTATCTTGCTGTGCCTTCCTTTGTTCAGAGGCTGCTCTGCTTAGCTGGTTTCACAGAGCTCCCTCAAAGAATGTTTTACAAACGCCTGTTCTGGCTGGCATTTATTGGCTCAGTCCTCATTTGTTACGATTTTCTCTCGAGGATTCCGTCAATATCGGATCATCATAGAATGAGAATCGGAGCTCAGGACATGCTTTTAGTCCCATTACGAAGGATCTTTCAATGATCTGCCATGATTGGGACGCGCTCCGCAAAGTGTAGAAATCCCTTCTCAGCCGCCAGCATTTGTCCTGATTTCAAAACTGACCTGTTCCAGCGCTGCTCATCCTGTAGGCTCATCCATTATGCTTCTCGGAGGGTTTGGGTTTCTCGGACGTCTTCATGGCTTGAGCATTGACAACCTGGTGGAGGTTGAGGTGGTCCTGGCAAATGGAAAGATAGCCATCGTGAACGAGAGATCTCATCCTGGTATTAAACATTTTTCTGAAACGTAATCTGTATTGACGTTGCTCGCAGACCTTTGGTGGGCAGTACGCGGCGCTGGACCAGCGTTCGGAATTGCTACTCGTTATAAAGCTAAAGCGTACCCGGTACCCGTGGTATTCGCTGGGAACCTCATATAGTACGTCCTCGTCAACGCTCTGTTTGGACTTGTTTTCAGAATAAATCGTGAAGCCGTTTCAAAAAAGCTACAGCTCCCTCTCTTTTGAAGCATTTCCGTGATTGCGTCAAGGGCGCACCGCGAGAGCTATATGCCAATGTCCTGCTTACAGCTGGACCAGAGGGGGAAGCCTCTTTGGTTGTAATCCAGATGTGCTACGTGGGTACGAAAGAGAAAGGACAGGAATACTTGGCCGCGATATCCTCATGGACGGGAGAAACCTGTCTCTTGAATGAGGTGGATGTGAAGAGTTTCTTGCATCAACAAGGCAGTGTAGCGCAGGTTCTTCGGGGAAAAGGTAACACTATTTGTTCACTGGTATTCACTGGACCTTACTGATTTATTTCTAGCTGGAAGACAGTGGTTCATTCGGTCAGCGTTGATCACATCGCTGCCCGACGATGTTATCCATGAGACTGTTCTGAACTTTTCGGACACGCCGGATGGTTGCAGTAAGAATATACCAGCTCCCATGTGGACATTTTTGTTTGTTTAGAGCTCACCAGATGATCGACAGCTTGGCTCTTTGAATTGACGGGAGGCCGGATCAGCGACATCGAAGATTCGTGCTTGCCAAAGGAGCAAAGAGAGGCAGCATTTTCTATTGCCGCTCTCCATCAATGGGATATGGGGGTGGAAGACGACAGGTGTGAGGAGTCGGCCGAAGAGGTGGGTGGATTTCGTATGCTACTTGGCATAAAACGTTGATAATGTTCAAGTGGATTGGGGGCACCCTCAAACCTGTGCATAGAGGCGGTCCGCTCCCTAGTGTTAGTGATTATACTATGGCATCAAGTATGTTGTTACTGATGTTGTTGCTAGTTTCTTGGCAGGCATGAAGCACCTGAGCGGACGATTGCATGTTACGGCGACAAAAACTTTGCGCGTCTTAAGGAGATAAAGAAAAAGTATGACCCTGATAATGTATTTAGGAATTGTCTGTGGCCTCTCGACGCACAAGGATCCATGGTAGAGGCCAGATTGCAGGAGCCTCCGACGCCTTAACAAGGGACGTTTGGGGTGTGGCGGAACAATGGATCATGTTTGAAATCTATAACCACATGAACGTGTAGTGTATAAAGCTTGCTTTGCTAAATATACGGTTACTACTATTTTCGTTTCGGCCGATATCGTAATATCGGCTCTTTCCTATTGGCTCTTTGTTCCAGAAAGATATTTATAGCATCGGCTGCCTCTTGCTTTGATACTTCACGGGTATCATCATGGCTAACTCACGACACGGATACGGAACACCACTATTCAGCACTGTATCGTCGGCAGCCTCGATACGTTCACTCCACGGGATTGACGTACCTGAAGGCGAAGGGGGCGAAGGGGACGGGTTGATAGACGTCGAAAGCCAAAGCGATAGGCAGAGCAGACAGTATGGCAGCATTTCCGAGCAAAGTGAGCAGCAGGAGTCGCCCATAGTACTCGTACTCATTCCTGTTTTCAGGCCGAGTCGACCATCGGGCCAAGTTCAAGAAAAGAGTAAATTACTACATCCCATCTACCGCGTGGATTCCCAGCTATTCGTTATCGCTGTGCGCGCATTTATCCGACAAAGCCTAGCTACCCTTCTCATGATTGTACAGGCTCGGAGGCGATGTTCTAGCTGGGATGACGGTAGCCAGCATACTCATACCGCAATCTGTCAGTTATGCGTCTTCCCTCGCAAAGCTGAATCCGACGACGGGGCTGGTACGTCTTTATTTGTTCGGGGTCAGGTAGGGACTTGACATGTGCTTTGTAGTTCGCGGCATCTTTCCCTGGAATCGTATACGCCTTTCTCGGAACTTCGAGACAACTGAATGTAGCACCTGAGGCTGCGTTGAGTCTGCTGCTTGGTCAGGCTGTCGATGATATACGGCATGACCTGTCCAATCCACATTCAGGGAAGGGCGATAGGCTGGGTCTGCATGTTGCGACGATCATTACTCTTCAGGTCTGTAGGACTTGTCTGTCTCTTTGACGGACGCTACTGACCCTCGACGTTAGGCCGGCCTCATAACATTTCTTCTTGGATTCTTCAGGCTGGGGTTCATGGATGTCGTTCTCGGCCGGGCTCTGCTTAGAGGGTTTATTACGGCTATTGCTGTTGTCATCACCATGTGAGTAGCGGCATTTCCGCGTCTCGGTCGCCATCTAATCCGCGTCTGTCCAGAGAGCAGCTCATACCGATGCTCGGTTTGACCGCTTTAGAACACGCCCTTCATCCAGCAACAACATGGGACAAATTTCTTTTCATATTAGACCACTTCCTAAAACATACGAATCCCACAACCGCCGCTATCAGCTTCGGAGCACTCTTTACGCTCATTTTCTTGAGAAAGGTGAAACAGAGCTTCGTCAAGTATTGGTGGATATACCGAATACCTGAGGTCCTGGTCGTTGTTATCGTCTCTACGAGTGTGTGCTTCCCATCCAGTCTATTGTCATCGCCTGATATTAATCCAAAAACCTAGTACTGTCTTCCGAGTTCGGTTGGGATGAAGATGGCGTCGATATCCTGGGCTCGGTACCTATAAATACTGGTTCTTCATTTTTCAGGTTCCCTTTGCGATCTTCCAACGTGCGATATCTGCGACGCACGACGTCGACTGCGGTGTGAGCCGTCCTTTCCTCTTATCGGCAGCGCAGAGCCTGACGTTGCGCTACTAGAATGATTGCGGTCATAGGTTATTTGGACAGCATTGTTTCTGCGAAACAAAATGGTGCTAGGTTTGGGTACAGCATCAGTCCTAATCGCGAGTTGGTGGCGCTGGGAGCTGGCAACATTGCGGGTTCGTTTATCCCTGGCACTCTTCCTGCATATGGCTCGATTACGAGGTGCGAGATATGTACCGGCATGTTTACTTCCGTTGTCTGAGGTCCTCAAAGATCTAAAATAAACGGTGACGTTGGCGGACGGACCCAAATGGCATCTCTCGTTTGCTCCGCCGTGATTCTATTTGTGACATTCTTCCTCCTTCCTTTCCTTTATTACCTCCCCAAATGTGTTTTGGCATCAGTGTGGGTCCTTTACTTCATTGTACGAATACATGTTTTAACTTAGCTCACCCATGACCTTAGTATCTGCCTTGTCGTGTTATCTCTACTTGCAGAAACGCCCCACGATGTCAAGTATTACATCCAGTGCGTGCTTCCGGTTTTCGTTTTGATAACAGCGCTGATGATAAGAAGAATGAAGGCATGGGTAGATCTAACATTGATGACGCTCACGTTCGTGTTATCAATAGTGTGGAACGTAGAGGTAGGGATTGGTGTTAGCCTGGTGATTTCACTTCTCCTCGTCGTCCACCGGTCATCTAAGACTCGGATGACGATCCTCGTAAGTGTGATGCACAATTGCGGAATTGAAGCTGATACATGTCGCGATTTAGGGTCGTTTACCTCGCACAGATCGATGGAAACCCATTAGCGAGAACCCTGACGCGAAAGAGGATGTACCTGGGGTGTTGATTGTCAGGATTCGGGAGAATCTCGATTTTGGTATGCGTAATTTCCGGGTTGTTGGATGTTCTAATACTGAATACCGATCGGTTGCAGCGAACACGGCGCAATTAAAAGGTATTCATTCACATTGCTCTCCGAGAAAAAGTCCGAAAGCTGATAGTTGGTACATCAGAACGGCTGAGAAGGTTGGAGCTTTATGGAGTGGATAAGAGCCATCCTTCGGAAGAACCCAGGAGGCAATTAGCTCAAGTGCTAGTCTTCCACATGGCCGATGTGGAAAGTTGCGATGCTTCGTAAGCTGTGTCTGTCATGAGAACGGCGAAGCAGCGTCTGATGCCCTCCTGTTCGCAGTGCTGTACAGATGTTCCATGAACTATTTGAAGAATATCTGGTGGGTCATTCACACTACCAATACATATTATTTCTGACTGAACCACGATCAGAACCGAGGTGTAGGACTATTTGTGGCGCATTTACGACCGGAACCTCAGAAGATGTTCGTTATAGCCGGAATTGTGGACCTTTTGGGACCAGAGGCTTTCCGAGAGAATGTGGCTGATGCTATAGCGGCCATTGAGGCGAGGTTATGATGATCGATTGCATTTTTGGATACAACCTATTTAGAGCGCACAGTGATATTTAAGTATGTCTCCAATAATTGACTGGGTATCTACAATTTAGACGCCTGAAATCACGGATTGATGGTTCGTCGTGGGAAATTCGTTAATTTAAGCGTTGTAAAATTGGTGGTGCTACCTCTCAGAAGGTACTTTCAGCCAGCAAAAGCCAACCAGTGCAAGGCAAAGTAAGTATCTGCCACGCCAGGACAACCCAGAAAACACCGTCGAATTGGTTCTTGCCACCGGAACTAATCGTGTCGACAGTGGTCAGTCATATTGTCGGCCTCGTTCAAGACGAGGAGGCAAGGAAAACTGAATTCGTAGAAATTATGGTACATACGCGAACGCTCTCACTGGTGAGCCATCCCCGCCTTTCAGATTCAAAGGAACGAAGTTAACGAATGCACCGTCGGGTATAGCTGCCAGGTTCTTTAGGTTCTCGACGATGAGACCACCAGCGCCAAGAATCGCCTGATGCACGCCAAAATCATTCGCAGCCCCTTCTGTTTCGTCGGGACTCAGCGTGTCGATCCCGATAGCTGATACGCCACGAGCGACGAGTTGCCTAGCGGCCTCTGCATCGAGGAAAGGGTGGTTGACATACTCGGGCTTACCCCAATGTTTGGACCAATCTGTACGGATGAGAACTATGGGTTCCGATCTGTTGTCGATGCTCAGGTTGAAGTCGTCCCAGATGATTCGGCCCCGAGGGACGACCTTTTCGCTGACATCGACGACGATGGCGGGGCGGATGAAGGAGGGGAGGGGGATCTGGTCGATGGACTTGGCGTCGGCGAAGAAGTGGGAAGGGGCATCGACGTGGGTGCCGGTGTGTGTGCAGAGAGAGATGGATTGGACGCTGTAGCCGTGTTCTGGGACCGTTGCATGGGGAGAACAGGTATATGGTGGGTCGCCAGGGTACAGGGACATGTGGGATGGATCCAGTGGATGGCTAAGGTCGATGCTTTGGACGGACATAGTTGTGACTGATGAGTGAGCCAATTATCTGCGCATGGTAAGCGAGACATCTTGAATGGCGTCGTCTACTGACCGACTGTCTTCTTCAAGCTAACGGTGAACGAAATAGCATGACTAGCCTGCGTACTGATAGTCATATGATGGCGGCGACAAACGGCTTGGACGGCAACTACCATCAGGAACGACTCCACCTTCCTCCCATTCAGCTTCACCGCCAGCTACTCAAGCTGGTTTTCTCTATGGCCTTTTCCGTCTATTGACGCACCCCAAATTTACTCTGCCGCCTTGTCTTCCACTCTCAAAGGACAAAGTTTCCTTAAGCGGCTCGAGATATCTTATATTTAAACCCAACTTCGACGTCCACAACGAGATCGAGGATGACGCTTATATCCATATTTTGTCTCTATTTAGTCAATTTTTATCGCTTCCTTTCTCAATCATTTCCTCCTGCCCCAAAATGGGCTGCGGACCAAATTCCTGACCTTTCTGGACGCGTTATTATCGTGACGGGTGAATAACTTGGAATTTTGACGGGGTACTTGGTGGCTAACTGACGAGCGTACCTTCAGGTGGGAATACGGGAATTGGTAAAGAAACTATCAGGGCGCTTCTTAAGCGAAATGCAAAGGTATACATCGCTGCTAGGAGCGAAAAGAAGGCCCAAAGCGCAATACGAGAGCTCTTGAAAGACACAGGGAAGGAAGCCCTCTTCCTCAAGTTGGACCTTGCAAGCCTCAAGAGCGTAAGAGAAGCCGCTTCAGAATTCAAGAGGTTCGTCGTCAATCTCTGACTCCTGTCACTGAACTTCTTTTTTTTTATAGCAAAGAACTTGAACTGCACATTCTCTTCAACAATGCGTATGATGTTTTCTCCCATGCTGAATATAATCTGATATCAACAATTTTTTTTTTCAGCGGAGTTATGTGGCCCCCACTGCACCAAGCCAGCGCCGACGGCTACGACCTCCAATTCGCTACGAACGTCATGGGTATTTCCAAATATTTCACCCCCCAAAAAATCCTTACCTTCAAGTTCTGCACTAGGCCACTTTCTCCTCACGTATCTCCTCCTCGGACATCTCAAGACCGGAGCCAAATCCCTCCCCGAGAAAAAATCCCGCATCATCAATACCTCATCCGGTGCAAGCTACCTCACCCATCGTATCGATTGGGACAGCTTAGTAGATGGTCCCAAACGACAATCTTGGTGGTCTTCAACAGAGGCTTTGTACCACCAGAGCAAATTCGTCCGTCAACGTCCCCCTTATCTTACGTCCTACGAGCCTGATCCTCTCATCAGGCAAACGTCGTACTCTCAAACGAACTCGGAAGGCGGTATGGGGACGACGGGATCGTCTCGATTTCACTAAACCCAGGTAACCACCGAGTGACTCTTAAGACGTGTGTGGTTATAACGGATATCAAGGAAACATCAACAGCGAACTCCTCCGACACAAACCCCTTGTCCAGCACCTCAGTGTGAGATTCCCGCCTTGTTTGCTCTTTCGTACGCTGAGCGTCACAGCGGTACTTCTTATACTCAACGACATACGGGGCCTTGACGCAGCTCTGGGCGGGGACTGCGCCAGAGGCGGCGGCATGCAATGGCATGGTAATGCATCCAGTATTTGGTGACGATCGGAGACGAACTGAACCCACTTCGACCTAGTTTTTGGCGCCGTGGGCGAGAATCGCACGTCCGAATCCATGCACCGATGACCCTGCCGTAGCGAAGAAGCTGTGGGGCTGGCTGGAGGAGCATGCACTGTAGCCTTCTCACGTGGTGTGCAGAGTTCCCTTGAATATCGCCACTAAAGGGAACCCTGCTATTTTCATAGCTTGTCGGATTTTCGTTTCCAGGATAAACGTTAACGCAGCGTTAGAGTCCCAGATGACCTACGTGCGTACTGTATACTATGCTGGCGTACGTTTTCACTACGTCTGCCGAAATTCGAGTTGTAGTACTTGCCTGGCATTATAGGCCCAACATTTGCCCGGGAAAACATCAGTGCGGCTATTTCTAAAGTGAGAATAGAGAGCATGGATATATAACTATGCCAAAGATACCTGAATGGCAGTATTTGAATAGGACATGATGGTCGGGGCCAAGAAATTAGGGCTACAGCGGCTTCCACCAGGGCTTCCACTGTGACATTTTTATGCAAACAAGCACACATGTCGGCAGTGCATATCACCCCCTTCTTTGTCTATTCTTTGGCTAGATAGACTCGAACCATTACACTTGATCGACTCTCATCGAAGGGATTGGTTCGAGTCTATTGTCTAGATTCTCTTTCATGGACCCCGACATCAAGCTCTACTTGAGGCAGCGCTGTGTCCACCCTGAGTTAGGCGGCCGTCCATGGATGCTAATCAGGCCTGATTTTTTCTACGGCCCTCTCTTCTCAGCATCGCAAGATATTCCTCCTTACGCATGCGGTCCATTCTCCTATCTTAGCTGCTGCTCTCACAAAGTTTCACATCGAAATCCTGTCCAAACTGCGCAAGTTCCATCTAGACATCCAACGAATCAGGGCTGCAGCAACCAACAGTGTCTTTAGCATAGTCAGATGAGAAGGTTTCGATGCGATAATGCAGGCTCAAGCTTTCCTGGCCCATTGCCAGTACCAGCCCAGAAAGCTTATGCTCGGCGACAGGGCCCATCCTTCACCTACCTGGTGCCACATGCGTTACAAACACTCTCCAGAGTTTTAGAAACTTTGGGATAATTTCATATTCTCATGGCATCGTGATATCAAGTTGGTTGACCTTGATAAGGATCTCCAGCGGCTCCTTTGGACGAGACTTCTTTTGGTGCTGGCGGAAAATCTTAATGAGTCTGTCTATGACCCACGGAATGCGCTCACTTGGCATTCCCCACACCAGCACCTTTGTTAGAAGTATCTCGTCAACCGCCTCCAAAGTATGTAGAATCGTCATTTTCCGCATTTTGTCTTGACGTCATGTTAGAGAACCCGCTGAGGTACGTCCTCAGATGTATTGAAAAATACGTATTTCCTCACTTCGATGGATGGTTCGGTGGCTGAGAGGCTTCGACATCTGGCGATCAATCAAAATTGGTTGCTCAACAACGCGATTGCTTGGAAACGTGAGGCACTCCATTTACAGCTTCCTCCTTTCACAGATATTCCGCAGAGAAAGATCAAGATAGACTGTTGACGGTTTTCTGCTTCCTGTACTTCTACCACGTGTATTAATCCATAGAAATGTCAATGTTACAGCCGAGGGCCCTCCAACAAATGCCTAACCGCATTAGTCTGAGCAGGTTTTATGTTTTCTGGCATGCCTCCAATGCCGCCACTTCCAGGTTCCATTTCTCGTTGCACATTTTCCTACATCCATTTTTGTGCCCATGGTCTCGTCCCGGTCTTGACTTGCAAAGGATGCCCTGAGCGATCTAAAGAATCTTTCCCAGGTTGCATGTGTGATCGGATCTTCAAGCTGGCAAGTCCCCTCTAGTGTCTGATACAGCGTGCTTTTTTTTTTCAAAGCCTAAAAGTGACAATGCTCAAGTCCCGTTGTTCCCGAACGTCGACAGTAATATTTCTAAAAGAAGCCCACGATTAAGAAAAGCGGTTGTAGTTACGTGTTTGGCGACAACTTCAAGGAATTCCGAATGCTCGAATCTGTTCATGCTTACCCGGGCCCACGGCCTTTCGACGGCCTCACGACTCACTGTCGTCCGCAACGAGCTTAATTTGAAAAGATACCGAGGTTTATCTCGGGAAATACCCGCGTAAGTTTCATCTCTACTGTTCATTTGTTCCAAGTGTGTTAAAGTTCAAACGTGTTCAGTAAAAATCAACTAACGTGAAATATGGATAAACGTATCCCCATACCCCTTGAACTCATTGATATAGTCATCAGTGAATGTCATCTCGACATTCCTACCCTACGTTCCAGCTCTCTAGTTTGTCGATCCTGGTCTCCGCTCGCTCAGTCCCACCTTTTCTCCCACGTCCGCATCAAGCCTGAGGGACTCTGCACCTTCCCGGGGGGTCTATACTCAGTGGATGAATTTTCCTATCACGTCGAGTATCAAGGCGTTCCCAGCGCAAACTTCTCCCATTGTGGCAAACTAGCCACCTTTGCAGCACTTTTAAAGTCGACCCCCCATGTCGGACCGTTCGTGAGAGAGCTGCACGTCGGGGCATACCAGGATGAAGTATGGCCGCGACACTCGAGCGACATTCGAGAGATCGTAAACATTCTCTTACCCAAGCTCTTCTGCTTGACGATCAAATTTCACAAGCTACAGAGCTGGGAGGAGCTACCGTTTACTGCCATCTCAAAGTCATCGAAGTTGACGTATCTGGAGATATCTCATATCCTGTTTCCTTCCGTCTCTAGCTTCCTTGACTTTCTCGGAGTATTCCCGGCGCTGAAGGTCCTTATCCTTGGCGGGGACGTGTGCATCGAAAACGCCGCCCCTGTATCTCAAGTCCACGTTGTGCAGTCTAAGCCACAGCTACGCGCCTTGACAGTCCACACCACCCCATCTTCCTACTGTACCATCCTAGACTGTCTCTTGTCACCTTCCTCCCCCATCAATGTGACTACCATCCGAAGTTTATCTCTCTTTTGTCGTCTTCGAGACAAGAACACCTCCAATAGTTCCGTAACGCAATCTACGACACAGTTATTGACCCACATCAGCAGTCCTTTAGAACATCTCCGGTTGCCCATCACTTTGACTGGTCAGTGACGACCGACGCTCTCTTGTATGCTTACTCACGCTTCCTTTCTCCAGATCCGCTCTCCAAATTAATCTCAGTCTCCCAGCTTCGGTCATTATACGTCTGCAGCCAAGCAGGAGTGCCCAAATGCCTGGATTGGCTTATCCAGACGCTATCCCAACCATACTCCTTGGCATTGACGTCGCTCTCCATAGACGTCCTACATACGACCCTCTTCTGCGATGACAGATTCGAGGCTACCACCAAGCTATGGACCGACCTCGCCGCAGTTCTAGATTCCAGCGGCGTGAACGTAACGAGCATAACAGTGCGGATTAAAGGTGTCAGTCGTTTCGCTCGCATGGGTGCCCAGGCGCAGGATGTGATGAAGATACTGAATGGACATGGCAGAGGGCTGGAGACGGAGGTGTATTACTATCGAGGTGATGCAGTGTATTGCGGTAAGCCATTTACAGAGGAAAACAGTTGGTCTGATGTTAAATTTCAGGGTCATACCTAGATTCGCGTCACATTATGCCGCCGCGTCGTGAGCCGACGGATTGGGCGGCTATCTGGGGTGTCTAAAGGATGTTTTGGTGCTGCGTTTGCTTCATAAATTGTGGCTAGACTAATACCCATTAGTACAAGTCAATTTTTTCTTGGAAAATACCAAAAGTTGCTGGTCTATCATATCGTTCGCTTTCAGCCGCTTAGACTGTCGTGCTGTTCCCCCTGCCAATGTCACACAATATGATACCCTTATATGCCGTAGATGGGACCCTGTGATTGCCATTTACCATCCTGATCCGTATTTCTTTCTCTTCTCTTGGCTCGTCGATCCTAAATGAAGATCCTTGATGCAGGAAAAGATGCTACAGGCTCGTATTTCGCCTAGCAGGTAGGTCAAGGTCACAGCCCCCAGATACATCGTGAATGACGTCCGATTCGCATACTCTGCTCAAAGGAGAAAACTTGCATGGTTTATGTACACATGCATACAGCTAACAGCAGCGTAAAATACCTTCACGGTTGTTCCTAAATATATCTACAGTAGATAACATGGGAAGTGATATGTCGTAAGCAGCTTAACAAAAAGCACCGTCTGAGAGCAAAGAAGGCATCATGACTGTGTCAGATTGTATCCCATAGTCGAGGCACAGGTCCTGCAATAAAGTCCACACATAGTTTCCATTCCCCATGTTCGAGCACCATCTCCAGGCCACGGAACCGTCGATGACCCCCCAAAAGATCGGACCTCAGAAACGTTCCATCGAGCGGTTGCCATCCGAACACATCAAGATTCCTATGGAACTTCGCCAGTTCTAACCGATTCCGATTCGGACGCGTCTGGGAGATCCAATTAACCTCTACCTCAGTCAATGGACTATGCAGATACGTGAATATCTGCTGTAGGACCTCTCGCACGGTTATCGTGTCAAAATCGTGGATAACGAGAGGACCCCACCGTCCGGGAGACATCCAATACTGAAGGATGGGGTGTCTCGAGGTGCATGGAACATTACGGACAGTATCGGGCGTGAAGGCGGATGCGTGAAAGTCGGGTGATGCTACACCAAATGCTGTAGGATTGTTTACGAAGCGCGCGGTATTGGGAGGATGTACAATGTCCCAATGCAATGCAGGGAAATATATATACCCAGAGTAAGCCGCAAGGAAAGTGTAAAGTTGTTGGCGAAGCTGGTAGTGCAATGTGATTTCGCTCAGAGGTGGGGGAGTAGGTATTACGGGGGAAGGGGGTATGAAAGGCACAACTGGAGGCGTGCTGGGAGCTGGTGGGCTCACAGGAGCAGACGACTCCGGAATGACGGGATTAGGAGGAGTAAAAGGAGGAGTCCAGTCGGGTATCACTGGAGGAGAGGGATTGTCAAGATATTCGCGTGGGACCACCGGGGGCGTGGGATCGTATAAGCGCTGGCCCCAGTTATAGTTATAAGATGCTCCGGGAACAACAGGTGGCTGTAAGGCCGCAGCTGTGAACATCGCAGGTGAAGGTATCACAGCAGGATTACGAAGATGTTCACATATGGGACAAGAACAGAACCCAGTAGAACGATGGTTTGGCTCGTGATGCCTTGGGAAATCTGGCGTAATCTGATTACCATCATTGTTTAGAGGGCGCCGATCGTGACTGTGCCTATGTCGGCGTCGTCGATTCATGTTACGGTCGAGATATTCGTAACCAATTTCATACCGAAAGTTACGAGGGTTGTTGACGATGACTGGAGCGCTGACCCACGGCCAGTCATCTGGAGGTGAATCCTGCTGCATGTTGTAGACTTTGATCGGTGACAGCGAGAGTAAGCAGTGATCTGGGCGCCATGAAAGTCATGTTATATAGGGAATCGGGCCCTCGAAAGACGAAAGTCAGTACAAGACAGAAAGGGAACAAGCCCACGATAGCAGCATTTCTAAAGCAAGTAGTCCACCCCTGGAAACAGCTATACAAGCCTCGAGGACAACAAGCGGCGATTACTAGTCCATCCCATCCCATAACGGTACTGGAACGATTCCATCCACGACGGTTGTCGTCGCAAGGCCAAAGACGAGTACCTGTGACAGATATATACGGGCACAGCGCTTGTCAAGGATGTAGTAGTGCGCGCGCTATGCCTCATGGAAGTAGAAGGATAGGCATCGGCTTTTCCCCCAGAATTTGCAAAAAAGGACTAAATTTGTCTTGTCTTTTTCGAACCAACAGAACAAGAAAAATTAGGATGGTTCCGAAACATTCATCGACTGCTCTCGTTATCTACAACATATCAAGTGAAAAATGGTACACAAGTCATGGAATAGCGGCAAGAAATCATCGTCCAGCAGTGTTTTCCGTCGTATGAAAGCAAAGTTGTGTGAGTTGCATCCCAGTCACTAGTTATACAATATGCTAATATATGTTCCTAGCATTTCTACAAAAGCCTGCAAGGGCAGCCCCCCTCCAGAATGATTTAACCACAGACGAGTCAAGGTCCACCCAGCTAACGGCAGTGAGATTCAGAAAGTCTTCTGTGACCGATATTATGCCTACTTTCAACGTGAAGCTCCCCCCTTTCTGCAGCGGAGTCTCTTGACGTTTGTGATTACTTGGGACTGGACAATGACGAAGGCGGCGAGCAATTTCTCCAGAAAAGTCTCACACGCGTCAACCTTCCCGGGTCGGTTCAGGAAGAAATGCACGATATGATCAGGCTCAGTGTGCGGACCAGTGTCCGTCATCGCGTTTATCACCATGTTATGCCGGTAAGCTTGTGTATTCCATACCACGGCTCTTGGTCATTGCATCTTTCCAGGTGGTTACAGAATGCTTTGCGTTTTTCGGGGGACTTCTATGCACTTGCATCAGCGACAAGTTATGTCTTGACGGAACTACCTTGGGAGGTCTTATCGATATTATGATTAGACACCAACATAAAACGATCCTCATCTTTATGATACTGAAACAGAAATTCTTTTCAGATCGCCCCATCTTCTGAACTTCTCGCACAGGCCGTTGCAGAGATGAGCAGTGAGACAACTTTACATTTGTTCGAGTTCAAAGTCTGATATCTCGCATAGCGATCTTTGCAGTGAACAAGAAATTGGGTCTCCAATTCCCAGTACATGCCATAGTCTCTGACTTGTCACAGTTCTTCTATTACTGCTACACAGGTACGCTTTCATTTTTATACCGTTAAGTTTTCTAACTCGCAATGTCTCGTAGGAGATGAATTCATATCTCTAGGGAGCTTCGATCTGGCCACAACGGTCAGGTTTGACATCAAAACCGCTAACAACCTTACGACCACTTTTATGTTGTCATCTTGTACGTGGTACTCATGCACATGTATACAGTGCCCTCATAAATTTGTAGTTGCCTCCGATTTCTTCTCTATATTGTTAGAGGGGGGTTCTATTGCTATTCAGAGCCTACAGCAGAGTATTTACAGCCTTCGGGTGGTCCCCCACTTGTGATCACCAAGAGACCATAAAATTCGTGAATACAGATCCCCACGTGATCCCTACAAAAAAATGTCAGAACAAGGCGCAGGAAATAAACTACACGTATCTTTAATGCAATGCCTAACCTCTATCCACAATTTCACGATAGGCTCTGATAATAATGAACAAAAGTCATAGGATTATTTAACGCTATACTCACTAAGATTTTGCGTCAGCACAAGAATACTCGTCCCCAGGAGCCGCTGAAGATCCATATCAAGATCGACAAGCTCAGGTCTCCATTTTGTGGGAATACGGCATCCTCCACGAGCTTTTCAAATTCAGGGGTATGGTTACGACACCTGCGGTGCCGGGTAAGGTTAAGTAGAGCCATGTCGCCAAACACAAGCTTGACGGTCTGGTGTCGGCAGTGGGCAAGAAGATCTTGGGTCGGTCCGATGTCTTCAAACCCTTCCCAAAATAAGGTGCTGCAAGAACTTGTAGAAGCAGCGGCCTGAATACGCGGAATCCCTGTATTTGACTTGTGCAGTTTTGAGAGGATTTCTTTCCACTTGATGAGAACGGGAGCCAGGGCCGGAGAACAGTGGATGGTATAAACTTGGGTTGCGTCAGGAGGAACTGTCCCCCACACTGAGGAGCAAGGGCCGTAAAGGAAATCGCCCGTTATCAGCATCCATGGACGGCCGCCAAACTTGGGATGGGCGGGGCGGGGTCGTAAATAAAGCTTGATGACTGAGACTGTAAATTCCCCGTGTCATACGCAAGGCATTTGTGGAGCCGAGGAGCAGCATGCTTCCCACGCTAGATCATGGCGGCTCGTAGACAGCAAGCCCTGTGACGAGTACGGGCTCCACTCAAATTTTAGGGCGTGATATCCTGCCGCAGCGAGACCCCTAAGACATTCCGCCTACCACGACCTCATCAAGAAATGCATCAACTGCTGATCAGCTACCGAGTATATTGGCAAGCCATAATGATAGTCACCGTCACAGCACTGCCATGGTGCTCAGCTGAGGAACTTGGAGGGAAAATATACTGGTGATGACAATGTTTTTTTTCTAGTATGAATTCAGCTTCATGATAATGGATAATTATCTAATGGATGCCATGTTTTAGTTCACGATAACCATCGTCATCATCTCTGGCGACACGCGTCCCTGTCACCCTTCAGAGGAATCTCCTATGCGCTACCCCGCTCTTTCAGTCTTTACGTTCAGACATAACGACCTATCGCTCACCATTCAGATCATACACTTCTATGTCTAGACCCTCTCCCTTGAACGCAGTCAGACGCTGAATATTATACATAATTGCGTCTTTCCAATCCGGTCGGGCATTAGAGACCTCTAGCAACATTTTCACCTTCAATGCGGAGAGTTCGCAGTCTCGGCTCGACCGCCTGCCAGCGATACTCGATTAAATCTACCAAAGCGGAGTCGCAGGCGATGCAAGATTCCTCTGCAATAAAAACCCATTGGGTCTTGATCGTCAAAGACCTCATCTTTGGGAAACCATCGAACGCGATATGTTCAAAAAGCTGGTTCAAATTGTCCCAGCTTTTAAGATATCGTAGGTCGATCACGAGCTCCTCGGTCTCAGAAAAGACCGGGATAGGTAAGACACGGGATATAGGCCACCTAAACCTTGGATCCTGCGTTAGGATTAAACAAAACTTTTGCACCTGGAAACGGGATCGCTGTTGCATCATCTTCAATGCCATGCTGGTGTTTACATTGAAGACATAGGAAGGAAGAGTGAGAGCGTCAAGTGACGGACAAGTCAGATACTTGATGATGCAGGAATTTCGCAGATGAAGGGAACGCATGGTAGGAAGAGTCACGATACTAGTATTCACGTTATTCCAAACCATGTCCGTAGTCTGGTCCTCGAATACTTCAATCCTTCGACAAAGTGCCAATGCGTCTATGCACTTGTCGACGGTCCCGGACTTTCGCAGGTCCAGGACTAAATGAGTCAACTGGGCCCAAGGCAGCTGAATACTGACCGGCCAGAAGATTTGATGTGGGACGGACAATCGCAAGGTCCTCAGCCGAGGCGCCTCCCTAAACACATTACACGCTTCTGTAATGGTAGAGTTGCTATACATCGGCCCCGTAAAGCCCAGGCTCAACGAAATCAACTGGAATGGCTGCGGACGAACAAGCTCGGAGAAAGAAGATACTATGGCGTCGGGTTTGGCATGGATAAAACTGGCACTTTTCCACCGGGAAATATGGGGCAAGAGACACTCAACAAGCGGCTTGTGGCTTCCGCAGAGATAATCAAAATCCACGGCAAAAGCCAGACCGGCACAACCGGACCTTTGAAGAACGCTGCTTAAGAGCGCTATGCTAGCCGTCTCTTTATAAAATGACAGACGAGGCACCCAGAAAGACGTCCATAGCGCTGGACATGACCAGGCAGCTTGACGCCAGATTCGACAGACTCTGCCTAGGGTCCATGCTCCGCCAATAAAGACGTTGAACGGCTGCTCGATGGCTAAGGTGAATATCTCAAACAACAGTTCTAGTGGCAACCTGTGCACGGGTGGCAATGGACGTGCCGCGCCCGCTCTAGATTCTTCGTTGGTCGCAGGCGGGGCAGGAGGCAGTAAAGTGGCTAATGAATCGTCGCTGATACAACGCTTCTTGGTCAAGGGGCTCGATGCTGGGCTAGTGATGAGCACCTAGAATGAAGACGCGGAAGTGAATGGATAACGCCACTGAGACTTCGATCGTGGGTGTACACACCATCAGCCGAGGTTCAAGTTAATGATAATCTTTTGGGTGCTTAGTCAAGCAGCACTTTGTGCTGATAGAAATTCAAGGCTGCAGATTCAATAGCGAGCATTGGGTGAAAGTTGAGAACAAGTAACAAAAGGACCCCCTAATCATCCCCACACAGGTCGGAACGCAAAGTTTACCCGGGTCCCATAATTTCTCACGGACCTTTGTTAGGCAATTGGCGCCGATGATGCAAAGATTTCTCCAAATCTGTCCGATTGTGGCGGTTCTTCGCCAAAGGTGTCATCTAGCTCGTTCCCATATTACACGAAGGAATTTGCAAGGAATTTCTGGATTTTTCAACTTTACGTCGATTACGGTGAAAATGGCGTGTATTACTACAAAATATGGACTTCTAATACCTCAGTCCGTCAGTTCGGTATCTTGCTACATAACTTGAAAGACGAACCTTCAATTTCAAGCAGTAGACAAAAGTGGCGGACCAGAACTAGCATTTGACCGACCGCCACTTGGATCCTAGAGATGAGTCTCACGTACGCCAGCAGGCACCGTTCATAGCAGCAGCTTCTGTCTCGCTGACAAAGAGTCGGTCAAAAATCCGGGCAAGAGCGTAGATAACGTCCTCGAATTTTGACGTAAAGAGGACACCATGGCCGACGACCATTCTGCTACAGGATGACAAGTGTATCATAACCCACTTCGACAAACCTCCCCCCTGATGGCCAAATAAGTTCTGAAACAAAACCCAAAAAAGGTCTACCGATGTGGTAGGGCACTGCGCTGCGGCGCGTTCGTGCAACCGAATCGGTAACACCCCGGGAATCGTAATGGAGATATGTTTTCCCCGTCATTGCAGCAGTGTGGGAGATGAGTTGGTAGTAAAACGTCGGGGCCGTCAGGAAAATGAAAAGAGATCACGACAAGTGCACTGTTTCCCCCGTTATCCAGAGAAAATTTTATGGGCCGTGATGTCAGGGATTTCCACTTGCAGATCTGAACGTTCAGGGCTCTCTAAATTTATGCTCAGTCAGAGGCACGGAGAGCCTCCAAGTTATTAATGAATTGACGTATTCACTTGCCTGACTAGGACCATGCACGGCATCTGACCTATCCTTCCCTAAACCAGAACCAGAACATCGTCGAGGGCATGCCTGGCGAAACAGCGTTCTGATGTATACCAATAGTTTCAATTGCGACGGCAAATTTTGAAGATATTGCATTGCTCTTACATGTAACGAGTCGGAACAGCCATCAAGACCTGCCAGTCGGTTAGAGACAAATGGAAAAACCCCTTCGTTCGGAGTCCTTGTAGTCGATCTAAGGCAGATTTCCTAAGATTTTAGGTAATAAGCTCGTCTTGACAAGATGCTTGTCGTATGTTTGAAAGCCCTAGAGATGAGATCCAAGTCGCATAGGAAAAGACGGTTCCCAGGTCATGTGAGGGTCCGGGCGAGGGCAGCTCTAGGTAAGGAACTTGAGCAAGTCAGAGATATCGTCGATGAAACCCTGGTTCTGGAAACCTGTGTGCTGTGCTCGATGGAACTATTAGCACTGTCAAGCGCGGCGATGAGGCTCGGGGCTAGGGTAGAATCTCCACCCATTGACAGTATTACTGGCCTGAACGGAGATGAACAGTATTGAGAAACAATTTACCTTGCGACCAGCTCTAGCTCCGCAGCAAGCTACCAGATGGTAGTTCGTTTCCAGTTTCAGGGCGCTACTGCCGCTAGAGTACCGCGTTAAAGCGCAACACTGCTGGCAGCTGCATGATAGGCAAAGAAAGCTGTATTTCATGTATCCATCTCAAGCTAGCCAGCCTCGAAGAAGCTCACCGAATTCAAAGACAGTAGGAGCCCACGGCCTCCGTTTGGCGCTAATGGTCCCGCTACCCAGCGTCCAGTCACGACGGGCTAAGATTTGTGAAAATCAAAAGGAGTAGCCACGCCCTCCGTAAGGCCGACAACATCCCGTCGGGCTCGGGTTTACCGCTTTTGGGTTTTTTAACCCGCGACATATACGGGGGTTTTCTGCACCCCATTTCCTCGCTTGACAGGTTCTCATTCAAGAAACAGCTTGTTAGGTTCCGAAGTTTTGGCAGTTTAATCATCTTCTTTAAGGAAACACACCCTTCATCGGAGGCAGTTCCATGAATTCGGATTTTGGACAGTTTATGGTTACAGTTACTATGTGCTAGTTGGATCATAAAGCAAAAGCGAGTCCTACCCTGAGTGTTTTATGTACAGAACGAAGATATCAAAGCGTAGGAGACAAGTTAGGAGTACAAAAAAGATAGTAGGTGTGATCGGGTAGGGTATATATAGCGTATTCGACACAGCAGGATATAAAGCGAGGTTAAAAGATACAGACCTTAGGGACATCAAATGGAAAACAGATGTAAACGATGAGAATAAGAATTATATTGGACGTGCTAGATATTCATCTGCTTCTGGGTCCAATAAGTCGATTGGGGACGTGAATGTCATGATCTAGACAAGAGGATAGTCGTTTAGACAGGTGATAGATAGATGAAGAATAGCCAGCGACGCACGTATGGATGGACGGCTTGCCCGGGGGCACTCGTCGAAGCCTCCTCTTCCAGAGAAGTCGCTGCCATGGGCTGCATACGTGCTTTGCTGCTCTGCGATGTACCCGGACGCAAGTCCCACGTCACGTCCGAGCGCTCTTCGCCTCTGTGGTATTCGGATGTATCAGGTTCGTGGTCAATGTCAGAGTCGGGCGACGTCACGTCTATGTCTTCTGAAAACTGTCGATGATGGTGATGTGGTGGTAGATGCGGGCAGTACAGTGAGTGTTGGGTGTCATTGGGAAAGTTGTAGATTTGGGGGTAAGCATCATCCCCGACTTTGGGAGATGATGGATCTTGAAACTGATAACGAGGTAATGAGCCGGAGGGCATGGTGAATAGAGGTGCTGCTTGTGGCAGTGGTGGTGAAATATTCTTAGACATGTAACCAGATTCGCGGGTAATAGATCGGGGGAAGAATATCTAACTTGGAAATCAGCCTCACTTGAAATTTTTGTTATGTCGTTTGAACGTACCAGTAGTGTGATCGCGGAAGAAACGAAGCATCCAATTCCTCCAATCATGATCAAGAAGTCTTTCAGAAATCGATGTTCATCAGTCATATCGATCAAATAGCCAAAGCCTTACCTGGCCAAAATCTAACAAGAAAGGCTGAGTAGGTATTAATAGTATCGAACACGGGACACTTACGGACTGCTGAGGACCGGATATGGCCCGGCGATACCATCAGCGCCTACGACAAGAAGAGGGATATTGAACAAGAAGCGGAAAATGACCCGAATGATCTATTTCGTCCAAGGTAAGCAATAACCTCACATAGATGACTCAGACGCACATTCAGATAATAAAAGGTGGCCAATCTGATGACGACGTCTGGCTCAGCACCTTCAAGTTTTACATGACGAATAAAAGCCGGGAAACGAGCAAGAACGTAGACAAAACATAATGTCGTCAAGGACCCTGCAGAAGATCCACTGAGAAAAATCCAGGCCATGCACTAGAATCAGACGTGCAGTTAGGTGAGTGAGCTCCAAAAATGTGGGAATATGGATGACAAGCATACAGAATCCAAGTCATTCCTCTGTACAAGGGCGGCGAGGGGCATTCCGATAATAGCTATCATACTCCCTTCAAACAAGGTGCCAAAAGGCTGGTAAGCAATGGCAAATATAGAAAGAACGAGATGTAGAATTACCGAGATACCACAAGCGGAATTCCCAGCTATGAAACCAATTGCGCTTGCTGGGACCTTGATGAAGGAGAAAGAGCCAGAAGGTTAATTCTGTTGGAATTCAATCATCAGGGATGGGATTGATATGGAAGCAGAGAATGTTCTAGCCTTCAAGATGAGTGACGCTGGGAAACGGGAGTTGACATATCAATCAGTTGTGACCGCGGAGATGCAACAGAAAGATACGGACAGCTCGAAAGCCCAGGCAAAGCTCAGGATGAAGTAGAGTGGGAGGACCCATCGGAGATGGTTCTGGCTCCAGACAGTGAGTGGCCGAGGTAACACTGAGAGTAGCCGGTCAATAGAGCAAAGACATCGAACAGCGGAATACTCACCAGTATCCAGTATTGTCATATATCCTATGAACGGCTGCTGAGTGCTGTAACCAGATAATAGGACAGAACACGCACCTTCCCGGAATTTCAGGATCGTCAATGCAACACTGAACACCACAAGGAGAGGCACGGTAGCGATGTAGGAGTATCTAGATAAAAATCATGAGAAGAACGCGAACAATGCCGAAGGGTTATTCACGTCATGACCCGTTTGAAAGCGCCAGGCTGTCGACCAGAAGACCATTTCAAACATTGAAACCTATCGTAGGACCACAAGTGAAGAGTCATGAAAGCTTGAAACTGCAGATACGATGAGCAACGCCTCGTCTCGCTGCAACCCAAAACGGTGCGCTCACGGTACAAGCCAGGATGGCCCACAGAAGATAGGCCGGTGGCGATCCAACACTCATGAAATGTCGCGAAAAGAGACTGAAAATGACGTGAAAGAGGCCAGTTTTGAAAGAAATCAAGAAAGAACGAAAAGCAAGTGGAAGAGACCCTGCATCCACGAAAGGTTATGATATTCAGCAAAGCTTGTCGCTGTTGTCCCTGTTCGGTGTTGCCCGGCCCAAGGCACCGGAATTGGAAATTCGAACCCAAGGCAGCCAAGCTGGCTTCGATCACGTCTACCAACGTATCTGCCGCACCAAAATACCCGTTCATTGCCCTCCGCTTCTCTTGTAGTACAGCCTTGCATTTTACTTTCTGCATCCATGTTCTCAGTCACAGGCAGTAGAACGCTGTTGGTTGCAAGAGCGCCTTGGAAACCATCGTATTCTTTCTATTCACGAATTTCATCTTTAGATCGCCGACTGCGATCCGGTCAGAGATGCTTGAATACTTACCCTCAAGTTGTCCGTCCTCCCTCGGAAATAGTTCATCCCCCCCCCAGAACGGGAGTCGACATTTTAATGTACCTGATTCACCCCAGAAACACTAAAACAATAAGGTGATGCTCCACTTTTAATGCTTGACTCGGACCTTACTGCCAAATGCCACATCATTCATTCCACGGTACATAGATCCAAATGTTGAATCAGTTTTCTATGTTGGCGGAATACAAGCCCGACCAACACCCGAGTGTAAACTGACTGGGGTTAACAAAAATGCGAGCCGAAGTCATTCCGAAAGTCGGAGCTGGTCCACAAATGTCCCATGATCCCACGGGGTACAATACAACGGACCGCCCAAGAATGAATAGCGGAAAATACGCTCTTTCAGGTGACCCAAAGGGAGATGGAGGGGACGGAGGAGTATTAGATTAGAATTAGAACAACCCAGTCTCCAGATTGGATAGGATTACAAAATTACAGAACACATCCCTTGATTCCCTGTGGCGTATTTTTAATCTATTGTGGACGAGGTCCCCGTTCGGAAGCAGTCAATGCCTCTTCCGCGACAGCAGCATTCTGACCACCATATAACGCAGAAACAAGCCAACAAATGACGTAGTCCACTCGGAATGGACTAAGTCTCCCACCGCTGATCCAAAGATAATTGATGCGACACTAGGTCATCAATTTACGCCCCCAAGTCCAAGTCCAAAAGCCTCAGCCGCCAGTCTGCATTACGTCCCAACTCAGGCTTGGGTACGGAATCAACAGGGTTCAGCCATTTTGCTTTCTCGACTTGCTCCATTCGCGTAGCCCAAGAATCTGTCGCCGATTCACCCCCCTCTGCGGGCTTCTTCCAGATGTCCTCTACTGTCTCTTGAAGCTCCCGCTCGAACGCATCGATCTCCTTCTGAAGATTGGAACCCTCTTCACGATGGTCGGGTGTGAACTCGAAAAGGTGCGGAATAAGGCTTCGGGCTTCATCTGTAACAATAGATAACCATCAGCACCTCTCTCCGATGGCAACTCGCCACAAACCTCGGGTGCTGGTAAACTTTACAACGAGCTTAGCCACAGACTTGAAAAGATACTCTTCCTCATCCACTGTCCCCTTCCTACCCGACCCCACCTTCCTCTCTTGCTTCCTCTTGGACCGGGAACTTTGCCTATAAATGGTCCACATCAACCATCCAGTAAATACAAAGATTGCTTGAAAACGCACTTGGATGACCGGGATGTGGCTGACGGAGCTGCCGTATACCGGGTGAAGGCGGTATAGGGCATCGATACGTCAGTCATCACATCCACATTATGTAAGGCCGTGTCTTCAACGCCAAAGAATGCATCTATCGAAACGATCAAGAAAAACTTCATGAAAAGCGGGGAAGCGAACGGCTTACCTGGTGCTTCCACCTTCTTGATGCGCAGCTCCTGTAGTCTAGAGAACTGCTTACGCAGTTGTTCCCGCATTTCGTTCACGTCCTCCTTGATTTGGTATCGGCTTTCTAGAGCACCGGGATAGATGACATCAGCCAAGAGGTCAGGCCTATGGTGAAGCGTCATCTAGAAATTTGTATAAACTTAATATCCGAATGGAAATGGAAAGATGATCCCTTGACGCACAATTCGGCGGGCTTCAGCAAATTCATTGCCTTGAACAAGTGTAATCACCGTCTCTCGAGTGTCTTTAGCGTAGTCGAGAATTACACGTGCAGCTTCCAGGTAACGTTTCTTCGATGTCAAATCCTCTTCACTGGAGCATTAGCAAGAGAGCAGTGTCAGATAGTCAGCGCGCATACCGCCAACACGATATCCCATCGCAACAAGGTCCTCTTCAGGCATTTCTGTCCGAACAGCCAGGTCAAAAAGACATTGCCACTCCAACACCTTTTCGTACGCCACCAACGCCTTAGAAAGCGCCCCAGATTCTACAAATACTATAATAGATTGGTCAGCCTTTAGCCGTCCAGGAAGATTCCAAGCCACTTACCTGACGCAGCCTGTCTAAACTCTCTTCTTTCAAACAACCAATCACCATACACAGACAAAACAGTCTAAAATGATTTGAATCCAGAAAATATGGAATGTAATTAAGAGTGGGCACTTACGTTGTGCCGCTCTGTCCCCTTCCATATCGACAGTGCAGTCTCATACAGTTGATGTAGCTCGATATAAGCTACTGCTTCATCAAAGTGATCATCTCCTAAAGCCGCATCAGGGAAGCAGAATTCAAACTTCGTGGCGCTTACCAGCGAGGCCTAGATTCCTTAAAGCACTCTCGTATCTCTTCAGGTGATCATCGATCCGGAACTTTTGCATATATCTCCCCAGCGCGCGCAGCTCGCGGAGGAAAGGAAGGTACTCCCTGGGGTCCTACGCCCATCGCCACATCAATGAGGAACGTCATACCCAGCAAAAAGAAGAAACAAACCTTCTGGGAGTGTTGTGCAATCATCAACACCAATGAGAAATCATACATTCCCAAAGCGGTATCAAACAGCTTATCGGCATCCACTAGGAAGATGATGTACTTGACTGCATCTTCTACCAACTCCGGGTTCGCATCTAAAATGGACACATAATATGGATGAGACTAGACTATGATGACGATAAATTGAAGTACGTACCCCGCAAGCGCAGTAGCAACCCCAGCCCTGATTCATGGTCCGGAGGGGTCTTCACAACGTGAGCAGTCAATATGGAATTGACATATCCAGTCAGATTTCTCTTCTCCAACTCGTCCCGTACGATATCACATATTCTGGCGATAGCTTCCGGAGGTTGGGAAGAACGGCTGGAGATCCGGGTTAGCTAAAAGCGATATACAGAACGGATACGTACCCAATATTTGTCAGAAAGAGATTAATATGATCAACTTCTTTCACATCCTCAACAAACGTGGCAACGTTATCCAAAAACTTCTTCTGGTCATGTTGTACGATGACGCTAAGATCGATCCTATGCTTCCTACAAGCCATGAACGCCTTGCGATACTTTTGGCTAAAAGAGTAATTAAGTCTTCGAGCACCAAGAAGATAAGAAAGAACTCACTTATTCAAATCCTGCTTAATTACCTCCATGACCAAGGGTCGCGGATTTATTGTCTCTAAGTTTCCTCTAGGCATCTGCAGAACGAGGCCCATTGCACTGGGCACTGGAACAACGATTCGTGAACCCCTCTCGACACGCCGTTTCTTCCAAGTGCCTTTGAGCGCCTCTCTGTCGTTCTCATTCTCCGCTTTGATATACAAGAATAGCGATTTAATATCTGCGAAAACGGCTTCATGGTTCCCCGTAGTAAATATCAAGAACCCAGAAGCGAGTGTAAAAGACGTCGCATTTGAGGCGATTAGTGCACTTGAGTTATCCTTCCCGCTGATGTACATCTTCCCAGATTCTGTTAATCCCAGATACAAGAAGCCGCCTTCTGAGTCATCAACGACGATGCGTTCTGAGACCAGGCAAAACGAAGGGAAGCTGCAGATGAACGATGAACTATCAGCCCGGACTGAGATTAAAATCAGAAGCGCAAGCTCAGCGGGAAGTACTCTTGAATGAAATTACGGAGAGACCAACCATTAAACAATTGTCCCCCTGATGACTGCCATATAACTCCTTGGTCCACAGGCAGTAGACGGCCATTTCGGGATGGCATCAACATAGATTGTTCTGCCCCTCCCTCGATCTCAATGGTTGTGATGATATCCGACCCATCACCGTTATCAGACCCAAGGAGAAGAAGGACGCCATCGCTCCGTAGTACAATCTGTCTATACGATCCAGGTTCTGCACTGGGGGAGGTCCGGCACGCAACCCTCTTCGGGTCCATGATCTTCCCTCTTCCAGGCGTCAGTCTTGTTGAGAGATCCCAAACTTCCACATATCCCGTCTCCCAGAGAACAGCTAACGTGTCTGATCCGTGGGCGAAACCTGTATGGATAGGAATGCGGGGTACCTGGGAAAGTTCAGGCAGCACGGCAAGTTGACATGAGGACATCGGCGGAGGGACATTTTGTGTCCTGAATGGCGTTAGCAAGACGTTGGCTGTAGAAAGGTCATTAGAGGCGTGTGAACGCAGCTTTCAATATATTATCTTACATCCATCAATCACTGCAACGGAACCTGTATCCAGAGGAGGAACTGTTGGAGAAGAAGACGTAATCCAAGCATAGGTCCGTCGGATGACCTGGGCTACAAAATTACTTCTGTCGGAAAGCTACAACATTTTCCAAATACGCGAAACCTCACATTTTGTCGTTAAGATTAATGTGAGCGCACTCTCAGGATGCCATTCCACTGATGTGAAACAGCCAGGCCGTGAAGCATTTGAAGGCGCTACAATGTCCTGTTTGAGATACCTAAAGCGGTGGCAATCAATCACACGACATTATACCCTTAGGGCCTTACCAATGATAATTTCCTACCGTCCAGAGCTGTACTTTATGTAGAAATGAGCAAGGATGCACGGAATGCACAACAAATTTTCCCATACCGATGTCTCCCTCCTTCCTCGTAATCCATAGCGCCAGTATATTTGAATCCGAGCTCCATCTGAGCTCCCTAACCTTATAGCCCCACATTAAGTCTTCTGATTTAGACGTATCGTTTACACTCGGATCACCGACTCTAATACCAAACTCTCCGTGGCGGAGGCCGTTGCGCTCAAAGAAGACAACATCGTGACGTCCGGCTTTACCAATTCCACCGCCTTCAAACCCGAATCGCTGTGTCGCCGCGATCAGATTCCCAGATGGTCTCCACGAAAGCGTATGTTCAAGGCCAGCGACAGGCTCGGAGGTGGTTTGCAATGCTGCTTGACGGTCATACACGCGGAGTACGCGACGTTTAGTTTGATCCGCAGACAGAGAAGACACAGAGAAGAAGGCACCATCACCGCGCCAGCTGATGCGAGGGAGAGTGTCGTCGTCGGGGCTGATGCCGATATTTACATTGGAAGGCGCCTGAGCGGCACCTTTGCCCGCCGAGCCGTGAAACTGTGTCTGTTTAGAACCCCAGCCGACGTTGATTGGAGCATCTACACATGCATTAGACATCTTTGAAACATCTAAATAGATCAGAACGAACCTTCGCCAAAATCAGCGGGATGCAAGGATGTTTCAGACAGAACATCAAATGTTGAAGTCATCAATATTAATTTGTTGTCCCCTGGTCATGAATGAGCACCTAGACCGGTCGGGTGCCGCGAGTAAATACCGGTGACAAGCACAAGAGAAGAATCATCTGGGCTCCATGACGCGGCGAAAATTCCTCCATCAACTGTACCAACAACATCGTCCTAAAATGTTGTATTAGCCATATATCAACTGATATAACGTATCTCGGACGCACTATCTGCGATTCATTATCTTCTATGGGTACGGTTGCGATATCCCCACTGCGAAGAACTACGACAAGCTGTTGACTGTCCAGAAGTACTCGAAAGGAAACAACTTGAAGTTGTGATGTATAATCTGACAACGCAGTGGTATTCAATTTATAAAAACAAGTGGCCTAAAGTCACATTCAGTCAACCTGATACATTTCCATGCATAGACAACCACCTTTTCGTCCGATATCGTCTTCCATATCGTCACCTCAACATCTGCATCTGCATTACAGCGTTCAGTCGCTATATATGTGATATTTCGGTCAAGATCGATGGTCGTGCACGAAATGCTTGCTGATTCCAATGTCAATGTACAAGATGTCGACGCGACAAGGGACAGATTCCGCATTATAGAAAATACAGTAGAATAGTGGGCAGGAAGAAGAATATAAAAGGAAAAAAGGATCGGACGCATGTTTGGCAACATCCATCAGGACAAATAGCCTCGGACCGTTTACTTTGACGCTTTCTATCTCTCGTGTATGTTACTTCTTATCGACTCAACAATGGCACCCTCGCGAACATCAAAGGCGACAAGAAATTCTCACCTGACTAATGGCGACAATAAACCTGGAATGCCTGGAGTCCAAAAACTCAAATCATCGCTAAGACAGACACAAAGACTGCTCACAAAGGTATATTTTCATTGCATATCGCCCAGCATTCTTTGCATTCAGACCCCTTAGGAAAACCTAGCAGCAGATGTACGCGTCACAACAGAACGACGGCTAAAAGCTCTGGAGGCCGAACTTGCTGAGGCAGAGCAAAGTAGGAAAGAACGAGCACTGGGAATGCGCTACCACGGAGTAAAGTTTTTCGGTGAGTCTACAATTCATCAAGCTATCTGGATATCTTAAAATTAGCGCCAGAGAGGCAAAAGGTCCTGCGGAAAGTGAAACAGGTCAAGAAGAAACTTTCCAGCACTCCCGAATCCGAAAAGAAAACTCTAGAGTCGTCACTTTTCGATGCGCGCGTTGATCTGAATTATATCTTGGTACGCCAGGTTTGTCGTATGACAAATGTTGTCCTAATCTATCTAGCATTACCCCAAATTGAAGAAATACATCTCACTCTTCCCCCCAGAAATACGGCACCCCGAAACGCAGCGAAATTCCACCAACTCATCGGAAACCAATACACAGAGACAACAAATCAAAGATCAAATACGGCAGCAGATGCTCGATGCGGAGCTTCCACTCGAACCAGAGCTACATTTGTCTACAGACACCAATCTACCTACGAAAAAGCGAATCGCAAAGCGCGGCGAAATCACCTCCTCTGCTCCTGTGGCCAACACGGAACAAGACGACGACTTTTTCGGTGATGATGATGAAGATGACGATAAGGGTTCATGAAATCCAGATACAAGTTCGTATGATATCGAGATATGGGATCTTATAAAGCCTATCACTCGCAGCTGGTGATTGAATTTCAACTCAAACGTAGTGGCACAAGAATCTCACATCTTTGACCTTCAGATTCCAATAAACCGATGGGCATCGTTCACTATTTGATACCCCATTGCTTTTCGTTTACATCATTAGACCAAGAACAAATATTAATACTGTCTCGACCCTCGTGGAACGGAATTTTCATTTCTAAACAAGGGGACACCAAGTATACCTCTTATTTCTTTACGAGCAGTTTTAACTTTCTCCAAGGCGACGGATGAAATCCCTAAGGTGCCCCTATGCAGCTTTGTAATCATCTTTGATCAAGCGGTGGATGTTTCCAGCTTCTCGGCCAATCGAGCAAGCTGTTGCAGCCCACAACACTGCAGTAGCCAACTTTATGAAAATCAAGGGATGAATCCTCTCCCACCTGGCAACCCGTTAGGTTTAAGCTCCTGCTCCTGCGCTTGGGGAAGTATCAGAAATAACTTCCGTGGCTGATATACTCTGTCACTTCATAGCCTCGATACGGGTGCTACTTCCGGCATATATATCGAATTCGTAAGCCTTGGGGTCCCTAACCAAGGGTTCTGTCTCGTTAAGTACGTACGCCACCGTCATCCAAAGAGCGGGCACTTCAAGGTCAACGTATATATTCTCCTGTCTAGATCCCTCTGACATTACGTCTCCAGGAGTAACTTGGTTGACAGCGTCGCTCTTCACATTCCACCGTCCGGGTCAAAGACTTCAAACACCCAAGTTATCTAACAGGGGCAATAAACTCAAGAGCGAAAGAATAATTGCGCTACGGATAGGAACGTAGGTATACTATACAGGAATGCACCTGAGGTTTATAATTTCGACAGAGGTATCAAACTTCAACTCAGGGTATCCATATATCCGCCGAACTACACCGATTGCCAGCCGGAACGAGAAAGAAATGAAAGAGGGTGCTGCTTCGAGTTTGAAGAAATGAAACGGTAGACACGCTGTGCTTAATCGTACATGGCAGCGTTGGTCTGAGATTACAAAGAACGAGAAGCGAGGCTAGCATGATTAGGTAGCTGCGCCTCTGCCTCCTCAAAAGGCGCGACCAGGCGCCTGTCCAACATTGGTGACCGGCGACCCACAGATGGGGTTATGATGACAGGTTCTACAATCTCGACAGTCACCGGCTACAAAAGGGTGTGAGTAAAGCGAATAGAAGACGGCTGTATGACGGATAAACTGACAAGGATACCGGGATATACTTCTGCACGCGTGTCTTCGGAATCAACAGGGACATCTGGTTGAGGGTCCTCGTAGTGAAGTGACCTAAGCCCCACAGAATTCTTCAGCGCATCCAAATAAACATCTTGGAAAACCTCAGAAGGGGACACGTATAATTCCATGCCAGCCTCATGGAGAAACTCTTCGTCCACGATGAATACATCATCGCGGACATGGGAGATCACGTCCAGCTTTTCATGGAAAAGCATAGCAGCCGATTCTCCGACATCATCGGACAGTGCATCGCAGGCAAGCGACATGCGAGATGCCGAGCAGGCTTCCGACCAGGGTGCGAAGCCAAAGGAGTGCGGCTTGGGGGGAGGATGGTAGAAAGGACTGCTGGAAGGGATGCTGATATATTGTGTATCCTCATCCTCATCCTCGGAGTCAGAGGCGTCTGAGTCGACGAAGGCATCGAAGGGCTCGATAAAGGAAGAAGAGAAGAGCGGTAGTGGCGAAGAGGGAGTAATAGCACTTGGAAGATGAATGTTAAACTCAAGAGAGCGTGGCGAAGGTGTCAAGCCTGAAATAACGTCTTCGAAAAGGAAGGGAGACCCGAGACTAAAGTTAAGAACGTTCTGTACGACAAAAATTAGCATGAAGAGGAAGATATGTGGGAAACAAACCTGGCTGTCCTCGCATCTTGGCAAACTGAGGTATGTACTCGCGCGCTTGGAACTTTTATTGCCATTACCGATCTGTTGGGTCACCTGTTGGCCTGCAACGAAGATAGAGTTGAAAGATGCCGGGTCGACCATGTTGATGTTAAAAAAGCAGGGGTAAAACAAAATTGAACGAAGAACGAAGGGCCAGCACAGCTAGGAAGAGGCAAAGGTGAAGTTCAGAGGAAACGGACAGTGGGGAAAGACAAATTATGACGAGACCCGCCTTTTTATACCTAGGCCAAACGTCGGCAAATTGGAACGATCTCGGTGCTGCGTAGACCGTTTTGCAAATTCTGGAATGTTGATCTAGATAGTAGCCTCACGTGTCGTAAATGATGTCGATCTGTAAGATTGCTCCCTTCGGCACCTAGGTAACGGATGGTTCGAACACAGACTAATACGTGTTTCAATCCTTTCCAGTTATTTCCGACTTTGAGAGGTCGAGATACAGAACTAATGGGGAGGACACCGGTTTCGCTCGCCCGTTGGGACGGCTTCCGACGGTTGTTTTGGCCTTGTCCTTGATGCAACCTGACCATGGTACTAAGGCTTGGCCGCAGCGTGAGAAACATTATTCTCACCGGAAGCCGCCCTCTCATGGCAACGTAGGACTGCGAGCGGACTGCGGCGTTTGCACCAAGACTTTTGCACTGAATTGTGAATAAGTGCATGTAGTCGCAGAATGACCAAAGAAGACAATCCAACAAATAAATTGACACAGCAGCGTAGCCATTTTTCATCGTTCAGATGCGCATCGCCGGATGACCTGGAACTCGCGCGGTGCCGCAGGAAGCAACCGTCATGGCGGCATTTATCTCATCAGAGAATGGCTGTGAGTTTGAAAAGACAGTCGATATCAGGCCTAGAGACAGGGAGGTGGGGGCCTCGTCATGATTCCGGAGTGGTGGGGATGGAAAAATCCCCTGAGATTCAATTATGATCAATCAAATGCATATTGTATGTATTACATCTCGCGTTGCCGTTCAAAATTGCGTGAAGTAGGGTTGCATACCCAACGACTCCCGACAGAGAATCCGTCTGCACCCGGCTATCGAAACTCGTAGTTCATGAGCCACGCTGACCGGTCTTGAACCATGTACGTGTCTAAACATTCAGGACCCCACTGCGATTGGGTGGACTTCTAAAAAGTTGTGCATACATACCTTGATACACGCTAGGTAAATAGGAATAACAACTTGGGCAGCAATGTTTTTTTCCTTGGGCACGGAGTTTTCCTCCAATCATATGGATTCGAAGACAATGCATCATGATTCAGCGCGCCAGTTGGGACCTGCGATGATGAGTTTCACATGATAGGATAAATGGCTAATGTGCGGTTTTTAAGGATGGGAATGATAAGGAAGTGGTACATATCAACAAGCAGGGCTTGTTTTCAGGCACGGTAGAGGTAGAAATAATCCAGAGGACATGGAAGTGAAAGATCAAAAACACTCCGGTCAAGTCGGCCCGTCTGACCCGATGATGTGAGCGGCAGTGCTCGTGGCGACACAATGTTGAGCGCCACTGAGCACGTCCCATCTTTCCTTTTTACTCTCAAGGCCGTTCTGTGTTTCAGTATAACAACGTATTAAGGGGAACTGCTGAAACACAGTCAATAAATAAGAATCCTTCAGCACTGTTTTCTATCCCTTGAATTGTTTGACGGCTTTTGCAGGAGTGTTTGTTGACTGGAGGCCCGTGTGTTAATCGAGTGCTAGAGTCTATGTCACAATCCTCACCTTCGGTTGATTACTGCCCGACTTTCCCCCGACAAGCCTCACGATCTTTGCAGGAGCTCTTCTTATGGTCAACGTGTAGGCCCGCGTTGGTACAGACTCTTCTAATGAAGAGATCGAGCAAGTGGAAGTTATTGAGGCCTAGGATACAATACGATAAGATTCAGCGTTCTAGGTGAATCAGTGAGATAGGTACCTTTCTCGTCTGGACGTGGTTGCTGGATTCCATGCTTATGACAGCGTGTGTAGGCTGCGGTGTGCGATATCGATTCGACAGAGAAGTCGACCCATAAAAGGTCCCCTTTATACGTTGGCACAACGTCTTGAATTCTTGTTGATTGTTCGCCTCATATTGTTCTTTTCCAGGGGTCTCAGCTTGCCTTTGCACGGCTGGGTGGCACCTACTCAAGATCACTTGGATACCGAGACCAAGGTAAAGACACCGCAAAGTATGCCGGGGCCTGTTTGTCATTATTCATTCTAGCACAGGGTCAACGAAGCATTTAATGGCGGAAGCCACTGATAAAGTCATAGAAGCAAAGCCGCTGCCGGGACACCTGAACAAAGTCATTGGATGAATGTATCTCCGTCATCGATCACTGCCTGTTTTAGCGCGGCTTTGACCTTTGATCACTAGACATGCGGATTCATTGTACGCGGACATTGTTCAAGCAGAGTGGAGATGCCACCAGTTTCAAAACGGCCTATAAGACCTGTTCAGGTTCTCTGCTTCGACTTCATCGAGTTACCGTCCTGTCTTCCTCCACTCAATTTACCCACCCAGAATGCAATTCTCTCGCATGGACATCATGGACGAGCAGAGGTTTGATCCCACAAAAAAGGTATGGCGGGTCCACGTTTACGCCACACTACTAAATTTTCTAGCTGCAGGTGGCCTCCGCTACAGCGAAACCGAAAGCCGAAAATGTTCTCGATGAGGAAGTGGACCTCTCTCTACGAAAGGTTTGTGCTGCGATGGTTTTTCGCGTTGCCGCGAAAGATTAATCTGGTCCTTAGACAAGAAGCACGGCCGACATTTTGGATTCCCAAAGATTCGACCCCGCCAAAAAGACGTCGCAGCAGCAAGATGATTCGAGAAGCTCTCTACCTGACAGCTCAGACGACCTCTCTCTCAGTGACGAGTTTATCGTCATCGACCATCTAGAAGCGCAGGTGTGTGTTAACTCTCTTACCCGGTTTTTCACTTTGTATTGACGATTATACTGTGTAGCTACCCGCCACTCCAGTCGATGCCACTGTCGTTCGGAAATGCATAAGTCGTGTTTTGTCGTTCGACAAGGCCTTGCCACTCCGTCCTTCCACGAGTTCAAGTGCCTCCGGCGGCACCTCTTCTGAGTCCTCCTCAAGGCCTTCTTCCTTAGCGTCTACTCCTGAGTCTACGCCCTCGTCTTCTCTCCAGATCACTGAAAATCCTACCGAATCGGAATCCGACGATATTCATCCCGATAGCTACATTTCCACGAGAATGATCATCCAACGGACGCCGTCAAAACTCTCTTTCGACGCATTGAGCTGTTGCTCTGGGAGCGCATTTGAAGACGAGGTAGACGTGGAAGTGAGACGCAGCAAAGAAGACAAAGCCATCTCTGTCTGGGTCGAGCAGGAATCTTCTTCTATTCAAGAGGACTTCTGTAGCCTGTACAACGTGCAATGTAGGAACATTATCCAGGTTGAGTCCCGAGTTGGGAGGGGTTAATTCGGAGCCCCAACACCCGGTCTGTTTTTGGACGACTCTTTTCCCTGTTCTCTCATATTCTATCATTCACTAGTCTTCCCTTCTCTCATCTCTCAAATTAGACTTTCATTTCCTCCCTTGTTTCACTAAGACTTACCCTTATATTCGATCTTAAGCTTTAATATTTTCATTTACAATACCTTAGCAGAACAACTCGCAAGTGCATGCCCAATTATACCAATCAATTGACCGAGTCCTCTTAAAATTGTGGAGGCATTCAGTACCAGTGTTTAAGTTTCTAACAGCGACATTCTGCCCCACTGACGGGTCGGCCCGGTTTATGCCGGTTTTTTCCTTTCTTCCACCTCGTCGACAGAGTATACTCTATATTCAAGATGATTAATTAGCACTGGGACTCAGGCCGTCTTGATGCAATAAATGTGCACGCATAACAGCCTTGGTATAAGCTGGCTCATAATTAACAAGAACGGATCGTGGTCTCTTCTTTGGATCCAAGGTCTAGTTCGTTGCTCGGCTTGAAAGTTCGTGTTAGCGCGGCCATCCCTACCATTCGTCTCATCACTACAGTCGTCGAGGGTATCGTTTATGTAGATTCCGTCCCGTGCGCATCGCACAAAGTGCCGACCCTACTCCGGAACATGTGACTTCAGTGACTCTTTAAGAACAGCGGGCGCTTGTTCACTCTACAGCTTCAAGTCTCCCACTGATGTCGGTCCTGCAGCCTAATTGTATTCCGCCAGTGTCAATGGTCATGTCGCGAGGGTCATCTCGATCATCGAGAGAAAGTTCACGAGGCAGATCCCGGTGCCGTTTTCTGCTGAAGCACATCTATTCCATATCACTCACTGCTATACCCAGCTCCCGCCGCTGTTCGCCCTGCGCTGTCGAAGCTCCTGGGTATGGTGATCCTGCATTTGCTGCCCACTTTTTATTGACCTTCTGCTACAGAAACCCAAGAACTTCGGAATCTTTCTACTACGCTATTCCTTCGCCCGTTGTGGGACCGCCGCGGTAGGAAGAATATAATTCCATATTTTCATACTAACCGAGTGGTGCAGCGAGATATATTCCAGGTACTGTCGTCTGTATCATTTGCAGTAAGCATGTGATGTCCTGATTCCCCACTGAAGTTCGCCCGAATCTCGGTTCTCAAGTTCATCGAGTTCAAGTGGTCGCCGATCGCATCAGGGTTCGCCAACATATGAGTATGTTCACTTTGTATTCTACGAGTTCTTTGACAATTATATATGGGAGTTCCTACTTGAACATGGTGTTGGTTCCAATTGGGGAGCCAAGTGAAAAAGATATTCGCAGGCCGACGTGGTATGCTACTCTCATAGCCTTTGACAGTTGGTTATTTGTTCTGATTGTCGCACCTTAGCACAATACCAGTGTTACCAAAGTACTCGCTGTCACCGTCTTTCTGACCCTCACCAATCACTCACCTGCTCCAAGGCCCCCACAGACATATTCTGAATCGTGGGCATCTTCCCTCCTCTCATTTTTCGTTGCCTCATCTGACATGGTAGTGGTGGTGGTGGTGGCCGCCGTTCTCGCACCCGCTCCATCAGTCCCTCTACTCGCTCCATCACCCCTCCTGCCTGCTCGGCGTCACCTCTTGCTGTACCGCCTGAGATTTTACCAGCTCGGTGAAGTGATGCTTTCCTTTGTTTGAATTGGTGTTTAATCGATACACAGTTCCCACATCATTATCCAGCCTACATGGAGTGACAGAAGCCGGTTTGTTGCCATCTTGCTGTTGGTTTGATCTTTTCTCAACTGTTATACTTAGATCTCGATCTAGAACTAGACCCAGAACTAGAAGCAGCTCACGGTTCGTGGAACAATGGTTGCATCATAATGCGACGATATACTCATGGCGGTCTGCGATTCAGGAGTGTTTCCCCGCGAGGATACCCTCAAGTTATCCATCCCGGTGTGCAGGATAGCTTACAGCGTCTGATGCCCTGATCTGACGTCCGACTGATATTGACAGGTTGGCCTCATGCTGCTGTTTCCCATCCTCGATATTACTTCCAAGATGGAAATGTGACACTTGAGGTTTGGCTCCATGGCTTAGGAAACAAATTGCTCATCAAAGGTAAATAGATTGACCGGACCCGGTATAAAATCCATCGTCACTTCTTGGTCACGAATTCTCCTGTATTTGCAAAGGAGTTACCGCCTTACATTATATACACGACATTGACCGGTAACGTTGACAAACAAGCTTTCGAGCTCGTACTGTCGCTTTTCTACCCAAAGGACTGCTTCAGTGGCCATGACATCAAGTCGGAGCCGGATTGGCGCAAAGTCCTGGTGTTTGCTTGCCAATACAAGATGACTGTCATTCGAGATATGGCTCTCACGAAAGTTCCAACGCTTGACCCTGTCGAGAAGGTCGAGTTGGCGACGAAGTATGGACTGAAGGACTGGCTCGTGTCGGCATATGTCGACCTGTGCATGAAGGATTTGGGAGATCGTAACGGATGGTCAGCGGAGGAAGGGAAGAAGATAGGCCTAGAAGGTGTCCTTGCACTTGCCGACGTCAGGCGAGATATCTTGGAACATCTGGAGGAGCATTTAGATAGAGATAAAGTTTTGAAGACCGTGGAGAAGAAAGTGGAAGCATTGAAGCAGATCTGAATGAATTGTGTATTTTCTCGCTGTACGATAGATGATGGAGCTTCCGGACCGATTTACATTCTTCCTTTGACACGCGAGATTTTACTCGATCACCCCCACAAAAAAGTATCGAAAATAAGTAGCTGCATCAGAGTGCATGGCCTTTTACTCTTCATCAGCGTCACAGTGACTCGGCTTGTTAGACGAAATGATTACCGCACTCGTGCCGAATGAAGATATGATAAGGCTTCTATCTCGTCATATACAACTCAGAATGGCTTGGCGATCCCGAATCTTCTAAGAACTGTCATGTCCAGCAGCACCCGCGATCATCATCCTCTTTGTGCCAAATGTAGCTGCCTTTGGTGCTGGAGACATTCCAGACTTTTCGTATCTCCATGAAAAGGCATTCCGCCATGGAGACATTGAGGGCATCCTGGAAACCCTGCTTAAATCTGTGGGAACAGGAGGTGGTATCCTCGGTTTCGCCCAGTCGGTGATGAACTCTGAAGGGCCCAAATTCAAGAAGAGTGATGTTCAAAAGGTGTACTTTGTAAGTCGACTGTCCGATCGTTGGCGATATCGATTACTGACGAGGATGAAAGGGAAACTGGTTGAGAGACTATTCCCAAGCAATGGATATCGCCGGTCTGAGTAAGCTAAGCGCTGATACGCTCGTTCTTGTTGTTGCTGTCCTTGGGTTTATGGTATGCTTCCAGAATTTCGTCGTCGATCTCGGTGAATAGATATCCCCCAGACCTTCGGATATGCCACCGAGGAATACGAGGTGACTCCTCAACGTCTGGGTGTATACCTCCCTATCGAGCACATCGATAATCCCAAGGGATACGCTGAGAAAGAGGGAGATGCGCGTCAATTCCATCCAGCCCTTCGATCACCTGTGGATCCCCGAGAGCTTGAGATCGATGAGCGCACCGGGATGAAGAACTACATGGCCACAGAGGATCAGGAATGGGACTCTTCGACTGCTCATATCCGGAGGACATTCACCGCATGCATCGAGTACGGCCGTCGCGCAGGGGGCGAGGACGGACCTGACCTGTGGGAAGCGTACCGCCTCCTCGGCACAGGCCTTCACACGATGGAAGACCTTCTTGCGCATAGTAATTGGTGCGAAATCGCACTCCATAAGATGGGGTACGAGGAGGTTTTTTGTCATGTTGGTGAGAATGTCTCCGTTTGTGTCCCCGAAACAGGGGAGAGAGTTCCTCCCCTCGTTACCGGGACGTTCGGTAGTGCGGACTTCATGCACTCGATGCTCGGGGAAGCGACAGACCATCTTAGCCAAGCGAGCGTCACAGCCTTGAATGATAAAATGTCGGAGTCACAGGACAGTGATGTCTCTGACAAATTGGAGAGGTTGAAGAAGGTTATGAGTGTAGTCGGTAGTGGGGATGACGACCTAAGCCATGGAGAAGATCTTCATGCACAATCCCAAGCGTATCAATTTGATCCGGATAATGTTGCACCCCCAGAGGTGCAGAAGCAGTTGTTGGATCTCCTGCGCTGGAGGGACAACCTTTACAAGAAGATAAGTGGCGTTATCGAGACGACGGGTCTGGATGAGGTATTGGACGAGATGAGCAACGCGCTCAGTGCCTGTGAGAGTTTCAGCTTCGTTCTGTCGGGATTGAGCTGATCATACATTAGACGTATATACCGTCATCGCTCCGTGGCTTACCCCCATCCTATCCCAAGTCATAACCGTTCTAGGGGAAGGAAGTAAAGCCGTCATTGATTCTGACGATCAATATGAGGTCTTCAACAACCCAGACGCTTCTGACCCCTCGCACAGCATCCTATCGAAAGATCATTTTGGGCTGATCCTCAACGAACCTGCTGGTAAAATAGCACAGGTTTTAGTTGTGCGCAGCGTGGAGCTCATTGTCCAGGCATGGTCAGACGAGAGCGATGCAAACGATGTTATCGATAAAGTGAGCAAAATACTTGGTTGTTAGACCGGTGTTTTATTTATGTATTTGCAGATACTTGAGGCTTTCCACCATCCGTACTATACAAATGAGGGAAGCCAGATTCAGAGCCAAATGTTTGACGAACTACGAAGGTGGGTAGATGGGTTGGAGGACGTGGCCGCAACGATGAATTTGTTGACGAAGGAGAGCGTCCAAGAAGGGCTTAATAAGAGAGAGGTGGACGAAAGTATTGAGTCGAGATATGGTGATAATGGTAGTAGTGGGTATGAAAGTCGAGGGTATGGTGGAGATGGGTACGAAGACCGAGGCCCACTACAAGAACGGGAGGTCGGGTGCTCTCCTGGAGAGGAAGGCGAAATTTGGCAATATTCTGAAGAGAGCAGAGAAGATGAAAGGGCCAGCGAGCCCCCAGAATCCGATAACGAAGAGGATTACAGAAGCGAAAACGGAGAGGATGATGAATACGGCCGTCGTTCTGGAGGGTGCGAAGACGAGTCAAATTATTAGCATCGTAGTATTCTCAGTATTTCAGAAGGCCTATATAGGAATGAATTCTAGTTGACTATTGGAATAATGAAACCGCAAATACGTTCAAGTAAATGGTTGCTTGATGCCTTGCATTCACTGCAGCCACGACGCTCACTGGTACCGTCTGCCAGTCGTTAAGACACTGCGTTAGACCGTCCTATTAGACGCGCCTGGCAACTCAAGTTTCTGTGATATCTATCATAATCAGACCCTCGGATAGTAGTGGGCTACCGCAGCCTAGATAAAAACCGTAGCAACGATCGATAGAGGTGAAGTTGGTGGTCCAATTGTTCGGGCCGTGGCTCGGCCTGCATCAGCCGCCCAATAGCTGCTCGGCATGATCCGCGGCTTGGCACTTGTTTACTTAATACCCTTGGTTCATATTTGCGGCCCTTAAGATGAAAACACAAACTGTGACACCAGACTGGACGCCGCAGACCACGGGAACGAAGAAAGATCCGAACTTTTGCTGCGACGGTCCGCTCGGGCCTTCAGTGACTTTAATCTGGACCAACAAGCTAGTACGGTATCTGTTTCATCAACGCAGGTTCAGTTCGCTCCAAATGGGCTTGGAGAACGTTGACGAGTCTCGCTTCAGGGATCTTGTTCCGCTATCGGTCTTCGTCTTATCTTCGACTCGAACTTCGAAAATACTTCCCGGACTCCCTGTTTCTGTCGTCACAATCGAAGTTGGACTTTCAAAAAATTATTTTTTCAAATCCTAGGATTTTGATCCAAGTCGGCGTCTCACTGAGGGTCACGCAATGAAATTTAGGTCTTCTCTAGTCTGGGTACCTAATTCTCCGAACATCTGTTCTCATGATCTTGATGAGTTGTCCCGCAGATTCTCCGTACTTGTGTTCTCAGAGCCATTTGTACCTGTATGAATAGGCAGCATAAAATCCGGGTGGTCCCTGAGGTTGGGTCTTACCCACCTGCGTTTCTACTGTAATGGGGCTGTTCTATCATGTCTTCATAGCTGCATTTTCTTCTATTGGTATGTAGGCTTTGCCCTTCACCTTCTGCTTGAAGGGCGCTGACCATCTCTTTCTGCATTACACAGGTTCATTTCTCTTCGGGTACTTTTTTCCGACTTGTTTCTGGACGTGCACGCTGAACTGCCCTTTCTCAAAGATATGACAGGTAAACCCATTGCTTAGCCCGTACCACCCATCATTCCAATTCACTGCAGTGGGATTATCGCATCCGTCATAACAATGGACAGGTACCTGGGTAGATTTGGAAACGACGCAGACATCACAGGAGCAGTAGTGTCTACGTTCAATGGTACGCAGCGTCAAGCGATATTGCAAAATGCCAGTGATCTTACCAGGCCCGCGCGTCAGGTGGCTGCTTTTTTGGAGCTATGCTTGCGGGATGGACGAGTGATAAGCTAGGAAGGAAACGTTCCATTCAGGTGAATATCAATCATATGGAGTGCAGTGACTCAGTGTTTGGCTCGCTCATCGTAATTCATGGTCTTAGATGGGAGCCGTTTTTTCAATGTGGGGGAGCGCGATGCAGTCTGGAGCAAGTAACGTCGCTACACTTCTCGTCGGGCGTATTATAGGTGGATTTGCTATCGGGTGAGATCTTTGCTTGCGTTTGTCGAATGTGCTTACCTTAATCCAGGATACTTTCAATGACCGTACCCTTGTACAATGTTAGTCCTCGCGTGATCCCATCCCGACTAGCTATTTATATATCTTATAGACTGAAATAGCACCCCCAAAGATTCGTGGGCTGCTTGTCGGCTGCACCCAGCAACTGCTCGGGATTGGCATCATTGTTGCCAACTGGGTAGGTTACGGCTGCCAATTCATCGATTCAGATGTTAGCTGGCGCCTGCCTTTGGGACTTCAAGTAAGAATTAATTTACTCGATCCCTCTCTCTGAATCGCTCATGCTGTCATAGCTTGTACCGGCGGCCTTGCTCTTCATCGGAATACAGTTCCTGCCGTTCAGTCCTGTACGATTCATCCTCTTTTTTGGTCTCAGGTTCACATAATGCTAACAACTCGTACCTTTGTAGAGATGGCTTTTGGAAGTTGGTCGAGATGACGAGGCACGCGAAGTAGTGTACAAGCTCTATGGTACCGAAACTCCAGAACTGAAAGAGAAGGCAGACAAGGAATACTCAGTGATGTATGACACCATCAAAGCCGAAATACTTGTACGGAGCAAGCATATCAAGGATCTGTTTGTCACATCTGCTATGACTCGACGAACTTTGGTTGCTTGTGGCGTACAAATATTCGGGCAGTTCACGGGTATTAATGGTGCGTTTATGAATATGTAAAGCATGTTCAGTGCCTTGAACTGACTCCTTTCCTGTCGGACAGTCATTAATTACTTTGGCCCACGAATGTACGAAAGTCTGGGTATTACCGGAAACAACAAACTTCTTATACAAGGTATCTACGGAGCCGTTGGACCCATTGCCAACCTCTTGTAAGCACATTCTTCCTCCGTTTTCGCCGTATATTCAGTCATCTTGCCGTAGCTTCATCGTGTTTATTCTGGATCTGGTTGGGCGAAAAAAGCCTCTTCTCTTTGGAGCCGGAAGTTTCGTCTGCACGTTCTCTATCCTCGCTGCAATTGTGGCCACCAATCCTCCTACTCCAGAGGACGACCGGAATGCATGGCCAGTCAACCATATCGCACAGAGGTATCAAACGAATCAGCGTTCCTCGAGGTTTTCTCGCTAATGGTGTCATCAGGGCCGGAATTTCCATGATTTTTCTCACCAGTATCGTCTTCTCACTGAGCTTCGGCCCTGTCAGCTGGGTGTTGGCTTCAGAAGTAAAATGCCTATTCCCAGTCAGCACATCGTGCTGACGCGGTATTTTAGGTGTTCCCTACTCGTGTCAGGTCAATTGGAACAAGCGTTGCGACATGCTGCAACTGGGCTTTTAACGTCTTAATCAGTCAAGTATGCCTGTAGTTCAGTGATTGGCTTCGGCTAACAGGGTCGGCTAGGTATCCACACTAGCTTTGGAAGATATCGGCTGGAAATACTATATGGTTTTTGTCTGCCTCAATCTTTTCGACTTCTTCGTCATCCTATTCTTGTTTCCAGAAACTAAAGGTATGTTCTTTTTTATTTCTTCAGGGTCAAATTTTGATCCCTCGGTCCAGGTAAAACATTAGAAGACATGAACATGGTGTTTGGTGACCAAATAGATTCACGCAAAGTCCTCGACGACCATCGTCTACCGTCTAATGACGATAAAGATCATCACGCCCATTTAGACGAGAAACTAACAACAGCTCATTGTTCTGCACTAACGTCTTAATGTACGCATAAATATTTCGTCCTGAAAATGACCTATTCTGTTGGATATCGATTCTGGACGAGGGAGAAATTTATTCTGGTTTCCCATGAAAGGCGAACATAATAAATCCATCAGTCTCTTCCTTTACATTGAGCTTCATTACCCTTGCGGGAATCTTTCGACAGTAGGTAATTCCTGCTACGTTAGTAGTAGGTCATGGTTTCTGAAACTTTAACTGGAGACCGTGCCGGAAGTCACGGGAATTACTGAACCGAGAAATTTATTGCGGCTGCCCAGAGATAAATTCCCTTGAAAGTCAGAAATCCGGTATCGCTGCTACTGACTCTTTCCTCCCAGGCTACCAAGTCTGGTGAGAGAAAATGAGAGCGGGTGCATCGAGCAAGCATTTTTCGAGCAGCACAATAAGCAGCTCTTAAGATATCTTATTTCAAGAGGTCAGATCAGACTGCATTTTGAGAAATAAGGACTCGGACACCAGATATTCTAAGAGAAAATGTGTAAGCTGGTGGTAGCATCTGCTGCCATAGGTAGTTTCTTCCAGTTCATTAATAATGAATCAAGCATATTAGTGTCATTGCAGCAATTATTCACCAAATTCACTCACTTTAGTAGTGATGCTCATGTTTCTGATGAGTAAACATGGCAAGCTCTGCCCCTGGGCCTTCCAAGCTTTATATGATAAATATATATCATTCAAAAAATATTCCATATCTCCACTATATAAACCCATCCTATATTTGTTGCTTCCTGCCCGGACGAGAAATCGCAAATCTTCCTTACTTGTTTACATCTCCGCGGCGTTCATTTACAAATGCGGGTGCCTCGGACACGTGGGCCATCGGTATCTCCGGCTTGCATGCTGCCACGACATGGAATTTCTATCGCAGACATATGTCGCGCTTCGTGGGCCAACAGGAGCACCACAGACAGCTTCTGACACTATCGCGAGACTTAGCGACCGTCTTTCACCAGCGACACTGTTATCGGACCGACGCGCTGCAGTTCTTGCCCTCAAGGGACTAGCACGAGATTGCAAGCAAGATGTTGGCGAAAGGGCACTAATTGGGCTATTGCAAGTGTTGTACAATGATGCAGAAGTGGACTCAGATATTGGGAAGGCCGTGTTGGAGACACTGAGCTTGCTATGCGATATGGAGGAAGGACGAGACTTGGGATACAAGCACAGCGACGTTGTCCTCGCCGGCGACAAGACTGTACATATACTGTTCTCCTTACTGGCAGACAATAGCTTCTATTTGCGCTTTGCTACACTCCAGTTCTTGTCGACGCTGCTGCACAATCGACGCCAGGTAGTGCAAGGATACTTTCTCACCGCGTCTACTGGTCCAACAAGCGTCATCTCTGTTTTGGAGGACAAGCGGGAAATCATTCGCAACGGTGCGCCTTACTTTCAATCCATCACTTACTATTTCTGAACGATGCGTAGAGGCTATCTCTGTTGTACAGGCCCTAGTGTCGCAGAGTCCGGACATCCAAAAGATACTGGCATTCCAGGGAGCATTTGAAAAGCTATTTAATATCATTAGACATGAGGGCGGTGTAGATGGAGGTGCCGTTGCCCAAGAGGCACTGGCTTGTGTCGATGTGTTACTGAGGTTCAATTCCTCGAATCAGGCGTGTATTCCTTCATGCGGTAACATTCGTTTCTAATATCTTGCAGAGCTACTTCCGAGAGACCGGTCTGCCACCTGTTCTGTGCACTCTTCTCCAATTTCCCCCGAACATCCAGTACAATGATCCCGCTCCCCAAGAGTTCGCGCTTCAGTTCTGGGACCAGCAGAAATTAAATAACGCATCGTATGTTGTGGCTATCCTTGGTATGCTCGTCGGTTCGAAGGGGAATAGCGTAAGTTTTATCGCTGTTCTTCTTTTGACAACATTGATAAAGCCCTTCAGGTATTATAGGAACAGGAAGCCGCCGTGTTCACACGCTGCTTAGTGGAAATTGCTTTAGCATCCAATGCACCGACGCAACTCAAATCCCAAGCGCTATATCTACTTCCACCAAATCTTAATTTCCCGCTTTCCGAACTCACACTGACGCCATACATGCCCGTACCTGAGACGAATGGCGAAGAGTGGGATAGGCTAGAACCTGCTTCAGCATTGGATGCGCTCGTGGAACTTGCTTTACATGGAGAATATAATGGTCTCTATAGCGATAAACGCTTCAAAGATGGTCTGGAACTGAGAGCCGCGGCTGCTACTGTGTTTGAGGTAACGAACCATCTGGACATCTTCATTCAGTAAACTTACGTTCTTCATAGAATTTCGTACGCAAAGATGAGATAAAGCAGGCTATTGTTCAGGCTATGACTCCCCCAGAAGAGGCTGCCCCTTCGGAACACCCACCAACGACCCCACTTCTTCATTCTCTTGCCGCATCTCCAGATTCGACACCAGCCATCGACTCGGCCAGGGTAACAGGCACAAACTTTGCGTCTCTTCTCTTCGCCCATCTTCTCCGGTCATCCCCAGGGGCAAAATCGCTTGCACGGGGCATCGTACCCCATCTTACCGCTTCCCCGGAGCAAGGGGGTGAAAGCGGCTTTTTCGTTCCCGCTGATGGAGCTGCTCCTCCTGCGCCGCCCCCTCCTGAAGCTGATGATGAACCTCCCCAGACCCTTCTCCAAATTCTGAGCGAAAATCTTTCACTCGCTCTTCTATCCCGATCCCATGCGAACACTTCTGATAGGGATTCAAGAGAATGGGACCGACTGATTGTTGGCTATTTGACGCTACTTTCTCAGTGGCTTTGGGACGACCCTACTGCTGTGAAAGATTTCTTGAACGCGGGAGGTTTGGGTGTGGTATGTTTCCCTGACCACATTGACCGTTCTCTTCTAAAAGCAATGAGCAGCTAGTAGAACCTATCAACCATATATCCGATTCTGATTCTATTGTCCCCGGGCTGTGCGCATTTCTATTGGGCGTGTGTTACGAGTTCAACAGAGAGCCTGGTGAGATCACGAGGTGTGCATTGTGCTGGCTGTCTCCTGATGGTAGCTGATTTCCAGTATTATAGGCATACAATCCACCCCATTCTGCATCGGCTGGGCGTAGACTCTCTTGTGGGGTGCGTGTCTCGTTTACGGGAAGATGAACGATTCAAAGCTGTTGGTCCCGACTCCGTGGTGTTTCTGTATCCTCCCTCTTCACATCTACAAACTGGTACCGCAAAATCCGATGCCGAAGTCGAAGGGGAGATTTGGTTCGATTGGGCATTCGTAGACTTCTGGAAATCGAACTATTGTAGGTTTTCAGTTCGTTCTAGCAGGACCACGGACCGTTGACCTACTTAATTAGATCCTGTTCAGAGAGGGTTCTCTACGGAGCCAGATCAGCTTTCTTCTTCTTCGGGACAAAGTGCAGAAACGATGGTGCTTGTAGCTTCATTACGAGAGACAATACGGAAACAGTCTGAGGAGATCGCTGTACTGCAGACACAGCTAAAGGACAAATCCTCTGGTGTGGACGAGGTAAGACCTTGCCCTTCAGCATCTCATTCTCGTATTTATTCCTGTCAGGTTGTATCCCTGAAGGAACATGTATCGTCGTTAACCTCACAGCTGGAGAGCTCTGAAGCAAAGCGCAAGGAGGTGGAAAAGGAGCAGGAGGATCTTCTTGTGCTGCTAGACGAGGTCAGCAGTAAGCGTAAACGGGATAAAGAAAGGCTTAGAGGAGCTGGTCTGGATATGTCGGAGGATGAAGCCGATGAGGATGTGGACAGTGGCGAAGAATAAATGTGATCATGTGAGCTTGTGCAGTTATTCAAAATCCAGATATTTCCCTTTGGGTTCTGCGTCTGGTGATCAATTATTCAAGCACGCAGTGAAATCACCGTCCAGGTCTTTCAAGGCTTGTTGATCTTGTGAAAGCTAATGTACAGCCCAAACCGCTTGACAAAGCTGTGCAGGATAGTATGGATGTTTAGAAGGGTATAAGGACGTCTAGCAGAACAACCACAATGCTCACATGGATCAATGGGCTGCAGAAAAGGAACAAAGCTAGGAAGCATGATATTGGTACAGACAGACCGCAGACGATGAGAAGGGCCACATTCCTCGGTTAGAACGCGCGCTGTGCTGGGCAGATCTTACTATATCACTGAGCATATTTTGAGAGGTTGGTAAAGGGTTAGTCCGGCTAGGCTATAGTTCAGGAGCGGTCAAAGAGCGAACAGCATTTGACAGAAAAGGAGTATACAATGGAAACTTGTCGGCCGTCGATGGACACTTGAAGTCGTCGCATGCTTCATCGACTGTAGGAAGGCCCGATGGAATGGGATATAGCGTCTTTATGTTTTCTTACGGTCGTTATGCAAATATTGAGGGCCCAGACACCATAATACTCGAAGTTGAACCGTACAAGAGAAGGTGAGGATTAATGTAGACACGACCCGACCAGGTAAATCAAAGCGAAATTGCGATAGATCGTCTCTTCTTTGTCGGAGAAATGAGTATTTCTTTCTACGTAGAATATTGAAATATTCCGTCCAAACGGCAGCGGTCCAAGAAAGCCTAAGAACCATCCTATTCGACCCCAAAGAAATATCAATTGTTGCGAAGGGTCCGATGGCGCCGAATGCCCAGGAACATGGTCGGGCACCTTGATTTAACCTGGCATCTATGATCGGCCCCGAATCCCCTTAACATCTCCATGTTCCACAAGGAAGTGTCCTGACTTTTCCTGAGAAAATAGGACCGCCATTAGACATCCAGTATGATTTTGAAGCACATCCATTATGCGAGCATCGGTAACCAGGGACCACTCTTTTTTCGAGAAAATAATTGGCAGACGTCGTAGAAGGGGACAATATCCAACTATTCATAGCCAGTCATGACAAGGATACTGTTTGTGACGCGACAGGACTCCGCGAGGGGTTCCTTTCCTGAGATGGCGACGAGCACTACTAAGAGACCGATAGGCTTAGAGTTGAAAGGAAAGTTATGATAGAGGACTTAAACTAAAAGCCAAAGATGTGTAATTATTTGTTAGCAGGGGGATGGTTAGTCTGCAAGCGGCCCGAAAGCATGACAAGAGCGGTGCATACGAGCCTTGTGGATATGCCAGAATTTGACGGTGGTCATGATCATGCATCGTGGCTCAAGAGCAGACAGAGAAGTCCATAGACCCGGAAAATACCGCAACGGTTTGCTTTGGGAGTCCTCGGATTTCCAGCTGACAGAAAGCGGCGGTACATACAGTCTTCGTTTTCTTGTTTACCCGGAGTTCGAAGGCTTGAATTTGAGGGACGCTAGGAAGAGATCGTGCTCCGCCGCCTGACACGAGAGCGACAGCGATGGACCTGGGACTAGACGCAGCAGAGAGTCGATTGATGTGCACCAGTGGTCTCTCAAAATGCACTGTACCTATTATGATAATGTTCTGCATGAGGGCGAGGAAAGAACGCACCACTGACTGCCTGAACAATGTGCCAGTGGTGATTCAAGGAGAGTTCTTATTCTGGTTGCCTATGGGGGAGGCTGTCCGAATTCGGAATTCCCGAATATCTCGCCGTTCAGAACATTTTGGTATTTATGTAGGCGTTTTGACTTTGAACTGCCCTGGCTTTTTTTGCATCGATTGAAGAATGGGTTCTTTTGAGGCCGGACAAGTGCGAAATCAATTTGAAATAAGAATGTACAGTAATTTCAACGGGTTCAAGTAGTACTCCGCGAATTCAGCCACTAGTAGCATAGTAGAACATTGTGTAGAAATGTAGATATGAGCGTATGTGTGTGGGAGTCATTACTGATTACATGTAATATTCACAAGTCCGAGTGATACACAATCCACATATACTAAAAAGTCGAGTCAGTAGCTGAAACAATCGCGCTCAATACACATACCAATATAAGCTGGAATCTGATTCGAATCGATTCAGTTAAAAGCACGATCCAACGGAACCACTTCCATGGCACCCCTCAGTCTCATACTGAGTGCGAGGCTTCAGAACCTCCATTGAAAATCAAGCACTGACATGCGAGCAGTAACACGAGACTCACCTGAGCTTCGGGTACTTCAGCGGGTACAGGTGAAGATGAGACGAGCATGGTTATGACTAGATAAATTGTGTTAGTGAAAAGGGAGTAAGGATAATACGAAATATAACGCACAGGACAAGATGATAGTAACCAGAGACAGACGATAGTACATTGTGTCAGTAGGATTTTTGGTTGGATGCGTAGGATACCTAACACTCCTCAACGAGTCCTTTTAAACATATGAGGAGGATAAGTGGACGAAAAAGAGCAATGTTACCGACTCACGGCACCTCTCCTGAGGTAGCCTTTAATTATAGATGACGCACCTAATTCGCCTTTCGCGCGTATTTCGCTAGCCCGCCCATCATTAACGGATCGGACTGGACTGCGGGTAAGTAACAATAGATGCCAAGAATAAGAGGAGCCGACCCAACAGATAACATAAAGGCTGTTCAATACGAAAGGAAAAGCGTATGTCGGTCAACCCTTCACTTGGAGCATGCGGTCGCACAGCCTATCATCTCTTCTCAGTCACGTCTCCTGGCGCGCTGGTCCCTTAAAATTGTTCCTTGTGGAAATCAGCAACCGGTGCAAGTTGGAAGAAAAAGGAAAAGCGCGTTTATGTTCATTCGAACTGTCATATTGCTAGGTCCCACGGCATTAATCCGGCTTCCTAGTACACACAGAATCAACCTGCGATTGGTTTAAGGTGATATTTGTTCCAGACTCGGGATCCCCGCGTGTAGTACTGTCTTCCGAGAAATCAACACTGGAATCTTGAACTCGCGACTAAATGCTCGTCGTCGTACTTTGTTGCTGTATCAACATTGCAATACTCTTCGCAAATTGCATATCCTGTGTAGGCTTAATGGTAAAATTTAAAACAGCGATGCATCAGAAACGCACAAGGCCTCCTCTACTGTTATCCTTCCAAAGCACAAGCAACATCGGACATATCATCGGCAAAAAAAGTCTTCTGGAAGGAAGGCTATTCGCATGGTAAGAGTTGACCGTTAAAAGAATTTTGGTCTGCCTATTAATACTTGCAGGGCCTCGTCAGTTTTCATCCAATTTTGCTGTGCATACATCATGGCCTATTGGACAGCGGTAAAAATGTTCTTGCGATCGATTTTATTGGTGGTACTGTAGATGACTTGGCTGAGGTGCTTTTGCTCTGTGGTATTCTTCGACAGGTCAGAGACGGCAATTCATTCACGATCGTTGCCATCCTCCTTCCTGGTCTCGACCGTCTGTTCTAGCTGGTCAAAAAATAGAAAATTAGCAAAGGAAGCGACTAGATTATCACCCCAAGAAATAATCATGCTGACCGCCGCAGTCTTGAATTTTACCTGTTTGCTCATACTCGCACTTCCGGCCGTTGGGCTTCATAATTCGTTCGTGGTCGCAATAGATCGGCCATTGTCGCCGCTACCTTTTCTCGGCCACTATGGCAAGAGAGTAGATTCGGCTGCCTGCATCGGATGTTCCAATCTCTTTCAGTCTGTCATTTTCGTCTCCATACTGCAATTTCACCGTCTTGTTGGTATCTTTGGGTTCACTCAAATTTTCGCTTTGGCTGAGAGATCCGAGTCTTGGCGTTGTACATGCGCCTCTTTGACAGGGTAGTAAGAAAGAATTGACCCATACATTAATAAAAGATCCGACATATCCGATGCTTACTGTCTGAGGGAATCTCGAGAGGATAGCCGTAAGCATGATCAACACATAGCATTAATGCTTGATGTCTGCTGCAAATGTTTATCAGAAGAAGAAGACAAGCTCCTTAACTTGACGACAAGAAAGCCAACGGCCTTTCATAGGGCTGCCAGGGGCGGGCGAGACGGCTCACAAATTTCTTGACAAATAGTAAAAGCGCTGAAGTTAAATAACGTTCCTGAAATAATTGACCGAAAATTGATCCATGATTCGCAGAAGGGAAGATCTGTCAAAGAAAAAAAGTTGCACGAGTAGAAGGCTCAAATAAGGAAACGCGATGCCACTCGGATATCTTGCAACACGCCTCTTAGTTTCTATTATCGTCCGGATGAGGGGTTTATGCCATGAATGGTGGATATCAATGGCTTCTATGGACAATGCTCTAGATCTCTGTAAAGTAGCAGGAGCCCAATGTCAGGATTTCAGGATTTCACGCCCAGAGACAGAGGTAAACTCAGCGGAGGGTGCTGGCTAATTGACAGCATATTGAGGAGTACCCTCGTCAGCTGCTTGACAGGGCCAGTAGGAGCGTTCAGCACTCAACCCAAGGTGGGCCAGCAGAATCTCTAGTAGCACTCGTAGATGATACAGACGATTATCGCAGCACTATACGGTAATTTGACGTGACAGCATTCCAGGCGCAAGAATCAAAACTTGGTGGTGGTAGGAGAGTGAAGGGCGCAAATCGGAACCGGGCCGAGTTATTGTCGAACCAAAGTTACTTACGTCATCTCTTTCCTTTTCCCCTTTGACTGGCGAAAAACTTGAACGTATCTGGATAAGTTCACTATTCCTTTGAATTCGATATTCATTATTTTGTTCCGGATCATCGCAGATTACTGCCGAAGGGTTCAACCATGATTATTACCAATGCCACTTAACTATGTTCACTATCAAGCTCAACCTTTATCATGATGGGCGAAAACGTTCTCGGTCCAATGTCTTGTCCTCTCGTATGTTGCCTTGGCACACTGCTTGCGATCAATTCTTCGAATATCTTACGAGGATCACGTCTGCGCCCCTCAAAAAAGTCCACAATTCTACGGTGGTTCTCATTACAGAAGTTAGTATTCTGCGAAATTTCGAAAGTGGGGACTTTTTTGGCCACGCCGGAGAAGCCTCCATGGACGTGTTACTCCTGTCCTTGTTATGGAAAGGATCCACTATACCGTATATTTCGGAAGCCAGGAGAGTAACTTCTAGGCACCTGAATACGGACGATCCAGGGTCGCGAAGTGGCTGCCCACCTTAGGGTTCTTCCTTTATCGAATTTGTTCGGACGAGTCACCATTCTAATCCATGTTGTCTGCGACTTTTTCTGATTTCGGTTTGTTGCGTCTGTCATGAATATCGGATCAGCTTTTTGAGGGGGACTTGCGGCTCAAGAACCTGAATTCTTTCATCGCCACCGTCCTTGTGCAGGACTAATATTCCCCTGATAATCGCTCTTGGAGTGCTGGTACGGTGAGATGTTAATCATGATTACGACACTCTCCAACCGCAGCGACATCGACATCCAACTTGAAAATGTCAACTGTATACAGTGCAATAGAGGTTGAGTACTCGGTATTTTCCTCAAGAGAAGCGCCGTAGAAGTGGGCCAATGCACCACCAGTGTACCGGACGCTGTCCGCAGGAGTTCCAATAAAAGAAGTATCTGGCAGGGAGTCTTCACCTCGCTATCAACACTAAGGTGCTTCTGCATTTCTCCGGATCCCTTGTGTCGTATTGTGCAGGTTCGATTTCCTTCAAATGGCATCGTTCTGGCAGTGGCTAAATTTTGACAATAGTTCACCGGACGAAACACGCGGCTTGGAGTGTAGTGGAACAATTGTACTTTTTCCGAGGATTCTAGTACCTTTTCCGACGCAAATGCAGAAAAGTAGTTTTTAAAGCTGACTTCTGTCTTTTATATCTCTGCCTGCGTCTTTCGGACTTGCCAAGATCGTGACGACCATGAGTACTACTGTCAACGGAGCTGGCTGAATCAGAAATAGCTTCAAACTGGGGCTTGGTTATCTGTCGCACGATGAGTTCCCGCAAGTTTCCGTAGCGTGTCAGACCTCTAGGGCAGCGCGCTTCTTCATGAGCTTTGAATGCCGATGTTATGGATGCCATTTGGCTAAAGGCTCTTTTCGAGAAGGAGGCCGACATCGGTGCGCGGAATAAATACGGTTGTACCCCTTTGCACATGGGACCATCCACTACTGCTGCCCAGACTTGATTGTTTTCGGCGCCGACATACATACAAGGCAGTATGTATTTGCAGTCGGCTATGCACCTCTTCATGCTACTGCGCCAGGAGATTTGGGAAATTAGAGCATAGCCCCACGGGTTAGCATTGACCTCCGGTACACTAGCTTACATCTCCTGCGCTTGCAGACCGATATCTAGCTTGTAACTGAAGGGATTGCCATCTTGGATTTTGAACGACCCCCGGCCATGATACTATCATACATTTTCGCGATAAGCGACTATCGTGCTAATTTGATGCAAGGTAGTTATTACTAGGCAATAACAAGAGGCTCTATGACAGAATGATGGGCAAGCAATAGGACCCTTGAGAAAAAACACGACTCATCGGGAGGGTTCCAATGCATATTGTCCATGGTGATAGTGAGTACGGATATTAGATGTGATGATGAGTGCAGCGCCCAAGCTAGCTCAAGCACAATAATAATAATATTATTATTATTATTATTATTTTCAGATATCCGGAAATAATAAAGTAAATGTGGTATCCTGTCTCCGTCATCTCTGCTCATTGCATTACTGGTGCACTTTCTCAATTTTTGAGGACATCTGATGTTTCGTTATTGCAGACCAGAAATGCTGGCCCGTTTACCAGTCAACGGTTGTTACCGCCGGCAGATGCCATCAGCAGTTCAAACTTGATGCCAGCGTCCTTGTCGTAGGTCCGGGGTGCTACCGCATTGTCTGCGTGCATCTCGGAATGGATAAGGCTATGGACGACACCTCAAGGCTATTCTATTCGCTCAATATCGAGGGGGAAAATGGTATCTCCTCTAATGCCAGTTACTTCCCGTCGGAGACTGAGGATTTCAGCACTCGGACCAGCGTTCTGTCACCGCATACCGATGTTTCGACACGGCCTACCACCTACGACCAGCTCATTGATTATCTTGACACGCTCAAGGTAGCCGTCATAGATGGGGACAACCTTCTACTGGGGAAGAATATAGGACTTGGCGCCAGCTTCCACGTCCAGGAGGGCAGGTTTCTTGATCGAAGCATCCATTCCTCATTCGTCGCGGTGAAAACGCCTCGAGAAAGTATCCACAAGCATCCCCATATCTTGAGCTCCATCATCAGGGAAGTCCTAGATGAAATACGAGTTATGTCCCATCTTTCGCTGCACCCGAACGTAGCAACCCTTCTGGGCGTCGTGCTCGAGGAAGCTGGAGGCGAGCGCCTCCTGCCTCGGATTGTCATGGAGCGATCTGTTGGATCGTTGGGAAGTCTTCTTCGGAAATCACAGGGAGGGCTTCCCAGACATCTAAAAACCCGATTTTGTCTGGACGTAGCTGCCGGTCTCGAAGCTCTTCACCTCATCGAGATCGTCCACGCCGACGTCAAGTCAGATAACATCCTCATCTTCTATACGGCAGAAAATTGGTTTGAGAATTGCGTACCCATGTTGACTGCAAAAGTCTCCGATTTTGGATTCTGCGTCCCTGATACGAATGCACGGGATCTCGCTATTGGTGCCAAAGGAACCGTGCGATTTAAGGCACCGGAGACTCTTTATGAGGCGCCTCCGTCCTTGTGCCAGTATGCTAATCTTCCTCAGCGAGACCTCTACTCTTTTGGAGTGCTAGTATGGGAAGTTGTCAATGACGGTCGTCTTCCATTTCCCACTGTCAGCGACGCCAACATTCCGAGCCTTCAGCTCTCCACCGAAGATGGAGCGTCTGATGCCCTTATCAACAGCAGTGTGGTGGAAGTTGAGGGTTTCTTGACAACTATACGGGGTACTGTCCGCAGGAGTCCCAGTACTCGAATGTCATGGCAGGACGTCTTTACGTCGCTTTCGACGGCTTGCGACGCTTCTTGTATTTCCCCAAGTCCCTGCATTTCTATTGTACAGGTATGTTAGTTTACTATCTTTTCATTTCTGCGCTCGTTCATCGCCAGAAAGTACTTCACAGACCCAAGCGAACGGCAAATCGCGGCTCAGTGGACCGAATTCCAACAAGTCGGATGGATACCAAAGGTGCCTTTTCCGTATGCGGTGGGTCCCAGCATTAATGCTGCAGTACCTGACGTTCTTACTCTCTCCCAGACATGGCGAAATGGCGACGACAGCAGCTACTCAAGGTTGGTGCTGCACGAGCTCGAAAAATCAAGCAGCAGGAGACCATGGGATTGGGTCTCCGCTATCCGACTTGCCCTTCATCACTTTCAGGCTGGGAATATCGTTGCTATGAAAGAGTTCTTGCGTATCTTCGAGACAAGCCAGGTCTCTGCACTAGGAGAACAAGGTGAAGCTCTTCTCCATCTAGCTGTGGAAGCGGACGCGGTGGATACCATTCGGGCTCTCCTTCAAAAACAGACCAACGTCGGTACTCCAGATAAATACGGTCGTACACCTTTACACATGGTGAAATCCGTGGCGGCGGCCCAAGTCTTGCTCGATTTTGGAGCGAATGTACATGCTAGGCGTCATGCTACACCAGAGGGCTACATGCCGCTCCATGTCACAGCTTCCGGTGAAGTTGCAGAGTTATTGCTACGTCACGGTGCACGGATAGACGCAAAATGCAACAACTCAGATACCCCTCTCCACACTGCAGCATCTGCCGATGTTGTTCGTGTCCTAGGAAGATACGGTGCAGATCCCCTCTCACGCGATAATCGAGGATGTGTTCCCCTACATCGTGCATTCATAGATGAGGTTGCAATGAGCTTGATGGACCTTTGTCCTGCTGCAGCCAGCTGTATAGACATAGACGGTTACACGCCTCTCCATTGGCAAATTGACAATTGGGCTGGCGAAACGGTCCAACACGCACTTGATTGTGGTGCCGACGTGACTGTCGTCAACAAAAACAGGACGACCGCTCACTTCGGTACTTCCAACTTCGCAAGAGTCAATTATGCAGGGTATCGTGTCCTATTCGATGCTGTCGCCAACATTAGCACACTGATTCCTCATGCGGACGAGCTAAAGTTAGTATCACCCCCGCTACATGAGATCACTGAGCCAAAGTTGATGGATCTCTTCCTTCGCAATGGCTTTGCAAGTTATACCAACTATGGAAGCCCTCCTTATGGGCATACAGCCCTCCACGCAGTAGCTGATCGAGACATGGCTCTGTATAGAGCATTTTCATGGGACTTGACTTCCCCACGGCCCCTCCGTGATCGATATTGGAAACGCCCATTACCACCTCTTTCAAAGGACGCAAACCTCATGAAGTACGCGTCATTGGTTCCCTCCCGCGAGCTCATGGATCTACTGCTGATGTACGGTGGCGATCCCAATGTCCTCAATAAACACAAAGCATCGCCCTTGCACATAGTGGCTCAAAATATTTTTGGGGATAAAGGACATGCCGATAATACTGCCCTTGTTCAGCGTCTAGTGGATGCTGGCGGTGATGTTAATGCAAGGAACATCGATGGCGAGACACCCCTGCACCTTGCTTCGCGTATGGAGACCGTCATCGCTCTTCTGAATGCTGGCGCCAATCCCCGAATTGTTGACAATGAAGGTGTGACGCCTCTTCATCACGTCTACCGTTTGTCTGAATCCTTCAGCATCGCTGTTTCTACGTTGCTCGAGCACGGAGCAGATATTAATGCTTCCGATGATGAAGGATTTACTCCTTTGCATTACGCGTGTCGGACGTACGAGGAGAAGAGTAGAGGGTTAGGGCAGCTTAAAAGGTGGAGAAACGTTCCTTACGACAAGATTTGGCAGTCATCCCTACCGGTGAAGCTCCGGTTGACGTTTGATAACACTGATGAGGTTGTTAAGGCTCTGCTTGACAATGGCGCTGACGTTAATGCTCGGACGAAGGCAGGGGAGACCGCATTGGATATGCTTTCAAGGCAACCGTTTGAATGGGATGCATATAGCCAGTTGGTGGCACGTGGAGCAACCCAAGCTTCTCCCCAAACTGCGCCATGGTGGAATTTTAGGCTTGTGAATGATTCAAGACCATGAGCGTAATTTTTGGCACATTCTGTTAACATTCGAGAAGACGTTTGTATCTGAATATGACGTAGGGTCGATGTTGTCGTACGTACAGAAATGAATTTAGTTCCCGTCGTTGCGGCACTGATATGAACGGGTTAATTTCTTTCTCTGAAGCGCAGTGAGAAGGGACGTACGCAGACTTGGATAGTATGTCCATCACAGGAGCCCGAATTGGGATCACCGCGGCAGGCATAGCTACAAGAAAACTATAAGTGATTGCCAGACTCCAGACACGTAAGACCTACTTGAGCCCGTTGACGTGCAACCCGGTGAACTTGATGGGAGCAGGGCTACAGTCAAAGGAGCCTTCTGTGCACGGGTTGTCGGTGATGACAGTCAGAACCGAATTGCACGAATCGTCATAGACCCGCCCTGAGAATGATCAGCTTAATCGGGGAGAAGCAGCTGGGAAAATGTGTCGCGTACAAGAGCCCGGGGGTCCTCCTCCAAGGTCGGCAATGCCGTAGCTATAGAATTTGCGGTTAGCGGAGGACATGGAGAGAGTAAATCAGCATACTTGAAGCCAGGACAGATGGCTTTGGCCATACCAACAATGGCGGCGAGGATTGCAAGGGTATTGAGAGTGAATTGCATCTCGTTGTAGATGAGTTGCGATGGAGGTATCCTTCAAAAATATTGGGACTTTTATACTGTGCTTGAAACAATTATGACTCCAGGGGGGGCTGCGTCGAGCCACGGTAGAGCGAGATAACATAAGGCAATAAGCACACAAAAGATTGTTCATGGTCATGGACGGGGAAACCATGTGTGATTCCACGGGGGTCCTCACCGTGAAACGACCTCGAGGCGAGGGCAGTACGCAGCCTAGAGTCGAACGCTGATGACAAATTTCGTGGGGTCGGTATTGTAAGGAGGATGAAACACTAGCATTTGTGCGCCTGAAACGATGCAAATGACTTACTGCTACGCCACATTGAGAAGCGACAAAGATGCCCACAGTGTGAGTGTCATTAGAGTATAAATTATTGATATGGCGGGCCAGCTCAGGGCTGGCGCTGTTCAAAAGTCAACGACGTCTCGTGAAACTAAGCAGATCAAATTTGTATGACGCCGTCGGGGAGAAATCCGAGACGGAATTTACACGCACGGACCAGTTTCGCGTCCATAGGGGCTTCGAAAGTCCAAAAGGATTTGCGAATATCAACGTTTCAACACGAATCAATTTCTACTTGAAGCATTCTCCATTCTCCAACCCAACCATGTTCTTCACCGCACTGCATGTCCAAGTGCTACCCTGTTTACACAAATAATATTTGCCGTTTCCGCTCTTGCAATTATGGGCACTTTTGACCCCAGCGCTTGTCGCGGGGTCGCAACCCTTCCTGCAGAAACAGATTTAGGTAAATATAATATCAGCACGCTTTGTACGTAACGTACTTGACCCATGTCTCGTTATCCTTGTCAATCGTTCCGCCATTAGAACAGTGCTTGGTGGGGCCCAGCGCAACTTGATCATCCGCCATGACATTCACGGCGCATGCAGTGAGGAGGACAGACAGAAGGAGGCAAATTTGCATGGTGTCTGTAGAGTCAAGAGAGAACAAGCAGAAGTACGCGGCGAATGCGATGGTGTACAAGGCGAGGCCCCAGTCCTTTTATACTGAGTTCTGTCGAAAAGTTACGTATACGAATTTTAACGAAAACGACAACGTGAGCAGCGATTCGAGAGAGAACGACGAGTACGACAGATAGAATGGTCAGCTGCCAATAATGCCATGTAAGCTCGGACGTCTAGCATAATACCCGCTCCTCTGTAGTATGGATGTCGAGCCTATAGAAGGGCAAGTGCCAGGTATAGGTGGTTGTAGGGAGGTTATATACTTACCTGGAGAAGGGAAGACCACCGACGCTGGCTTCTGAATCGAAAATCGAATTCCGGCGTTTGGAGAGTAGCGAAGGTAAGCAATGCAAAACGAGACGTGACCGTGAAGATAGAGATCTTGGCAGGAAGTAACTACTGAGAAGAGATGTTGGTACGGCATACTAAAGTCACATAGTACGCTATAGCAAGGAACTTCCAGTTAGGAAGCCAGAACAAGTCACAATAAATGTCACCCACTCTTTCTGCGCCTTTCTCTTCTCTAAAGTTGTTGGCATTCACTAGTCTGTCGGTGAGGAGGTCATCGGTGTGTGACTTGATCGCTTTTCAAGAAATTTAGGCTCACTCACTGTTCAGACGAGCTCAGGCACACTCACCTCAAGCGGTTAGACTTTTCCCCAGCCTGGGTTCCAGTCGACAGTGTCTCCATACCTCGACTCAAAATTTGACGTCAGGAGTTTCGCATGAGCTTGCATCTTTGAGGGTCACTACTTCGAATAAGACTGGGCCCGCATTCCAGAAAAACGAGGCCGATGCGCTCCCTGTCTTCATCTCTAGTCGACATATAGAAAGGCAACTGGATCGTTCTCGAAGACAAACCATTCATCCTTACGGAAGAAGAAGATCCAGACAATGCGGACCAAGGGGGGGAGATGCGGCTTTGAGAATGGCGGTAAGGGAGGCGGTTTGAGCCAACGAAGAGAAGAGCAAGGGATCGACCCTGTAACGGGTGCTAGTAATGGCTCTAGGTCGTCCCCAGCGCGACGAATTGCAGCCATAGAGTATTTTAGAAGTGAGCGGTATTTTCATCACGGATCAGGTCCTAGAAAGGATGCGTTTGAGCCCTGCGCCTCTTTGACCCTCGCTGACCCTATCACGGGTCGCTGTGGCCTCCGCGTATTGCAAATTTCGACGATCTGGAGTTCGTGTGATGATTCAAGGTCTATTCCGTGGATCATACACAAGAACATGGGAAAGGTGTGCAGGTGCCATATCTAGACAGAAAGAAGAAATACGTGGGCATTACCTGTTCTTTTTTACACTGACTTTCTAAACTAAAAGCGTACTGACCTTGTTCTCTGCTATCGCCATGTCTCGGTCACAAGTTTCAATCCCTGAAATCGGCATCAACGATTTATAGCTACGGCGGATGACTTCCCAGGCATTCAGAGACAGACGTGATGGTGATACGGCACAGCATCATTCACACGTACATGAAACAAACAAACATGACTGCCAGCTACTTGCACTACATCTCCACTTTACTAGTATCGCTGCTTCTTATTTTGACACTCGTTCGTTTGCTGAAAGCCGGGCTGGATCTCGGTTACGAGGCGAGACAATGGTTGAGAAATTGCTGTGTGAAGACTAATGCTCAATCCCCCAGGGGAGATATTGGATGAGGCTCGCATTCTACACCGTCTTCATTGGCACTGCTACTGCAATCTGTCCAGGGTTCACGTATGTTCTCCTTAGTTTTATCTCGTCCACAGGTGTTGAACGTGCGCTCTTATAGCTTTGGTGTCGCTGACACGAAGGGAGGGCCTCCCGGGTCTTGTACGTCCAACTCTTCTCGTGTGTGCATCTTGATTCTTACCCATAATATAGGGCGTGTTTATGATGATTCATGTAACCCCATCCTGACGGTGTTCGCTGACAATCCATGTGACGTAGGAGTTTTCGGCTGTTCTGGCGCTCCCATCACGTTTGATGCACTGCATCTCAATGGATTAGAGTGCGTCTTTTTGATCCATCGGAATTCTGGACCTTCACGTTGAGTTTGTGCATGATAGTTACACTTGCCAGCGTGACAATAATTCTGACACGTGCGAAGGGTTTGCCAGTATACAAGTCTGTGTGAGTCTCCTGCTGTGATTTTGTGAAAAGAACTTGTTTCTGAACTGGTCGCTGGCAGTGTAAGGGAAACTAAAGTAGTACTTGAATAACAAGTTACAGAATGATGCTGTGGTTCAAGCATCATATGTTGTCGGCAAGCATTATGTTTCTGGAATGAAGCGCGGTCGTCGGTCGTCGATATGCCGATCGCGAGGAGTGAGTTTGTATTTCCCCAGAGGCCTCAAGAGCGGGTCACTGCCCATCTCCGTTCCTGTTCTCTGGTATGCTGGACATGGACAGAACATGCGCAGAAGAAGAGTTTCCGCGAATAGCAATGATAAATTTGTTTCTAGATTTCCAACTCTAAACTCTGAAAGCGGTGGGGACGACCTGTATCCTGCGTAATCGAATATTTATGAGCATTACATCTGCGGATAATAATACTCGTCAATCATAAAATTCAGGATGTTCTTGCGAAGATGCGAAAATCAGCTTCTAGCTGGTCAAGAATGCTGCACGAATTTAACCCCGTCCACATCGCTCGGCCCGACGTAACCGCTTTACCTCGAACTACTATACTGTACGTGAGTATAGGGCAGAAACCGTAACGCGTAACTTCAGGTCCGTTTCCGACTTCCTTTCCTCTCTGACCGTTTTGCTTACCTGGAGGTTTCTTTCCTACAGTCACGTACAGTTTGGCATCTCTCTTCCCTGTTCCCTCTACAATGCCGTCGGTCAAGGAAAGGGGAATATCGTTACCAACCTTTGTGAACGGCCCCAAGCCGGCATCCTGGAACTTCAAAGCACTGTGTATCATCGTTGTCTCCTGCAGGCTACTTACTCACCTGGACCCTCTTTCGTTTCTCGACGCTGGTACAGACTCCTCTTGCGGAGCCATTCTTCGCCAATATCACGTATTCCGAGGCACATTGGACTGAAGGGTGATACAGACTCGGAGAAAATGCCGAAGAGGTCATTTTCCTAGTGCATTTGTTCCTTCGCTCCTCTGCAGGTACTCAAAGTGGTGTAGGTATTTCCGTGCTGAGCATAATGCTGACAATGCGTCTGTTATGCCCGTCTTCTTCTGCGACGACTGCTGTTAGAGATTTTCAGACAGTGCACGGTAGCCTGACTATTGGAGGCGGCTGGATTGATCAACCCTGTATTCGGCCAATCGCCTCGCACGATGACAAAAGACGGACTAGGGCGCGATCCCGGGCAGAGCCGGTGGAGCGAACATTACAACCTCGTTGCGCTTGACTATGTACGTTGCTCTTATCAGGCCTTCTAGTCCACTAAGCTTTACTTCAGCCAGTCGGTAGGGTTATTTTTATGGAACAAAAATCAATAACAGTCGTGATGCAGCCTAGGCGTGTACGATTTTTTACACAGGTTCTTCTTCATCTTTTCCCAGCACTCAAGAAGCAGGTTCTGTGTTTGGGGATTCATATGGTGGCATATACGTTCCACATATAGCTACAGCTTCCACAAGCAGAACCAGCGACACTGGATCATCGACTATAAGGTGACTATGACCTAGACTCTTCCTGAAACTCCTGCGTCTACCACGCGGCCTCGTTTCCGGAAGCTTATTCGTGTTCCAAGGACACCGTGGTTCCGGTACGTCTATCCTTAGTCATGCAGGAGCTATCATGGCTTGATTTCCTAGGTTTTCGAACGAGGATCCGCGAGAAGTAATTTCAGCATGCATCCACGAAGTAGGTGGACGCAGGAAATTACAGTCCTCGACAAGTACTTTGAGCGAACAAATATTCTGGACACCTGTTATTGCCCGAATTTTCGGATCTTCCGTGCTAGACCCACCGATATGTTCGAATCTGCTCTCAAGTCCTCATCGCGATTTGTTTTTCTTCACCTTCTTCGTATTTCAGGATCGTGATGTCTCGGATCGGCGTTGGCTAGGACTAACTTTCTTCAGTGTCCCGGGCCAAGTGAGATTCCTGAGGCGAAGCAAAATTTGCAAGTCTTGCTGCGAGAACGTTCTGGTTTAGGTGATTCCGTGTATCCATCTAGGCGTCGCTGCCGCAATTCTTTCGTTATAGGAAACGTTCTCTTGCGTTGGTGAAGTGAAGAGATGAACGAGTGATGTCGCCTTGGACTGTAACTGCGGCATCTTAGCGAAGCAAGATGCTCTCGAAGGCACATATGGGGATCATGACTACCATGAGTCCTGTTCTGTGTAGGTCGTAATGGAGATCTTCAACCGCTAGTGATCCTGACTCAGCAAACGACACGTCTGAAGATGACCTAGATCTCTATTGGGGACGGATTTATTTTCTTTCCAACGGACTAACTCACGACTGTCGGTGATCTTCCGACGTTCGGAGAGTCAAGCCTTCATTTCATCGCCAATGATGGACTTTTGTATGCGTGCGCGCTATATTTCATGACTGGAGGCAAGCGATGAAAAAAAGTCTTGTACTTGCATGAACCCAACTGTGAGCAATAGGCTGTATTAGTAAATGACAACTGAGTCGAAGTTGTATAAAGAACAGGATCTACTCACGCTCAGACCGCTTCCGCGTCATATCTGCCGGCAGACTTCCCAAATCCCACTTGCTGCGGCACATTTTATGTAAATTCGCTCTCCCTCTTTCCGACTATCATGATGACGCCCTCCTCCTTGGACCGTTTTGAACCGCCATGCCTTTTGACGAGTACTGGCCTGACTCAATCGGGGCATCGATGGACCCTTGACAACCCTGCCCTGATGGCAATACCACAGCTGTATCGCCTTCCTTGAACTATGGACATCCTATCCACCACCCGCGAAATCATCGACCAAGTCAACCTCATCATCGAAAAATGCATCGAATACCGAGAGGCTGACAGTGTCATCAAGGCAACCAGGATGCGCCTAGACGGTGTGCAGGTTCGGGTAGAGCTCTTCCAGGAGTTTTTGAAGCTGTCTGAATCGACACTTCTTCTACGAAGGAAGCAGATTCTTCAGCACTCACTCGGAAATGTGTCGGATTTGTTGCATGAGTTGATGAGCAGGCTGCCCCCTTCACCCAAGGTGTCCACCAAGCTTGCTTGGGTCGGCTGGGGCAAGCGGCGTGTCGAGGGTCTATTGGAGGAACTGAAGACGTGGGATGGCGAGGTGCAGGGAATCATATTCGCTCTGGATGTTGTCTCCAAGATCAGAGACGACGACAAGCTCTACAAGCGGCTCTTCGACACCGGAGAGCGGACCCTGACAACAGCATGGACGCTTAGCAAGCGAATCTTCTCATCGGACAAAAGTATACTTTCCCTTGCTTACCCGCTATCATCGATCTTCATTCAAGGAGCCTTCTCCTTCTCCGACCCCCGCTTCATCGCCATCTTCAATTCTCGTCCGGCCTATGTCGAATCCCACTACATCGAACACGACGGCAAGGAGGAAGTCCAGAAAAGATCTCTTGCACAAATGGCCGCTGTGTTCCACTCCCCCGAAATAACTTTGATGCACCTGCTTTCATGTGTGGGTCTCGCAGAGGACTACGACTTTGACCGATGTTTCCTCGTCTACGAGCTCCCACCGACCTTCACCATGCACCCCTACAATCCCACCCTTGCCTACATCCTCGATAATCAGACCCGCATATCCCTCGACGACCGGTTCCGCATCGCCGTCGAGCTCGCCACCGCCGTTTTCGAGATCCACGCCGCCGGATGGGTGCATAAGTGCATCAGGAGTGACAACATTCTCATCGATGTCGACGATCAACAAGGGCCCAAGGTGGACGCCAAGGTCGGGGCTGCGTATCTCGTCGGGTTCGAAGCTGCTCGACCACAGATTGCTGGCTCTGATCGATGTCCGGAGATGGATCCGATTAAGAGAAAGTATCATCATCCTGAGAGACAGGGTGGCAGGGATACGCTGGTACAAAAGTTTGACATCCGACATGATATGTATAGTCTCGGAGCCGTACTCATAGAGCTGGGATACCGCAAGACGCTACGGAATATCTTTGGGCCATCCTCATCTGAAGGTGGGGGAGATATTCAGAAGGACCATGAGCGCCTGGTGGGGTATGCAAAGCGGCTGGGAGATAAGATGAGCGTCAAGTATGCGACTGCCGTCTTGACGTGTTTGGTAAATGGTACCAAGCCTGGAAAGACTACAGACAATTTGCGTGAAGAGTTCTATGATGGAGTTTTGAGGCCATTGAAGGAGATACAGGACGGATTTAGGGTATGTCGGTCTTTCGTCCTTCGGCTTCAGGTCCTTTAACAACTTTTGTAGGGTCGACCAGATATAGCTGTCTGATATTGATGTGGATTATTTTATCTGGAATAGACGATCTTGCAAATGGTCTTAGCGGTGCGAAGATAAGCACCGGGCCTGTTTCTACAGTGTCCCTGCCAGTGTTTCGATGTTCCCAGGTCACCGGCAATTCTCACGACCGGCCGCGGCTTTGATTGACATTTGCAATACTTCTCAAAGATATGTAAGAAGTCGCCTATCATTCCCGCCTCCCCACCATGTCATCTGTCCCCAACAAACATCTACACGACGAACTCGCTGCTAACACCGCCAGGGTTACAGCAACAACCAAGTTTGGAAGCGTCACTGGCGGAAGAGCAAGCAATGGAGCTGCTGTATGGCTAGGTATGTTCAAATCTATCGAAAGCTACCGCTAAGCAGCTCCTCTATAGAAGTGCCTTTCGCCTTGCTTCCTACCCGGTTTGCCGATCCGGTCCCCTTACCCGACGGATGGAAATACGAGGAAGGAAAGGAATACTTGACGGAGTCGAAATGTGAAGCGCACGCCCGTTCCTCGTCTAATGAGACTGACTTGGTCGAGTAGTTGCTGCGCAACCCATAAACAACGGACAGCGAGGAGGTAAGTGTCAGCACTGATGACCATATACTGATGATTGAATGACGCAGATACTCCGCAGGAGGACGTAGTGGGCTTCGGGAATCCCACGGAAGACCCGTACGTATCTACAACACTGAGTGTTTTATCTTTCTTACTATTTTCAAGTCTCTTCGTGACCATCGTAGCACCTCCCTCTTTTCCTGCAAAACGCGGCTTCCCAGTCAAAATTTATGTCCACGGAGGGTGCGTCTGGCTTCATCCGCCGAGGTCTTCTCCTTCTCACGATCCTCAGATTTCTACAATTTGGCTCCCCACATGGCTTGAAAAATCAAAACCAGTTCATCTCTGCTGAACGCTCCGAGGTCTGGGTCAACATGGGTTATCGAGTTTCTGCGTTTGGATTCCTAGCGTGTGAAGCTCCTGGTATTGACCTGAAGGGGAATTATGGCTTCAAAGACCAGTGGCTAGCGATCCAGTGGGTCAAAGACAATATCGAGGCGTTTGGAGGTAAAGTTGCATTCGTACGCATTTGTGTATTAAAGCTCAATGAATGAATATCAGGTGACCCAAACGACATTCAGATTTCAGGTCTTTCTGCGGGAGCACATTCTGTGCATCAAATCCTTCATTATGCTTCCCATCTTCCCAAAGGAGTCGATGCGCCGTTCCATTCCGCTATCATTCAGTCCAACGGCATCATGTATGGGCTCGTCTTCTGCATAACTTCTGAACGATTGACATCATGAATATAGTACTACCCCCAAGACCCCAGCTCAATTACGGCCCCAATTTGACGCGCTGTGTCGTGCATTAGGTCTCGACCCTAAAGACCCCGACATCTTGACAACCCTCCGTGACCCATCCAAGGTCTCCACTGAGCAGATATGCCATGTCATCGAAACAGACACTGTCGGCGTGGAATTTGGCACATTCCGTGGATGTGTCGATAATGACTGGATGCTCTCGACGCCTGACACGATGGAATGGCAGCGTTCCGGCGGATTTGCCGCCGCGTTGAAGGAGAAGGGTGTCAAATGTGTCGTTGTTGGAGAAACGAGCGAGGAGTGGTATCTCTACTCGATCGCACATCCTGTGAAGACTTTGGTTGACGTCCAGAAGAATCTCGAGCGATATTACGACACCAAGATGGTGGAAGATATGTTGCGCATGTATCCTCCTCCCCGGAAGGAGCAGGAGGTACAGAAGTATTATGGAGAAATCTTCAGTGACTGGCAGGTTTATTTGCCTGTGAGGATTCTGGCGAGAGATTTGCTGAACTCTGGGTATCCTGTGCTGAGGTACCAAGTACTGTGGGTACCAGAGCAGTGCAAGAATAAGGGTGTGTCTTGCTGCGATCATTCGTCCGCATCGCTAATCTCTTTCTCACAGGTTATGTCACGCATGGTGTTGACAGGGTATATTGGGCGTTTCGCCTACCGATGCTGTACGGAGAAGAGGATGTTATGATCGCTCGGAAATGGCTAGATACCATATTTGGAGAGATCAATACGCTGCAGCAGGAAGGGAAGAGTACACACGGACCCAGGGAAGTGTTGGCTCTGAAAGACGATAAGACGATAGGATGGATTGAGGACGCAGTCTGGGAAGAGAAGATGCGACTGCGGGAAATTTTGTCTGAAAGTTCGTAACGACCATCACTATCCATCACAGCTGTACACCAGAATGTTGTTTTAATCACTTGCTTTCGACGCCGGTGGATAAGGAAACCTGTGGGCCGAGTTTCAGAATGGGAAGGCTGAAGGCTCGATTCCTTCTCAGCCACTCAACTCTGCCCACGCAAGTGCCCAGGGCAAGACACATACAACGAGCCCGACATCCGTCGGAAAAGGGTGATGAAGCCCCTCGATACCCTATACTTTGATATATCTGGACGGCTAACTCTCACCCTGACCGAGAGATACAAGAGGCGCCCTAGATCAGGGTGTCAAGAATATATTTTCGCCAACGGAATCGTGCCTGCAACATGCATACAGTCACCTTCATGCGGCGTCTTCCTCGGTCTCCTGCACCAAAGTCTTCGACATCCATTCCGCTCTATCAAACGTCTTTTCGACAGCATCATGAATTTTGAGATGCTTGCTTGACACAGCACAGGTATTGGCATCTTGCCCGGAATCCAAGGGTGGCTCGCCGTTCTGATTCGAGGAAAGACCGTCGTTACCGAGAAAATCACTGGTATCCCCATCATCAAGCTCAGTGAAGATACGTATTGGTATGTGCCCTACGCGCTCTCCGTCTCTGAATTTGTGCTTGACATCTCGGACTGCGTCAAGATGTCGTTTACTCGGGATGAGAGAAGTTGGTGGATGGTCCGCTAGTCTCCATAACTGAAGGTGCTCCAAACGTTGCGAGAACTTTTGCTTTGCCTGAGATGTTCACGTAAGGTATCGAAAATGTAGTGGCGGATATTGCATAAGAAAGCAAGGAGGCATAGGAAAACTAGGGCATCAACCGGCTGATACATTCGGGTATGCCGGTGAATATAATAATGAGGATGAGTTTCACTTTCCTATAGTCGAGACTAAATACTAGATAGCATACCCATATACGTGACAGCTCCGGACGAGACCGTAATACCGAACACGGCTGCTTGAATGTCGAGAATATAAAGCAGAGCCTGAGCTGTTGATAGATCGATGACGAGCTGGTTCTTGTTTGAGTTCCTCCATTTCTACCGCGAGGGCAAGAACCGACTGATACACTGTGGCCGTTCTCCTCCCATAGCGCGCAAATGTTCTCCGGTTCCGACTGGTGAGCCCGACGGGTGAGCCTTCGAAGAACAGAGTAGGGCAACCACTGTATCAGCTTGTGTGTAAGGCGGGGGATGTTGATTCTGCTCAAGATCCGGAGAATGGTGTTGGACGACGTATAATTAACATCTCATCCTGTAGGACATGTTAAAGGCTGCTGCAAGGGAAAATGCTTGTGAAGTACCTCGGCTGAAGGCTCTTCCGGTCGGGGGTCGTCGCGAAAGTTCTGGATCATCAGTTGCCGAGCCTTTTTATCTTAGCATACGCATTGTCCAGGACAAGCCACTTTGCCTCTACATAGTCAACATCCATACCTTCAAGGATGAGGCTGTTGAACCATGCTTTCGTCCAGAAGACCTTGTGAAAGAAAGCGCCAGCGTAAGATGGGGTGTTTGATGTGTGCTCTGGCAAGCTAGAGGGAATATTACAAACAGTCGCACAGTTCGACATTGACCTATCCTTTGCCAGCACCTAGGCAATGGCGTGTCGGTAACTTGGTTGTATACATCCAATACAAAGCTTGATATATGCGCTTCCCACGCAAAGGCGGTCTTAGTGAAGGAAATATTTGCGGCCATCATCCATTCGTAGAAACATTTGCTCCCGATGAACCTGCAAGTGCATTGTCAGAGGAGGAGATAAATCTTTTGATATATCCTACTCACTGGGATGCACACCAGGAAGATGAACATTTTCGACAAAACTTGAATTTGAGCACAATTGTTACGTTTTGGGAGCATCGTTTGGAGATCAACGAATTTTGGGGGAATCTAAATCCCATGCCAGAGATACATTTCGGGAGCACACAGATTTTATGTAAAATCTGTGCCGAGATCTACCTCTGAAAATGTCATCTTGTTGCACAGATTCTGGTTGATCTCAAATTCTCATCTTTCCGGCATGATGGAGACAAGAATTCTCGAGCAGAAGGTCCATGCTGAAGGGAATAGTCGCAGACATTGAAAGGTGGTAGTTGGGTGGTTGATGGGAGCAGTCAACGTTCCCACGGTTGGTGCTGGTTCATGCTATTGGGCTGACAAAATCTCCATACTCAGATATTTATTTGGTAAACTTTTTCGGACTTGGACCCAGGTACTGTCCTTAATTCAGGGCAAGGATCTCGAATACAAAAAAAAAACCACTCATAATCAGCAAAGGAATGATCTTGAATCTCGAATTTCCTTTCCCCTCTTCCGCGTTCCCAACAATAGTAGCATCATCGCCAACATTCTCCTCCTAGCTTTTCATCACAGTATTGACTTTCTAAGACCCGGTTTTCCAGCCTTGACCGTCCTCTTTCCAGCGTCCTCGGCAACCACGGGACCAGGAGAATTATCCCAACAAAAATTACGGGGATCTCCAACAGGCGTCGGTCGGGTAGTGCTTTTCAGCAGTTGCACAGCACATACTTGGGTGGTGATTCTCTGCCGTCTGCTGTCACGGTACCGGTGCAAGCGCAGCACATTGATGGCGATTTGACGCCCTCCCGTGCCTCATGTTATGAGGAACGTTTGTATTATCCCATGCCAAGCAATGAGAGGCGGCGAAGTAGTTGCTATACCGTTTCCCGGGGAACCGATCATGATTTACAACAGTCAGAACCAAGAAGTTACGAAGCCGAGAACACTGGTACTTAGTACTCAAGGTGTCAGCTTGACTATCTATATAGGCTTCGAAATGTCAGCTGAACCGAACGAACCTTATATCCTGATTGAAATTCGGAAGCGCCCAAAACCTCTTGCAAATCCTAAACATAGGTTCGTAACCTCGAGGCCACTGCCTACGCGTCATTGATCCGCTTGATGATAGTTATATTGAATGTAAAAAAAAAAAGGCAAAGTACAGTAGAATAGATATACATACAATTGAAAAGACAAAATAAGATGCAATGTGTATACTACATGTCCCTGAGATGATGAAGATACGGACTAACGGGAAACAAACCTTTCAATAAAAATACACACCATTTCATTGTGTTAACATACATTCCGTCCGCCATTCAGATAGCCTGGCCAATCATGACACCCGAGGCCTCCGTCCATTGATTCCACATGACCTCTCGTGTCCGTTCGTTCGACATCAGCGTCGCGAAACGGACGACCTCCCATGCATCGTAGAAGTTGCTCGCCAGTCCAAAGCTTATCCTTACGACTCCAAGCTCCCGCCCAACGAGATGCTCAAAATCCTTCAGAGTTACTCCGCTGTATAGCTGTTTCATATCGTCTTGGATTTCGAGGATAGCGGCCGCCCCGCCCGGATTACACATACACCCAGTACGAAGAGATATATTGTGCTGAGAAGCAGCATGTTCGATGAATGAGTTGGGAAGCATATCACCCGACGGCTATGGAGGCTAATGGGTCAAGGGATCAAACTGGTGGACTAGCGTGAAACTCACAGATAAGAAAATCAAAGAAATAATTGAGCCAGTGTCCGCTTGCTCGCCTACTGAGCGAAGCCGTTTTGAAGGTGTCCGTGAAAGAATACGGACAACGGGTGTCCCAATTGTGTCGTGACGCAGTCGTGTAAGTGAGGAAACAACATAGTGTAGGAGCGTGGTAAGTCGTAGAGGAAGAAAAGGAAGGCAAGCTGAAAGAAATCGTAGGCCATCTGTTATCGCAGGTAATGTTAGATAGTTAATGGTTCCATCCTGAAATTGGAGATCTTTAGTCGTCATAAATGGTGAACAACGGTGACCGCACGAACCTCAAATTGTTCATGAAGGCTATGCGATCTGGTGACAATACTTCCAGGCACCTGAACGACGTCGACGGTTCCACCAGCAAACCAAGGGCGTTTCAGCTGTGCCAGGAACGACTTTTTGACAACAAGAGCTCCGACACCTGTTGGGAAGCCAAACATTTTGTAAAAGGAAATTGCCATCGCGTCAACGGGCGTGTCCTTGAGGGACACCAGCGATGTCGGCGCCAGAGCGGCGGCGTCAAGGATCGTATTATATCCTAATGAGGATGCATATTCAATAAGAGAAAGGGAGGTTTTAGAATTTGTAATGTTTGATTGTCCGGTTAGTGCGAATAAACACGGCAAAAGATCTTTAAATCGAGGGCGATTACGGAGGAGGGTGTTCTGTGGGATTTAGCGTCAGATATAAGATGTAAAATAGCGTATACACCGAGATTCTACCTTTGCTAGAACCGGATCTATACCACCATGAGGTGGAGAAGGGATGTAGCAAACCCTAGAGCCGCGTACAGTTGCAAATTCCCGGATGCCATGAACACTATTATGGGAATCTGCCGAAAGAACGTAGGTACTGCCTCCAGAAAATGGGAACGACTCCCCCACGAGTTTGAGGGCACCGGTAGCATTGGTTGTAAAGACAACGGTGTACTCGGGAGGCGCTTGAAAGAATGAAAGCACCGCTGCTCTGGCTTCGTCTGCACATTTTAGGGATAGCTTGGAGCTGTAAATAATAAATTGGACAACGTAAGGGACAATCTAGGGCAGAGACGGACCTATTGCTGACTGAATGGGTATTTCCGAGGACACTGCGATGCAAAAAATCGGTATGGACGCGTATGAGGCTCTCAGGATAGAGGGCGCCGCCCATGTAGTCAACAAATGTCTCTCCGGACGTCTCGAGACGCGTGAAGTCGGTACGACGGAGGGTATCGAGTATCCAGGTGAGCCGATACTCTGCTGACAAATGGGGAATATGAAACAAAAGCAAAAGGGGTGGACGTACCCGGAAATTCTCGTAGAAAGTCATTGTACGCCATGGCAGCATCATCGGATATAATCTCTTTCGGAGAAAGATAAGAGAGACGCCTATATGCATAGGTGCCGTCAGCTGGCCGTCGCTTGTTTTCATTGTCGCGATATTGGGATTTCTCGTTTACGAGGAGGAATTCTGAGGTTCCCTTGGAAGGCATGGAGGCAAGGGTGGAAGAACTTGCTGTCGCGCAGACGAGCTGGGAGAATACGGTAGACTGTTTCCGGCGTACCGAACGGGGGATAGGCTGAGACTGGGAATGGCCCATGCTAGTTGTCACTAGTTGTCAGAGCCGGTGGTGGTTGGAGAAAAGGGAGGAAGGCACTTTATATGCAGGTTCGGCGGTATCCGACGGTATACGGCTGGATCTGATACATCTGGTAGATGGCAGTGAGCGTTCCGCCAACGTTAAGTAACGGGAATTTGTAGGAAACAAGAAAGAAAAGAGAAGGCAGCTCAGCGAAGTGATCGCCCTGTCAAACAAGATGAAACAAGCACCCAACGCCGTTCGACGCGTCCGCCGCCAGATATCGCTGCAATATCTTCAGTCTGTTTGGATCAAAGCCCCTCGAGGCACCAACTGTTCTTCCCTGCATTCCATTTAATCTATTGCCGGTCAGCCTGGTCTCGAACGAACGTGAGCTAGCGCGTTCATTATGCTCGATCAGACCTGTCGGAGCCGTGTCACGGACGTACGGATATCAACTGCCATTTTCAGCGCGTCCACGTTGTGATGGACAATCCCTTCCCCTTCCCCTTTCCCTTCCCCTAGGAAAAAACAGACAAGAAGCACCGATACTCCGATAGATCCTGTCGCCCTGCCTTCTTCCTTGCGCAGACCGAGGACGCGAGAACCCTCCTCTTTTAGCATCCAGCCGCTCCCGAGGCCAGAGTCTGCATTGACAGCCGAAACGCAGGCACGAATAGCCCAATCCGCACTATGTGAGGACTGAGATAGTCAGTCTATGTGTGGTCGGTCCATCAAGACAATTCGAATGTGGTCAAACTTGATAAGTGAGATATGTGTCATCATCAAAACAAACAGTATCCTCGAGTAGCCCTGAGATGTCCAGAGCCAAGCACGAGACCATTCCGGCTAAAAGCATACTGGGAGTCGAAACCACAAGGGGCTAGAATTTTTGATAGCACAGTCAATACCAGCTATACCATTACTTTCTCCGATGGTCCAGGTTTCTGGCCAGTAACGGACTCTTCTGTTACAAACCAAGATACAACACTGCAATTAGACTTTTCCCCGATGTACAACTTCTGAGCAACAAGATACAGTTTTGGCATCTATTGAAACTTGAATGAACCGGCACTTTCAAGATGAACCTATTCAGAGGACAGGCCCGGCGAGCTGTAGCACCTACCTACCGAGTCACGGATATAGCCTCAATGGCTCTCTGAGCTTATCCGATGATCACCGTAATTCATTTGGTCCCAACGAGCCCAAGGCATAAAAGGCTAGTTTCAGAGCATATCCCCGTACAAGACCTCTAGCGCCCAAGAAGCGCAATCGTTGTTGGTGAACAAAAAACTGCGCTATCCATAGGCATTAACGGGGAAAGATACGAAGCCAGGTAGTTAAAGCCGGTGTATGGGGAGAATTAGGCTCGGCGTTTGCCACAGTTCTGCCTTCAAGGCCGTTACAGCGGGGCCCTAACACGAACAAAGCATTCCGGTTCGACGGTCCGACCAAAATGACTCCAATACAAAGTCACCAATTGAGTGCAATCTTGAGCGAGCACCACAGCCTTTAAAGCACGTCAGCACTCATTCATTTATCCACCAGAAACTTTGGATGCATCTATCCTTTCCTTGCCGCCTTTCATTCAAGTCCAGGGTGTGATAAACATCCGGATGGTTGGAGGATACAAAACCGCGATGCCTTCGACCATAGTTGAACCTGGAATTGTATTCAGATCCGGAGAACTATCAGGCGTAACGGAGAATGGTAGAGAAAAAAAACTTCATCTCACATGGCATCGGCCGCATCTTCGATTTTCACTCCGATACTGAGGTATCGTCCTACAATACTGCTACTCTTGAATCGAGGGAGTCACAACTGTCCGTGCAGTAATAAGTGAGCCGAATGTCTTTGATCCTGCGAGCCTTACTCTGCGGTGAGCCTCCGGCTTCGTATTTTGGCCGTTCAATGCCACAGATTCGGACCGAAAGACCACAAGCCTTCGACAAGGATGAAATTCAAGTGCGTTTACAGCGGCTGGCTTATAGATTTGTCTTTTCAATTCGTGCAGACATTTTTAGAAGTATACGAAGAGATCTTGACCTTTGCCGGTCTGGCCTTTAATGCGATCTTGCGACATTTATTCGACAACCCGGAGGAACCGGTTCTGGTGCATTGTACAGGTTCGGGATGTCTGCGGTTATCGCTTAGTGATGCATCTGACCAGGGAACGTGTAACTGGGAAAGATTGAACGGGGCTGGTATGTGCGGTGCTTTTGATGGTCAGTACATACTTAGTCTAGTTCTCAGCTTGTGGTTACTGACCGTATGGTTCGTATGTGTTACGGCAGATACTTGGAGTTGATGATCAAGATATCGTAAACTATTATGCTCTCGCGACGCATGGTCTCGAGCCTGCTATTCCGTTGTTTACCGCGCGACTTCAGAAGAACCCCAACCTTCTGTAGCAATTTTGAAGGCGCGGTCAAAACGTGTAATTCGAAGTCCATATATTTGCGTTTCGATCTCTTGATTATTTCTGCCTATAGGCCAGAGACAATGGCATGGTCGCAATGCTACAGATGATACGGGAGAAGTTTGGTGGTGCGGAAGGATATGTCAAGAAATATAACAGTATAGATGACGAGGATATTGAGATGTTGCGTAGAAGACTTCTTGTCGCTGTGTAATGTATTTGAGAGAGCTGTCGTTTAACTGTAAATTTAAAATTTGGGGGTCCTTGCCTAAAAAAAAGTCACCTAATAGGCGTGAGAAAGTCGGGATTGACGGCGCCTTACGAGACTCTTTCGACGACCACCATCACTCGTCTTTCTGTCTTTCCGTCTCTTCCAGATCTTGGTGCCGAGTGCTTATCTTCCGTTCCGTTTCATTTTTCTGTAATAAATCTCTATTGGATCGCTCAAGCCCCTTGGCGGATTCTGAATGGTCCTTATCCATGGTCCGACCCGGAAAAATGTTGCCGTGGGCTTGATCTATAAGGTGCCGATGGTGCGTATCATACATTTTTATTCGTGTATGTTTTGCTGATTCTGTTGAAATAAGGCCAAACGTTTTGGAAACAAACAGTATTCCGGTGAGCTGCCGACACGTCCAGCAGCGAGCAAGCCATGAACCTCACCAGCGAACTGTAATTCCGTTGATAGCGCTGCAAGTCACTGTGCACTAGTCTCACTTGTCTGAGGCGTCGTCTCCTCCTTTCGACTTGGCATCACCTCGTCCCATGTCTCATTCTCCTCATTTATAACCCCACGCCCAAGACAAGGAATGTCGTGCAACTCTGTTCCACCATGGCTACTTCCAGCTCATCCTCGGAGGAAGACAGGCCTGAGATTTTCCGTGTTTCTTCGTTTTCTCCGACACCTGGGAAGGAAGAAGGATGTTTACCATCGCCCACGGTAGAGCGGCCTGGCACACCCCTCTTCCCCGCTGACGCGGGACTACAGGGATGGAGGTCCTTAAGCCACTCCACAGTTACTAGGTTATCTCCGCTTTCGAGTCCTGGAGGCTCCACGGAGTCCTATGTATCCGCAGAAGGGATGGCCGAAATTTCACGTTTATTTTCAGGTTCACCTAAGCGGTCCATGTCCACGAGAAGCTCCACCTCATCGCCGTTGAACCCCGCGAATATGCAATCTGTTGCTCAACAGTCTGCATTATCGCTCTCGGAATCCAATGAGATACCACCAGAGGATATTAGAGCTATATGCCACCTGCCCAACACGTTACTTCGAGACTCCACGATCGCGTATAGGTTCGCAGGTGATGCGCCTCTCACCCGCCGATTTCCCCGCCATCGGGACTCTGTGTTGTCCTTGTATGGTGTTCCCGTCCTGGCTTCCGATTCAAGATACCCTTTTGCAGCAGCAGGCGTACGCGACTGTGGGCTCGTGGCATATACCTTTGACCCTTTGGCGGCTGATCTAGTAGTTGATGACGACGACGAATCGCTCAGAGGTGCAAAGACTGACGGTCTGACTCCATGCGGCGTCGTCAACGTCGCGATGCTCGCCCTCACGATGATTGCCCTCATATCGCTATTTGTGGTTTATCCTGTGGTGTCGTTCTTTAAGGATAGTCATAGAAACCGGCTCGTAGTGGACAATCCCTTTATTAACTCAACGGGTCAGGCGGAAGACACCATTCCAACGAGTCGGCTCGGTGCGAGGAGCAAGATCCTATTCTTGCAAGTATTTCTTTTTCTATATAGGCGTTTAGCGGTTTTATCATTTGACTAATAGCTTCGTTTCGAGTAAGGATGTTACGCTTGGCTGGGATACAGTTAACAAACCTGGAGAGTACAGTCTCACCTTCAAAGCCGAGTTCGATGAGGACAATCGTCCACTTGTTAACGGTCTGTCTTTTATATTTGCTCCGGCATTCGCTTCCTGACATGCCGTCCAGGCAATGATCCTGTACGGTTCACAACGGTCTTTTCAAAATCATTTATCGCGAGGATTTTCAAAAATCTATTGGTCTTCGATGGGTCAGCGGGCGCAGTCCATCTTCACAGACCCGTCTGCATCAAGACAGGCGGATATGTGGAGATTTCGTACAGATCTGTGGGCGACCGTGAAATCAAGAGGTTTGCTGTAAGTTCCCTCTTACTGATTTTGAGTACTGTTGTAAATACACCTATTAGTGGTATACCGAACTTGAGGCTGCTTCATGGCTGGATTTGACTATCAAACCAGGTGAGTCGGATTAATACTAGTGTGACGGGACCGCAGTTAACGTCGTATCACAGGAGGAGGTGACAGTAGGAGTAAAGAACAAGCGGTTTGGATCGACTATGTGAAGTTTTATGAACGCTCCGGTACTTCATTCTCCGGTCCTTGTCTTGAAACGTCACCCACGTACAACGTGGTATTTTCTCCCTAGGTTTTTCGTAGGTCATAAATAGCGCCCATCAGTTATTCTGACGAATTCATTGTGACGGTGACTAGACAATCTGTTGTAACTTATATCTTTGTACTTATACCCACATTATCTTTTTGTAGTTTGGGTGTACTGTTACTTGTCGCACACTACTTGCATGTACGTTTATAATGCGACGAAAAAGTGGCGTCCTATTGGAGTCACAATGAGAGGGAAAGCACCCGAGTCGATCGACATTCTAAAAAAGATACCGGCATCAACTAATCATCAACTTTGTATATTATTGCGTCGGCGCCCGGCCGACCTTTTCTTGGAAAATGCCCAAAAATCTTGGCAAGTCAGGACAGGACAGGACGAGGAACAAGGGCAGAATTTCATTTAGGTGATTTGTGTGCCTGCGACCTATCCCCATGGAATGATTCGCAGAAGAGGAACGTACTTGTCGATCGGCAAGAACAGTAAGTATCCACGCCAGGTCTTCGCGGTGAGTCCAACATCCAAAACGGAAATATCAGACTTCAATTGATCGTAGTCACCGGCCATGGTTGTTGTTGAATACCGGGGATCCCATGCTGGCGGCCCTGGCGGATCACCTTGGGCGCGTCCGAGCGATAGGGGGAGGTGAACGGACTAGTATTTATGCCTACACCAGGGTTCAGGTTTGGTCAATGTTGCGTCTACTTGCGATTCTTGCTTTTCTCACTTATGCTCTCGCACACCAGCCCTCGGTGTATCTGGATGCGTTCCAAGGCTTTTTAGAAGGGTGAGTTGTTTCGGCAGAGTTGATCTTCGTTCAGTGGAGTTGACATATGGATTAGATTTATTAATTATAATGATATCTTAATATCTGAGAGTAGTCCTGCTCTCGCTGACGACTGTGTAGGAAGGGTTGATTTTACAACGAGTGGGTTGATTTTTTCCCTTCTGTCTCGTCGAAGCGGTTATTGAATGCGGATACAGCGTTCCAAGGTGGCATGTTGAATACAGGTTCGTAGCTTCAGTCTCCACCCCGGCCCTTACAAATCGGTTTTGCCACCAGAGTACCTGTATGGGATATTCAGCAATGTCGCCTCGCTTAACACCACCCAGCTGATTGGTCTACCTTCGGGGGCTTCTATCCAGTCCCTCGCCATTGAAGGACCCGTCGTCTCTGCAAGCGTGATTCTGGAGGTGTACTACAAGACAATAGACTACACCCTGCCCATGCAGACCGACCTATGGATGCGTTTTGACGACGACTTGAAGATCAAGTTTTACGACATGACCCTCCGTCGTTTACCGTGGGCCTTTGACTTCCTCCTTCCCAAGTTGGCGCCCACGATCGCAGAGGAGTTGGGAGCCTCGTACAATGGCACCGATGCCGACAATCAAGCACTGGCTGCACAGAGGGCTATTGCTGATATTTGCAGTACGGCGATGGAGTATTGTACGGGCGACAACCAAGTTTATGATTCGTCAGCCTTTCTTCGATACATGTCTTGGGCAGGTCGCTGAGTCTCGTTGTAGGAATGAGAGCTGTATGCAGTTTCTGGCCGATGAAGTTCCATTTGGAGAGGCATGGCAAGGAGGACAGAATACAACGATTTGCAGGTAGGATTTTCCTCAACTCCTCATGGTAACTTAGATTGACCCTCGGACAGATACGTGTACAAGAACATGGTAAAGTTCAGGCCTGATGTTCACTGTCCCCAAATCTCACCGTCTGGCGGAGATATGTGCAGTAAGATCACTTTCATGTTCATCGCTTTTACCGGTTAAATCTCGGAAATTTCATAGTCCCCAGGTCGTACGAAAATGTCACTGAAGATTTCCCCTTTGTTTCAACTCTGGTCGCACCCAACGCCTCTTTCACGGTCGATAACACGAAGGGATTGTCTGAGGAAACTGTGACAGAGCTGATGAAGTTAAGCATGCTGCAGATCTACCCGACTACAGTTGCTTTCGTGAGTTACCTTTACATCGTTCTTGTCGCCGCTCATACCAACTCGACCAGTACTCCATCCCAACAATTCTGTACTTCTTCCTCTTGTACGTCTGCGCCAAAGGCGTGGAGATGGTGTTGCCAAGGCTCTACGCAACATACAGGGATCTGTCGTTGGAAAATAAGCGGAATACTGTTACTTGTGAGTCGCATTCTCAAAATTTACCTAACCGTTCTTGACAGTAATTTAGATGCCATGAATACGTTTTGGACCTTGGTCGCACTCGTCACGCAAGGCGTCGGAGGCTCAGTGGCGAGTCAGAACTACACCGTTCTCAATGTCTCTCTAGTGAGAGTCGTTGGCAACCTCATTTCCGGTTTATGTGCGTTTTCTTCTTTCACCGAAAGTAGTCGTAGAGGGCTAATGATCATCCAGATATCTTCGAGCTGACATACCGTCCGAATATGAGGTGGCCTTTACTTATCCACCACCTCTGCGTAAGTTGTCTCACGAATCCTTGCCTTTTCTTGACTTATGCGGACTCTATAGACTCTATTCGCCATTGTGTTCCTTCAAGTCGTGCTACAAATCACGGAACACCCTGCTATTGCGGCTGCTGGATACATATGGCTATTTCAGGCAACGACGGAGCAGTCTGTCTTCATTGGACTCTTCATGTATAGGCTTCGATATCCTAAGCTCCTTGTGAAGAGAACGTTACAATTCGCCGCAGTGCAATCATTGTTTGTCCTATTTCTTTTCCTGACCCTTTCAGCTGATCACTGATGTTGTCATGAACACGTAGCTTGTGCAAAATCGGATTCGCAGCGTATCTGTTTGTCTGGTGGGGCTTGAAATTGGCCAAGTTCCACACGCCCAGTGATATTGCCTTGAGCGTCATGCTGGTTTTGATTTGCACACTCCTTATGTCTACGCAAGTGTATGTTTTTCGTTCTCAGTTGCCTTGCCATATTATGCTTATGCTTGCTGGTACAGGTATGGATCTTACGCTGTATGGTCGATAGCGAGGAATATGGACCGCCCGTCTAGAGTTCCAGACACAGAGAAACTACACTCGGAGACAAGTTCTACTACTGCTGTATCAACCCGCGATTCAGTCAGCTCATAAAGACGGGTGCCACTCTTTTAATTCATTCATTTAATACACACCTGGGAATATACCATACCACACATTTGTATACCATGCTAGTTCAATCACAATAGACACGGACACTTTGATACCTTCTGTCTCAGCCCCTTGTGTTATAAGTCAAGCCTGAACCTTCTTGCGACTTTTCCTCCTCGGAAGGTTTGACATATGAGGTTGCAGATGGCCCTTTGGAACAGGAACAACATGCGGGCACACGGTTTCTCGTTGTAGCAGGTGTAGTGTCAAGGGGAAGTTGAACCCGCGCCGTTGATGGATGGATACGGCGGTCGAGGGCTCAGGTCTGGAGTAGTCGACGGTGGCGAAGAAGATTCAGGGAAGGGGCTAGAGGTTAAAGGTGAAGGAAGTTTGATACAAGTGCGTGTCATCGTCGGATCTTGAGGTATTATCCGTGATGAAGAAGAGTTCCAGGTTGGTGGAAAGTCGTCCATTTTAATGTTTCGTCTCGGGACAGGGAACCAGCCGGCCTCGCACTTGGGGGTTGAATCCGATTTTCAGTCACGGGAAGGGCTGAGGTATTGGTTATAGATGATGAATCTCATGGGTCTGATACCAGTGACAAAAATTGTGATTAGTTTCATTCTTTCAATGTAGAAGATATTTAGTACATTTTGAGTACTTGTATAGGTACTTGCAAGGACTCACTGGTATCTGAGTAAAGTGAGCACTTATGCTTTTGGTGAGTACCTGTCTTATGATGCAAGTGATCTCTGGTATGAGTGTTTCTAATAATATAACTGTTCAACTTTTTATGAGTTGTATGTAATTTTAGATCTGAGTACTTGTGTCTTTTGAGTGTGAATGCACTAGAGATGTACACCATACCATTACAGATATGACCATACTAATATGGCTATTCACTGTATATGTCCATGATAATATGAATACAATGCATATCTCTTGTTCCTTCAACATTGTATCTAAAGGAGAATCCCAATGGTCTCCAAATTATCAAGCTCCACTGTCCTCACTCTGCATCTCATTGCTTGCACACTAGACATATCATACTGTTCTTACTCTGCAACCCACTGCCTGCACACTATGAGCCCTTGTCTTTCAAGCCTGGCATCATTTCTGTGAAACAATCATTGTTGAGTAGCATTAATAGAGGTTTCCTTTTTATGCCAGGCAATTTGCTATCTCAAGTTGATTGGAGTTCCTCTCCCTATGGCTTTTGCTGTGCATCCTATTGTCAGCACACTACACTGCATCACACTGTCCTTGGTCTATGTCCTGTCACCAGCATGATAGCATTGGGGCCCTTCTCATGTCTCAGTTGGTCTGAGGATTAGTAAAAGAAAACCTTTCTCTTAATCTTCTCCATAAATATAACCATTCTTTATACAAAGAAGTGTACTGCTGAGTTTGAGTGATTTCTATCATCAAAGATAACAATATCCCATTCTGTAATGATACTAATTGCCAAAGATGCAATATAGATGATGTATATTGAGAAGTCAGATGAGAGGACAGATATCCAATAGAAGCAGAAGCAAGCGTCTTCCGGAAATCATTATGAAGTGAAGGGAGTGCAATATCCATCTGTGACAACAGTAGATTAAGTACATCTGCTCTAAATAAAGAATCAATCATATCTGACTGAAATTTCAGCTCAGTTATTGAGCAAAAACATATATCTACAGTTGTAATATTCTGAGAGTATTTGAGCAGCCAAATAACACTTCTCCATGTTAATTCTGAATCAATGAGTTGAATCTGTTTCTGTTCATCTCTAGTATAATCATAAAGAAAGCTTCTGTGACACAATAACCATGTATCAAAAGTCTGAGGAATGATAAAAGAATGCTTACAAGCTCAATCAGCAAGCTTCAAGCATAGATCGATAATAGCCTTATTCAGCTTTTGAGCAGATGAAGCTAGCATCTCCAAAAGAAGGAGCAAGACCACATTTCTGTATGGACATGATGGCCAGAAGAGAGGCAGCCATGTTGATCCAGTATATGGCTAAGAGAATGACCATGCTTAGCATGATGCACCCTATAACATGGTTTAGCTGCCACATCAGAATGACAAGGCCAATCAAAAAGAGCACGACAGTCAATTGCATGAGAACTGGGAGTGAGGCAATGATTGCAGGTACATGCCAACTTAGAAGAGCATCATGTCTATGCTGCCGGCGATGCGCACGGTCATAAGTGCTCCCGCTATTCATGCTCTTCACATAGTCGAGCAGCCATGACTTCACGAGCGAAGCAAGTGAGGCCACTGATATACCGCATACTAGGGCTGAGAACCATAAGCCCTGTATCCACAAGGCAGACCGTGGAACACGGAAATTCGATAGCGCATCGGTCGTGTCAAAGATGGGGTATGCCGGAGCACCTGCGGTCGCGTTGAACAGTGCCTGAAGGTTGACTGAGATCAGCTGCTGCTGCAGGATCGATATTTTTTCGTAGTCAGGCTGCAGAGTCGTGTAAAACTTGATAAGGAAGACGGTGACGACGCCACCAGAAAATAAACCGGCCTGGACAAAATGAGTGTGAGCAATGACGTATTTCGGAGCGACATACAGAGATAAGTAGCGCCGTCATGTCATCCTGCCAGCGTTTCAACATATCTTTATCCGCCACACGAGCCACGTTGTTGTAATACTCCCAGAGTTTAGACTCTGCGTCGACACCGGCACGCGGTGGCTCAGAATAGCTGTTTCCCAGCGTATCAAAGTCTACGAATAGAACCAAATTCTCATTTTGAACCTTCACAGGCAGCGGAAAACAAGAAATCTCATCAGTAGCGGAGGGCAAGGTTTGCGACGGTCTGTTGGGAGTGTATTCAAACGTTCGGGGTGTTGTTAGTCGAGAATTCCAGTCTGTATGGAAATATCGAGATCCTGGAGTTGTGGTAGAAGGGCGAGCGACTGGACGCCGATATCCTGGCATCGGGATTGTGGCTGCACTACTGGCACGAACTCTAGGATGGTTGGGGCTTAGATTCAGAGTGTGCTGGGTACTTCCGGATTCATCAGAAGGAAATACAGCTGAATTTGCTTGATTATCGTTGTCTGGCATGATTGTCAGTCGAAGGTGGCAGACAGACGAGAAGGTCAACACGCGTCGAACACGCGATGTTTCCCGATTGGGCTTTCGACTCATGGCAGCAAACGGCGTTTTGGTGAGTATCAGATAAACCAAAGACTGTCCCTTGATATAATTTTTTGGCTAAACCATCTCCCCAACTCTACCCCACCTCTCGCTCTCTTCTATTCCTTTCCTCTCCCACCGTCGTCTACATTCATGCAAGAACATACTCGTACCCGCTAAACCTAGTATCACGCCCAAATCGCCTCTCCTCAGCCCCTCCGTCTGGAACACAGACTGCATGACAGGAACGTATACGAGCCCTATCTGGGATATCGCTGAGACGCTGACCGTCGTCAGCAGCATCTTGTTCTGCGTTAGCCCGCATCCCAAACCGCGGTTTTGGATGGCCGAAACAAGGTCCAGAAAGACAAAGGCCGTAAACGTCTACGAAAATATACCTTCTGAGTCCAATGTACGCACAAAAGATAAAAGTTGCTCCTTACCATCGTCTGTTCCCTCCTAGACATCTTGTCATCCTCGAGAGCGAAAATGTACACGAACAACGTGCCAAACACAATGATCGAAGCCGAGAAGATGACCCGATACAGGACGCGTTTCGTTATAATCGAAGCATCTTTTTTCCGGGGGGGTCGTCGCATCACTGCGGGATCAATGGGATCAACCCCCAGACTCTGACTCGGAGGGCCTAAAAATCATGAACATCGTCTTCTATGACATCGTAAGTAAGAGCTTACCGTCCATGAGGATATTGATAAATAGGATTTGCATTGCATTTAACGGATTGCTCAGCCCCAGCATGGTACTGAGGGTGATTAGCGTCAGCGCCGCTGCGGCCGTGCTCAGCTGGAATGAAAGGAAGTTTTGTATATTATGGAATATTGACTTGCCTGATTGCACCGGTCAGAAGAAACAAACTACAGAGAAACGAGCAACTCACCCTCCTCAACAGCAGGCAAAATCGTACTGAAATTATCATCCACCAATATCACATCTGCCGCCTCCTTTGCTACGTCAGTCCCGCTCTTTCCCATCGAAACACCGATGTCCGCTATTTTCAACGCAGGCGCATCATTGACCCCATCGCCTGTCATCGCTACGATCTTCCCTCTCGCTTGGAACGCCTCTACGATCGCCATCTTATGTCTCGGCGTCGTTCTCGCAAAGACGCTCACATATCCGACTCTCTCCATCAGCATTTCCTTGCTCATCCTATCGATAGCAGCGCCTGTCAGACACCCACTCCCCTCAGAGCTGACTTTCAAACCCAGCTTGCGTGCTATGGAGAGTGCAGTCTCCTCAGCGTCGCCAGTGATCATGACCACTTGGACGCCTCCCGCTTGTAGAAGCGCGATCGAGTCGCTTACGCCTTTTCGTGGAGGGTCAAGCATGGCTTGAAAACCCGCAAAGACCATATTTGACGATCCAGGGGCGGGAGAAGATGTACGAGTTGGGGGAGCTGAAGGGAGCATTGCATTGCCATTCACAGCTGAAGTGGTCAAGTCAACGCTGCCGTACCCATAAGCCATCGCCACAACTCGTAAACCTCTCGATGCCGTTGCTTTCGCCTTGCCCAGTATGACACTCCGAGCCTTCTGATCCAAAGCAGGCGTCGATTCGTCATTGACGTAGTAAAATTTGCACCGGTCTAGGACCGCTTCAATTGAGCCTTTGAGATAGCAGATCTCCCTCCCCGATGGCGACGCGTCATGATGAATGCCACTAACTGCCATGTATTTATGCTCAGAGTTGAATGGTTTTTCTGAGAGGCGTTGGAAGGTCTGCAGGGCATAAGCTGTGCACTAAGATGTGGAGGAAGATAAAACCTACCGCTCTCCGGTCAGGCAGTCCGACTTGACAGAGTACGTTTAACAATGCGACGTCAGTAGACTGCCCAACGAAATTCCTGTCATCGTCCCGGCTTAGAGAGGCATTATTACACAGGGCGCCAATATCGATCGCCATGCGAACAGCTGGAGGTAGCGAGGGGGAGACTTCGTTACTGAGATGAATGACCTCGTCAACCGAGTACGCCTCGGTGACCGTTTGCTCGTTCTTCGTCAGAGTACCCGTCTTATCGGAACATATCACCGACACCGATCCCAGAGCTTCGACAGAATGAAGCTTCTTGACGATGGCTTTTCGGTGTGCCATCCGTTGAACACCAAGTGCCAACGTGACCGTCGTTACGATGGGAAGGCCTTCAGGAATGGCAGCGACGGCAAGAGAAACTGCAAGAGACTATTCAAACGACCACAGACATTTAAAGAAAGCCAGTATACCTCCAATGGTGAACATATCCAACCATGGCCTTCTCTGAAGCACGCCAATCAAACATATAACGCCGATCACGACAAAAGAAATCATCGAAAGCTTCTGGGCAAGCTCGTCCATGCTCAACTGTAGCGGCGAGCGCTTTTCCTCTACATCTTGCATCATAGTAAAAATCGCGCCAAACTCTGTATTTGTTCCCGTCGCAATAACGACGCCCGTCCCGTGACCGTTCCTAACCAACGTCCCCATGTACGCGATACATGTTCTATCTGCCAAAGTAGCAGGAGTGGGACCCACACAGGTTGCCGTGTTCTTCTGTCGCGCCACCGTTTCGCCTGTCAAGCTGCTTTCATCAATCTCTACATCTACGCAAGAAACCACGCGTAAGTCTGCTGGAATCCGATCTCCTGTTGAGAAAGTGACAATGTCACCAGGAACTAGTTCATTGGCTAGAACGTGCAGTGTTTCGCGCTCGCGAATGACATGACAATGGTGGGGAACGAGCTTGTTCAATGCTTCGAGACTCTTCTCTGAGCGCTGTTCTTGCACGAAGCCGACCGTGAGTACGATGAGGACAGCGACGGTAATGCTGACAGCATCGTCGATGTTGCCGATTATGGCGCTTATGGTTGCACTTGCGCATAGCAGCAGGATGAGGGGACTCTCGTATATTGTTTTGGCAAATTTGAGAAGAATGGGTTCTGGGGTAGCAACAGAGAACTCATTATATCCATGTGTCCCTAGTAAATTGGGAATATCCGCCTTCAGCAGGCCGTCGGTAAGGGATGTCCGGTAATGCGATATTGTATCCTGTTACTTGGCTGTCGTATAGCGATATAAGCGATGGAAAAGAAATACTCACCTCCACAGAACAATGGGCATACTGCGACGACAATGTATTCTTCGGCGGCTCCAGACGGGGCATAGCTCTTCCACTTTCCAAGTGATTATCCGGTGGTTGACCAGTGATCCAACCGAGTACGCGCGACCAGAGACTCGACGCTTCTGCATTCACCGCCGATGCCAGCTCGGATGGCGATATAACAGACCCTTCTAGATGATGTCTGCGGAGGGTGGTACTGTAGGAAAAGTGTGCTTCAGCATCGGGGACAGGCTGTAGTCGTACATTGTCCGGATCCGAGGCTAGTAATGGAAAATAGGTGGATGCTGGGGGTGAGGGCGACCGTTGAGGAGAGCGACCGCGACGAGAGAAAGACGACAAGCTCGAGGAAGATTGAGGATGGAAAGGGCCTGAGCGTCTTCGTTCGTAGCCCATCCCAGATGAGTGTCGGAAACAAATATTACTTATTTCAATTGCTGTGACCTCCACGTGTTTGTTGCCCGGCCCCGTTCAATTCAAACACTTATCTGCTGCAGCTTGGCGACGACTGCGCCGCAAGCTAGGAAATCGACGACATACCGTCTGGCGCTTTTCGGCTGACGCCATGTGCGCTACGGTACATCATGTGCTCCATACATGCGCCGTGCTAATGGCGTTGCAACAGTTCCAGGGAAGCACGTAAATGAGGATTACACGCAGCTACTAGACAAGTGACGATACGCTAAACTTTAAGCTTTCAGGCCGTTCGGCGCAATAAATGGTATGTGGACATGGTGGTTATTACGTATTGCATCAATTCATAGGTGGACTTAGACCAGCGTTGCAGAGGCCAGCCAATCCAATCCAACTCCCCTTCGTCCAATCCGATGTTAAATGAGAGTGACCATGCACTGTCATCATCAAAGAAAGTCACTTTTATTCATTCTAGTCCACGTTTCTTCCTATGCTTATATCTGGATATAGTGCCCCATTCTCCGTCGGTAGCGGCTAAAGCAACAGCATCTACTTTTATAAGAGAATACGTGTCTATCAAGAGCTACATGTGTCAAGAATTTCCTTCCGATGGCGCCACATCTTCTTGTATCATCTCATCATTACATATCAACCTTGCGATGTATGCGAATCCGATCTGCTTGGCAATAAATATGCTCGAATTTTTTGCGTATTTGGGCTGCATCTCTCATGTGCGGCATGACTAGATCTGATTCGAGTGGCAGTTCCATGCCAGTAGATATATATCGGCGTCGGCGTCACGACTCATGACTCTTCAGATTCGCGCCTTGTCCGTTTGCGCATTCGGAACCATCAGTCGCATTCAACGGACTGCTCCTTGCAATTGCTGTATGCAGATGGATATCGTACGGGGAGCATATTGGCCTGGAGCATCTAATTTCCGTCCATCCTTGCTGACGATGTTTGCACCGAAAGATGAACCGAACCCTGCTGGAAACAAACGCCTCTATAGGTTATGGTTGACTTTCGGCACCGACTAGTCTTTTGGGAGGTCGGAATGATGGTCCGGTAAGGCTGCTCTTCCGAATCTACCTATCTGTGCTACTTTTTAAATCACAGCTTGTGTTTCAGAAGGATCAAAGGGCCGCCGTGGTCTCTGATACAGGATAACGATCGTCATTCCACTAAATCAAGGCGTGAATGAAGACGCTTGACTCGGACCTGGGGTAAAAGAAGGCCCGTTCTCAGGGAACGCCTCCGCACCGGCTTATGCTCAATTATGAAAGGTCCTTTCTTCGACAGGTGGGTTGACTTACTAACCCTGAACCACTGACCTATTTGCTCAATAGAAATCTGGTCACGTCTACCTCATGTCAACAAGGTCTACTCACTACGCTGACGAATACCGCAAAGGTTATCAAACAAACCGATGCGACGCACAGTGCTGGACCGCATTACTCAGGAACTGAGTAGATGTATACTTGCATTCAGACCACCGAACCGGAAACTCATGCACTCATCACACTTTACATATGTTACTCGGATGGCTCATGACAGCTTCTTCTATGTGGTAAGTGTGGTAAGCCGACGATGACTTGCTTCCAGTTCATATACAGAATGACTTGTCGTAGTGCAATATCAAACTACTCGCGTCATCATCGGCTCGGACTTATTACCGATCATTCTTCATCTCGGCATTCGGAGCATCTAATCAGATAAAAAACCCATATCGAATGATCAACATCTAGAATGGCCCCCACCACGGTACCCCCTGCTCCCCCCCCTATTAGTACTCCCTTGAAGACGATTGTTGTTCTAGGTGCGGCATATGGTGGTGAGTGCCTGGTCTGCCACACTTTTCCATGCGTTTCTCCTCATCCCAAGGCTACTGTAGGTGCTCGCGCAGCACAACTCCTCGCGAACGCAGCCCCAGAAGGATGGAGGGTAGTCGTCATTGATAGAAACACGTATGTGGAATGACACGTTCCCCGCTTCCTTGCTGGATGCTGATTCTCTTCTTTTTCGAAGCCACATTAATCGTCTGTTAAAGACTCTACCCAACAGGTTGTTTTTAACTGACTGCTGGCCATAGACGTGTACACTTTCCCCCGGTATTCCGTCCTTCTGGGTCATGAACATAAAGCGTGTATGTATTACCCCTCTTTCCCCGTAGCTATACTTGTAACTGAGCCTACGACCAGTCATTCCTACTCGTAACATCTTCCAGCTGCCAGATCCTTCAGCCCCATCACCACATATCGTCCTTCACGCCCAGGTGGAGTCTTTCAGCCAAAACCATATCGTCCTCTCACGGGCATTTCCGGAGTTCGGTATTCATTCTGCCACGCTCCATTATGACTACGCTGTGTACGCTCTCGGGGCGCAATTACCCGATCCCGTCAACTTACGGGGTCCCCGGCTAGATCCCAGAGAGAAGGATAAAACAGAATGTCATGGAACCAAGGCGGAGGGAACCAGCTGGCTCCAGTCGAGCCAAAAGGTGATTGCCGCAGCAGGCAGGGTGCTCGTCGTGGGGGGTGGGGCGTTAGGAATACGTACGCTGCTTTCCGACTATTTCGCCTGAGACCCGCTGACCCATCATACTTGTATAGAGCTGGCTTCTGATATCGCTGATGTTTACCCTATGAAAAAGGTTACTCTGCTCCATTCGCGTCGGAGGCTGTTGCCCAAGTATGATGAGGGAATGCATGTTGAGAGTGCGTGAATGTGTTATCGTTTCTGCTTCTCGTGCCTGATAGACGGTGGGGTGTAGTCGTTCAGTCTTTGACAGCACTCAACGTTGAAATGATCCTTGGGGAGCGTCTGGACATGAATTCTGTCGACAACGTTAATGATGCGGGACAGCGCATTGTACGAACAGAGTCTGGGAAAGAAATCGCTGCTGATCTTCTCGTGTGCTTGCCTCTCTAGTATCTGAGATAACGAAATCTAATACTTTTCACTAGCTGCTCTGTACGGGACAAATTCCCAACACTGCACTGCTGAAGGAGATGGATCCGTCTACAATGAACCCTGAAAATTCGCTGGCTCATGTGCTGAGGTCTCTCCAGCTCGGTGTTATCGCGCCTTCTGTTTCGGCATCTCCCAGCGCTGTTAATGCTGAGTCATCGGCCATGCTTTCTGCCAAGCTGCAGTTAGCACTCGAAAAGCTTGCTTTGGATGAAAGCAATGCTCCCTCTGAGGAGTCGGTGTCCTCTATTGAGTCTACGCCTGTCTCTGAGGAAGAAGTCGAAGATACTCCCTACGGAAATATATTCGTCATTGGAGACGCGGCGGATGCGTTCGGTGCTATTCAGGCTGGACATAATGCCTATGCTCAGGTTTAACCCTTGGTTTTAGCTCCTCCTGGATGTTATGCTAATTGTCATTTCAGGCCGATGTTGCTGCCAAGAACATCCTGAAGCTCATCAGTGGATCTGGAAAAAACGAGTTGGAGAGGTATACCCCTTCGCCTCCGTCTATCAAGGTGTCTGTAGGCATTGTAAGTGATTAGTCAATACACACAGTCTCCCACGCCAATGATGTTCCAGGCGAAAAGGGTGTACCAAGTCAATGGTGCGATCAAGTCTATCAATAGTGGAGTAGAGGATATGCTGGCCAAGGTGATGTGGCCGAAATTCGGAATCGAGGTGAAGGACGATGCAGATATGTATGAATAAGGGAAGATTGGATCGATTCACTATGCAATTGGTCTGCCTTCTATCTTTCTCGAGTAGACACGTGATCTTCTAATGGACCCTAGTTGGCACGTCTTCATCATAGAATAGGAAAGTTGCCGTTAGTCCGTCATTGCCGTGGGAATTGACTTCTGTCATGTAGTTCTCATACTTCCTATGTTATTTGCTCGGCAGTTCTTGACTTTCTCTACTAGTCTTCAGAGACGCAGACCTGAAAATGTTCGTCCACCCCCGGCACCCAGAACTTGTGCAGGCTACACTTCTCTGCAGGATTGTATGGCGTTGCGCATGTACCCGCTGACATTGCCGGTGGCACTGCTCTACAGCAGTTCTACAGCACTATACAGTATATAATCATCACTTCACCTGTTGCTGGATAATCGTCCGACATGTTTGCCGTTCAGCGGTTGTTAAAAATCCTTCGTGACCTTGCAGGTGGCCGGTCACCGCTGAAGGTTATTCTTGTCTTTGGGCTTTCATACAACGACAAATCCGACGCTATTTCTGGGCTCGACGTGACCAAACCTCACCAAACTTCCCCAAAGCCTATCGACGACCGAGATTCTGGTAAACCTACTGACGAAATGCTTACAAAGTGGAGGATGGCACTCGTGGACAGCGATGCGGAGGAATCGGCATCAGTGGTCGTGTGTAGAAGTGTTTTCCCTTCACTTGCATCTCATGGTTCCCGATCTTCATATCGTCACCGCTCCGCCGCTTCATCCCGTTATGACTCTCGATCTTCGTCCATAAGGCAATCACGTAGTGACAATGCTTTCCCCCTTCATTCCAGACCCAGGCGCCGAACGTCGAGTCAACCAGACCTTGAGGCATATGTGAACGCATCAGGACACCATTTTACTCATTGTCCAAGTCATTCACAATCATGGATTTTGGTTGGGATATTGTATCTGAAGATCTTGAAGTGAGAGAAGCCCAACATATATGATCATAAAACCCATCTCCCATCCAAAATATTAAGATATCTCTGAGTTTGTTGATAATATTGAGTGTGATTTTTCTGCATGTAGAAAACAATTGACAGTGATATCTGGCCATTTTCAGTGTAAAAAGATACTATGAGAGATGCTCATACCAATATTGTGCCTCTATCTCAAGGCTGATATGCACTGGCTTGGTAACACCTTTGACTGCATTTCATGCACTTAGAAAAGTTCCACTGAATTCATCCAACCAAAAGATTGACTGATTTTCATAGTCTACAAAGTTGTTATGATTTTTTCTTATTTTCTCCCTTTTCTCTATGATCAACTCCTATTTATGCTTAGTCAGGGTGCCTAGACTAGTGCTTAGGACCATGGGAGAGGCTTAGTCATTACAAACAAGCCAATCTATCATTGTCCTCTGACAAAGCAACTAGCCCTTGATGACACACAATCAACCTTTTGTGTACAGTAATGATGCCTAAGGACAATGGGCACAAGAACTTAGAGACATACAATAGATAGTCTTATATTTATCTCCAACATGTATAGTATATAAGGAGGCTCACTCTTGCTGGTAATCTTCAGCTTTGAGCTAAAGTTTATCATCACACTATTCTACTCTTGAGCTAATCCTAAGGTCTTGTAACACAATGATTAATATTCACATCAGTGGACTCTAATAGAACACTTGAACACAAAGTGATGTCAGTTTATCACATGTTTACAATTATATGCAGCTTGGGTCTAACAATTAGCTCAAAGCTTCTGCTTTCCTTTCCTCATGCACACTAGCATAGAGGAAACCAAATGCCATCTATTGACCCCAACTCTCTGAACTTTGACTGTGAATTCTTTGATCTCTTAGCTTCCATCATCAGAACACTATTAAGATTATTGGTGATCATCCAACTTTGTTGTGAACACCAATTAATCACTGCTTAGGCAGTCAGATACTACTAAGAGTTTCAACAAATCTGATGAATTCTACAAAATATAATCTCTGATTTACCTCTACATGACATCCTTCATACCCTCCAACCCTCCTTCCAGCCTCCAACAGAAACCATACCTGAAGCCAGGCCTAGCAGCCTACATCTGAAGAATATTCAAGAAGAAGAAGAACACAGATACTCTCCTTGATCTTGACAACCTGACAGCAGAAACAGCAACAATCATCTTGCAGGTTTTTGAAACCTATGGATCTCACTCTCTGTCTCTAACCATGAAGATAAGGATCTTCCTGAGAACTTCTTTAATGACTCACTATTCTTCAATTCTTCTACTGCTATAAGAGCACCCAGCATTGAAGACCATACTAAGGACTCTCTTGATGCCTCTCAGATGGCTTTAAGACCCCAAAGTGTTTCATTGCACTCAGGACATGACTCATTCTACATCATTCTGACAGAAACTCCCTCCACTACATTATCTGCCAACTATAGTAGCTCCAGGGTGGAGGATGATCAGTCAGCCCAATCAGAGGTCAGACAATGAGGAGAAGCAGCTTGGAACAGGATCATTCACAGGATATTCTCAGACTGGGACCTCTGAATCTCTTTTAATTACAACACAGCTGTTTGACAGCAGCAGCAGTGACAGGAGAAGTGAGCTCAGGCAGACCCTGAGCAAGCTTGAGTAGAACTTGCTGAGCATGCCAGAGCAGAGGCCCAGTGGCAGTATGAAGAAGAACTAGAAGACTAGAGACAGTGAGAGTGAGAGTGTGAGTGTGAAGCTGTGTGACTAGGCTCTGTCTCTCTCAGCAGATATGGACTTCAAACTGAGTCCACTAGATCCCCCTTCTGAGAACTAGAATCTTAACTAACCCATGGGCAGGGTCAGCAAGCTCTGTCACTCTCAGCAAAGCTGCAAGGAGGGGAGATTCTTTCTCTTCTATTCATATTCCCAGCCCTAATATTATCCCCTTGGATGCTGAGTTCATACTCAATGTCTACAGGCTTTGAGTACCTCTCAATGCCCATATCTCTGACCACAGCCTCCAAAGATTCCTTAACAGCAGAGCCACAGGATAATTTCTTAACCCAGAGTTTTATAGAAACTTCTGAGTCTATTGCAAAGATCTAGAGACAGTACAAGCATATGGTGGCACTCAGTACAATATTGATATTGGAGCTAGACAATCTATTTGGTGATCCACTCCAACCAGTGATAACAAGGCAGGATCCAGCATCTGAAATGATCAGCAGCTCTTTGGCAACTCTTTAATCAGCCACAGTGAGCATCTACAACCAGCCTATCAGTTCCCTCCTTAAGGAAGATGAGAAGGAAATGAGTGAGGTCAATGAGATTGAGGATAAAGGTCCTTTTAAGCTGGAAGAATTTATGATATGTGCTAATAAAGAGATGGATGAAGAAGCTCTGAAAGAAGAGATACAGAGAAACAGAAAAGGAGAGTATCAGGATTTTTATGAAGAGAAGGTAATATTTTTATGGCATGACACTAAATAGCTTGTGTCAAATATGAGACAATTATATATTAATGCAGAACTATTGGAATAATGGAAAATTCTATAGTATTCAGCTATAAAGCATATGATTGACATTTACAACAAGAGGCACTCCAAAGATCACCTTGCTGATCTACCAGTCTACAAATCTAAATTTGATGTTCAACCAATGCCATGGATGCTATCTACAGCCCCAAAGTGAGCTACCTACACAGCTCCATCAGTCTGATCAAGCTGAAGTCACTATTTGTACTCTGCACTGTCTGTTCAGACTTCAACAACTTGGCTCTCTCATTCCTGACCACAATCACACAGTCAACCTACTAGGCTCCAAAATCTGTAGACTAGCAGGAAAAGCCAACTACTCAGCAGACAACCACTGTCTGACAAAGCTGAAGAGAATGAGACAGAGAAAGACCCAGTCAAGGACAATCTCAAGGCTATTCAATTAGAGTTTACTATCAAGAACAGGGTAATCATATGCAAAGAAGCCACTCCTCAAGGAAGTCCTATCACTGATGATAGTTCCCTTCACTTCTTCTCCAGACTTTTGACCAAATAGCATTATCTGTTATTCAATGAATATCTGAACCTAATAGATGCACTATTCCAGAACACCACTATCTTACAGTGCAAATCTGATCTACTCCACACCTCTTACCTTTTTAAGAGTGCATCTGATAATATTGATCAATTCTTGATTGACTGTGAACAATACTTTAAGGTATACATTATATACTTCAGAACTAATATGAACAAAGTAGCGTTTATAGTATCCTACTTCAAGAGCAAGGCCAAAAGATGGTGGATGCTTATATCTCCTTCATTCTACTCTTCCACTTGACAACATCACTGATTTTCATCCTGGCCTGTCTTTAAGCAGATGGTATATAACAAATTCATTGATCTGGCCATCTAGAAGATACATAAAAATAAGATGAAGGAGTTGTGAATGAGTGATGACAAGGTCACAAGTGAATATTTTGACAAACTGGAATGTTTAGGAACCTTGGCCAGCATACAAGATAGCACTGATGATAACAAAAGGATGGTTGAATACCTCAAGCTGAGAGTTCCTACATTATACATAAAGATGATCTCTAATATAAGAATCAATATTCTGAAGGGGTATGACATATAGAAGAATAGAATCACTGAAATGAACAAGGAATGCCTTCAACAGAAGGCAGTGAGCACTGGCATCCAGCCTGACAAAAAGCCCAGCATGTCTTCCAACAGGAAAACTGGTACTCCTTCCAAGACCAGCATTACTATGACACCCTTCTATACTGCACAGAAGACCTGAACTGGTATAACCTACACTGGAACTGATAAACCAATAGATATTGACCAGCTCAAGAAGAAAGGGAAATGCTTCACCTGTGGACAGAAGAGCCACATGATAAAAGATTATTCTAAGAAGAAATAAACATATGAAGATATCCAGATGCAAATAGCAGAACTACAAAAGGAGGCCAAAGAACTTGGACTAGAGACAAGAGTGGAAGAGGTAAAGATGGGGTCAACCAGTGAGTGATTCCACTGGATTGGCCAAAGGACTTAGCAGGAC